GCTGCGGCGGTGCAGAGCAGGCGAGAAGCGACGCGAGGTCAGGCAACGCAGTGGTAGGGCTGTCTCGAGAAGGGGGGAGGGGGCCATGTGCGGTGCTGTGCTACCCAACGCACATGTAAAATCCGTGGGTGGTTACATGTCGGATGTACCTGTCTTAGGGCACTTGGGGTAGGTTAGGTACCTTAGGTAGGTACCTAACCTACCTACTTAGGTACCTACCTAACCTAATAGTAGGCGATACGATACGTGGCCCGGTTAGTAGAGGTAGAGGTACTCACGGTAGCATTGCCCTAAAGGGCCACCTACCTAGGTACCTACCTGTAAGGCACCTAGGTAGGCACCAACCCTAGGTTAGGTACCTCCAAATGTGCCCATACGTGTCCATACGACGTAGGAATGGTAGGACTACGGGCCTGGGGCAGCAGGTAGGCGTTGACATATAGGTATCTTATGGTATATACAGGTATCTTAAGTTGGATACCTACCTACCTTGGTATCCCGGTCCCTCTCCTCTCCCGGGAAACACGCGGACCGACGAGAGGAAATGCATCTAATGTGCACTTGTCGAGAACGCGCGGGCCGGTCCCGCACCCGGTAACCGTAGTGCGCGTTCCGTGCTTACTACCGTGGGTACCTAGGCATCTGGGCACCTAGGAGGTTAGGAAGGTAGGTAGGTACCTACCTAAGGTAGAGGCAGCTCCCTGTAAGCAAGCGGCTAGCTAAAGTTCTTATAGCATGCATTGCCTTTTTTTATAGCAAGCTACCTAGTACAGTCTCAACTGTCGCAATGCGATGAGACGTCTACCTAGGTAGGTAGTTATGTCCGAAATATACAAGTGTATAAATATATCATACATCTATCTGTATGTGTGTATGTGTATGCGTATATATAATATATAAATAATATATATATATATATATATATACACATATGCACGCGTACTTGACGGATTCGTGGAGTGACCACGTCTCCACTCGGGCGCGAGCCTATCGTAGGGGCCCCTCGCTCACCACCGACCTAGATACCGGGACTCCCTCCTCTGTGCGCGTAGGTGCGGTAGGCGGGTAGGTAGGTAGGTATACATTACCTACGCCTGCTGCCATGTCTCTCCCTCTCTCTCCGATGTGGGTGTGTGGATACGGGATATCTACGACATGCGTCGAGGAACGTGGCAGCTAGCCATGTCGAGTGTGACAACCACCCACCGACGCAGGTACTCTGGCATCGCAATCCCGGCTGATGATGTGCTGTTTGAGATAGACGACTCTTGCGCGTAATCGCCGTGCCTGCGCGCCGTCGGGACAGCAGAGGACAGGAAACAGGAGGAACACGCTGCGTGGCTCGGAAGAGAAGCTTTCTTTGCGCACTTCCATGCACGTCGTTTTTTGGTCTTCTGCCGCTCCCTCTTGTTCCTGGGGTGAGAGACCGCCCGCTCCCGCGAGGAGGCGCCGCTCGTCGGCCCCCAAACCCGCGAGGCTAAAAACCGTTCGGATCGCTGCCGGCGCCGCTAAATTGCCGCCGCATCTTTGCCTACGGCAGTATTCGAAACGTAAAATTGATCTACGATCGCACGAGCTTGGCCTGCTTCCTCGGACGAGAATGCCTTTCTCGTGTGGTGTTGGCGCAGGCCCTATAATAACCCACCCGCATATACAATTGTTCTCCCTCTCTGTCTGTCTCCCTCTCTCCTCTTTCCAGCCGTAAGCATCGGTGACCCCATCCCTCGACGCTGGTGACGTCTGCTAAGTTATTAATAGCATCGCCTTACGGTGGAGTTATCAGCGAGTCGTGTCCAATTAGGCCTGCTGGCGCCCGTCTAAGCCCCCCCCCCCCGTGCGCAGTATCTGGTACTTTGTCCACCCCGGCCACGCCACGGGGCGAGCTGGAAGCGAAGGGCCAATGGCGGTGCTGGAGGCACCTTGAAGCCCTGTATGAGCAAAGGATTCGACCAGCAATCCACCCGACCCCCCTTGTCCTGCTGCGGGCCGTGCTTTACGAAGGCGCCCGGGGTTGCTCTTCTTCATGCCTACCTAGGTACCTATGCACCTGCGTACACAATGTACACAGCTCCTCTCGATGTTGATGCGGGCCTTAGGTAGAGGGATATGCATGTATGGCATTGCAGGTGTCTGTTCGAAACGTGGAGAAGAGAGAGAGAGAGAGAGAGAGAGAGAGAGAGAGAGAGAGAGAGAGAGAGAGAGAGAGAGAGAGAGAGAGAGAGAGAGAGAGGGCGACGACGGGACAGAGCACGTCCTGGGCGCCCTATCAACACCCTTCTCCGGTTGTTTCCAAACGCATAGAGGTCTGGCGCCCCCTGTGCCATGATGAGGAAATTCCGGGGAAGATCACTAAGGGGTCGGTCGGGGGGGGACCGGTTTGGCCTCCAACTCTTTTTCATCGAACTTGCTGATCAGCGAGGGCCATGCGTGCGTGTGTGTATGCCTGCATACATATGTTGGTATGCATATCCTGCCTCGTAGCATGTATACCTATGCATGTATGCATGCACGTCTATGCAATGTAGCCCGTTCGAATCTCTGAACTGAGTCTCTCGGCCGGTTCTCCAAACTGGTGCCTACCTACCAGGTAAGCCATCAGCTTTTTGATACTCTCCATCCCTTCTCTTCTATTTTAACAATGTGATGGATACCTGGGGCTTCTGCCGCTTGACCATTCGCTGTTCCCATGTCTGTCTATGTATAGGGCAGCAAGTTTCTGCGACGCTCTCGGAATAGTGTCTTCGGCGAGTGGTGCTGTGCGTGCTTTCGCTGATAACGTGCGGAGTCTGGGGCAGCGGACTGGCTGGGACTAAACCCTGCGGCGAGGACTCTCGGTCTACCGCCCCAGGAGTCGAGATATCTCTGTACCGCCCGCCAAGGCGAACTGGGAGGAAACAATGTGCCGGTGTCTGTCGTGATACCCTCCCAGACGATAACGGATCCGACGGCGTTGGTACGCACACGGCAGACCGGTTATGGGTCTTATTTTCCTTCTTGTTTCCGTTCTAGGGAGAGAGCACAGGCGCATCCCACCACACGCTCCTGGCATCCTGCTGAGTTACGGGGGCGCCTCGCCTGCAGAGCACATTTGCGCTAGCTGCGCCCCCTTGGTTGGCCTCTGTCGCTTGTTAGAGGTTGATCCGTGGTTCCTCTCTTTCCCCATCGTCCTCCGCGCAACCAACCACGGAGCGGTGATGATCGAATTCACCAAACCGTGCCCCAACCTGGCAGGGGTTGTGATGGGATGCTCCCGAGTAACGACGGAGGAAAGGAGCGAGAGAGAGAGAGCGAAACAGAACAAAAAAAGAGAGAGAAAGAAACTATGCTGAAATTACAGCGCGAGCGCGTCTCTATACGAATAAACGTCTTCTCATACCCAATACTAGCTACCTCCTACACGGTGCTTCCCTCAACAATTACCGGCATGCTCACTTAGTATTCGACCGCGTGGTGGCTTGCCCTGCTTATCCAGGGGGGGGGTTCCTTATGCTCCTGCTAATTATGGCACTCCTGGCACGATCCAGTCTGCCGGATACAATCCAGTACCTACACTTGCAGGACGTTCCCTACCCAACTACCCAATGCACATGCGTTGAGAGGAGGGAATAAGACAACGAGCAAATAAGAGTGACTTTCATACCCACATCGCTGGCCTGATGATGTTGTTATTCCCCTCTCCTGCCGCAAAGTACCTTGTCCCTGAGCACCTGAGCTACCTGCTACCTATCTTAGGTACCTAACCTACCTAGCCCTCCAGGCAGTAATGACAGGTTGCGTGCCCTGCCGTTGCCCTGCCGCGCCCTGCCCTGCCCTGCCTAGCCTCAGGTATCTGCCCACCGATTGACTTGCACCCGTCTACCTGGGGGATCGGCCACCTGCTACGTATCGCACCCACGTCGGGCACGTTGGTTGCCCGCACACGAGGGAGACGGCGGCGCCCCGATGTACCTGGCTGTCTCGCTGCACACGGCAAGTCGGAGGTAGAGGTAAGTGTAGGTAGGTGTGCAATCTGCTCCTTGCGTTGTGCGCACCTCTATGGTAGAGTACGTGAGGCGTGCCCGAGATGAGCCACCATTAGGGGAGTAGTGCCTTGCATGTCGCGCGACCTCGTCTGTCTTCGGGGACCCATGCGGCCGCTCCAGCTGATGACAGGGGCTACCTCACATCCTTGCACAACCTGCGCATGTTCCTGTACATAAGGCGTGTACGGAGGTACATGTATATATGGGACATGCATGCAGTGCGCAGGCAGAGGTACCAGCAGTGTAGCCAGATACCGGCTTGCCAGGCCTGCCTGCATGTACAGCAGTACGCTGCCGCCTCCTGTCCGCCTCCTGCCCGCCCGCCTGTGCGCGTCGGTATCCTGTACTGCCTGACGCTGACGCTGTGCTGTGTTACCTGCTTGCGTGTCGAGGTACAGGGTACCTGCCGACGACTTCGACGTGGGCTGCATGGGTCGCCCTTAGGTACCCGTAGGTGGAACTGGGACTCGATCTGACCCAAGCCAGCCTGCCTTAGCCGTAACGGACGGACACACACACACACACACACACCACACACGCTCAACACCTCTCTCTCTCTCGCTCCCTCTTTCGGTCGACCTCACTCGCGTCTGCTCTCCATGCCCTCTCTGCTCTCCTGCCAGCGCCTTTCGGCCCTTTCCTACTCTCAATATAGCAATGCCGCTCAGCCTACCTACTCCCTCCCGCTCTGCTGTTGGCATCTTCCGTTTCATCGCAGACGGATATGCTAATTCACCACACACACACACACATACCTCTCTCTCTCTTCGACCAACCTCCTGCCGCCCAGTTAGAAGGCTGAGATCTGCTATAGCCTTAAAGCAGCCGTTTACAGAACCACCCCCTTGTTTCTTTAGATATCTTGGTCTTACCCCCTCGTGGCTATTTCCATCACTACCTATACTCTTTATATATCTCGACTTGCAGGGCTGTGCGATTACTAAGTTTGTCGTGCTTCCATTTTGAGCCTCTGCAGCCATGACTAGTCTGGAGTTCATCATGGACATGGTCGACGAAGAGGACGCCCCTCGGGTGGATAAGAATCGTGGAGGCTCCGTCCCTCCGGGGTCGTCTCGTAGTCACGATCCTTCCCGTGCGGGAACGTCGAGCCACGAGAAGCTTAAAGACCAGGACGATAGACTAGCTTCAGCCTCAACGAGACGCCGCGGCCCCTTAAGCCGTTCATCCAAGCCCACCGTTACCGCGTCCTCTTCGTCGCCATCCTTGTCCACGACAGCAACACCGCTAGCACCACCGCCCGCCTCGTCGTCTTCCACCCGGCCCGCCTCTGTTAGTGGGCGGAGTGCTACTGCTAGTTCCGAGCCGATGGACCCCAGCGGTTACGGGAGCCACGCCCAGGCCTCCTCCTCGGGGAGGGGCCTCTCCCCGTCTAGCATGCCCTCGAGACCGATGGGCAACGCCATGGGAGACGGAAACATCCCGCTGAAGCTAACCCCCATCACTGGCCGGGTTAGCCGAGCGAAGAAGGGCATGCCCGTCCATACCTGTACCGAGTGTAGCAAGGTGAGTGAGCCGCTTCTGGCGTGTTATAAGTCGAGAGTGCCGCCGGAGGCTAACCACAGCACCAACACACACTAGACGTTCACGAGGGCAGAGCATCTCAGGCGAGTGTTTCCCAGAGATAGGAGTGATCCCGCTAGCGCGCTGCTAACCGTCCGCTCCAGGCGCCACCAGCTGAGTCACGCGACTCCCGGATACTCGTGCACCTATCCCGGTTGTGACAAGGCCTTCTATCGAGCTGACTTGCTCCAGCGTCACGCTCACCGACAGTAAGTTGACCGGTGGACGAGGGTGAGTTCCGGCGTCCGCAGAGGCTGATGGGATATTATAGCGACCAGGATGACAAGAGGGGCACGAGTGCAGGAGGTAGCCGGCCGACGTCCGCCCCGCTAGATGATGGAAACTCGCCAGGCTTGAGCTATCTGCCGCACGATCCTTCTTCGATGAGTGGGGGCTCGGGTTCCCGCTCCGGTATGCCCGGATCGTCTGATATCTCGTCGAGCGCTGGCTATCCGGGCAGCTTGCCCTCCTACCAGCCGATGGGAAACCAGCGCGGCGGAAGCGGACAGGCCCCGATGTCCCCCCAGCATGGCCGATCAGACAACAGTTACCAGGCCAGCCCGGGCGCCTCTTCTCACAGCAGATACGTCCTCATCAGCGACCAGACTTCGGGCGTCGGGGGCTCTCCGGTCACAGGCACTGGCTATGGGCTAGGCTTCGAACCTCGCACGTCGTCGCCTGCCTACCCCTTCATGGAGACGGGGGTGTTGACCGCGAATCTACCTGCCTTGACCATCCCCGACAACAGTTTTCCTCCGGGCCTTCTTCCTACTGGTCACGACGGGTCTCCCTGGCCATCGTCTGCCTCTGAAAGTCCCTACTCTACGCCTTCGGAAGTGGGTTACAACCAGAGGAGAAATTTCACCCGAGGGCGCGAGTCTCCGACGTCAGACTGGCCGGGCCCTGGTCTCTACTCGTCCGGCGGCTCGCATAGCCTCAACAGCCCGGGTGGCGGGCTTGAAGCTATCGCTACCTCGGTAGCGCCCTTCTTTCCCTCGCCAAGCTTCGACCAGGCGCTGGGCTTGTCCATGCTCTCGGACGATCATTCTTTCGTCGAGCAAACCCAGCCCTACCACCACTATTCTTCAGTTCGTAGTCCGACCCCACCGATTATCTCGCTGGCCGCTCAACCGACTGAAAATCTAGTCACCGTTGCCGCCGCATCATTTCCCGACGCAGCATCCACGGGATCTCGCCGGAAGGGTACGGCAGTCTTCCTTGGGTCACTCCAGGGTGCCACCCTTCTAACGGCGAACACCCTGGCACCGCACGTCCGGAACGCCATCCCCAAATACCTTGACGTATACTGGAAGCGCTTCGACACACTCTATCCGCTGATCCACCGCGCAAGCGCCAAAGCCGCTGCCAACGAGGTGCTGCGTTGCGCCATGGCTGCCGTGGCCACGCAGTTCCTCCAAGGTAGGGAGGATCGCATCATCGGCAAGGAATTGCATGAATTCGCCTGGAAGGAGGCCAACCTAGTAAGTCTCCAACACCCCTCGCCCAACCGCTTCCCGGGCGGCTTGTCCTTTTTTTTTTTTTTTTTTTCGTGCGGGGGGGCTTTACTAACCCGATATACGCAGTGCACGCAGTGGGACCTCCAGATCATGCAAGCGATCCTCCTTTGCGAGTTTTACGCTCGGTTTCGCGGACGGAGTGTGCAGAGACACGCATCGGAGCCCTTCCAGTCGCTATACTCGAGGGTGAGTGCCCGGTCTTCTTCTCCTACTTTTGTCGATTCTCTCATATACTCTACTGCTATTCAGGATCTTCCTCTCTTTGGTTTTGTTTTATCTTCTACTGGCCAATGTCACCCGTACTCAACGTCTTTATCGTCACAGGTGGTCAACTTTTCAGCGCCGGACACGCTTATCCTTGATGCTTCAACACGCGATGAACAATGGAACGAATGGATCGATACCGAGTCACAGCGCAGACTCTTGGCGGCTTGCTTTCTTTTGGATGCTCACACATCCGTGTATTATGAACAACACTTGATGCGACAATTTCCTATATCAAAACCTCTGATTCCCCTAATTCGGCCTACCGAGGATCTCTGGGCCGCCCGAACACCGGAAGAATGGGAGGTCCGCCTCGCCACGAGGCCAGCCAACGCGGAACCAGCCCATCTATCCGACGCGCCGCTCACCGCGGAACAGATAGCCGGCGCGCCACCCCTCGACCGCGCCGTGTTTCTAGCTTCGGAAGCCCTCCGCCTACCCAAACGCCATGACCCGTCGGTACTCGACCCGTCGAGAGAAATAGACGAAGCTCCCGTCGAGCGCTTCAGCAGCCTCTTCCCGGGATCAGCCGTCGCCAACACTTACCTAGCATTGCACTACACTCCCCTCCACGACCTTCTCGCGGTCAGCGGCGACACCTGGCTCTTCTCGAAGAAGGTGGCATTTGACGAGGTCTACCAACAACACAAGAAGCAGCTCCAGGTCTGGTGCGGTAGCTCTCACGCCGCCACCGCCGCCGGTTTCGCTGCCAAAGCTCTCCTGACTTTCCTTGATCCCGGCGCCGCCCACGGCCATCGCAATACTCTAGACGGCGCAGACTCACCTTCGCATCTTGATGGCCGCAACGACAACTACAACAATGGGCAATACCGGGATAGAAATTGGAACATGTCGGACATCTCCGACTATTGGGCCATGTACGTATGCACGCTCATCTGCTGGGCACTCAGCCAGCGGGCGACTTCGACCCGGGGCTGCGGATCCTGCTTCGACCCCGTCGGCGCTTCTTCTCACTACCACAATCCCAGGGGAGAGCAGGAAGCGATGCAATGGTTGAAGACGGTGTCGAGCCTAGGAACGGAGAAGCTATTACAGCTGCGGGGACGACGGGAGGCGATAAGCGTGGTCGGCATGGTGCGAAGGCGGCTCGAGAGCGAGGCTGTCGGGCGAAAGAGCCGGCTGCTCGTCGACGCCGCGGGCACGCTCGCGAAACTTGAAGAGCGCGCCGGCGACAAATGGATCTAGAGGAAGAAAAGGGGGATGCAAGGAGAGAGAGTGTGTGTGTGCGTGAGAGGGGAAAAAAAAAAAGAATAAAAAATACCGAAAAACAAAGAGGAGTAGAGAAAGAGCGAGAGAGGGAAAGAGGAAGAGACAAAGCTTAGGATATCATGCGATGAGAGGACGGTGGTATGGTTTCGGTTTCCCATTCTCTTCCTGTACTATTATTTTCCTTTTCCACTTCCTCTTCTCGGCTGTGTTTTTATTCTCTTTTTTATTCCTTTTTTTCTACTTATTTTCCATTCTCATGTTTCCTTTTAATGCTTTTATTTATAACTTTCTCGAGTTCTATCCTCTTCCTTCCCCTATCTCGGTATCTCTGTCCGCCTGTCTCCATTATTCGCTGTCTCTCCTACCCTGTCTCTCTGCATTTTCTGCTCGAATCATTCCTGATGTATAGGTATAGACCGGTGGGTTTATAGGGGGGGGGAAAGCAAGGCGCAGAGAGATACATGTGTACTGTTTTCCCAAGGAACGTTGGGAGAGGGTGATTCCCCCCCGCCCTCCCCTTTTCCCCGCGAAAAGGGGGAGGGGAAGTTATTTGCATTACCAGCCAAAGCTACGCGTTGATTCCTTACGATATACTGGGGGAGCCATTTTCAATACCCTCCTTTCCTTCCTTATTCTTCATCATTTGGGATTCCCTACTTTTTTTTCTTCCTTTTGGGATATGTCGGAATGGCCTTGGGGCGAGTTCAGAATCATTTGCTTTCTCCCTTTAAGCGAAACCATCTTTCTCTTTACGAGCACACGGCCGCGCGCACATGGGAGGGCACATACACGGCACAAGTTTGCTTAGGGACGGTTCACGATGCGATGGAAACGAAGATGTACTGTTATATTATTACACACTAGATGGGGAGGCATCTTGGGACCGTGGGGGACATACTGGAGATCATGCGATATCATGGGCTAAGCAATTAGATTTGCAGCAATTTGACATACCCCGTGGCTTAGGGGCAGACATGCCTCTTCTCTCTTGTAGCTGTGCTCGATTGTATTGTCCCCTATAAAGGAGGGTTTAGGTACCTACCTCCTACGTACCTAGAGGTAGGTTAGGGACTCGTTTGTAGGGTATGTACCTCGTAGTGAGACTCGAAAGCCAGCTAACAGCAAATATATGAGGTGCTCTGTCGTCACGCGACCACGAGAACAAGTACCTACCCGTCTGACAAAAAAAAAGAGAAGGGAAGAGAAGACGAGCGAGGTCTCATCTGACACCGACAAGTGGCAAAGGAGAAGAAGAAGAGGACAATCCGTCCTTTGTTCTCGCGTGTGACGAGACGGAGCTTTGGAATGGACAGTGTGTGGGGGGGGGGGGGTACCTTGGAAGGCTGACGATGGCCTTATGCGATTGCCTGGGAGGTGTCATCCCCGGACTCGGAATACGAGACCGAGAGAAAAAGGGAGAAAAAAAGAGAAGAGAAAGAAGAGGCTGGCGGCCGGCTGGGACGGGATAAGATGGAATAAACTTGTCTCGAACAGTACCAACGGACCGGGTGCCTCGGTACCCAGGTAGCTGGGCCAAGGCGAACCTGGCTGACCCGATCATAGGCTCCCCCCCCCTCCGTGGTTCGATCGATCGTTCCTAGTCCGGTGCCTTTCGCGGGCTCGGTTCTCGGTCAGCCAGGGGGGTGTGTTCGCGGATTTATGCCAGCGGCGCTTGGACATGGCAGGGCAGAGTGAGCACATGCGCGGTCACTGACGTGTCTGTGTGCGTGTGTAAGGATTGTATGAGTAGGAGTGTGCGCGAGAGCGCGAGGTGGGTTGTACGCGTGTAAGAGGTAGGTAATACTATGACGGAGGCGAATTGGCGTTTGTGAGTAGGACGTCGCCTCACCGACTTGTCGTTTTCGTGGTTTTTCTTTTCTTGAGTAATTTGGATAAGAGGCTGCCCATCTGGTATGCGTGTACCTGCTCATAGCGAGGTGGGAGCGGTGATAACGCAATAACGTATGCATATATCGTGTATCTGACGCTATCGGCGGGAGCACATGCTCAGCCGGCTTCCCGCTTACTTGCCTCCCTGCCAAGTATCTACCTACCTAGGTAGGTACCTAAGGTAGGCTGGAAACCTATTAGTTGGCTTGGGTACCTCGTAGCAGCGGTGGGTTAGGTGCATAGGAGAGAGGTAGGTAGTGTTGTCCCTGCTATCTACACCTTATGGTGGGGCCGGGGGGGGGGGGGGTCCTGATAGCGGCGTCGCCCTGCGCAGAGGCCCTTTCACCTGCTATCTGCCTATCTCTACACATACGTGCATGTATCCTATCTGCATATGTACCTTGTCGCCCGCCCGGTCTGTCCACCTTGCCCTTCTACTCTCTACGCCTTCACCTTGCCTCCCTGCCACCACCACCAACTCCTACTGCACACCTCGTCTCAAACTATCTCTGCGCATCTTATTCCCGTCCCTCTTCGTTGTCGGAGCGCAGAAAACCAAACCCATCTTGCCAATCTTGCTAGTCGCAACCTCGTCGAATTCGTCCTTCTCGAGCTTCACTAGCACACACCCCCTCCCCCCATCCCCCGTGCTGCGGCGAGCCAAGGATGGGAACTTTTCTGTTCAAGTGGTGAGTGGCGATTTTCGTGTCATCCCTCTTCCCGAGAATGCCGTAGATCCAACGATGCGGCTGCGCGCCCGGGAGATCCAGCACCGGTTCCCCTTCCCTCTCTGCGAATCGCGCGCGCGCGCATCTCGCGTGTCCTCTCTCTCTCTCTCGACCAGCGAGGCGTCGGAACTCGACTAACCAGCTTCTCTCTGCCTGTTCTTCTTTCTGATAGGGCCCACCCCGCCTCCGAGGTCTACGTGACGGGCACGTTTGACGACTGGAAAAAGACGGAGAAGCTGGAGAAAGTCGGCGACCACTTCGAGAAGACAGTGACGCTGCCGGATGCCTCCGCCAAGATCTTTTACAAGGTTCGTTGCAACTCGCTCGCCTTCACATCGCGCCGTCCTCTCGCACTACCTGGGGTTGCCTTATATTGTGTGATGGATCCTTCACCCGCTAGCTCGCCTGCCCCCTCGTTTTTCCTCTCTCTCTCTTCTTTCCCTTTCTCGCTTCCGCAAGGCTTCGTGCCTGGCAGGCCGAGGGGTGCGCGCACGAGAGATGGTACCGGGATCCGAGTCAGCCTCCCAAGCTTGCGCAATAGTCGCTAGCTAGGGATGCCTACAGCAACGCCCCCCTCCACCCCTCCCCTGGTCCCCCATGACATGTCGAGTTCCTACGGTACCCTGCCTGCCTACCTGCCTCGCGATTTGTTCTATGCCCTGCGGGTAAGCCGTTAGACGGACCCTCGTCGTCCTGCGGCCTGGGCTCGCGACGCGCCGCCGCGACCCGTCGAGTTTGTTAAAATACCCATTGCCCTTGATCGCCTTGGCCCGCGCGCTGGGTCCGATGCGCCACGTCGTTATACATATATATATAGTGGTGCGCGCAACCGAGCGTTGAGCTCGCCGGACCCGCTCTCTGTCTCGCGATGCAAAACATAGAACCTCTGAAGCTGCGCATGACGCAAAGCGGGCAATTGGTGGCCGCCAACGCTGCGGAGCGGTGTGGGCTGTGACGCTGATAGGTCAATGGCATGGGGGGTTGGACATATCCCAGGAGATATCACCATCGCACTTTGCGCCTAGGTCTGAACTCGGCGCACAACGCAAGACGCACGGGGATACAAGCATCGCTCCCCCCGTCGTAAACGGCCGTGGCTCTCGCTCTTCATTGGGAAGGTCTGTGGTTCCTCTGGCGCCAAGGCCCTTCGAGGCTCTACCTACTGAGGAAATTCGGGCGCCGCTCCAATCCGCTCCAATCCTTGGACGGTCTGTCAGCGCGCCCCACCTGCATTGTGGGGACTGGGCCTCATCATAACCGGACCTGGAATGGTCTTGACTAGATCTCGTTTTTGCTGAGGGGAAGCCCTGCCACCCCCCGACTTCTCTGAACCGCCCGTTGCGAGACAATCCAGTTATCTGGGCCGGGCTTCCCTGCCTACTGCTCGTCGACAACTTACATCGACTTCTCGCTACCGGGCAATCTTCAACTCCTTGTGCAACGCTTCCCCTCTCCACCCCCCTTTCTCTCTCTCTCTCTCTCTCTCTCTCTCCTGCCCCCCATAGTTAGTCTTGTTAGGGTTTTCAAGAGCACACTATCCAGCACCAAGCCTTCACCCGGCCCGCCCGCCTGTCGATTGCGACCGTGAGCTGACCGCTCTTCTTTTCTCATCCTGCAGTTTGTTGTCGACGGCGATTGGGTCATCGATCACACGGCGCCGCGAGAAGTCGACGAAGGCGGCAACGAGAACAACATCCTGACCCCCGAGCGCATCGTTACCGAAGCACCCGCTACGGCCGCCATTATGAGCACAGTCTCTCCCGATTCCACCACCGCCGCCTTGGCCGCGGGCGCGCCGCTAGAGAAGAAGGCCGACGCAGAGGTGCCCGCCGCGGTTCCGCAGGCCCCCGCCTCGGAACCCGAGAAGAGTGGCGATTTCAGCGTGAACCCGTTCCCTGCTGCCGTCGGCGCCATCAATCCGATCCAGCTTACGCCGGGCGAGAAGATCCCCGAGAGCCTCACCACCGCAGGTGCCACCGACAACGTCAAGCTAGACCCCGAGTCGTATGAGAAGAGTGATGCTCTTCCAGGTAAGCGGTCCTGCCGTGTTTTTATTTGTTTCTGTCGAGGTGGGACTCTAGTTGACTGGGTTCCAAGGCGGCCCCCCGGTGATCCTGTCCTCGGCCGCGCCGGAATCTACCACGGCTGCGCTGGCGGCGAGCGCACCAATCGAGACCAAGGTTCCCGAGGTGGTGAAGGAGAGCCAGGAGAAGGCCGGAGCCGACCCCGAGGCTAGCGCCGTCCCCGAAGAGGTCGAGGAGAAGGCGGCCGTGGAGAGTGAGCTTCTCGAGAAGGTGAAGGAGGCACCCGCTGCCTCCGAAGGTACCGCCGGCCAGGGCGCCGACAAGGCCGAGAAAGCTGTCACCGCCGACGAAGCTGCTGACTCGGTTTCGGCCGTGGCCGCAGCTGTGGGCACTGCCGCCGTCGCTGCCGTCGCTGGCGCGGTGGCTGCTAAAGATACTGTTGTCGAGAAAGCTACAGAGGCTGTCGCTAGCGCAGAAGCTTCCGCCGTCGAAGCAGCCGCAAAGCTTCCCGAGTCGATTAAGGAGAATCTCCCTGAGTCAGTTCGAGAGGTGATCGCCAGCGCGAGCAAGGAGGAGACTCAGAAGGAGGTCTCGCCCGAAGTACCTGCCGAGGTCAAGCAATCGATCGCCGAAGCTGGAAAGGAACCGGAGGCCGCGGCGAACACTGAAGCCGTTGAAGAGAAGAAGGCGGTCGAGGCCGAGCTGTTGAAGGAGGTTAAGCCGGCGGAAGCTAACCCCGCTGAGGCCAAGCCAGCGGAGGCTGAAGCCCCCGAGGTCGAAACTGAGCCGACGGCGGCGGTGGCGGGGGATAAGCCGGCCGCAGAGCCGGCCGCCACCAACGGCACCACCGCTGAGCCAGCTGCCCCAGCTGAGGCAGCCGCATCCGACTCGGCGGCGAAGCCGACCGAGGCGGCTACCGAGGCCGGTGACAAGGCAGGTGACAGCTCGGGAGCGTCGGAAAAGAAGAAGAGGAAGAACCGACTCAGCGCTATATTTGGCAGGGTGAAGAGCAGGTTCTCCCACAAGTGAGGGCCTGCTGCTCGCTGTCTTATCTCTTTTACCCACCTCGATCCCGGCTCCTTTCCGGCCTTTTCCTTTTTCTCCCTAATTCCTTTTCTTCGAAGCTTATGATTCCCCATGTTGCGCCGACTCATTGCGGCAGGGTGCCGACGGCGGGATGAGTCACGTTTTCTGTCGAACGTCTCAATGTACATACCTAGATGATATCCGGTTCACTCGGCATTCGCTATCGGGAGGCTCGGGGACGTTCCTTGCGCACTGTTCCGATAAGGGGTCGATCCGGCTCTGCACGGTCCGGGTTGGCTTCGTTACTTTGTTGTAGCTTGTCTCTTTTTTCCTTTCCGCTTTTGGTAACGAGTTATTATTACGTATCTGGGAACTCTCTCTCTCTCTCTCTCTCTCTTCCTCTCTTGCTCTGCCTCTCGCTCGGCATGGTGGCTGCTGCTTCCTCTCTGCCATATCGGGCCATATCGATATCGTCTAAGGTCGGAGATAATTCAGGATCGAGGACGGGGGTATGTATGCGGATAGGGGGGAGGACGGCCAATCGACGGGTTTAATGGAGAAGGGTATAGACGTGAATACATGACTGGATGTTGAACGAGTCTTCCGGGGCGGGTAGTGATGGTAGTTTTGGGTGAAGAAAATTAGCTCTAAAATAGACAGTTGCGGTGTCTTCCTTCGAAAGCAATGATGCACTTCTATTCTCCCTGTCCAGATGCTTGGTCGGTTACTGGCTACCGATGGTATTTCTATACGGTAGATATATACCTACCTATATGTCCCTCGCAGGGCACTTACGGTATGATATCACCTTAGGTGTAGGTGTATAGGGGATCTGCCCGTCGGCTTAAACGGATAGTTGCATATGTAAGATAGGTTAGATTATGTACTTGCCCAGAAGCACTAAGGGGCAGGTAGTTGCAGGTACCTTAGGTACCTATATAGAAAGGTACGCAAGATTCCCACCTAATTGAATCATCCATCCATGCAATGGAAGGCAGTTGCTGAGGTACAGGTAGGTACCTAGGTAGGTACCTGTGCCAAGTCGAAGGCACAATACCTGGATGGACAGAACTTCGGTACCTGAATCTACTTTATTCTCTGCGGGTCTGGGCGGGGATCTTGGCTAGGAGAGGTACTGATATGTACCTAAATTGTTCCGATGGGGGAAGGACCTGCCACTCGGCTGCCACTCGGCTGCCACTGTCGCGCGGATGATGACAGTTGCAATATCGTGCTGGGGCGATGCCCCGCCTGGCTGCCGGGTGACTCTTCCTACTTATGTACTTGCGGACTTCCCGTTGTCCTCCCCTCTTCTTCGAGCCCTCTCCCGCGATCTCCTTCCTGACACCAGCAGCGTTCCGGGGTCCCGTCCATTCCGGACCCCTCAAATCGCCGGCCGATTGACAACCGAACCGCTTCGTCGCTGTTAAACTATTTCGAGCTCGATACTGTGCTTGATGGGTGGACCGTTGTTCTCATCAACACCTACTCTTTACTCCCCCGTGTCTTCCTGCTGACCAATACGCACCATCACCTGGATGCTGTCGAGCCGTTGTCGTCGCCATCGGCCAAGCCCTCTTTACCTCCGCGGCTACGTTCATCATGAGCTCTGGCCCGTCGAATCTGGGAGGCAAATCCCTATCGTCCTCGACGCCGCATGCCCCGAGCTCCCAACCCATCTCCGTCCCCACCGCGAGCTTCGAGTCCAACTCCCGCCGCTCCGGCCCGTCGAACCTGTCATCCCCGAATTCGGCGCCGAGGAAGGGACAAGGGTTGAGGAAGCAGCACCGGAACCAGCGAAGGCCATTGAGAGACGCTGGCCAGCCGGACGAGGATGACGCGATGGACGAGATCGTAAGCAACCCTCAATCGCCGCGATCGCTTCTCGGCGAGGTGAGCCGCTAATTAGCTGGGGCAGCGGGCCATCCGAAACGCCTCAAGCCGCCGAGGGCAGACCTCTATCACCCACCTTCTGAACTACTCCGTCTCCGCGCGCCACTATCACGACTACCCAAGGTCAAATCGCAGACACCCCACTTGGGGACCGGGCTCTGGTAGCCACTCGGTCGACAAGGCTAGGTGCGTATTCTATACCCCATCTATGGAGTCGTCGCGTTCGTGTGCTGATAGACGGGCTTAGGTTCGTTCACGCCAACTATCGTTTCGTGGTTTCGCCGACCGGGGACTACTCATCCCAAGCTGTCGACGCCGATAAGTATCTCGAGTGGTCCGATGTGCTCCAGATAATCGCCTCTGCTGAGTCCCAGAGCACCTCGTGCCCCATCTGCCTCTCCGACCCGGTGGCGCCACGAATGGCGCGTTGCGGCCACATATTCTGCTTACCGTGTCTGCTGCGTTTTATGAACTCGACGAATGACGACGAGCCGAACCCGCGAAAGGAGGTGCGATGGAAGAAATGCCCTATTTGCGAAGATTCGTTCCGACTCTCCGAGATCAAGCCGGTGCGCTTTTACGCCGGTCAAGAGAACCCTCTGCCGACGCCAGGGCAAGACGTCGTGCTAAGGTTGATGGTGCGCGACTCGAAATCTACCCTGGCTCTTCCGAACGAAGGAGGCCCGGACGTAGCAAACTTGGGAGAAGACATTCCTTGGCACTTCGCCGCTAACGTGATGGATTATGCTCGGATCATGAAGGGAACAAGCAGCTACCTCGTGAGCCAGTACGATAGGGAGGTAGAGGACTTGCAGCGTCAAGCACAGGAAGACGTATTCCAGTTCGGGGTTGAGGATGGAGACTGGACCCAGCGGGCCATTAATGCCATCAATACTGCAAAGGAAAAGGTGCAGGCCCAGCCGAACGACGAGGGGCTGACATCGTCGATGAGCACCCTCAAAGCGAAGCAGCCGGCCGGCCAAAAGTTTTATTTCTACACGGCACCTCCACACCTCTATCTTTCGCCTCTAGATATTCGGATTTTGAAGACTATGTTTGGCGATTTCTCAAATTTCCCCTCGACCCTGCTTCCGTGCGTCGAACATATCTCGACCGGCCACGTGGTGGACGATGCTTTGAGAAAGCGAGCCAAGTATCTAGGGCATCTTCCCCACGGTTGCGTTGTGAGCTTCCTCGAGTGCGACTGGACGGACATAGTGCACTCGAACGTCCTGGAAACGTTCTCGGGCGACTTGGAGCGTCGCCGCAAGCTACATCGCGATAAGGCGGCACAAGAAGAACGCGAAAGGCTCCAGGCCGAACGCCTCGAGGCCTCGGCCATCGGTCGCAGTACTCGACGGCACTTTGACGAGAGTAACGAGGGCAGGTTTGAGCCTACACCTGTCATGAACTCGGATGATTTCCAGCCACTTGTTGCGGTGGAAGGCACAGCTGGTACAACACCTCCGAAACCCCGTCCGGGATTCGGGCACCTAGCGGAAATGTCGACCAGTCCGTCGACCTCGAAGACCGTATGGGGAACGCGGGCAATTCCTGCGTCGCCCGAATTGGCCCCTGTGCCGGAGCGCGAAGTCCACGACGGATGGCTCAAAGCGGAAGAATTCCTGGGGGTACATATGGAGGCTCTCAACCTCGACGCTGATAGCGCCGGCCCAAGCGACGGGACTGGCACTGGTGGTGGCGGTGGTAAGAAGAAGAAGAAGAAGCAGAAGATTACATTGATGAGTACGGGGAGTCGACATTGCGGTTGAAGAAGCATGCGGGTCTCAGCTGTCGCCGGACTTATGCCTTTCTTCACTGCCCTATCCATCGGTTCCAAAATTGGGCATTATGGCAGCTTTTGTTTCGATTGGATTGTCCTTCAACCGTGGAATGCGCCCTACATGAATGGAGCTGGTCAGCTTCGCATTCTCAAGTCGAAAAAAGCAGGTGAAAGGAAGGCCGTGACGGCTAGACAGTGAGGAGAATTCTGGTTCGGCCGAAGTCTCCACTCCGCGTCCCAACGGTAGATTCTGAAGGGAACATGACGGCACGGCAGCAAGGCGTATATAAACTTGGTAGCGATCTATTTGACATCAACGGCAGCCCGCCGGGGGAACGCGTTATCAGATATATCTCTGAGATTACCGGCCCTTGTATAAACTCATATCAATACGTTGACTAAGTGATAGATAGACCTAGGCATATTTTTCTGTATGGAAAAGGAGAGAAGAGATGGAATTGGGTGGCCCGGCTTGACTGGCTTATCTCTCTCTTATCTCGGACCCCGCTGTCATTATAAATAAATACCTACCTGCTTGCCTGTCTATGTGTGTATATATGTGTCTACATCTTGGAACCGGCGGTAACACACTTATGTCTCCTGTTCTCCCTTGGGCCCCTCGCCGAGAGATTCAAGTCAAGGCCGGAACGGGGATCCTCGAGAATTAAGATACGTATCTGAGGTTCTCAGCAGATACATACACGCACACGCACAGAGAGAGAGAGAGCCTGGTGCAGCTATCCAGAAGAGAAGGATACGAGAGAGGGAAAGGGGGAGACCAACACCCCCAAACTTGTGTCCCCGAACGGAGAACGCCCAAGACACCAACCACATGGAAGCCCGGACGGAGGAGACGGGGGACGAGCGGCCGCCGGCGCTGCGCATCGACCCGCCGCTGCTGAACTCGGCGAGCCCGTGGGCGACGACGCTGGCGGACCTGCGGGCGCTGCGGGCGTGCGCGTCGACGGGGGGCGTGACGACGCGGACGGCGGTGGCGCGGGGGGGGGCGGGGTTCGCGCACGACGGCGCGCGGCACCGGCACGCGTTCTTCGGCGACGGCGGCGCCGCGAGCGCGAGCGTGAACAACATGGGGTACAGCCCGGTGCCGCTGGACGGGTACCTGGAGTTCATCGCGACGATCCTGGCCGAGGAGGCGGCGGCGGCGGCCGGCGGCGCGCGCCGCGACAAGCCGTTCGTGGTGTCGGTGGCGGGGCCGCCGGCCGACGTCGCGGCCGCGTACGCCCGCGTCGCGCGCCTCGCCGCCGCCGCCGCCGCGCCCCTCGCCCTCGAGCTCAACCTCAGCTGCCCCAACATCCCCGGCGCGCCGCCGCCCGCCTACGACGGCGCCGCGCTCGCGCAGTACCTGGGCGCAGTCGCGGCGGCGGCGACCGCGGCCGCCGCGGAGGGCGTCCCGCGCGTCCCCTGGGGCGTCAAGACCCCGCCGTACACGCACGCGGGCCAGTTCGCGATGCTGGCCGCGGCGCTGCGCAGCGTCCCGCGCGGCGGCGGGGGCGGCGGAGACGTGTACGAGTACTGCCCGGCGAGCTTCGTGACGGCGACGAACACGCTCGGCGCGTGCCTGGTGCTGGGGGAGGGGGAGGGGGGGGAGGGGGCGTGGCGGCCGGTGCTGCTGCCGGACGGGGACGGGCACGAGGAGGAGGAGGAGGAGGCGGGCGAGGACCCGCCGGGCGTCGGCGGCGTGGCCGGCGCGCCCCTGCACCCCCTCGCGCTGGGCAACGTCGCGGCGCTGCGGCGCCGGCTCGACGCCCACCCGGCGACGCGCCACGTGGCCGTGCTCGGGGTCGGCGGCGTCGCCGACGCGGCTGGGTACCGCCGCATGCGCGCTGCTGGCGCGGCGGCCGTGGGCTTGGCCACGGCGCTGGGGCGCAAGGGCGTCGGGGTGTTTGGCGAGATCGAGAGCGGGCTCGGGGGCAGGTGGTGAGCGAGCGAGCGAGGGGAGGGGGGCGGGGGGGAGAAGGGGTTAAAGGGGTCGGGGTCACGTAGCATCCGCACGCGCGCGGTCCCGGGCTGGCTGCGCGCGTGGCGAGGCACAATGCAAAATGATATTTCTATCGATCGCGGTACGGAGCATTGCCCTCTTAGCCATTCTCGGTCCTATCTTCCGCGGTGCTGCTCTCTATCCCGTAGGCATATATATATCTCGACACATCTACCTAATACGAGCTTACAAGCTTCCCCGCCCCCCTATTACACTCCCCACGCCTCCCCCACCCACTAGACCCTTCCTCTTCCCCTCTCCCGTCCTCCTCCCCAGCCCATCTTCCCCTAAACCTAACCTTGGCAGCAGCAGCAGCAGCGCGCCTACAGCGCCGCCACTGCCGCCGCGAGCACCAGCAGCCCGGCAGCCGCCTCGGGGCCGCTGGCGCCGTTGCTGCTCGAGGGGCCGGGGGCGTCGTCGTCGGTGGTGCTGGCGGCCGGCACGGTGGGCGTGGGCGTGGTATGGGCCTGGCCGTCGCCAGCGGAGGTCTTCGTTTTGGAAGACTTCGTTGACGGCGCTGAGCTCCGGCTCCGGCTCCGGGTCGCCGTGAGGTTGTTCGTGTAAAAGCCGGCGTTGCTGCGGCGGGCGTTAGCGTTTGCGAGGGGGGGGGAACTTTTTTGTTTGGAAAAAAAAAAAGGGGGGGGGGGGGGAAGGGGGGGAAAGAAAGGAGGGCGCCTCGCACCAGTACAGGTCCTTCCGCTGCTGGTAGCTCGCGATGCGGCTGTCGTCGGGGCAGCGGTTGAAGCAGCTGTTCGCGCACGCACATCACGATTAGTATCACTGTTACGGGCCCCTGGGAGTTCCCGCGCTGGCGGGGCGAGAAGGGAGGGCGGCGCACGTCATGATGGGGGTGTACTTGCCGCACAGGCACGGGTAGTCGCTCGCCTGGCACAGTCTCAGTTCGTTCCCGGTGCCGGCCAGGCACGCCTCGAGGGCGCTCTGCGCCGCGCACGGGGCGCCGCTCGCGGCCCCCGTCGGCGTCGTGGCGCTGTCTGGCGTTGCTGCCGTGGCGGCTGCGAGCAGAGGCGCCGCGAAGAAGGCGATGGATTTCATGGCGGCTTTGTTTGTTCGTTGCGCGTTCCGGTCTGGTCTGGCGGTTGTTGATGCTACGCCGAGCGAGCTGTGCTTCTCGGATAGGTAGAGAGAGACAGAGAGAAACAGACAGAGACAGAGAGAGACAGAGAGTGAGTGAGAGAGAGAGAGAGAGTGAAGGCGATGAGCTGTCTGGAGCGCGGGGGGAAGAGAGACGCGAAGGAACCCTCCGCCTGGACTCAAATAACTGGACGTTGGCCCAGAGAGGCGGTGGCGGGTGCTCGCCAGCGTTGCCCTTCCTCCTGCGTCTGGCCCCGCGTCAGAGTTATGCTGGAGAAAGCATATACAGCATCCTTAAATCTAACCGCTCGTCTCGCGGCGTAAAAGGGGCATGGAGGTGAGGTAGTGCCGCAGGGGGAGAAAAGAGTTTCTGGGTGGAGATGCGGTGCGGACGGCTTTGGATTACGTAGTAGATGGGTGGGAAGCATGCTTGGCGGCGAGATAGACGGCTCTCATGGTTTGAACGGGGGTGCCGTAGGGTTTGCGTGTGGAAGTCTGATGAGAGACTCTGCGAGCCGTGACGTTGGCTGGCGGTTCCGCATGTCGCTGGAGAGCTAAAGGCGAACTCAACTCAAGTGTAGTAGGGCAGTAAAACCTAAGGAATCGCTGAAGCTTCCCACTTTTCTTTTTTGTAGCTCTGTTTCGAGGCGGCTTGCTACTCATCTCGTGCGAGATATCCAATATGGGTAGACGAGAGGGCGGAAAGGGAAAAAAAAAAAGGGGGGGGGAAGGGGGGGGTCAAGAAAATATTAGAAAAACGAGGTCCATCTCATCACCGGCGATCCCTCGTCCTAACGTCGCACTACCACAAACTACACGCTACCTAGCACGATCGGCAAGGTGGTCAGCAAAGCGCACGAGAAACAGCTGTACAGATAGGACGAAAACTCTCGATGTTGCCACCGTCCACGTAGAAAAAAAAAGGGGGGGGGGGATTCAAGCGTCGAGACGGCCACTTTTAAGGTTCCCAACACCCGACACCCAACCAAAGTTATGCTTCTCTTTCTAGCATTGCCGAAGCTCGAAGCTCGAAGCTGACAAGACAGACAGATAGACAGCGGCTTCTAGGAATCCCGTACAACTTAGCCTCGCTGGTTGGTTCCTCTAGTGGTTGGGGTATGCACCCCTTTCCCGGTCTCCTAGCTTTCTCACAAATGGGACGAGAAAGCGAGCCAGCTCAGCTACCCGTGCCCTACGCCAACTTTGTAGGCAAGCAGCTGAACGCAATTTAGTGTATGGGATCCGCGGCTCTGTGGATATGTTGGATGGGTACAAGGTAATGACCTGGAGGGTGCTGGCTGGCCATGTTCGCAGATGATGTCGTAGTAGCGGTGGTGATGGCAAGTCCACCATACAGCGACATAACTCTTGTACGCGCGTATAACTTTCTTCAGGTGAGGCGATTAATAGTTAGTCTCGACCGCATCGGCTAGGATGGCGTCAAAGGAAGAAGCATTTTGGACTAGAAGTTCTGCGTGCGTGACGGCAGCTATGTTGCGTATGCAGTGCACACGTGCGGCGCGGTATCTTATATACATCATTATTCGACAAAAGAGAAGGGCAGGAGGAAGGAGAAGAGGGCGCCTTGTCGCAATCGACAAGGCGTAGACGTGACCTACCGTGCCGCCGTCGCTGGGGGAAATTTTTTTCCCTCCCATCTCTCTTCTTCGCTCCGTCCTCGTCCCTCTCTCTCTCGCCCCGTTTCGTTTTACGGCTGTTTCCCCTTACTTCCTGTACCACATCCTCGTGATCCTGGTCTGCCGCATCTTGCGCTGGAGCTGGAAGATGCCGTACATGAGGGCCTCGCTGGTCGGGGGGCAGCCGGGGACGTAGACGTCGACGGGGACGACGCGGTCGCAGCCGCGGACGACGCTGTAGCTGTAGTGGTAGTAGCCGCCGCCGTTGGCGCAGCTGCCCATGCTGATGACCCAGCGCGGCTCCGGCATCTGGTCGTAGACCTGGCGCAGGGCTGGCGCCATCTTGTTCGTCAGCGTGCCCGCGACGATCATCACATCCGACTGCCGCGGCGACGCGCGGAAGATGATGCCCAACCTGTCCTGGTCGTATCGCGGCGCCGACAGGTGCATCATCTCGACGGCGCAGCACGCCAATCCGAAGGTCATGGGCCAGAAGGAACCCTGCCGCGCCCAGTTGGTGATCTGGTCGAGGGTGGTCCTGTACGTGGTGGGCGCATGGTTAGCGGACTGCACTTATAGCTCTGCGGCCCCGGACGCCGCCATCTCGCACTTCCTCTCTTCCTGCTTTCCTTCCCTTTCACTCCTGTTTCCGCCATTGGGGGGTAGAGGAAAGAGTAACGTACAAGGCATATTGCATAAAACCCTTCTTGGGTTCTTGGCTAGGCAACAGGACTTCTCTGCGCTCACGGGGCGCGACACCGGTCGATGCGTGGGGTGTTACCGACGTAGCATCGTTTTTGGATGACGTCGAGATGAGGGCGAGGGACTGGAGGGGGACGGTACGGGTTGTCGGCTTTGCTGGAGCTGCGGGGCCGAGACGGCGGTTAGCATACGATGGCAGACGGGATCTGTGGCTATGGCAAGGTGGCGATGGCCTTGGTGGTGGTAGTGGTGGTGGCAATGGAGGCGGGCCACGGGAACTAACCTCGCAGAGCCAGAGCGGCTGCTCTTCTCGAGACAGCCAGCATCGTCGGTACCGCCAACTTAATACTGTGCAGGGCTGGCCGGCAAGGGAATGGATGAGGGTGAGTGGAGAGGGTCCTTCTCGAGGGTGCGGCGTGGCTCGGGAGAGTAGTTGTGTGGTGTCGAGGTTCGGTCGGGTCTGGGTTGGCTTCGGTATCATTAGGTAGTTCGTCGACTTCTCTCCCCCCCAGTTCCGCTCCCGCGCAGACCCGGCTTTCAATTCAATCGGCGTTAAATGACGAGCTACTTTTTTTGCCGCTTCGCTAATCAAGAAATGCCTCGATGCCATTGGCTGGATGTTTCCGGACCATCGCTTTTCCGAACTAGCTAGCGGGGCGTGTTTCTGTGCTCTAATTGGTGGGAGCGAGTCGCAGGTGGCTGCCAGCTGCGGCGCCTCGGTTTACCCACTTTGGAGTATTTACCTTCTATGTACCTACCCATTGATGCATCTACCAAGGTGACCCCTTTTACTGAGGCGAGAGTACCTGTAGTCTCAACTACGTACATAACAAAGGGGTGGGCAGACACTCCCTGTCCCGCTATGGGCACCGTGTTATTGAACAAACCATGGACGTGTCAATATCCGTAAATTGCCATCTTCTCTTGTGCTTTCTTCGCTTGAAAGGCAGGCAGCCAGGTAGGTATGCCTTTCGGTAAGTAAGTAGGTAGGTATTACATCCCTATCCGTACCTCTGTGGCCTTGCTTCTCTCCCTGTCTACTTTCCTCCTTGTTCCGGCCCTCTACACACCTTACTAGCGGAATCGATCTGATCGGCCCCCGTCCGGGCCTGAACTATGCATACGGCTGAATGGAGGTGGCGGGGGAGTCTGAGCAGCGAGCACAGTAGATCCCAGGTCTTGCTATCGTGATAATGCGTATAGCATCTCCGTGCCCTCTACCTAAATAAGGCTCAGCAGCCTCATAAAGCGGAAGGCGAACCTTCGCGTGGGCCGCCATATGCGCCGCGTCCCGTTAAAGTATACATATGCCGACCCGGCCGCGATCCCCGCGAGGTGGGCGGCGTGCGCAAAGTTTAGGCCCGGGATCCCGACGAAGAGGCCGTACGTCTCGAATAGCGTGAGATACGTCAGCATTTCCTGGACGGGGAGGCTCCCGGGGATGAATATGACGCCCATCCGCTCGTTCGGGTGCGCGAATGCGAATGCGCCGATCAGCGCCATCACGATGCCGCTCGCGCCCAGGCTCGGCGCGAAGCGCTGGAACCTGTAGTTCCGCGACGGAAGCAGCGTCGCCAGGTGGTTTCCGAGCGACGAGAGGATGCCCGAGGAGAGGAAGAAGGCCGTGAAATGGCCGCCGTTGCCGCCGAAGGTCGATCGCGCGACCTCGGGGCCGAACTGGATCATGGCAAACATGTTGAAGCCGAGATGCAAGAGGCCGTCGTGGCCGAACGCCGATGTCAGGAGGGTGTAGTTGGGGCTAGAGATGGGTATGTGGTAGAAGTATTGCGTGATGGAGCCGGGCGCCAGGCGGCATGCCCCGTAAAACGAGGTGTTGAGGGCGATGGAGCCGATGATCATTTTCTCCGCGTCGCTGTACCCCTGAAGCACCGGCCCGAATTGGCCCGGCAATTGTAAGCCGAACGCCTTCGTCGACGGCGGCGAGTGCGGCTTGAAACGAAGCAGCTCTCCACGTAGCTTTGCATTTTCCGCCTCCTCGAGCGAAGTGTACTGCTCGGTCCGGATATCCCGGAGAGACCGGCGCACATCATAGGCGGCACATGCTACGTAGATAGTCGCGGTGGCGGCGACAGCCCAGAGCGTCGGCCTCAAGATAGGCACGGGAGCCCCCGGGATTCGTACCCCGAAAGCACGCCTCGGCGGGCCAGCCCTCGCAATACCCCGAGGCTTGGTAGTCAGGAGGGTTCTTCCGAGCCGAGCGCGCAACATTGTCGACGATGACGGTAGGTTGCCGCACTGCGCTACCTTCTGATAGGCACCTACTCGTACCAAGACCGCCTAGTTGGCGCCAGCCATCAGAAATTCACCCAGGGACCGTAACTAGGGAGTCGGTGTTCGGGGTGGGGCGGTGGCACATCAGAGGGAGAAACGGGGGGTTGGGGCCAGCAGGTAAGCAGGAAAAGGTCGTGATAGATGTCTCGGGTGCGAAAGGTGGAAGAGGCAGGCAAATCTCGAGACCTACCTAACTTAGGTAAGGAGGAACCAGAAGTAGGCGCGCCACACGAGCCCCCCAAGTCCTTTACTTACCTACCTACACGCCACTTATTCCAGCCACAACCTCCCGCTTCTTCCCCCCCCCCCCTTTAGCCCCCCTGTTGCGTTTGGTCTTTCGCCCTACTGTTCCGTGATCTCTGGGACGGGAGGGGAATAAGCATTGAGGCTTGAGGATGTTACCTACCTCTCACAAGACACATGGTTTGTACAGCTTGGGCTAATTATACCTACGTATGCAGGTACCTACTTACCTACAGAATATGGCCACTTCATTGGATAATGCAACCCGGGCGAACAGAATCTATCCGCACCGGCATGCAATGGGATTAGGATAGAACAATGAGCTAGCTGCTCCCTGTCCGCGAGTGCCCAGTGGGCTACCTACGTACATGCTACGCCTAGGTAGGTACAATATCGCAGCAGCAGGCCGATCCGGGTCAAAATTAGGTAGGCATGCTACCCTATCCACGGTTCTATCCAGTATGCGGATGCCTGAATGGTGGCCTATGTCGCCTTATGCACTTAGGTGCAAATCTCCATAGATGGATGTGCAGCGGGAGAGTCGACGCCGCCGTCATCTGTCTGGATAGCTATGTATGCGCTTGTGAGCTCGCGACGAAGTCTCGTGCCCTCGCCCTCCTCCTCATCGTCGAAACTCCTCGAGCCTCTTGCGCTGCTTCCCCTCGGCGTCGAAGTTAGCCGGGTCGAGCCAGGACTCGAGCGCCTGCTTGATGCTGGGCCACTCGTCGTCGACCATGGCGTACCACGCGGTGTCGCGGTTGCGGCCCTTGACGACAAAGTGCTTCCGGAAGAGACCCTCGTACGTGAAGCCGAGCCGGAGCGCGGCCCGCCGGCTGGGCGCGTTGAGCGAGTGGCACTTCCACTCGTACCGGCGGTAGCCGAGGTCCTCGAACGCGTGCCGCGCTAGCAGGTACATGGCGTCGGTGGCGGCGGGCGTGCGCTGCAGCTGCGGCGAGTACATGAGGTTGCCGACCTCGATGCTGCGGTGGTTCGGGTCGATGCGCAGATAGCTCGCTATGCCGAGGATGCTGCCGTGCTCGTCGTCCCCGCCGCCGGCCCCCTTGTCGCCGTTCGGCAGGATGGCGTAGAACACCGGGTCCTGGCCGGCCAGCTTGGCTTCGAGGGCGGCGCGGAACACGGCGGCGTCGTCGTAAGGCCCGTCGAACATGTAGTCCCACAGGTGCGCGTTCTCGGGCCCCGATATGTGCGGGTAGAACGCGTCGGCGTGCCGGGCGGACAGCCCGACCAATGTCACGTACCGGCCGACCAGCCTCGTGTCCTGCGACGGACGGCGTGCGGGGCCTCCGCCGACGATAGTACCGAGGGGATTAGGGGCGCGGCCTGCCATGGTTGACGACATACGGAAGACACGCTGGAATTGTCGCATAGGCATCGATCTGAGGCTCGAGGGGGGTGGAGGAGCGGAGGAACCTAAACAACCGACTACTGACACGGAGTCCGGGGGCGGAGTGGAATGGATGGATCAGTCAATCAATGGCCGAACTCGCTCCGCTCTCGCTTGCATTGGCACGTTGTTGCCATTGCGGAATAAGTACCTTTCCCGATTCAGCTAATTAGCTGTCAGGCGTAGGCATTTTATACCTATATGCCTCGGAGGTAGGTACTCAAGCTATGGAGATTCTAGTTGCTGTTATATGAGCTGCGATAACCGGTACATAGTAATATACGTACCTGTCCCCGTCCCTATGCGTAGCGGTGATAACTCTTGAAAACCCTATGGTTATGAGCCGGATGCTTGAAAGCGGACGGCGCGGGCCGACCCGTCTTCGCCGATGCTCTATACAGGAGGTAGTGGTTGTAGGTAGTAGTTGAAGCAGCGCACCGGAGCCAAACTGATTCAACAATAACAAATGCTCATTCACAGGTGAATTCTAGGTAATGTGGCCTTAAAAATACAATAGTGCACACACCCCCGTTCCCATTCTATCACTACCTACGTCCCCTTCACATCGACTACGATACTCCCCTTCTAGTCCTCGTCTCTTTCTTCATATTGGTGGGTGTAGATAGGTATACTCTGGCCCTGAGCGGCACCCAAAATAGTACGTAACGCGCCTCTTCGTCACCACGGCCGGGCCATCCTCGCCAACCTGTTCTACCCGCAGCTGGCGTTGCAGTCTGCGTCGTAGGTGCAGGTGCCCTTGGACCAGCAGCATCCGCACATATTGGAGTAGACCATCGAGTCGGTCGAGTCCTGGCAGACGACCTACACGACAAGCTACGCATCAGCGAAACGGCCCCGGAGAGCGAGGAGGAGGGGCGAAGAGACGTGGGGGATCGCGAGGGGGCGTACTAGAATGCCGTCATAGGTACAGCCGGCAGTGGCTCCGTTGCACGGCGAGTGGATCCCGCCAGACCAACACGTGCTGCCGTTGCCGTAGACCGAGCGGTTCGGGTTCCATGTGGGCGACGCCGACACAGAGGAGAGCGTGGCGGGGAGAAGGAGGAGGAGGAGGCTGTCTGCCAGCATCGCGACGTCGTACTTCGAGATAGGAGCGTGGTTCGTTTATGGGTATGTACGAGTCGGACGGGTATTATACGCCCTGTTCCGTCTCTTCTCTTGCTCTTCTCTCCCCCTTTCCGGTAGTAAGCCGTTCCTAGTGTGGGATATGGCGAGGCTTAGACAGAGGAGCTGGGAATATTTCCTGGCTTTCGTCCCTCTCAAGCGGAGTTGGTGCGTCTCGCTACTTCGGCGAACGAGCGGACAGCCAAGGATATTTATATGTGGCTACCTACCTCCTTACCAGGCAGGTAAATCTTGGGTCGCGACTTGCCATTCTTCGCCTCGCGTGGCACGGAGCCTCCCAGCCGCTTCCTTCCGTGACAGCCAGTTATGTTATGTACTTATTCTTATAGCTGCGCCGATAAGTCGAGCTAACTACCTCAGGTACCTACTTGGCATAGGTACTAACTCCCTCCTCTAGGAGGTACCTACCTCCTAGGCGCCTCTACGCGATGTAGTAGGTACCTATGTTAGGGCGTTATTAACTACCGGGTGGCAAACGCCCTCCCTCCTGCTATCCGTAGCAATATCCGATGCCGGTCACCATAATCTACCCGTCACGAACCCCTTCCTACCGCTGCCGCGGTGGCGTAGCACAGCCGGTGAGAGACGATTCTAATACTTAGAAAACCTGCTGCCCCTAAAGCTAACGCGTAACGATCCTATTTAGCTAGACACGGACGATTCCCGACGTGACGGGAGATGGCTATGGTATATCAGGTTATTTAAGAGCTGGTCCGTAACATGCCTCGGATGGTCCCGTCGATGGAATACCTACATCACGGCTTCGAGAATATGACTGAGAATATGACCACGAGAATATGCGTCAACCGGAAAAGCCTCGGGATTCGTCGCACGCGAGAACTATAGGTTGAAACTCTCTGATGTATCCCCTCGGTTAGAATGAGCTCTACCGACAGTTAGCTGTGGTCCCATAGGAGCTAGGTATCCGCCACGAATGGGGATGGGACGCACAGCTTCGTCAAGTAGCAGAGTCTCTCGTGTTTCCGTAAGAGGACAGTGGAGTAAAGGAAAACAAAGCAGGTGAGTGCGCGTTTCGGATGATTGTTTAGGAACAAGATAACTCGAATGTAAACAGGCGGACGGAAAGGATCAAACCATACTGTTTAGGCCGGTACTAAGGTAAAGTCTTCGAACCTGTATCTCGCGAGCATTGTATGATGTAGATGATAGCACAACGAGTAAACCGACTTAGGAGGCCGAAACGGTAAGCGTGAACTACTTATCGTCACAATCGGGTACCATAGACGCCGATATCCAAACAATATAATCGGTACAATGAAGAGTACCGGATACACGTCCTCCTCTCCTAGCGAGAAAGAGAGCGATACAAACTACGAACCTAGTAGTGATAGCGACCACGTTGAACCCCCTAGGCGGAGATCTCGCAAGGCGCCGAGGCCGTCGCCGCCACGGCCACTCAGGCGATCGGAGCGTATTAGGGCTCTCAATGAAAGACGGCAGGCTAGGGCGCCCGTCTCGTCGATGGCACCGCCGATGAAGCAGCAGATGAAGCAAGTGCAGAAGCAAGTGCAGAAGCAAGTGCAGAAACAAGTGCAGAAACAAGTGCAGAAGCAGATAACCTCATCACACCAACAGCTACCCCTGCCAAAGCTTCCAGCACCACAAGTTCAACCACTATCAGAAATGATACTACCGCCGGCGCCAACAGCGCCAACGATACTACCATCGGCACCAATCGCGCCAACGATACCACCTCCGGCACCGATAGCATCGGTGATACCACCTCCGGCACCAATACCGCCAACGATACCACCTCCGGCGCCAATAGCGCCGACGATACCACCCCCGGCACCGGGGGCGCCGACGACACCACTGCCAGTAGCCCCGGAGCTCGAACGCGCTCTGCCGGTGCCCGTCGCTACCCTGCGCGATCTCCCGCCGGAGCTGCTCATGGCGATCATGGGGGAGCTCAGCCCGGCCCTCGGCATCCGGCTGGCCGTCGCGATCCCGGAGATCTTCCAGACCAGCATCATCAACGTGTTCGTCCACGACGCGCGGCGCGTGTACAACTCCCGCCGCGGCTCGCACTGGTACTTCCAGTCGCCCCACGAGGCGGTGCGGGCGGGCGCCGCGCTGCCCCTCCTCGTCAGCGCCGCGCGCGACGGCTTCGGCCCCCTGACCCTCGCCCTCGTCGCCGACGGCTACGAGCAGTTCGTCCGCGAGACGTACGACCCCCTCGCCGACTCGTACTTCTGGCTCTACCGCGCCTGGCCGCCGCCCCTGCGCGCCGCCGCCCAGGCCCGCAGCCCCGACCCCCGCATCTTCCGCTGGCTGCTCGAGCGCGGCGCCGGCGCCACCGCCAACGCCCGCTGGGCCAGCAACGACGGCTCCCTGCCCTGGCCCCGCTCCACCTGCCTGCTCGCCGGCACGTCCCACGAGAACTGCATGCTCGTCGACGACAACCTGTCCGTGCCGTGCATGACCGCCTTCGACGAGCTCATCATGCGCCTGTCCCCGCCCGAGCGCGACGACGACGGCCGGCCGCTGCCGCTCGAGTACCGCGACCGCGACATCCTCGAGTGCCTCGACCTGCTCCTCTCCGACCTGGCCGTCGACGTGCCGCTGGTCGCGGGCGCCGGGCACCCCAACTACTGGCTCGAGCGGCGGGTCCAGTCCCTGCAGGCGCGCGACGTCCTCGACGTCCTGAGGCGGCGGCTGATGGCGCGGCCGGTCACCGACCCGGACCGGTTCAGCTTCGTCGCCGCGCTCAGCGACTTCCTGATGCCGCTGGCGATGGACCCGACGGGCCGCATGGACCGCGACGCCGCGACGCTCATCCCGCTCGTCGACGAGTCCGTCAGCGGGGCGCTGTACGTGCTCACGGAGCTGTTCCACGCGCGTGAGAGCCCCAGACAGGCCGAGACCCGGGGGCTGTCCGACTGGGTGGGCCTGGTGCGGCCGGCGGCGGCGCAGAGCGGCCCCGCCCGGGTGTTCAACCAGCTCGCGTACCGGGCGGTGAACCGGTTCCCGGAGATGGCGGACGCGCTGTCGGCCATGCTGCGCGAGCACCAGCGCCCGGACCTGGACAGCCGGCTGGTGCAGTTCGCGGTCCAGCTGGGGCTCGCGGAGAGGGCGGCGCACCTGATCCGGAACGGGACGGCGCTGCGGCTGCAGGCGCTGCTGATGGCGATCGAACGGTCCGACACGGACGCGTCGATTCTGCGGACGCTGGTGGACGCGCACCTGGCCGCCGGCGGCGGCGCCATCGAGGACGTCACGCCGTGGCACCCGCTGGCCGCGCCGCCCAACGACGGCGCCGGCGGCATCCTCGAGCCGGCCGAGGTCGAGGCCCGCGCCGGCCGCCAGCCGCTCGACTACGCCGTCGTGCGCCTCCAGATCCCCGCCGCCGAGCACCTGCTCCTGCGCGGCGCCGACCCCGCCCGCGTCCAGCCCGCGTCCCTGGCCGAGCTCGTCCGCGTCCGCGACCGCGCCCGCGCCGGCTGGTTCAACCCCGTCACCCTATTCTCCGGCGAGAGCCCCCCCGTCTCCTCCCGCGACGCCAGGATGCGCCTCGAGGCCGTCGTCGACCAGCTCACCAACCTCCCTCCGCCATCGCCGTCGTCGTCGTCGTCGGCGTCGGAGAGCGGTGGTTCGCGCAAGCGCAAGCGCAAGCGCGACGACGACGACGACGACGACGACGACGAGAACAGCAGCAGGCGCAAGTCCCAGAGGACAGAAAGTCCGTCTCCCGAGCCGTGATTTTCGACGCCGAGAGAAAGGTGAGTCACTCGTAAGTGTTTTCACGTTTTTGTTTGTTTCTTTGTTTTAAGAAGGGAAAAAAAGCGAGAATCCTTTGTGTTTGGTTGAAGCTAGTTCGGTCAGAACAGGATTGTTTGAACTGGGAGGATAACAATACAGGTTCGGTAAGTATTAGCTAAGTATGATAATACGCAGGTAAGTTGTGTACCTGAGATGTTGATAAATCTGTAAATGACTCCAATAAACATGTTTCTCTGTAAATGACTCCAATAAACATGTTTCGTAATGTCCAAGTCTAAACCCGACGAAGCCAAGTGAAAAAGACAACGACACCGTCTTGTTTGTAGTCGACGCCCCCTTCTTTCCTTTTATCTACAATAGCAGCGGAGCGGGCGCCTTTGGTAATCATCTAAATACCTATTCAAAGAGTATGGTACGTATGCCCTATCGCAGTAACACAACTAGGGGAAACAGAGACCCGCCAACCCCCCCCCCCCCTCCCCTTTAGTAAAAGAAGCTCGACGTCGCTCTTCTATCTGTATGTCTATCTGCCTATCGGAGGACTCACTCACTCGCCATTACTGCCTCCCCTCAGCCTCGCGGTCGCGTTCGGCGTCGCCGCCCAGGACGCTGGCCTCGTCCCGGTCTATCTTCGCTTTGTCCGACGTGCCCGCCTTCCACCCGGTAGCCGCCTGGATGACGAGCACACCGAGGGAGAGGACGACGGCGGCCTGGAACAGGACGCGCAGGGCGTCGACATAGCCGCTGACGGCGACGGCGCGCTCGGCGTCGGCGAGGCCGCCGTGGAACACGAGCGCGGGGCTGCCGACGAGCTTGCGGATCAGCTCGGCGCGGTCGGGCGGCGGCGGCCCGCCGCTGCCGCCGTGGCCGTCGAGAGCGCCGAACCCGCTCTCGAGGGCGGCGCGCAGCGTGCGCGCGAAGATGCCGCCGCCGATGGCGCTGCCGAAGCTGCCGGCGAAGCCGCGAAAGGTGCCGAGCAGGCTCGTCGCCACGTAGTGGGTCTCGGGCGGCGTCAGGTGCAGGAGGTGCGCGAGCGTGTAGTTGAGCCCGGCGCCGGTGAACAGGCCGTTGGCGAAGACGGCTGCCACATACAGCGCCAGGGGCGCGTCCGCCGTCGAGATGAGCGAGAGCACGAACAGGCTCGCCGCGAACAAGGCGAGAGACACCAGGCACGACAACCAGAAGCTTCCCGTATGGCGCACGTGCAGCCACTAAGGTAGAAATGAAGAGCGGGTCAGTAAAATGATACACACCCAAGTTTCTTGCTCCAGATGCTCCTCGACAAAGAGAGTGTTTGGAGATAGTCGAGACGTAGGCACCAAATAAAAACGACGAAAAGATAGGAGGGGTTGCTTACGCCGACGAGGAGCCCGCCCATCCCGAACCCGAGGTTCGTAGGGATAAGCATGCTGCCACTAGCTGCGGGGGCGAAGCCCCGGACGGCGAGGGCCGTGATCGGGGCGTAGAATAGCACGGTCCAGCGCGCGGCCATGAAACCCAGCTGGGAGATGCACAACAGCAGGGCGCCGCGGTTCTGGAGGACGGCGATCGGGATGATGGGGTCGACGGCGACGTAGTACTCGATGAGCACGAACAGGGCGAGTGTCCCCGACGAGACGACGAGAGGGACGACGCGGATGCTACCCGACAGGCCGAACAGAAAGAGGATGACAGTAGCAGACTGCGGAAGAATGCTCGAGTCAGCCGGGTGAGTCTCGCAGGAGGGTGGAGGGTGGAGGATCAGCCTAGCTAGGGCCCGCCACCAGCGCCTATGACGGCTTACTACTTACCAGGAACAGCCCGCCGAGATAGTCGATCCGCTTCAGCTTCGTGGCCAGCGTGGCCCTCTCCTCCTTCAAGATCTGGCTCGACGAAAACGAGCTGGGCACGCTGAGGTATATGCCTAGACCGGCGACTAAGCTGAGCGGGGTCTGGATCCAGAACAAAACTCTCTACATGAATGCGGCCGGCGGGCGTGTGTAAGTCGACGGATCAAGATTCACATAGAACAGGACTCGCGGCAGCGCTTACCCAGCCGGTCACGGATATTAATCCGCCGAAGACGACGGCCCCGAGCGAGACACCGGTGGTGAAGCCGGCATTACTGGCCGGGCACAACAAAAAGGGGGGTCTCCGATTAGCTTCGCATCCGGATAGCGCAACGACGGAAGCTTGGTAGGGAGCGACAGGAAACATCGGGAGGGATGCGAAGGAAGAAAGCGCCAAAACTCACAGCAGCCCGAAAAAGAGCCCACGCTGGCGCTTGCTCGCGAGCTCGAGGATGAGGACGACGGCGAGGACCGTGACGCCACCGGCGCCGACGCCGGAGAGGGCGCGGCCGGTGACGAAGGCGGCGAAGGAGGGAGCGCGGGCAGTGGCGGCGCAGCCGGTGGCAAAGAGGGCCGAAGCGGCGAGCGCGACGGCGCGCGGCGAGAACACGGACGCGAGCTTGCCGGCGACCGGCGTCGACGACGACATGGCGACGAGAAAGGCCGCCGCGAACCAGACCGCCTCATCGTACGCGTCGAGGTCCGCCGCGATCATAGACTGCGCCATCGTGATGCCCGACATGTTGCTCGCTGCCCCACGGGTTTTAATTGGTCAGCTTCCACTTTTCTCCCCTTCTTTCTACGCTGTTGCCGGGTTGGCCAGGACTACGCGGGGAATGGACATGGCGCCGTGACTATGGCCGACGGCACGCTCGGGCGAGGCGCGCTTTTCTCTTTCTCACGTACCTATCAAGAAGATGAGGAGGTAGACGCTCAAGACGATGGCGACGGCGCGGCCGCGGCTCACCGTCTGGTTCGGGGTGTCGAGGTCTAGCGAGTCGGTGGCGTCGTCTTGCTCGCGGCCGTACTCGGAGGCGCTGGCGATGGACACGCTGCCTGCTCGTAGCGAGCTGGAGCCGGACCGCAGGAGCGGCGTGTCCTCGGCGGCGTCATTCTCGCCGTACTCGGCCGCGGTGGCCGACTTCGGCTTCCCCGGATCGAGGGAGCTGCCGGAAGCTTCGGCTCGCGGCGGCGACGGCATGGTGTTGGCTAGGCGCCTAACTTGGAGCGGGCAGCGGTGGCTGACGGCTCGGAGGGCATCGAGAGACCAAGGAGGGAGCGAGATGAGTTTGGGAGGGCAGCAAAGCTAGTGAACCAGCCTTTGACGACTTTTGGAGTACGGATGCGCAGAATCCGGAGAAGGACACGCGACCCCGAGGACAAAAGACGCCGAGAGGTAGGTAGACAGAGACCTGGTAAGCGAAGGAGGGTACCAGCGGCGGGGAGGACAGGGGAGGGCCGGTTGTCGTCGAGTTCACCATCAAAGACAAGGATGACGTAATACCCCCGGCTAAGCAGCACAGTCTCTCTCTCTATCTCCTGTCGGGATTTCCGAGACGAGAGGGAGGCACAAGGCAAAGGGAAGAGAGAGAGAAGACGGAGAGGCCGAACACGCGAGGATGGCCCGAGAGGGAGAAGGGGGAGGAGGAGGAGAAGCGAGCGAGCAAGATAGCATAGGCTGGTTGCACAACGGGAAGACAAAGACCGAAGCAGAAGAAGAAGAATAACCGGAAACCCCCTAAACCAGGCTTGTTATCGCTACACCGACCTGGCGCAGATTACCAGTTGTGATTAGTAAGCCCGCCACGCCCAACTCGGTCCACGTCGCGCGCCCGTCGATGGCCGCACCGCTTGGCGCATACTACTTTTTAACTGCATCGCCGTCGCCTGCTCCCTCGACGCTATCGTCGTATCGAGGACGAACCCGCCTTTTGCCTGTCCCCTTTTCCGGCTCCGAGAACCCTCCGGCCTCACATCATTTCCGCGCTGCCAATCTCTCCCCTGCCTTCGGCTGCACCCGGGCGCATCATTGGTTCCTCGGCTACATTCGACCCTATTTAATATGGGAAATATCCTACCCACAGCCAAGGTAGTTCGCCGCCGTCAGCCCAACACTCGTCGTGTCCTCTCTGCCGGCACCGCATGCGAAGAGTCGGGTCGCAATCGTCTCCCGATTCGTCTCCGCTTGAACGTAAATCGCCCGAGTCGGGCACATGGCATCATTAATATCCTCTGGCCTCCAGGACCTCCTGGACTGTCTCGGAACAACAGACCCTGTAGCCTTTTTTTCTGTTAAAAGGAGGGGGGGTTTTTTTTTAATTTAAAAAAACCCGCCGGTAATTTACGGCTACGCGTCCGCGCGAGCAGCCCCTTTTTTATTTTTTTCCTTCTCCTCGTTCGCCCTCAACGCAGTTCGCCGATCCGTACCATCCACCCAGGTTTCGATAGATAAATCTGCCAACGCCTTAGAATCTCACGCCACACCCGATGAGAAATTTTGGCATCTCCGCCCAACGTACCTGTAAAATGCCCAATTTCGGGAAGTGCTAGAAGACGACCGCATCCTCGCGTCGCCGTTATCAAGTAGCTCGGGAATCCGAGGCGGAATCGAAGGGCACGATAAATAAAGCCCCGACCCAGGCTGTTCCAGCTTGTTAGGTAGGTGGCTTGCCGTTTGGCCCTCTCTTCCGTAGCTAGAAAAGACGCGTCGCATCCGGACCTTCAAAAGAAAAACCGGTTGGCGAGAAGCGCGGCGGGGAGGCGCCTAGATAGGTTTATTTGCGCAGAATATTCGACGTGTCACTCCACTCGAGCCGTTCAGCCAGCACTTCGGTTCCTCGGCTGGTTTTGTTCCTTGGCCGCTTCGTCCGATATCTCCCGCTCAGGGGGGAAGGTGTTTCTTTTGCTCAATTTGATCGACAGTCTCTTGAAGAGACCTTCCTTCTCCACGTCGTCGGTCCGCAGCCCGCTTGTCGATGCCCTGCGCCGTGTTGAGAGGATGGCGCTGAGGTCGACGTCTCGGTTAGCACGGTCTTGTATTCGGGACTGGTCCTCGGCACCGACGCGGGCGTCGACGAGGGCTCGAGCGTCCCGCTTCAAGTCCAGGAAGAGGGAGAAGAACCCGGTAATGACGAGAAGGGCGGGGACCAGGCTAAAGGCTGTCTGGATGTTGCCGCCTCGATGGGTGATGGCGTAGATCACGAACGGCCAGAAAGCCGGGCCTGAGGCTCCCATGGTAATCCACGCCGCCGCCCGTTTGGTGCGTTCGCCCTGTCCGCGTAGCCCCAGGGTGAAGATGAGAGGCCACATCGGACCCTCGAAGAAGAAGAAGAGGATGATGGGGATGGCGAGAATGTCCGGGTCTACCGAACGTAGGGCTGCCACCAGAATGCCGCATACGACGCTAAGCCCGGTCGTGATGCTTAACACGGTGCGTGGTTGGGGGACCCTGGGGTGTGTCGGAGACAGGTAAGCGAGATATGCCGCGAGAAAACGCGAGACGGCAAAAGCGGTATGAGCAATGAGCAGGTAGTCGGGAATCGACAACGTGAGGCCGGGCGGGGGCAGCAACGAATCTGTCCTGCCGCTATCGACCGTTATGAAGCTAGCAGACATCTGAGCGGCCGCCGGCGGCGTTAGAACCTGGCGGAAAAATATGCTCATAGTCTCCTGGCCAGCAACGTAAGTCCACTGCGCTAGAACGGCTAGCATCAAGGTCCAAGTTCGGAGCTCCAGCCCGCCGAAGCTCGGTTTCTTCGGGTCTACGGGGAGGTATCGTGTAGAGTTCTCCATCTCAGCATCGGTTACTTCGGGCAACGGCATGTAGTAAAAAAAAAGTGCTAGCGCCGCACAGAGAAGCGTGATGGCCAAATAAGTCCACTGAACATCTAGCAGTGCCAGCGAGTCCGTCCTGCCGTGTACGTCCAGCGCGATGAAGAAGACCTTCTCGGCCAGGAGTCCGCTTAATACAGTAGCGACAGCCTGGATACCCTGGGCAAGCAGGAGTCGCATCTCGGCGTAGTCCATCGGGCCGCAAAAGATGAGAAACGGGTTGGCGCCCGTCTCGATAATGGCGAGACCAAATCCGACGACGAAGTTGCAAATCATGAAACCAGCAAACGAGGTGAGAACCGCGCTCGGCCAAAACATGATCGTTCCGACACCGTAGAAGCATAGTCCGACGATAAAAGTTGCCCGGAATCCACCGATCGGGTCGGGTTCGTGTCTCCTTCGTTTCGTCCGCGAGTGTTCATCGTGCCGTAAAATCCACTCACCAACGAGCAGGGGGCCAACCAGATATCCTCCCCCAAAGTAAATCGACGACAGCGCTATCGTCTCCGCGGTCGACATGCCCGAGACCGAGGCCACGGCATCGTTGAGCTGATTCAGCAAGCCGTACGAGAAGCCCCACAAGAGGAACAGTATCGTAACCACAGTGCAGTATCTGAAAGAATCGCGAACCGAGGTCCTAATCATGCTCTTCGGCCGGCGCATATTCACAAAACCGAAGTATACCGAGTTCTCGACTGTCGAGTAGGTCCCCGTGGCGCTTGTTCGGACGGTAGGACTTCGGTTGATGTGGTCCGGGGTGTGCGTGTTCGAGGCCATGTCCGGCGTAGTAAGAAAATCGACGACGGACACTTGGCTCCCCCGCCTACCCCCCGCATGTACCTGGGAAGGAGGCGTGATGTCACCGGCAAAAACACCTCCGCCGGCCGCCCGGCCGTTATTCGAGCTAACATTGCCGTCCGTCGACGTGTCTTTGTCGTAGGTGCCAGTGGCATTGGGATCGACCAGCATGGCAGGCAAGATGCGACGGATCAGAGGTTTCAGCGTGGGGATGCACGCACAGGTTATGCCGACGTTGACCTCGACGGCGGACCACATAAGCGACAACGACGCGTTCCAGGAGAATTGCGGCGTCTCCCCAAAAGTCGCCGCCGGGTTGCTCGACACCGTCGAGGAGATTTGCGTGATGGCTTGCTCGAGGTAGTAGATCCGGACGACGTCGACTATGGTGACGAATATGCCCAGGGCGAAGGTAAAAACCAGAATGACTTTCTGCCTCGGCGGCAGCCTCATGCTGGTGAGAACAGGCAACGGCAAGGCCAGGATTGCGAGGTCGGTTACAATGTTGACGGGAGCTGTACATATGAATTCCGTCAGCAACGGGATGCAGTATGACGGGCCAGGATACGGGTCGAAGGCAGCTTGGACGGGGCGGCACTGAAATATGTTCATCAAAGTTAGGACGGTGCCGGCCAAGTTCACGATGGCTAGGACAAGCCACGATGCCAGCCGCAGAACCTTCTGCGTGTTTTTGGAGAGGCGTAGGTAAAATATGAGGACGGATGTCTTGGTGGCCATCAGGGCCGAATTCTGCATCAGGGTTGTATAGTTAGAGGTGCCGCTAGAGACGTGGGGGGAACCTAGGGGCTAGAGGAGCATACGTAGAGAATCGAGAAGACATATTCGCAGCGTCGCAGCGTGTTCCAGTCATCGGGACGGATGTTCTCATCGTGGCGGCCGAGTCCCTTGCTGGTGCCGAGGTCGATGGCGAAGCTGAGGGAAAATGCGAAGGCCCACGCGCCCAGGATGAAATAGTCGTCCCAGGTAACCTTCCGCACGATGCAGATCCGAGAGAACAGCCTCGCGGCGACGATGACGGTGGCTAGGGCGAGGGTGGCGGTGGTCACAGCAAAGACAGAGGGCCCGCGATCGGGGATACTGTCTGGCGACATCTCGGGCGCGCTAGTGTCGATATGCGACTGGGACCCTCGAGGAAGGCCATTAGAACCAAGGCTATGGGCTCGCGCGAGGAGAGGAGAAGTGCGTTCGCGCGTAGGTGACCGATGGTATAGTATAGTATACGGTAGCGGGATGCGTGTAGGATATGGTACGCGGGAGGGTAAGCAGTCGACAAAGCGGTCTATACCGACCGGGTCTAGCTAGCCAAGGGCGGCAACGGGCAGGATCTCCCGCAGCTACTGTATTTATTCTACGCAATAGGGTCAAGGGAGTGCGGACATCTCGCACTAGCTCGTATCCGGGGGGCCATACGGGTGCTGCAGCCCAGAGGCAGACGGATGGAGACGGCTTTGTTGTCGATGTCGTGGCGGGAAGGAACAGGAAACGTTGGGCCTCTCAGGAAGTGTCAGGGTTAAGCCCTCGAGGTCTATATCGAACCACAGCCCTGGGGGGAGAGGGGGGGGGACAACGAAAGACAGGAGATGGGAGTGGCCAACAGGCACGCTCGACAGCAGTAGCGGCAGCAATAATTACAATAGCGACACAAAACGGCGGCAGACAACAACGGCGGCGACAGTAGTGGTAGAACGTACACGCAGCGGAAGCCCGGGAGCGTCAAGTTCGGCCAGCAAAAGAATGGGTAGGAGGAGGAGGAGGAGGAAGAGGAGGGGTGTCGAGAGCGAGCGGTGAAGGGCTTGTGTGTGCTGTGTATGTAGGCATATGTAAGTGAGGATGGATCGATGGACGGACGGAACGGATGGGCAGTATATGTATAATAGTCACTAGACCGAGGGAGACGGGACAGGATAGATAGCCTACCCCGCGACCGTTGCTAGGAGAGAGAGAGGCAGGACAGGATGATGACAGGGGCCAAGATGGGTTAATTAAAAAAGGAAGCGAGGAGAAATGAGAGAGTGAAAAAAAAAAGTGCCAGGGAGGGGAGAAATGAAGCAAAGCGAAACAGAGAACGAGAGACCAAGCAAGATCAAGAGAGGCAGACAGAGAGACCCGGAGGGAGAGAAAAAAGAGACAATGAGGAGGAGGAGGAATGAATGGCAGCAAGATCCCGCCCGTCTACTGTTATTACTGCTGGTAGTAGTAGTGGTAGTGGTGCCCGTTACTGCATGCATGCGCTGCCAGCACAAAGGAAAGGGCCGTTTCGTCTGTGCGGGCGCGACGACGAGTTGCTGTGTAAGTCAGCGCATCGCATTTGGTGGGCGACCAGGTTGCAGAGCCCTTGGGCTACCTACCTGGCACCTTAGGTACCCCCTCTAGGTACCTACCGGGAGGTACCTGACCCAAGTTGGGCTACCGAGGGATCTACCTAGGTAGGCCAACTGAGTTGCCTACGTGTCGGTCAGGTACCTTACAGGTAGGGGTAGGGTAGGTACCGAAACCAGGTAAATGTGTGAGAGATGGAGAGATGCAGAGAGAGAGATAGAGAGAGAGAGAGAGTGATGCTGGATATAGCGAGTATTAGTGTGGAGGGATGGGCTGTCAAACGTCAAGCTGGCGCGAAAACAGCCGTGGGGTGGGCGAAAAGGCCTGAGCCGAACCGAAAAGGTGCAAGGTTGGAAAGACCGCAAATCGGTATTGCTACGCCCGCTAGCTCATCCGATTACCTAAGGCCATGCTGTTTTTACTCGTCCCGGCTCGGGACCCAGCTGTGGCTCAAGTTCCGTCACCTCGGCTCACCTTCCACTGCCCTGCACGCAAATTACACCCGCCCACCGCGCTGCCACGTCGAAGAACCAAATCAAAGTGAAAAGAAAATAAATATCCGCGTGATTCACACCCGCCGCCCGGATCGAATACCCTCATGGCAAAATCCAGGTGCGAAAGTCCGAGCAGTAAACCCAAGCTCCTACAGTGAACGAACTTCCCGCTGCGGGAGGTGTTTTCGTTCGAAATCTCGGCGTCCGCAGCGTGACGCAGGAAGTCACTAGCGATCGGTCTGACCTCAGTCCTCGCCAATTCCCACAGACAGGGGGAGATAAGCATGATATGGGCGGTTTTACGGTTCTGACAACGTCGCGAGAGATCCGGGGACGAGGGGGAGGTCTACGGTACCCTCGAGAGGCGTGATTGGGCCAGTCCTTACCGCGCCGCTTAGCATGGGCGCGCCGCTGTGGACTTTCGAAACTCTTGGTCTGCTCGCCTACTAGACAGAAGCTATTACATCAATAGCCCGTCGCTAGCCAGCTCGTGTGCGAGAATACAACGTCGAAACTCTGCAGCGGGTTATTCCGCGCGCTACACAGCACGGGACGAGTCTGAACCGCGTTCCTCGATGCTTTGGGGTTATACCTACCGCACCAAGTCTCGGTTGGGTATCTGGCGCTGCTCATCATAATGCCAGTCGTTTTGTCTCGGGGTGCATGATTTCCCTACCACAACTACGGATTAGTAAACGTGGGATATCCGACTTGTCTGAAATGATTTCCCAATCGGGCCAGCGCCTGAAGTGGCGGCAAGGGCCTGTCTCATTGGACGAAGAGCGACCCGCCAAGCCAGGTCGAGGTCGCATCACGCCAAAACAAAGCGCACCCAGAGGGGAGCTAACGATCGATGGGAATTCTGCTCCGTATCCGTATTCTGACTACCCTAGGTGGTAGTGCGATGGGAAACCCGGAAAGAGGTAGAATCGTTGAGCCACGGAATTGTCCCAACTACCCAAGCATGGCAAACCTGCTTGTTTCGTTTCAGCCGTGCTCTCGGACGTCTCTGCGCATTTGCTAGGTATTTGTGACCGAGCCTGTCACCTCTCCCTCGGTTCCCTAACAGACGCTAGCATGCCTGTAGATCGTGCGGGGTTTCCGAACCTCCCCGGCCGGGAGACTGGAGAGCTTTGGCTTGTACCCAGGTGAGACTCGCGCGAGACAACAAAAGTGAGGAGGGGGAATTCCGTACCACGCGATGAGGTCTTAGCGAACTCGAATAAGATCGATTTGGGCTTTCGGCGGAAACACTCGGGCTTTGTGCCTAAGGCAGACCGCGCCCCCTTCCCCTCCCCCCCCAGGTATCCGGTGATCGAGATAGACGTTAATTCGAGGCGGGGAGTAGCAGGTTGCTGTTGGTTCGAGAGACCAACAGGGTTCATTCTCGTCCGCTACACCGCAGATAGAGACGATTGATTGCATGCAGCAGACGTGATATAATAGCAATCGGCACCACCCCGGCCAATCAACCGAGAGTCGCGTGCAAGGCACGATACAATGACCGAATTGCTGCCGCGCTGACTGCTCTCCTCGATGACCAGCTCTCCCTCCCATTTCCCTTTCGAAAGGTGAGATTTTTTTTGGCTTGGCGGGGCGGTTAGGTCTCCTACGAGGAGAACGAACGGCGAATATCGGCGGCGGTGAGACAACGATATGTACATATATATATATATATATTTGATTACATGTATAAGTAGACCTAGTCACTTTGTGGGTGCATGCAGGAGTGTTGTCTTCAATGTAGGTAAGCAGGCTCGGTCAGCCGTTCAAGCAATTGTAGACAAGCTAACTGCGTCGTGGGAAGAGGCTCGCTTCTCGTGGCGCGTGATTTAACCGTTCGACTCGGGCTTGGCTCGCTCGCCTGGGTGCTTTGGCCCAAAGATCTAGACCGAATTGAAGAGTGGGTGTGCCACTTGCTCACTGGACGGAAGCGTGTCAGCTGGGGACTGTCGATCGCATTACATTCGAGTTCGTATTGTGGATAGGCAGGTAGCTGGCATAGAGATTGATGGGAATGTGGGAGCGAGAACAGGAAAAAAAAAAAGAAGAGCTATCCGTGGGAAAGGCTCGCGAGAACTCGGTCCTATAGGGATGACCCGTAGGTATGTACGTCCGCCCATTGGCGTCCGCCTCTAGGTTATAGATACAAGTATGTAACCCCCAGCACACCAGCGCACCTACGGCAGGTACCTCGATATATCGACATACCTCAAATACGTCCTTATCCATTGCTTCTTATTACCTCAGATAGGTGCCCATGTACCTACGTAGGGATGGAAGTTGGAAATGGTGCCCACCTGGCGTATACGTGTTCTTAGTCAGATATACCGGGTCATGTTCGACATAAGATAGTATATGAGTACGTACAGAGCCAGCCAGGATAGTCAATCCGAGCCCTCCTAGCCATTGAGACACTGCTGGAGATCCGGGGGCCAATCTGGGGTAAAAATGGATATGGTAAGAGAAGAAAAGGGTGTGTGGGGAGCCCGTCTTGGATGCCCCTGTCCGTTTCCAGGCGAAAAACAACGTCATCGGGTGGGGATGGAGCCAACCGAAGAAGAAGAGAGGGGCGCTTGAATGGTAAGCGAAAGGGGAGCGAGGTATGAGTACTTGGAGAGTGAAAAAAAATTTTATTTCAAGAAAAAATTACCAAGTGAAAATAAAAATACCTAACCCCCTTTTCCTACTTTGCTCGGTTCCTCTTTTCGTCTCCTCGCTTGTTGTTTTTCCTTGCCTAAGGTTCTTTTTCGTCCCGCGGCAGAGACAAAGGCAGGCCGGGGCCAGGCAACCCGATTCTGCACTTTTGCATTTGTCTGTGGGTACGTACAACACCTAGCCGAAGCAGCGATAGGCACAATCCATTGGTTTGGCGCATGAATCTACACTCTGGTAAACTAACCAGCAATTGCCACGCACCTATCTGCCACCTGCACCTATTCCTTATGGCCTACAACTAGCAGCAGGAAGTCGAGGAGAGGAACCAGGGGAGATATTCAAATAAGTGTCAGGTGGCTTTGGTGCTTTTCGACGTCCAATAGGCACCCCTAGACGGCGGTTTGGGAGGAAAGCCATTTGTCACAAGCCATGCCAACCTAACCACCCGAGCCCGTCTCCGATGTACAACGGGCAGCAATTTCTCCGTCACTGCGTCACTGCCTACCCAGGGCATCGGGCTATCCACAAGAACACGGAAAGGCTTGGAAGAAAAAAAAATATATTTCCCGACACGTGGTCTCTCTTTTTGGTTCCCCCCTCCGTTTCCGCTTCTACCTTTCTCCCCCCTGCCGAACCGTCAGCGATTAACGCCCACTGTCCTAATCCAACCGCGAAAGGCGCCGCCGAACCCACCGGCAAGCAACGGCCCCAACTCACACACCTGGCATTCTCGCTCCCTCCATCGGAGCCCCAAGCGAGCTAGATCGTGCTAGCTGCCGCGGTTGGATAACTAACCCACCTCCCCTCTCCGGATAACACAGACGACTAGCGGGCAGCGCGCGCGCAGCAGTCGTGGCCTCGTTCTGTCCAGTTCGCGCCGTTCAGCTGCGTAGTGCGCCGCCCCCGGCGCCGCCCCTTTGGAGTATTTGCGCCTTGGACCAGCCCGCGTGCGGCAGGCTCTCACGATGATACCATCTTTAAGTCAGACTCGGCCGGCCCAGGCCCTGGGTACGGATTGGGCAGGTAGATCTACCCTCACTAACTCTAAGCCGACAGACACGAAGTCAGCTCCTGCCTACCCCCTTTCGAGCTCGTTGAGGGTATCATGACTCGACGCTAGGTGTCCTACCATCCCTGCTGCGGCTCCTGAATCTTTAGTAGCTGTTGGCAAATTCCTTGCCACCCGACAGGGGCCCTGAAGTACCTGAGAGCATCACCGCCCTCGCGGACACCCGTCATCCGCAGCTTATAGCCCGGGATTTCCGCGGCCCTCTCCCCAGGCAAGGTAAGGCTCAAGGGTGTCCTGCCTCTTAGCAGTAGTTTCCAGAGCATTGGTGAGTCGGTTGGTTGTTAGACACTCATTCCTTCGAGTGAGTTTAATTGTACGATCAATTTGAGAGCGTGATGAATCGAATCCCGCATACAGTATACATACCCAGACGTTCCTTTCGATACTTTTATAAAAGCAAAAGGGATTATGTACCTAAATCCTCGCACGATTTGATAGGATCTCTATTAGGTCTGGCTTTTTTTTTCGGGCCGTAGCGTTCACACTACGATGGGGGTTGCTGAGCAAGGTGCTCCCTGCCCTAGCCAACGTCAAATTTCATGACACGGTTCGGCTATGGACGAGTGATAACACTTTTTGTTCGAGTAGAAACTTTTGGGTATTCGTTAATATTCGGCGATGGATAAGGGAGGGGAAAGATGTGGCCATCGAGTCTTTCGCACGCGGTGTTCTCGAGTCGTTTACCGTGCGACCCCTTCTACCGGCGGACCCGAACTCTCTCCCGGCTCTTGACCTTCGGTTTCGATGTAAGGGACGGCCGCCGGCCGCCGGCTTCGGTACCCGGCCCCGAGTATTTTCGTCCGTTATATATGCTAGTGTGACAACCTGAGCTATATATAGAAATGAGAGGGCGAGGGAAAGTCGACGGAGAGAAATTTACACGATGGGAGGCTGCAACTTGTTTCTAAATAAACCACCATCATGCTCCCCCATCGGGTAGCCGGCTGTAAAATAGCTGTCACCTCCGGGGATAGGGCCAGGAGGGCGCAGAAAGTATTACAACTCTGAAGATGTGCCTAACTTCCATCTGACCTACCGAGGTACTCGAGGTCTGGTACCTTGCGGATACCGGTCTACGTGAAAGAGAGCCTTAGCATATGGCCGGCACCTGCCTTGCTGTAGCTTCCAACCTTGGGCACGGTCTCGCAGCGCTGATGACGTCTGCATATCGTAAGCTTCTGTCGACTTGCGAGGCAACCGCAGCCCAGAGGCGGGCGACTTGCTCGAAAGGCAGCTGCGTTACGAGAGGGAGACGCCCCTGTGACGTCGCCCGCCGGTTGGAATCGCATGGTGAGGAAACTGCTATAGATCTGTAACTATGAAGTAGGCAGAGCTGCCGCCCCCTTCCCAATGACTAATCCCGATGTCGAAGCCGGGCCAACAACTATCGCACTTACGACAAACGTCTTCTTCGCCTTGCCTGGCATCTTCCTCGCCTGTGTATTCTCACGACTGGCACCGCCTAAAACTCGGTGTACTTGACCAAACCTCGAAGCCACAGCCAGCATGGGCGCGCCCTTCCCCTCCATCCAATCCTTTTACTCGGGGGAAGTGCCGGCAACCCCTCCTCGTGCCAGCCCGGGCTCTCATGGTTCTCGTCGGGCAGGGGACGGGTTCACCTCAGCCGAGATCGAGGAGGCGCTTAACCCTCTCTCGGGCTCCTGGAAGCCGTCGAGATACTACGAGACCTGTCCCTTGGCCCTTCTCCAGACCGGACCCCACAACTACCAGCTCTCGGGAAGAGTCGTGAACTTTTCGACCGACGTTCGCCATCGAGGGTTTCACTCCCTTGTCGTAGCGGATGGGTCTGGTGCCATCGTAGTGCGTCGATGGACGGCCGCTGGTCTGCTAGGGATTTTGACCAGGTGTCATAGGTGAAGCTCTATTACACCAACCCGTCGGAATACCGTCTACTCCTCGGCCAGAGAACCACAGTTTGGGCAACTTATATCGTCGATTCTACCGCGGCCGGAACAGGCTCGATACCCTTTTGCGCGACGGCTACGAGTATCTATCCCGGCTGGCACGGCACAACGCACATTATTCTACATGACGACGGTCCAGGCACCGACGGGGATCGTATACTACGATATCCCCTAGAGTATGACGTTGGGGAATACGATTATCTTCCCGACCTTATGACTTTGAAAACCTTCCTTGCTAGCGGGCATGATATGGGAGTCGCCAAGATTCTAGTCTGCGTGCGAAGCATTGGACCACGCAGAACTGTACAATCCAAAAAACGGCAGGCGACGTTTGAAATGGTGGAAGTGGGCATCTTCGACGAAACGGCCACCTGCGTACTGAAACTGTGGGAGGATAAAGTTACCTCCTCCAAGTCGTGGGTTCCGAACCAGACTATTCTTCTCCTCTCCAAACCCACCTGTCGAGTAACCGCTGACTACGGCAGCCGAGGTGGTTCATCATACGAAATTGGCATCGGATACAACTCAATAGTCGACGTCGATCCTCAATTCCCTGACGCTGACTGGCTTAGGGGGAAGGTAGAAGCCTTGACCAAGAGAGAGAGCGTTTATACTCCATTTCCCCCTGATGTCTGGGACATCGAACTCGCGATTCACGGTCCAAGTCGAATATTATTTACAATCGCCGACGTCGAGGACCAAGTTCGCCATGCCGAACCTGTAACCGACTTCACCGGGAAGTTGAACGTCATTATCCTCGAGGTGAATCTAATGGAACACTGGCGCAGGGGCACTACGTGCTGCCTTGAATGGTATGTGTAATGCCATCACCGTGCTCTCTGGACTTTGAGCCAACCGTCAGACTTAGTTGCGGCGTCCCGATCTATGCCAACAAGCCTGTTTCCACCTGCAGGAACTGTGGGTCGCAGCGAAATCTTGCCCTCAATCCTCGTATTCTCGGGTCAGTGATTGATGAGAGCGGCATGATTGCTGCTGGCAAGCTTGTGTGGCACGATGACGCTTGGACGCAGCTCTTCTTCGGAAACACAACTAGTGAAGCCTCCGTAGAGGATGGCTTCGATGCGGATCTTATCGAACAGTCTTGGGAGGATTTAACTGCCCTTGACACCAACTCGTTAAGGGACGTTGAAGAACAACTCCTCTACTCCCGCGTCATGCTTACCTTCGGTTGGTCTTCTGAGCTGGAAAGGCTTTGCGTTTTGGGGGTTGAATGGTAATGTGACGAGGTGTCTCTTGCCAGTTCACCCCTTTCGGCTCGCAGTAGGATCCCCAAACTAACTACAGGGACGTAACACGAAAAGCTATATTGCCTTCTTATCGACAGAGTTACTCATTATTTAACCTGGAACCAGAAATTCTCAGACACGTTGCATCAAATCTCTGAGAAGTATAAAGGATCACAATAACATGGAACAGGTAATTGATGTCGACATTAAGCGCTCATTTAAGACGGTTTAGATGCCCAGCTTATCATATACCAAGTTAGCCCCCATTCCATTTTTACCAATTGTAACCATCCCTATTGCTCTCGCTCTCACCATGTGATGTTCGAATCCGTTTCAACCACATGCCCCGAAGCTCACAGCAGGTGACTGCTTGTAAGTGTTTCAGAGTTAGAGACCCGACCCCAATCGCTCCGTGCCAATCCGTCTACATGCGCTAAGGAGCCTATCGCTACAATATTATAGAAAGAGATGTTAACATAAGTCATTAGGCGCCGATCTCTATTACGCTTCCTTTTGTGTTCCTATCCCCGTAGTCCAACCACCGACCCCCCGTTCTGGTAAATCTGGGGTGGCTCGTGGCTTTGTTTTAGTTCGTTTGCATCATCTGTCTCCGAATAGGCTGAATCGGAAGCGGCCCTTGCCCATCTTTTGCGACGTCCTGCCAAAGGACTGCTGGGAACTGATGCGTCGGTGGGACGAGGGTGGGGGCAGGTCGTCGTCGTCGTCGTCATCGTCCTCCTGGAAACTCATGGGCCGGGTCGGCTGCCGCGAGATGGGCACCTGCTGCTGCGGCGGCGGCGGCTGTTCTCGAGGGGTGATGGGGGGCAGAAGCTCGCCCCGCATAGCACGCTCGACGTTGGCGTACTGCTGGCGGTAGTCGTCGTGCTTGCCCTTGGCGTCGAGGTAGCGCGCCTCGGTGTCGGCGCGGCGCTCCTGAAGCGCGCGGATCTCGGCGTCGAGGCGGTCCATCTCGTCCTGTTCGCGCGTCATGATCTCGGCGTACTCGCGCACCTTTTGGTCCAGCGGCTGCAGCACGCAGTCGAGGACGCTGGGGCTCTTGAGGCGCTGGATTGACGTGCCGAGCACATTGGCGCCCGGGATGGAGAGGTTCGCGTTGGGGTCGGACGGCGAGCCGGATTTGCCGTTCGCCTGAGCCTGGGCCTGGGCCTGGGCGTGCTGGAGCTGCGGGTGGTTGAGGGCGTAGCCGGCGGATGAACGGGGGGGCGACCCCCCCGAGCTGCTGGGCGGACGCGGCCCCGATACGGGCTTGGTGCCTCGACGGCCGTTCTGGCGCTGCATCTTGCTGCTTTCGCCGTTGCGCTCTGCGACGAGCATCTCCTCGGATCGACTACTGCCGGCGTACGAGGGGGGCCGAGAGGAGCGTTCGGGGGCACCACTGCTGCCCTGGGGAGGGAAGGTATTTGCTAGCGGGGGTCGGCTCTGGGCGGGTATATGCTGGTTCGGCTGGCCGGCCGGCTGCATGAGTCGCTGGGGTTGCTGCGTGGGCATCGGCACGGCGGCACTAGGACTGGCGTTGTGAGGAGGCGGGGGTCCTCGATTGTTGTCGAGGAATTGGTAGAAATCGTCGTGGCTGTCGAAGCGTGGCGGGCCGCTGCTTATGTTGGGCTTGCTGCTGCTGTGATACATGGCGGCAGCGCCGTCATCGTATTCGCGCGGAGCCTGAGGCTGGCGCGGGCGCGGTCTGCTGGGTGAGCTCATAGCCGTGGGTGGGCTAAGTACTCCGTAGTCGGTAGGTACGGTCTGTTTCCTCTGGTTTCGACGGAGGGTCGTGGGGCGGGCGCAGAGGAGCGGAGTAGCTGAGACCGTAGCAAATGACGGGTGACGGGTCGCAGAGGCGGAAGGGAAGACTATGTGACGGGGCGGAAAAAGACGAGGAACGGGGAGGAGAGAGAGAGAGAGTGGGAATGGAAGGTCTCGGGCACCCTCTCTCCCGCAGGTGATTCGAAATTTATTCGAAATATGATAGACGGCAGGGCATCGTATCGACGCACACACGCCACAGGGAGGGAGGCTGGGATGGGATACGATGGCGCTCAACGCGAGAGGGTCCTGGTAGTGGACGTGCTTGGCTGCATGTCACTGGCCCAGCCCCCCTTTCCAGCAGGAGGACTGGGAATATTAGGTAGAAGACAGGATGGGTATGGATGGATTTAATCGGCTGGCTGGACGGACAGGGACAAGCAGGGACACACATGCACGCACACACACAGGCAGTCTTGCCCACGGCTTCTTGTCCTTCTTCTTCCCCTGGGTTCTCGGCGCTGCTCCATTCAATTTGCGGTCTCTATCCCCGACCCGGCGAGTCTTCCGGAAAACTTTTTTTTTTTTTAAATCGTTCTCTTCTGGTGTGAGAATCGACCGATCTGCGTTGCGAATTCAATCGATTCCGTCCAGCGCAATCCCCCCAACGCAACCCCGATTTGACTGTCTCTCTTTTCCCCTTTTCCGACGGCCCGACCCCTCCCCTCTCTCTGCGCTACTAGCCTACTAGTCATGGCTGCCAGCTCTGTCTCGCGTCTCGTCTCCCTCCGTTCCTCCCTCCCACTCTCTCTCTTACTATTTGTTTTACCCGCCATGCCACCGACGGCCGCACGTACATACAGAGTGGTGGTGACGCGCTGCGGGAAGAGGTGAGCTGTATGGACGGAAGATGTGGGTACCCGCTCGCATACGAATCGAGGCGCGCCGCCATCTACGTACACGTAGACGTGAAACACGCACATGTGTGTGTGTGTCTTGGATATGTACGTGTGTATCTAGTATCCGTACGCACCCTGTCCAATCCACGGAGGCGGTACAGGATATGCGAGTAAGTCCGCAATACGTATGTGTGGGTGTAGGGGGTACGGATGGATACCCAGCCGAACCTATCCTGATAGGTAGCCTATTACGGAGTTCCTCTCTGGTGCACTTGCTGGCGTTTTTGCTGGCGTTGGCGACGGTGTCGATGGTAGCGCTGGCGGGGTTTCACTGGCAGGCCGGAGGTTTGGTGGCATTACTAGGAGCGGTAGTAAGCACGAAATCCCCATTCACATCATGTGTGTACGCATTGAGGCAACTCCCTAAAAGCCGACACGGATGCTGCAGAAGGAATACAACTCGGAAGAATAATAAGAAGCAAATACAATCAAATATTTGCCAAGATTCACGCTGATTTGCCATGATGCTCATGGGCAGCATGTGCGATTAAAACTTCTTCACACGGACACTCTTATACCTTGCAGCGCCTGTTTCCCCTGTATAATGCTGATAGGACACACAGTGTGCATCTGCCCAGTGGGCGGAACTGCAGGTTTGTGCCTCATTTTCTTGAGTTAGAAATCGGCGCCGATCTGTGCCCAACTTCTCTAAGAAACCTGGACATGCACATGTTTGGATAGATATGTGACTTTTTAAAAATTTTCTCTTCAACTTTAGGTACTGGAACTCAAGACTCTCTAATTTTCAATTGGACGTATTAATATCACGCGCCACAGCACAAACTGGGAAGGATAGTGACCTATCTATACGCAGCATCTTCTACCTACCAATGCCTTCAACTAGTAGGTATAGGTAGGGTATCCATCAGGTTGCCCTCTTATAATTCTCTTAGTAAGAGGGAGTTGCCGCGTACATACAGAGAGTCAACATTACTTACTGCTGGTGGCACCCCCAGGCAGACCCAAGCCTATGCCCAGTTTCCAACTCTTCGGCTTGTATTGAACTCACACCTGCAGGCTATTATCCAGCTATTTTACCGCCGGGTCCCTGTTTGCGTTTTCCCAACACCATGTTATACATATCACCGATTATTACACGCTGTTATATGTGTCTAATAGCTGTTTGCCAGACCTGCTGATCAACTCGCTTGCTAGTCAACATCCGATTATTCATTTTACCGTCACCACAAGGAAATCATATCTTTTTAATTCCATTTCGGGCGAAGCTGGGTGCGCGTACTCTTGTACTTTACTGATCGTGCCGCCGAAAGAAAAGAGTATAAATTTCTCTCTACCTTCTGCCGTTGCCTCTCTTTCTCCCTCCCTCTTATTTTCCCACCCACCATCACCTATCCACCAACTCAACACAACCTTGTCTCAGTTCCGACATCCCCTTCGGAATATCACCCTTCAACTTCCAGTCGTCTCTTCCCACGCATTATCTCTCCCATCACCGTGCAACCCGAAGAATCGGGACGCGGTCGTGCCACGAGAGACCCAAGAGTATGCCTCGCTGGTAGGAAAGGCGAACTTTCCGGCGTGCATCACGAGACCTGACATCAGTTACGCGGCCTCGACCTGGGCGCGTTTCATGAACAACCCATCCCAAGAGCATATGACAGGAATCAATAAGATGGCTAGCTAAGAGAAGACTGGCCACATCCACGCTGCCTCAACTGGGCACATCTTCTAATTGGTCGACAGTATGGCGACCAAATTCCTCGATTCCCACTATGTCTGGTATGTTCATCACGCCCAGTATATCCGGAATCAACTTGCTAACAGGAATCGATAGACCTATTCCTCGTTGGACAGGCTGGTGCACCGTATCAGAGGAGAACCAGTCCGATGATGGGGTTAGGGCCGGTCCAAAGAAACAGACGACGAGATTGGGGCCGGCCCGTCGCTTCTGCAATTGCTGCTAGTTGCATAAGTTACGAGAGAGATCGGACGGGGTGTGCTACGTGGGCAGTTAGTTCCATGTCATCTATGTCGCTGGCTGAGCCTATTACTAACTGGAACACAACAGAATCATTCACGTTTTTCAACTTGAAGAATCCCTTAAAGTGGCCGGCAATGTCGGCGCCCACAACTACATGCTATGGCCCGCCTGGGTCTGGCTAAGGCAAAGGTTCAATACATTTAGTTGTGTTAACTACCAAGGCTCACTTTCACCCTCACGGACTCTAGATGTCCATCGGTGATATATTAAAAGACCATTATTGTCTTGATGAACTCGGCAGCCATGATATAAACCGGTGGCCAGGAAGCGAGGATACGCCGAAGGCGGACTATCACCGCCCGGTAGCAGCAAGTGCTCCCGCCACAGTGGAGTTGTCCTCGTTTCCTCCGCCTCTCCCGATAACGACGACGACGATAGAGCAAAGCGTCCGGGAGAGGCAGCGCCACCGAACGAAGACGCAGGCGACGAGCATAAAAGACATACAGTACGGAAGGAGTTCGGTAGCCGGCATATAAACTGACACGATGGTGACAACGACTAAAGGAGCTTATATCGTTTCTTTTAATACTTTGAATCGATATTAAGGACGCTCAGACCGGCTGTCTTTAATATAGACATCCTGGGTTGCCAGCTACATGCTACTTAATAATTAGGTACTTACGCAATACCCTCTCCATGGAATCCAAGGCGGCTGCCTAGGGGATTCCGTAGGCCCGGCTGCCAGTCGATACCTACGTTGAATGGGACATTCGCAGCAAGAACTTCGAGGCTGTGGCCCACTTACAGTCCCACGCCACCACGCCTGTCCGGCACATTCAAGCCTCTATACGTCGAGGCCACTCATAGGGGACAGGTAGGCGAGTTACTACGGAGGTTGGCGACGGATCCGCGGTGCGTTGCCAACAATATGGCCTCGTGAACAAGGCCCCAAGCCATTGCTGAGAATGGCATATCGCTTCTAAAAGTTATAAAGACAAAAAGTCTTTTCACCCAGAACCGATGAACATCTGGAGTCCCAAAGGTAAAAGAAACCTTTGGTCAACACTTAGGGACCGGCCACAGTGCAATCGGCGGCGCAGCCGCATGTAAGTATCTCCATCATACCTAAAAAGCCTACGCCTTACTACCCTTTCCTTTATATCACCCTGCTCGTCCACAGATCGCGTCACTGACCGTGTGTCACGTAGGCATGGCCGGACGAGCAGCGGTGGCAGCGACCGGTGCTCTGGAGATAATCGAAACATTCTCCAGTCGACCTGTTCCAGGCCGCACTGCGGACACAGCCCAAGCAAGGGACGGCGCGGCGAGCGCCATGCTCTCGACCTCGAGTGGCCGAGGCGGTTCCCAGAGCAGCAGCAGCAGGGGCCGGAGCAGCCGGAGCGACGGGAGTGTTAAAAGGGACCGCCGGAGCGGCGGGACCAGAGGGAACAGCAGGGCCAGTGGTTGCTCCGGAAGCAGGCCATTGCTAAGGCGATGGCAGGCCTTATACTCCGACACGTGGGTCGAAAATCCGCTGGGCGAAGTGCTGGGACGAGTTACAGGCAGCCTGCCATTCCCACGGTGTCACGTAGGCATGCGCCCCTCAGCGCGACGCACCCCGGCCCCAGTTGCTCGCGGCCGCCAAGCCCCAACGTCCAGAGCCATCGAGCTCTCCAGCGACGCGTCCTCTGAGGAGCAGTCCTCGGAGGAAGACTCCCCCTCCTCATACGAGGGGGCTGACGAAGAGAGCGACCACCCCGCCACGCCTGTTGCTCGTGCGGTTCCGGTTCGAGGAACCCGCTCACAGACTCGATCCCGCCAGGTTGCTTCTTCCGGTGGTGGTGTTGCTGTTGCTCGGGCCTCCCAGGCTGCCGCTGCTACCACGACTCCGACCCGTGGTAGTGCTGCTGGACGAGGACGAGGACAAGGACGTGGTCGTGGTGCTCCATCGGCTTACTGCCCGTGTGCAGCCTCCATTATTATTATATATTAAGTGATGCCACGCACAGACTTGGCCGCCGCCGTAGCGAGCCTGAAGACCTCACCCAAAGATCGTTCGATCAGAGCGTCCAGCCTACGGGCCTATCATCATCATTGTCCTGGAACCAGCCCGCTCCCGCTGTCCGCGTATATACGGTGCACCATTAGTACGTATCCGACAAAACCTTTTTCGGAATTTCGGAATTTCGATTATAGCGTGTCGTGCCTGTCGCAAACAGGCCGTACGATGTCCGGACGGATATAGCCGGCCGTTCCCGGTCTGCATCAATCTACGCGGCCACTTCGGTGGCTCGTGTGCTTGTTGTAAGTTCCGGGATCACGCTGCACGGTACTCCGTACGAGACGGCGGTCCCGAGGATCCGCCCCCGAGCAACGCCCTTCCGCCGCCCGCCCGCCCGCCTAACAGGCCGGGTAGGTTACCGAACTAAGTTCTTCAGACGAAGAGGGAACTTAAGGCTATCCTATGGTTATCGATTAACGTAAGTATACATTTCCTTTATACGAACCTTAATATTATTTACCTACCTTTCTATAAGATTTTTAACTTAATTTTATCGTGCAGCTTCTACTACCACACACCAACAATACCGCGCGCTGCCCGGGCCGCCGTGCTGGCGAGCCTTGATATCTCCCACCGATAACCCGCACCTATCAGAGGGAATGAATGGGGGGAGGGGGGGACTGTATGAGTCGCGAGCGGCCGACTGCGTGCCAGAGAACCGCAGGCCCCCACGCCGATCACTCCTTTGCCCTCCTACTAGAGAAGCCGGCACAGGTCCTCCAGCACCCCTGCTGGAGGAGTCGACGAAGGGAACAAAGAATATGGCGGCGACGCGTACGTCGCCGAGGGAACCAAACTTCCCGCGAGGGGCCGAGCTGGCTCTTCCGCCTGAGACGAGGGGACGGGGGTTTGCTCTGAAGCGAGCCGCGCCCCAACAGGCACGCTGGCGCCTCATGCCTCTCGCGGATAGCACCATGCGCAAGGCGCGATGCGCCTTCTACGGCCGTGCGGCGCATGAACGCCTAGGCATCGCCGGAGCGGACGAGGCGCCGTACACGGCGTGCCGCCTTGGCTGCCCAGAGCGGCGAGAACAACTTTGTCGCAGCGACTAGCCGACACGCGGCCCCCGCGCCGACTTGCGTAACCCTTCAGCTGGGTTTACCTAGCGCGGGCGAGCCGGTCCGCGACCCGGCGCGGGGGGGGGGGGGGGGCGGGGTTCTGCACATTGCTACGATATGCTAGCAGGGTTCCCTAACTTCGTGTTCTTCGCAAATGAATGCGGGGGGATCCGACTACTAGACAGTAGCCGAGGCCGGGTCCTGACCAGGACGCTAGACGGCCTCGGCGGGCCACACAATCTCCCGCGCCGCTGGGGCGCGCGAGCGGCTGCCGCTCCTGGCTCGTCAGCGACTCGGCCGGGCGTCCGCGGCCCCTCCCGAGCCGAGCCCACCGGGGCCTACCCCGGGGATTCAGAATCCGACAAGGGCTCTGGTGGGTCCGGCGCGGGCGGACCTAGCGGACGCTAACCGTGTCGCTGACGGGCCGGGCGCGGCCGGGGGGCTCGCGCGCGCGCGTGGGCGGCTGCCCACAGCGTGACGGGGCCCCGAGGCCCCCCCCCGGGAGACAGTAAGCGATGCTGAACCTTTTTTTCTCCCGGTGCGCATGGCCCGAACGGAACCGAGGCTGCTGGGCTCGGGCCGGCCCTGCCCACGCCAACGGGCGGGGGTTGGAGAGGGCTGTGGGGGGGGGGGGGGGGGGGGTTGGTTTCTGGCGAGTCGTCATCGAACAGGCGCGGGTGGGGGAAAGGTTTGGGGGGTAGATTGGCGAATCCTGGAATCAAGCGGCGTCAGCGTGCGTTTCGTCGAGGGGGCATGGACCCTGGAATGACTCGCACGCCGACGGACATGCCGCACGGAGGCTGCGCTGGGGTCCGGCGGGACGGGAAGGGGGAAAAGGGGGAAAAGGGGGGGGGACGAGGCGGTGGACGACACTGAACGACGCCAGGTTTCTCACACTAATATTAAGAAACTAAGGGACGCGCATCTTCCTGGAAATTGAGGCAGGTATCCCCAGATAGACCTAATCTATCTCCTCTTCGAATATATGAGCCCTTGCTATTAGTGCTGCGATGGTGCGCTGCTCTGACCCCGTGATACTCGGGTAAGACGTGACCTACGGACCTGGTGGTTTTGTTGTCGAATGTGAGTTGCCCTAGTAAAGCTAGTAGGTAGGTAATTCTTCCTAGGGCACGTTAGGGGGACGTGAGCGCGTCGCTAGACCAGCATCCCCCATGAAACCCAGGACCGACATTGATACTATCGTTCCTAGATATGACACTTCTCTCTACCTCCCCCTTCCCCCCCTACCTTTGCATTCCGAGTCTCCTCTCCCATCTCCGATGTACCCGCCCTAAGCAGCCACTACTAACCTGCGCACACTGAAAAAGCCTCGCTTGGGTTCCTAGATGAAATTACCTCTAACAGTAGCAGCCAAGTTGCCGATTCGCATGCTGCGGCCGTGCCACCTCTAAAATCCGTATATTCCGCTGCGAGGGCCGCGAGCACTCCCCGGTCGAGCCTCCTGCACATGTTACGTCGCGACGTCTAGTCCGCGCCGTGCACCACGACCATCCTCGGCCATCCACCTCCGCGTGCTGAACCCCCTAGCGTAGGACTGCCTGCGCATAGGTACCTACGTGCGGGCGTGCGGTGCCGCCGCTAAGCGAAAAGACGAAGAAGCACCGTCCGGATCTGATAGCGACTACACGACGACGACGCGACGGGAGTCTCGGGCTGAAGACGCGCGGCGTGTCTCGGAGTTATTAGGACTCCCCACGCAGGTACGCCCGTCTGCAGATCGCAGATCGACGCCACGCCCTGCTCCCCTAGCCCCGTTCTACGTCGACATCCGACCCCAGGTCCGAGATTGCCTGCCTCCTGCGCTTGGCCGCTGCTGGGGCGCGTCTTATGCTAGCTTTGCCGCCGCCGGCTTCCTGTCGCCTACCTCCTTCGCCGCCTGCTCCCTGAGCTCTCGGCGGAGGATCTTGCCCGACTAGCACCGACTGGGTTAGCGAGGGAGAAAGATCTTGCTTCCGTGTTCCCGGGTTCCCCCTTCCCCCCCCTTTTTCTTTCCTTTCGTTATTTTTCATCCGGTCTCCCGTCCTCCCGTGCCATCACTCTTCATCGGGGGGAAGGGGGAGGGGACCGAGACGTGAGGAAAGAAAACTTACCGGGTTCTTGGGTATGGCGTCGACAAACTTGACGCCGCCCGCCAGCCGCTTGTACTTGACGACCCGCGACTCCATCCAGGTGGCGATGTCGCGTTCCGTCTGCTTCACCTCCGGATCCGGCACGATGTACGCGCGCGGCACCTCCTCGCCGCCGATGGTGACGCCGACGACGGCGGCGTCGCGGACGCCCTTGTTGTCCAGCAGCACGGCCTCGAGCTCCGCCGGCGCGACCTGGTTGCCCTTGACCTTGATGAGCTCCTTGATGCGGTCGACGACGTGGAACAGGCCACCCGGCGCGTACTTCTCGACGTACCCGATGTCGCCCGTCTTGAACCAGCGCCGGCCGTCCGGGTCGACGTGTAGCGACGCCGCCGTCGCCTCCGGCCGGTTCCAGTAGCCCTTCAGCAGCGGCGGCCCCGTGACCCAGATCTCGCCCGCCTCGTTCGCCGCCGTGATCTCGCCCCCGTCGTCGATCCGCATCAGCCGCGCCGCGCAGTTGGGCATCATCTCGCCCACCGCCGTCGCCGTGCTCGACGCCGTCGGGTCCCACGACGTGGACGTGCATGTCAGCTCCGTCATGCCCCAGCCCTGGCGGACGCGCACCGCGCCCGGCGGCCACAGCTTAGCTACCTCGTCGCTGACCTCGGCCCCGAGCGGCGCCGCACCGCTGAAGACACCCTCGACGCTGCTCAGGTCGTACTTGCGGCTCAGCGGGCTCTTGGCGAGCATCACCAAGATGGGGGGCACGAGCGGGAGAGCAGTGATGCGGAACTTCTCGACGTACTGCAGCATCTTCTCGAAGTGGAACGAGGGCATGACGTAAACGGGTATGGACTGCTTCGGAAGGTTGCAGACGAAGAACGTCTGGCCGTAAGCGTGGTACATCGGCAGGAGACAGAGGTGGCGGGAGCGCTTCGCCCTCTCTTCGTAATCGGGGTGCAGCTGTTCGAGGTAGTTGGTGCCGACGCCGTTCGCCACGTAGGAGTAGTGCGTGATCTCGACGCCTTTCGGGACGCCCGTCGTGCCAGAGCTGTAGTTGAGGGCGCATACCGCCGTTTTCGTGTCGGCCGGTTCGATCCAGTCGAACTCGGCCGCTTCGGCTTTAGAGGCCAAGAGGGTGGTCCAATGCCGAGTCTGGAGCCTGGCCTGTCCCGGCTTCCGGTCCAGGGCCGTCGCATCGACGGTGTATATGCGGCTCCTGGGCAGATTGGCCCGAGCGGCCGCCTCCACGGCGATCTCCATGCTCGCGTCGGAGGATAAGAGGAACGAGGCGCCGCTGTCTTGCAGTTGGTGGGCCAGTTCGCGCGCGACGAAGCTGGGGTTGGCGCCGGTGAATGTCCCGCCGGCCATCAGGATGCCCATGAAGAAGACTGGGGTGAAGAGGGTGTTGCCGGAGAAGAGCAGAACGCGATCGCCGGGTTTCAGGCCGGCCCGGATCAGGCCGATGGCGAGCCGCTTCGACCATAGGCGGTAATCAGCCTTGGTGATAAAATGCGTGTCGGGACGCTCGGGGTCGACGAACTGAGGGCTGTCGGGGAGGGCGCCGAAGGACGACCCGAACACCCACTTGTGCAGAGACTCGTTCGGTATCGGGACCGTCCATCTCGACGAGATGACCATGGTGAGGGGCGGATGTGCGAAAGGCAGCGATATATAGGTATATGTATATATAAATATAGTCACGCAAGGGGTATTAACTAGGGGAGCGGCTTCAGAGTTTTGCGTATTCTCCCGACCGAGGAGGTACAGCTTCTGGCCTCAGGAGAGCTCAGGGGAACGAGAGGGGGAGGAGGGACAATAGTGGGAGGCTGTCTAAACTACGATACGAAATATCGAATAATACCTCTGTGGTGGTTTCGAGGATGTGCCCAGACCTTGCAGCTTAAATATAAGTGTTACCGTGAGAGACGGAACTCGGCAATACTAAACGGCCTACAGCAATATGGGAACCGTTACTCGCCGGGCCGGTGCTCCCTTCGTGCAGAACAAAGAGGGAGGGCGACAGAAAGACAAAGAAGTGGAAGTGCGAGAGGGAGTGAGCAAACGGCAGCAAAACACGGCCAGAGGGTGTATTGAGTATTTGTACCTACGGCACGAGAGCTCGTCTCTGGCCCTGCGACGGATGCGGGTCGAGCCAAGACGAGCGCTGCCCCGGCTCGAGCACGACAGTATTGCCGTGGTCCGCAGCCCCAACTACTACGTAGTATACGCTCACCCTCGCCTTTTTTGGTAGGTAGATATGATGCGAGTATCGCGATTGGCTCGAGGATCCGGTGGAGGAGGGGGGCAGTGCCAAGCAAGCGACGGCATCTCGTCGCTTCGCTGCCGCCGCCGATGGAGATAAGCACTATCCCCCGCAAAACGGGCTGGGGATGCAGACCGGGGGAGGGGTCCTGGCCCAGAGCCGAGGGTTGGGTGGACCTCCTTTCTGGGCCAGAGTAGCCGATGCTCCTCCATCGCTTGTCTTTGACCCTCGATGCTGCGGACGCGCTTATGCGCCCCCGGAAAAAGGTTGGCCTGTCCTGGATATGGGCTGTACCCACGGACCATTCGGAACATACGCGCATTCGCTGCCGCTGGCTGCCGCACGACGACGTAGGTATATTCGAAACAACAAGCAAACTGCAAACTGCAGTGGCGGAGTCGGGTCGTTCGGGTCATTCGGCTGGCAGAGTGATCGCAGGATGAGACAAAGAGCCAGCCCGGTGGCACGTGGGAGGCGGCGCCCCAGATGGAGAGGACGAATTGCGGGCGAGCGCCATTTCTCGAACCCGAAAACACACCCGACAAGCAGTATCACATTTGCATTTCGGGCGAGACATACCTAAACTACATTGTGGCTCCTCCTCCTCCTCCTTGCCGGCTCCTCCGCTACGCAAGTGGTCACCGCTACTCTTCTAACGTTAATCAAGCTGGTTTTAGGTTAGTCGAAATACGCCTAAAGGTAATACACTTAAAGCAGCAGACGCTTCCTGGTTTTTCGCTAAGTTTTCAATTGCCCCCGTCCCGTTTTTGATCGTGCAGGCGTAATAGGTTGCCGGCTTCGCAACCGCCACTATAATAAAGCCTCCGAACACTGCCCGGTTCGTGTGCAAGGGCTAGAGCCTCGAGGTTGGCATTTGACGTCTCCTGGCGAACCATGTTGTTCTGGGACAGCCACGCCGGGTTTTCCGGGTGGCCCTCGGGTCCGAGATCTTGCCAAACCGATAGCTCGACATGGTCCTGGGAGGCGCGCACCGAGAAGTCAGTGTGACAGCGGGGACAGGCACCGAACAGCTCTCCGCTAGCACCTTGGGTCTCAAGCGCGGCATGAATGACGGCGCCGACCCGACCTACCGGCCCAAACTTGAGCCAAAGGCTGTGGAGGAAGCACAGGTGGGGGCAAACATAAAGGTCTCCGACGGCAAAGGGCGATATCGGCTCGATGTCCGTATGGTATAGCCAAGTAGACAGAGTCATGTACCTCAGGTTGTTGTCCGCACCCACGACAACCTTGGGATAGACCAAATATCGGGCGGCCAGCACACCGGGCCGGCATGGGTATATGTGCGTGACGAAGTTGTCGTCGCGATAGGGTTCCAGTAACTTTTGGAGATATTCGCGGTGACCCTCATCCCGCAAGCGCGTGTACTTGAGGGCAAGCTGGACGTGCCGGTGATCCAGTCGGACTAAACGAGAGTCCAACCGGTGCCTTCTATAATGGTACGCACGGTGGCGCCACGAATCCCACCCCAGAGGGCAAGACATATGCTGCGGTTCTTTGGGAGTGTCGAGGTTGACGACACGATGGAGCTTGACGCACGCCTCACACACCCACCGTTCGGGGAGGTCGCGGGCGACTCCAGCTAGATACTCCAGGCGCTGGTGGCGCTCGAGCGTCGCTGCCGAATGGCTGCCAAGAACAGCGCGCAGCGAGCAGCAAGTCTGGGAGAGGAGGGCCCGGCTAGCCGACGAAAGCGCTTGCGATATGAGCAAGATGACATCGACCGGGAGTTGGAGGAGGGCGCAGTCGGGATTCTGCGCTATCGGGCGGAGGCTGCCGTCGATACTCCCCTCGTCCTCCCGGGACCGCACGCACCTATTACGGGTATCGGCGACGAGACGGCGAATGGCGCAGAGGGGGCTCGTCATGGTGATGGAAGGGATAGTGGTGAAGAAGTACAGATGCTTCGGGCGTTGCCGAGGGGAGCCAGAGTATGGATCAGCAGGTAGGTAAGATGCTGGATAGGAGGAGGGAGAGGAGGGAGAGGAGGGAGAGGAGAGAGAGGAGAGAGAGGTATATCACCTACCTACCTGGTTTTACTAAATCATCACCTACTAACACGTCGGTTTAAGTAAATTATTGTCCACCTTTTCAGGTGCGAATCCGTAGCTTTTCTTCGAGGTAGGTGCCCTAAGTAGTTATGCAACTCCGTAGGGTAATAACCACACACGTATCTATCACGTATTAGCATGCGCTTTACAACTTGGAGCCGCGTCTTTTCCCATGCCACGTAGCAATTGAACCAGTCCTTGTAAGCCTACACACCACAACTCGTAAAAGTAGGCGTCTACGTTTTACGCAACATCCCGCCTTGCGCCCTCTTCTGTCTTCTTCTACGTCTTCGACTTTCTTTTCATCTTTGACTCTCCCCAGAAAGTCATCACCACTGCTATGTCCGGTGCAGCTCCCACTTAGGTGCTGGCGGTCGCCGCCATAGTCACGATCTTGTGGAACGTCCTCGTTGCCTACGCGAGATGGGGTTTTCTCGGAGAGGCAGTAAAGCGGCTGGCAACCGGGCCGACCCATGTAGTGACGGCCAGGTTCGACGTTGCATCGTTCCCGAACATCGTTACGAGGGTAGACTCGGATCTGGGCTGAGCTCGACAGATCGGAGAACGTCACCGAATATTATTCGGCGGGGGACGAGTCCCACCCGAGCGGATAATGACGCGGCAGGACTATTCGATTTGAACGCGACCGAACCGGCTCGAGCGAAATACAAAAATGCAGACACGCAGTAGACAAGCTCAGCGCAGCCACCTGCCTTTCGAGCGAGTTTTGAAGACTCCGGAAGGGCGGAAAACGCAGCCGATGGAACTCCCACCGAAGGCAGCACTTACAACCGACCGTATGCTCTCTGTTCTCGAGCAACATCAACTTGTCTTTTCACAGGTTGTCATCCGTTTCGGTACCGGCTACAAATAATACCCCGGGGGCGAGATGCCCGACCAATCTTGCCGCACGAGCCGTCTAAAGTCTCGAATGGGCTTTCTTGGGGCAATGAGAGAACGGGAATCGCCTTATCGGGGGAGGGGGGGCTTGAGAGGGTTAGGCTGAACTGCCTTTGAATGGAAAGGGGAGCATGCTTGGGAACAAGCCGTGGCGGGCAAGGATTTTAGGACGAGTGGTGCTGTTCTATTACGTTGTAATATCGCGAAGAAGACCTAAGCAATTACACTTCCTATTTGCTCCTGTTACGTTTTCTTCGTGGGCTACGTGAATTTATATTGGCAGGATTTCTTAGGTGACGCCCGTTTTAACACACAGTCGGTGTGTATTGAGATCACAATTGAAGCATATTATTATTCCCAGGACACTGATCTGACCCGAGCTGTCATGTCTTGTTCCGGTACTTGCCAGGCTCGCCACAACAAAGTGCCCGTCGAGTGAGTTTTGAAAGTGGTTGAGCACATTTTGGACACTCCGAAAGCCTCGAATGCTCATCATAGTTGGGGAGAGTCAGGTGCTGTAGAGGCATGAGGTATCTTTTGGGTCGGGTTGGGTAGCTGGCGATGTCACTTGCTTGGGGAAGAGGGGGGTTTCCCCGCGTGCCCACGGGAACGCCATAGCCAACAGGAATTAGAAGATAGTATGCGCAACTCCGACACATGGAATTCAAGTAACAGGTCGAGCTTGATAAGGTACAGAGGCCAGACCTTAAGATTGGACCGACATGACGACGCCGTCAACACAGGGCTCCTCTATCAGCTCCTCTGATGTCCCTACTGGTACGGCATGCGTCCCCTCCCAGGTGTCCTCTCCCACCCCTTCTGCTCCTCCTCTTCTTCTTACTCAATCCAGTCGCTCCTCCATATAAACCAACACACCCGCTACTAACCCCACTTTCTAAGGTAATCAACGGTAAGATTGCCATATTCTTAGTAGAGGACCTTCCCGCTGGCGTCGGTGACGGGCATCGCACCAGGAAGCTCTTTCAGCCCTGTGACAGATAGGTATGTGAGCATTACGGCGGCCCACGGACGAGACATAGGAGGAAAGCTGGGAGGAGAGAGGGAAAGAAAGGAAAGGAAGGAAGGGGGGGAGGTTGCTCACAGCCGTCGATGTCTTCGTTGACGGTCTTCTTGACGGTGCACTGGTTACCCTGCTGGATGGACTGGGAGCGGAGCTGGGGGCAGTTGATGTTGCAGTTGGTGTCCATGGCCTGCTGAAGGGCGTCACCCTTCCAGCCGAAGACGTAGTCGCCGTGGTTGCCGTAGCCGGTGGGGTCGCCGTAGGACCAGACGAAGGGCTGGGAGCCGTCGGTTGGCCAGTCGGCTGGATTGTTGAACGGCGTCGTGTCCCATATGACCTCGAAGAAGAGCTGCGGGATCTTGACCGGGTGTGTCGCCGGGCACGGCCCGCCGCTCTCAAACGTGCCGCTCTGCGGGTACGCCACGTGGCTCGAGTGGTCCGCCGTATCGAGGTTCTTGCCGTCCCAGCACCTGCCCGCTGTTAACACACACACACACACGCACTCGCACTCGCACTCGCCAGTTCGGCGGGAGAAGTCTGTCCGTCATGTAAACGAAAAGGGGGGGAGGGGGGGGGGCGCTTACGTTGGGAAGCGGATGTTAGACATGATGCCAGCCTTGCACGGCTTCTTCGGCAAGTCCATCGTCTCGCCCGTTCGGGTCAGGATGTTCTCGAGGCAGGTGTACGTAAGCTGGCGGTACTTGCTGGCCTGAGCCTGGGTTCGGTAGCTCGGGTCCCCGACAATCATACGGAAGCCCTGGCACGTACGTTAGGAAGGATCGAGGTAGGTATAGAGAAGAGGAGGGAGAGGAGAATGCAAAAAAGGGGTGGCTTACAGGCTTGAAAGCGGTAACCTTGGCGTTGTTGTAGCTGGGCGTGTAGTAGACGGTCATGCCGCCCTGCGCCGCTTCGAAGCCCAAGTTGGGGATCTGCTGCACACGCTTGAAGGTGCCGTTACGCGCGCGGAAGTACAGCACAGCGGTCCAGTAGTTGGACAGGTCGTCGGCGAAGGTGCAGGTGGTGCAGGTGGCCTGGCTGGGAAGGTCTACACGAGGATGTTCCATCGACGCGTTGAAGGCATTCTAGCACTGTTATTAGCTGGTTATCTGGGTCTAGTCCCGCCCCGTCTCCTTCAGCTTTTCGGGGCTTCTATGAGCCTTGATAGTATTTATTACATACACCGCCGATGATCTGGTGGACGTGCGGTGAGGCCGTCACGCCGGGGAAAACCAGAGGGTCCAGACGCTCGACGACGAGCTGCGAGCATGAGAATCGAAGCAGCGCGCGGGCGCCTGGCGCGAGGAGTGCCAGGCCCGCGGCGACGGAGTGGATGGTCGGCTGCATCTTGTTTGCGCGGGAGCCGCGACAAGGGGGAAAAGGCAACGAGGGTTTCGCGATGGGTTGTCCGCAGATTCGCTGGAGCTAACGATGCGGACTCGCCCCCTATTTAACCCCGTAGCTTGCGAACACACCTTCCTCATATTCTCCGGATCGTCTATTGTTCTGTTTCCCCTTTGCGCAGCAGGCTGTTGCTGTGCGGCTACGCGCACCGTCGTATCGCACCCCAACGGTTAATGTCGCGATATAGCCGAGATATTCATCCTCCCCCCTGGCCCCGGTCTCTCGTAGGGATAAGGAACCGCGAATGATCACACAGATGCTCCGGGCGCAGCCGAGGGGAGTCAGAGTATGGATTGGTGGGTGGGTAAGATGTTGGATAGGGATGGGGAGAGGGAGATAGAGAAGGAGAGGGAGAGGAGCGGGAGGGGGAGAGGGAGAGGGAAAGGGAGGTGATATCCTCCTCCTAGGTTTCTTACGCGACCTATAAAAACTCCGTGACGGACGGTTCAGTTACGTAACGGCCTTAGGTATTATTTACCTACCTGTTTTGAATCATCGCCTGTTAATACATCGGTATATAATTATGATCTATTTCAGGTACGAGTCCGTAGCTTTTCTTCTAGGTGGGTGCCCTAAGTAGTTATGCAACTCCGTAGGGTAATAACCACATACGTATTCATCAAGTAGCATGCCCTCTGTGCCTCTTGAAGCCGCGTCTTTTCCCACTGTATAGGTAGGTATGCATTCATATCACCCACCTCTTGATACACCAACTTTGAAATATCATTAATCCACCTCTCAACTTACGAAAACGGGAGACGGGCCAGCCTAGGCGGAGGCCGCAATCCACGCGTTCTCAGTTTTGAGAGACACCTTTCTGACAATGGCGCGCGTCGGACTCTTTAGTGAAGCCGTCAGAATGCATTTCACGGAACCCACCCGGCCAGACGTTTCCACTCCGGCAATCCAAAGAGACGTTACCTAACAACGTCAGAAGCGTGGTCCGGGGTGGCATTGGGGGCGTCAAAAACGCGATCCAGCGTCTAGAAGATAAAACATAACCTGTACAGGGACGCAATGGTAATTCTCCCAAGTGCTACGATGCCACCTAATACCTACTAATTCGCCTTGCTAGGCCAAGCACTACCACCAGGCAACTAGCAGCTGCTATTTCGGCTACGTTGAGTGTGAAAGGCGGGATAGCGGGGGTGCCGACTGGGCGGCTGACCTGCAGTCTGAATAGGTATTAATATGGCGATATTGGCCAGGATTCAAGCTCGTCACATGCCTGTCTCGGTACCATCGGGTGAGCTTTTCGGGGTCGAGTTGCGTTAGAGAAACGGGGATTCTCCGAAGCCACGACTGGAGCCCCTTGTCCTTGCGTGAACGGCAACATCGTAGCGCGTCTGAGGCCAGAATCCTCAGATATTTCTATAATAACACACTAGAAGCGTTCCACTCCACCAACATCTATGTATAGTCACACGGACGGGATTGTATCGAGGCAGGTATAAGTCGACCCGCCAATAATACCTACCTACCTGTTAAGGGGTGCACTGTGAAGAAGAGGTTTAGGTGATACGGAAGTTGGAGTTGCGAGAACAGCCGATCTAGAACAGAGTCCGACGAACGTTTGCATTCTGGAATTACCAATACAGACTAACCCCAAGACACACCACATCTCCCAGACCAAAGGCACGAGACGCCCTCGTCACATCCCGAAATGCTTCCCGTGAAATTCCATAACCTCGGGGCTAGCACCTCTCACCGCTCGCAAAGCTCTCTGGCTACCTTCGATCTTGAGGCCCTCCAAAGACCTCGCTCTTGATAAGGCGACATAGGCTTGGCCATGCTCCCACACCCTCGACGGGTCAAATACGACTCTGTCCAAAGTCATACCCTGACTTCTGTGAACGCTCATCGCCCACGCAGGGGCCAATGGAATTTGCGTGCGACACATAAAACTGTACGGCCTCTTATCGCCAAACAAATGAGCGAAAAATACAGGGATAACGAGTCTTGTTACGCCGTTATGGAACTTGACGATCGGAAGGACCTTCTCCTTGAGTCCATCTGTGAACTTCCGGTGAATGTCGCTCTCAAGAGTAACTAGTATTTCCTTGGCTTTATCCTTACGGTTGCGCCTTGAACCAATGAATTCGCTGACTGTTTGGAGGCTTGCGTAGTCTATAGGCGTAAATCCGCATATGACGCCCTGGGACCCGTTGCAGAGCCCGCTATTGAGGTCTTGGTTCGTGAGTAAAACCACCACCATACCCTCTTTTAGCTCGACAACGCGCTCGAGTTTATACGCATCGAGGGCGGGTACGAAGCCATCGCGCGATCTCTGCATTACTTTTCCAAGGTGCGGATGCAGCTTCGCTTCCCAACTAAGGTCATCAAAACTCTGGTATGTGAACTTCCTGGTCGGGAGCTGTCGGAAGATCTCCCGGTTAAACCACTGTGCTTCCCGGCGCGTCGGGCAAAGCCTAGTGGCATTCTCCGTGTTGCACGGGTGATTCATGAGCAATTTGATCTCGCTCTCGGACAGGGCCTCTCCAATCCGGATCTTCCGCAGTAGGCCTATAAACACCCTGTCACTCTGACGGTGGATGGTCTTCAGGGCAAAGTAGACAAAGTTGCACTCCTCCCACGTCTGGCTTTGGAATGCCCATTTGTCTCTGTCGTGGAAATTCCCGTGGTCCTGGCAAACGTACTTCCTCCCGAAACGACTCCGGATCTCGGCCAATTCTTTGCCGCAAGTGACACAGTATTGGAACGGCTTCACGGGCGGAAGTTGGTGGAAATCCCTAGTAACGACCAACTGGACGCCACCGAAAGGCTCGGAGGATCCTCGAGCTGCCTTCATAACATTACTGAGCCGAGTGAAGTGGGAGTTCTCTACCATGCTGATTTCATCAATGACCAGGACATCCGTCGAGATGAATCGATCATTAGCGGCCTCAGCCCGAGGGGCTGTAAGAAGATCCAATAAGGTACCCTTGTGTGAATACGGGGACCATCCCGCATAGGACCATATCGTCGAGCCGCCGACATTCAGCGCCGACAGGCCAGTTGGGGTGATAACATGAACTCTCTTGTTCTTGGCTTCAAACCTTTTTCTGAAAGCCTTCAAGACGGCAGACTTTCCACTCCCTGCCGGGCCCGTGTAGAAAACATTCCCCCCTCTCATGATCGTCTCGACTAATTCGACCTGCTCAGGGCACAACGGCAACTCGTCGTCGTTGTGGCGTCCATAGTTATCTTCGTCATCTTCTTGGCTGGCAGCCTGCGGATACGATCGCCATGGGGTCCAGTTAGGGAGAAAGTCACGGTCGTGCGAGAGACGGACTCCCGCCCCGTGGCCTAATTTGTTTGCCATTAGCTATAAAGCCTAGGCTCGGGGGGTTACAAAAGGGGTGGGCGGGTTAAGTTGACATTAAGGATACAGGGAACTCACGAGTAGACCGAGACGCGGAACGAACCAGATTTGCATGTTGGCGATGACGGAACTTCGCCGCAAAAGTCGCGGCGCATTTAGCTGAGCTTGCTGCGCCGATACCGAGGCGACCTAGTGCAGGCCACAGCCTGGCGGCTCTCGTGATAGGCGCCATTCTCCTGGCCCCGATTCGGTGCTGGGGCCTCTCGGACGGTTCAGCCGCTGGGCGATTTCATCAAACTCGCGTAGGTGATGAAGTGTGGCGAGTAGGCGACGAGAAAGGAGCTCGGAACGTAGATACGTTGTAGGTAGGAAAGAAGGTGAAATATTTACGTTTTGGTGCGTTGCGCTGTTGTCTTGTGTTGCGCGCGACTTGTTACGCGTCTTCTAACACCGGGGTTGGTAGGGCAATAACCTCACGACTTCCTACTTAGGCATATGACGGCTAGAATACGACCCTGGATTTGGGACCGTCAGGTAGTCTCGCCACCGCCTCTCCATTCTCAAGTTATCTTAAGCAACAAATTTGAACAGTGATTGCGTGAAACTTGGTTGTATTGCGGTGCAAGAAACACGAGATATGACGGAAGAGTTGTGAGTTGGTTTTTATTAATATGAAAAGGATATCAATGATTAGTTTAGGATATTGTCAGCCAGCCAAGACGAAAGACGACAGCCAAGACACGACCAGGGCCTCTCGTCGGTACGGCAACTAAGGAGGAATGGGCCTCCGGTTCTTCGGAGGAGGTGGGCCATAATCGCTTTATGTCACGTAAAAGCGTTGACGCCTGTATGTCTTCGTTTGGATATGCAAGCTTATACAGGCGGGAATTTTCCTTCAGGACACGTTGCGCCTACTAAGTCGGCTTGTAGGTGTGCCCTCGCTCGCGAGGGTGTTTGATGAAGCTCCGGGTCTTGCGGCCACCGGTCTGGATGTAGGCCCCCTGCTGGGGATCTGTCAGGCCACAGAAGTTTTGTAGCGATATCAGAGGCATAACCTCTCCGGAAGTTGTTCGAGTCTCCTATAAACAGCAAATCTCCGCCTTCGGGAAAGCGATGGGCTGTTGTTTGAGCCTCTCTTCGGTCGTAGGAAGCAAGGATGCTTCTGAGGATGCTCCACTGCTGGGTGAAAACGTAGACGTCTACATTTCCCTATTTAGATACGCAGGCTTATATAGGTAGGATTCCCTACATGACATCTCTATAAGCCTGCATATCCAAATGGGGAAATGTAACAGGAGCAAGCAGGAAGTGTAGTTGCTTAGGTCTTCCTCGCAATACCACAACGTGATAGAACAGTGCTACTCGTCCTAACATCCCTCCCCCTTACTGCTTGTTCCCAAGCATGCTCTCTCCCTTCCATCCAGAGGCAGTTCAGGCTTACATATCCAAATGGGGAAATGTAGGCGTCTACGTTTTCACCTAGCAGTGGGGCATCCTTCGTGCCAGATCCCGTCAGACCTGCATTGTCATGGCCAGGAAGCGGCGCTGTGGGCAACGCTAGAAACGGAAATGCCGAACGACTCCTCGTCGTTATCGGACGTGCATGGCTGTCAGTCGATAGAATAGTTGCCGATGAACTTGACGTCGATGGACCCTCAGGCACCTGTCGCCGCCGACTTCCGTTCCGGTATCATGGTGAGCGACGCTAGACCAGTGATCAGTTGCCTGTGTGAAAATATTTGAGAGGCTAAAGGAACCTCGCCAACCGGACAAACAAACCGGCCTCCGAAGAGCACCAACAAGGTGGAATGGGCTGAGGAAAATGGGTGAAAGTTCAGAGAGGATCCTGGTAGGATATAATTTGGCAACAGAGTAGTACCTAGTGTATCACGTAGGAGGCGATAGGTGTTGGAGTCGGGGACCTTTTGATGATAGGTAGGTAGGTATATAGAGCGAGTGGACAGTGGTTGATTAATCATGTTGTTATCAGTTGGTTGTTCGATTACGAATTGAATTCGTCAACGGAGTTGGCTCATCTCATGCGAGCTACTTAGGTACCTAGGTAGGTAGGTCCCTGCACAGAGGTGTGGCTGTGCGAAACAGCCACCTAAGGCTCAACCCCCACCGTTTCAAAGACCTTCTTGCTGGACTGTGTTCCTCCTCCCACACCCGTAGCTTACCTACGTCGTAGTCAAGCGGAAGTGAAGCTCAAGCGATCAATGAATTAGATAATTAGCAAGGCCTCGTCGACATTTCGGAGCTCCATACGCAAAAAATCGCAAAAATATCGACGCCGCACTGGCCCAGACTCCGCCTACGGGCAAGTTGCTCCATGGCAGCGACGCGAGAGCTCAGAGCCGCCACCCAGAAGACGAAGGGAACAGGGAATGTAGGTAGGTATTTCTTCGAGACTGACCAGCCAATGTTGCCTTGGCCCCCCTACCACTTTGGGAACTGGTGATGAGCCTTCGAAAAGACGAGCTTCTTATCCCGGACACTCTCGTATGCAACCAGCTGGTCTCTCCAACTCGCGGGGCGTCGGTGGGGGTTCGTGGCGAGGAGATTTCCCGAAGCCGCCCATCGACATCAAAGCCAGCCTCACTCAACATTTGACCAAGTCAGCCAACTACGTCCACGTCTTAGGCTTCGCCCGTAAGAATATCCTACCCGAAACGATTATCGCGACTGCGGCAGCGCCTCCGGCCCTCATTGGCCTTTTCTAGTCGAGTTTGGGAAATTTGGAAGAGGGGACGGGGTCACCCAACAGGTCGGCGACGAGGACTGAACTTGCGCCTACCGTTACCCTCAACGGTAGGGGCCAAAATTGGAGCACACGTACGTGACGCAGCACGACATCTATAGCCTGGAGGTGTGCTCATTAGAGCCTGGCCTATGGGACTCTCTTGCGAGGTACGACAACACAGGCACAGCAGCAGCGTAGTCTGCCGCGATGGAGGCAGCTCGCCAGGATTGTCCTAAGGGCGATACACCGAGAAGGTATGCTCCCATACAGCCATTGACCCTGGCGGGTTTCGGCGGCCTCAAACCGTTAACAGGTCATTTTACGACTCAGTGGTGTCTCTGTGTAACAGACAATGACTACATGTAGGGACGTAGTAGAATAGCCATCAACACAAAGCGTAGCCTATCTACCTCAGCAACGCATCATAAGGAGAGAGCGAGCAGGTGCTGGGGTGTATCGATCCATCCTTTGTCTACCTTTACAGAACTCTTACCACTGACAACATGCCAACCAAGTCTAAGATGAGGACGCCGTCGGGTATTAGGGTATTCTACATAAGCAGGTATTCCACGTAGCCATAATCTCCTAGCCACAGAGTCGTTGTCGTAATCATGAGCCAGGAACTCGGTGTGATTAGAGCAATACTAGGTAGAAATATCAAGATGAATAGACGCCCTCTGGACGGAGAGCCTACTGCGCCCAAATCGCGCCGCCCCTCGCATTTAATGGTTATTAGCTCATCAGCGAGTGGTTAATCTATGCTACTTTGACAGGCACACTCTGTTTATCGTGGCTCCCATTGAGCCAATCTTAGTCGGGATCTACCGTCCACCGCATACGCCAGTCAGCACTACGCAAGCCCTCCCTCTCCCCCCTCCCTCTCGTCGAGGGGAGAAGGTAGGTAGTACAAAGGGGGGTTTCCGCATCCCGTCACCATTGGCTCGGTCCCTCGCAGCCCGTCCGTTGCTGTCCCCTGCCCTCCCAACCCAGCTACGACGTCGACGGCGGCGGCGACGGCGGCGAGGGGGGGGCCTCCCTGGCGAAGGCCTCGGCGAGCTCGCGGACGCAGTCGTCGAGGAACTCGCGCGCGGCCGGGTTCGCGCCGTCCCACTGGGCGAAGGGGTGGCCCTGGCCGGGGTAGATCTTGAGGCGGCTCGGGGTGCCGGCGGCGCGCAGCTTGGCGTGGTAGGCGGTGCCCTCGTCGACGAGGGGGTCGACGCCGGCGCAGCGGATGACGGCGGGGGCGAGGCCGGCGTGGGAGGCGGCGGCGATGGGGGACGCGCGGGGGTCGGCGGCGCGGGCCTCGCGCCCGGCGTCGGTGCCGAGCCACAGGTTGTAGAACCAGCGCAGGCGGTGCAGCGGCAGCGACGGCGCGTGCTCGAGCCGGACGTAGCTGGCGTAGGGGGTGGCGGCGGGGTCGCAGGGGCCCTCGCGCGGCACGAAGCGGGCGTCGACGACGGGCACGATGAGCAGCTGGACGGCGAGCGGGGGCACGGCGGGGTCGTCGCGGGCGCGCAGGGCGAGCGCGGCGGCGAGGCAGCCGCCGGCGGACAGGCCGGCGACGCCGACGCGGGCCGGGTCGACGCCGAGCGCGGTCGCGCGGTCGAGCGTCCAGCGCAGCGCCGCCCACGCGTCCTCGGCCGCGACCGGGTGCGCGAACGCGGGCGCGAGCCGGTAGTCGACGTTGACCACAACGCAGCCGACGCGCTGGCACAGCTTGCGGCACAGCGGCTCGTCCGAGTCGAGCCCGCCGATGACGAAGCCGCCGCCGTGGAAGTTGACGAGCGCGGGGAGCCGCCCGTCCGCGCCCCGCGCGAGCCCGCCGGCCGCCGCCGCCGCCGCCGTCGGCACGTACACCTGCACCGCGATCTCGCCCGGCGGGTCCGAGACCGGGACCTTGTACAGCGCGTTGCTCGCGACCTCGGGCGCCGGCGCGGCCACCTCGGCCGTCGGGAAGGTGTACGTCTGCGGATCCTTGATGTAGACCTCGTACGGGACTTGGTCTGCGCGAAGCCTCGGGGCTGCGTGCTGGTCAGCGAGGGGGCGACGGAGACGGGTGGTGAAGCGGAGGACGGGTGGGTGCAGGAGCGGTAGCGGCAGTAGCAGTGACGGCGGCAGTGCGAGCGAGGGTAGTGATGATGATACCTTGATACCGAGTGTAGATCTCGGCGTAGACGGGGTCGACCAGGTCAACCACGGAGGGGTGGAGAGGGTTGACTAGCGTTGGACCCTCGGCGGGACCCATGATGCGGCGAATGTAGAGGTTCGTGGGCACAGAAACTCAATGCAAGTTTAAGAAGACAATAGTAAGCCAGGCCAACTAGAGTTGATGTTGAATATCCTAGGCTCAGAGGAAATTCTCCCAGTTCTCAGAAGTGTAGAAGTGTAGTTTTCGTCTTGGTAAATAGAATACCCAAGTCCCCTCCTCCTTCCTCAGCCAAAGATGGGGGCGTGGTGAAGCTGCGACAGACCATAGTTAAGACCTCCGGGCTCGGCACATCCCAGCTTCCCATATCGTTCCTCTGACATCTCACGCTGCCACTCCACATGCACTACCTCGCTACTGTCGTGGGGGTCAACAGTAGCACCCGGACGCGGATGGCCAGAACGAGCGCAGGCGATCACGGAACACCGGGTTCTACCTTGGGCCGGGATCGCAGTCGGACATCATGTAGGCGCCCGTCGGCATGTCTAAGAGGCGGGGGGGGGACTGGGGGGGTATCGCAGAGTCCTTGCGCGCGTGGGGGGGAGGAAGGGTTGGGGTTATCGATTATCCTCGAGTAGATTCGGTTCGGACCCAGGCCAGGTGGCTCATTCACATTTTAAAGGGGACACCCGAAATCTCGGAGTTCTGATTCCGTAGGTTAGAGGCTGTGTTAGAAAGATATCGAGATATCTCCGTCTCACGACGAGATCTTGGCATGGAAATTTAACGACGGCTACCCCAGATCCTCTCTATTGTAATTCAGCAAGCAGCATCAGAAAACTTGTTCGTTACCCTCTCCAGTCAGTCCGACGCCGAGCAGGTGTTAGTACCGGTACATATGCCTTTTACTCCGACTGCTGGGCCCTGGCGCTCGCGTGACCTCTCCCAAATATGGAAATCTCAGCACTGTACGCCGAAGCCTTCATCCTAGACCCCGACACAAGACGTAGCTTCGCTGCTCGAAAGAACGGAAATCGGTGATGAGAAAATTGGTGACAGGCTCGGTGCCTTGCCAGAATGCGCTTGAATCCACGATTGGGCCCCTTGTGATAATGCTGCATGATGGTGGCCTAGGGAGAACAGAGAAGATCCTCCGCCTAGGTATAGGCTACGTGGAAGGGCTGTAGGATGCGCTAGGAGGGGATAAGAAGGGTGTCACCACCGGGAGGGCGAACCGGTGATCATCAAAAGGGTATAACGAGGTACCTATATCTCAATTCCTGAGCGAAAAGGTGATTCCTATGTTTAGGTAAGGATAACTTAAACATATTAGTCCAGTAATATCGGCGTAAGAACATTGTAGTCTATTATACCTAGGTGAGGGTGAATGCTCTGACCACGGGAGCCTATACGCCCATAGCCCTGGGGTGGTCTTTCTGAATCTCCCAAGTCTGATATTTAGGTAATAAGGGGTAGGGTTACATGAGTCAACACCGTCCATAGAATTTGACTCTAATAGCATGGCCAGGCAATGCCAGTGACAGATGAGACCCCTCTGGCCAGCCATGTAGGTTAAAATCAAAGCTAGCTTCAAACAAACTCAATATCACTGATGGAGCCGTCTTGGTATGTTCCCCAACTCACCAAGGGACATGGAAATAAGAGCAGCTAATTTCCAAAGGTACTCACGAGCCCTTTTGAAATCGGAGGCCTCCAAGTATAGCCTCTCATCACAGGATTTAGATTTACAGGTATTGATTACATGGGCTGTAAGCCAGCGGTGGATACGGTGCCATTATTTCTAAGAACTAGCTACCTACGGTATTTCTCATCCTTATGCTTGCGGTTTATATTCGGACTCGTAACGGCTAGTATATCAGAGTGTCCTATTCCTTGCTCTCAACCCGAAAAAAGACACGTAGGTCTTCGGCGCGGCTGTATGCTCTTTGGTTCGGGTCTCACCCTCGAATCCTTAAGTTCTCCTATCTTAGTGTCTGGCCTAGGCCCCGAATACTGTAGTGTGTCGGTGACCTGGTTAGGACCCTGTTTCCTGTACCTATAGAGGAAAGCCTGTAGTCTTACGGAACCATCACATTGACTACGACGCCTATAACAGTGTTGTATCCACGAAGAGTACTCGGCTCGTCGCCTGTGTGCTAATAAATAGCTGATAACCATACTTCCTCAGGGAGTGAATGAAAGCCGTAACTAGCATATATTAGCTCATAGTCAAGGTCCCGTCAAGTTTGTCAAGGCTATAAACAATCGAATGTATGATACAGAGGCGAGTACGTTCACTCGGCGATGCTCAGGTGGTATCTATGAGGCAGGCTGGCGAACTCGGGGCGGCATACTGAACCGATGGCTAGCTTCGCAGGTTTCATCCATACTTATCTAGACCTTTGTTTAGGTACTATATCCTCATATTACGATGTGGTGGGTGAGGTTGGCCGACATCATCTGGGTTGAAAAGAGGCAGACGCATCCTTGACCTTCTAGGGTCGCTATTGTCAATCAGTCCGAGTTTCGTGACAGCATCTTTAGCTTTTTGTCCATGGCCTGCCAGTATTACCTACCGCCCGGCCTGGTTGCGGAAATCGACCTAGAGACACGGCTTGGGCCATGGGGTAAGGGCACACAACTTTTGGCGGTAGACTCGATCGCATCATAGCGCTCAACTTGGCGGTGTCCGGCGGCGGCTGGATGTAGGTACCTACCGTGACACTAAGCCAGTAAGCAGAGGCTTGGTGCTGGCGATGTTCTCGACCAGATTTCGGGTAAATATGGCGTAGGGAACAGAGAGTTCGGTCGATCAAAGAAGTGTTTCAGCCTGCGGGACATCGTCGTAATAGGCAGTATAAAGCCGTGAGTGTCCACCACGACAAGGTATATGCGGTATGCACTAAATGGCTTCTGCGATAAAGGGGCGGTAAGGGAGGCAATAATCTGGTGGCAAGTGTTGCATCCACGTCGTGATGAATCCATCTGTGCTTAGTGCTCCCCCTAAGCCCAACTATTCCACGTAAGTACTTGGTCTGTCCCGTTGGGTGAGCGAAGCGGGATTTGCAGGGCATCATCTTGGTATTTCCAACTTTACGGAAGGGGGGCTATCGACGGACAGATAAGGAAAAAAGACCACGGCTCGTCATCGGAAGACGCCAGCCCAAACTGTTGGCAATTAAGGTAAGCTAGCCCAACTTATCGCGGTGGAGGCGGGTCATTCGTGATTTCGCACGGGATTCGAGGTTATTTTAGTATTCCCATCCATGCCCACGCCTGTGACACTCTTGCTAGCGACGAGAGGAGGTAGATGCAAAAGCGGCCTCGTCGGCTTGCCGACAGGTGTGGAAATTGGGGTCTAGGCTGGCTCAAAATGGCCATCATCGAGGGTTGATTTAACCAAACGGAGCGCCCCTTGCGACATTCCGACGCCCCCCCCCCCGTCTCGTGAACAGCTGATGATCCGGTATTTGTATCAAAATCTAGAGCAGCGTCTTCACGGCACACAGTCCAGGGTTTTACGAGCGCAGCAGACCAAGTGATGTGTAGCCCAAGAGACCATGGCCGGGAGATGACGACATGGAATGCGGACTCCGCGCGCAAAGTCGTATACCGTATAATATACGGTGACCACGATATGCGGACACGATGACCCGAGTAGCGTCAGGTCGCCGGCTAGCTGGCCGACGGTATGCATCGGCGCACGCGTGCGCATAGGTGTATATACATACGCATAACCTTCGAGGCAGGTAGGCCGACGGCCGGGTCATTGCTTAAACCTAGAGAATGCCCGAGTCCGATCGCAGGGCGATGCGCGATGGGCAAGGGAGGGGGAGAGGGACCGGGTTTCCCAATCGCCCTCGTCGGTCGGTTGGGCTCAGAACCGTTGGCTGCGTCCTGCCCTCATCTGATTTGCCGTGTGCGAGGGACAGCGTGATATTATGTAGGTAGAGTCAGCAGTGCTACGAACGGCCGCTCTCGTCGCGACTGGTTGACGGAGGGGCTGGGGGCGCTACATAGGATAGGTAGGCATTCGTTCGTCTGGGAGTTGGTGGGATCGCGGAGAGGATTTATTTGTTGGCTAGCTGGCCGATCGCAGGCCTCTTCTCTGCTTGTTCTTCTCACAACCCCCGCCCCACTGCACGTCGGTGTATGTGGGTGGTACGCACGTAGATGATGGGGAGCATTTTGGGATGCGTCGTCGGGGATTTGCCTGGCTTTTCCCTTTCGAAACCGGAGGGGCGACGCCGGAAACTTGGGGGAGGAGAGAGGGAACAGCGCCGGCCGAGGCATAACGTAGGTATGATAGCTACCAACCCAGCAAGCCCATGCAGCCGTCCATACGGAGTTGTAGGTATGCGTAGGCAGCTATGTCGATTATCGATGTGAGTACAACATCTATGCCTCCCTGTCTTCCCTCCACCCGTCCACGGCACGGGATAAGGGAGTACCTACCTACTAGTAAGGTGCCTACATGTAGGCAAAGGGCCGCAAATGGCAAGGCGTTGCGGTGATGAAGCGCGTTGCCTCTAACGCCGTGTCCTGTACTCATATTGCGTTGATGTGAGGCGACGTAGGGGTAGGATGTATGGAGTTGGTATGAGGGACAGGTGGGAGGTACCTGTCTAGGTATGTACATAGGAGAGGTACCTGCCCAGGTAGGCCGATGGGTGGGGTCGCGTTCCATATGCAGGTACCTGCCTCTACTTGTGTCTCCTACCCTAGTATGGTACCTGTACATCAACCTCAGTACACGGTGGCACGGCTGCCTTGGGAGATCAAGTACCTAGCCTGGGCGCCGGCCTCCTAACAGGTACCTCCTCGGTAGCCTCTCTCCTAAGGTTGGCGCCGGATTGGCGCCTGGTTGGCTCGAGCTTACCACGAGTACCCCCGGCCCCCGGTGGTACATGCGCGTGTCGCATCGCGTCGACCGTACGGGCAGGTAGATCTCGACGCCTCGGGTACTTCGCAGCGGGTGTGGTTCAACCTTGATGCGCCCGCAGATGCTGCGTCGCGGACAAGAGCCACGCTCACGTGACGGCCCAGCCCAGGAAGGGAAGAAAAAAAAGAAAAAAAAAAGAGGGAAACACTCGGACCACTTAGGCTTTGCTATTAAGCCCTCCGTCTCTCTCCCTGAGTACACGCAAGGAGCCGGCACTACTAAGGCTGGGCTGGGCTGGCTGGCTCTGCGCACTCACAACATGAGAGCCGACCAAAGCATGGATGAGCGAGCATTCTCTGTATTGTGCTCTGCGGCCACCAAAAAAAGAGACGAAATGAGACCAGAGCCCCAAACTTACCAAAGGGCGAACAGCAAAATGGCTCCCCCCATAATAAATAACCTGCCCTCCCATCACCACCGTCGTCACCTTCCATCCTCATTCCTCACCTCCATCTCCCATCCCCCTACCATCGCCGTCGCCATCGCCATCGCCATTCCTCACCCTGCACCCAAACCACCAGCCCGCACCATCATCGTCGCCTGTTCGCCCACGCCTGTCTGGCCTCCTCCTGTCGCCCAGCACCCTCTCTCTGTTCCTCTGCTGCACCGCCCAGCCCCGGCCCAACCGAGGCGTCCTGGGCTGCCACCTCGCCTCCGGCCAGGACAAGACAATAAATCCCCCCCCCCCCCTTCTCCCCCTTGCGCTCAACAGGCAGCGGGAAGTCGGCGGATCGCTTAGATCATCGCACCGGGCTAGCTTGATGACCTGACCCGACCGAACTCAAATCCCCAAATATAAAGGTGCACAAGCATTCCCACCAAGTTTTGCCTCCGGCTGCCAAAACCCTCCCTGCTACCTGTTTGCAACCACCCGTTCCCAACATACCGACGACGACTCGGAACGTCAGCATCGACATCTCACCATCGCAGCCGCGACCACTTACTGTGACTACGCTACGGCGAACGCGTCAGCTGATTTACGCCATGCCTACCCCGAGCAAGTCCTCGTCCGCTTCGGCCAAGGAGAAGGACCGTCGAAAGTCCTCGGGCAAGAGTACCGCGATAGTCACCCTGCGCGTGGCCTCCGATAGGCTTCGCCAGGTTCTCGACCCGTCGTCGCTGAAGGAGGACTCTCCCGTCAAGGAGTCCCCCGCCAATTCGACCCTGCTCCCCATCGACCAACCCCCGGCAGCACCCTCTACCGGCGACAATGCTTCCGAGTCTACCCCGGGCACTCCTGGCCCCTCGGGAACGCCGTCGCAAGCCGCCATGGGGCCGCCGACGGAGGCGCCCAAGAAGAAGGGCGTTAAGAGGAGCGCTGCCGCGGCAAACGGCGGCGACCCGACGGCGAAAGTGAGAGGCAAGCCTGGCCCCAAGAAGAAGCCCCGACTGTAAGTGCAATGTATTCGGCTCCTATCTCTGTTTTTTTTTTTTTTTGGTTGTCAACCTTTTCGGTCTGCTATCGTTCGCTACGGCATCACCACGAATCAGCTACTCCCGCTACGGGTCATGCTCATCGAGGTCCTTTGTCCATCTACTAATCACGTCGAATAGGGAGGACGGCTCCATCGATCCCAACGGACGGGCCGGAGGGGGCGCCTATCACAAGCTCGGACCGAAGGCTAACCAGGGCGCTATCAATGCCGGACTTCGCGCGCTCGACCGATCGGGCGCTCCCTGCCGGAGGTGGAACAAGGGAGGCTTCAGAGTCAAAAGCTTTACCGGCGTGGTCTGGGAGATTCCCCGCTGGACCGCACCCCCGAAGACCAAACCCGAGGTGACTCCGGACGAGTCGGCCGCGTCCGCCGAGAGCAGCAATAAGGAGAACAAGGAGGGCAGCCAGATGAAAAGCGAGCATAGTAACAGCCACGCCGACGGTGAGCAGCCGAGCGTGGCCCCGAGCGTTAACGCCAGCTCGCCAGCACCTCCGGCGGCCGTCGCCGTCGCGGTATCATGAAAAACTGCCTGCGGAGCGCTCCCGCTACCATTCTTTTTCGTCGCGACCCCTCTACCCTGTAGGGTGGTCCCGTGTGTTTACTATGGGTCCTTCTGTGCTAGGTCAAGAGGGAGAGAAAGATACAGGAGGGTGTTTGTATGTGTGAGGAAGGCTAAAAAAGCATGGCGTTGTGGACTTTGTGACTTGGGCCGTGGGCCCATAATAACACTTTAGGATCTGGCGGGCCACGAGATAGGAGATAGACAGCATCTGCCCTCGGGATTAGGGATGCCTCGACCGTGTTTTCTGTCGCGGGCTGGAAGGAAAACCTGTATATTACTACTTGCATGCGGCGTTAGGTCTACTGTGTGGAAGGTCGACTGAGGATGACCGTTCCATGAATGCGTATATTTTGGTATCGTCTTCGCTGTTGGCCCTGCGCGGAGCCTATGTTTGTTGGGTTGGTCTTGCGCCATGCTGCTGTTGGTGTTGGCGGTAAAATCTTTTTTATCTTTTTATCTTGTTTTTCCTTTCAAAGGAGGTCTTGTCGACAATGCGTCTTGTTCCCCTTGCCCCCTCTCTTTCTCCATAAACCCACCCATCGACTCTACCCCCCAAAGGAGCTACATATGGCGTTGTGTGTAGTTGGAGACCGCAAACGCATTCTCACCTGCCCGGCTACCTACCTGGTGCCATGGCATGAGATAGATATGTGCACGCGACGTTGAGGCGGCGGATATGGAGGTTTACTACCTCCCTGCGCACGAAGGCCAACATCCGATGTATACAGCGCACATATACACATTCCTACACCATCACATATGCCGTAGCCGACGTACTTGGTCACAGGCATATCTTGTCTAGCGTTGAAAAGCAGTAGTCAAAGCGGGCGGCTTACTTTTATGGTATATGAGAGTCGCTAGCTTAACCAATACAGGGCAGCTGAGATCCCAGGCCTATTCGACGGAGTTTCCCAGGTTTCGCCCGACCTAGACGGGCACCAGACCAGTAAGCAAGCCTACGCAGCAGGTCGCCCCTGAGATACCATTGATCCTCTTCCCATCACTGCGCATGCGCATCGCCCGCCCAGGCAAATGGGGTTCGTCCGCCGTCGAAAGACGAGAGGTCATATCCACCACAAAGGCACAGCCGACCAAGAAGGTCCGTTTTGCCAGGTTAGAATCTGGTCCCAGATGCACGCGAAATTGCTCAGCACGTAGGCACCTGCGAGTAGACAGACCTGGGAGTGCATACATATGTAAGGAGGTAGGCGACCTGCGCGAATCTTGGATTTTGTCTGGTTCCTCTTGTTGCCTGCCCCCCTCTCTCTCCTCCCCCGTCACTCTCCACTGTTTCGCGATGGGGACACATGGCCTCGCCTAGGTTATAATCAAAAAGATGCAATGCAAGACAATCTTCGCATCATCCGGCGTAGTTCGGGGAGCCACCGCATGCGACTTTGCGGAATTTCCCTATTTACGGGTAGCCTATAACGTGGTGGTTTTTCCTTGGGGACACCCAACCCCTTCCAAATCGGACAGAGAAAATAAACCAAAAACTCGACAGATCCCATCCGTCCGCACGGCCGTTTTAAACGAACGGTGCTTGTAAAAATACGCAGACGCCTGCCTTCCGAAGGTATCTTACCTCATATGCTTGCGTGCATATGACTATGTCCATGCAGTATGTGTGTATAATATGTGGTTGGTCATAGAAAAAAGGAAGCAGAGAGAAAGAAAGCATGGTGCGCAAGGTCTACTCATACGACGCGATGTGTTGTGCTTTGGGTACCTCCCATTCCACCCCGCGGCAAAGCCTGTCACGTGCGCCCAGGCGGACAATTGCACGGACTATCTTGAGGTGCCGGGACCTGGACTCCAATCCTCAAATAGATGACACAAGTCATGTAAATACCCACCTACCTTCCCACCTCCACCTACCTTAGAGGTACCTACTTCTAAGATATCTAGGTACCTATCTATCTACCTCTACCTCATACCTACCTGGTAGCTACCTCCTAGGTAGGTATATAGGCAGGTACCTTACGCAGGCAGGCCGGACCTAAGTTAGGGTACCGAAGGTAGGTAGATAATCGGGTATTAATGTGCGGCCTAACGTGGAAGTACCGGTATACCTCAGGTACCTACCTATCTCTCGGGGAGAGGCGCCCAGGAGAGAGAAGAATGCAAAACGCCTGCATCAAAGTTACACATCTTTGAGAGCTCGAAGCGGCGGGGAGAAGAACCTCAGAGTGACCTGGGCTCTCATGTTCAAGCCACTGCAGAACGGGTACTCGGGCTGTACTGCCACTCCCCACCCAGAGCCCCACAGGCGCCAATGCGGAATGGACCCCACCGTCGATGGGATGGGATTTGATGATTTGATGATGTGTCCCGCCTATCACCTGCACTGGTTACCCGCTGCCTACGGCCATGTAGCGCTACCTACAGCGCCCGCGGACAGCCTGGAGAGCTGGAGGTACGCAGTACCTACCTCCAGACACCCCCTTCTGGGGTAGAGAGCTCTACCTAACTCGTAATCCTTGGGAGGCAACGGCTCGTGACCTCGTCAGATAGCTAGGTACCTAGAGGCACCTAACACATAGGTGGGTTAGGTACCTACCTGCACCTACCCACCTACGTACCTACCTAGGTACCTAAGCTTCGCCCTCTTACCTAAGGCAGGCATCCTGCGGCAATGTACCCGTCTACTTACATCTACGACCTCCGACAACTTCTCGTTAGGTATGCCATTAGCACTTCTTCTCCTCCACGGCCCTATCATTGCTCAACACCGCTCAGCGCAGCGTCGTTGCGGCCCATCCACTAACCGAACCTCCCGTCAACATACTCTGTCACGCCGCCGCTCCCTTCCGCCGCTCCCTCGTCACCGCCGAGCATCGTCTCCCACCCCGTGGATGCTGGCCATGACATCTGCTCCAGTGACGACCTGAGGTAAGAGAGGTATCTAACGAGCAACAAGCCGGAGCAGCGCCTCCCCTTCCCTTCGGCCTTGACAGGCAACGCCGACCGAATACGCGATTCGAACACGCCACCTACCCTCGAGCTTCTCTGGAATAAGGGCGCCGCTGGCCACCCCACGAATTTACCACTTGTCCCTCCCTCCCATCAGCAACCTGGTCGCTGTTGCTGCGTCGTTTCTGCGGTGGCAAAGACCGCCCGACAGCTTCCGGCTTCTCTCCCAGCGAAGTCCCGGCCCATCCAGCGCAGATCTGCGTTAGGTATGGCCAATCCGTTCCAGAATGGCCCGTCCGGCTTCAACCCAGATATAGGGATAAACACCTTCCTCCCTCGGTATAGGAATTCGTCGTACGCGTCTGTCGTATCCGGATCTAGCCCGGGCATGACGTTGACGTCGCATCCGTCCCTCAACCGCCTCTCTTACCTCCTGAACCCCCCTTATGAGCCGCCATCCGACCTCTACGCAGCGCATCCCTCGGCCCAGAGCCACAGCCACCACATCGTGGACACAGACATGAGTGGCAATTCTTCAGATGGTGGCGCACCTACCTTGCAAGGTGTTATTTCTCAGTTACCTTCACAGTCGAGAGCATACGGGCAGCTCATGGGTAGCGGCACCGGCGACAACTTCTGGGCGAACGCTCATAGGAGTAATAGCTTCTTCACCCCGTCATACCTCAGAGGCTCAAACTACATGCAGAAGCTGGAAGAGGCATACAGAGCTAGGCAAGCACAAAAAGAAACCCGGCAGCAGTCTGGAGCCGGGTTGACGTCGGGTGTGACGGCGGCGGCGGCGGCGGCGGCAGCAGCAGCAGGCTCGTCGGCAGCCAAGACGCCGGCCTCCCATATGGGTATGACCTACAACCTGATCGAGCGTGCGCCAACCACCCAAGAGGAGAGCTCAGTGGCGCCCTTGCCTACGCGGTGGAACGTGAACGATAAGCAAAGCGGCCTGGAGGTTCTGGCGGACGGACAAGAGGTCAAGTATGCGCCGAGCCGCAACTTGAGAGAGCAGGAGCACGAGACTTGCGCCGTCCGGGCAGACCACCCCATGCCTTGGCAAGCTGGCATATACTACTTCGAGGTATCTATATTGTCAAGAAGGCGAGACGAGTACGTAACGAGTCACCGTCCTATCCGCGCTTGGGAGGATCTAACTTGGGCAAACGTAGTGCGACAGTATGCATAGGGTTCTCAGCCAAAAATGTTGCGTTAAGCCGGGCACCGGGATGGGAGGCTGACTCGTGGGGCTACCACGGCGATGACGGTGACGTTTACGCCGCGTCAACCACGGGCAAGACGTACGAGGGGGGGACCTTCGGGCCTCAGGATATCGTCGGATGCGGTGTCAACTTCCGAACCCGGGAAGCCTTTTTTACCAAGAACGGCAAGGAATATCGTACGTTTCTACAGTTGTTTGTTATCGTCTCTTCACTTTCTGCGACCAAGATATTGAATATCTCTTGACTCACATGTGTAGAAACCGCATTTCGGGACCTGAAAGGGGACCTATATCCCACCGTCGGCATGAAGAAAGGTGGCGAACACATTCGTGTTAACTTTGGCCAAACACCATTCGTATTCAACATAGACAAGATGATGGAGGTCGGTTCTTACGTCCTGCATATACTCAACCCCCCCCCCCCCCCCCCCTCACCACCACCCTTCGCAAGAAATAGGCGTCGCTAACAACCGCGGTCGTGTAGAAGGAACAAGGTCTCATCAGGGACGCAATCAGCTCGACAAGGTGAGCCTCATGAGATATTCCAGCTACGAATTATGGGGAGAAGCGAAAACTTACCAGAAATGCCAACTTTTTGCAGTATCGAGAAGCTGGTATCACCTCCTATGGGCGAGACAGAACTAATCCAACAACTCGTAAGCTGCCATACGTCTGGCTCGACAGGTTTTCCCCATCTAACGCTGCTTATATAGGTGTTACAATTTTTACAACATGACGGATATGTCGAGACAGCGCAGGCGTTCGCTAAGGAGATCCATGATGAAAAGCAAACCCTCCAAATCAACCAACAAACACCTCTACCAGGTGTCAATATAAAAGATGACGAGGACGCTCATTGTAGGCAACGTGAGTGTATTTTTGAGCGAGCTATTTTCCCCCAAGCTGACTTCATTAGGCATCCGGAGAGCTATCCTCGAGGGGGATATCGAAAAGGCTGTGAATTACACTTACACATATTACCCGCATGTGTTGGACGAAAACGACGACGTATCCTTCAAACTGCAGTGCCGAACGTTCATAGAGATGGTCCGAAAGTCTGCCGAGGTTAACTACCCGAGCTCCAAGAAGAGCAACGGCCATGCCTTCGACGACGTCCTTGGCACTATGGACGTCGACGAGAACGGCTTTGCAGACCGGATGGATGAAGACGGCGTGGAATCACAGGCGGATCAAGATGACCTATTGGTAAAGACGATCCAGTACGGGCAGGCACTGCAAGCCAAGTTCAAGGACGACCCGAGGAGGGAGGTCAGCAGAACCCTCAACGAGGTCTTCTCGCTCCTCGCGTACTCCAACCCGCTCCACGTTAAGGAGATTGCGCACCTGCTCGATCGCAAAGGCCGGGTAGCCGTAGCCGAAGAGCTCAACTCGGCGATCCTATGTAGGCCCAGCCGTTCCCTACTGTTCGCGCCCGGAAACGTACCTAACTGACCCTCCCCACAGCATCCTTGGGCAAGTCATCGCGGTCAGCGTTAGAGAACCTGTACGGGCAAACGAGCGTGCTGCTGGACTACTTACGCGAGGAGGGCGGGCCCGGCTCGCTAGTCACCATTCAATCCGTCATTGACCAAGTCCCCAAGTCGCAGCCATTCTAGCCTCCGCGGACCCCAGACCATCCCGTCAGTGAGGAGTCACGGGTCAGCATCGATAAGGAAACAAACAGACACGCGGGCAACCGTCGGAGATCGGCCACCGCCAAGCCGATGCTGAAACAACATGTGTTAGGTTGCACGGCGCGATGCTCCATTATTGTCATTACTATTACTACCGCTGCTACGTCTGCTGCTACTATTACTATTACTCATACCGCGGCGTCAAGATTGGGTGTCTCTTCGGCCTCTGAATTCAATCCTTTTCGACGGGTTCTTTTCTCTCTTTCTTTCTCTCTCTCTCTCCCTCTCTGTTTGCGTTGGGGTCGGCCACCATCTTGTTGCTCAGGTGTTGCGTGTTAAGTTGAGAGCGTTGTTGGCCACGCTAAACCCCTATCCGGCGCTTACTACCTCGTCTCGACCTGACCCTGGACAGTATCTCGCGGAAGGACGTCCGGCAGCCGAGTTGGCCGAGATTCTGTCTTGCGGCGACGGTTTTCCCCATCGACATAGATGGTGCGAGATAGCAAGGAGTTTGCTCGCCCCGGACTGGATGGTGACGGCAGCGACGATGCCGCGGCGGGTCAAACGGGAATAATGGGTTCTGGGCGCCCGTTGCTGCGATCCTCGGAATTGTAGTCTTCTCTCCCCTCTTCCTCTCGGCACCTCCATGTCGTTCGCGCGTGGCAGGGGTGCCTTAGCAACTGGGTCGTTAGATGCATTTGGGCGGTGAACCGGACGGGACAGGTGCCTCAACGGTGGCGGCAAGGCTTTCGGCCATTGGTAGAGCCGCTAGTTTGGACTGCTGCTGCTGCTGCTGCTGCTGGATGTATGTATGTACAAATTACATGTTGGCCGCGTCAACCGTAAGGTGAATAGAAAGAATACTTTTTTTGACACCAAGCCGTTTAAGAGAAGGCCTGGCTCTCCGGCAAGGCAAAGGCCCGCACACTCCCAGTTGGAGTGCCCTCCCTTGCCGTCCCTATCCGTCGAATAGCAGGGCTGCCCAGCAGACCAAGTTTGGCACAATCCAGGGCGGGCAGGCCACGATAGGAGGAGGGCGAGACGAGCCGTGGCTAACGGAAAGGAGGGCCTATCGCGGTGTCCCGTAATGTTACTCCGGAAGAAAAAAAAAGGGGGGTGAGAGGGGGGGGGGGGGGGGGGGACGCGGGATATAGGGTATATATCTGGTATATATAGGTGTGTGTGTGTGTCTTGGAGCTTATGCAGCCCGCAGCCACCGACGACAACGGCCGGGCGTATCCGCGAAAAGGGGGAGGTTGAAGAACGGGAGAGGGGGCGCGCACGTCTTACCTACCCCAACGACCACCGCCTGTCACGGGGCACGCGTGGCGTGTCGCACCTCGCGTAGCAGCGAACGCGAAGGGTAGGGGAGAGGAGAGGGGGAAAGCGAGGCGCTGGATGTGTTGGCCGGGATGGCTGAAGAGGAACGGGGGGAGGAAAGGAGACGAGAGACAGATATTACCAGTATTGGACCAACAGGACGCGGGTATACAGACCAGTCCCCTATAACTCACCACAAAGCGGGTCGCGGCGTTCTATTAGCCCCTTCCACACACTCCATCAATAGGTCAGGGTGATGTTTATTCGATTACTTCAGCTACTAGGTGCTGCCACCACTGCCACCACCACCAGGTCAGCTGCACCACTACCATTATGGTTATTAAAAGAGTTTGGAAAGCACTTGTGAGGTAACGGTTGATTACGAAATGGAATCAACTGAGTGCACTTTTTTTACGGTGGATAGTATGCATTTCAAAGCATCATATTAAGTGGTGGTAGTGGTGCAACTACTTAGTTGTGGTGGTGTAGTTAGTTTAGCTTAGTGGCGGTGCAGTTAACTCGGTGGTGGTAGTGTAGTCAACTTAGTAGTAGCAGTGGTAGCGATACTGGTCAGTAGCTTATGAGTAGTTAAGTGATTGAACAAACCTCACCTTAACTGGTTAATAGAGCATGAGCCGAGACCCGCATTGGGATAAGCTACACGGGATTAGTTAGGCTAGTCTATATACTCATCATGCGGCATACTCTTACGCCTCCTTTCATCGACTTCAGCTTACCTAAACTACGGAGAGCTGCCTACACACGTATATATAGAGCTCCCCACAGCTCTCGTTCACTTAGTTCTCTCACAGCTTCAACAACAACAACACAGTCTCGTTTCATTGACCTCTCCCATCCCGCACCTCTCTTCGCTCGTCCGTACGCACGCAATCTGCGCCCTACCCGTAGCTCACCCCAAAGCTACCTACGTGACAACGCCCAATTCAGCGGGTTTGCTCCGCTATCAACAGCTCAAGCGTTGATCGACAAGCTCAGCAGCCACGTGGATCCCGCAGCGGGGTGCGAGAGTGATGAGACCGCCTTCGAGCACCATGTCGAAGCCCGGAATCGGGGCATTCGCCTCACCCGCCTCTACTATCGCCGCCGCAGGAATCCCGCACCCAAGTGCCTATGGATTCCGGAAAATCCATTGAGGCCCGCTGCTGCCGCCGCCGCCGCCGGAGCCGCTGATGATTTGCCATACCGAGACGCAGATTAGCGATCCCAAAGACGCCGACAACGATAGCGCCGGCAGTAGTACTACCTACCTATCAACCAAACCCGGTCCCAGACCACCAGAAAGCTCTCCCCTACTCGAGGGCCGCGGAGCGAGAGTGCGATCGTATCGGCGGACGCCTCGGACGCGGGGAGGAGCCGGCAGGGCCGCGTCCGACGAGGAAGAGATCCGACGCAGGCTTACCCGGCCGATCCCATCCCCGCAAAGATCTCCAGGCGCTGCGACGTCGCCGCAAGACGACGCACGGATCCGCAACGACCCGCGACGTGCCGCTGCCGCCGCCGCCCACCGGCTCCCCAGCGCGCAACGGGCGGCCTGCAAGGTGGTGTTCGCTGCGGAGAACCGGGAGGCGATGAACGGGGACGAAGGCGCAAAGGGGGACGAAAGAGCCCGGGAGGCGTGGCGTGGCATGGCGAGGCGTGCCAGCTCACACCCGGCAGCCAGGTCTCGCGCGCGATGCGATTAAGATCTCGGCCACAGACGATCAGCCGCAGAAAGGCGCGCTCTTGAACGGATAGGTTCTATCGAAGGCGCGCCTACTACAGCAGAATAACAACGTTTAACGACTACTCACGCGCATTAAAGTACGTATCCGTACTATATATTACGAAAATATACTAACTCGTGCCATTAGGCTGAAATCCCCATCCGTAATGTCGAGCTTCGCACGAAGTAGGTTAAAGGAAAACGGCAACCGTACAGTCTAGATTTACCTCGCCTATAAAATATCGAAGCAGCCGTCGGATATATGTTTGACACTATTTCGTCTCCTGCCTACCGATCCTACGCGAGGTTAAACGGGGGATTTCGAGAATGTGTAGTAATGGACGGAATCGGACGCGGTACTTATACCAGCTACCATTATGGTAGTAGGGCGTCTTCCTACTCGTTCCATAAGCAGCAGGAGGAAGCCGGCGTCAGCGGCTATAAGTCGAAACCAGATATATTTTATTTATCGCTCCCACAGCGGAGCAACCTCAATCCTTACGTAGCTCTGCCGATCTCCGTAACAAGAGTCGTATAGATTCGTATATAAATTGCTAGAAAGTTCATAATATACACATAATTAACGGTTGAAAATACATATAATTACCTTCCGTACAGACTCGTGCTCTTTCTAATATAAGTAAATAGCAGTAATAATTTTCGTATTCCTTATATCACAGCAGCGATGCGCACCTCGCCGAGGCCGGCCCGGCCAGCTGGCTGTGCACATGCCGCGGCACGGCGTGGCGCCCCCGGACGCGGGCAGGATAGCAGCGCGTCGGCGAGAAAGGGGGGAGATGGGTGTGTGGGTGTACCTATCGGGGGGACCTGGGTTGCAGAGGGTATGGATATGTATGTAGGTATGTATGTATGGTATTTGCGCGACCGCGCGGAGAGGGGAGAGCGGCCGCGTGCGCGGCGACAAGACAAGTGCCTAGATCGGAGGTAGGCACCGGGTCGACGGACGTGTAGGCGGATAGGATAGATGGATTGTACGAGTGAGCAGAGACGCGGGAGAAAGTAAGTAGGTAGGCAGCTAGCGGACTAAGGAATCGTCTTCTCCTCTTCCCCCATGCCGTCCCGTCCCGTCGTCCTACCCTTATCCCCTCTCCATGTGCAGCTACCGTGTCCCCCAACAATCCCCCATCCCTTCTGCCCTTTTCGCCTCTCGCCGCCGTGCGCGTCCTGTCTCTAAGCATTTGGTTTCCACTTTACTCCAGTCCTGTCCTGTCCTACTACCGCCCATCCCGCTTGCTACGATGGTTGGGATTTCCCTTGGGGGAGGTTTGATATTTGCAAATTCCCTGGCTAGGGGGACGTAGGTACGGAGACGACAGGTAAAGGCAGAAAGAAGAAGGGAACGGGGAAAAAAAGCCACGGTGGTAGATTCAAAGTCAGTAAGGTACCTAGTATTCATCGATGTCGTTATCTCGTCGCATTCTTCCCCTCTGACCTCCCTTACGCCTCCCTTATTCTCTATGCAGACCGCTGGTTCGTTCGTCTTATCCTCGCATAAGCCCCATTTTCCCTTCTCTCCTCCTTGTCCGCCCTCTTCCTCTCATCTTTTCCCCTTGGACCTCCCGCCCCGATTAATCGCAAATTCTCGGCGCAACGCCGTCGTGTTTTGTTGTTTTTATTACCATTTCCCGTCTCCGCCTTTCCCTTCCACTCTTTTTATCCCTATCCCCTTCCCGTTTGTCATGCGGTCATTCTGTCTGTCCGTCCGCCCGCCTGCCCGCCTCCTCCCTACCCCTCTCTCCCTACCCCGCTCCCCTCGACCCCCTCGCTCGGTTCCGACGCGCTCTCACTCGTACTTCCGACGGCTTCGCTCTTCCCTGTCCCGCTCCGGGTCTCCGGTTTTAGGCCGCCGCCCAGGCCAGGGTGGGTGGCCAAGGTTAGGTTTAGGTCAGGCCGGGTGGGCCGGTAGATGGTGTGTGGGTAGATCTCGATAGACGGATAAGAGGGAGACGGGTGGGTAGCAGAGGGATAGGTTGCTACGCGTGCGTGCATACACGCATGCATGTGTGCGTGCATGCGTGGAGAGCATATATACTGCTACCTATATACAAGGTATATAGGCATACTTATATATAGTAGAAATGTACATGTGCGCGGGCGCGCTTCCGGCCCACGCTTCGCTTCGTTGAGGTACGTGGGCGGGCGGACAGACAGATCAGCGCATGTATGTGCGAACGTATGGATGGACGGGTGGATAGATGGATATGTAGGTATATGTAGGCAGGGTTAGGCGGGCTCCGGTAGGCGGCCCGTCCCCCCCTTGCCTTGGCTGTAGTAGACGATGCGACGCGGCGCCTGCACACACCGCTGGCAGCAACGAGGAGAGAGGTGGGTAGACTTGGCGACGAGTCGTGGAGGTAGGCAAGTCGAGACTAGCGGAACGCTAGGATTGATTTCCGAATAGCAGTCCCCTGTTTGGACCGAGGGACGGCTGGTTAAGCGTACGCAGTCCTGTTCGTTGCCTTTGCCTCTATCCCCCCTCTTGACAATGGCGCGACATCATACCGGGAGGGTGCGGTAAGGGGGGGATGGAGGGAGGGGAAGACGCCCCAGTACAGGTAGGCAATGGTTCGCGTTTCGCGGTAGTGGAGGTGACACCATGGTAGGTGGGGAAGGCGAAGGAAATGGAACGGAGGGTGGTTATGGGGATGAGTCCCCAACCATGGCCGGCAACTAGATGGCAAGGGACAAGGGCCAGAGGGAGGAAGACTCAAACGTCCGTCATGGTTGTCGCTGTTGCTGTCGCCGTCGTCATCCGTACGCTTTCCTACCCCCACACCCGTCTCACATGCTTCCCTGGCGTGTCCAGATCGATGTCTCCGTATTTTCATGTGGCCCGTCGGTGGATTCGTAGGTTGATGCTGTGTCGATGATGCTACCGTCGCCCCCGGCCCCCCTCGCCCCGAACTCTCTAGATGAGCCGAGCACTGGTGGTGTCGAGAGAGGGGAAGAGGGGGGAAGAAGAGGTAGGCGGAAGTACCGTAGAAGTCGGGTGGTAGATTCGCCCCAGGCTCACAAGAAGTGTGTGTGGGGGGAGGGATGAGAAATTCGGAGGTCTGTTGGAGTACGGACCCGGGGTTTGCGCGGGTAGCCCGCGATCGCGATTTCGTGGTCCGCCATCGTATCATTATGTGTGTGTGTGTGACCAGACCGGAGGGGATAGCGTGGGGTGGTAAGAGAGAGGGGGGAGAGGGGAGAGGAGAAGACGCGGGAGAGAGAGGAGTGTGACGAGTTGGTAGCAGCAGTAATATCAGTAGAGGTGTGTAAGAAAACACGGCCGCGAAAAATGAGGAACAACGTGTGATAAATCGATATAACGTATATAGAAGTTGGCGTGAGTTGAGTTGGAGGGTATAAGAATTACAACATGACATGACCGTTTTCTCTCCCGTCCTCCCTGCGTTTTTCTCTCTTTTTCCCCGTCTCGCTATAGTGGGGAGGACACAACACACCCATTACACAAAGACTGGCTAGACCGATAGATGATAGGTAAATAGGTAAGGCAAGTAGGATAAGGTACGTTGGTAGAACCCAGTCTCCCAAAAAAATTTTTGAACAAGAAAACAAGACATCGTCACGTTGTATCGCATCGCGTCGTATCAGGCGCCGCCGCCGCCGATGCATACCTCTACGAGATGGCGATGCCCTCGAGGTCGCGCATCAGCACGGCAACCTGGGCGCGCTTCGCGGCCTCGGCCACGAGGTTGAGGTCCCGGATGAATACGTCGGTGCTCGGCGTCTTCTGCGCCGGGGGCGGCGGCGGCGCGACGGTGGCGGCCTGCTGCGGGTGCGCCGAGGACGCGGCGGTAGAGAAGCCGGACGACGACGAGGTTGAGGCGTCCATGGCGGCTGTTGGTCTGATTGCGGGTGCGATGGCTGGCGGTGTGCAAGTAGGTGGTTTGTGCGCGTGTGCGGTGCCTAAGTGTGGGCGAGCGGGCGGGATGATGTGGGTGTAGGTGGAGAGAGAGAGGAAGCTGTGGAAGCCGGGGAGGGGCGCCTTTTGTGCTTGGGTCGGGACCAAGATACCGTAGCGTCCGGGTGCGGAGATGGGAAGACGTCAGCGAAGGCTGGCCTGCGGGGTCCCCCTTCGAGAGTCCAGAAGCAGAGCACCGGGCGTTGCCTGACTAGCAGCTGGATGGCTGGGCTCGAATCGGGATCGTTGGCCGGCTTGTATCGTAGGCAAAGGCGAGGTAGGTAGCGGCGAGAGGGCACGCGCGCACGAGCTCCCACGCAGGTTGGGGATGTGCACAAAGAGCCGAGATTGTGTGATGCTCTGGTGTCGGAGTAGCCTGCTCCCTTTTTTCAAACAAGGGCGGGGAAAAGAGAAGAAGAAAAAGAAAAGAGGTCCCTTCGCGAGCGGAGGCGGCTGCAAAGCGCGAGATGGCGCGAAGTCGTACCGCAGGGCGATCGGGTCTCGGCGTTGACGGTGTTGACGTAGGTGTGTCCCGTGAGGGGTGCGGAGGACTTGTCGCAACTCGACTCCAGGTGGAATCTAGAGAACAAAAGAGGGGGAGGCAACAAAAAGAGGAAGAGAGGGGGCGTTTGGATTTATGATACGGGCAAGCTGAGTGGGTTCTCCCTCTCTTCTTTGTCGATTGCCCGGCCAAGACAGCGCGGTAGGACTCGACCAGGGACGGCCTCTTAGTTCGCGGCACTGCTGATCGAGATGGATATGCGATGCGACGATGCAAGATTTGTTCTTGGCTAGCCCGTGACGAAATGCCCAAACGTGCAGCAGGACTGACGGATTCTCAGGCCACCGTCTCCGGTCCTCTTTTGGGTTTTTCTCGGGGAGGGGTTGAGGCGACCAGACGGAGGCAGCAAGCCGGGGGTCAGCGTTGAGCTTGCGGGGGAAGAAGAGGCAGAAAAAGGTTGAAGAGCGTCCCCTCGCCTTTTTGCTTTTCTTTGTGTTGCTCGGTCGAGTGGGCTGAGGAGAGATCGGTTATATGTGTGTAGGTATGTATGCTACCTCGGAGTTGTAGAGAGCAGTGGTGATAGTCAGGTAGGTAAGAAAGAGAAAGAAAAAAAAGATCAAAGCGGTGTACTTTGCGTACGCGGTTGGCTGGTTATCTGGTTATCTGGTTCTATCTGGCTCCTCTCTTCTGAGTTCGCCGAAGTGGTAAGTTGTCCGTTCGTGGTCTGTTTCTGCTCATCGCCTGATGGTAATATAAAAAGTATAAAAAAAAGAGAGGGACGTGGACGAGCTTATTACTGTATTGACCCCCAACTGTCACAGGGCCGAATAGGGTAGATTTCGAGCCAGGGATCTCGGTTGGTTACCGCTCCTCGATTTAATTTCGCCGGTGGAGCAGACGTCAAAGTACATGCAGATGGTCTGCTGGGGCTGGATCTGGGTGAATATAAGTCGAGACGGGGTGCGTCGTCGGCCCATCTAACAACACCCAAGCGACGATGGAGGGCGGGTCCGGCTAGGGGGGGTCACCGTCTCGAGAGCCAGGCGAAAGCCGAGCGAATGCGACGCCAGGCCCGGTACGGGAATACTGCAGCAACGAAGCCACGCGGGTATGCCTAGGGAGGCGGTATTCGCGCGCCTAAAGTCCTAATATACCTACACCTATATGTTGTATGGCGTGGTGGTGTGGGCAAAAGTTAGCCGTATAGGCAGCAGGTATGCATGTGGTGTAAGTGTGTAAGTGATATTATATACCTAGGTATATAGGTATATATATATATATACAGGTACTCATATAATATTCTCTGTCCGCGGGTGTCACAATGCGCTCTCCATCTATCGATGACGACGATGGATGAGATGATTGCCATCCATGTCAGGCAGAGCAGCGAAACGCTCTCCATGTGCACACGCACCCCGGCATTCCTGGGCGCGGCGGTAGCCATTCGCACCAACCGGAGCTTGGGATAGTAGCCGAGGCCTCGCAACAAAGGAACAGATACCTACTACGCGGTGGCACACTGCTACCTCTGCCTACCTACCTTGTCTTGGGTTCTTCTACTACGCATATCTACCTATGTATACGTCTACCTACCTAGGTAGGTATCTACCTCCTGCGTCAGGCGCCCGGCTCCTGAGACCTCTGCGACAAGCTACCCTACCTAGGTATGTTATGTGCATACTGGTGAGCCCACCTCGTTATCGCAACTAGAACCACTTAGTCTTGCCGGTCCGATTTTAGCCAGGTTGGCGGATAGCGAGCTACGGGACCCAGGAGGAGGCCAGTTTCCAAGCCGGCTCGCAGCCAAGTCGTACCCGGCAGCTCTCCTCACCGTCCGTTTTGGGGAATCCCGTCGGATGGGGCTCGCTGGCTATCGCTTCGACTCGGTGGGCGGGTACTGGTTGCCGCCTACGTCGAGCACGGCCATTCCGCCATCGACCGAGGGGAGTCTGTCTGGTGGATGGCAATCTGTCGACAACCCACCAAACGGCATCGTGGTGTGCTAACGCTACCATGCCGCCGACCCAGATCCGCGAATGCCACCTTGCCATCGGCGTGTCCTTCGCCCAGAAGGCCCCCTCGAGTGCCCGATTCGTCCTGTCTGTCCTGCTCTGCAACATCGTCATACATACATAGGGAGAGAGGGCAGCCATTCATCTCTCATCGATTCGTCTTCTCCCCCCTCCTTTGCTCTCCCTCTCTCCTACCCCTACCCCAACCCCAACAGTGCCCCCCCACGGATATCGCCAGCGCTAGTGTGTGCGTAGGCAGCAGGTTAGTAGGTGGGTGACGGAGGGAGGGCTAAAAGGAAGAAGAATCAATCGACCCCACCATGCGCCCCAGACTCGTCGACGTCTGACAGGCCTATGATCGTCGGCCGCCTACGCACTGCGATATCGACATATACGTGCACAATCGCATCGGTCGTGTCGTGGTGGTGCCGTGCCGTGCCGTGTCGTGTCGTGTCGCGTGTATCGCACGTAGTATCTACCTATCGCACGCAGGTCCCCCGAGACCGATGGTAGACAGGACACGTATTCGCGACAGGCGCCGGGCTTCCAACCAGAGGCCATCGTCCGTGTTGTGGGTGCTGGCACCGTCGCGCCATCTCTGGTCGGGTCCCAGTCCAATAGTCCACGTCGGCAAGTACTGTTGGTAGCTGGTACTGTTGGTAGCTGGTGTTCGCAGGCTGGCCAGAAAGGGGCAGACTGAGTTGACACCGCTACCTCGGGCTACCTCGACGCCGCCAAAGGACCCTGGAAGAGTGACGTACCTTGCAGATTGGTGCGTGGGCCCACCCCAAGAGGTAGGTAGGTACCCACGTACCTCCCTCCTATGGCCCGGCGTAACCTCCTACGAGAGGTACCTACCTCTACCTAAGGTACCTACGGTAGAAGGCGGGTATGTACCTAGGTACCTACCTAGCCTGGTGCCACGCCTCGCGCTCAGGCCAAGTCGAGAAACTCCGCAAAATCCCCGAGGCTAGCGGAATCTAGCGACACCGATCCCCGACTGTAATCTGCGAAGACCCGCGCACGCGAATTTACCGGGACCCCGCCTAATCCTCGGTTGGCCGCCTCCTACATATAAACTCCAGGTCAGGGACCTTCCTAGCCTTAGGTAAGGGACGTGCCTTAGGTAAGAGATATATCTGTCCTGGTAGGTACTTGGGGAAATACAGGTAAGTAGGTGCCGGTGTATTTACGTCATTAAATCGACCCCTCCATCACGTAATAGGAGCCGCTTATCTAAGACACGCCTCGAAACCCCACCGGCTGCCAGTTTATTCCTAGCCTCATGTACCGTGCATATAGTTACGTGCCTGTAGGTACAGGTCGCCTAGCAAACTTAGGAGGTACTCGGGTACAAAACTAAGTTCCCTGGACCGGTGGTCAACCGCATCGTGAGGGTGTTCCGTAAGGTCTTCGGTGTATCCTTCGGGGAAAAAAATGGCGATACGACAAAAACGCAGGCTCTACGACCCTCCCTATTGATAATCGACCTCGTCAAAATCCACGCCGAGTCCGTACGTACCATGTCTTCGGCGGCGTCGCATGCGACGAGTTCGAGACCACCCGCGTCTGGCGCATTCGGCTGGTTGCCGATACCAGCGCCATTGGCCCGACTCTTCAAGAGATTTCCACTCCTAACCTACCCGCCTAATCAGCTCCCGGCGCGCTGCCCCAGTCCCCGAAATGTCGCTACTCTGTATGTTTTCCTATCAGACCGCGACGCCTTGGACGGCCTGCCGAGCTACAACCCGTCCTGTCTGAGATGGCAAGTATGTATTCTCCAACAAATGCGTGGCTCCGCAACCCTCTCACCTCCAGGTCTCATGTAAGCTAACCATTGGCCACCTTAGACGTTCTTGAAGCTCGCTGGAGTCGAGTTCCGAGTGGTATCCTCGAACAATCACGCCTCGCCCACTGGCGCATTGCCCTTCCTCCTTCCCCCTCTAGATCCCGGAAACGCCGCTGCTCACCCGCCCGTGCCCTCCAACAAGCTGGAACAGTACGCAGCGGAGAGAGGCGCCTCCAAGGTCCCGGACGTGCCCAACCCCAAGCTCGAAGCCTACGAGTCCCTCCTCGACTTCCGGATACGGAATGCCTGGCTCTACTCTCTATACCTGTCCCGACCCAACGTCGACCTCCTATCCCGCCTCTACATCGCCCCAGTTTCGAAGTCCCGGGCTGTGAGGACGGCGGTGTTATACCAATTACGCCACGCGGCTGAAAACGAGATATTGAGGTCGATGGGTGTGCCGGCCGTAGATTCAAGGACCCTCTACGCGGGGGCGAGGGAGGCGTTCGAGGCCCTGTCGATAGTTCTAGGCTTGGAGCACTGGTTCTTCGGAGCCTCGGGGCCGAGTCTGTTCGATGCGACCGTGTTCTCCTACACACACCTCCTTCTCGACGACGGGCTCGCGTGGCAAGATCGACGTCTCGTGGAAATCGTGAAACAGTTTCCCAATCTGGTCGCGCACCAAGGCAGAATATGGCAGAAATTCTGGGGTACCACACGCTAGAACCCAATATCGACGCATCGCTTCTTCCTGTCTATGTTTAGCCGCAGCTCGAACTATATGCGAGTCGTATGAGGTCGAGCCGATTCGAAGGCGGCTCACCGGGTATTGGGCGCTCCCCCCACGCACCCATTCCGAGGAGATTCGACATCATTAGATAATATACCCACCACCCTCTCGCCGTAAGGAAAATGCCTATTATACATGATATAGTCGCATTCAGGCAAAGTGCCACGAGGCGGAACGTGGCTTGTCCGATGCCGATGCGAACCTCTACCCGTCACACCCACAGTATTCGCCCGAGGAATTGCGCATACGCGCCGTCAACCGCGGCCCAGCCGTGACTTGACGATTCCGCCGAGCACTTAGGAGTCCAATCCCTACGCCCCCGAGCGGATATTTACATGCTAGACGTTCGCGAGGTCGCCTAATATCAGCTCACACCGGAGACTGAGATTCGGAGATGCACCAGCCTTGCGCCGCCGAGTAGAGTAGAATTAATTCCCGAATGCTACGGGGAGAAGGCTTCTCATCTCGAACTCTACATGAAGGAAATGTGCCATCTTGAACGGGATTGACGCAGGCAAGATGAAGCCCCCAGCTGCTTCTGTGGACGTAGAAGGCTTATATTGAGGTTCGCCAACGTGTAGACGCTGCGTAATGACAGTATGATATTAGTCTACGCCCAGGCTATTGCCGACCAGGCGGCTGTAAACGCGGCTTCATCTTTGTCATGTAGGAATTGAGCCTCGAGCGAAGAGCCGACACTTGCATATAGACATCTATCCGCTCATCTAAGCAGTTCACCTATATATACCATATCCGAGCTACGTACCTAGGACCTCACTTATCCAGCTTTTCTTGTGGTTGGACAGCCGGTTGGCAATATAACTAGCCACGGTTCCGTCGCTAAACGTGCCGTCGGCCCATCAGTCACCCCAGAGCTCGTGACCCTCTGTGTCATAGCAGTTATTTGGATGCTCAGCCCTATACTCCAGTGGGTCGTCAGCAGAACCTGTGGCAGAGCGTGTATGACAGCTCGTCTGTCTAAAAACCTGCGATCGAGGCAGCTGACATTGCCGATTCTAACGGTAAGGGTGTCGGTACGGGGTACGGGAGACGTCGTGAGTGTTACATTTTGTCTGGAAGACGGGTTACCCCCCGGGACAACTGCCTGGCGACCTGGGGGGTGGTCTGTCCTTAAAGTAGTGGTCTCCTCGTCGCCGAAATACGATGAGTAGTCCTGAGAGGATGCCGCCTCAGCTTCTCAATCCGGCCAATTCTTCCTTCTATGGGTAAGCGCAGGGGACCGGTTCGTAATGAGTGCTCGGTCGAGAGTGGCCGCTTGGGACGAGGCTGTCAAGGTGAGCTCGCTTAACTTTGCGTGCTTCAACAAGCTCGTCTACTACCTATAGCAAGGCATGTCCCCTCTTGTAGAAACCGCGAGCAAAGGAGCCTCGTCACTACCGCAGAGCCCACTATAATATAAAAGACGCCCAGGTATCGGTGTAGATGCTGCTTGTACTTATGTGCTAAGTCTCAGACAACCTGTGCTGTGAAAGTCGGGGTTACCAGCTGGGGAAGGGTCCCTCGATGGGGAGAGCTAGGTCCAAAGGAGAACCCAGAAAAGACCTCAGCAGGTATGGAATCACATATAACTGAAGGATGGGTATATAATAAAACAAAGAGAGATTTACTTGGCCCCATTGTCTCCCATGCGTACGCCTCCACGAGTTGAGATCTGGCAGCAGCCTCCGTCTTTGGCCATCATAGCGGAGCATGACATTTACTCGCCCAGATTCGTCAATAGCAACAGGCCAGTCCTCTCTTAACCATGTAGTCCAGAACCACGACTCGCCACCGCTAGGTCTTGAGGGCTTCGGCTCATCATGCCGGGAGAATGGGCATGGAAAGACGAACTGCGGACGCCAGTGTCTTTCCTCGACAACTTGAAGAAACCACATAGTAATAACCGGTCTTACCTTGCCATGGGCGGCGACGAAGATAGCACCTCAACGCCCTTCGCCTATCGCGTCGAACGGGTTCCATCCACCTAACCCTAACAGAAGATACGCTGGCGAGACAGGCAGCAAATAGGTGCCGGCGATGGGAACCGGGACGCCTGCGCGAGCTCGGATTGGCGAGCCGCGATTTCACCAGGCCAATGAGCCCGGCTGGCCTGGGGCCCCGGTGCGTCCAGCGCACGCCTCCCCCCAATGGCTGCCGCCGCGCGGCGAAGCCCTCGCCTCCAGCGCACAACGCAGAAATCCCCGGGGAGGAGAGAAAACCCCTTAAAAGGAAAAAAAAAAAAACCACCTACAACGAAAAATAGGACGCGCTTCTGCGGCAGGTGCTAGAGCGCTGCTGATACGCCGCTCGTCCCAGAGAAAAGCCAGCCCCTCGGCCAGACCTCGCGGCGTGCACAAGATAGGACGGCTCGTGGGCCCGCGGGCGCCGCGGGCCCCTCTCCCCCTAGCGCTCCGAGATGCGCGTGCGCGAGGTACCGAATGGCGAGGACAGCAGCGCGCGCCGGGCCCATTCGTTCGCCGCCGCCGCGGTGGTAGGGGGGGCGAGAGAGAGATCTACCACTCATAGCGGCGGCACAGAGCCCGCGACGCTCGCGGCCTATTCGCCAATTCGCGGCCGGTCTCGCGCGGGGTTCGGACGCCGCTCGTCGCTCAAGGAGCGTCCCGCGCCCCCCCCGCTGCCGCGCTCGGGGATGGCGGTCGCGTGGGAACGCAGAACGTAGATATATATGTGTGTGCGCGTATCGGCTCGAAGGGGACGAGGTGGAGAATTTGGGTCTTTCGTATTGGCATTACTCATCATAAGGCGTGGTCCGTCTGGACCACGGCTCGACGTCTCAAGTCGTCGTGTCATAGCCCGTCGTATAAATACAGGCAGAACTTGGTCTCATCTATGGTTGGTTTGGTTGCACTCGGAAGTGTTCTTCTTTCAGGTCCCGTTCCCCCTCCTCTCTTGAGATTCATTAATTCCTCGCCGTACGCCAAAAAAAAAACAACAAAAAAGTCATGCCAGTGGGGGGGATCTTCCGTCTCATGGATCCCGGTCCCAAATCATTTCGTCTGTCTTTCCTGGGGGTATTTTTTTTCTTTCCCTTTCGTTCTTTCGCGTTCATGTCACTCCGTCATTTAAACCCGGCCATCGCAACGTTCTGCATTGATCTCGTGTCGTAGTCGGACTCGCCGCCGTGGCCTCCCGACGGCAACTTCGTGCTGCTGACGCGCGACTCGGGCCGGGGCCGCTGCGATCCGCCCGAGTTCCTCCTGCGCCTCCTCCCGCTGTACGTGCTCGCGCTGTCGGGCGGGAGGCTCTCCGACGCGCTCATCTGACCGTCATCGCCGTCGATCGCCGAGGTCGCCGCCGACCTAGGCACCGGTCCCTCCGCCCGGCCATCGCTCACCCGGGCCTTGTACTCCTCCAGCGCCCGGCGCAGGATCTGCCGCATGAAGGCCTTGTTGACGTTCCGCCGGACCCGGTCGAAGTAGCGCACCACGTCCCCGACCACCATGACCTGCGCGTCGTGGTCGATCTCGATGATGTCGGCGTAGTTGGCCCGCGAGTCCTCTTTCACCCGGAGCTTGCCGGGGCGCAGCTCGATGCCCACCGGCGAGTAAGGCAGCCGCTGTCCCGTGCCTCCCTGGTCAATTCCTGGCGTCGGGTCGCCGTTGGCGAAGATGTAGCCCTGCTGGAAGTGATCGATGCCGGGCTTGGCGAATTCGTGCTTGCCACCCACGGATATCGGTCTGATTTCGACGCTGGTCAGCTCGAAGATCGACGCGGGAGATGAATCCCCAAGACCTTGACTTACATGCAAGCGCAATGGTGTGGGAAAGTGTCGCTATGGCGCAAGACGATAAATCGACTGTATCCGAGACATTTCCACTCCCACTCAAACTCTGGAGCGTCAGCCCAGAGAAACTCGAACACCTAAGATTATTGTTCCATGGTTAGCACACCGACTCTTTTTCTTTTTCGGCTCCCTGCGCGCCCTGTCGCCTCAAGCGGCTCGGGGGGGTAAGGGAGAGAGGGTGGGGGAATCACTCACGTCGCCAACCTGCAATTTCGAAGCTGGTCCAATGTCATATCCTTTCATAGCTGCGGCAATCCAGCGTCAGCAACATGAAAAAAGCACTCGAAGCGATCCGAACCAGGACGCCGACTCAGACCGCGGCGGAGGGAGGCGACCTCTAGCCCGGAGAGCAAATCGACTTACTCAAAGGATGAGCGTCGGCGCCTTCGTGCGCCGCCTCGGAAACGTCGTCCCCATACCCTGAGTCACTTCTGATAGTAGCTTGATCGCGGAGTCCCATATCTGACATGGGGAATTGTTGGATGGGAAACTAGGAAGGAGGAAAAAGAGAGAGGAAAAGGGAAAGGGGGGAAAGGCCGTAAGAAGAAAGGACTGGATTTTCCGGCGGGCGAGTTATATCGGAGGAGGAAGAACCCACGACGGCCAACGACCTAGGGGAGGTTTGTCTCGGGAAATCCCTCGGAACGCCTTCGCCACCGGTGGTAATCAAACGGACTACCTCCTTACTAGTTGTGTTCCTAGGCGGTGATGCTGCCCAAGCCTAGGACGGTCCACTCCCAGCTGCGGTCGCCTGCCGCTCTCAGTGGTCGGGAGGAGGCGAAGCTCCACCGCGCGCTGGTATCCTCGTCGAACGGTACAAGTGAGAGCGCAGGCTCACAAGGGGGAGGGAGGAGGGGGTGTACCACGGGCTGCCGGGGGGACGAGGCGGGAGAGTGGATCGTGGGTCCGTCGCGCTGGCCAGCGACGTGCGGCCACATCGTCACCGCCATTTGGCGTAGCCCACAACGGGCAACGTCCCAGACGCTCCTGAGATAGCAGGCGAGCTGGGTTCGAGCGATCGTGCATGGCAGGCGAATAGACAGAAATCTACACATGTATTATGCATATGCATATAGATAGAGGCCTCTGTGTGTGGTTGGTAGGGCCAGCGATCCCCCCCGCCGAACAACCCCTCGCGAAGCGGAAGGGGAGAAAAGGGAAGAGAGAGAGTGACAGAAGAAAAAGAAAAGAAAAGAAAAGGAAAAAAAAAACGCTAGAAAAATCCCCATGGTGGGCCTTGAGATCCCTGCATGCTCAGTGCCGTCCCGTGACTCGCGTCGTCGAGGGCAGGGCTTGCATTCGTCTCCTCTTCGTTCACGCATACCTGCGTTCCATACACACACATCCGCACATAGAACAGATTCCACATCGAACACAGACCCGCTCCCCTCTCCCTGGCCTCCCCTCTCCCGCTGCCGAATTGACCAGTCGTTCGCTCACCATGGCCCCTCCGTCTCTGCTCGCCGTCCCACATCGTCGTTCGCGTGGAGAGGGAGAAAGAAAGACAAGAGGGCAGAGACAGGCACGAAGCACGAGGCACGAGGCACGGCCGTCGAACCATACCTGCTATATATACCTACTTCACTAGCTATGCTTGGTGTATTGATTCGCGTGCTGCTGCTCGTTGACGTCAAACTCGGCGAACGGCTGCCGCGCACACCCCACGAGCGGGTATATATACCTAGCCTGGCCTGTTACCTATACGAAGCGCGCGTACGTCTCCCCGTCTAGACATGCGTGCGTATTGCCTAGAGCGAGCGCGGATGGATATCGAGTCGTTGCGTATATGGGGACACATAAAGAGAGAACAGAGGAGAGGAGAGGAGAGGAGAGGAGAGGAAAGAGGGGTGGACCCTCCTGTTGCAGGAACGCAGCAGGGAGGCCCATCGCCCATAGCGTGGCATAAATAGGTACTTCTAGAGGAGACTCGACGGGAGCGAGCGAGCAGGCGAGTGAGTGAGTGAGAGTGAGCGAGGGCGTAAGAACAGAGAGATAGATGGAGAAGATCACTCCGTTCTGTTCGGACTCAATATCCTGCCTTGCGCTGTCCGAAATACCAGCTTCCATACAGCTGCCCTTACGACCCTCCATGTTCGTTCAACATGCATCGAGGGAGTAATCAATTCCTTGGTATTCGTCAGCAGGCCTGCCGTGTCTAGAGGTATATGTGCATTTGAATCATAATAGCAAGGACAAGAATGCGTTATGTACGTGCTTAATGCTGCACATCATCGTCGCCTGTCCCGCCGGCACAATAATTACCTACCTGCCTACCTGGCCTGCTGCCTCTGCGTCTGCATACATACAGCGTCGTCTTGGAAGGGGAAGATGGCGAATGGAGGATGGCGAGCGCAAGGGGGCACGGGGCACCGCTACCATGGTACCGGCTTGTTTTTTTTCTTTCCTTGCCTTTCTCTCTCAGATTACCTCGTCTTTCACTCGGTGGGCCTCTCATGGGCTTCTGACTGGCCCGCCGGAGGGAATCGTATCGTAGGAATCGTAAGTAGCATCAAGGAGCAAGCCGATGTACATACAACTGACACTACACACCTACTTACACAGGCAATGCGTTGGCACAACACGATTTGCCTGTGACGGGGCCCACGCATATTACCATACCAGAACCGCGCCGCGCGAGACGGGCTAGCCGTTGTCGACGACCGAATCGAGAAACCGACGAGCCGAAAGAGAGCGTCGACCATGGTCATTAGGTATATATTAGGTACTGGCTTCGAGGATATTCCCGGCACCCTCGATACAAGCCATTGTCGCCAGTACGGATTGGCGCCTCAGACCATATTCTACGCACGCGCGTATGTATTAGTTCGCATCGCATCACCACCGGCCGGAACATTGACACTGACCCTCCCCACGCTAACCGCTTCACCGTGCACGACCGTCGTTCCAGCCAATATGCGAGACGCTCCGAAACCCCTCCGTCCCATCGAGCTCCCGACTCACTTTGGTCGGTGCTCGCTGTGAGGTGCTGATAATAGCCTGCAGGCTAGCGAAGAGGACATTACCGGTTGTCGCCGTAGTCGTACGGGGTGTATGCCGTTGAGAATCAATAGAGAAGCCTCAACAAAAATAACCGGAACGATATCGTATCCAGATGGAGGGTGGGCGGGCGAGGCTCCGTCTGACGCAACCTAGGCAAGCACGTAAGGCTATTGATACAGAACTCCTCAGCAGTACGTAGATCAGTCGCCAGCACTAGAAGTCCTGAGGAAGACACAACAGTAAGTGGCTGGGAAACTAGGCAGCCGGAAGACGGCAATTATCGAGTTACCCGAGCAACCAGCTAGGCCATCTCATACATAGAAAGGGTAGATGGAAGTTTACGTTAGGCGTGGGCTTTTGCCCTTCTCTTTACACAGGCCCGTGTTGTGTCGCGCGAGACGAGAGCGGTGCTCATATCGGGGGTAAGACCCGCGCATCGAGGATCTGCCTTGAGCCGCTGGCTCTCTGGCAGGTTGCCGTCTTGCTAAGATAGCGCACTGCCGCGGGCGCGCTGGGCTGCGTCGTCTGTTGCCTCCTCCTCCGTTATTCTCGCTAGGTAGATCGTGCCGTCCATCGCGGTCGGTGGGGCCACCTCCTTCTTCTTTTCCTTACTCCTTCACCTCCGCTTCTCCCTCTACTATTTCGCCGTAAAGCCAAGGGCCGGCGGGGCATTCGGGCTCACCGGTGAGCTGAGCGTGTTCGGCCGTCGTGAGCGGCTCCTCTGCTTGGGGTGTGGGGAGGCTCTCCATTCTCGCTCGCTCCGACTGGGTCTCCTTCGGAGAAGTCGCCCTTCATGGCGAGGACTGGGCTTCGGTGTTGAGACGAGTGCTCTCGGTCGAGTTTGCCGAGTGTTGGTCGAATCTCTGTAGCAAGTCCTTCGCGCCCCCGGAAGGACGGGATTCCCACGGGCACCGGGCGGGTTTTTATAAGGAAACCTACACCGCCAACTCTGTCACTCATCCTAGCCCACCACCGGCCGGGCCACCGCCTCCTACATCCTGGGCGCTCGTACGCCGCAGGGTGACAGAGCCGAATATGTGTTTTCTTTCCGGCGGGTCTGCCGAGAACAGAGTCCTTGGTATGCTCGTACCACTCCGGACGACGATGTGCCTTGCCTGCTCGCCCTTGCTCCGTTTCGATCCTGCCCCTTCATAGCTCCCCTGCTTCCCAGCCCTATCGCTAGTAACTCGCCTTTAGAGCTTCCTGACGTTAATGCAATGAGACGATACGATCCCAGATTTCGGATGGCCGTATCATATTCACCGCCTGTTTACTGCTTGTCAGTAGGCTGGCTAGTCGGGAGCGGTGGTTCGTTGATAACGTGGGGAACGGCGGGCAGCAGTACGGGTCGGGGTATCGGATGTTTGTTGCGGCTCGATGCTTCAGGACCGTCGTCTACCCCGATCAAGTTTCTAGTTCGGTAGGACGCCATAGCCCTCGGAAGGGCCGCCTAGCCTGGCGTTCATTCAGCTCGCCGCATATGGGCTACGCGCTCCGACAATGTCGGCTTCGTATCCATTACCCCACTCGCTGAGGCGGGAGATCAGTAGGTTATATAACGGAGGATAGGTTCGATTCCTAACAGCACTACTTGGTAGTCTTCGCTATTTAGCTCATCTGCGGGAGCAGATCCTGTTACGACCACGAGAGCAAGGGGGGCAGTCGATACCTCTATAGCACCCAGCCTCTTCTACGGCTAAAGGCGCACGCGTATCAAAGTTGTCGAGTACCTGGCGATATCCAAGGTCACCTTACTTCCCGCCTCGCGGCGCCTCGAGCACACACTTGCCTTATCTGCCTAAGGAGGTACCCGGGTGGGCCCATCCTGTTCCTACGCAGCCGGCGGGAGCGCGGAGCCGAAAAGCGGATTCCACCTCCGCAGCGCCAGGGCTGCTTCGGAAGGGTGTGTTCGGGAGTGGTCTTCCTACGCAGCAACCCCCCCCCCCCTTCCCCCCGGAAAAGGGGTAGGGCATGGCAGGTGGCTCGGAAGGGGATCCGTACCCCGGCGCCGATATCAGTCCATGTACCTCACGGCCACCTGCGCTGGTTTTGCTGCGTGTGCGGGATCGACTTACGGTTGTAGGGAGATAATTCGGCAGCGTATTCGTTGAAACACAACGCTCCAGCATTGCCTCTACCCTGGTGCGTACGAAAAGGGGTAGGCGTGAAAACTGAAAGTTCTATCTTAAGACTCATGTTGCCCAGAGCTATAGGTAGGCGACCACCGTAGTAATTGTAATGTCGTGCACCTATTAACGCGAATGGGGGCGTAATATTTAGGGTAAGTAACGGGCACCTAGGAAGTACTGAAGTATGAAGGTATAATCGCCCAACAGGTTGCGAATCTCCCTTGTTCCACGTTCTCATGTAGACACACAAGCCAACCCTCCAGCCGCTTTTTTTTCATTCGCATACTCCATGCTTAACCAAACGCCGCCATCCCAACTAGTCTATAATGCAAGCTTCTCGTGCTTAAACCTCTTCTTGCCCTCGCCCTCGCCGTATACGGCGGTGACGTGACCCTGCCCACGAATCTGGTACTTGTAAATCATCAGGCCTTCCAAGCCCACGGGGCCGCGCGAGTGAATTTTATTAGTGCTGATGCCGACCTCGGTGCCGAACCCGTACCTCATACCATCGGCGAAGCGGGTCGAGGCGTTCCAGTACACGCCTGCCGCGTCCACGCTAGACATGAACAGTTCGGCAAGTTCGGAAGACTGGGTCAAGATCGCGTCTGTGTGCTTGGAGCCGTGGGTGTTGATGTGGCCGATGGCTTCGTGGATATTCGAGACCGCCTTGACGGCCAGCGTGAGACTGAGGAACTCGGTATCGAAGTCGGCGTCGCTGGCGTTTTCAAGTTTCGCGGCAAGCTCGGGAGACAGCCTGCCGGCGAGCGCCGCTTTAACCCGGGAGTCGCACCGAAGAACAACCCCTTTTGCTATCAGCGCCTGCGCTACAGGCGGGAGAAGGGCGTCCAGGGCAGCCTCCTGGACTAGTAGCGTCTCTAGGCTATTGCACGCGGCCGGATAACTGGTTTTGGAGTCGACTATTACGTCGGCTGCCATCTGGGGATCCGCCGACTGCTCGAGGAATATCGAGCACAGGCCGTCCGCGTGGCCGAGTACGGGAATCTTGGTGGACGACTTGATATATCGGACGAGCTCGTTAGAACCCCGTGGGATCACCAGGTCGATATATTGGTCCAAATCCAGCAGCTGCGGTATCACGTCTCTGGTGGTGACGAGCTGGATAGCACCGTTGGGAACATCAGTGGCGGCCAGAGCTGCGGATATGACCTTGGAGATGGCGATGAAAGATTCGGTTGACTCCTTGCCGCCCTTTAGGATAGCAGCATTGCCTGACTTGACTGCGAGAGAGGCGATGTTGGCAATGACCTCGGGGCGAGCCTCAAAGATGATGAGGAGCACACCGATGGGGCAGGTGACCCTTGTCAACTCAAGCCCGTCGTCCAGCTTTGTCCTCAGCGTGATTTTGCCCACTTTCGCGCGGTCAGTCGGGGAGCGCGCACTTGGATGGCCTAGGTAGGGAGAGGGGGACTCACCGGGATCCTCGAGATCTCGAACATCCAGTATTCCTTTCAACATATCCTCCCATTTCCCTTTCTTGCCGAGGTCCAGCCTAGACACCAAACTCTGGCTGAGTTCGCCGTGCTCAGCGGCCAGGCGTGCCGCTTCGAGATCACGGGCGTTCGCCGAGAGGATCTCGTCCTTGGCCGCGGCCAGGGCGGCGTGGACGGCGGTTAAGGCATCGTTTCTGGCAGACACGGGCAGGGTAGCGAGGACGTGAGATGCCTGTTTGGCTGCCTTCGCAGCTTCTAAAGGCGACGCACTCGTCAAAGACATGATTTGCCAGTATACCGTTCTCTGATGTGTCAAGGTCTGTCTCCAGATACCTAGGTACGTAGGCAAATAGCGATGTTAGCGCATGGGCAGCCCCGAATCCAGGCAGGCTAGGTACCTGCGCCACCTAGCATAGGTGCTCAGTATACCGCTCTGGGCCTTCTAAGAGAGGCCTGCATTTATCTACTGGGTAGAGGTAGGTACCTATCGAAGACGGCGGGGGCGTGTCAAATCTTGCCCGTATTCTGCCTCCACTCACCACCTGCTCGGTGGCTTTACTCATAAGGGGGAGGTACCTTAGGTAGGTTAGGTACCTCCCGGCCTCGTACCTAGGGCTAATCGCTCCAGGCCAGCCACAGCGGGAGACGACTTCCGAATACCGATGGAAGTCTTTCGGATGTGCCTTCCGATGCCTTTATATATGTATATGTACATTGGAAGTACCCAGGTACCTGGTCGTACACGTAAATGGCCTCGAGATTTCTATTCTCCGAACCGGAAAACTGTGGCCTTGTCTCCGGATTTCCCCCCTCGTCGTCGCATCCTGCGTGCCTAACATGTCCAAATACGCCCGAACCGGCCGAGTATCGACAAGCCTCTTCGGCGTCACCTCTCTCAAGCTGACCCGACACCCAATCAACACTCCCGTCAACACCGGAACCGCTTAGAGCCGTCCTGCAACTGCGCTATATACCTACCTGCCTACATGCTATCACCTCCAGCACATTCCACGTCTGTCGGTCTGCAGGCTGTTCGTGCGAACATCACCGATATTTCCAATCTCGTCAGGGAAAAGGGTGACCGCGTAGCTACGTGGTAGCTCGAAGCGATGGACCCCTCTCTATCCCCAAACCCGCCCAAGCGTGATGGGAGGGCGACAAGCTAGCCGTTTGAGCACATAGCGCCGCCCCGAACTGGCCTTATTCACCAGCATTGACCCTAACCGTCATCCCTGACCGCTCGAGGGTGTCGGCTGCGTGCGATGCCTCCGTAGCCGTTCTCTGTACGTATCCAGCAAGCATCGCGATCCGAACCCGGCCACGAGGATACCAGATTCGGCGCAAGACCTGTTCGGCCGCGAGTGACATCTACCAGGACCTCCGCTCGTGTGCGCGTGTGCGTAAGCCTGGCTCTGCTCTCCCGTCTGCTGTGCCTTTTAGGTCCCGGCGAGTAGCCGCAGATGCATGAATCCTGTTAGGTAAGGCCTATCGTTATCCTCACCAGGGATCCAATGGGGAGGGGCGTGACGAGATTCCAGGACCGGTGGCGATGGCATCGCCAAGATTGAGCGAGTCGCTGAGGTGATCACCACCACAGTCTCCGCCGTGTTCTACGGAGACGGCCAGCTGGTGGCACCATGATGGCAGCCCCTTTAGCTATTGCCAGATGGTGAGGCCAGATCGGCACCGCACCGCGAGCAGATCGCCTCCACACATGCGTACACTGCCGGCTAGGGCCTGGCGTTTCCGGGGTTTGGTCGGATGGAACCGCTGTCGAGACCCCTATGGAATCACCGTCCCGCACTCACGTCCTCGGGTCCTCGGCTTTATCCATCCCAGCACTATCCCCGTTCCTCCCTTCATGTCTTTCTCCACACAGATCCAAACCGGCGGCTTTCAATGGCCTCGACAGGAACAGGCCTGTTGGTGTATTCCTGCCATGCATTTTCTATATATGACTTGGCCGGGTGGCCTAGGAGCCAAGCACGCTTACCCTTATTCAACCCTACTTTTCCATCCTTTTGCAATACATTCATACACGGTTACATATTCGTCGTCACTCTCGACCTTCGACTCCGTAACAAAGAGTCTCTTCCTTTGTCTTGGCTCACCACTCCTCTTGAGGACCCCTCCCCCCCCCCAGGTTCAGGTACGGCTTTCTGCCCACGATGCGTGTTAGGCAGGCCCTTTGACCTTTGATTCTACAACCACCTATGCCATCCCTCCATTAGGTTTTGCCGATATCGCTTACCGCACAGTCCCCAGTCCCCAGCCCACCTACCATTCTTGGTTTGTAGAGCAGAAGCCTCGTGGCTATGCTTGCAGAATTAGAAAAGGCGGATGAGAAGGGGGGAGACCTCGAATCCCGTAGGGCCCATACCAGAGAAGAGGACGATACTGCTGGGTCTATCACTAGCACCACCACGAACCGAGATGCGGAAGAAGAGCGTCGACGAGCTTCGCACGGCGTTCCTGTAGATGAAGAGGCCGCCGTCCCCGCACCGACGGAGCGGGCTAGGTCACAAGCATCGTCAGCTCGCTCACGGCCGTTGTCTATAGTGCCGAGGTTGAAGCGCCGGGGTATCCTGGCGCAGCTAACGCTTATTCCTGAAGTTGAGCGGCCGTTCGAGTACTCGAGGAAAGATAAATGGATGATCACGGCATTCATAGCCTTGGCGGCATGCGCGGCGCCGATGGGCTCCGCCATCTTCTACCGTAAGCAGAAACATACCCTCCGTTATACCGTAGCATGATCCGTCTTGCCAAGGAATACCAAACGACTCACGTAAGATACGTTCTTAGCTGCCCTACCGAGCATGGCTGTTGATCTCGCTGTGACGCCGACTGTCGTAAACTTGACGGTAGCTCTGTATATGTTGTCGATGTCCATCTTTCCGCTCTGGTGGTCCTCCTTCTCGGAGACGCTAGGCCGACGTAACATATATATCTCGTCGTTCTTCCTCAACGTCGTGTTCTCCCTGCTAGGCGGACTAAGTGTCAATATCGGTATGCTGGTCGTCTTCCGTGTCCTGTCGGGCGGAGCTGCCGCGAGTGTGCAAGCCGTCGGTGCCGGAACGATCGCCGATATCTGGGAGCCCCGAGAGCGCGGCCGCGCTATGGGTTACTTCTACTTAGGACCGCTGATGGGACCTCTCATAGCCCCCATCGTCGGCGGCGCCCTCACTGAAGGTTTCGGTTGGAGAAGCACCGTATGGTTTCTTACCGTGTACGGCGCTCTCGTCTTCATCCTTATCCTATTCGGCGTCCCAGAAACTCTTCCGAAGCGTCGACATGCTGCTGCTGCTGCTGCTGCTGCTGCTGCTGTTGCCTCTGTACTAGAGCCCTCGCAATCCGAAGGCTTGTCCCGCATCTCCACTACGCGTTCTGTGCAAACATATACGAAGCATGCAGCCACATGGATGAAGCGGTGTTTCGTCGATCCCCTCGAGGTCATCCTGTATCTACGTTTTCCCGCCGTGGCGTTGACCGTCTACTATGCCGCCATTACTTTCGGATCGTTGTACGTCCTCAATATCTCGATCCAGTCGGCATTCTCGCGTGAGCCATATAGCTATCCAGCGATCATCATTGGTCTACTGTACATACCAAGCTCGCTAGGCTACTTCGTGGGGTCGGTACTGGGCGGGAAATGGATCGATCGGATCATGGTTAGGGCAGCAGAGAAGGCCCAGCGGTACGACGCTGACGGCAAGCTCATCTACCTCCCCGAGGACCGCATGCGGGAGAATGCCTGGGTGTCCGCCACTCTCTACCCCGTCGCGTTGATCTGGGCAGGCTGGACACTTCAGTACGGGATCCACTGGACGGCGCCGTCCGTGGCTACTTTTTTGTTCGGATTTGGTAGCATGCTCGTTTTTAGCGCTGCGACGACAATGCTTACCGAATTCATGCCTCGCAAGAGCAGTAGCGGCGTCGCCCTCAACAATTTTGTGAGAAATATCTTCAGCTGCACGGGCGGCATCGTCGGCCAGCCCCTTGTCGACGCCATGGGCATCGGGTGGCTAATGACCACGCTCGGGTTGATCGCTTGGATATCTGGAAACTTTTGTATCTGGCTTCTGCGGAGGAATAGTCAGAAGTGGAGAGCGGAGATGGATAAGGCTCTCAACTAATGAGTCCGATATACTGTCACTAGCGTAGCGTATCATGAGACAACGAAGCGTCATTTCTTATTGCCAAGCTTGAGTTTCCCACCCCACGTGTATCCGGTGTGAAGTTACGGCACAGCGGTATTTTTCACGGCGCTATAGAATTCCTTCGTCAGACGATGACACCAGCCGAGCAGGCCTAGCATCAGTGCATATTATGACGGGGGCTCGTCGCTGGTATGGCATCGCTATCGTTATGGCATGCCGAGGTTACTGACTACTGCGCATATCACGGATATGTTTATTCGTATATATACCCATAATATACAAGTAAATACCGTCTGTATATAATGCTATCTATCCTTTCGAGGAAACGTGGAAGTGGGATCCCGCACATCTGCCTAAGTAGCAGTGGCAGTAGTTGTATCCTCCACCACCTTCTCCTCCTCCTCGGCGTCGTCGTCGTCGTCGTCGTCGCCATCGAGGGCGAGCAGCTGGGCGAGGGCGTCGAGGTCGACGTTGCCGCCGCTGAGGACGATGCCGAGGTCCCAGCCGCGGGGGCCGGCCTCGCGGGCGGCCATGGCGCGGAAGTCGGGGTCGAAGAGGGCGACGGCGAGGGGGACGGCGGCGCTGGGCTCGAGGACGAGCTTGAGACGCTCGTAGGCGAGGCGCAGGGCGCGGCGGATGGCGCGGTCGCCGACGCTGTACACGCCGGCGACGAGGCGGCGCTCGTACGCGACGGCCCAGGGCACGCGGCCCATCGGCGTGCGCAGGCCGTCAGCGACGGTCAGCGACGACACGGCGGTCACGCGCTCGCCGCGCGCGAACCCGCGCCGGGCGTCGTCGGCGCCGCCGCGCGACGGCTCCGCCCCGAACACCCGGACGCCCGTGCCCTCGCAGGCCAGCGCGACCCCCGCGAGCATGCCGCCGCCGCCGCAGGGCGCGAGGATGGCGTCGAGGCGCCGCTCCGCCAGCGGGGGGGCGGCGTCTGCGTAGGGGGGCCCGCCGGCCGAGGCCAGCTGCGCCGCCACGTCCTCTTGGAACTCGAGCCCCAGCGTGCCCTGCCCCAGCACGATGTCCGGGTGGTCGTACGGCGGGACGAGGCGCGCGCCCGTGCGCTCGACGACCAGCGCGGTCGCGGCCTCGCGCTCGCTGCTCGTGCTGCCGCTGAAGACGACCCGCGCGCCGTACCCCCGCGTCGCGGCGATCTTGGGCGGCGCCGAGATGGACGGCATTACGATGTGCGCCGGGATGCCGTTGGTGCGGGCGGCGAGGGCGAGGGCCTGCGCGTGGTTGCCTTTTTTTTGGCGGGAAAAGGGGGGGAGGGTTAGCTTACGCGGGGTTGTTGAGGGTCAGAAAAGGGGCGCGGGCAGGGCGGTACGGAAGAAAAGGGGGAGGGGTGGTGGTGTCTCGAGGGGCCAGAATGTGTGTCCGGAGGGCAGGGAACCAACGCCTCGTCTTCGGACCCGTTCCAAACGCAGACACTACATCGCGCAGCTCCCAACTCCCCACCGGGCCCTCTTCACGCACACGCTTAAGAGAAAGAGAAAGGTGGCTGATAGGGACGCAGAACACGTGTAGGCCTAGCGGGGGGAGCCGTGGGGATACTCGGGACGACCGACCGAGCCGCCGACACTAACAGGGAGTACATCACAGTGGCAGGGGTAGGGGGTGAGAGTAAGAAAACAGAAAGCCAAAAGAAGACATGCAGGCGAGCAAGAGAGGAGAGAAGAAATGCTCGGCACGAACCAGAGCTATGCGTGACGACGCCCCTCTCGGGGCCGCCGCCCTCGAGCCAGCCGGGCTCGCGCTTGAGGCGCTCGATGGCGTGGAAGGCGCCGCGGGCCTTGAACGCGCCGACGCGCTGGAAGTTCTCGCACTTGAACCAGAGGCGCAGCGTCGGGGGCGGCTGCGCGGCCGGGCCGGGACCGGCCCCCTCCGAGGAGTCCTCCTTCTCCTTCCCCTCCTCCTCCTTCTTCTCCCCGGGCCCGAAGGTCGACGCCGTCGGCAGCGCCGCCGACGGCCGCGACGACGTCCACGGCGATACCGACGACGCGAGCGCCGACAGCGACCGGCTCGTTACCACCGGCGTCCGGTGCACGAACGGCTGGATCAGCTCGCGCGCCGCGAACACGGACGTGCGGGTCAGCGGGGGCGAGGTGGTTGGGTCGGCCATGGCTTCTTCTTCTTCTTTTCTTTTCTTCCCCTCTTCTTCTTTCTCCGTTTGTTTCTCTTTATCTCCTGTCCCGCTTTCCCGGCCTCTCTGCCCTGCGAGATCTCCTTCGCTCTCTTTTCCTCTATTCCCAAGGGGTGTCCGGAGTACCCCTAGTAAGACGCAGAGCAGTGTACTGAGAGGGGGGGTGGGGGGGATATATATACACTGGTAGGCGGGAGGAGGCAAATGCGACACTAGAGTCGCGCGAGCGCACGGCAGCGCCGACGACGGCGGCAACGACCTGGTACAGCTACGGAGTCTCCCTGGTGATCGGCCCCGTGCCGGCCGACTCCTTCGACGGTAAAGTAGGCGAGATGGAGAGAGCGGGCGGGTGGGCAAGGCAACGGCACGACACCCTCCTAACTGACATAGGTGGGTGGTGGGAGCGGGACCGGGAAGGGGACCGGTGGATTCACGGGCGGGATAAACGGACGATAGCCAAGCGGTTCGAACCAGTCAAAAAAGGTCCAATTTGAGATCCGGGTCCGATAACGGAGGGTGGGATAAGGCTCAACTGTCACAAAAAAAAGCCATTGGGGAGATCTCGACTACGGCCTCCCAGGGAAAAACAAGGACAGACAGCAAATCTCAGCTACAGAGATCGTCGACGGGCGTTGGATCATGTTACCGATAGCCTTCACACAAGAAATGTGACACTGGGGAAGCCTGAATACATATACCGGAGCGATTCCTTCTCTCTCTCTATTCTTTTTATTTTCCTGCCTCCTTCCCTGGGGACCCTAGAAGGGTTACAAGGAAGGCCGGGTTCCACAACTCCTGCGTAGCTTGAAACCTAAGAGCGACAGCGTCCCCTTTTCCAGCGAGACTGGCTCGTTCAACAGAGTATTACGCCAACCCTCATTGGTTTTGCCGCCCGCCTAACCCCCCCCCCTTTTTTTCCCTTTCCCCCATAAGGCCAGACCCGTTTAGTCCTGGTTCTCGGGCCGGAGAGACCTACAAGTTGATATAGTTAGTAAACTGCCTGTCTTACGTTGTTGCTTTACGTAGCTATGAAGTGACCCGTCCGTTGATAGGTGGGGAAGCTTCTCACCTAACAGCCTTGCCAGCCTTCCAGATCTCCAGGTTGCGGATCTCCTGCATCTCAGCCTCAAACTTCTCACGGTAGTCCGGCTGGCTGTTGTACTTGAGCGATCGCTTAGTCTCGGTGCCATCCTGGACTGAGTCGTACAGCTGGTTGAAGATGGGCTTCAAGGCCTTCTTGAATTTCGGGGTCCAGTCGATGGCGCCGCGACGGGCGGTGGTCGAGCAGGCCTCGTACATCCAGTCCATGCCGTTGGCGCCGATCAGGGGGTACAGGCTCTGGGTAGCCTCCTCGACGGTCTCGTTGAAGGCCTCGCTCGGGCTGTGGCCGCGCTCGCGGAGGACCTCGTACTGAGCTAGGAACATGCCGTGGATGCCACCCATTAAGCAGCCACGCTCGCCATACAAGTCCGAGTACACCTCCTTCTCGAAGGTAGTCTTATAGAGGTAACCGCTGCCGATGGCGACACCGAGCGCCTGGGCCTTCTCCTCGGCCTTGCCGGTGACGTCCTGGAAGACGGCGTAGGACGAGTTGATGCCGCGGCCCTCGCGGAACAGAGACCGGACGGTCCGCCCCGATCCCTTGGGGGCGACGAGGATGACGTCAATGTCGGTAGGGATGTCGACTTTGGTGATATCCTTGAAGACGGGAGAGAAGCCGTGGGAGAAGTAGAGGGTCTAGTCGTCATTTATCAGCGCTCCCCCGGGGGGACTGGTTTTAGACACGTATATGGCTCATTCTAGAGCGTACCTTGCCCTCGATAAGCTGGGGCTTAATGGAAGGCCACGTCTCGCTCTGAGCGGCGTCGCTGAGCAGGTTCATGATGATGGTGCCCCTCGATATGGCCTCGTTGACCTCGAAAAGGTTCCTGCCTGGGACCCAACCGTCCTGTACCGCATCCTTCCACGATCGGCCGCTCTGTCGGACACCGATGATGACGTTCAGGCCGTTGTCACGGAGGTTGAGGCCCTGGCCGTGGCCCTGCGAGCCGTAGCCGATGAGCGCTAGGGTGTCGTCCTTGAAGTAGGTCTGCAGGTAGGACGTGTATTAGTGGCCGGAGCTACAAGAGTCACTAGCTAGGGCCGCGTCTGGTGCCCGGCCGTAGGCGAGTAAGGCAACCGGGTTGACTCACCAACAGCTTCTCCTTGGGCCAGTCGGCGCGCTCTGCAGCATGGTGTAAGCCAGGAACCAGCTCGGTTGCGTATACGCCTTACCGTAAACCACTTCGGGTGTGCCGGCGAAGTCGATGGTCTTCATGCCGCGGACCTGCTGCTGCACGGCGCTGGCGAGAGCGGGACGAGCTGCGGTAGCTCGGACGAGGTTGGGCGCGATGACGATAGAGCGTCTCTGCACTACCGGCGACGCCAGCCGGCGGGCCAATTGGCTGCGAACAGCTCTGGAAACCCCTTTCGAAGCCATCGTAGGAGGATTAGACGGGACGGAGAAGTGGAGGGAGGTAGGACGAACTCGACGGACGAGCAGGAAGCGAGTATAGGGAATTATAAATGTTCGGCCCACCTAGTCATCGATTTTTTTTTGGCCGGGTTTTCGCCTTTTGGGGTTTTATTTCTTCTTTTCGGTTTTCTTTTTTTCTTTTCTTCTTTTTTTTTTTCGATCCCACTATATTTTTAGGCTCCGCAGAGCTCCCTGGGACTGCCGCTTCGGCGATGCGGGAGATGTACCACCTCAGCCAAGGGGCTAGAACTATATACACCTTGCCAGCCGGCATCAGGAATCAGCGTGTACTTTTACTACCCCTTTCGCCTATTGCACCGGTACAGTCATCCTCTACGGAGTCGCATAGCTACATCTGGGAAAACCCCCCGTTTCGGGGGTGGAATTCTCCACTTTTAATGTCTAGACTTACACCCCGATAAAATGAGGTATCCATTTAATACATATTACCGTTAGCGTAATATTATGGCTATGAGAAGCTATGCGACTCCGTAATCCTCCTTTGATTCAAGTCGTAGCCAACATGGAACCTCTTGGCACTGGCACTACCTCCTACATCGGAGTAAGACGTCCTAAGGTACCTACCGTGTGTGAGTAAGCCTATTGAATATCTCAACCGCCTTATAGCTCTATCCGCGTTCTGCTCACCTCCTACTACCTGTCTTGGAATATACGCAAGTCTTACTATTCTCTTCTCAACTAGCAGTGGTCTTGTTACGTGGTAAAAAGTACGTATAAAGTCTAGTGTAACATCCGATCATGGGGATGTTCGCCGTCCTGTACATGTAGAGAGAGGAAAAACACATCCCGCTCCTTTTCGTTCCAGCGTCAACTCCCCCTCTATGAGTGCGACTGTCTACCTGTCTACGTTCGAAATGCTGTTGGAGAAGAGGCTGCCGCCCCTATCCCGTGGTGTAGAACATCTGAGAGCTATGCTTCCGGGGCCCCATCCAACCGGTTCCTCCCGGATCGCCTGCTATGCTGCCCATAGGTATAATTTCGTTGAGAATCTACTCCTACGCAATGGTGCCCTTGCCCTCGGCGGGTCCTTGTCTAGGCCCATGAGTAAGTAGATAGTTATGTCGTGACGATGGGCCGTGTCGCTAATAGTCCCTTGGCCCTTCTCCATTCCTACTTCTTCCTCCGCCCAGTCTCGTCTGATGCTTGAGCGTTCTCCCCCCCCCCCCCGCGGCCCCCTTCGTGCGCCCCGTCTTTCCTCACCACTACTACCCCCACCCCCGAGTAGGCCATTTTATCCCAAATCTGTACTTGTGGCAGATAACATGCCTACTCCGGCATTCTGCCGCGATGTGAACATGCGGGATCGCATGCAAGTTCTATAGTATCATCAAATAATCGAGCCCTTGGTAACTCGCCTAGGCGCTGCCAACGACCACGCGATCATACGAAGTGCCGCGTATTGAGCCACCACTCATCGACGCCCGTACGTTCCGCCTAAAGTTATCTCGACTCTGCCGTAGGTCGTCGGCGGCCTCTTTGTTGAGGGGGTCTGACGCGTTGGGCTCCAGGAACAGGAACTGCAGGCCAACGATAACGGCATTGAGGTTCAGAACTGGCTTCCAGTCCTCGCGGAGGATATTTAAGCACACCTTGCCCTCGAGGTCGATGTTGGGGTGATATATCTTTTGTTGACATCGCACCTTGGGTGGCTCGTGTGGGTAGCCTTGGGCTAAGTTGAAGGTGAAGGTAAACCGGCCGCCGTGGTAGACGCCCTCGTCGGGCGTTATCTCGAGAATGAAGTTGAGGATATCATCCGGGTTGGGGAATTCGGTCTTCATCGTCGTCCCTAAGGACAGCTCGGAGAGATCTACACGTAAGTTTCAAAAAGGCGACTGTCAGCATCCTCCGTCGCAGGGTCGAGATATTTGCCAGCCCAAAGCATTGTGTTACTACTTACCTTTCTGGACTCTGAGTTCGGCAGCCGTCACCTTCTTCTTCTTCCCACCAGCGCCCTCGGCATTTTCCACCTTCTGCTGCTCCTTTTTCTACACAGATAATGTTAAAACCTCACGGCGCAGCAGATCACGGAGACATTTTTAACGGACCATAGACCATATTTTCAACATCTTGGCTGTCGAGGGGAGGTGGGTCTACACCAGTACGTAGAAGAGAGAGAAAGGGGGAGGCTGTACGCCGACCTCGAAGTAGGGAGAGAAGCAAGATAGCAAGCAGCTGCCGTCGGCCGTATTCACTAGTTCGATCAGCTGCTCTGAGAGTGCGTGAATTGCAGGGTCGGCGCGAGCGAGCTGAGGAGCGTGTAGTCTCGCTGCGGCCTTATTCCGAGCGTGTCGTGGGTGGGGAGGCGGAGACGGGTTTGGACGAAGATTGCACGGCGCGCCGGAGTTTGCAGACACGTTCTGTCGCGTTGGGATAGTACGTAGAAGGCCTAGGCGCCAGACGGGAAGCCTTGCGTCGCTTGGGTTATACAAGGAGACCGAAGGCGAAGGAGGGATAGGGATAGGTAGGCAGAAGGCGAAATCCACTTAGCAATAACCTGGCGATGTTTACCTAATCTGCACTCGGACTCTGATTGGGTATCGATGTGCCCATCGCCACCAGCTTTGTCAGCGGCCAATCAACAAGGCTCTTCGCATAAGGCAGACCGGAGAGGCTAAGCCGATGCCCAACCTTCGGGCCAATTACGGCTCGCCGACCGACGTCCCATTTCCCCCCGTAATATATGGGGGGGGACCTTACCTAAGCTTCCTACGGTGCGACGATGGAAATAGCCTCCATCTTTCTCTACCACTATTTCCGTATAGGTATGCGTAGGTAGGTATGTAGCAACCTCACCACCACCGTCCTCACCACCCTCGTCATCAACTTGCCACCACCACCCCTCTCCCGTACCACCTACCACAGTCACCCGCCCTTGTAGTCTACACAACGATTCCGCACGACAAATCTGCACTCTAGGGAGCTCTTCGTTATTCTCCTAGCTGTAGTACCTACGTTTAGGCAAGCTACGGACGGTCCAGATCAACCCCGGCGATGTAAAACCCTTAACGGGCAAGGTCCCGAGACCTGAGCCAGACGCTCCTCTAATCCGCTTCCTCCCTACCCACCCCGAGCAGCATAGGTCTGCCCGACCACCTCCCCAGTCCTATTTTGGCCCTATTCGGAATCCTATCCTCGAGGCTCAAACTCCCGACTGTCTCTTCTAGACCAGACCCTTGACACAAGAAACCCAACAAGAAGGAACAAGGGAAAATACCCAAAAATACAAAGACGCGAATGCCAGTTGAGAGCCTCCAGCAAATCCTGCCAGAATAATAGTACACGAGTAATCAAGCGAGGAAAAGATTGCGGGCACAAACCAAACACCCTCTTTTTTCCGATAGTGGTATGACAACATCAAAGTCGATGGAGACGAATAGTTAATCCCGAAGGGAAGAGAGACGGCAAGGAAAAGAGCTTGGGTCGTGGTCGTACGCCGATCGATCGTCTCTCGGCAAGTATATTCTTCTGCAGCCGGCGTAGGATGCAGAGGAAAGAAGGGATAGGAATAAATTCCTTTAACACCATCCAGCGGATGCCGGCTCCGTTCGGTAGTAGTGGCCGTAGAACGTGGATCTGACCGGCTCCCGTGGCTTACTGGCCTTGTTTGCTGCATCTTACGAGCCACAAAATCACGTCGATCCCGACAGTAGCGGGAAAAAAAATCAGAAAAAAAAACCAACCCGGGGTATCTATTTCTCTCTTCTGCAAATAACAAAACAGATAAATGGAGGACTACCCCTTCGAGAAGAGGCAGAAGAGACGAAAATGGCAACGGCCAGGCGACGAAAGTGGGCCTCTTTAGAACCCTCCGAACGGATCGTCGCGGAAGTAATCTTCCTCGCCGCCCGCCCGGCTGCTGCCAGTGTAATACGAGTCGGTGCCACGGGTGCCACGGGAGGCGTAGCTATCACGATGGCGGCTGCGGCTGCGGCGGCGGCGAGCTTCCTTGCTGCGACGGCGCGCACGGTAGCGCCACTCATCCTGCTCGTCGGGGTGGTCTTCGAAGCGCGGGAACGTAAGCGGGCTGATAAAGGCTTCCATGCGCACGGTGCCGATGGCCTCGAAGAAGTTGCCCGCCGCCGGCCGCGACGACGCCTCCGACGTCCGCTGCGAACCGCCCGCGCTGCTCATCACACCCCACGTCGTCGACACCGCCGTACCGCCGCCAACGCTCGAGCCGGGCCCTTGCGACGGCCCGTAGATGTCCGACGAGCCAGCCGTCCCGACGCTATTGCCTGCCGTGCTGTTTGACGACCCGTGGTATGACGGCGTCCCGTGGCTCGCCGACCCTGCCGGTCCCGAGAACCCCCGGAAGGAGAGCGGCGGCGGTACGTGCCCGCCCGTATTGCTCCGCTTGCGCCCATGCAGCACCACCTGGTTCGCGCGCTCGTGAACACGCTCTTGGCCCCTCTCGTGGAACCGCGGGATGAAGGGCGGCTCAGCGGCGTCTCGCGACAGCTCGCGCTGGTGCGTCGGCACCGGTGCCGGCATCGGCGGGAAAGCTTCTTGCTTGAACGCGAGCGCGTCCTCGAGATGGTTGGTCGCGGGAACGGGGCTGCGGCGCGCCATAAGCGCCGGGTTCTTGCCCTTCGTCAGCCGGATAGAGTCGCGGATACCCGGCCGCTTCGTCTTGATCGGCGGCGCCTCGAATTCTGGGGCGGGGCCGATCTTCGGCATGCTAGGCGTCGGGATGATCTCGGGCACGTCCTGTGACGAGTGCGCGAGAAACGAAAGCGCCGTCAGCCATAGGTAGTGACGCTCAGCCGTCGTAGCCGTGAATTTCAGCGCCCTCTGTGGCGTCAATATGAGGATAGACCGGTTGAAGATCTGCGTTACACCCTTCGGTGGGCCGTTGTCATCCTTGACGTCCAGCACCGATTGTATAGCCACTGCGTACGCACACGAGTTAGCCGGATCGCTAGTCGGGAGAGGGATACCACAGCTTGGATCGGGAATGCTTACGCTTTCGACCGGGTTTGCCCATCAGCGCCGTACCGGACGCTGGCTGCTTGCTACTCCACAGGATCGCACGCTCGTATGGTGCGAGCCATACCCATCGCTTGTGTCGATCATTGCTATTTTCTTCCCCACGGCCGGTGCCTTCGGCCACGCCAAAAGACTTGCGTCTCCTAACATACTTATACATCCATTCTCCGACCATTGTCTGCGCGATCGCCTCTACCACGCCCGAAGTCTGCTGGGTGCTGTTAACCGAGGCCATATTCGTGGTCTCCGTGTTGGCCGTGTTCGTTGACGGCTGAGATCTGTGGCTGCGGTAGCGGGGCTCGCCGTTGCGGGTTCGTGGCGAGGTTATGTCGTTGGTCGGGAGCGGCGGAAGACCGGGACTCTCAGGAGCCTCCTCCGAGGGCGACATTGGCGGTGGCGAGCGGCTGCCCTGTCTCCTGTGCTTCCGGTTTCCGGGTAAAGCGGTGGTAGATCGCACCTTGCGGATGCTATTGGTGCGATACACACCTCTCTTGCCCCGACGATGCCACGCCTCGCCACTATGAGTGGGACTATGTGGGTCGTCACTAGGCGCACTCGCACTGAACGGCGGCTTTCTCGAGCTCGCTCTCGTAGGGATGGGGAAGGGCGGGTCTCGCGCTTCAAGCACGTCGGGGCTGCGTGGGCGGCCCTGATGTGTAGCAATGCCACTCTGGATCAGGGCTGACTTCCGCATGACACTGGCTCTCGAGCCAGTGCTCATACCAATCGCCCTCTCAGTTGCACGGGTCGCCAACTTGAGATTAGGCCTCTGCAGGCCCTCTGGAGAATCGGCGAGGCGGAAAGCGTTATAGGCCTCAGACGGCCCGACCCTGCTCATCACGCTCGTCGACTGTCTGTTCGTGGTCTTTGGCTGTTCCGGCGAAGAGGCCATTCCTGAACTAGCTCGCTTGCCAGCTTTGCTAGGCCCGGTCTTGGGTCTCGGTGCAAGTGCTGTGCGGTATTCAGAATCGCTCTGGTCACCGTCGAATTCATCGACCTCATCTGAGCTTTGGGCATCGAAGCCCGCAAATAAGCTACTAATACGGTGGGGGCGCCTCACAGGCGCTTTGTGGCTGGACAACGGGCCATCGTCATTATTTCCGGGATACGCGTCTCGCGTCTCCGCTTCCGCCGTCGGCGATGCTGGAGGCGAGGAAGGGAGTTCGGAGAAGCTCCGCCTGTTGCTTTCGAGGCGGCGGGGGTTCCGCGGGGGAACGTGTCCGGGAACAGGGGTGAAGGCCTTCGTCTCGTCGATTGCCGAGGTAGCGGTAGGGGATGTAGGCCTCGAGGTAATGGCGGAAGGATGGAGGTGTGGCGGCAGCCTGTCAAGTCTCTTATCGACGCGGATTTCATCCGTCTGAACCGAGGCAGAGGCCGTGGGCCTGGACTCCAGGATGGAAACCTGGCACCCAACGTCCTTAACATACTGAGGCAGACGGTGTTCGTGAGGCGAAGATGGTCGGCTAGTTGGGGGGATGATGCTGATGCTCGGAATCGGGAGCGGCATCAAGGGCTGCGGTTTTGTCGGCACGGGATCAGTTTGGGTAGCAATCGACGTCGATACCGCCGCGTCGCTAGGCTTCACGTCGATCATAACCGGGCTTGAAGTGGCTAGCGTCGGTGATGGCTTCTCTGCCGTCTGGGCAGCCGCTGATACCATGACCTTGACAGCCTTAGGAGCTTCCGACGGCACTAGCTTATTGAGCTGTACTCTCTTGCGGCTCTGGTTGGCCTCGATCTCACCGTCGACTCGATGCGGACTCTCCAGACCTGCAAGTTTCTCGGCCTTGGATACGGGTTCCGGCGTCGATGGTTTCGCCGGGGCCAATTTTGGTGAGGGCGGCGGCGAAAACTGAACGCCCGTGTCGGTATATTGCACCTTAGGGGCCGCTACCATGTCCTCGTCGTCCTCGCGGATGCCCCCCTCGAGCCTGTCGAGCACGGTCTGGTTTAGGAAGACCCTGCTCCGCACAACGCTACGTGGGCGGATCTGGCTTTCGATGCTCTGATTACGCCGATGTGACTTCGACATCAGACTGTCCCTACTCTCGTTTCGATTATGCCTCCTAATTGACAGCACACTTTGACGACCTTCGGGATCCGTCTGGTAGTCATCGTCGGTTGTTTCGTCAAAGTTGAGCTCATCGGCGAGGCTGTGGCCGTTGAACTTGCCGAGACCGAGTCCGCTCACCGTGGAAAACCGGACACTGTTGGTGATGCTCATCGTACGTACGCTAGCGCCGTCGTTCTCCTTCCCGGCATCTTCCGCCTCGGTCTCGGGCGGGTGGTTGAGGCCGTTCACTTGGGCCGTCTGGAGGTTTGCGACCTCCTCGAGGACGACCCGAAGCCGGCTCTCGGCGACGTGGAGTTTCCGCTCATACTTGCGCCGCTCCTCGTCCCAGTTATCCCTCTCCTTGGCCCAGAGGTCATGGACTCTCTGCGAATCCTCTTCCTGGCTGCGGACCCTCTTCTGTGCCGCCTCGAGCCGCCTCCTAGTCTCCGTTATGGCCTCGACTGCCTCGTCGCGCTCCCTTGATAACTCGCCCAGAGCTGACGAAGACCCTCCCTCGAGAAGGGAAAGCTGCCGCTTCAAGGACCTACTCTCCTTAGCGGTGTTGCTCAAATTCGCCTGCAGGGACTCCTGCTCCTCTCGGGTTGAATGCAGCGAAGACTCGAGGCTCTCGATGATCCTTAGCTTATCTTCCTGGTCTCTCCGCAAAGCTAATATCTCTGATACTAGGTTCGCATGGAGGGTAGGTGTAAACCGACGAGGATCTAGTATGCTGATATTCTCGTCGGTTGCGATATCTTTCGATGACCGCTTGCTGTTCTTGTCTGTCTTGCTGTCGCTGAGCACCGGCGGCGGGGAAGAAGCGATGCCCGGCGGCGTGACAGAGCGCCGCGACCGTTTTGAGTTCCGTGAGGGGGTCCGGTACGGCGTCTCCGTGGGAGTCGGTAGCGACGCGACGGCAGCACCGCTCAACTCGTCGTCAGTCTCCCATACAGCCATGTCTGTTGCTGTTGCTGGCTGCTACGACTACGGCTTCTACTATTCCGCGGTCTTGTCTGGTTTTCCCCGTTGAAGTTGGGCCCCTATGGAACACACACACTTGGAGAGAGAAAGCAGGTAAGGCGAAGCCGCATCGACCGTGAACTCGCAAGTCTTTTGTTCGATATTAGCAAAGGGTCCAAACGCCCGTCTCCACCATGCAGACCCCTGTTTGCAGTGGGGTGATTGTGCTGGACCGGGAGGGAGTGGTGATGTGTGTGAATGGGCTTTGCATTAATACAACTATCTCCACCATTAGCACTAACCGGTCTAGAGACAGCAGAGAGCAGGGGGTAAGATGAGCTTGGACATCTCCAAACCTACCAAGCGCGAGAAGTGATAAGTAGCGATAAGTGATGGAAATTACGAGTACATTGCCGACCCTGCTCGCAAGTATCGCCAGGATTGGCTGCATGCGAAAGTGAGTTATGAAAGCCCTGATGCGTTTATGCCTTCTGGGAACCGCCATGCTAGCCATTGCAGATCTACAAGCTAGGTCGGAGAATACTACACATAGAGAAATGGCGCTCACCTAGGTTCCTCAGGTAAATTACCCAGGGGAGGCTCTAACTTCGTATTGAAAGGCCAACAGCTTCGGATAGCTCAACTAGAGCGAGAGCTGGTTACAAAGTAGCGCTTATACCAGAGTGTCCCTCGAGCCGAATGAATAAGAATAAGGCTTAAAACGACAACGCTATAATAAGCATTGAGGACTTATACGACAATGAGCTTTAAGAGAGAAAGAGGGAGAAACAGTACTGGCTACTGTACAAACATTACAATCAGCCATGAAACGACAATCATGTAATGGGGACAATCATGTAATGGGACTCGAAAGAGCATACTGGATATGCACGATGGATTTGCCGTGACGAACTTATCAGTTCCCCAGATTGGTGCTGTAAAAATGAAACAAAGCGATTGACGGGATATCTAGACGAGACCGACGAATGTTTGCGCTTGCTCGCCGCTAGGGTTATAATTAACAGCTCGCTCCGGCAATTCTAGGGGGGCGGGAATATGCGCGGACAGCTCGGACGAACAAGCATCGAGAAGAATGTGAGGGCAGGCAGACAGACCCATATGGACAAGACGGACCGATAGTGGCGACAGTGGTGGTGGTGCTGGTGGCCAGCCACGCGAGAACCAAGCAGGAAACAGAAGAAGAAAAAGGAGGCCAGAAAAGGAAAGACACGCCAGTTGACCACGTTCTGCCGGATCGCCGTCGTCGCCGCCTAGCGGCCACTACCTAATACCCAACTACGACTCTGAGACGGGGGGGTTAGGGAAGGGTTGGGGGACAGGAATGGGGGTGGGAAGCAACATCAAGATGGCAGGCAAGGAAGAGAGAGAGATAGGCGTCGTCGTAGAACATGGAGCCCAACAGATGCCACGAGCAAGGAGCAAAAAACAGCCTACGGCCAACCAGGTTACAGCGTCGTACACAGCCATGTCTATAGGTACATAAATGTGCTCCAGCCCACGATGACACCCACTCCAGCACCGGGGATACAGGGCCAGGCCTTGATGCTTGGGGCCGGGATGGCGAGGATATGATGATAGGTTGTGTACCTGCCTACTTACCTACTTGTGTACGGATGCAGATATGGCATGCACACACTCGAAAACGAGGAGGAAATTTGCGAATGGCAACACACGCGGACAACCAACGCGCGGTGCGGAAGGCGGCTCGGGCTACGGTGCGACCCATGCCTCCGCCATTGCGCCTCTGCGTTGCGGTTCTGCATTGTGCGTGTGAAGAGAGAGAGAGAGAGAGAGAGAGAGAGGGAGGGAGAGAGAAGAGAAGAACCCTGCAACCTGACCTGGGCATCCGCCGCAGTGCGACGATTCCATGCCGGCAATACCTGCGTTGACGAAACCCAATCATCGAGCTGAGGAACGGGCACGGCACTCAATCGACAGGACGCAGTGAGTGACCGTTTATCAGGGCATATCACTGTCACTCGCAGGCCGCGGCTCACAAGTTGGTGACAGCTTAACCGGAACAAGCTTGAACAGGGACGGTGATCAGGGGTGAAATTTGAACCAAACGGTTCCAAAGCCGCGGAATGAGGTTAGGTACCATAACCAAGAGGCCGCACCAGACGAGGGAGACCCCTGGAGGGCTAATATGGAACATGTCGTCCAATGACCCGCCTACCATAGCTTGGCTCCTCGGCCAGCTTGGCGAGCCCTTCGTACATCCCAGAGACGGTTTAGGGCAGCGCCCCGAACGGGGGGTGGTGGAGACTACTGCAAAGGGATAGTGACAGTCGGGATGAAGGGCTTCCTAGAATTGATGTCTAGGAACTCGACGACACCACCTCATAATAATATCCAGCCCACGGCCTACTATGTACGTATGTACTACGTGGTGCGTATTCGTAGTGTACCTACAATCCATACAATCCATACACAGTGCTGATGATGTGGGAGCTAGAAAGGAAATGGAATTTTCTTCGCTAGGCAGTCGGGTCATGTATGGATGCGGTACTATGAGGTTTAGGTATACAAGGGAGTTGAGACACGCGTCTGTAGGCAGAATAGGAGAGTACTCTCGTTAAGTGTGTGCATGTCCGTGTGTCATTCGCATCTAACGAAGACATACTACTCATACACATCCTCGTCCACCTCGACTCACTCGAAGGGGTTTGATCTGACTTCTCTGCACATGCACATGTGCATGCACAAGCCACCTCGTCGGGGACCACAGGGACGAGGGGAGCATGGGCAGGCGAGGCAGGCAGGTAGGCGAGCTGCGACTAGACCGGTCACGAAGAGGAGGTAGGTAATTACAGGGAATTTTAGCACCGCGAAGCCGTTCAGGGGGGCTTGCCTGCGCGCGCCAGAGAGGCGAGGCAGCATCGCGCCCCGGCTGACGTCTCTCGACGGGCAAGTCCTGGCCGTCTTACGTAGCTGCGTCGGTAGGAACAAAGTCGAGAAAGCCCGAAGAGGGGGAAGCTCGGCTCGACAGATCGAGCGTTTATTCCTCACCCGGCCTACTCTTAGCTGGCGAAGGAGAGAGATGTGATGTCGAATAAGATGTCTGCTGGCGATCACCGGCAATGTCGATCTCTCGCGCCCCTCGAATAGTATCGCCGCGTCGTCGCCTCCTATTCTTCAGTGACACGGGCGCGGGCGCTTCTCCAACGGCTACTCGGGGCGTAACGTGGTCGTAGCATTCGCCAATTGCACGGCCCATGCCATACAACGGCCTGTAAGCAGGCCTCCATAGGCAATTAGCATCGTGGGCAATGCCGAGTGGTCCGGCGGTGGACCAGTGGGCGGCCAGATCTTTCTACCCAGCTTCGCGAAGACAAAACTTGGGGGTCTCTCCCCTCGTAGGTGACATCTCCAGGCGGCCAAACTGCGAGGGCACGCCCGATCCTGCCATTAAAACCGCATTGTACATATGAGTATGCAAGGCACCGCCAGACATGCATGGGACGGGCCACTGGCGAAGAACGCAGCGACAGGCATCTACACGTAGTCGTGGCGTGTTGGTCACATCGAGAGGGGAGTACGACTCTACGGAGCGTCCTTTAATTCCATCCGGCTATTCAGAAGATCCCATTTCGTCCTAAAATAATACTACTAAAAAAGAAGAGAAAGATGTCGGCAGCGACGGCCCCATAACGAGCGCCCTGCTTTGCGATACGAAGGCTCCATTCCCGGGTCGAGACCTCTAGCACACGTACGGGATGTAGAGGCCGTGTCACAATTAGCGAAGAGAGAGGCAGAGAGAAGGCGAGAGAGAGAGAGAGAGAGAGAAGACCACACAGACGTCGATCTCGCCCATCTATCGTGATCAGATAGAGTCCCGTCGCTCGGACTTGGAAGACGGCGATGACAAACTCTGGGGTTCGCACCGCTGATAGCTCACATCGGATCCCGCAACCCCAGGGCCTCTCATGCAATAGATACGGAGGATATGGGGTGCGTCCATACTATGTGCGTGTACGTATGGTCGCCCTATATCCCCCCTCCCCCCTTCTTCTCGAGACAGTTCTCGCCCAGGGCCAAGATTACCGGCCTCTGGCATAGGCCAACCAGGTCCCCAGTCAGGCCATCCTCCAGCGGGGGAGGGAGGGGGGATTGTTATCTCCTCGTCGAAATCCTGACAGCTCGTCAAAGGAAAGCCCTTGAAGTCGCCAGGGACCAGCCTACGAGCGCTGAACAGGTGAGTTCTCGGTCGCTTCCCGGGTGGGGCTGTCCTGCCTGCTAGCACTCTCTGCACCGGCTGCGTCTGTCGAGATGCCGTAGGTAGTAGTTAGGCTAAGCATACGTGTATTTCGAGGCGGTCGGGTCCCGAAAACAGGGCCCGTCGCCCAGCTTCGTCAGGGCCGCTAGAGTTCGCCGTCAGGGCAGATAATCTACATACATGTGTACGTGGGTATGTAGGTAGGCATATCACATGTTTCCGGGCCCGCTATTCTCGGCGTCGACGCAGCGACGGAGAGAGAATCCCTCTCACGAGGTGACCTTCTGCTGGCTGCCGAATGCGACTGTGACGGGTGTGACGATTCTGCGTCGTCTCAGCCCCTCCGTCCCGCGAAGATTACGCACGCTCTGCGAGCAGCCGTAGGTACGTAATTCCTATCTTCCCTCTCACACACTATTCTACACGTAGACAGCTCCCTCCCCTCCCCTGACCCATGAGGATAGGGGGCAGCGGGGGGCACGTGGTACAAGCCAGCTCCGTCTGGGTACTCATAGAAAGTGGGAAGAGACAGAGTCGGTCGTACTTTGGGACGCTTCGGTTCTCCTCCCGGCTCGCGAGATTCGCAGACGGTCTTCCTAAACTACGGTATATCCCTCCAAGTGCTCCTCTCTCAACGATCTCCCGCACGCGGCTGAATGACCGAACCAGCCTCGAGGTCCTCGAGGCGGCTCGATCGAGAGGGCGGGCATGCACGTACAAGCCCGTCCTTCAACTGTCGGCATCCTCCCCAGATCAAGTACTACCTGCTATGAGTACAGACGTAATATTCCGTGCCGCCCCTCCTTCACAGCTCTCCTACGAGCCGCGCGAAATTACCCTGCCGCGACTCCGCCGGCTTCCTGATTTCTAAATGACTTAATATCCATACCAACCTACACGCGCACTACAGTTAGCCTGAACGGCAACGATCCACCGCGACATCGTGCCCGTACCATACGTACGTACACATACAGGTCTGTCCTTGTAAATGTCGAGTAGGTACTACGTGCATAGGTACTACGCGAGAGCTAGCTAGAGCTGAGACGATGCTGATGTCTCTCCCACGGCCGGCCCATCCCAGCCCTAAACGCTACGACTAGCCCTGTTGCGTTTCAACCTCCACACAGATCATGCAGTTTCTTCCTCGTCGAGGCGAAACGTCCCCGAAGCGTCGGGTTGCCAAGGCCGGATCACAGAAAAGGGATGAGGAGTGCGACTCGTTCCAAGATCCAGTACGCAGCCGGGGCTCGTCATCACCCTATGTGCCACGTACTAGTAGAAAGCCTGCTAGCAACCCGACATGGCCAGGGCGGCTGGTAAGCGAGTTGGTACGCGAGTACTCATAGAGAGGTAGGTAGAGAGATAGGTAGAGAGATAGGGAAGCGAGAGAGAGGGAGAGAGAGGGCGCTGCAACGCTCTGGGGTTCGACACCCTCTCCAACTAAATTAAGATGGGCTTCCCTTGCTACGCAGCAGCCTACGCCTGCCTACAGGGCTAAAAGGGGAAAATGGGCCAGACGGGGAACTCCGGCTAGGGTGTCCTGAAACTGACCTAGGTCGGCCTAGGTCGTGGTGCTCGTTGACCTAGGTAGCCGGACAAGGCCAGGACGAGTTGCCTTTTCCCGTCTCTCTCACGCCCGTTAGGGATCGAGCCGGTAGGGATCAGGGAAGATTTCCGAACACGTCCCGAGCCCTTTTCTGGGATCTCAGACCGGAGAAGCTGTCAACAAAACGAGCCAAGCCGAGGCCTGTCTAGGACGTACGCTAGCCGGTAAAACCCCCGTCGAAGCTTCGACAGGATCTTGCTTCATTTTCCCATTCCTCACTAGCAGCCCATCCGCTTTCCCTCTCGCTCTCCTCCCCCCCCCTCCTCTCTCTTCCTCCCAAAACACCCACCGTATAGAGTCTGGCCTAGAGAGTTTAGCAGCAAGGATACCAAGGTTGGACAACCACCGCACGCGCTAGAGCGGATAACATGTTGAGAGCAGAGCGTACGTAGCATAGCGATGCAAGTTACGTGTGTGTCTGGACGTACATATGTATGGAGAGGAGAGCCAACGAGAGGGACAGCCAGCCGACAGACACTTACGGGTTCCCAACACGCGGGCCGCCTTCTCGCGTTCCTAGACTTTCTTCCCACGCGTGCAAGTAACCCAACCTTGTTAGCCCCGACCAGAGAGTGCGAGGGTTTGGTACTGTCGAACGAAAGGGGAAAAGGGCGTCGAGAAACAATATGTATACATATACCCTAGACACACACGTGTGGACGTGGCTCAAGGGCGCCGCGTCTTACTCCATCACCAACAAATCTATGCAAGGCGAAGAAAGGATGAAGCTGGGCTGTCCGCCACTGCACAAATATACCTACACACGGGTATTGATGAGTGTAGGTAGGTATGTTCTGGAGTCGGATATGCCTCCTCCACCGCCTCGCCCGCTTTCTCTCCAGCCCCTCCCCCCCGGTCCTCATGCCAATTTCCACGCGGCTTGCCTGCAGAAGGGAGTAACAATATTGCCCTCGCGCAGGCAGACAGACATGTATTTATTCATATGTGCAGCTGCAGTCCCGTAGGAGGCGGACCCGTGGGCGAGAGCGCGACAAAGGGGTGCCCTACTAATCGGCGCGGACCGGGCGATCCTGAACACATAATTACCCGGGCATCGCGTGCGCAGTGCCCGCGCGCGACCGCAGATTCGCTGGGCCCAGCCTTCTCCGCGCATATATGTACATGAATATATCTGCATTCACACGCGAATGCGGCTATATTGATTGAGTGCGTTCCGTCCCTCGGACGCTGCGGGCACGGCGGCGGGAGATGCGTCTGGATCCAGGTTGTATGTATGTATGTACTCGTGACCTCGCCGACGCCTACGCCTACCTACGTGCGTCCGTATGTGCATCCGTCCATACATGCATACCTACGTATACACATACACACACACTTGCTGACTCCGCGGCAGCCAATGCCGCGTAAGATCGGTGGGCATTTGACCTCGGAGAGGCTGGGTCGGCGTGGACACTCGGTGTGGATGCTCCCCCCCCCCCCCATGCAGGCATCGCGAGCACACCAGTCCGCACGGGAGAGACGAGATGCACACACCTACCTACCTACCCATACTGTGGCCACAGCTGCGGGAAGCTCGGCCTCCGCGCCCAACCGGATTCGCGAGCGCGAGCATCCGCCGCCTTCGTAGAGTGGCGGCCGTGGCGCCCTCTTCCCCCCCTTCTCGTCAGCTTCGCTCGATGGAGAGTAGGAGGCTGCTGGTAACGCGTCTTTTCGATCCTCGAAAGGGGGGGAAGGGGAGGGGGAGGGCGGCGTTATTGCTGACCGCCGCCGCTGCCGCCGGCTAACTGCGCTTCCTCGATCCTCGCGACGCAGGCCTGCGGAGACGATTGAGCCTCAACGTTCCCTTGCGTGGAGCTTACTGCAGATCCGGCGTCGAGGCGGCTTACCTCGTCGCGCGCGCGCGCGCGCATGCGTAGGTATATTGCCTGCGTGGCGCACGCATGTAGACCTGCTCACCAGCCCGCCTGCCTACGTCCGGTCGGCGAGCTGCGGCGGCAGGCAGGGTATGTCTGCGCGGGTAGGTCGAGCGCGCGTGCCGCACTCGTGCCCCTGATTGCGGCGGGCTCGGCTGGGCTCGTCTCTCTCTCTCTTGTGAGCGCCACCGAACTGGCGCGCAGACCAGGCCAGACCAGACACACCTGCCGAGCCCCGGGCGCAGAGCAGACGCCTCGCATCCCAAGACCTCGGGCGCCTGTACGAGTGGCGCCAGTTCTGCGCGGCCGCCGACGCCGCGGCGCTGTGACGGAGAGGAACTAGCAGGCCGACGCGTGAGCGGGCGACTGGGTCGCCCCCCTCTGCTCCCCCCTTCTCCCCTCTCTAGGCAGACCAGGACAGCGCCGCGCTGGGATCTCTATGAGTAGAGGGGACGGGAACTGTCTCGGCACCTCCTCGCCTTGTGTTTGCTCTAGGCAATCAACCAGCGACGACGCGGCGTCACAGAACCGTCGGGCACCGGCCGCTGCGCGCGCGCGGACCGACCCTATCCCGTCAGGATCTCGCCCCCCCATGGGACTCGAGCGTCTTCGCCGGGGCGCGCCCCACGCGCCCAGCCATAAGCCGTAGTGGTAGGAAGAGCGGCAGCTCGGCGAATCTGAGACAGTATCTCACCTCCCCCCCTCCCTACGCAGACCGCGGCGTCCCCGTTCTGAGACCCCTGCGCCATCGCGAGGGTTACCGACAGACCGGTCCTCGTCCTCCCTTGCGCCACCCCGACGGGCCTGGTCTGAGATGTTCGGAGGACTTGCTCCTGAGCTACGCATGTACATACGCGCAGAGGCGTGCTGCTCATACGTTGCGCGCATGCGTTTACCTGCTGCGTAGTATACGAGAGACCAGCATCGTCTAGTTCTTACATTGTAGTACCACTGCCAAGGAGGGGAGGGAGGGGGGGGGTTGGAAAGAGGGCGCTCTCCTCTTTTTGTTGTTGGATCACTGAGATAGATAGGGGTTTATCCATTATTTCCCGGTGCAGACATGCGAGACGGGGTATCCTCGCCGTCGGCTTCTCCCTCTGCGAAATAGTGATAGTCGCGCGAACGCTGCCACAATCCCCCTTGGCGGGAATGCCTGCCCGCTCGCGCCGGTCCCGTATATGACACGAAGTTAGGGGGGCGTGTGCCACGAGCTTACTGCGGCGCATATACGGGATAGCGCTCTCGACGGCATTGGGTAGACAGAACTCGTGTGGAAATGACGAGGAATCGGCGTGAGGCTTGGTAGGATACGACACAGGCCCCTTTCTCGATGCTGCTCGAGGAAACCCACGCTCGTGAGTTCCCACAGTAGGTGGTAGTAATGCTGGACCATATACGAAGTTTGCTATAGCCCGTCGAGGTTGCGCCTAAGGGTTTCGAAAGGCTTTGCTCAAACCGAGATCTCCGCGGCATCAGAGCCAAGCAATTGTTATGTAGGCTGCTTGCCTGTGTTCGGCAAGATCACCCAGGCAAGGGATTGCTAGGTTAAGTACATCGTCTAACACTACATCAGATACGCATAAGGGGGTTCGGCGTATTTCTTTTTTGTTCAGAAGTCATGTTCGTGCCGTATCACAGCCAAGTTATATCCGTAACTGGAGGCACTCCTCCATAGACAGCGCTCTGGCCGGAGTCAGTGTCGTTGCCACATGCGATGTTACCCCGGGACCGACGCTAGCCAGCTGCTCGCGATATCTCAGTCCTCGTGCTCACGGCAAGGGAAAGGGGGAGTGGCGATGGCTCTGCTTCTCTCCTGTCTAGAGAAAACCAAGAGGGGACGGGAATGCCGGCCGATGGCTGAAACTCGCTAGTCAGGTGGTTTCTTCATGCGTGTTGGGATATAATGGGCCGGCAGAGCGCCCTTCCTTGTTGCGAGAAGTAGTCCCATTTACACCGGGAGCGGGAACATCAACTTCGAGACGCCATGCCTAGTACCTGTCCGTAGCCACATATGACGCTGGGGTGTCAGGAAGCCCTCGTCTCTATAATAAGTAATCAGCAGAGTGTCGGGGGAATGGTTAGGAGGGGACGAGGGATCTCGGGCTGTCCCGGCTTAGTCTCGCTTCTCAGTCGCCGGTAACGCGGGCAGGACACCTCGGTCCGGGCCAGATAGGTTGGCGAACCAGTCCCGAGCGATTCCCCGTCTCGTGTTGAAGCATCAAGCGCCCCGCCTCTCCCCTCGCCCGCGCCGGCGGCATCGCGAAGGGTCGGTAGATCTCGCGCTAGCAACGGGAAAGAGAACGTCGATCGTATGCGCTCTTGCTATGCACGGCGTAGCACGCAGGCATGCGGGCTGAGCCTAGAGGGGGCGTAGAGGCCTAGGGCAACGATAGCCCTGCCTGATCCTCTCTCGACCCCCTTGGCGCGTGGCGGAGAAGAACGCGATGGAGAGGAGATGGGAAGGGGACGGCAGGAAGGTCTTCAGTTACCTAACAGTCTGGTTGATGGCTGGTGCCCGGCGAAGAGCCACGCGCATGTCACGGTGCCGTTGAAAAGCGGTCGCTGGTTCATTGCCAGCTTGCCTGTCTGACGGTGCCGTGGTTCGGGGATCCTGTGTAATAATCACAGGGGACAGTCCAGCTACCGTTCCCATCCAAGCTGGTGAACGGCGTAACGGAAGCGATGCGCAGCAGGCGGTGCACCGGGGAGAGAGGACGATGCACCCGAGGCTACTTGCGGCGTACCTGCTCACGCAAGCAGGAATGACTAGTAGATATCGGAGTAGGGGATTTGGCCGACGTACGATTCTGCTAATATGAGTAGGAGGGAAGACGCCTCTTCCCAGCGGCTTTGTCTACAAGACAGAAGGAAAAAGAAGAAGAAAAGGCGAGCAACGAGTTACCATGCAGATTTACCTAGGTATTTACTTCATTGGCATCAGCCGCGAGCAACGATCACGGCCGGAATATGAACAGTGCCGGCATGTATATATTTATTACCTTATCGCCATGCTACCGACTTACGGCCCAGAAACACGCCCCAAGACCTCCCGCGCGTCCTCCGACATGCGGCAGACGAAAAGGATCGGGCCTATTACCTCGCGCCCTTTGGGTGCGCGCGGCCATGTATGGCATGATATACGCTAGTATTGGTCTTCCCGGCATTTGACGGCAGCCCCTCTCTCCTCTTCCCGATGTCCGGATATCGCCGTCATCTTCGTCTTCCTCCTCCTCCTCCTCATCACCGTCTTCAAAGTACTTTGGTATTCAACTCCTTTCTTCGCCTCTAGTCCTCAGAGGGACGCCTATATTATAGCCTCTTTTATTTCTGAGGCGGCAACAGTACACACAATCGTAGTATTCATCTTCTCAATCTATCTACCAACCGACAGATACTCACCTACCCAGGGTAGACCTACACACAGGCACGCACGGGGGACAGATCAAGTAGAGACAAATCTACGAGTAAAAAATGGCAGCAGCAAACCCGGGAGCGGCGGCAGCAGTCGTTGTCCCCGAAGCGCTCCGGGGCGTCAAGGCGCTCACCTTCGACGTCTTCGGCACCGTCGTCGACTGGAGGAGTTCCGTCGAGGCGGAGCTCGCGCAGCGCGCGGCGGAGAAACTCGCCTTGCCGGCCTCGGCCTCGCTGCCGGCCGCGGCGGGGGCGCGCTTAGCCGCCATGACCAGCGGCGACTGGGCGGCGTTTGCGCAGGAGTGGCGCGAGAGCTATTACGCCTTCACGCGAGGCTTCGTGCCGGGGTCGTCGTCGGCGTGGAAAGACGTCGACGAACACCACCTCGAGTCGCTGCTCGCGCTGCTCGACGCGCGCGGGCTTGCCGATGTCTTCAGCGAGGACGAGGCGCGCGAGCTGAGCCGAGCCTGGCACCGCCTGCGCCCGTGGCCCGACGCGGTCCCGGGCCTGCGCCGCCTCGGTGCCGCCCGCTTCGTCACCGCGACGCTGTCCAACGCGAACCGCGAGCTGCTGAGCGACCTCGACGCGTACGCCGGCGGCGGCGGGCTCGGCTTCGCGCGCATCCTGTCGGCGGCCGACTTCACCGCGTACAAGCCGCACCCGCGCACGTACCTCGGGGCCGCGGCCGCGCTCGGCCTGCGGCCCGACGAGGTCGCCATGGTGGCCGCGCACCTCGGCGACCTCGCGGGTGCGCGCGCCTGCGGCCTTCGCACCATCTACGTCGAGAGACCGGGCGAGGAGGCGTGGGACCCCGCTGAGGAGCGGTACGTAGAGGCACGTCGCTGGGTCGACTTGTGGGTCGCCGAGCAGGAAGGCGGCTTTCTCGAGGTTGCGAGAAGGCTCGGCATTGCCGACGAGACGAGCAGACCAGGCGAGGTAGAATGAGCGAGCAAGTGAAGAAGCATGCTCGGGGAGGGGTGTAGGGAGGGGAGCGCTGCTTGCCAGGTTTAGGGGCTTAGAACCGGGGCCGCCGAGGACGTTCGAAGGATTACATCGCTGGCCGCAGTTTGTCCGTGGTATGTCGGTGGCCAGCGTTCGAATGACAAGTGACAAGTTAGACTCCGAGGAGAGCGCGGGCATGCGAATTCGAGGCTGAAAGAAAACCCTCTCCCCCCCCCCCCCCCAAAAAAAAACACCTCACATAATCTCCTCCTGACGGGACCCTGTGGGATCGCGGGGGTGTCTGGGCGATATGTTGTTTACTCCGCAGCCGTCTTAGCTCCCATGTATTATGTCGCGCGAGGTCTCAAGCCCACGTTTATTATGCAGCGGTAGTGAGGGCGATGAGAAAAGTCGAAACTAGCGGTGATGCCGCTCACTAAAAGTCCCCGGCATGTCTGCTTGCGGTAAGTCGGGGTTCCGAAGAGGCCACGTGCATACACCACATTATGTGGATGGAATCGCAAAGCTGCAGATGTTCTCTTCGGGGACACTGAGCTGTGTGACGAATGCATGTGTATCGTAGGTATGTGTGTGCGTGTACATTGAGCTCTATATGTATTAGTCCTAGCCGTGGTTGCGGCGTCTCCGGGAGGGTCCTCAGGAAGGACAAGTGAGCGCCTCGACCGAAACTCAAGGGCTAGACGCGTCCCGAGTAGGTAGGTAGGTAAGTCGAGGGTTAGATGGAGCGATCGCGGTTTGGGAGCACAGTGAAGAATCGGCATGCAAGGGCTACGACTGGAGGCTCCCCCCCACCCTCGTCGGTTGGGATCGAGCAAGCAACCCGTCGCGTATCTGAGGAAGCATCACGAATACCAACATGAGCCTAATACGAACTGCCGGCGGCGACGGGGCGTCCAAAGACGGGCGATACCCGTCCAAGTTGGCGACAATTGGACAGCATCTCAAGTTACCCAGGCTGACCGTCTGCTTCTGGTCATACCTCGTAATCTATCTACCCACAAACCCGCCACAACGATGCGACTCGAGATGGATTTAGCGGTAGTCCGGGCTTGGTAGGTGGGTGTTGCATCGAGGGGGGGGGGGGCAAGCGCCGCTGGTCCCGATGGCGAGGGACTACGGTGTCCCTCGCATCATCGACGCACTACTCATTGAAGAAGGTCATCCATCATTTACGGGGGCTTTCTTCTTCCTCGGGTCTCCCAGTACGAGCAGAGGGCCATCTCCGGGTTAGGAGTGGGCGAGAGAAGGGGCAAATCGCAAAGGCGTCAGGTCGAATTCCTGGGAACTGGGAACTGGGAACTTGGTAGCCGGACGGGACAGGAGAGAGAAATTTGCTGCTGTCTTCCACTTGCCGCGTCCCGTTCGCTTTCCCAGGTAAGGCAACGCCGGCGATGGAGAGAGAGGGACAAAAAGCAACACCACACCACTGCCACTACTACAGCGGGCGGCGGACTAGTTCTACGGACGCCGCGCAAGCCACCGAGCAGGCTCGCAGGGCCGTTTTGTGATTCGCAACGACGGCAGCTCTTGCATATGCGGCAAACTGCAAGTTAAGCGCCGCCTGGTCCGGACGGTACGCATCGAGGAGCCCTGAGGCGGGGCGCAACCCAAGGCAAGACGTGGAGGGATGGGGGACGAAGTGCTGCCAAGGCGAAAAAGGCGCTTGCGTGTGTGAAACATAAGCCAGACAGCGATTGGGGAAGACATGAGATCAACAGGCGTGACGGTATACGGTCGTGAGTGGGTTGTGTCGCACACGCACGATGCGCGATAGACCTCACGTCGTGACCGACCAATGATACCAGCGGCGAGGTTGACGGTGGACGATCACGAAGGGCAGGGCATCCTAACCGAAGTGTGTGCCAGTAGTATTTACCTAGGGAGCGAGTAGGCATGCGGGCCAAGCCCATTCGTCGCCTCTTTTTCTTCTTCTTCCTCCTCCTGCCCATGGTCCTGTAGGTATGGTAGCATCAGTGTGAAACGAAAAGAGGTGCCGGAGGGACGTGGTGTCGTTGTCCCGTCCGAAAATCGAAATACGCTGGTTGGGAGGAGCCAGAGAGGAAGAGAGCGAGAAAGAGAGAGACAAGGGGACGGCAAGAGAAAGCAAGAAAATAATAGGTATGAATTGGCGATTCTAGTTGGTCTTCCTGCCGGTGATCGTGTCCACACACTTGCATCGTCAGTTGGGATACGGACTTTGCCTTGATTTGTAAGTGCTGCAAGTAGTAAAAAAAAAAAAATTAGCAGTAAAAATCCGGTGTCGAGTCGGAAGTGAGAGCCAAGTCGCTGTCTGATCCTTTCGTCGCCCACATGTCGAATGGTTGTTGGATCTCAACCACCCCTCTAGGGATTTCCCGTCATACGAGTGGACCGGCGCAAGGTAGGTGACAGAATATGTACCTCGACGAACTTCGACAATCCGCATTGGACGGGGGAGAACTTGGAATCAGCATGTCCAGGGTTGAGGATGCCGACGTACCTGCGCGTATGTACGTGGTAGTTAGCAGTTACAAGGCATCGTCACCCTCGTCACCCTCGTCTGCCTCTCCTACCCCCTACCCCCCTTTCCTCTCTTCACCTCTCCCTCTTTCGATCCCTCCCGTCCCTCGCTCTCCACGCAGGGGTCTTCTGCCTGTTAGTGCAGCGAAAATCGGATGCTGTAGTTCCCCGGCTCGGGAGACGGAATGGTGCTTGTACATCGGCGTCGAGCCTCAGCGGTTCTAGCGCAGCCGGGCTTCGGTACGTAGTATCCGAAAACGCAAGTTCTAGAATGGAGGCTTCCTGGCTCAGACACAAAGAAATTCGGTTGGGGGGGACTCTTCTCGTCCCCTCCCCCCTTCCCGCACGAAACCGGCATGGGCCCCCATGGAGAAAGTCTGGGATGAATCGGGATGAATCGACTATGGATGGGATAGGATGCTGACAGAACGACAGCGAGATCTAGTCAAATACTTCTAGGACGTAGAAGAGAGGAAAGAGGAAAAAAAAAAAAGAGGCGGCGAGGGAGTGGTAGGGAAGGCGTAGAAATGGTAGGTAGGGTTGTCCCATAGAGTCGTTGTGTTGTGACGAGTTGTCATGAGAATCCGTCTCTCCCTCTCTCTCTAACGTTTCCTCTGTTTTTGTTCTGATCCTACTTCCTGGCTTCTAGCGAGTCCATTCAGCGTATATTACCACTACCTAGGTATAGATGGGCGGGCCGCTCTGCTTCATTGCATCATATACAGCTATGCATATGATGCACAACCGGGTATATGATGCATACCACTCTGTGACCTCAGGATGATTGGTACAAGGCGCAAGCAATGCTATCGGGTCTGACCGTCTTCGTCAACAGCACTCTATAGACGCCCCAACCGGCGACGTGAAGTTGTGTGGAGGATGTGCAGGTACCTGTCTAGGGTAGGTACATTATGTAGGTATGTGAGCAGCTTATATAACGGGGGCTACCAACCTCATAGCGGTTGACGTATCTGCGTTATGAGGGTGATGAATGCCCAGGCCGCCCATCAAATTTGCCAGAATGCACCTTTAAGCGCCCTGGCGACATTTGTACGCACATATGTACATGCATGCACATGTATATACATTGATTGATGTGATGTGAGGTGAGGTCAGGGCCCGTTAGCCTAAGTTAGGTAGGGAACGAATGTATGTACATACAACCTTGGGAGGTAATGAATGTGCAGTACATAGAGCACTCTGTTCAGGGCACCTTAATGTGCCCCTCGAAATGCATCTGCACGCAAGCATCCGGGAGGTATCTCGGCGAGGTACTTTCATGCTAGGTATATAGAGGTATATAGGTGGTAACAGTATTGGTAGGTATGCATAGGGGATGAATGCCATGCCGGAAGTGTAGTGTGGGTTAGGTTGATGCGCTTATTTACTACAGATAAGTTCAGGGTATAGATATATATTAGAGACCTCCTAGAGAAGTATATAACCCACGAGGCTCTTGTTATGAAGGTAGGGAGATTAGGAGGTAGAAGGTAGGCATCTAAAGTAGTGTAACCTTTCTAAGCCTCCTCTTAGGTTTTCTCTTTTTATCTTATCTTTTAGTATATAGTATACTAACTTACATATCTACTAAAAAAAGATAGGAGTCTATGGATAATATATATATGATAATTTATTATATATTAATTAAATTAACTATTATATATCTATATACTGTAAAGTATAAATGTAAATATCTACATTTTATACTATATAATTATAAATATTTTTAGTTAAAATAGTTAGAGTAAAAATATTATATTAAAGATAAATTATTTTTAAATATATATATTTAAATAATAATTATATTATATTTTAAGTTTATTATATTTATGTATAATTAAAAAAGAAGTTCTAATAAATTAAATTAAATTTTTAAGATAGAAAAAGGTTTTAATATAGTATTAATAAAATCTCTATCCTCTTATATAGTATCTATTTAATTAGTATATAGGTACCTTCTAACGTTGAGATTTGCATTTCCGAGGAGCACTATTAGGTAGATTTAAGCATCTACATAGGTATGTACATCCTACTAACATGACAGCCTAATTTGTTCCCTCCTACCTTGTATACGTATATATACATATATATACAGGCATGCAATACCCTACATTGTAGGTATGTGAGGGACAGCTTCGGTTATTATTTACCTCCCAGAGGCGTAGGCATGTCGGTCTCGCATCTCATGCCTACATATATTAGATCAGAATCCGGGAATGCTAGCTTAAGGGAACTAAAAAGGAGGAGGGGAGGGGACAGAGCGGAATATTTGGATGAGGTTGACTCCTCCTCACGCCCACTGCCGTAAACACACATGCTAACCACGAGACAATCTACGTGTATAATACACACAAGCAGTTTGGGTTACGCGGGATGATTAGCTTGGCCCTTGTTTTTTTTCTCGGGATGGTTTTATAGAGGGGGCGGGAGGGGAGGGAAGAAGGGAATCTGGATATGATTTAACTAGAACTCTTACATCTCACCTCGTACGTCTGACGCTGTCAGCAGCGACGCTCCCAGCTCACAAACTGCCCTGCCTCCTCGCCCTCCCACTCCTGGCTTACGTGTATGAGTGAATACATGCCCGTGTCCATTTACCTATCTATCTACTGCTGCTAACCAGGAGCCCACAGGCAGCTCTGCTTGTCAGGTATGTTCATAGGTGCATAGGTAGGTAGGTAGCTAACCTACCTGCCTACCTTTCTATGCAGTCTGATATACCCGCCTCCATATGCATAGTCTACGGCCAGGCTCACAATCGGCGTATACCTGCCTCTGGGCCAATCCTTACCTATTGCATTTGTACGACGTACACACTCTACACGCGCGCAGCATATACAAGCAGACGGGTTGCAAATATATTTACACCTGATACATACGTGCACGCCGGTTGTCTCCATCCCTTTGGCGGTTTAGAGGATATACGGTATACCACGGATTTCGGGTGGAGCTCGGCTCAGCCCAGCTTACCTGGAGAAGAGCCCGCCTGCTTGCGGCATCTGCGCGTACACACCAAAGAAGATCATCATCAGGGAAGATTGGGAGGTTCGAATATTGCCCAGCGATTCGCAGGCCCTTTGGTTGCTCTATATTACGCACAGATTCAAGGTTGCTCGTCTGAATTATCCCCATCGGTTGCATGGTCAACTCCATAACACGCGACTGCTGCAGGAGATGATATTGGCGATATACTTGCATATATCTTCCAACGATACACATGTGCCAACATGTATATAAAATACACATACGATATTGGCGATATCCACGATATCAATTGATATTATGGCCTTGGCGGGCTGACAGTCAAGAGGTCCCGGGCGTATGACCGTGGTCATTCCCAGCGCCACTCTTGCAACGGAGCTGGACACGCGAATTAATTGGTCGGCGGTTTTTCTGCCTACAACTCCATGCCAGAGCCCAGAAACCTTGAGCTCGAGTTGGGGAGGGGGGGGTTTAGCTGGTGCCACACTGTTGAGATAATAACAATGAGAAATACCCCTTCATCCCAACTGACCCAGGGTATTCCCGCAAGGCACATGGCACGCATATGTATAATAATATAATACAAGCTACTTACCTACCCAAGCAGGCCTGATAGGCATCTCTCTAACCCACACATCAGGACTTGGGACTCATAGCTGGACGGATTGTGTGCGCATGGACAGGACTATTGTTGCCTTGTCGTTACATAACCATTGTTACTTGCCTACATTAGTACACCACGTTAAGGGGTCTGGGCTGGGGGGTACCTCAGAGGTCCCGTCTTAGGCTACCTAAGGTGCGTAACGTTAGGTACCCCCAGGACACCTTAAAGAGGTCACAACGCGTCAATCATAGCGGGCGGCCAGGGCTACGGGGGGGGGGACGCTGGTACGTTGTAGTTTGGGCCCTTGGGTCCGTCACTGAAGGTCCCCACCTCCGCTTCGACTTCGCCATTCAAAAATCATCCCGGCTCGGGTGCTGTACCGCCCCTCCGGCTAGAGCCTAAGCACGCTATCCCTCAACGAATTGAGGTATTGCCTGCCCTACCTTTACTGGCTGAGGTACCTCGGATAACCCACCTTGCCTAGGGGGTAGGTACCTAGCAGCGAGTGTAATCTCCTCTGCTGAGGCATGTACCTACGGCCTGCTGCCCTTCCCCTCCCCCCCCCCTTCACATATAGGAGGTGGGCACCTAAGCTTGCCCACCTAATATAGGTACCTACTTCTACCTCAGTAGGTACCTCCTAACCTGCCTGTCTCCGCCGAGAAGGCATCGCAAAGCCCCTCGGGGAGCCCAACGTGATGGCAGCATGTCGAGAAGTACCTGAGCCTACGTCCCAGGTAGGGGTAGAAAGGCAGAGAGATGCCGCCTGCTGCACCGCTGCACGGCACGGCACTGTAGGTTAGGTGGGTGGTTACCGAGCCGTACCAAAGTACCGTACTTTCTCAATGTACGTGCAGCATGCACACCTCTGGTGCGGTACCAGAGGTACCTTGGTAGTGGGCGCTACCCTCCATCACCTAATTTTCCCAAGCTCAGGCCCGCCGGAAATCGATTTCTCCACAATCCACAACAAGGTCCTATCCTGTCCTGTCTTATCCTATGGATGTATCCTATCCTGCCTATCCTATCCTATCCTACCTATGTATCCTACCTAATCCTATCCTACCTAATCCCTCCTCTCCTACCTTAATCCCTATCCTGCCGAATCCTATCCTATCTCTCCCTCTCCCTCTCTTTCTCCCCTTCTTCTGCCTTTTTTTTTTCTTCTTCCCTAACTCCTCACACACACAACACCCTCCCTCCCACACTCCCCTTCTCCGTCTCTCGTCCTCGAGCTAAAAGCGTGCGGACGTTGCTGCGATCAACAGCGTTCGAAGCCTCGGCTCCTCTTCATACCGACCGAATTGAGCTTGGCCGCCCTGCTACCTACGTACCCAATACGTGAAAAGGTGTACGGTGCCGTGCTCCAACCACAATCATCCTGCCGCCTCCCCCCTCGAATCATCTCGCCCACATAGCCGAATAGCTCGGCGGCCCGACGAACTTAGCCACTTCGCCTACTATCCGTGCTGAGTCCGGTCTCTTGATCTCTCTCCCCTCCTCGGAAGTCTATCATCTCCTCTCATCCCCTTCCTTCGCCGCCGAACATAACAACAAGACAACTGCTGGGTCCTCCGAGACCACTATCGACGACGACATGGCGGGAAAAATGGTGTTATATAAACTGGTAGTGCTTGGTGACGGTGGTGTCGGCAAAACAGCTTTGACTATTCAATTATGTCTACAGCATTTCGTTGAAACGGTAGGTCTATCTGCGTCTCCATTCACCCCTCGGGCGAAGAGACACAATCATCTCCACGAACGCACCGTCTTCCTCCCCCCACTACCACCACGTAGCCTCGCCACCCCCCCCCGCGGGCGATGGGACTCTCCTCAAGGAAGCACCGCTGACAGCGCCCTGCAGTATGATCCGACAATCGAGGATTCGTATCGTAAGCAGGTCGTCATAGATGGCCAAGCCTGTATGTTGGAAGTTCTGGATACGGCTGGCCAAGAAGAGTACACGGCCTTGCGGGACCAGTGGATCCGAGACGGCGAGGGGTTCGTATTAGTATACAGCATCTCCTCTCGGTCGTCCTTCTCGCGAATCAAGAGGTTCCATCATCAGATCCAACGCGTCAAGGAGTCATGCTCGGCGTCGCCCACATACCCTGGCTCGCCGATAGCTACCGCGACGCCACCCAGCGCCGTCCCCATCATGCTTGTCGGTAACAAGTGCGACCGGGTAACGGAGAGAGAAGTGTCAACCCAAGAAGGCCACGCCCTAGCGCGCGAGTTGGGGTGCGAATTTGTCGAGGCATCGGCCAAGAACTGCTTAAACGTCGAGAAGGCGTTCTACGACGTCGTCCGGATCCTGCGCAGGCAACGACAAGCGGCATCGCGGCCGCTGCCGCCGTCGGGCCGCCCGCGTCCGCAGAACGGAGACCCTCACCTCCATCGAGAGCCCTCCGACCGATACAGGCGGAGCCGCCGGGGCGGTGGCAATTCGGGACGTTGCGTTATATTATAATGAGGTCCTCCTATCCCGACTATTACCTACGTGCCCGAGCATTCGCGACCGACAATCTAAGGACTAGGATTACTGAAAGAAGTATTGTGTCACATCGAAGCGCACCGGACGTTCTGGATCAACCTGTCCGGCCGAAGATTAAAATAAAAAAACGATGCTAAGCACGATGTCGCGACAAGTTTTCCCGGGTGCTACCCTGTTCATACATACCAGAGGGTTATTATTATTCGCCTCATCCCTATACACAACACTCTATACATCTACAACTAGCTTTCGATCTGGCGAATGGCGTACGAACTAAAAAGCGGCATCATTGGGCGCAAGTACTTCGGTTTTCTTGAACGGGGACGAAGACGTGTGTGCGTGTGTTTTGCGGGCAAGATAGGGTGGGCGGGCCGGTGGTGTTTTGGAGTCTCGGGGCGTGCCTTGCTCTCAGGTCAGAACGAAGTATTCCCAGCCCAGTCTCCGGCACTTCTATCGAGACATCCATAGGTCGCTGGGGTGGTGTTTTTATCAATAGTCGATTTCGTTTGGAGATCCCCCAAAGGAAAAAAGGCGCTGCAGTGGTACGGCTCGAAAGTTCCGAGTCCCACGGATTTGCCTCGGGCCAAAAATGATTACTACTCTATTTACTCGAGCCTACGGAGCGACGAACGAGCTCTCGGTTTCAATGAATTAAACTACTTGACCATATTCCCCATTTCCGCGCCACGCAGACAATTTCCCTCATTTCCTAGGCTCTATTATTCTGTGTGACGAGCACTGCCGGCTGCTCCCCGGCAATCTACGATGCGTCCTCCCTCCGATTCCCTTTTCTTGTCCTGGGGAGAATACGTGCAAAACAGATCTTTGTCCTATCTCTTGTTGGCAAGCCCACCCCCCTAAATCACGCCCCCCCCCCGGGAGTCAACCAACAGCCTCCCCCCCCCCCCAGTTCGGAGAAAATAAAAGAATCGCCGATGATTCCTCGTCGCGGCCGGTCCTAATCCTTCGAAACACGTAGAAAACTATTCTGTCGCGCTAGGGCGTTGCGCGGGAACGGACCAGGGGACTGAGGCCGAGATGGCCCATCGCATGTATAACCCGCAGGGGGCCTGTGTGCCCGGGGGGTGGGGGGGAATTCATTATCAACCGCGCGGCGGTGGTATGGACGTTGGATAAAACCAGCAGCGCAGACAAACGAAGGGGCTTGCCGAAGCGGTCAGGATCCGAGTACACACACCTAGGGTGAAGACGGCGCCGACCTTTTCTTTACCGACCGGTGAGGGGGAAATAATATGGTAAATCGCATCGTGTGGCTAGGAGAGAAGACCGGTGGGTAGCTCGTAGTACCTATTCTTTAGGTATGTATGTCTGTAGCTAGGCAGGTAGGTAGGTACCTATGTAGGTATGGACTCGAGGGGGGAGAAAACGGAAGCCGAGTTGCCCTGTCGCCAATCAAAACATCCAGGCCAGTCTCAAGTCAGTTTAGGCCTGTACGTTGCAGGCGTTGTGGGGAGTTATTTCACTGCCTGTACCTTGGGGAGGTAGGCATTGTGGGCGCGACGAACTTTTCTCACCGGGCGTTGGTACTGGGTCGCCAACATTGATCTTAGGTAGGGGGGGTAGCTCTTTGGTACGGGTCAGTTACTGGGATAGCAGGTAATGTCGGGAAACCCTGCCCTATCTCCCGTCGGTCGGTGTCTAAAACCAAACAGGGGGCGTCGGCTGGCATGCTGGTAGGGTTCGGCTCACTCTAGAACGGACGAGGGGAGGGAGCGAAGGGAAAAAAAGGATGAGGAAGAGAAATCGGGATAAAAGAGAAAGACGACAAAGAGAGATAGACAGGTCTGTATAGAGACATGCGTGCGTGCGTGCATATAGGGAGGGACGGTAGAGGTAGGTACCTGTAGGTAGGCATATTTACTTGCACAAGAGGGGAGGCGGAGGAGGAGGAGGAGGAGGAGGAAGACGGCGACGAATGGAGAGGTTGAGACGGAGTCGACGCCATTATGGGTACTTATCACTTCCCTATACTACACCAGATACTCCTATGTACCTATAGGTGAGGCATAGGCACGGCTGCCTCCTGCTCACGTCGAGTACGCCGACCATCCCATCAAGCCACCCCCCCTGCCTCTTGGGTGCTGCCCGACAAGAGACTTGGTACTGGCCTAAAGATAATGCCGCGAGGTTCGGTGGCTACTCATACACAGATAGGTAGCAGCAAGCTAGCTAAAATAACTAACTGCCCGACTAACTACCCGACTACGCATAGGATGAGGAGTTCCGGATACTCCCCCGTTGCACAGACATCTAACTAATGTACGTGCGTCTACATATTGGAGCCCCCCCTCCTCTTAGTTTCGGCTGGGCAGGAGAGGGAAAGGGAACGGGCAAGGAAGACAGAGAGGGAAAAAAAAAAAGAGGAGAAGCAAACTATCCCGCCGTAACGGAGGAGACTCCGACAGCACATGGGGGGAGACGAGGGACGAGGGACGGGGGACGAGGGACGGGAGATGGGGGATGGGGGATGGGGGATGGGGGATGGGGTGTTCGAGTACATGCCTCTCCCCCTCTCCCTCTCTCGTTTCTCTCTCCCCGGTGTTGACGCCTGAATGTTTGTAGGCGTAATAGATCGCGGATGATGCCACCTCCGACAACCACAAGCCACGCAGATGATAGAGGGCTGACTAAACTAGCCCGCGTAGCTGTCAATGTAGCTGGCAAGGGAATGCACATAGGCAGATGGTTAGGTCAGGTCAGGATGCATACGAGGCGACGAAATCGTAATCCCGCGGTGCCGTACCTCCGTACATGCAAACGTGCGCTGTTGTTGTGTGGAGATGGTTATGTATGCATCCCCCAGGAAGGGTCAGTCGCCTATAAGCGCGAAACCGTCACCGTCATCGTCACCGTCATCAGCCTTCGTCACCTCCGTGCCTCTCCCTCCCTCGCACCCTCCCGCCTTGTCGCATGCGTGTTGCGCAATGGCTGAAGCGTGCCGATGCTGGGCCTATGACATATATATATTTACGCCTGCGGAACACTGACTTACATGCTCGCCCGCGCATGCATGCCCACCTACATGGGGGGGGGGGCACCCATCCGTCCGCCCGTTCCCCCTCCAATTATCGAATAGCACAGCTCGTGTAGGTAGGCATGGTTCGTATGAATATATGCGCGTAGATGTGCACGTATATGTACGTCCTGACAGAGACAGCCGGGTTGGGAGGTCTTATAGGCTAGCCGTCGTCCTCTCTCTGTATGTTTCCATACTATAAAGTGGTTCGCCTCTCGGCACTTATCTATCGATACGTCGTGGCCGCAGAAGCGGCCGCTTACAGGTTCGATCCCATGTTTTGTAGCTGGGGGAAATGCTTTCCTGTCGTTTTCGCACGAAGAGCCCCATCCGGCATGTACTGAGTATGTGTGGACGTACCTACCTAGGTACCCCCTAGGTACCTACCTAAGGTAACAGACAGGCCTAACCCGTATACCCTACACCCCTCCTCCCCCCCTTACGGTGCTTTGCTTTATCAGATCCACGCACCCATTCACGCACGCCGGATATGACAGAGTCTTGTAGCCCTTCCCCATGAATAATGTCCCGTGGATGACGGTAATGGGAATGCATGCGTTAGGTACCTCCCTACCCCCTACGTGCATGCCTACGGTACTTGCCATACTTACATATGTACATACGTACACACATGAGAACCTAGTCGCGCTTTCACCCTGGCATCCCAGACCATATACGTAGGTAGGTAGGTACCTTAGGTAGGTAGGTAGGCACATTAGGGACCTACATGTAGTGCACTGCGTAGCTTCCAGCTCCCGTGGGCCATGGGCAATGCTGCTGTGTTAGGTACAAGGGGTAGGTGGGTAGGTACCTACCTAGGTACCTACGCAGACCTGTATGGAGGAGCTACCTGTAGGTTAGGTAGGTAGGTACCTATCTAATGTGCTTACACGTACATATTAAACTAACAGGTACGTGCATGAGGCAGGCATGTAGGGACCTACATATAGAAGGTACATAGGTAGGTACCTATAGGCGGTACTTGCTAAGCCAAGGGGGTGTCTACGTAACTTGCATGTCTTTCGTGGGTGTTAAATACGCGAATTATGTACGGGCAGCCGGGCGTGTCCGTCCTCATTCCTTTCCTTCTTTCTTCATCCTCGTATCTTCCCCCCTTCTTCGCCCTCAATATCGGCCTTCCCTTGGTGCCCACGTACAGATATGCGTGCTCGACAATAGAGGCGTCGACGCCCGGGAGGTCGGTCCCAGTAGCCTTTCCCTGCCTCGATTTCTCCGAGCGCGCCAAAAGTATTCATGCAGTCCGTTCGTCTGGCTCGCAGGGGAGCTGTACCCGGACTGGGGAAGCTCCAGGCTGAATACTTCCGTAGGATGATAATTTATACCCATCTATCCAGGGGAGGGGAAGGGGGGAGCAGAGAAGGGGGGCGCATTCATTTGGAGCATCGATACCGGGGAGGGATATTTTATTACGGAACGCTCTCGCTTCTTGTCGAATCTTGTCTCGCGTGCCGGAACTCGGATGCTCGACCCGCGCCCTGCTGCGCTTGCGCACGCAAGTCCATGTGTCGTGTACGAACGGACGTGATCTCGTGCCAGAATCTGACCTGTCACGAGATGCCTAGAGGCGAGCGTACAGCTGTTTGCCCGAATGCTTCGGGAGAAGAAAAGAAGACCAAAAAAAATATAGAGAGCAAAAGAGGGCAGCGACTGAACCTGTCAGATATCATGACCCCGTCGAGCCGTTTCCTACCTACGCCAGCACGTCTTGCACAAAACCTGCTGGCTCGCCGGGACCGTACCCAAGTGGCTAAGCCTCGTTCAGTCCTAGTCCGTCCGGGACCCTCGCTGGACCAGGATCGTCGGATGAGACCGTCCAGTTCGACACCGGTTTTCACTCGGCCTCTTTCTGCCGTGTGAAGCTCGAAGCGGCGCTCTAAAATCTGTCGTAAGACTGGCGGACTGCGACCTTTCGGCTCTATCCGCCATTATCCGTGCCTAATCACCTAAACCCCTCGTCGGTCTCGAGTGGGAACTTGCGGTGGCCCGGCATCGATGATGCTGTCTGAGTCTCGCGGGCCGGCGCGGCACGTCCCTTAAAAACAGGGCGCAGTTCGCATTTTGGCAATTTACCCGGACGTGCGTCCCTGATAGGCGTTGGGGACGAATACTACGTATGACGAGATGGAGGCACCCTTTTCGGGTTGCCGTTCTGTGCGTACCTACGTAGCAGTGCCTTTGCCTACGTCAGCTACCGTACCCGGTCTCGCGTCCCATCGGTGTCGCCCAAGACAGTAAATGCGTTACCATCACCACGCAACATCCAACCGTTCGACTAGGTATTCTTGTGGGGTTGCCCAGCCAAAACGGAAGGTCAAGCTTCCTATCGTAATGAAGGGAGGTGAGGCATCAAAAAAAAAAAACAAAAAAAAAGACCTCGGTCTCGTCGGGACTAGGAATATTACTTCGTCGTTCATCTTGTATCATTACCCCATCCTATCGCCTGGGGGTTATCAGGGACTCGAAGCTCTCCGACATGCTCCCCACAACTCCGTCCTCCGACCCCTAGCTCATCGTTAGAGAAGCCTCGCTTCCGGGATTCTCTATTTGGTAGGCAGAGGCGTCGAGAAGGGTCCGAGTTTTCCCCTTTCCCACAAAGTCGTTCATGCCGCTAGACTTCTCCCTGTCAAAGATCGCCCAATAATTCAACTCAGTCGTGTTTCAACCTCCTTTTTACCCCCATTCCTTTTCCAGTCCCCGAGAGCGTTCAAATGCCGAGACGAATCATATCCGATCTGTCAGAGCAAAGAAACACCCCCTTCGTCCAGTGGCTTCGGGATTCCGCCTTCACAATTCACTCGACGATAATTTAGCATATGATGTGACGGTTTCTGGGATTTTGCAGACTTAGTGCTGACAAGCTCTTGCAGGGAGTATATTGCTATCTGCTCAATCTTCGAGCTCGAACTGTGTTTTCCTGTCTTGCTCATTTACTTACAGTGCTGATGCTCGCTGACGAGCCTCGCCTCCCCCCACGGTAGGCAGGCAAGCCCTTGACGATCGGCTCAGGCCCGCGGCCCGCGGCTCGCGTGGTTATACCAACCCCACAGCTTAATCTTCCCGGTGCCACGGACACGGTTTGGGGGTTTACGTTCCGTCAATGCTGCTATCACCCCTCGGAAACCCAAACAAAAAGACGACTTCTCATTTTACAAGCTCACGCAGAACATAGGAAGATACTACGACTATAGCGAGAATACCTAGGTATCTCGCAGGACCATCCCACTGATCCCTATGCTTTGGATTTCTTCGCTCTCGAAGGACCCAGCATTCCGATCCTTCCAAGCACTGGGACGAATCTTCGGCTCGTTCCCCCACGTGCCACACAGGCCTATGGAAGTCCGATTCCTGCACGAAGAACCGACTAGTGTCCAAATTGGAATGCTTGAGATGCGTAAACTGGGATCGTGAAATGTGCTAGAAGCAACAAAGCGTGGCCAGCGTGCAGGGCGAGCGAGCGAGCAGGCACTACGACACCGGCACGTGGTTCAAGCTGAAGATGCAGATAACCTGGTCGTTCAAACCCACAGAGCCATCCTGCGCAAGTCGGCTGCACCGTGGTAGTTTGTCAGCTAAACATATTATAAGCTCGAGAGGAAGCGACACAATGGAACGAGCGAGAATCTTCGGCCCCCCTTTCCGGATATATTCTACAGATCACAATCATGTTTTCTCCTTCCTTTCTCGGCCGGCCCGTCCCGTCGTAGTCCGCGTCCCTTTGCACTATCGACCGGTGTGAGAGGGGGGAGAAGGCCGTCCAGGGGTTACGATCCTTCCCGACAGCCAATCTCTGCTGGTTCTTTCGTTGCCAGTGTCTCTCTAAGTCCGTGTTGTGCGTAAGCAAATGTTACGCCCGATCAGCCTCCCAGAAAGTAGGAAGCGGTGGGCTCCGACAACCAGAGGGGATAGGGGAGGGATCATTGCTCTATGGCGCTACGTCCTCCGCTCCTATACCACCACCAAGACGATAAACAATTCGCCACCAGCCGGTCCGCCGTGAGGCGTCTTCTGCTTTCCGCGCCAAATATCGCACGCGTATATACAAACTACGTGTAGGTAGGCAAACGCTCGTGTTGCGGTGGGCTCTGATCCGACCTCAGATCGGCTTCACCCTGACGGATACAGGTTTAGCCCACCTAACATAGGCCGTATTCTATCTCGAACCTCGCCCCCCCCCCCCCCCCCCCCCCCTTCTCCCCCCCGGCTGGTATCTGCGTTCCTGCTTAAGCCACGGCACGGGATTATGTGCATCCCAAGGCTTGTTGTCCCTTCCGTGGGGGTGGGTTCGCTTACCTACCCGACCCATATCCCCATATCCCATGCAATAAATGTGTAGGCCCGGCCACTCAGACTCGAAGGCGCTGCGTGACGGCAATGCGGGCGCGTACGTACGTCTGCCCCGGCCGAAGTCTAAGCTTAACAGAGGAACCGCGCCGTGGTAGCAGATTCGGCGTGTGGGCCCGGAAGAAGACTGGTGTCTGTCTACTTCCGGGCTACAGACGTAGGACTTTAGGAATCCCTAATCACATATGCTCCTGGCGCGGTTAGGGAAGCAGCAATACCTACCCTGGCGGCCAGTCTTTTCCCCTTTCCCCACCCACCCTCGCTTCGCGATCTAGCCTTGGAGGCGTGCGTATTCGCATCGGGGGCGGGATATGGTAGGCGGTAAGGTCAGAAAGAAGGAAGGGAAGAAGTATTCCCGTACGTCACGCCACAGGAGCGGTGGTGACGAAGTATCGCTTCTGGTGTCGCGTCTCCTCCCCCCCCTTCCCACCCCTTTACCACCCTCCTCTCTCCCACCCCCGGCCAGATGGTAGCGTGGGAGAAAAAGAAAAGGAAGGACAAAGAAAAAAACAATCTCACACCCCTCCCCGGCCACTTGGTGCTGGGCGGCCATCCCCGGACGGCTAGATAGATAGGTGGGGGGTGGAGAGGACTAGGGATCAGAGCCCTCCGCTGCAGGGTGGGTGAAGGAGGTAAGCACGCAGGCATCCAGGATAGTCAGGGGTGCTTGCGGCTCGAGGCCGGCAGATGGGCCCGGCAGGCTGCCCGAGCAAGAATGTGAGAGGATAACAGAGCGAGAACGAGAGCGAGGACGAGGTGGAGCGAGATGAATCGTAAAGTCTGCGAGGTAAGACGTGTGGTGTTCTTGGCGAAACTCCTCCATCGTAGCTATCCAGGCCGCCATCACCTGGCCGTCTTCGCCAAGGCTACCTCCGCGGCCCTTGTCTCTCCCTCTCTCTCTCCTGCTCCGGATAGAGTACGTTTCTTCCCGCGCGCGAAGAGACGGGACGGGACGGGACGGGACGGAAGAGAAGAAGGGGGCCAGAGGGCGAGATTATATCTTTCCGGAGCGCTCTGCGGGCCTTGGGATTCGGCATACAACCACCTATGCGCCGTGTTTCGTAGCAACGCTACCGCGCACATGCCGCATCCAACATATCGCTGTCCTCGCCCAGGGACGGCGGCCTGCCTTCCAGTCAGTCGAGTACGTTCTACCTATCACCCACCCGATCAGGTGTACAGCGCATACGTATGCCCAACACACGGTCAGTAGGGAGGGGGAGGCAGGCGGGTATACGGACCGACTTGATAAGAGGGCAGATATGTTGGCATGGCCCGCCTTTTGCAAGACTTGGAGGCGCTACCGCCTCACCCCTCCCTCGCGTCGGAGACCGTCTTCACCTGTCGCGGCGTGCGCTAAGTTGCCGAGTACGCGGGCAAGGGATGGGGAGGAGAGAGAAGCACGGGGGCGGCGGATGGCGTTGGTATGTAAAGTACTAAGAGCGGGTGATATATGTATAGGTGTAGGTTAGGAGGGGAGGGGAGGGGAGGAGAGGGGAGGGGCGGTTTATCTACGTGTATACGGCGGGCAGGTTGGCATAGTGGTATTAATCCTACCTCGCTGTATATTCGTACATGCGTACACATGGAGAGTGGGTATATATATGTGTGTGTGTGTAGTCCCTCGCAGCAGGAGACAGAAAGGAGACGACCACCCCGGCCCCCACGGCAACAGCACCGTATCCCATACATGTTTACGTTCAGGTCCGCATGGCCCCCGCTACGGCCGAGAGGCGGGCGTGCTGAGACGACGACGGGGAGCAGTCGGGAGCAAGAGAGAAGACCCGGAGTGCCCACAGCCGGGAGCGGGAGGGCCGCGGCGAGAAGGGGATATGTTTGATGATGGACCCTCGCTGGGCGGGCTCGAGGGCCAACTGAGGGACGGCCTCGATCCCGGGTCCCCAAGCTGCCCCTCCTCCTCCTCGCCTACTGGCTCCCGGACGACGACGCAGCGGAACGGGTCCCAGGGGGAGTGGGGGAGGGCTGCTGTTGATGAGTTGGGTGTTTTTTTTTTTTTTCATTCCGCCGGATGGAGAGGAGAGGGAAGAAGGCGACGCGCCCGCCTGCGGACCCTCGGGGGTCATCCGCATGGCGTGTCCAGAGCCACACCTCTCTCTCTCTCTCTGTCCCTCTCTGCATCTCCAAGGCGTAGGTGGTCTCGTCGTGGAGGCCCCCCCCCCGGTTTCCGGGCACACAACGCATGCTTACTCCTAGTCCATCTACATACCTACCTGCCTGCCGTCGTACGACCGCGCCCCTCGTCCGGAAAGCGGTGTGCGCTCGCTACGGATAGGAGTCACGCCTCCGTGCGCATGTCGATAAGAGGACGGGGGGGGGGGGGGAAGGCGTCTCGCCGACGTTTGTATCTCTCCCTTGGGTGCTACGACTTGTGTCCGGGCGCCTGCGTTGGGTAGCTAGCTAGCTAGCCAGCTAAGTCAGGGGGAGAGAGAGCGTGCGCCGGGCCGACAGCAAGTCGGCCCAGCTGGCGGCAGCGATAAGCAGCTTTCACACCGGGGGGGAAGTTGGAGGTGGAGGTTAGGCGGGCGCGCGGGCAGGGAGAAGCCCCGGGACCACGCGCGGCCGACGGACCCTCCAGAAGCAATGCGCTGGGCGCCACGACGAGGGCGAAAGGGCGGGCGCGCGAGCGGACCGTCTGCCTGCCTGCCTGCCTACCTACCTACCTACCTACCTACCTACCTACCTACCTACCTACCTACCCACCTACCTACCTACCTACCTACCTACAGACGTACTTAGGTACGTGGATAGACCACCCCTCCCCCCCCCCTTATTGCGCGGAGAACCAGGCTGCCGTGGCTTGGTTTGCGATACACCGCGGGGTCGTACGGTGCGCGCCACGCAGAGAGGGAGGTGCGCGGGCGCAGAGAAGCCGATAGGCGCGGAGCCCGGCCGGAGGCCCGCGGGAGACGGTGGTGGTAGTGGGGATGGAGGGGCGCGCGAGGAGCGGATAGGCAGGCAGGTCGAAGGGGAGGGAGGGCTCGATCGATGCGTTGCCTAGGCCTAGGACACACCTACCTACCTACCTACCTACCTATATGTAGGTGTGTGTGGTGTGTGTGTGTGTAGAGAGAGTGTGTGTGTGCCGACCAAGCCTGGTGACCTCCGCCCGGCCCCCCCTTGCGTCGCGCCCTCGTCACGCGCACACCCACCACCATTACGGTCGCCGCCGCCGCCGTCGGGAGGGGGGAACTGCCGAGGGCCCTAGAGCGGAGCGTGGGAAGGGGGGGAGTGAGTAGGTAGGTAGGTATGTACAGGGCCGCAGAGCGGGCGCACAGGTAGAGGCTGAGACGAGCGAACTGGTTCGAGAAAAGAAGAGGGAGAGAAAAAGGGGGGAAGGGGAACGAGGGGCTCCGGCGCACAGCGCAGCCCGGACAGCCGCGAGACGAGAGGCGCATGCGCCTGCAGCTGGCCCTATCCGGATTCGCTGCCACACGTCCGAGATCCGTGCCGCGAGGTGCAGCGGCGCATCCGTGGAGGGCCCGCGCAGAGGGGCAGCAGCCTCTCTGCATACGGAGATGGCCCTGCGCGGGCGGAAAAAAAACAGGTTCGCTGCACGAGCTGGGTTGAGGACTTTTTTAGAGGAGGGGAGGGGGACCCGGTGAGTAAAATCCTGGCTGACCTGTGTTAATCACCAGGTGTTCGTGCTGCTAAATACCGGGTATGAGCTAGGCAAGCCTTTTCTCTACGGATGAGAGAGGGCCGTCCGCGATACGGACACGCGGTATACCTACCTAAGGAGAGAGAGCCGCAAGTGAGGACGAGACCGCCGGCGCGGGCGACGTCGGAAACGCGACGGGTTGGGGCCGACCGAGGGGCGCAAGCTCGCTTTCTGGGAAGTGGTAGGCAGGTTACGTTCACCGTCAGCGGTAGGTACCTATTCACGGCCGAGTCCGCCTATCTCGTCGACGCTAGGCCGAGCGCCTCTCCTTTGCTAGATGCCCTCTGCTCTGCTACTATGCCACCGCTACCTATACTATAGGTAGGTAGGTAGGTAGAGCGATAGACCGGCCTGGGGAGACGGAGCCCCCCGTTGCGCGCACACGCATTAATACACACCGGTATACCGCCCCTCACCAGTCTCTCTCTCTCCATTAGACGGCGATGACGAAGCGCCCGCCCGCCCGCCAGGACATGGGGTCCGTTCGTCTCTGCGTCTGCGTGCGGGTAACCTAGCCGGATGGCGGGTTAACGTGCAGCAGCAGGATTGCGACGGGCAGATCCCACATTATTTTTGGGGGTTTTTTTTTTTAAAAAAAAGTCCCCCAAACCTTCGCGCCCCCCCTCGTCCCTGTCCTCCTCCCACACCACGTGGCCCCCAAGCAGATAGACAAGGGTCGTCGCGATGCGAGCCGCCAAAGCACGCGAGACGACAGGGCCCCATACATACTGTGGCGGCTGCGCGCGCGCGCGCGCGCGCCCCCGGAGCGCGGCCGTGGTAAGCGGCAGCAGCGCCGGCGACGCGGGCCGCTCCGGCGCGAGGCGAGGCACCTACGGGAGGCGGCCGGGGCAGTGCGGTGGGCTGCTTACCTACCCTGGGTGCAGGGCATGCATGCAACAGGTCCGTTGCATCACGGCCGCGGCGGGCGTGCCAGCCGGCCGCATTGCGCCCTAGAGGGTACGTCGCCGGGAGCGAGCTGGGGCCCGGGCCTGCGACGAGAGGCCGAGTATGACTTCCCGTAGGCTGCGAGAGCAAGTCTATACATACCACATGCGCGAAACCGACTAGATCGCACGAACCAAGGTAGGGGCGCACGCAGGCTGACTTAGACACGTCGCAGTCCCTTCTCCTGACAAGGGCCGCGCGTTGGAAACATATCGTTCCGCTCTATTTCCGGGCTTATGTGCCCCGCAGGCCCTAGGAACCGAGACGGCGCCGGGCGCGGGCTTCGATGCTCGCAGGGGCAGTAGACACAGGGTATTAGAGCCGGGACAGGTAGCGAACACACACGCATACGTAAGACACACGCAGAGGTAGTAGTGGTAGTAGTAGTAATAGGTATACCGCCGACGACGACGACGACAGCTACTGGGTCTAGCCAGACGACCCGATGTCCTGGGCATTGTCGGGACTTGGAAGAAAAATACTCTGATCCACCATGCATTCGTATCTCTCTCTCTCCCTCTGCTTCCTTTCTCTTCCTCTTCCTCTTCCCCCCCCTCCCCCCCCTCTCTCTCTTATAACCCGCCCCCCTATTCTCTCCTCCGAAGCCGAAACGCCGTTTCCGTTCCAGGGGTGTCGGTATGACGAAAGAAAAGAAATCCGCGAGGATAACAAGACAAAAAAAAAAAGAACACAGAAAAAAAAACCAGAGCCGAGTTCAGCCCATCCCGCTTCGTCACCCCTTTTCGTCTTCTCCATCTCTTCCTCCCCCGCGTCCATTCGAGACGGGGGCGGGGGGAGGGATTTCCGATATAGAAAGAACGGGGGGGTAGTGGTATGTATGTACGTTATATCGCGCCCAAAAAAAAAGGCAAATCGCAAATGAGGACAGAGAAGTGAAGCAAGGAGGCAGACGAGTGCCGATCGATCCGCACGAGAACGTAGTAGGGGGGATCTGTAGAGAGAGGGGCACACAGAGAGAAAGAGTAGTGAGAGTGGAAAAAGAGAGAGGGAGAGGGAGAGAAACGAGAGATGGAAGAGGAGTGTGCGAGTTAGAGTACGAGGGGAAGAGCGAGCGAAAGAAACGGCTCCGGGACTGGTTATTTTATGTAAATACCCGGAGTAACGGATTATCTCTCGCCGCCTCGCTCTCTGTTCCTATATTCTCTCTCTCTGCCCCTCTTTCTCTTGCTCTCTGACGATGTAGATCGAGAGTAGGACGCGATAGATGGTATATATATATTCCTCTCGCTTCCATTTGACTTTTGAAAAAATTTTGGGTCTTGTCGACGACGACGATAATAGCTCGAACCATGAGCATTTCCCGCATTTCCAGTCATGACACGCAACAAATCACTCACAGCCTGCCAGCCATCATATGTCCGAGGAAAAAAAAAAGAAAAAAAAAAGGTAACCGGGACGCGGGGTGCCGGATGTACGTGGTGGTGTGATGTAGCCGAGATGGCTCGGGCTTCTCGCGGGCTTAGTCCCGCAGGGCGTTCTCGTCGCCGAACGGGCTGCCGTTCCGCTCGCCCCTACGGACACCTGCCTCGGGGCCCGCCACTGCGCTCAGTGAGCTCGTGCCGCTAAGTGCAGAGGCCGCGACCGGGGTCGGCGACGGCAGGGGGTCCGCGAAGGGACTGCGCAGCGGCCGCTTCCCGTCTGCGCCCGGGGACGTCGGTTCGTCGTCGTCGTCGTCATCGTCGACCAGGATCGTCGTGGCCGTGTTTGATGAGTCCCGCACTTTGTCCGTCGACGAGGCGTTACCGCCACCGCTCGTTTTGTCGGAACCAAAAGAGGGCGAGGAGACCGGGGAGCCCGACTTCGCCTTCACCTCGACGGTCTTGGGCCCGCTACCCACGCGCACCATTTGCGGCCGCACGGCGGTGGCCGTGGCCGCGTTCGCGTTCTTGAAGAACGTATCACCGATGCTAAAGGCGGGCGAGGGCGGCGGCTGGTCCGAGTACTTGCCGTAGTCGACGGCGGGGACGGGGGGGGCGTTGGTATCACTGCCGCCGCTGCTGCTACCACTGCTGCCAGCGCCGCCGCGCGACTTGACGCTGACGATGGAGGGCTTGAGGAAGTTGCCCTTCTGGGCGGGCAGCGGCGAGACGATGACGTTCTTGCCGTAGATGGTGGACGCGACGCTCGACCGCGGTGCGTACGAGCCCCGGTCGCCGCCGGCGCTGTAGCCCGAGATGCCCGAGTACGTCGAGTCGCGGAGCTCGCCGGGGACGAAGAAGCGCTGCTCGTCGAAGGGTAAGGGGCTGCCGGTGCCGTCGGAGTGGGCGATGGGGATCGGCGGCACGGGGGGTACGAGAAGCGCAGGGGACGTCGGCGTCGCGCGGTTCGTGACGCCGGGGATGTAGGCGATTTGGATGATGTTGGAGGCGCGGGTGAGGACGGTGGAGGCGATCGAGTGGACGGTGTGCGTCGAGGCCCGCTGGGACCGCCGCGAGGCGAAGTCGTTGTCAAGGCCCTCCTTGGTGTGCTCGATGTCACCTTGCCAGTGCTCCGGCTCGTACTGGCGCCGCTTGTTCTTGATGCAGAACCGCCACACGATGTAGGTGACGAGGCCGATGGCGACGAGCCCGCCTATTATGCCGCCGGCGATGGCACCTACATTGGGACCTGCGCTGGCCTTGGGGGTTTGGGAGGCGGTTGTCGGGTCGCGCAAGCAGAAGGCTGTCGAGCAGCTCGTGCAGGTCTGTATGGTGAATTGGCACACTTCGCCTTGGGCACATGTGGGACACGACGGCGCAATCGTGGTATCGCACTCGACGCAGCCATTCTGTCGCTTCGAGAAGGGGGACGCCGGCGAGAACTCCTCGTCTAACGGCAGAGCGGTATTAGCGATCGGCAAATGTGCTGGTGGCAGCGGTAGGCGGGGGGAGAGACGGGAGCAGTAGGGGTTAGGGGATCGACGGGACTTACGGAGCGGGAAGCCGACGAAGCCAGGTAAGCCCGCCATGGTGATTACAAGTGAGAATCTAACTGGATTCGACGGCGCGAAGATAGAATGCTGACGGCTCGAACGTTCTAGATGACTCTCAGCTGTGGCCTCGTCAACGATCGACAATTACGATAATGCCGCCGCTGCCGCTGCCGGTGAGGAGGATGGTCGAGGTATTGGCTTGGCAATGAGATCGACCGAATGCCGATCGCTAGTCTATTCGACGGTAGCGCGAGATATATTATGTATATCCGTTCTTCGATTGGCGATTTCAACGCTCGCGATAGGCGTGTGCTGAAACGTGCGCAAGGAACTCTCTCGCGAGTCTCCTCCAGGTATCGTATCGAGCAGAGCGGCGGAATTGAGGGCGGGAGTGGGCGTGGGCGTGGGCGTGGTCGTCGTGAACGGAAATGAATTGGAGCGTAGAAAGGGGTCGGCGCAAGGGCATCGACTTGGCGGGCGAACGGAGAGGAAGAAGTCGTGGGAGAAGAACAAACGAGTGACGAAGAGACTAGCTCAAAAGAAATGAAGGCAATGAGGGCAACCTACACGTAGGCGGTCATGAGGGGGACATTTGAACCGTGGCAGCTGGGTGTCGAAGGTTACCGTGGTGGTGGCGGGCGGTGCGGGTGCGCTGGTGGTGTGTGTGTAAGATGTGCGGGCGATTATTTGACGACGACGTTGCGTGGTTCAAAAGAAATAAGATAAAAAGTAGGAGGGAGAGGGAGGGAGGCGAGTTGGAAGGGAGGGATGTAAGTAAGGCAAGGCAAGGCAAGGTAATGCAAGTAATCGTTGCAAGCAATGCAATAGCAGGACCTAGTCGGGTCGGTTTGGTGAGTAGGTGCTGGAGAAGAGAAAAACGACGAGGATCTTGGAGAGTCCCGCAACACAGTTAGCGTGGACAAAAGGGACGGTGGCCAGCGGACAATGGGATAAGATAGAAGAAGAAGACGGGGGGGGGGGTTGTTTAGTGGGAGAGACGGCGAGGAGGGAAAAGAGGCAGCAGGGACCAAACAAGAGGAGCGGACAAGAGGGCATAAAGATAGCCGACAGGGTTAATTCAGGCTCGCGTTCATTATTCGAGGGATGGCCCTGGCGAAACATCCACTCTCCCACGGCGACGACAACAATCTGTGTGTACACTGGTGGACGGCTGTACGGCCACGGCAGGCCCCATGTCGCGGCGGTACCAGGTACGGCGGGGTACATGATGACCTGATTAGGCGAAACGAAAAACGGACCGGCCAGAAGCCAGGGCCGCCCGCTGATTCGCTCGCTAATCGTTGTCACCTGTAAATGAAGCCCATCCTCCAGCAATCCCGTTAATTGCTGTTGGCACTAGTAACCACCTCCTCGAGGGTGCAGGTACCACTACTTACTACGCGGTACGCCGCCCGCTACCCGAGGTACCTAGCGAACCCGAGACGGCCGTCCGTAGGGGGAGCGGGAGCCTGCTGCGTGCGCCTACAACATGCCTACCTTAGGTACCTAACTTACCTACTCTATGCGGACCATCCGACCCAGAGCCTCTAGCATCAATCCGGTAGGTGTGTACGCCGTAGGACGCCGGCCTGTCTGCGAAGTCATGCAAGGGGAAGCGCGGGACCCAGCCAGCCCGGCTACGTCGAGACAGTATGCCTACTCGACGGATTCCGTCGCAGCATTCGGCCACATGTGCGCGTCGCGCATAGCTGACACCTCATCTCCGTCGCCGACAGTCCGCCCTCGAGAGGGATATAATACCAAGTGCCTGCATGGCGCACTCTCCGGTGCCTATATTGCCGCGTCGGCCGTGCGGCGAATGGCGTTGCGGGCAATCCCTGGAACGTCGGTGGGGTGCCGTAAGGGGGGGGGGGGGGGGGGGAGACGCGCGCGGTTGTCGTACGTGGTGACAGTCGGTAGGGCTAGGATGGACGACAAGCCCGCCACCGAGCTAGGCCAGGGCGGCGCGCGCCAACGCAAGGGACGGCGAATCTGAGATTGGGCTCCTGCCACACTCCTTTCCCGCTGCACCAGTATGTTGTTTGTTTGATCGTGAAGAAGAAACCAACACGAGAATCCCCTGGGGAGCTCGATTCGGCAGCGGGGGGTCAGCAGCGTAGTAAGAGAGGGCTGAGTCGGCCAGTGTTTGGGATGTCTGCGCGAGCTACCTACTCATATGCCCCCTCCATCTTGGGTGTGGACTCCGTCGAGAAGGTGCAAACATTAGGGCACCGGTTCGATCAGTCTCGCCGGGAAATCCTGTTTGACATCAGGTTCCGCGCAAGTAGACGTATTAACCCGACTACATATAGTCTGTGTGAGTAGATTATTTCTTCGCAGACATGGCGTGCGCGTACGCAGCCTCCGGTAGGTAGGTACATATCATATATATGCCCGATCGGTAGAGATGATGCGAGTGGACGGCCCGGCTGATTACCAAATTTTACCTGTTAAATTACCCTGGTTACGCCGTGCAATGGGGGCCTTCCACGAACCATTTCCCGCCCGTCCCGCCTCCGTCCCCCCCCCGTCTGATATCCATCATCTCTTCTCCTTGCCGCTTGCGCGTACGTGATTGCTGGCGTTGCGCTATATTTCGGATGTTTCCCACCAGTTCCACATGTCTTGGTCTTAGACTAAGCCCCCTTGTGCCGCGTGGGTGATAAATGCGCATTCTTGATTGAATATCGCTTTCGATTGTGTGAGGGCAGCATGTCGCCGGCGGTCTGGCTCGGTCCGCGACCTGCTGCTTGGCCGGGTTATCAGACGAAGTCAGCAACATCCCCAGAGGTGATAGGTGCTGAGTACGTACATACCATACCTGCCATCAGGTACGTAGTGCTGAGCCGTCTACCGGGGCGAGGAGGAATAGAGAGCAAACATGGGATTCCGCGGTGAATCCATGGCGCACAAGGTCGGTTACCTTAGACACGGCTTGCGATGACCATGACTTTTATTTAATATCTTTCGGTAGAGGTCATGCCCAGATCGACACCCATCAGATCGGAGCTTCTCGTTGGAAGCTCGCGGAATCACTATAACAATTACCTAGCCTGCTTACGGGGCCGTGAGAGGCGGCCTAGTATGTCTCTCATAAATAAAATACACCACATGGCGGACTTCGAGAAGCTAAGCAATCTACTGAATAAGACAGCCCGCATCTGGAGAACGTGTGCGTCTTGCTAGGTGCGGCCTCGGTCGTTTGCAAGCTAGGGCAGTTTGTTCCCTCATGCACACAGACATGTGTAGTAGCGGAGGGCGACGGCCGGTAGTACACACCAGCCCCTGCATGATCCCCCTTGAGATTCCCACCGAAGACTATTTCGAGAGAATTCTGCGGGATGCTACGCCTGCCCGATGCCTGGCTCTTGATGTTTCGGCCTCCTAGCACGTGCTAGCCTATTTATTCTCGGCATGTCTATCTGGATGCGGTTGGGCGGGATGGAAAGGGCGTCGTCGGCCACGGCGCCTACAATAACACATCCCGCCTCGCCCGTCCTCGGGGGGGCTTGGGCCTATTTATATGATCGCCGGGCACAGCACCATCCGGCAGCGGAGCCAGCGCCACTATTTACGCCGGGTACCGGCGCTTACTTGTTGATACCGGCCTCGATCTGAGGAACCGGAGTGTGACGATGGCAGCACAAAGTCTGGTTTGCTTGCTAGTTGTCAACGGGAGCTACCGAGACTTTGTTAGCGGGGGGGGATGAGTGAAGTCGGGCTGCAACACGCGCGACAAATCTGTCTTTGATCATTACAAAGCCGACCTAACTATCGTAATGCTTATCCGTTTTGCTGCGGTCAATATAATAGATATATATAGGCGCGTCCTGCTAAAATACCCGACGACAGGATGAGAGAGACATCGCGGGTCCGCTTCTAAGGTAGGTAGGGCAAGGCTTGCTATTAACCCCTCCCCCGGCATAGCGAGGGGAATATTCGGCGGGAGTAGTGCTGATGTGAGACGGCCAACACGAAAAGCCGAACCGCACACGCGTACACGGGACAGTGGAAGAGTGCGATTATGAGTGTGTAGCAAAGGTAGGAAGCAGGAGAGAGGAGGTAGGTAAGTACCTAGGCAGTATTACTGGGGATTCTGGTTACGAGGAGACCAACTTGCACCGCCTCAGTTAGTAGGAGAGCCCCACCCAACGAGGCTGCCGGTAGCGTCCCACAGGAAAAAGTCTCCTATATGCTGCTATTTTTGGGAGGTGATCGCACGGGCCTGGCCGCGAGCTGGAATTTCCGAGGCAGCCTAGATGCTAGGCACGGTTTTGTACGGTACCGTAATGTACGGTGCTAGACTGCACCGCTCAGCGGAGTGCATGCGTGTGGAAGAGGAGAAAAGCTCGAGAGGAGGAAACAAAGAAAGGAAAGACAGGAGGCGAAGCGCAATTAATTCATGGAGATCATGGAGAGGTTGGGGCGCTATACGTGTGCTACGAGATAGCATCGTATCGCACGGCGTATGAGTAGACAAGTATACACGTAAGCCCGAGACTGGCGAGTTGTACATAAGGCAGGAGACTGCAATAGGTTTAGCAACATAACCCGCCCAGATGCAATATCTGCGTCCCTATAGTATGTCGGGTTCCTGGGTGTTGTTGTACCGGTTATGCTACACATGTGTATAACAGCTGGGTCGTGCAGCATGGATGTGTCTGGCCGCTATGCAAGCAACATTACGAATGCGCCTGTATGAGTACACATATATATACATTAAATGTACAACAAATCTGAGAGCCGAAATACTGTATACCTAGGTATATAAATGTGTATACGTAATGTACCGGGGTAAAATGCGAGGGGTCGAGTTTCAAGCTAACAGCGAGATCGCCAACATTTCCCCTGACCAGCTACGATACGGTGCGAGGACTTGCTGCTGCGCATCTGTACTGTATGTACGTGTGCAACAGTTCGTATTAGGTATCCTGGGAAAAGGAGGGGGGATGGATAGGCGAAAGTGGTGTCTGGTATTGAGATGCGCAGAGTTTTTTCGACAGTAGGGTTGACCGTATGAGAATGCTTATATGCCTTATATAGACAGACAGACAGACAGACAGACAGACAGACAGACATATATATATATTGACATCTCTCTCCCTCTCTACGTTAGGTAGTTACCCAAGGTAATATGCTTCTATCCCTCCCCTCCCCTCCCCTCCACCTTGTCGCCTACTTCTGAGTATGCATGCGCGTGCATATTAAGTAGGCCGACAACTGTTTTATTACGGAGACAGAGAGCGCATTACGCCTTGCCAACCCGACGCGATTTGCTAGTCAGCGTCTGTGGCTGAAGCTCGGATCCGCCTCCATCCCATCCTCTAGCCGGCCTAATCGTCTGCAAGTCGACGCTTTCTCCACGTTTCCGTCGGGGGTAGCGCCCTTCTCCTCTCCTCTTCTCCTCCCTGTCCTCCTGTCAACAAGGTTGTCTCTCCAGGTAGGTAGGCGTAGGACATCTGGACATGCGTGGAAGGAAAGGATAAGCAGGTATCGCCATTCTAAGACATCGTGAACCGGTGACTTGCGCGAGAGCGGCCGCCACGAGAACAGGATGCGCGTAAAACATGCAAGTGACGTAGGTAGCATCTGAGTTGTGTTTGAGGGGACGCACATAGTGGGAGGCTGGAAAGCAGCGTATACGGAGCATATGTATCGTACCCAAAGGAAACAGGTAGATAGGTACCTATCCTACCTGCACCTACCGTGCCGACATTACAGTATGACGGAGAGGGATATGTGCTTGTATGGTACCTACGTAGCTTGAATCTGTCGAGGCGGGCATAATAGACACCCCCTACCGTATGAGTAGGGCAGCGGGAGATATCTACAGTAGATACCTAGGTACCTACCTACCTCTATACCTGCAAAAAGCTGGGAGTGCCTACGCACCTAAGGGATCCGAGTGGTTGGAAACTGGTCAGGGGGGCACTGCTCTTGGCCAATGAGGAGCGGGGTTGTGGTCTCCACATATGTGCATTTATCTGTACGTGGCGTGTACACAGGTACCTCTACCTGGGGTCCATTCTCGAGTTGGGTAGAGCCAGAAGGCCGGAGGCAGAGCCTGTTGCTTGTCGCTAGAGGAGTCTCTATTAGCTGGTACTATGAGTAGTACTACTACTACTACCACTACGTAGCAAGCGGCAGGCAGGCGACGGAGCAGCGAGATGCCGGGAAAGGCGACGGCTAAGCCACACCAGCCCCCAGCCGCTTTCTCGCGTGCTTTTGCAGCACACGAAGAGCAGGATGACTACTGCGCAGCTAGGCAGGCCGTAGCGCGATGGCGTTACCCACCCAGGGCGCCGCCCCGAGGGTGCTGGGCCACGGAGGACAGCCACCTAATGCTAGAGCATACTCATAATGTTAGGTTACGTACCTAACCTGACCTGTCGCCAACCTGGCTAGCCCTGACGGACCTGAGCCGACTTTTTCAGACCTCTATACCTGCATACCACGCAGACGTACCGGATTACGGTCGTATGCCAATACCAGCAGAGGATACCTACACGTACGTGTAAGACATCCAAGCAGCAGCGTGCCTAGTAGATGTATCTAGGTACCTAGGTGCCTAGGTTGGTAGGTAGACGGTGTGTGTACGTAAGGTACCGGCTATTGCCTCCTATTGTGGCGGTACTTCCAATGTCTCGATTGGTACGTGTACTTGCGATTGACATACCGTTTGCGTGAGCTGTCTCTCGTCCGCAGGTACATCCACTTCCTGTGCGCTACGTCTATCTACCTAATACATACGAGTATATACGTACATCCTGTTTACCTACATACCTAGGTACCTCTCCTCCAGGTATATACATACCAAAAACCCGCCCTACCTTTACATACGGCCTGGTTCACCGTCCAGGCTTTCCTCCCTCTCCGCCCCCTGCAGGTCTCCTTTTGACTGCTTTTCCTGCTGCTCAGTGACCTCTCATAAAACCGTATGGGGTGTTTTCCGACGCTGATCCCATCCCCATCCCCAACCTGAAAAAGAAAAAAATACGAACCGTTGTCTTCTCTCCTATCAACCAACCCTCCCTCTTCCCATCTTCCCCCCCCCATAAATCTGGGAAACAAACACCGATACACAATATCATATCATCGTCACCCATCCATCGCACCCGTCTTCCCTAATGCCTGGGAGCACCGGGTGATTGATCGATCCATCAAGACGCCGTCCTCTCTTTCCCTCCCTCTCGCTCTTCGTCGTCACCAGCTGTATAGCTAACTTCAGGCCCCCCCCCCCCGCGAAGACACGCTGTCTGTTTTTGCTGTCCTTCTTTGTCCTCCCGCGAAGGTCAACCTTAACCCTCGCGCGGTCCCTGCATCACCTCGTCTGTGTTCGGCCTAACGCTGCGTGGTGACTCGGATCGTCGCCACGAGCTTCGTAACGCGCGTTGCAACCCAGACAGAGACGGCAACTGCATCGGTCAGCGTCATCGCTCCCCTTTCCGACGACGGCTACGCTAGCCGACCGTAAACATGGCTTATAACGGCGGCGGCGGCGGCGGCAACGAATACGACGGGCATAGACTTCAGGACATGCCCGCTGGCAGCACGGTAAGGTCCCAACCTTAACCCTCCGTCCCTTCGACGTCTCGTCTGTTGGCTATAAGCTTAAGCAACTAGCTCTCGTGACACACCGCTAATCCGGGTTGGGGCTCCCTCCTCCCCCCCTTTCCCCCCTATCTAGTACCATCTCCCCCCGCAAGACCAAGACGAGGATGAATCCCAGCGTCACCTCCTCGGACAGACCCCGGGCCATCACTACGAGCAAGACCGGTTGGGCACCGGCACTCCTCCCGCCCGTCCCGTTTCGGCCTACAGTCTTACCGAATCATATGCCACCACCGCCCCTCCCGTCACCCAATCCCCTGCGCCGCAGTATGGTGGCAGCGAGTACGCGAGCGGTGCTTTCACGGGACACCAGCTAGAGGACACCGGCTTTGGCTATGGCAGGCCGGCGTCTACCGTCGATAGCGACGATAGCTGGATACGCCGACAACAGCCCGGCGGCGGCGGCGGCGGCTTGAAACGTTACGCCACCCGCAAGGTGAAGCTGGTCCAGGGCTCCGTTCTCAGCGTTGATTATCCCGTACCCAGTGCCATCAAGAATGCCGTGCAGACCAAATACCGTGATACCGAGGGCGGCAGCGGAGAGTTCCTCAACATGCGGTACACCGCCGCCACCTGCGATCCTAACGACTTCACCCTGAAGAATGGTTACGATCTACGGCCCAGGACATACAACCGACACACCGAACTGCTCATCGCCATTACGTATTACAATGAAGACAAGCAGCTGTTCGCCCGAACGCTGCACGGTGTCATGCAGAACATCCGTGACATCGTGAACCTGAAGAAGTCCACCTTCTGGAACAAGGGCGGCCCCGCCTGGCAGAAGATCGTGGTCTGCTTCGTCTTCGACGGGATCGACAAGGCCGACAAGGAGACCCTCGACGTCCTCGCCACCATCGGCGTCTTCCAGGATGGCATCATCAAGAAGGAGGTCAACGGCAAGGAGACGGTCGCCCATGTCTTCGAGTACACCACCCAGCTGTCCGTCACCGCCAACCAACAGCTCATCCGCCCGATTGACGACAGCCCCCAGACCCTGCCGCCCGTGCAGATGATCTTCTGCCTGAAGCAGAAGAACAGCAAGAAGATCAACTCCCATCGTTGGCTGTTCAACGCCTTTGGCCGCATCCTGAACCCCGAAGTGTGCATCCTGCTCGACGCCGGTACCAAGCCCGGTTCCAAGTCGCTCCTCGCGCTCTGGGAGGGCTTCTACAACGATAAGGATCTCGGTGGCGCTTGCGGTGAGATCCACGCCATGTTGGGCAAGGGCGGCAAGAAGCTCTTGAATCCCCTCGTCGCTGTCCAGAACTTCGAGTACAAGATCTCGAACATCCTGGACAAGCCGCTCGAGAGTTCGTTCGGCTACGTCTCCGTGTTGCCCGGTGCTTTCTCGGCCTATCGATTCCGAGCCATCATGGGCCGGCCGCTGGAGCAGTACTTCCACGGTGACCACACCTTGTCCAAGATCCTGGGCAAGAAGGGTATCGAGGGCATGAACATCTTCAAGAAGAACATGTTCTTGGCCGAGGATCGTATCCTGTGTTTCGAGCTCGTCGCCAAGGCCGGCTCCAAGTGGCATCTGACGTATATCAAGGCCGCCAAGGGCGAGACCGACGTGCCCGAGGGCGCGCCTGAGTTCATCAGCCAACGGCGACGTTGGCTCAACGGCTCGTTCGCCGCCTCGCTCTACTCGCTGATGCACTTCGGCCGCATGTACAAGAGCGGTCACAACATCATCCGCATGTTCTTCTTCCACATCCAGCTCCTCTACAACGTCGTCAACGTCTTGTTCACCTGGTTCAGCTTGGCATCGTACTATCTCACGACCACCGTCATCATGGATCTCGTCGGCACGCCTACCGCCGGCGGTCCTAATAGCGCCGAGCGGCACGGCTGGCCCTTCGGCGACACGGCCACGCCCATCGTCAACATCGTCCTCCAGTACCTGTACCTCGCCTTCCTCATCCTGCAGTTCGTCCTCGCCCTCGGTAACCGTCCTAAGGGTACCAAGTGGCAGTACGTGACGTCATTCTGCGTGTTCGGATTCATCCAGCTCTACATCCTCATCCTGTCCGGTTACCTCGTCGTGTCGGCCTTCCAGCCAGAGAACCTCAACTCGGGTCAGAGCGCGGGCGACGCGCTCAAGGAGATGTTCACGGGGCAGTCAGAGGTGGCGATCATCATCCTGGCGCTGCTCGCGACGTTCGGTCTGTACTACATCGCCTCATTCATGTATCTGGACCCGTGGCACATGTTCCACTCGTTCCCGTCTTACATGATACTCATGTCGACGTACATCAACGTGCTGATGGTGTACGCGTTCAACAACTGGCACGACGTGTCGTGGGGTACCAAAGGTTCGGACAAGGCCGACGCGATCCCCAAGGCCCAGGTCATCAAGGACGAGAAGGGCGAGGCCGCCATCGAGGAGGTCGACAAGCCGCAGGAGGATATCGACAGCCAGTTCGAGCAGACGGTCAAGCGCGCCCTCGCTCCCTTCAAGCCGGAACCCGAGGCCGACGAGAAGGACCTCGAGGACTCGTACAAGTCTTTCCGTACCTCGCTGGTCATCGCTTGGCTGTTCTCCAACTGTGCCCTCATCGTCGGTGTCACTAGTGATGAGCTTGCAACGTTTGGTATCGGCGTAAGTCCTTTTTTCTTCTCCTTCTCTCTCCTCTCTTTACGTGCTACGAAACGTAAATGTGTATACTAATGACGCCTCGATGGAATAGGGCACGACCACGGACCGAACGGCGCAGTTCTTCAAGTTCCTGCTAATCTGCACGGCCTGCCTCTCCCTGATCCGTTTTATCGGATGCTGCTGGTTCCTCGGCCGGACGGGCATCATGTGCTGCTTCGCCAGGCGGTAAAGGACGTTATGGCGACGGCGTAATTGGGATATCGAGATTTATACCCGTGTGTCATGTTTACCAATGTGGCTCATCTCTCTAGGACCTGGCGTCAAACACATACTTGTTTCTACAGCTGGATAGACAGATGGACGGAGAGCGGGAAGGGCTGGGGGTGGGAGGGGAAGGAAGGCGGAGGGACAACTTGGTTTGCGAGATAGGGAGACGGAACCCAGAAAAGTTACAGTTGCGGCCGCGCCGTTGTCCTTTGAACAATATCTCGTTGTGGCATTACTTTCGGCGTTGTTGCCTTCTTCTCCTTATACACTCATAATGTCTCCCGACTGGATATCAGTGCCGACTTGTTAGGATGTTGCAGTTGCTGTTAATGTTGCTATTGCTCCGTACCGAATGTTCGTCCCTGGTTCCGTCTCTCCCATGTATACAGATAACCTACAATATAAGAAGAACATTTATATATATCCGGGTATCTCTAAGCGAACATAGTCCTTACCGTGGTTACTCACTATTCCCTCCGACTTTCTGGGTAGATGCTGATTATGTAATGCGTGAGTCCATCTAGATGTACCTCCAGAAGTCACTTGAGGTACCTCACCGCGTCTTCCCGCCTATTCGAGCTCCCCACCATCCTCGCTTCTACACCTACAATTTTGCTCTTCTATTCAACACCAACACACACACACACGCACACACGTAAATACGGTAAAGTTGCGGTTCGCAGTATAGGCGGTATAGCATTTCCACCCACGGTTACGGCATCGTTACAATAGAAGCTCAGGGACGACGACGTAGCCAAGGGACCAGCTCCACCAAAGCACCCCCCGACGTCCGGGCTGTTAGGGTCACACTATGGAGTCTCTCGAGGCGATGCAGGCACGGCATCGCAAGGAGCAGCGCGACTTGCAAGGGCGGATCACCAGCAGGAAGAAGAACGCGACGAAGAAGACGCGGAAGGCCGTCGGCGACGAATGCGCCGAGCTCGAGCGCCGGCTGAGAGAGAAGCAAGCGCAGGAGCTCGCGGCCCTGGAGGGCGGCGCCGAGGGCGCCCAGGACGCGCCGGCCGGAGCGGCGCAGCCCCGCGAGGACGGCTCGCGAGACCGGGACCGAGCCGGCGGCGCCGCGGGCGCGGACGCGGACGCGGCGGACGGGATAGCGGAACAGCTGCGAGACGCGACGCTCGCCCCAGCCTCGCCCGAAACGAGGCGGCCACCTCCCCCCCCACCACCGCCGCAGCAGCAGCCAGCGCCCAAGAAGCGGAACCGCCAGAAGGAGCGCATGGCGCGGCGGGCGGCAGAGCAGGAGGCGGCGGCGGCGGCGGCGGAGCGAGAGGCGGCGGGCATGGCGGACCAGCGGGGGCTCGAGAAGACGGCGCTGCTGCGCGCGTTCGCGGCGCACGGCCTCGTCGAGCGGGAGATGCGGCCCGACGGGCACTGCCTGTTCTCGGCGGTGGCGGACCAGCTGCAGACGCGGGGGGTGTCGCTGGCGCCTCGGCCTCCCCCGGCGGCGGGCGGCGGCGGCGGCGGAGAAGAAGAAGAAGAAGAAGAAGAAGAAGAAGGGGAGGACGAGCTGCCGCCGTACCAGCGCGTCCGCCGCGCGGCGGCCGACTACATGCGGGCGCACGCGGACGCGTTCGCGCCGTTCCTGGACGAGCCGCTGCCCGCGTACGCGGCGCGCGTGCGCGACACGGCCGAGTGGGGCGGCCAGCTCGAGCTCGCGGCCCTCGCGTCCGCCTACGGCGTCGCCATCCGCGTGCTGCAGGACGGGCGCACCGAGACGGTCGAGCCGGCGGGTGGGGGTGGGGGGAGCGGAGGCGGAGGGCGCGACAGGACGACGATATGGCTCGCGTACTACCGCCACGGCTACGGCCTCGGCGAGCATTACAACTCCCTGAGGCCGGCCGAGAGAGCGCCCGAGTGAGAGGAAAGGCGCGCGTCCGGACGCGTCCCCGGGCGCGGGCCCGACGGCCTCTAGCTCGACGTCTCCCGCGCCGGCGGAGGAGGCGTGCCTGGGCGGATGCGCGTAGACGCGTGCTTGGAGGGGCGAGGAGAGGGGAGGGGATAGGGCTGCACGCAGAATAGCTGTCCCAACCCGCTCAGACCCGCTGCTACCCGGGAGAGTCGGCAAAGCTGGCCGAGAGGGCGCTGTCTTCCGTCTCGTTGCAGCGAATCCGTAGGACCTGCTAGCCCTCCCTAACGCTAGAGCTTTCCAGATACCCCCCTTCCCGGTTCGTCTTATCTTAATCAATCGCCGTGCCAACCCGCCGACAACCAACGGCGCGCCTGTCCTGCGGGATCGCTTGTGCAAGTCTGGGATAAGCGTGCCTATCCACGATTCTGCTCTCTCGACCGCCATCAGGGCCTGCCTCGGATTTACCTACTTCTCTACAGACAGGCACGGGCGGGCAGCTCTGTTGTGGGCTTTCTAGGGATGCTGGGTCGCGGCTGGTAAAAGAGGGGACATAGGAGGCGCACACGCTGGTCAAGCGTGAGACTGGAGGTGCGCTCGCATGTAGATATCGCATCCCGACAACGGGAAATAGACGACGACTGTGTAAAGTACGCCTTACATCCTGCCCCTGACTCTGTTCTCTCCGTTCCCGACGCGCGGCAGAATCCCCTACCGCGCCCTGTGCAAGGCCCCCAGTCCTTCCTACCTCGCCGAACTTCGGCAGCTGGGTGCCTACTCTCTGGAGTCTTAGCCGTGTTAAGAATAGCGATTCACAGTGCACAACTAGCTAGGCATGCTCTTCTTCTTCTTCTTCTGGCGCCTGCAGCCATTGCTGCCGCTGACGGGTACCCCTGACGCCCCCTGGGCCCCCAGTCCCCGGACGCTTCTGAGATGGCCCGGCTAGCTTAGAGGGCGGAACTTGCAGTGGCGGGACACGCCGGTTGCAGTTTAGGCCACGCTGTTGATAGCAGCAACTAGCGAATACCTTTCAGTTTCCATGCCCCGTCGGAAGCTGCACGAAGAAGCTAACGGAGTTCTGGATACGGAATGGACAGCAATACACGGTCAACCCGGAGACGGAGGGGGTACGCTAGAAGAACAAAAGTGCTACCGGACGAGGATCCTACGAACAGCGAGATAAGGCTCATACACATGCTTACAACTTCCAAAATGGCGCATGCTGGTTTACATGCTAGCTATTTATATATACCTATTTATTCCCCTGTCCAGAGGGTCCTCTCCACGATCCGCGGGCACCCGCCAACCGTAGACGAGCACGGCATCGGGAAGCGCGGCGACCGGTCCTATCCTACACGCCCCGGAATACCGGGTCCGGTTCTTTCTCTCCGGCCTCGCGCCTCCCCGGCGGAAACGCCCCGTTCCGTCGAAGCCTCGCCGCGACCCGCGGCAACCTCGCGTCGTCCTGGACCAGCCAGAGCACCACGGCCGCCACCGCCCAGGTGACGAAGGCGATCAGGACCGTAGAGGCCAGGAATGCGGATTGCTCGGTTTGGGCGTCTTGGTAGGCGAAGGTGTTCATGCTGAATATGGACTAGGGATCGAGAGAGGCGTGTTAGGCCAGGCATTCTTCGCTGATAGGGGTGAGGGGTTAGAGGGGTGAGGGGAGGGTTGGCGACGTACGGAGACGTAGCTCAGCGGCAGGTAGAAGATGGTGACGAAGGTAAAGACCAAGATGTACTGGTTAAGGGATGTCGCGCGGGACGCCTCGCGCACCGAGGTGGCGCTGAAGAGCTATTGTGCGATGGTCTCGTTAGCCAAAATTCCTAGGCACGTGTTTGCCAGTCGACAAGACGTATGCAGATGTCATCGCACGTACGCCATCCCTGAAGCTCTTGATCTCCTCGTTCTTCTTTTCTATGCGGTCGGCGAGCGCGTTCGCGGCGGCGCTGTGGAACTCCAAGATCTCGTCCCACGCGCCGTCGACGTCCTGGGAGAAGGGACGCGTCGGCGGCCTGGTCCCCGCGGCGCTGCCGACCGAGTCCCGCCGCGCGGTCTCGGACCGGAACGCGGCGTCGAAGTCGCGCCGCAGCCGCCGCAGCTCCCGCTCGCTCTCCTGGATCCACTCGGCGAAGATGCGCAGCGTCTGCAGCACCGCGAAGTAGAGCCGCGACCGCGCGAACGACGTGCCGTCGAACATGACGCCGCTCCCGCTCTGCGGGCCGAATAGGTCGTCGACCTGGGCGCACGTAACGACGCGGTTAACTTACGGACGTGGGAACAATGCTAGGCGCTTAGCTGCGCTCTCCCCACAACATGGATATATAAATAAGACGAAGGAGAAAAGAAAAAAGTAGTCACGCCTCTCACCTCGACACCAACCAGATTATCCACCTCGTTGAGGGACTCGATCCAGCGGCGCTCCCAGAGCGGGAGCACGGCGCGCAGGATGCGCAGGAAGACGGCGACGCCGGCGAGCCTGCCGGCGGCGGGCACGTCGAGAGGGCGGCCGCTCTCGACGAAGAGGCGGCGGTAACCGCTGTCGGTCAGGTAGAGGACGGTGAAGAGGGGCAGGTCGGCGGTGTAGGTAGTGGCGACGGCGAGGCCGAAGCGCTGCTCGACGATGCCCACGTCGGCGGTGCCGTCGAGCGAGGCGAGCTTGCCGGCGACGCGGGACGGGCGGAGCCCGCCGTCGAGTGCCCGCCGCCGCCGCTGCTGCTCGTGGTACCGCTTCCCGGCGCACAGCACGCGCAGGTGGAGGTGCAGGTGTGCCCATCCGGCCGACAGCCATACCTCGCTCGTCGGCATGAAGCGCGGCCACCGCGACGCGTAGCAGCTGAGGAAGCGCAGCGCCTTCTTGGTTCCCAGCATCCGCTGGCTCGCGTCGCCGACCACCGCGCCCAGCTGCGATAATACGAGGTAGATGCACGCGAAACTGAGGAGCCCCTGGTCGTGGAATACCTTCCTGTCGGCCCCAGCCGCCCGCCCGGTTAGTTACGGGCGGTTCAGAGGAAAAGGGGACAAGAAGGGACGGAAAGATGTATACGTAGGCACGTAGAAGAAAGACCTAGAACTCACCATACTCGTCCGAACACCCTCCCATCCCACGGACAGGTCGGATCGATGCGCAGCCTATCATCGTACGGCTACGAAAGCGTCTCGGATTAGCCAGCCCTGCCGGTCCCTCTCTCGCCACATTGTCTCCTCCTCCTCCTCCTACCTCCCCAAGGAAAACTCCTTAATGAGAACGCACGAACCTGCAACTGCTGAAGCAGCGACCGCTTCCCGCCGAGCCAGGGTTCGCGCGCGACGTGCCCCCCCGCGGCGTCGTACCCGGACTGGTACAGCAGCGCCTTGCTGCCGCCGGGGCAGTGGAGGAACAGGACCGAGTCGGCGAACTCGTCGGACTCGAGGCGCGGCGGAGGCGCCCCCGCCGCCTCCCCCGGGTCCCGCACTGACCGCCCCTGGTGCCGCCAGTGGCCACGCGTGAGCGCCGCCGCTCGCGCCACCCGCCGCGTTACCTGCTTTGAACCCCTGGCGTCTACGGGCGCCCACTTCACTGTCGTCACCACGGCCTCGTCTGCGTCGGCGCCGTCCGATCTCCCCAGCTCTCGCATCTCGGCCGCGGTGGCTGCGGCGAACGCGCCGTCTTCCTCGTCACCCCCGCCGCCGACCACCCCTCGCACCGCCAGCTCGACGTCGCCGTAGTCCTCGGGCTCCCACCCGTGCATGTGCAGCAGCTCGATTGCGTCATACGACCCGGACAGCACCTGCGGCAGGCCAAACCGCGCCAGGAACATGTCGCACAGCCGCACCGGGTCCGGGTCCAGCGTCATCTGGTGGTAGCGCTGCAGGGCCACCTCGTCGAGCGCGCTGAGAGGCGGCGGCGGCGGCGCGCTACAGACTTCGGGCGCCTTGTCGGGGCGTGACTCCGCGAGCAGGAGAATCGACAGTATCTGTTCCTGTCTCCTACCTACCTTCGTGAGCTGCTTGCTGAGCCTCTGGAGCTGGCTGCTGCCGCTTTTGGGCGCCGCCCCCGGCGACGAGTCTCGTGACCGGGCATCTTCGTCTGGACTCGGAGGGGCGCGACAGGGAGGCGGCGCACTTAGCCTCCTTTTACTCTTGGGAGAGGTGCGGTAGCCCTTTTGTTGAGAGGGTCGATGGCTGCGGTTGCTGGCCTGCTGGTGGGCCCATCCTACACCGGATGTCGATGACGAGTCGTTGTCTGCCAATATTATAGATTCAGCAGATGCGAGGGGTTTAATACTACTGCGATTGACCAGTGTAGGGTCGGCCGGAGCTTTGAGATGTTTCTCTCCCATGTTCGTAGAAGTTTCCTTGATGCGGAAAAAAAACAGCGCTGGGTGCGCTGCATTTCTTGCGGTGCCTGGAGCCCGATATTTGACCGGCCTTTCTCCCTCTCCCTCCCTCTCCGCCTCTTGCCGCCCGAGTGCATGATCACGATGCAGAGTCGCGATTCATGAGGCGCAGCCACCCTGTTTTGTGCGTACGGGTGTGCGTTGTTGATCCTATGTCTTCCTGCCTTCCTCCCTCCCTGACCAGGTGGGCATATCCCCCCCCCTGATAACTGCTGGGGGATCATGCGAGATAACCCCGATGTCACATTCCGGCTTGCGCAACTAGAGACCGATCTCCAGGGCAGGTCAACGCTTTAGTCGCTGTGTCCATTGAGAAACAGAAGGCCTTCCAGCCTACCATATTCGCCATGTTGGTGGAGTCGAGTCTGCCGATAGGTAAGAGTACGTAGTTATACATCCGCGACCAGCTTTGGGCTTTCAAGCCTCCTTCTAAGTCGTCCAATACGTGCTGGGTTGAGGAGGAATCTCGTGGGCGCACATTCATTTCGTGTATCTTTAAGGCTGACATTGATAGGGACGTGAATGTCCATCGCACTAGTATTGCTTGAAATCCCCCCTTGATAACCACAATTGTCATAATAGATGCCAAGAACTTTTTTCATGACCTAAAAAACATGTTCGTTTCGATGCCGGGTATCTACATAATATGACATAACTACTCGAACTCCCCATGTGTGTTAACTCATCGATAGTCTCTCCCCTGTACTTAGCGATACTTTACAACATTTGAGGCAACAGTCGTTAAGTATGAAGCAAATGCAAAGCTCGTGCGAAACGCCGCGCAATTCTGTGTTGTTTTCTCGTAATATCCACCATGCGTCGTCGTCGTCTCTTCGTGCACCCTATTCGAGTCGTCCCAAGCCGCGAGAGACCCCCAAGATGTAATTTTAGCAGTGTAGTTGACCTTAACGATCCCCTCATGAACCTTGAAGACGAGTCCGGTTCTCGAGCTAGCCAGTTGGCTTCGCTTCGGTTAATGCAGAGGATCGCTATCGTTGCGGTGGCCCGGATCTGGTTTAAGACACAGCGGAGCATCTCTAGGTATGCTTACTGTCGGGCTCATCCGTTGGAAAGGAAATTCAACTAGTCCTTACAGGAGAGTCCGAATTCCAAGAGTCCACCAACGGCCCAAGATTTGGTCTGCTCTCCGAAACTGACGGGCGTACGACGCATACCCCCATAGGATATAAAGCTAGGCGTCTTAGGTTTCTATGGTCGTGTCGACTGCTTATCCTCTCAAGAGTAAGGGAGGTTCGACTCGCTCTTGTGCCCCGGCTGCGTGGGCTCGATGTCTTTGATGGGGTGCAACATCATTGGCGGCAAGCAAGGTCTTCCGTACATCTCTTCCCATTCGGCCCCGCCTATGTTCGTGTCTTCCCAGCCCATGAAATTGAGATAGAGTCGCTGTGGCGGGTTTGCGCGATAGTACCAAGTGCTTCCGCGGTACCTAGCCTCTCGTCCCCAGCCCATGGCAGAGCCAATATTTCCGCTTTCGCCTTTGGGGCCACCGTTGAACCACCTGGCGAGATCTTTGCCTTGCCAAGGCCTATCAAAGAACACGGGCATCGGGACATAGACTGCCTTGAGACCATGGAGGAGTGCGATTGTCTGCGTGACCATCTCGGAGGAAATATGGTTTCCGCGGATATTCTCGACATGCATGATGTCGAGGAGCCGTTTGGACACCCTAGAGTGAGTGATGATGGTTGCTCTCCTCGGCAGATCTAGGGTGGCGTGGGTGGAATCATTAAATCCCCAGAGCTCGTTGCCGCTGATCCAGGAGCTATTCATCGGGTTGAAGATAGGAGCAACAGTGATGAGGTCTGCCTCCTCCCCAACGCCCCATTGGTAGTCGTCATCCTCGGGATTCGCGACCGGAGGCTTCGGCCCGACGGGATTGACAAAAGGCAGCTGGGGAGGCCCCCAGACCGTATCCTTGCCCGATACGCGCTCGACCTCCTTCCGAAATTTGGAGTCGTAGTCACCGTGGACGGACGGGATATAGTAGCGCTCGTTCCGCTCCCATAGCCCCCGCCGGGGCTGGCGCTTCGCAAAGGACGCCAATTTCTCGACAAAATCGTAATGATGGCCGGTGACTCTCGCGTCGATCTCCCAGTTCCAGATGTAGTCGAACTCGGGGAACTCCTGAGCAAACTTCTGAACCGACAGCCACTGCGAGACATGCACAGTCGCCTTCTTAGGGTCAATCTTAGGGTACATGCTTTGCGTGGCTTCGTCATTCCAGAGGATAGCGATGCCCCGAAACTCCGGAGGTACATTCCTCGCTAGCACATACTGGTAGGTCTCTTCATCCTCCCAGATAGCTAGGGATGTATCCTTAACGTGGACAAACAAGAACACTTGGTACAGGCCGCCAGTACGCAGCGAAAGTTCAGTGATCAGAGCCCGGATTACCTGCATATCATTGTCGCTATATTCCTTCCCGGTGTACGTCCGTAGCAGAAGTGCCGTTCTCGCTTCGGGCCTGACGATCTTTTTTGAGTTGCCAGATTTGGGCTGTTCAGCGCTGTCCCGCTTTCGCAAGGTTGGACTCGCCCTTTTCGAATCGTCGATTTGCCACGGCGATTCTACAGGGCCGGACTTTTTCGTAACGTCACCACCTGACATCGCGGGGCGGGTTGAATTTTGGCGCGGATAGATCGAAGTAAGGTAAGGGTTCGGATGTCCCTTCATATCGAACCGGGCCTTGTTCTTGTAGGCGCACTTGTCCTGTAGCTCACCCCAGCGGGTGCTGTCCCAGTCGACTGACGAAGCCGAGGTGTCGTTGTCCGATTGGTAGCCGTATATACCCAGCCGCGTCGCACGCTCGTAGCACAAGTTTCCATCCATACCGAGGAGACTGTAGCTGCCAAATCCAGGCTCGGGGAAATCTTTGGGCTGTCCCTTGAAAACCATAATATCCTGGGGTAGTACGCCACCGGGGCCTTCACAAGGCACATGCTCGGCCTTCTCGGCGAGCCAGGCCTCGCCGTTGTACGTGGGATAAGGGTTGTAGACGTAGGGGTAGTGATCGCTATAATATACCTTCTCCTCAGAAGGCTTCAAATGCGAATCGATAGTGAGACGTTGATTTTTTCTCGTCCCCAGCGTGTAGAGCGTCTGCCCGAATAGGGCGTCGGCACCAGGCTTCCTGCGGAGCCGTTAGTATGTCGGATAGGAAAGTAGCGAGAGCAGACCTACTTTGCTAGTGCCTCGTATTCTTTATTAAATTTAGCACGTAGGTCCTCTTCCCTTTGCTCGTCCTCGTCCTTCTTTTTCTTTTCCTCCTCATCTTCCTCATCCTCTTCGTGGGTAGAGGCTGCACCTTTGCTGTCGGGGTGCCGGTTGCGCTGGTCGCCGGCGGGCTCGACGGGGACTACGGGAGGTAGAGGTAAGGGAGGTAGAGGAGCTATGGGGGCGTTTGGAGGCGCAAGTTCAGGTGCTTTCTTGCCTTCGGCGTCGCCCTGGAGCGGAACACGCGCCGGCGCGGGGTTTCCGCCAGACCACTGGGTAGTTGGGGGAGCGGCGGATGCATGGAGTAGAAGCCAATAGAGGCTTGCGGCGGAGACTGCGATGAGTAGCAGGCCCCTCCGCCGCTGCAACAATCGACGAGGTTGGACTGCCAGCATGATGCCGAATTGATGGGGTGCTCGACGTGGTATTTGAACAGAGGTAGAGAGGCAGATGCGATTGGTCGGGATCGCCACAGGTTCACGGACGACCGATAATCTGGACCATGGCGAGAAACGGACCGGCAAGTATCGGGTTGGGCAGGGTTTCGGCCTCGTATAAAGACGGTAGAGGTTAGAATGGCTAGGTGTTATAGAGTATCGCAGGGTCGGCTCGAAAATGAGGACAAATCAGAGGCAAATCGCTTAGGACGCTGGGTGATAACTCGGTCGACGGCCGCATGCCCCGATGATGGCGTACTATCGTAATGCCCGACGAAACGCAGGCTTAGCCGTAGCTTATCGCGGATAGTTTCTCCTGTAAACGCGAGAGCGGGTTATGGTTAAAAATAAAAATAAAAATAAAACCCAAGCCAAGGAGCGTACTGGTTCGACGGAGAGGTGGGTATCCGACCGGATAAAGAAGGGGATTACGACGACTGGATCGCAGGGCGAGATGTGAAAAGGTGGCAGGAAGCCTTGCACGTGTACGTGTGTGCGCGTAGCAGGATGCGGTGATCGACGAAGCACAGGTAAAAAACATAGGAAAAGATCGACTGCCCAGTCTTCAGAGAAGAAGGGAGGAGGAGAAGCGGAAGAAGGGGAAGAGGAGAAAAAAAAAATCAAGGGAACTGGGGAACGCAATCTCGCGATGTCTTGGCCGAGGCGATCAACACCAGAGCAGATGCAGGCGGGATAAGGGAAATTATTAAAATTAGGACCCTTCCCGCCTGGTCTGGTCCGTGGACCCTGTGCCGATTTCAGCAGATCAGGGAGAAAGAGGGATGGGACGCCGAAGTCTAATACCGAGCCCGGCCAGGCATTACTTTAGGGTTGGCGGCAGCAGCAACAGCATCAGCAGCAGCAGCAGCGGGAGGCGCGTACTACGAACCGACTCAGGTGCGCCTCGATAGCAGTTGCGCTCCGACAGCAATTGCGCCCGTGCTCATATCAGACCCAGCGGAGTAGGATGATATGGATTTATTGTCCACGACCGGGCCTGCCAAGGGGGGCTTGTTGAGCTGGCTCGAGGGACCGCACTCTCTCCCTCTCCCTCTCCTTCTCCCTCCCTCTCTCTCCTGCCGCCGAGGAAAGCGACAGTGGGTACGGTGGTACGTCACCATTAGGGCGCATGAGGTGCTTTGGGTGCTTTGAGGAAGTTGCCAGGCCCGTGCCGGGGTGGGACAAGACCGGGGTGTACTGCGTAAGTGCAAGAAGGTGCTATGCTATGCTACCTATCAGACGGCTCTGCTCATACCTGACCTACCCTAGGTGCCGAAGGTAGAGGTGCCTAGGTAGGTACCTCCTCTATCTGTTGCCTTGCGGTACCGTGCCGTATCCTCCTCCGGCACTGACGTCGCGCGTCGATTACTCACAGGTACTTTCGCCACAGAGAGAGAAAGAGGGAGAGACACGATCTCGACGCAGGGGAATGGTGGGTGGGGTATACCTGTATCGGCAACGCAATAGAGTGTGTCATCCCATCCCGTCCCTCGACGGATAGTCTCTTATAGTAGGTACCTCTCTGCGCGTGTTGGCATCTCATATTGCTGCTGCTGCTGCTGCTGCTGCTACTACTAAAGGTAGGTACTAATACTACTCATATACTGCTGCCGCTAACTAACACAATGTCCCTCCCGAGATCGACTCAGTTCCGTAGCGCCGTGGCGAACAGGTAACCTGCTCATATGAGAGGTAGGTAGCTACCTGTTAAATTCGTCTGCCCAGCCCAAAACAAGGTCCCGATAATACCAGGTAGGTATGCCGCAGGGGAGCGGGGGTCCTCCTATCGCCTCTTGCTAACCCAGGGATGGGTTACTGTAGTGCTACGTAGCAGCATGCACTGCGACTCGGCGTCGTGTGTCTCGGCTCGGCTGCAATTTGCGGTGTAGCCACATGTAGCTATTGCGCGATACCTACAGACCCTACAGCGCCGTTTCACAGGTGGCCAGTGGGATCGAGAGATCTCCGTCGCTCACGGCAAATCCCCCTTTATCTGCGCTACCACCCTGATGAAATCGCGAGAGGCACGGGGTAATGCACACGTCCAATATCGGAATCCCGTCTCGCATCCCCTTAATGTATAAACATGTAGCCTACGCCCACGCCGTGTTTTGCTTTCCCAACGCCGGAATGCCGTCTACCAAGGGGGGGCGACGCGCACTCCCTTTATACAGAACACGCACATACCAGGATCGGCGGAACAGCCAGTCCTTTGGACATCTAGTCTGCCCGACTCGACTCGCCGTCCCTCGACTCGCGGCGAGACTTAGACAACTGCCGGTTACCTATGTCCTGACGGAGAAACCAGCCCCCGTTTCGGCGACAGTGGTGCGATGCAGCTCACCCTGTCTACATGACACAGACGCAGACGAGCGAGACGAGAATCGCTTACATTCATACGGTACCAGTTCGGTGTAGGTCAAGCCATATCGGCAGGCATCTTTGCGTCTTTTATCTCACTGCCCCCGTCCTGTGCCACATGTGGAGAGGTTGAAGGGTGATGGATAGAAGGATGGACAAATGACTTTAGCACCGTCGCATTTCATCCCATCTCAATCGAAAGGATCATTAAGAGTGCCGTTATATGCTACGGGTGGAGGAGGCCGCAACCTCCTACCTATCTGGATTTCGGGCTCGCAATTCCTGTCGCTTAGCACAGGCGTTGCCGGTTCCCTCTGCAAGCTAGGTAGACAGACTTCCCGGCGTCGCCCGGGGCGGGGTCCGAAGACCCTCTCTACCCCTCAAACACAAAAAGGGGGGGGGGGAATCGAACGGGAGGGCGATCTAAAACAATGCTAGAAGAAGAAAAAAAGGGAGGGGATAACAGTGAAACCAAACAGAACAGAACAAACCGGGCATCGTCGAGAAGGGGGGGGAGGGGGGGCGGAAATAGACGTTACTCAACGGACCCAATCTGACACATGGGATAGGGCGGCTTTGCGACGCAGCCACCCGATCTGCACTTCGCTCTACGCCATCCCAACCCCGTCGACGCCACCTAATCCTCCCCCTCCCCCATCCCCCTTCCCCTTCCCCTCCCCTTGCGTCGGGACGCCGGCCAGCGACCCACGAACGCGTGCGCGCGCGAGCCCACGCATGTCGGGGAATCGTCATCGTGCAGCGCTGCGGCACAGTCCCTATGTACGTGCCTACCTACGCATGCGCGCACGCGGCGACAACGGTTGGCCCGAGCCGGTGGTCAGACCGATGACTGAGGTCTGCGTTTGGCTGTCGCATTCCGAGCACGAGAGCAAGAGGGGAAAAGGAGGTAGGTAGGTGTCTATCTCTGCTTCGCATTCCGTATGCATCGGAGATGAGGAGCGGGAGAACGTATCCTCTTCCGACTAGTGCCACCTACCTACGGTAAGGAGTGCGTAGGGAGGTAGGCCGAGGCCCTGACACTGCGCTAGGACAGCAATGCCGCCATGCATCAGGATATAGGTAGGTACCCTCGGGAACCATGTCGCCTTTCCACGGGGCGGGTGAGGATGTCCGCGTACTACGCGCACGCGGCAGAGGCGAGAAGCGGCTGTGTCTGACGGCGTTGCAAACTGCACGCACTCTGCTGGCTGCGTCCGCATACCTGAGGTACGTCCGTATATGCACGGTACCTGTTACGACCCTTCCCAACGACAAGAAGATCGCATGATGGGGGACAGTGTAGCGTATACCTCCATATGGGCCGACCAGGCGTTATCAGAATCACACCTCATCACGTTTTTTCTCTCTCTTTTTTCGTATTTCGGGATAGGTACGAAGTGCTTAGTCGCTGCGTAAGTTGCTTAAAAAAGCTCGCGACCCTGACGTATAAGCGTACGCCGTATTGTCGGACAATAGGAGTAATACGCCTATATAAGGGAGGAGGCAGGGGGTTGCCTTATACGATTATTACTCCACGCCCTCCCTCTCCACCTCCGCCTTGGCCCGATCATAAGTTATCAGAAGAGAGCGTAATATACACTCGCCAAACCATGACCCCTATGCCGCCCTCGGGACGAGAACCTTAGAGGTACCTACTCTACCCACCGCCACCACCACCACCCCTTCGCGTACTTACCCAGCCTCACACCCCCCCCTCTCCCTCGCTCGACCGACGCCCGCAGACTCAGGCCCTTCTAGAACTCCCAGCCGGGACCGGCTAAGTCCTCTCCGGAGCAGCCTCGCCCGTCCACACCCACACCCACACACACTCTCTCTGCTCAAGCAGTGCGCCCACACGAACCCCCAAACAACCGGACGTAACGCACGCGGACACCCACACCCACGCGGACCTTTCCCCCCCGGGCCGGAATACCACCGCATCCGCCCGTCGATGCGACCGCGCCCGCTGCCGCCGCCGCCGCCGCACAACCCACACAGACCTCGCACCTTCGACGTAAGATGCGCGCGAGGTAGGTATGCGGCAGCGTCGGCTCAGGTCAAGATGGGTAGGTAACGTTTAAATAGGTAGACAGAGGTAGGCAGGGACCTCGTAGAAGCAGAGAGTACAGTTACTAGCAGATAGCCATGGCCTCTTGAGAAATAAGAGTATACTACCGACTAGATACAGGTGTCCCAAGATATAGGTAGGTAGTAGGTAGCGCCTAGCATACTGTCCTCGACGGAGCACACAAATCGGCGTTGGAGATCATCAGTATTGGTATGTTCTTGTATTGTTCGAGTAGCTCAACTACGGTAGTTACGACATTGTAAACGAGCGCCGCCAGAGTTAGCCCAGTTGTGCTGATCGCTCCCAAGGCCACCCTCCCTCCCTCCCCACTCCCTCATCGCGTCTACTCCATCCCTATCCTATCCCCCGGCCTGTTCTCCCCCCTTGTCCCAGCCTCTCACTCCCGAGACGACGTAGGCTACATCTATAATTATTCAACTCTGGTGTGGTATAGTTCGAGGCTCTCTCGCTCACACCCGATCACCATCTATCTGACCCCGATGACCAATACCGAATCGGCGAGGGGGAGAGGGATGTGACCCTTTCCCAATTATCAATATTATGATAACGGCAGCGCATCCGCTTCGCGGTTGCGGTGCTAATATGTAGGAGCAAAAAAAAAAAAAACAGATGACACCTCATCAAGGGGCATAACTAGACCAATATATGCGTATGGACCAAAAACCATCTCCGCGAGAAACGGTGACAGTTGAGAGACTCGCGGGTGGGCGGGCGTTTGTGTCCGGGGGTATATGCGAGAGTGGAAGAAGTGCATACGTTTCTCCCAGCACACGAAGATAAAGCCACAGAACGCCGATGCTGATAATTACATGCAGTCCAAGTGTCCACGTGACCCTGCTACGTTACGAGCGGGGTTCGTGGGGAGAAGAAGAAGAAGAAGTCGGTTTGGTGACATAGGAGAGTCGTTATAGTCGTCAGGCGACAAAGAAAAGGCAGAGAGGGGAAAGGGGGCCGGATGCGCATCAGGTTGGATCGGGTCGGCCCTACATCATGCCAAATCGCGTCATCCGCTTCTCCATTTTCGGTATCGGCCTCAGTCCGCCGCGGCCGAGAGCCTGGCCGGGAGCGAGGCGGTTTCCGGTCGGCAACCCGAACGGCTGGTTCAGAGGCCTTAGTTTCGAGCCGGGGCCGGCCGGAAGCCCTCCTCCCATCGCCATCGGCGGCGGCGCCGCCTGCCCGCTTGGCCGGGGGGACGGTTGCTGCGTTCGCGTATTCGGCGACGGTTGTTGGTGCTGTTGCATCCGTTGTGCGTCTCGTATCGCTGATTGTACCCGTCGCCAGGCGTCGCGTTCGCAATACGATTTGCCGTTTACGTCAAAGTATCCGTCACGAAGAACAACGCCGCAGTCGCCGCACCGGAAGCAGTGTGGGTGGTACTTGATCGACGATTCATCCTCGAGGTATTGTCCCTCGATGCCGCGGTTGCAGGTCCCGCAAAGGCTGCCATTGAGCTTGTGGTAGTGCTGCTCGCAGTACGGCTTGTCGTTCAATACGTAAAACGTGGCCGACGAGAACGGCTCCTGGCACGTCGTACATACGAAGCACGCCTTGTGGTAGCGGCCGGTCAACCGGCCATCCGCCGAAGAGATGGATTTGCCCGTAATGGGCTTACCACATCCCCTGCAATTGCCACGCGAGCGCGAAGGCTGACGGCTGTGCTGCGGTCTGACGCGCTCTGGCGGTGACCCGCTTCTCCCCTCCTGCACCGCGGGATCTCTCCGGTCGGCTTCGGAAGAGTCCGGGGTAAGCGGGGTTTTCACCGGCGGTCCCGATCGCAAGTCTGGCTCCCGGCCTGTCAGACTGACAGGATCTGGCCGACGAGTCTCTGGGGAAGGATGCCGGTGGCTGGGGTTAAGAGGCGACGGCGCCCTCTGGATCCGCGCCCTGTCCCCGAGTGAGGGCGGCTGCCCTTTGGTTTGCAGCGCACCCATAGAGGACTGCAGGTCGTCCAGTAAGGCGTCGACCCCCGACATATCGGACGGCTGCCGCACGCCCCCGCGAGACCCTACCGATCGTGCTGGGCTTGTGTTCGAACTCGCCTGGCTGGGAGGCTGCGACATATGACTATAACCTGAAGTGCTAGACGATTGCGATATGGAGGGCGAGTGATAAGGATTGTTGACGCCGAATTCCTCGTCCAGGTTGATAGGTATTGTGTTGCCATCTCTCGTTGGCGGGCGGACTAAACTTGATCGCGGAGGTGGCCGTAACGCTTCCTGCGGTCCAAACGACGGTCGCTGCGACCGTCTGGTGCTTATCCGATCCCCGGTACTGCTCGACATGCTCTGCAGTCGGTCCGGTCTGGGACCAGGGGCCGAAGGCACGCGCGCCGGGGCTTCGATTACTTCGTCGCTAGTTCTCACGAGCTTCTCGGGGAAAGTCTCGGATCGCTTTCCGAGGCCCAGCGGTTGCGGCTCGAAGTCGTCACTCTCTCTCTGTGGTGGGCCGAATCCCCCGTATCCGTTTTTCCGCGGTGCCCTAGGAGGGGCCATACCGCCGCTCCGATTCGACGAAGTCGAACCCGCGGTACCCGGTCTCTCCAGCGAGTATCCGACATGTAGCGAATCGTTGTTCGACTCAGAGCCAAAGTCCCTGCTGTTGTTCCGAGCGAAGGCCTCCTTCGCACCGGGTCTCCTATTCCCCTCGAACGGGCCCGGCGCGATGGTGTTCATCCTGGTCAAGAAATGTGACTGTTTGTTCGGGCTAGTACCGTAGGCAGACTCCCCTTCGGACGATCCCGAATCTCTAAACCCCCCATACCCCCCAGGTCGCCTTGGCGAGCCTGCTATCGCCGGTGCATAGTCATCGCCGCTAGGATCGGCGCCGAGCCGTCCAGCGGTCGGTGTCTGGGGCGAGATCGAATGCGATCCCGTGGAGGCGCTGACTGGCGTCAACTGATCCAACTTGAATGCGTTATCTGTTCTTTCATTAGCGCCTGCGATGGCAACAAGTGGAGAATTTGCTTACTTGCTGCCGACGTATCTACGGTAGGGGGCGCGCGGGTGAGCTTGTCAAAGACGCTCTGCTTAAGCGACGAGAACGTGCCGCCGAGAAGATCGGGCATAGGGGGAGACGCTGCTTCGACAATTAGAACCTGATTCAACTGGAAAAGAATTACGGGGAAATGCGTGGCGGGAATCACGAACGTTCTGCTGCCAGGACGGAGGCGTTGCACACATGCTCCCCCATCAATGAGATCTCGACTTGTGACCCGCAGTTCGAACATTTGATTGTCGGCATAAAAGCCGACTGTCGAGTGTCCGCCATCGCTGGTTTGTTAGTAGAAACGGTTCTTTAGGGTTCCGTCTCCCTTTTTTCTTTTTTTTCTTCTTTTCTACCCGTCTGCTAGTTGTCAGTCGGGGTTGGTCAAGCCGATTACACGCATCAGAAACTCGTGGCCCGATTCGTCTCTGACCGAAGCTTGGGGCACTATATGTTGACGATGTGGACAATCGTTGATTGGCGGGTGCCCCCCCTTTTTTTCTTCTTCGCCTGCTCTGGTTTATGCTGTGACTGACCGGGCAGACATCAATTTCCAGTCCAGGTGGTGGTGAAGGTGAAGAAGAAGAAGAAGAAGAGGAAGACGGGAAGCTCGAATCGATATTCTCCGTCCGGGGACTTGCGTCGGGAACCTAGGCAAGGCGCCGAGTGACAGGCTTCAATGGTGAAACTCGAGGCCTGGGAGAGGCGTGTTGTGCTTCAACAGGCGCGGGCGGTATTTCGAAACCGGGCGGGCTATAAGGTCGTTGGGCCTTACGATAGGGCGATAGGGTCGTATGTAATGTCGTCGCGCGAGGATGGCCGGTTAGACGGGCCTCGTCTCGAAGAGTATGAAGGGCAAAATGGACAATTGGCCGGGAGGGAAACCAGATCTGAAAAAGGGTTTCTCGACGACCGGGTGGGTTGCAAGCCTGGATGGAAAGGGTCAAGGCAAGGTCGGTGAGGAGGGGAGGGGGGGGGCTCGCAGATTTAGGCACTCTCTCCGCTATCAGTGTGTGTGTGTCTCTCTCCGTCAGTCTCACCTTTGCCCGCTCTCCTCGCGCTCTCTCCTCTCTCTCTCTCTCTCTCTCTTACACGCGCTCTTCCTTAGCCCAGCTCTCTGTTTCCTTGGAAGATGCGACCTGTGTCTCGAAAGAGTGGAGGGAGTTAATACGATCCCCTGTCGACCGGCCCCTGGTCCTGGCTGGGCTACACAATGCACGGGCAGCCAGTGACAGCGATTCATGGGAGACCCTGGTTCGCCGGCCTTGTCAATCATGTCCCAAAAGGGGGAGAGGTACCTAGCCATCATCGCCCAGATAGTGCATGCCTCCATACTCCGTGCATGCAACCCATTCCCTCCCAGTTCGAATGCAGAGAGGTACGCGATGGGCGCTCGAGGGGGAGGGGGGCCTGCACGCACCGAGATGCCCTGTCTAGGCGCGGGCGGAGGTACCTGATACTGCTGCCCTGTACGTACGGATACCTGTCTTGATCACTGGGCGCACGCGCTACGTTAGGCTACGTTAGGTACCTTCTCATCCGCCTAACCACCTGGCTTGGAGTACCGAATGTACGTGTACATACAGACCTGCCTATAAACATGAATCGGATGCTAGCACCTTAAGGCGGGACCTACTTAGGTACTCAGGTACCTAGAAAGTTATGTACGTGTAGGGGTGGGCACACACACACATATGTCGCTATTACATTAGGTAGGTATATTGACCGCCCTAACGGTATCGCATAGGGAGCCAACGCTATGGATGATGCATCTCGCTGACGAGAATTGGGGGGGACGAGGACATTATTGGTCTCTGCATCACCTATGTATGCGCCTTCTATCGAGCCTTAAAGGGGGGGGGGGGCCTCGCCGTGTCATCGAGACAGCCCGTATTATCTTTGTAGTATATGTGAGGTCGCCGGTTGACTCGAGAACGGATTTTATTTTAGAAATTCGATACGTGTTGGCCGGCCTCGATGTCCATTGTTTCTACGTGCTGACACTCCTGTCGGTGCTGTGTCAGGTATACATACGGCTGGGTATGTGCGCAATATGTGTAGGCCGCAGCCGTGTGTGAGAATGGGGAGGCTATGCCGAATTCTACAGGAGGATCTGGGGAACTCAAGGCAAAACATTGGTGTTTCTCGCAACCCTTCCCCAAATATGGCAGCTCTTCACACGCGCGCACACCCCTGGTTGGTTCGGCGCAAAGTCCCGTGACGATTCAATTGCCCGTCCGCCAAACCCGGGCAGAGAAACAAACGCCCCGATGCAGAGCCCGGCCATCAATCTGAATCGGCAGGATGCTCTTCTGCGCCCTGGCTCGCGACTGTTTCGTGCCAACAATAGACATTCCAGAACGGTTCGGCAGTGGTGAAAGGATTACGGGGCAGCCGGTCTGAGGTCTCTGACAACCTCCTCGGCGGCATCCTGCCTACTTCGGATTCAGCTTCGTCGCGGTCCCCCTTCCTGACGGTAGCATTGCGCGCGCAGCTTACCTACATACCTGTATGTCGCGGACCCGAGATAGAACTCTGAGACACAGATACCTGTAATAGATAGACACCTAATATTGCCCACGTCCTAACCTACCTTACCTTAGGTACCTACCTGGTAGGCAGTCCTGAGGAAGGCTGGGCGAGCTGGGTACAGTCGTGGAGGCGTCGATACCGGAGGACGCATCTGCATACCTACCTACATACATACAGATATATATACATGCATACACGTACATATATACATGCTTGCATGCATGCACGCATGCATTATGAGCCTGGGAGGCTCGCACTATTGCCATGCACATATGTTAGGCAGGTCGGGTACCCAACGGAGTAGTGCCCCGTGCTGCTACGCGTGCCCGACGGAGCCGCCCATGTGCGCTAGAAATACAGAAATGAAACAGAAGAACGGAAGAACGCGGTAGGGTCCGGCCGGTGTTGCGGCTTCGGGGAAGGGGTTTAAAAGACAGACCGAGACAGACAGACCCGAGACAACATCACACACCACCTAACTCGCCTTGGCCTCTGCGTTAGGTATCTCGCGAAGGCACATAACTGCGTAGCTGGAAACCTAAGGCTGTTACCTTAGGTACCTTACCTAAACTCAGCAGCTACCTGGCATCAACCAGCTGCCCGGACAGGTACGGCCGCGCACTAACCCACACGCTCACCTGCCTGTCTGTCCGTCTGTCCGTTCTGTTCGTCTAGCCTCTTTGCGCGATAGGAACGCATAGGTTGCTACGTACCAGGTAGCAGCACCCGTCCAAACCCTTCGATGGTCGGCATGTTACTGCGTTAGAAGCCACCGAAGCTGGCGAAAGTCGTTTAGATAGTGGAGTGGCGGAGATAACTAGGTAGCACTAATAAGCTATACGATCGGCCTTCCTCGCAGCGTTGAGCCATCGCTGGCCATCGCAAACCCGGTAGCGGTCTAGCGCGCCTCCGCCAGGACAGGGCTGGCACGGCCTGAACGGGTACCTTGCAGCGAGACCCTCGGCCGTGATTCGCTGGTACGACGCTCCTTGTCCCCACTTTGCCGGTGGTAGGAACATGGGGCTAGATACCTGCCTTCTAGATAACCCAGGTGTATACTTAGGTACGTACTGAGGACCCGGCCAGTAAGGTGATTTCTACATCTGCTAGCCCGGGGGCCGCTCAGCACATTTAGCAGGTGCTAACACACCACCCTATCGCCTATGAGTAGTATATCACACAGCACCTCGTGGGGCAGCTATGGTGGCTAAGTAGTAGTAGATGGTAGTGGTAGTGTCAATTAAATTTACTATAGTATGGAAGAGAGGTGCCTAGATAGGAGGTATATATATATAATACCTATGTGTATACCTAGGTATATATATTTGTAACGCCTCGGTACACAGCTCGATCCGCAAGCACCGCGACTCAATCTCATTCTTAGAAACGGGTCTGGCCGAGGAGACGGAAGGAGGTAGGTGCCCTTAGTGGCATCATGGAATTCTTCTTCTTCGACCCTACCCTTACCCTCCCCCACCTCCTTCCCCCCCTTTTTTTAATTGCTCGAGCTCCTTTCTCCGTATGGCGCACTGAAGTTTTCGTGTCTTCCCTATCGATATTCGTGCAACTTACGATGCGGACATCCGGAAAACCCGTTCTCGTGCCGTGAAAAGGACACCCGATTCCAAATATGCGACAAGATGCTAGCTATATTGTCATCGCCGCATCGGCACCGAGGGCGCAGACGCCACGCTGCTACCTTCGTCGCAGCACGCGCAACTCGTTCCGCCCAGTTAGGAGTCGCAGCAGGCATCGCGGGCGCATCCTTCGCCAGGCCCGCCCGTCGACTTCAACCAACAACCCCAAACGCCCTGGACTTTTTTTTTTTTATTTAACCCGATCCGTCTATTTTCGTTCTTGTTAATCTGAGTAAAGCCGAATGTTACCGTAGGCGGCCGTGTGCAATTGGTCAATCGGCCCCCGGTGCGCCAGATTGCGCGCACCAGAACAGTTGCGCGACGGTTGTCATGGGAGACGAACCCTGGTTCCCTGCCGGCGCCGGTGCTGGTGGCTTGCCTTTTGCGGCCTCTGCGCTGATCGTCGCCATAGGTCTGCTGTCAGATTGAACGTCATTTCTGCATCTCATTGCTTCTCCAAGCTGGCGTGCCCATTGATCACCTAGCCGCCACTATCGCCGATTAGGAACCCCGGACGGCCATCACGGGGATATCATGGGGACAGGTGGAGGGGCTCGATGGGGGCCGGCAATTTGACTAAAGACCGCTATGATCTGGGTATCTTTCTAGCGCTGATCATCCACATCTCTTCTGTATTGAGAGGGGAGCACCTGTCAGCGAACCAACGCTTGTTCCCCCTCTCTGCTATCCATCATCCCACTTGGATGAGCGCAGTCAGTTATTGGCTCTGGCGAACACGTCTGCTTTGCCTTTTTTTTTTCCCCTTCTCCTTTTGGCCTCCTCACATATTAGGTAGGAGTGGGCTCAGAGGCCTTCGCATTTTGGTCCACTTAGAGGTGAAGCAATTATCGACTCGGCTGCATTTCTACCCATTTTATGCTACTTCTTCGATCCTATACGGCATTCACTGCTGCCGAAGACCCCTGTCGCCCTTAGTCTACGCCGGGATCTGCAGATGGCACGAGCTTGGAAACGCTCAAATGTCGAGCTCCCGGACTGATGAATAATGCAAGAAGCTACAACAATATCTCCTACGTAATGCCGTCGCTATCATCGACGTTGTCATCGACATCCAGAAACGGGAATGAATCTGCAAGTACGTGCATCCTCGGCGGTCTAGACGCGATCGCGAATATCTCCGATGCGACTGGTCGGGATCGAGTCTCGCCTCAGCTTCCAAGAGGTGTCCTGAGACTCTCTTGTGCCCCTGATCGGTACGGGGTTGTCAATAAAACGGACCGCCAACTCGGACCCAATGAGGTCTCGCCAGGCACGCCGGAGGTAATGTATCATCGATGGCAGCCCGAGGGAACGCCAGCGACGCCCAGTGGCAGCGCGAGGGAATGCCGCTACATAAAATATCCCTATCAAAAAGCAACAGTGGCTTTCATATCGGTTGGCCCTACGAACTCCTGGCCTGTTCTCGCACCTGATTCGAGTCCCCCCCCCTGGGTACGGAAATGAGGCTCAATATAGTGACTGCCGACACCATACATAGGACGACATTTCCTGATTCAGGCGCAGTGAGTTGTGGAATGCGCCCTTTTTTTAGGGATGACATTGTCCGTAAGCCATGGCTTAAATTATTGCGGACAGTACTTGGGGGTTTTTTTTCTCATGTGAACGCCTTCTTCGCACATGCTATGTCAGGTGCGCCATTAGTGAGACGCGTGGTTCAAATGTGTCCTAGTTGGTATGCTGACTCTACCATACGTGTAGACCTCAGAGTCCCTTGGCTCCCCCGGTCCCGGTCACAGATCTCAGTCTGTGCTTCATTCAGAACGAGATGGCCCAATAGGAGTTATTTCAGCACCATCCCGCCTGTTCGCAATGTTTAGAGCCGTTAAGAATTTCCCCGTACGATGGGAAATCGCCGCACAAGTTGCTTCACACGACCTGTCTCAGTGTGTGTATGTGCGCGCGTGTACGTTGCTTCGCGTCGAGGCCATCTACCTAAGCTGGGAGACGAGCTCGTGTGTACCTACCCTCCCATAGTTGCTTGTCTTCCAGTCCAGGTTGACTCTTGCTTACTCTTCTACGCAGGTACTTCGCGGACTACTACCTCTATGGAGCGAGAGATGGTCTTCAAGCGGACTTAGGTAGTCTCCAATAGGTTGAGCCCTCTACGCGACTCTTACCCAGTCTAGGGGCTTGGGCAGGGATGCCACAACGCGATGCGGAATAAAAGCACCCCACGCCGACGAGTAGAAGCCGGCGTGCAAGCCGTGGCCGGGCTGCCCAGACAGGCCGCCCGAGAAGTAGAAAAAATCGTGGTTCGCAAGACCCGGAGATCGAGATGGACCAAGGTAGGAATGACACCAGATGCGGTCGATGCGTAAAGACACAGGCGACCTCGACATCGCCGCGTTAGCGATGCTCAGGACAGCCTGGTCTCACTCAGGCTTGACACCGACATTTGCTATCGTCAACCAATCATACCCCTGATCACCCCGCCGAGGGCGTGGAAACGGTCGCTAGATCACCACGGCGGGGATCACGCAAGGCATGACCCCCCGGAGGTCGCCCAACGATTGCTGCTTGCAGCTACCGATATCGTGAACTGCTGCTACTCGACGTCGTGTTGCCGTCGGTCGTTGTTCCTCTTGTCGTGCCACTTTTAGCTGCATCGCTGCATGTGTTGTCCAGCCTTAGCCCACTGTAGCTACCTACCGGTAGCGAAGTCGTCCCCGCTGGGTCCAGTTAGCCGCCGTCCGGGTCTTCCGGCCCAACCGTTGAATTTTCTAGTTCGCCCTTTTCTTAATAACTCAGGGCTCGCTTGGTATTCTTTTTGCTTCTTACTCCGTCTTCGTACATTCTTGTTCGAATAAGTTTTGCAACGCCTCAGATTCTCCAGAGATCTAGTTCGTGACAGCATTAGAACTCGACCCCGTCTCCGGTCGTAGAATTCTCGTCGCTGCTCTCTTCGCGTTCTCTCAGTCTCTGTAGGACCGCCTCTTTGGACGATCGCGCTCACAAGCCGCGATCACCCAAGCCGTCAAGACGTTCTCTAATCTACTCAACTCGTATGTACACCACGGGCCCCGATGCCTTAGAGAGACGAGATGTGCCAGTCTAATCAATTCCCCCTCTCCGTAGCGTCCACCACCCGTACGCAGGAGCCCGCTGCTCTGCCTCGCCAGGAAGCGCAGCGGACTCAGCCTTTACTCAATAAAGGCCCTTCGTAAAAGAAGAAATCCCCCCCCCCCCCCCCCTTGTCAAGAATAGCTTTGAAGATGGCGCCGCACGCAGAGGTAGGCGCAAGCGCTCCTGCGAACGGGAGTGGACAGAGCTTCAATGGCAATGCCAACGGCCACGGATCGGCCCCGTCGTCGCAAAACCATAACGACCTCTTCACGGTCAACTCCCCCAATGTGACCTACACCGACGAGGCAATCTTGTCCAAGTACACGTACCGAACCACCAGCGTGACTCGGGATGCTGCTACGGGTAAGTACGTGGCCGTCCCCAAGGAAACGGTGTACGACTTCAAGGTCGGTCGCAAAGTACCCAAGGTCGGCGTGATGCTCGTAGGCTGGGGCGGCAACAATGGCACGACCGTGACCGCCGGTATCCTCGCCAATAAACGAGGCCTCGTCTGGGAGACGCGAGAGGGCCCCCGCGCTGCCAATTACTACGGCTCCGTCGTGATGGGGTCTACCATCAGGCTCGGCACTGACCCCGTCACTACGAAGGATGTGAACATCCCCTTCCACGATGTCCTGCCCATGGTACACCCCAATGACCTCGTTCTCGGCGGCTGGGACATCAGCGGCATGAACCTCGCCGAGGCCATGGACCGTGCTGCCGTGCTCGAGCCCACCCTCAAGGCCCAGGTCCGTAAGGAGATGGCCCAGATGGTGCCGCTCCCTAGTATTTATTACCCGGACTTCATCGCCGCCAACCAGGAGGAGAGGGCCGATAACCTGATCCCCGGCAGCAAGGCCTCCATGGCCCACGTCGAGAAGATCCGTCAGGATATCCGGTGAGCTCCGAACCCCCCCCCACTCCTGCGTCACCCCTTTTCCTTCTCTACCCTCTGCTGTTGTAGAGGCCAATTTTTTACTAAACAATATACAATAGCGACTTCAAGACGGAGAACCAGCTCGACAAGGTGATCGTGCAGTGGACGGCGAACACGGAGCGATACGCGGACGTGATCGCCGGCGTCAACGATACTTCGGAGAACCTGCTCGCCGCCATCGAGGCGGGGCACCCGGAGGTGTCGCCGTCGACGGTGTTCGCGGTGGCCAGCATCCTGGAGGGCGCGCCGTTCATCAACGGGTCGCCGCAGAACACGTTCGTGCCGGGGGCGCTGGCGCTGGCGTCGGAGCGCGGCGCGTTCGTCGGCGGCGACGACTTCAAGTCGGGGCAGACCAAGATGAAGTCGGCGCTGGTCGACTTCCTCATCAGCGCCGGCATCCGGCTGACGGCGATCTCGAGCTACAACCACCTCGGCAACAACGACGGCCGCAACCTCAGCTCGCAGCGCCAGTTCCGGTCCAAGGAGATCTCCAAGTCGAACGTGGTCGACGACATGGTCGAGGCCAACACGGTCCTGTACCGCGACGGCGAGCGCCCCGACCACACCGTCGTCATCAAGTACATCCCCGCCGTCGGCGACAACAAGCGCGCCCTCGACGAGTACTACGCCGAGATCTTTCTCGGCGGCCACCAGACTATCTCGTGCGTGTTTTCTTTCTTTCTCTCATTCTCTCTCTCTCCCCCTCTCTCCTCTTCCCTTTTTCCTTTCCCTTCCTACAGAACCCCCCCCCCCCCCAAAAAGTCCTAACCCTTTGCAGCATCTTCAACGTGTGCGAGGACTCGCTGCTGGCGTCGCCGCTCATCATCGACCTGGTGCTCGTGGCGGAGCTCATGACGCGCATCCAGTGGCGCGTTTCAGCTTCGACCTCGGCCTCGGCCTCGGCCTCAGCCGCCGCCGACGGGCCCTACCGCTCCTTCCACAGCGTGCTCAGCGTGCTCAGCTACATGCTCAAGGCGCCGCTCGCGCCGCCCGGCGCCCCCGTCGTCAACGCCCTCGCCAAACAGCGCGCCGCCCTCGCCAACCTCCTCCGCGCCTGCGTCGGCCTCGAGCCCGAGAGCGACCTCGGCCTCGAGCACAAGCTGTTCTTGTAGCGCGCCCTTTCCCGCCTAACCACTCCCCCCCCACCCTTAGTGGGAGCTAAGTTGTCGAGGTGCACTGCTTGGAGTTCTACTGCGTCCCGTCCCGTTCTATCTCCTCCCCGCCTGCGGCTGGCGACGCGAACGCGTGGCGTCTAGGTGGTGTGGTGTCGTCTATCGGCACGTGTCTGGTAGATTCGCCCTCCGCGCGCTCGCCGGCCTGCCCGGCCGGGTTTTCTTTCGCGGCAGCGTTTCGTCGGATCTGGTCGTCTCGAATCGCTGCATGCTCGCGTAGGAGCTGCTCAACGCTACTTACTACGGAGCTACACATGTGTGCACACACACACACACATAGATACAGGATCTCAACATCCTGGAGGTTAGATGTGGTTTCTAGTATGAATCGATCGATTGCCAATTAAGGTTGCTTTGCTTATTTCCCACTTCTGATATATCGTGAACTCCCCCAACGTCCCCTTTTCCCGATTTGCGTCTCGCGAGGACAACATGTGTGTCGGTCCTTTTAATGATAAGTGATCTCGGATAAGTCTGTTATCAGGACCTAATCAGAGAAATATATATATCCCTTTATTTCCCGTGATTCCACATTCCTTTAGTATATAAGCCTTGCCCCGTCTTTGTTTGTCCCCCCCCCTGCCCTTCTAAAGCTAAGAGCAAGTTCCTAACGCCAACACCTATATGCTCCTCTTATGCGCCCGATACCATGCTATCATCCGCAAAAATACGCAAGAGGCGCCACGCCTTAAGGCGCCAGCTGTAATCCAACCGGAAGGGGGAGGCTGACTTCACAGCCACGCCCGGCTACCGCTGAGTCTGTGGTAATTGCTCCGGTGCAGGCTATGCGCCGACAGCAGGTCCGAGCCGCTCGTCGCGCTCTGGCGGTCGGCACTGATATACCCTGTTTGGGACGGAGAGCGCTGCGACTGTTCCAAGTGGTACTGGTGCGCCTCGCCGTCTCCGTCCTCCTTGTACTGTCCGCCTCGCCCGGCGCCGCGTTCGTTTTTTCCCATCTCCTGGAAGAAGTAGTGGTTGGCGGCGTACGAGTAGCCGACGCGCCAGGGCACCACCATCTCGCTGGAGTCGGGCCCGTGGCCGCAGCTGCCGGAGAGCGCGCGGCTCGGCGGCGAGTTGACGGCCACGGCGAACAGGTTCTGCGGCTCCGTGTAGTCGGCGACGAGCCCGCGCCGCGACAGCGTGAGGTACAGCAGGCCGGCGAGGTTGATGAGGAACACGCCGCCCAGCAGCGGGTAGAAGACCACCGCCTGCCAGGTCGCGATGTGCGATGACGTGTACTGCTGCGTGCGTAGCGACACGTGGAACGCCTCGTAGACCCCGGGCCCTAAATCCACGTTCGGGTAGTCCCAGCGGGCGCGGTAGGTGGAGCTGAGGGACGACGAAACGAGGGTTGAAGAGCCGAGGACGGCGAGGGCCTCCGCTATAGAGGGTAGGAGAGGGTCGAGAGCGGGCTCCTGGAGAATGAGGTGTGACATGATTCGCGCGTTGCTTGCATTGTTGCTCTGTATGCCGCCGTTCAAGTCCATCGACAGGCGCCATTGGTCGGCCACGTTCCTCCAGTCTCCCGAGAGGTAAGGTGGGTCGTTGGCATCTTCGTTGCCGGAGCCTCGGACGTACGAGTTCGCATCATCCGGATCTTCGCAGTGCGCGCGCATGCTACTCCCCAATATGCCCGAGACGTCAAACTCGGTCGAGCACTTTTGCGTAACCCACGACCGCATCTCGCACAGTGTGAAATCCTCAATTGTGCTCGATTTGATCAGGGTGTACACCGAGTCTGAGAAGAACACCGTGGTATTGGTGATCATATTAAAGTCCAGGGGGAACTGCGTTTGGGATATGCTCGTTAGTCCCTCAAATAGTGTTGCTGCAGAAAAGGGGAGGTTCCTAACCATCTGGAAGACAGGTGGCCGACGACGATACTGGGGTCCCCATCGAAATATATCGTCCACCGCGGTCCGGTTCAGCCACTCACCGTCCGTCGCTACCGGTACGTCATTGGCCCAGTCAACCACGGCGACGCGCCGCCCGGGAACGTTGGTCGGTTCCGTCCGAGGATTAGGCCATTCGGTGTACACTAGGGGGCTTAGCTCATGGGGAGCCATGTTGACACACATGACATTGATGGCAGGCGATACGACGCTGGCTCGGATGGAGTACTCGCCGACACCGGCTAGGTCGTTGGGTTGTAGGATGTCGTTATGGGGGTCGGTTGCCGCCGCTGAGATACCCGGATGCGGGATGGCAAGCGTGACGTTGTTGATGATGCGGCTGTAGCGTGCGAAGCTGGACCGTGGATCCGCAAACTCCGTCTCGATCCAAGTAGATTGCATCGTCGTATCGTCAGATAGGGTGTGTGTCCCTTTGGGTCTCCCGCTCAGGTAGTCGATCGTCGAGGTGCCGTTCTCGCGAATTGCGTGCCACTCTCCCCTGTTACCAGTTTGTCAACTCGGCGACCGGATATAAAGAGGTGAGGAATGATATACAAGAATGCGAGCAAGTTACGATACGATTGGCCCGAGTACTGGACATCGAGACAGGACGGCCCCGAATTGTTCACGTCCATGGTACGATCGATAGGTGTCAAGCAAGCCGTCTGGACATAATAGGGGTTGGCGTACGAGGCTTTGACTAGCCCTTCTAGTTGGCGGGATTCCCACTCTCCGAACTTGAGCTTAGGGGAGATCATGGCATCCGAGGCTGTGATGTAGAACATGCTGCAGAGGGTGGCGATCAGCGTCAGCAGACCTAGAAGAGTTGGGGCAGCGTTAGGAATTCCTTCCCAATACGTGAGCAGAGAACCCGGTTGCTAGGATGATAACTATTAGATTGGTGGCTCGGAGACAGACGCGAAAATGATACAAGGAGAACGCCTATCCTGGAGCACGACCGATCACTCACAATGACCCAATTTCTCATCGTCATCTCAGCAAGCGTCACACCATTGGAGCTCTTGCTAAAGGCCCTACAGGTCAGAACCTGGCCCAGGAACGCGACAAAAACCGTCACGAAGGACAATTCGATCGACTTGGCAATCAGCGTGCAAAGCAATGTCGCCGTGGAGGGTGCCATCTTCCAGCCTTCGCTGGACGATATTCCCCGTCCGTACCGCGGCTGATAGATCGAGGCCACGAACCAGACGCCGCTCATGACGGTGGAGTATATGGACAAAGTCATCAATACGACGTATGCCCAGCTTCGTCGTTTGATATAAACGTCTCGCCTTGCACGGCAGTCCAAGGGAGGTCGAGCTGGACCGGGTTGGTTAGCAGTGATAAGTATTTAGCGGCTCTCGAGACACGGAGGGTTATCAATACCGTATTTTTCGGCTAATTCCTCGAGGCCGCCGCCGCCACCAAACTCGTCATCCTGGCTACGATGGATCTCCGTACGGGGTTGACGTATATGAGATACCGAAGACATGGGGAACTCGTCCGGTCCGCCCTCTGTCAAGGCTGCGGGGGGTTCGGGTTCTCCCACCGCCTCATACCCGGCGTTGAGGGACGAGGGCGACTTGTTCTTCCTGAAAATCCGCGCGGGAGAATGAGCAATCATCTCTCTGAATTTAGTCCGTCGCGGTGCGCCAGCGAGTGCGTGTGCTGGAGCTATACTAGGACCACCAGCGGTGATGACTACCTCCGTTTTCGGATGCATACCATGATCGGCCGGCCTCAGCATCATGTCTAAGTCAACCGGACCTGGTGTCGTCGCCGTGGCGGTATGCTCTAGGGGCGTCGCCTGGGGCGTCGCCGGGGATCTCGCCGCATTTGTGTTGACAGCGGCCGGCGAGAAATGCCTGGCCGTTTCGGGTGACGACAGCGTGTCCCGAGCCTCGGAGCGGGTGGAATTCGGGTCACTGTCCTCATCAGGTTCGTCGCTAACCCAAGGCGAAAAAGTCGATGGTAGAGCATAAAGCACCGCGTTCCCGTCCCCAGAAGCGAAGGAAGTATCGAGTCGGGACGCGCCGTGCTCCATCGTCCCCAATCCTTGCTACTTTTCTCCCCAGTTGGGGCGCTATAGCTGGCGTGAATGAATTTTTAGCGGTGACGGGTCGGTCTATTATTTGTCATGGCAGAGGGAGAAGGAGAATTATGTCTAGCATTGCAAAGAGAGCAGAACCATGTAGTCACGATACAATCGTGGCGGCGCAATGTTGGATTTCGTTTATCGCCCTAATCTGGTCCGGCAAGCTTCTTAAGAAGGCACAAACCACGACGGCCCACCGAGTAGGATCAGAGACGGGCAATAATGGGATAGTGTCCAATGAAAACAACAGGTGAACAGGCGAACAGGCGAACGGACAGGACGATGTTGTCGGTGGGGAGGCAGGATTCTCGTCAGGGATCGGCGGCGGGAAGGCTAGCCATAAAAGACATGTTGGACGTCTCGTTATTCTACCTAGATGCCGCCATCCCTTGCCAGTATACGATGTGGTACGGCTGGCAATCTCCTTTGTCCATTCGCCGCCTCTGTTCCCGCAGCCCGCTCCGAACTGCTGCCGGTTTGCTTGGGCGGACACGTGTGTTTGTGTAGGTCTTGTTTGTGTAAGTTATTTACGAACCATCCGTCAGCCGTCGAGGTGGGTTTGACGAGATCACGGTGGCTGTGGGTAGGACATACCATAGTTACCGACATACCTATCCCTCCTGAGCGGATCGGCGAGTCGGCTTGGGAAGACGTGCCAACCCAACAAACCCCCTTCGTCTACGGGGCCCCCAAGCTCGTAAGCACGCCTAAAGCAGACAGCAGCATGGGTCGGGCAGGGACCAGTTCTGTCTGCCTGTCCGGCTAGCCACCGCTGGAGTGACCCGTGTACGTAGGTAGGTAGGTGCCGGGGCTGTCGGTGCGGATCGTGGGCGCTCCTAAATGAAGGGTCGGGTCGGGTCGAGAAGAGAGGTGTGGTAAACAGGTACTCGTATGAACTACCTACCTAGGTAGGCAGGGCTAACTTACGTAGCATTGCGCATGTTAGGTATTAACCTGAGGTCGCTAGGGAGAGACATTACTTACCTACACAGATATTACCTACGTTAGGGGGAGCTTTCGGCTCTGCCAGCTCCCCCCGCCTGTTCCCTCCTCGCCTTTCCTTCCACACGGGTTCCCGTGAGATATGCGCAATAATGCAAACTACCATTCACCACATGAGGTCACCGACGCATGTCTGCGCCAAGCGCGTGAACGAAGCCTCGAGCCGACTCTTCCTCTCTGCTCGGGCTTCTCCGAAGTCGACTGCCCATGTATCTAAGCCGGCTGGCGAGCAGTTCGGAGTATCGCCCCCTACTAGTGCACCTACCTAGTACCGCGCGACGGGATGGGCATATTACGTGTACATTTGGGGTGGATGGAGATACCTGTTGGTAGAGAAGGTGCCTAGATTAGGTACCTCCTAGGGAGGTATGTACCGGGGTACAATACGTGCAAATGGCACATGGCAGCGCCTCCCTCATCGAGACCGGCCAAGACATCCACCACGAACGTAGATATTACCTACCCTTCTCTCAGACCTGCCTCCTATCGATACACCCACCACCTACACCACCCCCCCCCCCCACGTCGCCTCATACAGTTCCGCATCGGCTTCGCTTATCGTTCAACGCCCGAAACTAGATCGAGAGAGAGCTCGAAGCATACCTACCCCGATAGCGAGAACTGAATGGATGCCTAAACGTACGCGATAGTTATACCTAACCATTTCTCTTCTCGCCTATCTCCTCGTCCCCGCCACCTCCCCAGAGCCATAGCTACGATCACGAGCCGGCCAAAGCCCTCAGGTCCAATACTAGCTTATCGTCTCCCGCCGGGAGTCACATCAACTCTCCTTGGTGTGCTGTTCGTTGCGTAAACCTTCCCTTCGAGGCGACAGGCTTGTTCAATGAAACCGTCCACCCTGCGTTGCCTTGCGAACGGGACGTTACGCCGAGCACGGCGCGGCTAGACAGGTGGCACTAGGAAGATATCCGTACGTGTAAGTCCGCCGTTACGAGCCCTTTTACCCAAGGACGCGAGAGATATCTCAGTCTCTTCGAGTTTACGACGCTACCCATACTTATACCTAGGTATATTAGGTATGTACATATGCAGCAACCGCTGACCCTTGGCGCCTCGTGGAGGTGGATTTATTGCTACGTGCTCAGTATACCTAGAGCCGGAATAAGGCTGGATCCGTGTCTGAGAACCGGGATGGTATGGAGAGCCCTCCTACCGTGTTCCGGGTAGTACAACTTCGTGAAACGCCCGTCGGACCTTTACTCAAACAAGTGCACAGACGCGGCATCCCAGGCCAGCAAGGATACCTATTCTCCAAGTAGGTATTAACTCTCCGCGTCTGAAACCTAGCTTGGATAAGGCCATTCGCATAGCCACTTCCAACCCCAAGGCCAGAGACAACAACTCGCAGTGTTTCGACGGGGCTTAGAAATACGTAACGTACATGGTATATACTCTCATATTCGTCATTTTCGGAGATGATGAAAGAAGCGCCTGAGAGACGATCAGGTGTGGACAAGATGATGGGAGGCGGCAAACTCTCGCGTCATCTGCATGAGCCACTTTACGATACTTGGCGCCTGGTAGTTGGGCTCATATCAGTTGTCGTGTTATACAGAGTAACCGGTCAACCAGCGCTAAGGGAGAACCTACCCGACAACCCGGAAAAAGATATTACTTCTACGGTGGCCCACCGGCTCTTCTCAGTCAGCTAATTATGAATCCGCGGGCTTTGCTAATTTATATCATGCCATGCTTAGAAGTTTGGATTATGGCACCAAGTTCTAGGAGTATTACAAAGTACTCATGAGCAGCAAAGGTAATAGGTATTATCAGCAAATCAACCGGCGCCGCTTCGTATAAGGCTATATATATATATATATATATATACCGCTTGTATGTCTACGAAACATAACTCAACTCGATTTATCTCCTGTCAGAAATGACACCGAACCCCGACAAAGAGTCAAAATACTTACTCTTGCCAGCGGACCTTTGGCCATGCTCTAGGTTTGAGGCATGTGAAGGAGGAAAACCAGCAGCGGAACTAGCCAGTCATGGCTTGCTGAGCATCGCCGTACCGGACCGGCTGAAGCACCACCCCCACTGGCCAGGCAATAGAGCCGAATTAGGACGCCGCGCCACGGAACCATCGTGACATGCCATGAGCCCACGGCCACGGTAAGCCCTATTTCGGGTGAAAGACCGCTCGTCTGAGAAATTGGAGGAACCTGCCTGATCAGTTCAGCCGCTGGCTATGGATACATCCTCTCTCCCGCAGACCACACATACACCCGCTCACCCACGCACAAACCCCCGTCTCGCGCCGCCACACCGAGCCCAGCAAGTGTCGACCTGAGTACGGGGTCCGACGATCCCGCCCAGCCGGATCCTGAGTAAGCCCCCCAACCTGGTGCGCGTGCCAAGGCGGCAACTAGAGACTCTCCCGCGCACGACTCCAGCTACAACCTAGCCACAAAGCTTGAATCCGACACAGGCACCTACTTATATTGCAGCGTGCGCGCGGGGGGCTCCCATCAATGTGGCTGCAATCTAACCCGCGCCGTATATATTGGCGCGGAGCGAGATGATACTATTAGAGGGTACCAATGCGGGGGGAGAGGGAGGGTCGCCGTCTTACTGTTCCGGGTTTTCTCTCTTCCTCTTTCTCCCTCTCTCTCTTCCCCCCTCTCTTGCGATGACCGGGGGCAGACGGGGGGGGGGGGAAGCATCGTATCGAAGCGAAAGGGAACGTAGTAATGGGACCCGCGGCTCGCCAATGGGGAAGAGGAGCACCCACGGAACAGGATCGTGGATATCCGCAGCCCTCTATTTGCGACCGTCTATCGAGACGATGGGAGGGGGAGGGAAAGGTTGCGCTGTTTCGTCGCGGGCGCGAGGGCCAGCGAATCTACAGTCAAGCTTGGCGGCTAAATTGCAAAGGTGGTCTGCTATAGGGGAGATGGAGAAGAGAGAGGGAGGGGGGCGGATTCTGGGGCGACCTTGCGTGATTTGGCTGCGAGTCGGCGAGAAATAGAAGACCTCTGACGATATTTCCTTATTACCCGCCCCAACAGCCCAGAGACAATCGGACCGAGAGTAGAGAGACCGAAGAGGATCGCGTGTCCGCATGCAGACCTGCGTGCGTGTATGCATGGTGCGGGCAGGTATAGGCATATCATAGGTAAGCAACACCACGGCCTGAATATTAACACCGGACCGCCGTGTCCGCTGGCAGCATAAGAGGGGCCTTGGGGATCTCGCTCGTCCAGCTCTCTCTCCCTATTCTGCTACTGCTACTCCTCATCCTCGTTAGCATCTTCCCTCCCCTGGCAACACACCGTGGGACACGACTAACGGACCGCAGCGCGCGAACCGAAACCCTCGCCATTCCTAGGATCGCCCAGGCAAGACAGAATTCGGCGAAGATGGTTGGCGGCGGCCCCCCGTCGGACAATATCGTCCATCGCATGGCGATGGAAGATACCGTCCCCTGGTACCGCAAGAAGAACCTGCGTTACCTTTACTTCATGCTGTTCCCGTGCCTCATGGGCATCGAGATGACCTCCGGGTTCGACTCGCAGATCATCAACGCTGTGCAGCTGGTCCCTGCGTGGAGCGCGTGTAAGCCCCATTTGCACTGAGGCCCTTTATCCCCCTTCCCACTCCTTCCTATGGTCAGTCGAGTGGGAGTTCCGCTTCTGGTGGAGAGGGCCGAGTGCGAGAGGGAGAGAAGACCGTTCCTATGAAGAAGAAGAAGAAGAAGACTAGCGAGGAAAGGCAACGGAAGACAGCTGACCACTGATCGCACCATAGTCTTCGGACATCCTACGGGCGGGTACAAGGGCATCCTCGCCTCGGCGCTTCCCCTCGGCGCCGTCATCGGCCTGCCGTTCATCCCGCTGCTCAACGACAACCTGGGGCGGAGGTGGTGCGTCATGTTTGGCAGCGTGACCATGATTATCGGGTCGCTCATCCAGGGCTTCTCCATCGACGGTTCGTGACCCCGCGCCGCGTCCCCCCCTAACCTACTCTCCCTTCCCCCCTTGTCGTTCTACGAGCGCTCGCTTACTTTCGTCGTGGTTGCTGTCGCGTCAGGGCCCATGTACATCGTGTCCCGGCTCATCATCGGCTTCGGCCTGCCGTACGCCATCGTCGCCGGCTCCAGCTTGATCGGCGAGCTCGCGTACCCCAAAGAGCGCGCCATCCTGACGTCCCTGTTTAATGCCGCGTATTTCATCGGCGCTATCGTCGCTTCCGCTGTCACCTATGGGACGCAGCTCATCCCCTCAGACTGGTTGGCCTCCCCCCTATATCTCTTTTCGAGCCATTCCGATGAGAGTGGTCCCCCCCCCCTGCGGATAATGGCTAACTGGCGGTACTCTGGTTAGGTCTTGGAGGTAAAGTAATATTCGTCCAGGCTTTGCTTTTTTTTTAACCGCGAGGGGTGGTTGTCTAACCCGGACGCGTAGAGTGCCTTCCCTCCTGCAGATGTCGCCGTCCTTGATACAGGTGGCCCTCGTGTTGTAAGTCCCTCCCGGTGCTCCTACCGGCGCAAGGCCCGTATTTGCATTTGCTGACTTGGCTCAGCTTCCTGCCCGAGAGCCCCCGTTTCCTGGTGAGTAAGGAGCGGTACGAGGAGGCCTTCCAGGTCCTGGTCACGTACCACGCCGAGGGCGACGAGGACTCGGAGTTCGCCAAGGCCGAGATGGCCGAGATCAAGACCACCATCGCCATCGAGCTCGAGCACTCGAAGCGCTCCTGGCTCGACATGATCAACTCGCCGGGCAACCGCCGCCGCGTTATCATCGGCTCCCTCCTGGGCGTCATGTCGCAGCTCTCCGGCAACGTCGTCATTTCGTACTACCTCGGCGACATCTTGAACCTCGTCGGGTTTACGGACCCTTCCTTCCAGGCCAAGTACAACATCGGGAACCAGTGCCTCGGACTGGTCTGCGCCGTCTTCACCGCCCTCCTCGTCATGAAGTTCAAGCGCCGGACCATGTTCCTGACGTCCATCTTCTCCATCCTGGTCATCTACGTGGCGTGGACTATCTGTTCGGCCGAGGCCGTCATCACGGGCTCCCAGGTTGCCGGGAAGCTGTGTCTGTTCTGGATTTACGCGTACCAACCCGCCTACAACATCGGCTTCAACGCTCTCACGTACAGTAAGTCCGGATGGGGTATAGGACGGGTTTCTGGAAGTGGCCGTAATCTTTATTAACCCAAGTCTCTTAGCCTACCTGGTGGAGATCTTCCCCTACGCGATGAGAGCGCGCGGAATCACGATATTCCAATTCTTCGGAAAGGCGGCCCAGGTAAGCCCAAACCCCCAACTGCTGCAAAGCTCCCGCACCGCCTCTCTGACCGCGAATGCGACTAGTTTTTCGGCACGAACGTCAACCCCGTCGGCTTGGACCCGATCCAGGGCATCGGCTGGAAGTTTCTGGTCGTGTACTGCTGCTGGATAGCCGTAGAGGCTTTCCTCATATGGTTCCTCTGGCCCGAGACTTCGGGCCACACCTTGGAGGAGCTCACTTTCTGTACGTTTGAACCCCCCCCGAGACATCGTGTTGCTCGGAATGCTCTCTCTCCGCTAACCAACGAAACTACACGTGTTAGTGTTCGAGGACGCGGACCGCGCCCAGGCGGCCACCACGGCCGTCCAGAAGCAGATCCAACAGGGCGAGCACCGCGAAGACGTAAGGGCGTCTGAAACTGCCAGCAAAGACAAGGCTTAAACGCGTCGAGAGTCTCGGCAACTCTTTTACGCGCTCAACGATGGGTTTTTCTCGCTAGCAGAATCACCTGGCCGGCTGGCTCGGAAATAAGTATGGACGTCACAGCATGCGTAGGTAGAGAATACGGCGTGCGTCTAGATTGACAGAGGTAGGCAGCTATATAGAGCTAAGATATTCAGATCAGAGTACACGACTGACAAAACGGATGTGGAACTACCGCGTCTTCGAGAGTGTCTGCTAGTCACTGTTTTAGTCTAAAGTACCTACCTATATACATGTGACGAGACGGGCCTCTTATTTATTCTCCTGTCCTCCGGCTCAAACCAGCCGCCAACCCGGGCTTTCCCGGCGCGATGGGACGGCCGCTGCTGCTAGATAGAGACTCTTATTAAAATACACGTAGCGCTCCGCTCGCCGGAGATCTCGCCCAAGTACAAGCCGGGTAGAGATAGATAGGCGACGCTGAGCTACCACGTCGCAGCGCAGGCGTCCCCAGCAGGGGTTGTCGGCTGGTTGCTTCGCGCGTTGTTCCCCCCGCCCTCCCTCTTGCGTGGTAATACCTACCTATCATATATTTCGGGGCGGGTGGCGCGAGTGAAAGAAAGATTTGTATGAGTAGATTGCGTAGTTTTTATTTGTTTATGTTATGTGTGCGTGGCGCACCATCTTTACATATCTACACACACCGACGTAAGCCTCTCCCGGGCGCGTTAGACGTGCGGGCTATTACTAGCCGTAGCGGGACGGATGGTCATCGCCGTTGGTGCCCGCTTACCCTCCCCCCCTACTTAAGATAAAAAAAGCCGACAGATCGCCGGTTCCTGTACAGCCCGAACGTAGTATTCCGGCCCTCTCGCGTCCCGACGCCTTTCGTTAGCGAGGTAGTTAGCAATTCCCATCCCTCGGAGGGGGTCTCCCATTGCTAGTTCAGCGAATCTGCTGCAAGTCCTGGGGCCTGCGGCGTGGCGTGCGACCTGTTTGTCTCCCCCCCCCACCGAGCGCAGCTGCGAAAAGCTGTGCGCATTCCGATCCTGCGCTACGGCACCGCAGCATCCGGAGCAGCGGGAGGATCCGGCTGCGGGGACGCGGGGGCCGCGTCGTTGAGGCTGACGAACTGCTCGGTGTCGTCGAAGGGCCAGTGGGCGTCGATCTCGGCCCTCTCCCAGACGGTGTCGGCGGCGGCCAGGGCCTCGGCCTTGAGCTGGGCGGCGCGGGCCTTGGCGGCGTCGTACCGGTCGTTCGGGACCCAGCCGTCGGGCCCGCAGCCGAGCAGCTTCTGGTAGGTGGCCATCGTCTCGTCGGCGGCCCTCAGCCGCGCGTTCAGCTGCGTCGCCGCCGCGACCTCCTCCTTGTCGAACACGATCGGGCAGTCCGCCGCGTCCTCGCCCGTCAGCGCCTTCCAGTACTTCGCCGCCCGCATCAGGTCGAACGTGAGCGGCGCCGACTCGCCGTCCCACGGCGCCGCGGCCCGGTAGAAGAGCCGCCGGCGCAGCGCCCCCACCGGGTCCGCCAGCGCGTCGAAGTGCGGCCTGACGTGCTTCTTCGTGGCTGAGACGTAGTGGTGCTGGATCTGCAGGCGGGGGAGCGCCTCCCTCTCTATCCTCTGCTGCACTGGGTTTAGTAGGTCGAAGTTTGGGGGTAGGCGCGGTCGCCCGAGGACGGGCCGCTCGGGGTCGCCGTAGTCGCGGAGGAGGCTGGGGATCCCGGCGAGGAGGAACATGGGCAGGACAGACGTGTGATGCCAGCCGATGACGGCGGTTATCCGAGGCTCGGAAGCCTGCGGGTCGGAGATGAAGATGTCGTCGAGCCGCAGGTCGGGATGCCGGATATGGAAGGCCCTCTGGGCCGGCGCCCGAGGCGCGAGGGAGGGGGCGCATGTGACATAACGCTCGAGGGAGACCACGCGATCGCTCGGGGACTGCTTCTGGTAAGAGTATGCCTCTCTTCGTATCCGCCGGTGCGGATGTGAGTGCGTGTGAGACCACGCACGGCGAAGCTGCTGCGCGCCCGGGGCCACCAGCATCATTTCGGGATCAGCGACTACATTCGGGTTAGTACACCAAGAACGAAAGGCCTCGCGAGGGAAAGGAAAGAAAAGAAGAACTCACAGGTTCTGTTTCTATGCCGGTGGTTGACTTTTGGGTTGAACCACCATGACTTGCCCATGTCTGGACCTACGCAGAATTGCTCGTCGGACAAGGGGACGGATTGGGTGATCAGAGCGGGGAGCTTCAGGTCATCGGTATAATACAGACCACCGCCTACCGGGAACCGCATAGACATGGTTTTCGCCTCGAGCTCGACGATCTGCTCGATGAGCCTAGAGACAGCTAGCTCGTTCAAGTCGGGCCAGACGCGGCTAAGATTCACCCCTTCGGCGAACTCGGTGAAGATGTACTCGGTGTTGGCAGCGTTATTCATCGTAGGCGAATACCCGTAGACTTTGGGAATAGGCAGGCCGCGAGCGCGCAGGTATCCCATGGTCGCGACCTCGTTAGCTATTATGTATCGCTTGGGGTCAGTGATGTCATAGGGCAGCCGGGCGACGAGTCGGAATCCGTCGCGCATGGTGATGAGGAAGCACCGGTAGAATCTGCCCTCGGCCATTTTCTCGAAATGCTCGATGTCGTCTACGTTGCGGTCGACGGACGCGGCGGCGAGGCGTTTGAGCTCGTCAACACGGAAGCTATGGCTACGCTTTGCATGTTGTAGCACGTCGTCGTATCTGGTAGGGTTGGTTAGCCCGCGATGCGGACAGAGCTAGGGACAAGTACTCGGCTTACAGCCAACGCCCCGAAGTGTATTCGAATAGGCTATTATTGAGGTCACCTACGGCAGCGGTAGTGGTGGCGGCGGAGGTGGTAAGAGGGACAGTAGGATCAGTAGAGTATCGGCGTAGAGGAGGAGGAGACAGAGAGGGAGGCCGGACGGCGCATGGTCCGGAGATGCGACGACGGACTCGCGCCGAGCCGTGCGGCCTGCCGAGGCCTACCCGCAGAGTAAACCCGAGCAAATTGGCATTCTTCATACAAGCCATCTCTGGCTCGCGTATGCGTGCGCCTCTATCGGCGGCGACCTGTGTGAGACTGAATCCCCGGGCCGTTAAAAAAAATTTCCCGGGGTGGATGGACAGAAGTTTTGGCTTGAAGAGTTTTCGGCGCCCCTCCTTTGCCCCTCCAAGCTTTAAGAATCCGGTACGGAATCTTGAAGGCTATGGCGCTGCAAAGGAGCTATTTATACCATCGCTGACAACAACAACACGATGTAACAAATTCCTCTCGAATATTAAGCCGGCGACCTGTTTGTAATGATGTCTTTAATGGCTTTCCTCCCTTGCTCTGCCTATTTCGTAGGTATATGCAATTCGTAAAATTCGTAACCGAAAGTGGCTTGTGCTTCGCATTCACAATCATCGGTCATAGGTAGGTAGGCACGCGGCCCATACTGCTGCGGCGTACATCATCCTCTTTTCCCGTGTCGGCGGTAAGTAAGTCTCTCTTCGGAATGGCCAGCGGGGGCTCGACTTGGGTGAAGGTGGAAGAAGGGAAAGACAACTTCTCGAAGATATCAAATAACTAGATGCGTATGCACACCTCGCCTAGAGGCATAAGGGCACTAAAGTATGCAACAATCACAAACCTGGCGTGTACTTATCTAGATACGCGTACCAGCAACAACCCCTCCCCCCTTTTCCCCTTTCCCCTTTCCCCTTTCCCCTTTCCCCTTTTTCCTTTCCCCTCATACACCTCCCTACCCTATCTTTAACATGGGTTCCAGTTCGTTCTAGGTACTTTCCCCTTACTCTAGGCACTCCTCCACCTTAGGTACCCTAACCTAGGTAGGTACCTAGGTAGACCTACCCTACCTACCCCCCACCTACATCTCCAGTCCGATCCGTCACCCACCCACCACCTCCTCTCCCGCCCGCCAACCCATTCCGTCCCCCCTCCTAGACCCCAACTCCCTACGCCAAACCAAACCCCGTCATCCGACCGACCGACAGGATTTTATCTCCTCCTCCTTGGCAACCCGCCCCCTCGCACTTCACGCTCGTCTGAACAGGTCCGGAGACCTGCGGCCGCCGGGGGAAAGGGGGGGGGGCGAGTACGCCGATCTGGCCGCGCCCACATTAGGCCAGGGTGACCGCGCGTAGTCGTGGCCGTGGCGGAACACAACTGTACGGGTGGCCCCAGGAGCTGAGAGACGGAGGGAGGGCAAAAAAAAAGCCCGGGGGAACGAGGTAAGCACGTAGAATCACGACCGATGGGATGCGTATGCGAATATCCCATCTTTGCGAGCATAAGAGCCTATATTGGTAAACCCAGCGTATGTACGGTATATGTGTGGTATATTTGACCGGTGACAGGTCACAGTTCACCTGCCAACACTGTAGGGGGCTTTTTTTTTTTTTCCTTTCGTCCACCTCCACCTTCCTGCCTGTGAAAAAGAAAAGAACCAAAAAAAGCGTTGAAGGTAAAGGTGGTATCTATCATATTCCTCTCCTACGACGCATCTACCCCGGGCCAGAGATGTGGTCGGACTGGACACGGAGGGCAAAGGAAACGAAGGCAAAGAAAAAAGAAAAAAGAAGCGAAACAGCCAGGTAGCGGAGGATATATCCCGGATCCGTTGCCTCAGAACAGAGAAAAGAAGGCTACCACCGATCAGATGATAGTACCAACGCCGAACACTGCGTAGCCGCCGTGCAAACCCCCAGAAGCCAAATCTATGCCCGGACCATGCCAACGATGGAAAAAGAGAAAACACCACAAATGTTATCGTGATCTCATTATGGGATGCGACTTATATGCAAATGCACCCTCTGCCGCCCGTCAATGATCGTCTGACCTGCTGAATGCTAATCTCGATGCTGGCTCCGCGCAGTTTTTTTTTTTGTCTGCGGTCCCCTCCCTGCTCTCCCGGATTCTTCGTGGCCCCCCCGGGGGGTTGGGCCAGCGGGTATATATGGCTACGCTACGGCATAGGACCGGCGATGCCGCTACCACGGCCCAACCCGGACCGGGGAGCTGTAGTTGCCGTTTATCAACTGGTGCAGAATCGAGTTCGGGTTGGCTGCTGGGGGTTGACCGCTGGTGCCGGGTCCCCCACCAACCCATCCGACCTGCGCGGACATGGTGGCAATGGCGGCCTGCAACCGTCCGCCGGATTGCTGGTTGTGCTTGGCGAGAGTCTGATCCCATCCTCCCGAGTGTAGGAGGAACCCGGCACCCTTCTTAGAAGCTTCGTTGATAGCTAGAGCCCAGGCGGCGGATATCTCGTCGTACGCATTCTCTTTGTGATGTCGATAGCTTTGACTTTCCCACTCCGGCAAGGAGTGGATAATCTTGGTGGCGCCGTCGAGATACTGCAGCGAGACGTTGGCACTCGTCTCGGTGGGCGGGAGGAACTGGGGGGTGAAGTCGGAGAGGGCGTCGAGGAGTGCCATCAGCGGCTGCTTGACTCGGTAGTAGGTGTAGTCGGAGCTCGAATCTCCATAGGGGAATGCGCTCCGCAGCTTGGCTTGGTATTCCCCTAACACATGCAACGCGCACTCGACGGTCGGCCGCGGTGCGCTCTTGACCACTTCCTCTCCGATCTCGGGCTGTCGCTCGCAGATGGTCTGGAGAACAACCCTCAATTGGGTGGCGTCGAGGGTCTCGAGGAGGCGAAGGAGGGAGAGAGGACGGCCGGCGATTTCGTTGGAGCGAGGCTTCTTGGACGGCCGGGGGACGAGCTGCCGCAATTGGACGGCAGGTGAGCTCATGGGCGAAACCGACATCTCATCACCGTCGTCGTCGGCCTTCCGTTTCCGGGCTGTAGGGGCAGTGTTATGAAAAGACACTGCAGCGGAGAAGGTGGGCTCTGTTAGTGTCTAGGTCTTTATCTGAATATGACTCTGCCCGTTTGTCGGTGCGCCAGAGCACCAAACCAGGCATGCATGCAACCTCCGGGCTACGGTGCCAAAATAGCCCGAGACGAGAGGGGGCAAGAGGAAGCAAGAGAACGGAAATGCAGTCGGAAATGCAAGGATGCTGACTTACTTGAGCGGGTGGGAGACCGTCGGTTGGGGTCGTGTTGATGAGAGAAGAAGGACGGTGGTTGCGGCGACAACAGCACGTTCATGGTTTCCCGGCAGCACTATCGGGGTGGTGGGCTCCGCCGGCTATGGAGGGAGTACTCGGGGGGGGTTGGTGCAAGCAAGGGTGCCGAGGTGTCGACGTGTGTAATGATAAATTATTCGAGCCGGTAGGGCGATGGTAGCGGGTATTGACGGCGGAGGAGAGGAGTTTGCCGACGTGAGGGCGAGCAGGCGACGGAAAGAGAGAGAGAGAGAGGAGAGAGGAGAGGAGAACGGGGGAGAGAAGAGGAGACTGGCAGATAGACGGGTTTAGATAGCAGGGCGGATGGATGGATGAGACCAGGAGGGGTGGGACTGGGGAAAAAAAGAAGATTGTTGACTTGTTGTTACTCGATGATTTGTGTGGTCCCGCCGAGCTAAGAGGGCAGGCAGTTAATAACTACGGCTCGTGCACCGACAGGGCTGGCAAAAGCGGGCGCATACACATACATAACAGAGGCAGACCAGGCGGGCGAGACAGACGAGACGAGATGCAGCCAGGCGGCGGAGGAGGGATGGAGAGAGAGAGAGAGAAGAGATCCGTACAGGGCACAACGGGTTGGATGGATGGAGGAATCAAATGGCATTTCTGGAGGGAGGGAGTGGCATTCTGAGCGAGGTGCACACCGGCCGGGCAGGTCTCGCGAGGGTACCTCTCCACGCAAGCACACATGCGCCCGGTACCACATGTGTACGTGGCTGCGACAAGCCGGGGCATTGGTATACATACCTATGAGTAAGGGGAGGAGGGCACCACATCTCGTGGATACCCGATTCCCATGTAGGCAAATGTGGGGAATACTACCTTAGGTACCTATAAGGTGCCAGGGTACCTGAGGTACCGCCTGTTTATATGAGTACTGACAAGCAACGCATGTAGCTACACAGGTACCTACTACGTCCCGACCTGTACCTGACATGCCCGCTTACCTTAGGAGGTATCTCATCTGAGTCAGGTACCTAAGGTAGGCAACACCTACCTGTATATTAGGCGTATAAGGAGGTAGGTAGGTAGATAGGTAGGCACCTGCCTCAGGCACCTTGGTCCCTATATGAGTACCTAACCTAAGGTTATTATGTAGGTACCTAACCTACCTCTAGGTACTTACCTTAGGTACGCCCCCCCCCCGAGGCAGCATGGGTGGGCAACCAACCTGCAGACCCCGTCCGTCCTTCGAGAGCCCGCCGCCCACCGCCCGCCTGCCCCGACCAGGGCAAAATTGCCCCAGCGCCCACACACACGCGGTCAGGCCCCAAAACTCCCCTAACCTCACACCCCCACTCGTCCCGTCCCCAATCGTCTTGCCTCGTCGGCCTTGCCTCCGTTGGCCGCCGCCGCCCCTCCCCCTTCCTCCAGGCCAATCAGCGGCAGCCCGGGTCCTTCTTATGCGAGAGCTTGTGGCTGCTGACGGTCCCGTCGCAACTTTCTCGGAACCGGTCTGTACTCATACGTGTACGGGTACTTTTATTTATGCGTGCGCCTCTGCACACGCTGAGAGGTTACCTAAGGTGGTGGTGGTGGTGGTATATACCTAGGTACCTACCTCATATATTACACCGATAACCGATCACACACAGGCAGGTCAGGTACATATTCATCATACCTATTACCACACAGATCCCTCCCTCCGTCCATCCACCCATCCATCCATCCATCCATCCACATCGGTACGTAATTCCGTCTATCTACCTAGCTGAGGTATCTACTCTATGTACCTCCTACCGACCTACATATCTCTACATCTTCCTCTCCCTATAGGTATCGTAATCCTATAGGTATCATCATCACGGCGCAGTTCCAGGAGGAACACGATGACTACTATAGTACAAGCCGATGCGCAGCACGCGCCACCTTAGGTAGGCACCTATGCACCTGATAATCCAATCCAAGCTCGGAGCCGACCGGCCAGCCAGCCAGCCTCCACCAGGTAACCACCAACAACGTAAAAACCACCAGCCCGAGCTCCTCTCACCTGACCCTCCCCTTCCAACTAGGTACAATTAACCTACCTACGTACCTATTATATTAGCAGTTAGCCTAGGTAACCCAAGTACCTAAGGATACGCCTGCAAGGTCTTCTAATACCTGCCTACCTACCTTACCTATAACGATGCACGTACGTACGTCCACGCATGCATCCGCCCAGCACACGCATCCCGGTATAGCACCGTCGATAGGACGAAGAGGGCCAACGAGAGACTGACTTTACCTTACATACCTGCTCATACATACTACCACGTAGTAATACCTACCTATAGTACCTACGATCGGTACAGTTACATACACGCAACTCCCGCTCGGCCCCTCTGCCAACATCGCATCCCATCCCTCTCCCGCCATGTGGAGATGGAAAGGACGGGAAGAAAAAAAAAACAAGAACAAGTCACAAGCTACAACGCAGCAACCGTTCCGGGACCCTGCCCCGGACTTCTGATTGGACCCTCCAGCATACTAGGGGTGTGCTCCGGCTTACCTATAATGTACCTTAGTACTTTTATACTGCTACCTATCATACCAGTTAGGTACCTTAGGTACCTGCCTACACGTGCAATACAATATGTTGCTCGACGTACCTTGCGTAGGCGCCTCTTCCTAACCTCCCCAAGTTCATGAAGAACAACATCACATCACATCGTAATAACAAGCAAATCCATCTCGTCCGCCCATCCCAGAGAATGTGACCGCCTCCTGCCGTACCCGTACGCCTTACCACCTATCGAACACGACCTCACGCCTCATCCGTACTCGGGCACGCGTTGCCCAACGTCCACCTTCCGCCCTCGGCACGTAAGCGGAACCGTCTGCCCGCTTCCGGCTATACATATGCACCACCACTGGCCATGTCAAATACCGCTCATCGCACAGTACTCTTTTCATTATGCCTCCTACCATCAATCACATCACTCTATAGGTACACATAGTACTCGCTCTCTTCCCCCCCCATCATCTATCACTACAATACAGTGTCCAGCTAGGGAGCCATTTGACGTAACAGTCCCTGGGCCAGGGACGCTCAAGGCCACGGTATGGTGCCCTACGCTCGGGTGCCACCGTGAGCCGTCACCTTCCTACATCTTAGCATGTGAACAGCACACACAGTTGGGTGCTGCAGTTAACGGTGGCCCCGGTCCGACCAGTGGAGATTTGCCAACCGGCCTGCCAGAATCGTCGAGTACGGTCTTAGATCAGCATCGCACTGCTGTTGGACCGGTGGTGCCGTCGCTGTAGCCGGGAGAACGGTATCGCGCGGCGTCTTATCACCACTGCCACTTCCTTCGTCATGCCTTGCCTCCGAAACCGACGACCGATCATCTGCCCATCTAGACGAGCTGAGGCCGCCCCCTATCATCTGGTGGCGTGCAAAGTTGATATTCGCTCCGGGACCTGCGCGTGGGACCGACGGTGTTCTAGTCTGACCACCGGGGATAGGAGAGCTGGTTGTCTTGTAAGCTTTTCGGTCAGTAGAAGGATCCAAGCTGGAGGCTCGTAGTCCGGACTGGTCCGCACCCTTGAGCTGCATCGAACGCGTTAAGCTGGCGCGTAGCCCCTGTCTCAGTTTCTCCTCGTCTATATCTGTCGTAGAAAAGCGGTTGAGGTTAGGGAATGGTCGAGAGCCCGGCGCCTCCCCATCACTCAGTGGCCGGTTGTGACTCTGCCCGCCCGAGGTGTTGCTGTCTGCTTGGCCGGGCGAACTGTGTCCGCTCAGAACCTTCTTGTACACCAGGGCTGACAACTTTCGCTGCTCGTCAAGCTTCAAGGTTAAAAATTCCTTGTCTCGCATCAGCTGCAGCACCGCTGTCTGTAAGGCTGCGTATTTAGGTAAACAGATGCCGGAAAACTGCTTAACGTCTGCCAAAACTATAACAAGGTTATGTGCTGTCTCGATCATATCCTCAAAATTCCGGGCTGTCAAGTTACAAAAGATGCCCAGAGCAGCTTCTGACAGGTCTGCTCCAATACGGATTCCCTCGATGGCCTCCAAATCTAAGAGCGCGAGCTTTGTCTTGGCGTTATCTTGATCTTGGGGCATATCAGAGGCTAACGAGACCTTTAGTGTGGTGGAGTGCGCGTCGCTTTGCTGTGGATTGATTGAGGCAGTGGTATCGTCTTTGCAGTGGATATCCGACGATGTCAGGGCCCTCTCGTCACTACCCAGCACTGCTCTGAAAATCGGCTCTTGGGAACTGGCCAACCGCATTCGATGGGTTTCCGCAACTTGGACAAACCTGGCCGCAATCATAATATTATCGAATCTGACCTCGCTAGACCTAACTTCGGACTTGGGAGTGTCTTGTCGCCGTACGAGCACAGTGCTTCCGATATTCTTTAAGGGGAGGCAAAGGCGAATATCTTCTTTCACCGTCCTTCCCTCGTTGGCGATTATTTCCCAAACGACGACGGTTCCTCGGGATAGAGCATGAATTAAAACACGACCCGGGGCCATCTTGAAATCGACCCCAACGATAGGCTTGACAATAGCATCCTCATGAAAGAGGATTTCATGAGGTGCGGGCGAGACGACCCCCTGGCTCGACAACTTGAGTACGTCACGACCGGACGTCTCTATCTTCTTTGACTCCGGTGCACGTGTCGCTTTAGGAAGCCGCATTGCCTCGACATAGACCGAGGCGAAAGGATCATGAGGCGGTGACGTCCGTCGACGTTCTTTGGAAATATTCTCGCCTTCCTTACCATGCTGCTGGCTCCCGGCGGCTTTCGAAGGAGACACAACCTCCTCTCCTTTTTTCTTAGTTTTCTCGGGGTCAGCATGGGTAGGGGGTAGTTCTTTCTGTTCCAAGGTTGAACCCGCCGGTATATCGAGAGCCCGTTCTTCTCTAGGGTTCCAGCGCTTGACCCCGGTGCCAGGTGGTACAAGGCCGCCTAGCGACGACAGGCGAAAGCCTGGCTCAAGCTGTAGAGGCGCCCGTTTAGGCTTATAACTAGGGTAACTCGGGTTCCTGTTACGAAGTTAGCACAAGGACTAGAATAGTTAGAGCTTTCGAAGGAAGACTTGCGTTGAATCGTAAAGACGATGTCCCTTCAACGCCTTATCGATGACATCGCTTATATTCCTTCTCTTGCCCTGGATATGCTGGCGGCTGCGGTCGGCACCATGTTTCGAGGACTCGCGAGCGGCCCTGTTAAAATTCGGGTTACGGCGGTGGGCATTTCCGCCCTCAATGGGGTCGAGGTCCTTGACTGCTCGAGCATCTTCATCATCGAAAACTCCCGCCTCAAAAGCCCCTGCCATCAGTTAACTAGCATGAATAAACCAGCTGATATGTCATCTACTTACTCCTCCACATTTCGACTTGATCATTCTTGTATTGCGATGTTGACTCTTGCGAGGGAGTAGGGCGAGTAGCGGAAAGGCCTTCGGGAGGAGGGAGGTCAAGTGATCTAGAATAGCCGTCAGAGGCAAATAGCTCGAGTCTGTCGTTTCCCAGGTCCTCCTAGTTAAGAGCAACGTTAGCCAGCAGACTATACGCAGCCCTATCAAGTCCGAGCAGCCGCCCACTAACGATTGCTCTAACATCAAATAGGACTCAAGCCTGCGTATCGCCTACCATCATGGCTGCCAAGTCATCTATATGGGCAGTAGAGCTAGTAGGGCCCTTGCCCTGGGGCGCTCGTCCTGTCGCGTCCATCCCTGCGGAGCAAGGGAAATTGTGTCTCTAATACCCAGGAAAGGGGTTACGAGGTACCGGGGCTGAGGACCGACGAAGAAGCAGTGTCAAGTAGTAGAGAACCCCGTGTGTCGCCAGATGGCCCAGAGCTCTGGGGGCTTGACGGGTTCCTCAGGCACGGGGGCCAGGGAGAGATGTCGTGTGTTTACGGAGGAAAGGAGAAGCCACGGTCCTAGATCGTCGGATACGGGCTGCCTCCGCCCAGGCACAATTTAGGCGCCCGATGGAGGCAGCTCGGAATGGCGCAAATGGCGAGTATTAAAAATGCTCGTACACCTGGGATCGCGGCGGGTTGTCAGATAAGGTGAGAATGCGGAGTACCTATTCGTAGAGAGAGGGGGCGACAGGAAAGTCAAGTCGGCAGGTCTCCAGCTGGACACTCAAGGCAGGGCCGGTTGTCGATGCCTCTCGTGCTGTACGACGTACCGGGCTTGCGTTATGCATAACTATTTGGTGGTTTTGTGAATGCTTTGTGCACGGGGGTATTGCCTAGGTAGCGACTGCCCTGATACGTAGGAAACGGCCCGGGGAAGGTGCGCTCCGGACAGATTTGGGTTCGGTGGCTTAGCAAGGACGGGCAAGAGGCTCTGGGAAGCGACGGTGATACTAGCGATAGCACTGGCCACGACACTGGGGATGAAACCGGCGATGGAGTCCTCGCTGTGGTTCATGGCCCGGGGGAAGTTATCGTCGGCGGAGGAGTTGGGGAGGGGAGGTTTAGAGGTCAGGCGCCTTGGGCGTTGGCTTACTTCAATGAGATACAGACGTTGCTGGAGCTTCCGACCAGTCTCAAGCTGGATGTATGCTGGTAGCTCGAAGGTGGTAGGCGATTCCAGGAAGCCCTAACTTTGACGTGACAGGTGTTGCAGAGCAGCAGATCAAGTATGTTGTTGGAGAGGAAGGAGAGAGAGTAAATATGCCTATCAGAAGCTGCAGGTGGACGGCCAACAAGCCTGGAAACCTGGTCAGAGCTTGGAAAGTTGGCAAGGGGCAACCGCAGGTAACCAGAAAGAGGTGGTGGGCGATCTCTGTAGGCGGCGATAGTAGGTGAACTTGCGTGATGAAAAGAGGATGTGTTTATAAGTAGGTTAGGGGACAATGAGGGTAAGAAGGGGACGATAAAAGCCGTATAAGAGAGGAGTAGAACAGACAGACAAGATGATGGGAAGGAAATAACCCTCACAGCACGGTCAAGTTGTTGCTGGTCTAGGGGTTCTTTCTTTTTCACATTACTTATAGTATAATACTACGTAGTCTAAGACATCCATCTATAGGGGTATCAGTAGTAGCATTCTAGGCTTCCATCGAAGGACTTGGAATCATAACCCTGGTAAAACGTCCGTTTCTATCTCTATAGAATTTCTCCAGTTGGTTACGATACCTACTTAGAGTCCAAGGGAATAGGGATATAGTGTGTTAGGATACAATAGATCAACACTATCCTTTCAAGTCTAAAAACAGGTAAGAGAACAACATAAACATGTGCCAATGGTAACAGTAACCACAGAATGTCTTTCGAACTTATAGGTATTCAATATCATGCTAATAGACATTCCCAAGTTTAAAGAATCTCCTTATTGACAAATCTATGGGTAGTTATATTAAAAGAAGACTAATATGACGGCAATGAATACAGAAATACCGATACCATCACGACTCTAGTAACTCTAGCCTTCTACTTGACATGTGAGCAAGCCCACCCCCCTTCGAAGAGCTGGGCTTCTACGCCGCAAAGCCAATAGTAGATCCCCAGATCTATCGGTCCTGTCCCCCTAGGGAATCTTGCCTAGATACAAGCCCGCATAGCCCACAAGGGAAATTTGTGGGCGTCTACGTCTCCAAGTGACAGACCCGAACACCCCCACAACGACAACCCCGAGGGAAAATATCCAGTCTGATGGTGGAGCCAGGCAAAGGGAAATACAGTTGAAAGGGAACCAAGGTTTCCTACAGAAAAAAAAAATAGACGTCTACATTCTACCATAGGACTTGTAGATATAAGCTTATTATATAAGTACGATTTCCTACGTGACAGTTTCCGAGTCGGCTGTAATGCCGGAAACGTGGTATTAATGGAGGTACATAGCTTCTGCGTAAGTGGGCTGTGGGGGTTTACTCCAGGGATTCTAACCCAAGCCGACTGATGGGTAGACCCAACGGCATATGGCTGATGAGAATTTGTCCAGAGAAAGTCCATGTTGCGGTGGCTATAAATGCCCATCATATACAGGCATTTGGTTGGTGTTCGTGCTATATCATTGGAAAGCTACCTGTTCTCGTGGAGACGATCAGCGGCTAACCCGGAAGCTAGCCAAATACTACCCACGCAAGCCCACAACCGTTCAGAGAGTCAGTCCCTCTTCTACCCTCGGCTCCCCCCACACCGCGATCAACGAGCCCTAGCATCCTTCGGCGGCTCCCCGAGGCTGTCCTTGCCCTGCCGCCCGACGCCGCTCAGGTCGACGTCGGTCTTCTTGCTGGCGGGCTCGCGCAGGCCCGCCGTGGCGCCGTCGCCCGTCGACACGCCGCTCGAGACGCTGCCCGAGCCCACGTTGACGTTGCGCGCGTCCGCCGAGTTCCAGTCCGGTGCCGTCGGTGGCTGCTCGGGCAGCGGCAGGTTCTGGCGGACCTGCTCGATCTTGTCGGCCTTGGACTGGGTCATCGTATGCGCGCGGTCTGCTACGCTTGAGGGTTAGTCCGGGCGCTTCTCTTTTTGCCGTTTATACTTTTTGGGTATTCGTGGATCTTCTCAGGTACCTACACTTCGTTGATTCCGAGATAGATTATACCTACCCCTAGGTGCAGAGGGAAAAGGAGTGGGGGGCAGTCGGCTAACAAAGGGGAACTAGGTAGCTCACAGCTTAGAATAGATGTTGCAAGTGAGGCAACGAGCGAGATGGGAGAGACGCTATACTTGGACGAGCTGTAGTGATTTTTGGCATGAAAGGGATAGATGCTCTCTTCACACAACCAGAGGGGGGTCTGAGGCTATAAGTGAGTGGTTAGAGAGATGGATCGGCTTACAGATTGAGATGCCTGCCTACGTCGTCGACTCGTCATGTCCGGTGTACTTTCCTCCGGTATATATATACCTCGGTACCTGGGCCGAGATCTTGACGTCATCAGAGATGTGACAGGTCCATCTTGCAGGTTGACGTCACATTGACCAATGAGGCACGTGGAGGATTGCCAAATCGGGACTGTGACCTGGCACTTCGGAATTTATTGCGTCTTCTACCGGAGTCGATTAGGTAAGTCACGATGTTGTCACTGGGAGGGGATGGTGTCCGAACACTAAGTTCTGTCATCGTTCTCATAGCTTCTACATGTAATCGTGGTTGACTTTGCTATCATGCTGGTATCCTCGCGAGCTCAGGGCGTCGTATTCGCCTGCTACCGTGCCCGTGTCGGACATCGGACCAATAACGCCGGAACACCACACTAACATAGGTCATGCCTGTCAAGCATCTGGGCCGCGAAACTACCAATGCTTTCCTAACGCGAAAATAAACCGTGTAACCTCTACTTCTCGGGCGTGGCTTCGGCTACGCCACTCTCTTATCCGTCTCCCCGGACGTGGCCTTCTCTCCGTCGTCGGGATTGAGGTAATTGGCGTCTTCGGCGGCCTCATACTCGGCGATCAGGTCTGTCACCACCTCCCTCGCCTCGTCGAATTCGTGGAAATTCTCCGAGAAGGGCGCCGTCTTCTTGTAATTATCGATAAAAGCATTGCGCTTCCGCATGCCGTCGTATTGGCGGACGATGCGTTTAAATAGCTATGTTGCTCGATCAGTCGACAGCTCGCAATTAGGGGCATCCCGGTAGCGACTTACTGTTGCGATGCTGGTGTGGTTGGCCAACATGAGGCCGCTCACACGGTGGCTCATCGGGATATACGGGCTGCGTTTCGTCAGAGCAACCTGGATGCTCGCCGGGCCCCAAGGTATGAACGTAGCCAGTCTTCGCTCGCGGATACGTAGAAGACTCTTATGCACGTCCGTCGGGTCGACCTCGCCTTGGATCACGTTGAGGATGGAAATATAGCAGCTCTTCTTCCCCGGTATGGTGGACACCATGCGGTTCTTTGGTTGCAGCAGTCGTCGCATGACATCTAATACTGTAGTCTTCCGTACGGTCTTAGCCTGCTCGACCTGATCGCCGGTGAAGGGGGTGTAAGCGGTCATCAAGAAATGGCAGCGCGGCGTCGGTATCAGAGAGGCTAGAATGCTGACGAGGTCGTTGTGCATGTAGCCGGGATACCGTAGCGTCGTCGTGCTGGCCGACATGACGGTCGAGACGAGTTGGTTCGTCTGCTGAAACGATGGTTCTTGGACGTGTAGTCGGTCGGCCGCGATATGGGATAACGCTCCATTGTCTAAAACCACGACCGAGTCGGCGTTTTGCGTCAGCCGCCTCATGGAGAGAAGGCTGTTGTAGGGATGAACCACGACGTCGCCCGAATTCGTGGTGTCGGGGAACACCGAGTACGTTTGGATGATCTTCTTGGGGAACCTGTCATTCATTCGTTCGAGGAGAAAGGAGCCGAGGCCGGAACCTGTGCCGCCGGCGATGGAGTGGAGCAGCATGAAGCCCTCCAGAGAGTCGCTGCCGTCCGCTTCCCTCTCTATCATCTCCATGATCTCCTCGTGGACGGCCTCGCCGGTCTGGTAGCCATCGCCCCAGTTGTTTCCCGCGCCGACGCCGCTTTTGCCCACGTAAAAGTTCTCCGGGTTGTAGATGTTCCTGTAGGGGCCGGTCTGTATGCTGTTGATGACGCGGGGCTCGAGATCTATCAGGATGGCGCGAGGGATGTATCTGGTGTCGTCGCTTTGGTAGTAGAAGACATCTTTGCGGTCACCGCCTTCCGTGGCGAAATCCTCGAGGTTGCCGTCCTGATTGATGCCGTGTTCTTGGCAGAGCTGCTGCCAAAACTGGCTGCCGACTACAGCGCGTTAGCAGACTCGACCCGGAACATGTTCGGGTTGTCTGGCCCCCGACTCACTGCTGTTGCCGCACTGGCCTGCCTGGATGGTGATGATTTCTCTGGGATCGGATAGAATGTTAGTTGGGATTGCGATCGTTGCGGGGGCGCTCCGAAGCATTCGTACCTAGGCATCACGGCAGCATCTGTAGATGTGTCCTGTCAAGGCCACGCGCTTCGAGTGAAATTCTAGGACGATAAGTCGGGCCGCGGCTTCGTCTCTGGGGGCATCCAAACCGGAATTTGGTCCTATCGGGGAGATTTTAACGCGTTGCGCGTTCCCGTCTAGCCAAGCCCGCGGGGTTGCTATAAGACCGGTTAATCTCATAAATAGCCGAATTGCATTTTATTATGTTTAAAACGGCAGATACGGGCTACCGGGGTCATCATACAGACGGGGTCGTACTAGACTTCCTCCGCCCCTTGTCTGTAGGTAGGTAGCTTGTTCGTATTCTAGGAGGTATATAAGCGTATATTCTAGATACTTGAGAGGTAGGCAGCAGATAGTTGTCTTATGTTCACAATCCATCCGCCTGACAATCCGGTGATGCGCATTCCCTGCGACCGAGGAAGACATTGACTTTGGGTACTTAGGTCGGTAGCTTGGAGAGGCCAGGCACGTATGAGCATAGTATAGGTACGGTAATCTCGCAGCAAACTGTTATCAAAGCAGTGGACCGATTTGCTTGCTTACTGTTTGCCTCCGCCCAGTACGTGGGTAGGTACCTCCTATATAATGCATTGTGTGTGGATTTGTGGTGTATATCCCGTCCTATTGGAGGCGCCTACGTATGTATAGTATTCTCTCATATCCTCCCTCCCGGTATTCCCCCCAAATGCCCCCCCGTTCTTATTTGCATTTTTATTTTCCAGAAAAGCCCACATCCAAATGCCTGCACATACACACGTCTTCTGCTGCGTATTACTGGGCCGTTTCTCTTGCGAAACCCGGCGGATCTAGGGTCGGGCGTTTCTTCTTATGCTACGCAGCAAGACGTGCCGGTTGACAAGTCGGACTTCTGGAACGCAGCATCCCATGACGCCTGACAAACGAAACGCAGTTCAAACAACAAACGACGAACACAGCCAACCAGGCCTCGGGCACATAGAGCGTTCGTTGTCCGTACCTCACAGCGCCGCAGGGGCTGCCCGAGCATTTGGGGTTTCTTGGGCCTTTCGCTAGACAGCCGGATCGGTGGTATCGTGGCTTGGATCCGGGTCGTTTCAAGGAGGCTCGATCCCGTCCACGGAGACGGTAACATTCGCTAGATAACATATGATCTATCAAGAATCGGCGTGCCTGCGCACGAGGTGGTAGGTGTTGAATGTTGTTACCTGTCTAGGAGGGACCTTATCTACAGCCTACAGGAGGTACCTACCCAAGGTATGCACCTCAGGCACGCGGCATGTGCCAACTCAGCGTGGTAAATCGGGTATCTTAGGTACTCCCTACACGTACTCTTCCGCCATTCTCTTTCCGCCGGAAGGCCCCGTCCCTTGGCCCCATCGGGTGCCTCCCTGCTGCCCCTCCGTATTTACCTACCTACTACCTAGGTAGGTAGGTACGTACAGAGGTAGGTACCTTACATAGCCTATGTATTGTACCTACCTAGGTACCTAAGGTACGCGAGGCCCGTATGGTAAAAGCACCGGATTCTGACGTTGCGATGGGAAGGAAGCTTATCGACTTACGCGTGGGTACGTACGTGAGGTATCCGCCAGACCGTCCGCCTCCCGCTCCTGCTCCTACGCCCCCCCCCCCCCGGCTCACTGGTCGCTGTTGCTGCCATCTTATGCCCCTATCTAGCGCATCTAAGCTGCCTTAGGTTACGACCAGGAGGCAGGAGAGGCAGAGGTAGGCGAGGTAGGAGCGGGGGGAGGGGGCGGGAGGAACGAACAGGTTGAGGTCTCCAACAGCTAAACCAACAAGCTGGACCGGGGGGCGGAGAGGGGGGCCGCACACACAAACTACCACCACCTGTAAACTCGCTAGCTACAGACCGATCGCCATACTTATACCACATGCTACCTAACTCGCTAAGCCTAGAGACACCACGCACGCCTACAACTCGCACATACACCACGCCTACACCATCCATGCCTACGCCATCTGCCTAATTTAGCTGCACTCGCGGCTTAATTGCCCTCGACACGCGACGCTTGATGTGCCTATCTTGGGAAATCCTCGCCGTCGCCTTCACTACATCTGCCGCAGCCTGTTCCTCGGCCTCTGGCCGTCCCGTCGAATCTCTCCCTCCTCACCGTCCGCGGCCTGTCCTCGTCGCTAATGCACGCCATGCCACGTCCGCGAATCGACCTGCCTACCTAAGTCTGGTACCCATCGCCGTCTCTCACCGTGCACCTAATAAGCCGTTAAATTGGCTCGTCCGCATTGCCTTTTCCCCCCACATCAAATTTAGGAAATAAAAGTAAAGAAGGGGAAAAGAAAAGAGAGACAGAAGGAAAAAAAAAAGAGAGCAAGGAGCCGACGCTTCGCATCCAGATAGGGGAGGCCGTCCGAACGAGTCGACGGATCCGGGCAGGGACTCGGGGCTTGGTCAGACAAGCGCTAATATTAGATCTACTTACGGCTTAATTCTCAGAGCGGCTGGGAGCCACATAGCCATCCGCCATGCAGAAATCAGCTGCCACGACACCGACGCATAATGCGACTCCTTTCTTCTCTACCAACATCTGGGGCACCGGCAGCAGCAGCAGCGGCACCAACGGCGCTTCCGCCCACTCCCAGTCGCAGCAGACTAGCGGTGCGAGCACCACCACCACCACCACCACCACCACCAGATCGCGGCCCGGCACCAGTTCTGGCGACCGCGAGAGGGAGAAGGACCGGGACCCCAACGTCCTCGTCAAAGACCGCGAGCGCAAGGCCTCTCTAGGCCGCCGGCCCTCCTTCTCCTCCCCTTCCAAGGGCAAGCAGCGTGGCAGTTCGGCCAATGCCGGCTCGGCGTCTGCCAGCCAGATCAAGACAGACGCTGCTGTACCTCCCGCGATCCCTCCGGACTTCGCCCTGGCTGCCGCCGCCAAGCTGTCGAGGGAGGCCGAGGGCGTCCCGACGCCCGCCTCCGCCGACTCTTTCTCCAGGATAATGGGCCGCGCCGCGCCGACGCCGACGCCGACCAATGGCTTCTACGCAGGTATCGCGACCTCGCCGCCTCCGCTTCAGCACCACGAGATGCCCTCGCTCCACCAGCACATACAAGAGGTCGCCAACAAGAGGATATCGACCTTGGATTACCTGCGCAAAGCGTACGTTCCCTCGAGAACCCCCCCCTTCCCCCCCCCTCTGTCGCGTCTTGTCGACGTGAGTCTCCCGACTGACTTGTATTGTCTGCGATAGCCACGAGGGCCGAGTCTACTGGTTCAACACGCTCCTTTTTGACAAGCCCGACCTAGCGCGCATGCCCTACTTCGACAGCCGCAAGCTCGCCTACCGCGCCACTAACTATCTCCTCCTCGGCCTCTCCCTACCCGCCGTCATCGACCTAAATTCCGCCACCCCCCTCGACTTCCTCCGCTCCCTCAACACCCTTCTCGCCGAGTTCGAAGCTTACCAGCAGATCCACACCGAGAACGGCGTGAACACGAGCTCTCTGTCCCGCGCCCGTCTGCCTAACATGTTCCGCCGGGGTGCTGGGGGTCGGGGTCGGAGACAATCGGGCGCGACCGAGCTATACACGGATGCGTCGAACGGCGGCCTGGCTAGCGGCTCGGCAGTCAACTCGGTGCCTACGAGCGTCATCAATTTCGGCCTGGGCGGCGAGGGCAGCGATCTCCTACCGGGGGAGGAGTACACGCACCTGCTGACGCCGAACCTCCCTTTCGACCCGGATTTTTTCGAGACCTTCGCGACGCTCTGCGACGCCCTGATAGATTGCTATTCCCGGCTGATGACGCTCCTCCCCGCGGCCAAGGACTGCACGCCCCTCATTATGGAGCTGTTCACCAAGGCCGACGCCAAAGTACGCAAGATCATCATCCAGGGCGTCGTCAAGGAGTTTGAAGACTCGAGCCGGACCGGCCTGAGGCAAGAAGTGGCGAACATCGGGAAGGTGGTCCTGGGCGGTTTAGTATGACGACATGCCCAGTTATATGGATGTGTGCATTTGATGGGCGTGACTCGGGGTATTTCGGCGCTTCTTCAGGATTGCTTCAGTATACCATTACGGCATGAGTAGCACGAGCATTATAGCGCTGCAGGCTCTATTTATCTTATCGTTGTTTTATTTACAGGGGAGAGCGGGAGGGCGCAAAGCGTACATACGACGCTGGACGGCATACCACTCGCAAAACCTAGTCGGCGCGAGCATATAAATGAGAGACATCACTGTCGACACTCCGAAGCCTCGGAAGCTGCAGACTATATAATGCAGGAGACGCGACGGGGATGGTTATAATACAAAATAGTGCACAGCGCAAGAAGCGAGTGAAGGTATATATAATAATGTTCATCAGATACCATAACGCATTCGGAAGTCTTCAACGAGCGATACCACGACAGTGGCCCGCCTCAGTGCTTGACTCTTGATTGGTATTCATCACCTGAACGTGACCAATGCGGCGTCGGCCGGCTTCCCAAAACCAACGCCGCATCCCCCGGAAGTCAAGATACGTCTTGCCTCCACTACCGTTCGGGAAGAGCAGCACGGACAGGTGAAAGACTTCCCATGAAGCCCAGAGTTTTGGACGCATTACCACGCTTAAATCCTCCGTCGCGGCAGTAAGGCGAGAGGCAGAGAGAAAAAAAATCCAACATTCCCACGATGAACCCCCTCGCACCAAGAATAAGCCCCATCGAGTAACCACGCCCGAACTCCTTCGAAAAGGGGGGAGGCGAGGCAATCGCATTACTTTCAATCTCGACAAAAAGGGTGTCCGACACCCGGTCGTACGTCTGACCAACCCAGCCCGTGGGGAACCACGGCCAAACTGCCCATCAGCCCACTGCCGAAGCGGCGCCGAGAGAGAGACACCGTTGCCGCGAGAACCAAGAGCGCGGGCTCGTATCTTCGCCCATATCCCCGGAAGGGGTTGTCTCGAGGCCCCGAAGCAGGAGCGGGCCGGTTTCCCTCGGGCGCGCAACGGAAATCAGCAGCACCAATTTAAGCGGCAGAAAGGGGCGGCTCGCGAACGGAGGAGGGATAGAGGAGAGACGGCGGCCGGGGAGACATGAGCCGCGGTGCTTCTATGGCGGCGCGTTTCCGCACGGGTCTTAGCCTCGCGCCCGAAAAGGCGACGAGAAAAAACCCAGTCCGGGGACTTTCTCCCGAAGCAATCCGGAGATGGAGGGGAGACGGGCCCCGGAGGGACCATCTCTGTGTGTAGCTTCGATAGCGATTTGTTGGGCGAGGGGGTCGTTAGGAGGAGAAGAGGGGGAGGAAGAGCAAGAGGGAGGAGGAACTAGGAGACTATATATGAGTAGGAGGATTAAAAAAAAAAGAAATTTTATCAGAGCTGGTCAGAGCTTCCTCCACTATGAGGTAAAGTGGACCCTACTGTGTGAATACCACCAACTCTATATGGTGCCTACACTGTGTATACCTATGAGATATACCTTACAAACATTACCTAAACACCTTAGGTAGCTGGGTACCTACCTACCTAGGTACCTAGATACCTGACAGTACTAGATGTAATTAAATACATAGAGGCACTGTACCTTTTTAAAGATTTTTCTATTAATAAGTGAGATACCTATATCTTAGTGCTGTTTCTAGACCTCAAAGCACGTAGAATGTATAGTATTGTCAGGGTTATAAAAAAAGTTTAAGTTTTTAAGTTAAGTTAAGTTAAGTTAAGTTTTTTAAATTTAAGTTAAGTTAAGTTTAAGTTTATGTTTAAGTTTTTTTAAGTTTTTTATATTAGAAATATATACGAATTTTATTATTTGTATATATTTTATGCATTTTATACTTTTATACCTTAATATATTTATAGAAAAAAAAATTTAAAAATATATATATTTATTATTATTTTTCTTAATTAATTAAAATTTCTCTTTTAAAATTTATATATTTTTAATTAAGTTTTATTAATAGATTTTTAATTATAAACTTTTAACATTAAGGTTTTAAGTTTAAGTTTTCTTTTATAGCTATTTTTCATTTTTAAGATATTACTATTAGATTCTTTTAATATTGCTTTACTTATATTAAATTACTAAAATATAAAATAAAATTTAAATATTAAAATATTATATTAAAATAAAAAGATAAAAATATAAAAGTATAAGAATATTTCTTAATAATAATATAAATATAAAAATAAAGTAAATATTTTATATTAATAATAATAAAAATTTAAATTATAATTAGTATTAAAAGAAATTCTTTTATAAAAATAAAAAAATTTTTAACTTTTCTAAAGTTTTTAAGTTAAGTTTAAGTTTTTTTTAAAAAAAAGTTTAAGTCAAGTTAAGTTTTTTTAAAAACCTCTTTTTTTAAGTTAAGTTTAAGTTAAGTTCGAAATTTCTTAAGTTAAGTTAAGTTCGGGCCGAACTTAACTTAAAACCCTTTTTTTACAACCCTGAGTATTGTGCGTATCTGTATGCCTAGGCATCTCGGTACCTAAAAGGTCAGTACCAGGTAGGTACCTATCTACCTATGCACCTTGAGGTCTCAGTTGGGAGGCGTACCTGCCTAGGTTTGCTAGGTTTGCTACGCACCTAATTATACGCACGTCTGATTGGGTAGAATCTTCCTCACCTGGGAAGGCTCCTAGGCACGTACTTGCCTTGTTCACGCGGGTCATTGCTCCACCTAAATTCTAAGCTTCACACCTGTTACCAGCCTCTTATGCTCTGCCTCTTCTCTGTCTTCTTCTTCATCATCCCCTCCGTCCACATCGAGAGAGACGGCACACCAGCATAAAGCACCGTGTTGATACACGCAACACATTGCCTGTCAACACCAACACTCGTCTCCCTACGAGTTACGCAAGTCTACCCATCGACCGGCCCATCAGCACCACAGCACTAGCCTGCCACATTCTACTTCTCCCAAACCGCTAAGGTCGTGATGCGACGGAGTGTCCTCTAGACCTCATCATCGTCTTCCATTCTATCTCTTCCACCGGCTTGCCATATTCGCCATCCTAAGTCCTCTGGAAACCAGCCCGATTGATCCATCGAAAGTTGTTACCATTACTGCTACTACTCCAAGTAGCTAGTAACTGCTCAAGATGTCCGGCTTATTCGGCAATGCCTCTTCATCTGCCTCTAGTAGTAACACTATTGGTGATCTGAAGAATGATGTTGCTATCTCCAATCCTCCCGAAGACACCGTCTCAGGCCTCTCCTTCTCGCCTACGTCCGACATTCTAGCCGTCTCGAGCTGGGACAAGAAAGTCCGCATCTACCAGATCGCGCCCAACGGTTCAAGTGAAGGAAAACACATGTACGAGCATGATGCTCCGGTCCTCAGTGTAGATTTTTCCAAGGTGAGCCAACACAGGCCTTGATCCATCCTCTCCCGGAGTTCGCCACCAGGGCGCCATGGATGCTAACACACGCATGTCTAGGACGGCAACAAGGTTGTCTCCTCCGGAGCCGACAAGCAGGCCAAGGTTTGCGACCTCCAAACCCTCCAGACCGCCCAGGTGGCCGCCCACGACCAGACCGTTCGATGCGCGCGCTTCTTCGAGTTGCCCAATTCCAACGGTCCCATGCTTGTGACAGGCTCCTGGGACAAGACCGTCAAGTACTGGGATCTCCGAACCAGCAACCCGGTCGGAACTGTGGCATGCCAGGAGCGCGTCTATTCCATGGATGTGCGCAATTCGCTTCTTGTCATCGGAACTGCCGATCGATACATCAATGTCATCAACCTGCAGGATCCCCTCAAGTTCTACAAGACTCTCCAGAGCCCACTCAAGTGGCAGACTCGGGTGGTGAGCTGCTTTACCGACGCTACTGGATTTGCAATCGGAAGTATCGAGGGACGATGCGCTATTCAATACGTGGAGGACAAGGACTCGGGGTAAGTTGCTGAAATGGGCACGTTGCAGTTTGAGAACTACTTCTTCTCACGCGTCTACCCGCCTTATTTCTCCCTTCCTACTAACAATTCGGACGTGCAGCTCCAACTTCTCATTCAAGTGCCATCGAGACCCGCCCCAGGGCAATACTACCCAGGTCTACTCAGTCAACGATATATCCTTCCACCCTCAGCACGGAACGTTCAGCACGGCTGGTAGCGATGGTACGTTCCACTTCTGGGACAAGGACGCGAAGCACCGCCTCAAGGGCTATCCTACCGTCGGCGGTAGCATTACCGCCACGACATTCAATAGTAGCGGCAGCATATTCGCCTACTCGATCGGCTATGATTGGAGCAAAGGCTACATTGGTAATAGCCAGAACTATCCGAACAAGGTCATGCTTCACCCCATCCAAGGCGACGAGTGCAAGCCCCGCCCTAGCGTCAAGAAGCGATAGAACCGAGGAGAAGGGCAGCTAGGGTCGGGATCAAAAGAGGGGGAAGATAAGCTGCCGCAGAAAGGTACAGATCTATGAAGTGGTGACGGGACAAGGGGGAAAGAAGGGGGGAAAGGACTGGGACACAGGCCTATGCTTTTGCTAACGGAGGCTACTAGCCTGACAGGTGGTTTGCGGCGTCCAATGTAACGGTCGGAAGGGAGAGGGAATTCCGACAGAAGTATAGATGCGAGTCCTGCGTAATCTCCCCCCGAAACGCACCTTTTCTCTCACGGGAGATTCTGCTTCTTTTCGAGGGAGAGACACCTAGTGGAGTGAAAAATAATTATCTGAAAAAAAGAAGAAATTAATGAGGGATACCCTATGATACGGAGGGAGGGGGGCAGGCAGAGTGATACCCAAGTGAGTAAACGCGAGTGGGCGGGCGGTCGGGTGGTCGGAGTGCTGCTCTACTGTTAGGGACGCTCGCTCTTATGTTGGGTCAGATAAGATGTAATAGTATGGGGACAAGTCATGCGCAGTTAGATCTAGATAGGTAAATAGGTAAATAGACATACCTGTGCAGACCAACCGACCCCCGCGCACACCAACACACCGCACCTAGGGTTTGCGCCCACCACTCTGCCTCACCAACTCGCCCTCCCATCCTCCCTCGCGGCCGGGCAGTCGAATGCTCTCCCGGGCCTGCCGCGTGCGAGGCGAGACCGAGCGGCCCGTCCTCGACGCCCTGTGATAATGTGCTACTGTGTTTCTCTATCTATATATCCATGTCTGCCCCGAAGCATCCTACTGGTGTTCTGAGAGCAGTATTCGCAACAGCTATGCTGGAGGCAGCTAGTTTCCGCGCTATGTTGCGTTACACATCAAGAAGTGGATCTAGGGTGTTGCCTTCAACTACTTGTATAGCGTCTTTCGGGCAGAGGATAGATAATCTAGGTTGCTCTGCTGTCAACGTAGCTAGTAGGTAGGTGCCAAGGCAAGTTACACCTGGGTCTGGTATAAGTCTCTCTGGTCGGCTTAATAATTAGACTGGTTGGTTGGCCCCTTGCGGGTTCGACTAGTCGGAACTACATCATGACGATTTACTAAGGCCTGGCTCGTGATAGGCTTTCGATCGGCATATATAGAGCCTCAATTCCTCGGCGAGTGCCATCGCCTCTTCTAATCTAGATACCCGTCGTTGCGTGTAGTGAAGTTTACGCGCACTCAAAGTAACTAACTGCTCCTGTCTGGTAATAGCTGTGTAGTAAGAGTAGTTGAGCTAGGCTAATGAATTCGGTGGGTTTTTTAAAGCTTGGTAATCGTTCAGACCCATCTTGAAAAGTAACCTTGTGACTACCGGTTTATGTACATAATTTATGCAGTTCTTAGATAATTTATTATCTTATCTGGAAGGTAATTAATTACCTATACAGTAGGACCGTCTACGAGTGGGAAAATCACGGAGGGGAAGAGGGGCGAAGGATGGGGGGTAGGCTCTGTGCAACGCGCCCTACTAACGACAAAGCTCTGCGCCTTAGTAACGACAAGCTGCGGCTAGGTAACAAGTAGAAAAATATGCTGGCGGGGTTTGTTGCCAGGTTGCCTGTTACACGCCCACCTCGTGTTACCAACCAGGCTTAAATAGGAGACCTTGCTGGACTTCGAAAAAAAAAAAAAGGCTGTTTGCCTTAAACCCGTCCGATTTGGGCTTCCTCCACCACTTTACCACCTCCAGGACAGCCTCGACGAGCTCGCAAAATGGCCTCTATACCAGCCGACAAGCTCCAGAAGCTCGACAGTCAGCGTGCCCACCTTCCTAACTACCCCTCCCCCTCCCCGCTGCTCGAGCCGTTCTGGCTGACAGACGTCTTGTAGTCTCCGACGCTGGAGGCGCCAATGGCAAGGCTGCCTCCTCAGCGAAAGGCGCCAAAGACGAGGATGCGGCAGAGAAATCTGGCGGGGACTCAGACGATGACGCCGACGAACAACATGCGGAACCTGCACCGGGTGCCGCCAAGAAGAAGAACAAGAAGAAGAAGCCAAAGAAGAAGAAGAAGGCCGCTCCCACTGCCCAGACCGACCCCCCAAGCGTCTTGATGTCCCAGCTCTTCCCGAACAACACCTACCCCAAGGGCGAGGAAGTCGAGTATAAAGACGAGAACCGCTACCGCACTACCAGCGAAGAGAAGCGCCACTTGGACAACTTGAACAATGACTTCCTGATCGACTATCGACACGCGGCCGAAACGCACCGTCAGGTGCGCCAGTGGGCCCAGAAGAACATCAAGCCCGGCCAGTCGCTGCTGGAGATTGCCGAGGGCATCGAGAATAGCGTACGGCGCCTGGTCGGCCACGACGGGCTGGCAGAGGGCGACGCCAAGATCGCGGGAATGGGCTTTCCGACCGGCCTGAACCTGGATCACATCGCTGCCCACTTCTGCCCGAACGCGGGAAACAAGACGATTCTGCAGCAGAGCAATGTCATGAAGGTGGACATCGGCGTCCACGTCAACGGCAGGATCGTTGACAGCGCCTTCACCATGGCATTTGACCCCATGTACGATAACCTGTTGGCTGCCGTCAAGGACGCGACCAACACGGGAATTAGAGAGGCGGGCATCGACGTCCGCCTCGGCGAGCTCGGCGGATACATTCAAGAGGCGATGGAGAGCTACGAATGCGAAATCAACGGCACCACCTACCCCATCAAATCGATCCGAAACCTCAGCGGCCACACGATCCTACCCTACAGCATCCACGGAACCAAGAGCGTCCCCATCGTCAAGTCCTCCGACGCCACGAAGATGGAGGAGGGCGACGTGTTCGCCATCGAGACCTTTGGTAGCACCGGAAACGGCTTCGTCCACGACGACGGGGAGGTCTCTCACTACGCCCTGCGCAGCGACGCGCCCAAGGTCGACTTGCGCTTGTCTTCGGCCAAGTCGCTCCTGAACGTGATCAAGAAGAACTTTGACACCATCCCATTCGCGCGCCGGTACCTTGACAGGCTCGGCCAAGAGAAGTATTTACTGGGAGTGAGCAACCCCTCCCTCTTCCTTCGCTGCCTCTCTGTTCCTTGTCTTCTTTTTTTCATTCTTTTTTTTCACTGCGTACCTGACGTGCTGTTAGTTGAACAATCTCGTCCAGACGGGAATCGTGGAGGATTACCCGCCCCTTCTGGATAAGAAGGGCTCGTACACGGCCCAGTTTGAGCACGTAAGTTTCCGATTACTCGCGCAGGCGCTGCGAACGGTGATGGATTAACTCATGGCCTCTAGACTATTCTGCTCCGACCTACGGTGAAAGAGGTCATTAGCCGCGGCGAGGATTACTAGGCGAGCGGCGAGAACATTCTACGGATAGCAGATAATCCGATGTCTATTCCTTTCCGACGCGATGCGGGAAGGGCATTAAGCGGTAGCCGCATTGTGCGCCCGTATTTTAGGGTTATATAGCTCAGGCCATCTCATATTTCCTAGGTTTCTACCTAGCACCCTGGTCTGAGGGGACGTGGCATGTGAAAGCGTGAGCCGTGCGGTGAAATATGCGGTGTGAGGTCGCGAAGGCCGACTGGGCGCCTCCGAAGAGGAGAGTAGCCTAGACAGACAAAAGACCCCATACTCAAGCCGGGAGCGTCGCGCCGGGAATTCACCGCGACTTCCGACCCCGCTAGGAAGTCGGTCTAGCATTCGTTATGTGGCTTTTCTACGTATGCATATCATCACCGGATATAGGTAGGCTAGGTACGAAGCCGAACGCCGGTGTGGCGGACTGGGGCGGCGATTGATGACTTGCTGCACGCGCTATTGGCGGGTGCCCGTAGGTCGGTGGCGGCATCGGCTACGGCTTCGCTCGACGTGTACGGCGCTAACCCGGCGCACGCTACGGGGGACGGACACGGGTCCGTCATTAGACACACCATAGGCAGGTAATGTGGTGTGCGTATTTCGCGCGCAGTGACGGTGTAGCGTGTATGTTAGGGAGGCAGTTCGGATGCGCGGCCAAGCCAAGGCCTCTTGGGCTTTGGGCGTTGGGAGAGATGCGTAGGTACATCAACACCGACACTTGGGTGCATATGTACGTGCGCATATACGTATGTATGTTAGCCACCTGACGCTCGGGGATGCAGGAGGACGGAGGCGGATCGACAAATGATCTCAGTCCGTTATCGCGGTGATCGCCCCAACGGATGGCGACGCTGCGGGGAGTGGTTAAGGGGCAGAGAGGAGAGAGAGATGGCCCCTGTCGTGCCAAGCTGCCCGGCGGGAGGGGGGACGAGGAGGAGGAGGAGGAGGAGGAGGAGGAGGAGGAGGAGGAGGAGGAGGAGGAGGAGGAGGAGGAAGAGGCGACTCTCTGCTGAGGTGAGAGAGCCTAAGGTCAAGTTATGTAGGTACTTATGCATGTGTACGGGTTGTGCAATGGCTGGAACCGTCTGGTGCGGCCACCCGCGGAGAGGCATCATTAATATGTAGTAGACAGTCATATCTATCTACTTAGGATGGGACATGAGGGAACAAGATGTCGCTCACTCTGCGTCACCTAGCACGTAGCAACATATGAGTACTCCTCATACATATGCACATCCCGCCCGGTCCTAGCGATTGGCCCCCCCCGCTCTGCGCTTGTCCAACAGGTGGTCCGAGCTCTCCAGCCCCACCCGAAGCGGGAGAGAGCCAATGGCAGGGCGGTGCTTTGTCGAACCGGCCCGGGCTATTTTCTGCGCTAGACTCCGCGCTAGATCAGGCCAATCCTTAGAGGGAAATTCCAACGAGGTCCAGTGGAGCACAGTGCCCCCACCTGCCGAAGATTGCCGGGTAGAAGTGGGAATCGATAAGGCAATGACAAGTTACCTGCCCGTGGGTCTTTCCAAGTTTCTCGCCCGTACCGATCCGGGGGGGGGGAGGAGATCATTTTGGCTTCTGATTGAATGAAATTTTTCTCAAGCAGGCCTGTCACTCAGCATCGTCTCTTATTATCGACCACCTCCCGCGCTCCCGAGACTCCCTTCTCAAATCCCCCTTCTCTTCCCAACCATTCGACAATTATTTCCCATTCAAAAGCCCACCCATCGTTTTACGCGACGGCACATTCGGGTCTGCGTCGAAGAAAGGGGGAAGGAGACGAGGCACCAGGGGGGGCCTTGGTTTTTTCATTCTCTTCGTCTCTCCTGCGGTATTCGGCCAGGTAATTCACATCCCGATCTCCGACCGACTCGCAGCGCTGTATCCTATTACAAAGGTGGTAGTGTGCGCGCCACGCTGAGTACGTCGCTGACGCATCCATTTCTCTGCACGCAGATACTCCGTTTATACCTCATCCCCGCCCGGGAGGTTCCGATTCTGCCGGAGGACTTTTGCACGCTCCTTTTACCGACTTATCGGGACTGTCGACGCTCTCCCACCATGAAGGTCTTCTCGAGCACGCACACGTTCAACTACTCGTGGGAGGAGGTATCGACCGCCAACTGGCGGAAGTACTGTCCCTGGAACGACAAGTCGACGCATGTCATAGCCGTCGACACCCTCGCGCGCTCCGTCGACCCCGCGACCGGCATATTGCGCACCGAGCGCCTCATCACCTGCAAGCAATCGACGCCCGAGTGGCTCAAGTCCATCATCGGCTGCATGGAGACGAGTCGGGTGTTTGAGACGTCGTACGTCGACCCCGCCGCGAAGACGGTGACGATGGTGTCGCAGAATATCACCTGGTCGAACCTGGTCAACGTTCAGGAGACGGTGGTCTACCGGCCGCTCGACGGGCACCGGACCCAGTTCCAGCAGGACGCGCGCATCACCGCCCTCTGCGGCGGCTGGCAGCGCATCAAGAACAGCATCGAGGACACCCTCGTCACCCGCTTCCACGAGAACGCCGTCAAGGGCAAGGAAGGGTTCGAGTGCGTCCTCGCCATGAGCCGTCGCGTGTTCGCCGAGGAGCGCGAGCGCGAGCGACTCCGCGGCCAGGACCGGATGTTGGCGTAGACGCAGACAGCGGGCCCACGCCCAAATGAAACAAATTCATTAAAAAAAAAAAAGACATGAGACACTTCTTCGACGGCCTGGGACTCAGGATGCTCCTTCTACGAACAGTAAGAGGGACTATTCGAATTAGAATCGGATAGACGATGGGCATTATTTGGTTGTTTCTTCCAGGAGTCCGTCCCCAGCGAGGGGATAAAGCGGGAGAACCGAGTAAGGGCTCTATTTGGTTTGACTAAAGGCAAAAGCACGGCGTTCCGGCATACCCAGCACAGCAGAGAGATGCGTGTGCTGTTCCTGTTTTCAATAGAGGGGGAAAAAAAGGTTTCGGCCATTGGGATGGATGACGCAATTCTGGGGGCATCGGTCCGCCCGCCCGCCTCTCAATTTTTGTTATATACCCCTCGACAGCTTCGCGAACCAACGAACGACCAGAAGGGGGAGATACCAGAGACGGGCTCGCCGATTGCCAGATATAGATGTATAGACATTTAGCTCTCTGCGGCCTCGCCAGAGCTACGCATAGAATACAATACTACGCCTCTCTGCCCCACACCGTGCTCTTCTCTCGTTCTCATCTCGTGTGTGGTTCTACGGTGTCACCGATCTCGTTGACGTGAGACTTGTACCCCACGCTAGAGGGGCCGTTGCCACGTAGGTACAGCGCCCGTTGGGGCATCCGTCATCCTAACCCACGTACGTATCCGAGGAGGAGAAACTGCCACGGGCTCCCGCCTCTATCTATCTGTGCGCTCTCGCGCTTCGCCTAGCTACCCGGTACTCGACCCGCTCCCGCTCCGTGGCCCCCCTACTCTCCCTAGGTATATTGTGTGTCACTTTCCACCTACGGCCCGTCCCTCCAGAGTAGCAGCAGCAGCAGCAGCGGCGGCGGCGGCGTCGGCCCTCTCGCGGCACCGCACCTCGTAGTAGCGCAGCGCGGCGCGGGTGTCGCCGTCCAGGGCCGCCTCTCGGTGGCCGTCGTCGCCGCGCTCCGCCGCAGCGAGGGCCGCCCGCGCGAACTGCGCCGCCGCCGCGTACCGCCGGAAGAAGTAGAGCTCCTCGACGGCGTGCAGGAGGGCCTGCGCGGCGGGCTTGGGCACGCGGGGCGAGCGCGACGAGAGCGGCGAGAGCGCCGTGCGGTGGATCTGCGGCGCGGGAGTATGATAGTGTGAGGATGGGTGGGAGATGGTGGCGAGGAGAAGAAGAATGAGGAGGGAAAAAAGGGAAGAGAATCCTGCTGTTAGAAAGGGGGAGGCGAGGGGAGGCTTTGTTCTGGTGCTCGGCGTGTCCGAGGGCGCGGGATGGCGATAAATGCTGTTGGGCGCGTGGGGGGTTTAGGAGAAGGGAAGGAGAAAGAGGCAAAGAATGGAACGAGGAAGAAGGGTGGCGAGGCGAGGCGTGGCGGCGGGGATGTGCGAGTACGAGGGATAGAAGAATTGCTTCGGCCGTGGGCGACAGACGATAGAATGAGGGACGGACAGGGTGGGTGAAGAGAAGACGCGACATACCTCGCCGTTCTCGACTTTGGCCCGGTACGCCCGCCGCACCGCCTGGAACTCGGCCTCCGACTGCGCCGTGCGCTCGTCTCGCGCGCTGCCGCCGGCGTCGGTGTCGGAGGAGGAGGAGGAGGAGGAGAGCTGCATCGCGAGCAGGTCTGAGCTGTCGGGGTCCATCGCCGGATTGGCCTAAATTCTAAATAAGTAGGCGGGTAGGAAAGTGTGTTGCAGAATTATGATGTGTTTCCGCGCGCGGCGCAAGTATTAAGGGGTGGATATCGTTAACTGGTAGTTTGCGCCTCTAGGTAGAGTATGAATAGAGCGAGATGATACCTGAAGAGATGAATTGAGAGCCGTGGTTCGCTCGGGTTGACATCAGCGTGCATTATCGCACATCTACCCCCTATAAGGATAGGCGAGCAGGTAACGGGGTGTAACGCTGGTTACCGACCTAGGTATACCTAGGTACACTATAGCGGGGTGAGGTGAGTAGGGTAGGTTAGTTCCCATCTGCCAAACTGGTGCCATCATCTACCTACTGAAGGCAGCTATTTTGATTACGACCTAACTGCAAGCTGATGTTGTATACATACACATACGCATAGAGACAATAGGTATAAACCCGATTTCTCAAATATCCTTCATTTCTTTCTTGTTTTTTTCTTCCTTGGCGCCGTCAGTGATTCTGCGGCACTTGCTTCCTCTCCCTTTTCTCCCCCTAGTACACCACACAACGATACCCGGCCGTAGAGCCGCAGCACTCAGATGGACGACCAGGTCACCCGCCTGGTGGATAAGGCGTGGGGGAAGCTTCAGCAACTCCCCGACGACCGCCGGCTTCGTAAGTGGTGCACCATACCACGTCCCATTTAACACGCCAGCACCCCTTCTCCGAGGGCGAAGGACATAGCTTACTAGGACATATCACGTCTCTAACCCCTTTCCCCCTCCTTTAGTGATCGCTATAGCCGGCATCCCGGGCTCAGGTTCGTAGTCTCCACCCGAACCCAGCTCCGCAGCCGGCGCCAGCCCATCTCACCGGCCCCGCCCAGGGAAAACGACGCTCTCCAAAGCCGTAACGGCGGCGCTGAACGCCCGGCACGCGGCGCAGAACCCAGGCCCTGCCGGCTCGGCGGCGGCGGCGGCGGCGGCTCCGATCGCCGTCTTCGTGCCCATGGACGGGTTCCACCTGACGCGCGCGCAGCTGTCAGCGATGCCGGACCCGGCGCGGGCGCACGCGCGGCGCGGCGCCGAGTTCACGTTCGACGGGGCGGCGTTCCTGGGGCTGGTGCGGGCGCTGCGGGGGCCGGCGACGGCGACCGTGTACGCGCCGAGCTTCGACCACGCCGTCAAGGACCCGCGGCCCGACGACATCGCGATCCTGCCGGCGCACCGCGCCGTGGTGCTCGAGGGCAACTACGTGTGCCTCGACCGCGAGCCGTGGCGCGCGGCCGCCGCGCTGGCCGACGAGCGCTGGTTCGTCGCCGTCGACGCCGCCGCCGCCCGGCGCCGCCTCGTCGCCCGCCACGTCCGCGCCGGCATCGCCCCCGACGCCGCCGCCGCCGCCCGCCGCGCCGACGAGAACGACCTCGTCAACGCCCAGCAGATCCTCGCCGAGCGCCTCGACGTCGACGAGCTCGTCGTCAGCCGCGAGGACGCTGCGTGGGTCCACGATTAGCGGCGGGACGGATGCTGTGCCTAGGGGAAATAAAAGGGGGGAGGAGGTTCGTGTCTGAGCCAAACGGGAACGTGTTGCGAAGCGAGATGGCGATGGTTACGCACTACGTGTGTATAGTAAATCTATATCCCTGGTGCCTACCATCATGAAAGGTTCTTCTTTCTGAGACGTTGGAGGATCTCGCTTCGGTAGTGACCAGCGATTACGATTCTGTTGACGAAAAAGGGGGAGAGGGGCCGATGACCTGTCAAGTGCAAGTCGGTATAGCTGAACAATTTGTTATGCATTGCATACCTAGGTATCTCTTTCCTCTGTCCCCTCTCTTTCCTCTCTTTCCTCCCTCACGGCCTTATCTATGACGGATTTGGAAGGAATGACCGTTGTTGAAGCTTGAGTCACAGCTTAGACCCTCTGACGTCATCCGCTCGTGGCGACATTTAGCTGTACTTTCCTTCCACTGCTATTGCGTGATAGATGTGCCCTTACCGCTGGTTGTGACCATCACCAGGTCAAATCCCCCCCGACCTCCAGTGCCCACCGAAACCAACCCTCTCCCTTTCCACTTCTTCCCCAACACCATCCCCCAAACCCAAGCTCAGCGGGTCGCCCAAGTCGACAGAGGCCCCAGGGATGCTTTGCAAAGCACAGCGATGTTTCAACTAATAGCAGACGGGCTCAGATGATCCTAGCCGTAGCTCGGACTCACGCATCCAACAGAGATCCCATGCAAAGAGCCGATAGCGAAGCCAACGAATGGCCAGTAAGATGCTCCCGTCCAGCGGTTGTGCGAGCATGTTCTCGTGTGCTTTCAGGCATCACTGCCGCAGTCTCCCACAACGCAGAGTAGAGGTAGCGGCCGCTCACGCAGAAGCAGCGAATCTGGACAATCTAACGTCCGTATTTGCCCTCCATCCATCCATGGGAGACATGCCAAACCCAGGCTGCTGCCGAAGACGTGGCGTGGCCCGCGAGGTGACCATGCCGCTGATTCACCTATTCCCATTCGCGAATGCAGCCTCGTCGGTGTGTTCGCTCTGCATGGAGAGACATAAAGATTGCGTGCCAGTAAGTCCGAGGGACTACGCGAGTTTCGTTGACGGAATGCTAACGCGTATCAACGGTTCTCATATCTATCCTCTGGGCCTCCGGAATGCCCTAGTTACCCCCGTATAACCCTTCTAGTTATCCTCCTGATACCTAGATCAACGGTTCATCAGGTTCAGCATCCTAAGATTCTAACGTTAGTTGCTTACCGACTGGTGTTGTGGAATCACAGGAAGCGGACTTAGCCGGGAAACACAGGTTTGCAAACATGGGAACCCTGCCGTTAGCCTTAACCCTAAACTTCCCCGTCTTTTGACGATCCCAAGAGAGGTTTCGACGAAGCTACTAACTACTCGACTCGCTTACGCGGAACATGTTCACAGCCGGATATACAGTTGGCTTTCTGTGAGAAGCGTTTGGTTCGCTGAGAACAACTTTGACGTGTACCTACTTGGAGATAACGGTGGTAAGGGTAAGCTAAACGGCAAGATAAGGATATCTGATAAAGATGACAAGTGCCGAGAGGCTATCAAAAGCCTAACAGAAGTAAAGGACAAGGGGCATGTTGTGAGGACATATATTGGTTTAGGCCGTAAATACGGGGTAGATAGATAACAGAGCCCCTGTGAACCCGATAAACACTCCTATCTAGGTATATAGGCCATGTCAATGTTGCGTAGCCTGTGCATTGATCATAAATATTCATCAAATAGGTACCTAGAATGCCCCACTATAATTTTGCCTACATTTTATCGGCAGGTTTAAGAGCCGTGACGAATTGTCAAGCACAACAAGAATTAAAAACTCACCAGAGGGTCCTTAAAAATAGCCCCCGCCCCCAAATCTTTTGCCATAACTGTCATAGCCATGGCCGACGCAGATTTCGGAGCCGGATCGCCCCGAGCCTCGCCGGCAGCGGCGATAACCCATGACGACGCCCCATCGAAGAAGAAGCGCAAACCGCAGGTCGACGAGATCGAGGTCGACCTGTCGTTGCCGGAGCCGCCGTCGAAGCGCGCGAAGCGGCTGCTGAAGAAGGGGAAGCCTCTCCCGGCGAAGACGCAGAGCGACGACGACGCGGACGAGGGCGAGCCCAACGACGGGCTGGCGGTGCCGGCGAGGCGGGAGCGGGGCGCGAAGGGCGGCGACACGAAGAACAACAAGAAGAAGCAGGGCGACTCGGCGGCGGGTGCGGCGGGCGGCAGCGGCAAGCGCGCGGAGCACGGCGTGTGGATCGGCAACCTGCCGTTCACGCTGACGCGGGTGGAGCTGTTCCGGTGGCTGGTGGAGAGCTCGGGGGGCGCGATCGCGGAGGCGAACATCACGCGGGTCAACCTGCCGACGAGCAAGGACGGCGGGGGGCGGGACCGGAGGCGCGGGGGCGGGGGCGGGGGCGACGGCGACGGCGAGGAGGGCGCGCCGCCGAAGCCGCAGAACAAGGGCTTCGCGTACGTCGACTTCGACGGGGCGGCGGCGGCGGTGGCGGCCATGGCGCTGACCGAGACGGAGCTCCGCGGGCGCAAGGTGCTGATCAAGAGCGCGACGTCGTTCGAGGGGCGGCCGGCGAAGGAGGGTAACAGCAGCACCACAACCGACGGCAGCGGAACAGCGAAGAACGCGGCCGCGGCCGACGCCGGCAGCAGCAAGATCTACGTGGGCAACCTGCCCTTCCAGACGGACGAGGACAGCCTGCGGGCGCACTTCGACAAGTGCGGCGAGGTGGAGTGGGCCAAGGTGGCCACGTTCGAGGACAGCGGCAAGTGCAAGGGGTACGGGTGGGTGCGGTTCCGGGACGCGGCGGCGGCGGCGGCGGCGGTGCGCGGGTTCGCGCGGGTCCGCGAGGCGGCGGAGACGGAGGCGGACTTTGCGAGCAGCGACGGCGAGGACGAGGACGAGGGCGAAGACGGCGCGGAGTCGCCGCCGCGGCAGCAGCAGCAGAAGAAGCGCCCGAACGCCGACAGGTTCAAGACCCGCAAGTGGTGGGTCAACCGCCTGCGCGGCCGCGAGCTCAAGATCGAGCTCGCCGAGGACGACGCCGCGCGGTACAAGAAGCGCTTCGGCGGCGGCGGCGGCGGCGGCGGCGGCCGGGGAGACGCCCGCGCCCGCGGCCCTGCGTCCGCGAAGCCGGGGCTCCGCGGGGGCGAGAAGAAGAAGACGGCGACGAAGAAGGAGCCCCCGCCCCCCGCTGCAGACGCAGACGCAGACGCGGACGCGGACGCGAGGTCTCCCGCCGAGAGACACCGCAACAGCGCCGCGTACGGCGACGCGGGCGCCATGTCGTACCGGACGGGCGCGGTCGCCGCGTCCCGGGGCTCCAAGAAGATCACGTTCGACTGAAGACTCGGAAAACCCAAACCCCCGAAGGGAGACTACGACGGCTGCGTGCGGAGCGTAGCGCGCGTGTATATATGCACCTACATAGAAGATTACGAGCGCGTGTTGGGGAGAGCATATTCCCCGCACTGCCTACGAAAAAAAGAAGAAAAAAGGGGGAGAACGAGTCGTTTCCGAGAACGCGAGGCACGCTCGCTCGGATGTACGCGGGGGTTGCCTACCGAGACCTGACACGGGAGAGCGCCCGAGGATCCCAGACAGCAACATAATATAACGCTACCTCGAGAGACATCCCAAGCCTTTCTTTCTTTCTTTCTACCCGCTTAGATGTCGCACTCACATACAAACGTGCTCGTGCTTCCATCCATTCCCCCGCTCTACTCCTCATCCAAGAGAACCAACGTAGCCAACTCTTCTCGGTATTCTAAACCTAACCTCGGTCGGTTCGTTCTCGCTTTCCACGACGGCCTCTTCTCAAAACCTAACAACATCTATCTGCAACTCTCCCCCCCCAACACCCCAATCAGGATGGAATCGAGCCTCCGTCCCCAAACGCCCATCTCAATACCTCTCCAGCACCCACCGCCGCCGTTCCTCGGCCCCCATGGGTTCGAGGAGCCGGAGCTCGGCTTCCTTGACATCGACGTACCGGCGCACGAAGGCGGCGTCGAAGCCGAGGCGCGGCGCGTCGCGCTCGAGCGCCGCGAGAGCCGCGCGCAGGTCCTCGGGCAGCTGGGTCGTGATGCCCAACGCCGCACGCTCTTGGTCCGAGAGGAGTGCGGGGTCGTCGGCGCAGTCGCCCCACGTGAGCTGCACGCTCCCTAGGATGCCCGCCGTGCCCGCCGCGAGTATCGCGGCGGCGGCGAGGTACGGGTTCGCGAGGCCGTCTATCGTCTTGAATTCCCAGTGCGCGCCCTCCACCTTGCGCAGCGGCGCCTCCTTGTTCTGGGTGCCCCACGTAACCCACCGCCCTCCCGCCCACCCGCTGTCCACCATCCGCTCGTAGCTCGTCGGGTTGCTGTACGTGAACGCCAAGATTGCGTCTAGATGGCTTAGGATGCCGGCGTAGAACGACTCGTAGACCGCAGGAGAGGAGGAGGAGGGCGACGACGACGACGACGATACCGACAGGTGCAGGTGCGAGGCGGTCCCGCACGCCCCGGCAAACGGCTTCGGGTGTAGTGTGATCCGGAAGCCGTGACGGGCGGCGACTGACTCGAGGATCTGGCGCGCGTGGAGCAGCGTGTCGCAAGCCTCGAGCGGTGGCAGAGCCGGTAATACGATCTCGTACTGACCGGGCGCGCTCTCGGCATGGAACTGCTCGACCGCGATGCCGGCCGCATCGAGACTATCTAGTATCTCGTCGGCGGCTGTGGCGAAACTGCCCTCGCGGCCCCAGTCTGCCAGCGCCCTCGCCATCGACCAGGCGTGACCGTCGTTCCGCAGCGTGGAATACTTGTCCACGCTCGTCGGATCCGGATTGCGCTCTAGGACGACGAACTCGATCTCGAAGCCTAACAGGAATGTCAGGCCGTGTACCGCTGCTCCGTCTGCCTGTTTCCTCAGTATAGTCCTCGGACATAAAACGGACTCCGAGCCGTCTGATTCGGCGAAGTTAGCGTAGCAACTGACGTGGCCGTCGGCCGGGCCTAGTTTCAAGCTCAACCAGTCAATATGCAGCGTATATGCGCCGGTTGCCGTTATCTGGGGTATCATCACGTCAATCTGTAACAGCCCGAGGCTTGATTTTGTAACGGACAACGTCAGAGGCTTTCCGCTCGCAAGCGTCTTGTAAACATGTTTAATAGGGATGACCCGACACTTGACACTCGAGGTGTAGTCGTTCCAGTACACTCTTAGGTATTTAGCGCCCAGCCTGCGAAGTTTTGATACAATCTCTTGGTTACTCGAGCCAGGGAGCGGGTCAGAGCCGAGTTCCGCGAAACTGGGGAGGGTGGACCTGACACTATCGAGGTTGTACAGTTTCTTAGAATTATTGAACAGGACGTCCTGGACTAGCTGTACGGCTTGCTTCTCGTCGAGCTGGCCTGACTGGACAGCCTTGCCTAATACCTAGGCGGAGGTTAGCGAGTCCACATTGCAGCTTGATATAACAATGTCTTCTTACCGCCTTCAAGACCGAGCGGATTTGTGCCGTCCCGATTAAATATGTCTCCGGAGAGCAATTACCGTCGGTGCTGCAGAGAACCTTGGACCAGGGACATAGTTCCAGGATCTGCTTGAGGACGCCCTCCTGGCCCTCCTGGCTAAGAAAAAGAAACACCTCGCCGATGTCAGCGTAGACGTTGGGATACATAGCAGCTAGATATGCGGTCTCCCTGGTCCATGGGTAGCCAGCATGAAGTAGCACGACTGGGATGTCCGGAAAATATCGGATAAAGGGCTGCAGGTGTGCCGGTGACGATTTGGTGAGGTTTATGTCGTTATCGCCAAGGCCGGTGTGGAATTGTATTGGTTTCTTGTGGCCGGGAAAGTCGCGGATTGCTGTGGCAGCGGTCAACACTATCAGGTCGTTTAAAGGCGAGTTTTCCAGCCTCTTTTTGAGGGAGAAATTAGATGCAGGACGTTCATCATGGTTCCCGGCGTCGATGATTTGTTTGAGGGAGTCCTCAGCCGCTGCCAGGTCTACATGTTCAGGGGTTAGGATGTCTAGTCCACGTCGATAACAGATTATGGATTTGAAGGCGACAACCTCGGGGTCATGTAGGAACGCCGTAACCTGGCCGGTCAATTCCTGAATAACCCGAGCTAAATGCTGGGTAGGGGACATCTCTGAATTTTGAAGAGCTTCGAGGGCAATGATATCACCTGCTAGGGTCTCTAGCCTGACAATGCGCTTGCACTTGCTCCTCGTGAATGCATCGTGCCACGAATAATGCTCGATCTTGTTAGGTACGGTAAGCCCGTCGTCAAGTAAGATAGTTTCTATGCCATCTAAGCAGCGCTTCACCCAGGCTTCCCACGAATCCGACGTGAGCTGCTTCTGGGCGATACTAGCCGCTACGGCATCCCACGTCTCCTCGCAGCCGAGAGCATCGGCCAGGTGCTTCACGGCCAGGAAGTGGGCGAGGCTCGTTCTGGAATCCTCGAGGGCAGATCCGGTCGCCTCGCTAGCGACGGACAGCAGCGGATGCTGGCTCACGCTCTGGCGCGTTAAGAGGGGGTGGGCGTGGTTGTCGATGAGGGGGGTGTTGTCGATAGCGGCACTGAGCTGCTTAAAGCCATCGTACGATGACGCCATGTTTTCACCGACAACACTGTCCGCGATCCGAGATTTACTGAGAGGGCGCGATAGTATGAGAGTGTGTGTGCGGTGATAGGACCGTAGGTACGTAAGGTCAGGTCAGGTATACTGAGGGTATAAGCACCTGAGGGAATAGTAGCGGGAGGAGGAGTAGAGATTGGCCGAGGAGTGAGGGTATGGAGGCGCGCATTTAACAGGCGTAGGTAAATGTGTTCGCGCGCGCTTACCCGTACTAGATGCACAAGGTACCCGAGGTGCCTGTAAGCACCTAACACTACCTATAAGGTACCTTAAGTCTAGGATGTAGGTAGAGGTAGATACCTACCTAGGTAGACCATCCTCTCTCGTCGCCGCCTCGCCTCACCGCCCCAGCGCTGCTCATCAGTATCACGCAATTCGCCCAGATCAAGCCTAATATCTGATGGATTTGCGTATTGGACATCCACGCTACGGCTTAATTCCCCCTTGCTGACAGGTTAGCTAAACTCGCTGCCCCGGCCAAGCTCTAGGGCTAGTGACTTTCTAAGGCTGCCCAAGCCGTCGGTTGCCTTATAGGGGTTAGCTATCTCGGGTGTAATGTCGCCGTATTGAGAAGAGTAACTTACAGTGCCAAGATCACACGTGATTCAACCCGCTTAGGTCGGAGCCGATGTGAGGTGTCTCGAGCTACTAGGCAAGGGAATCGAGAAGGCGACCGATGTAGGACGAGCAAGAAGTATCTCGCTCCCAAGATCAACTTACCTAAATCCTAGTAGCTGCTTCAAAGTGCCGTGTCTCTTTATGGAGTTTCGGACACTGAAAAAAAATTACTCAACTACCTACATAAGGAGGCAGCTGTATGGTGCTCAGGTCGTCTCACAGAAGCGTCGTGACCCCGCCAAGTACTACAAGCCTTTGTTCGTAGAAGGTCGCATTGAACGTTTAAGCCTACGCCAACGTTTGAGTGCAACAAGTCGCGAATTCGGGCTTCGAGAAGCTGGTCTCGGCAGAGTCCCCAAGCTGCTGGCCTCTGGCCGGATGGGATGACGTCATATAGTAATATGCTCCTTGTCGCAATGGCGCACGCCAGTACCGGGCCAAGGAGTTTGGGGCGAGACCGACAGTGAAGCGGGAAGGGATACCGTGGGTGGCAGTCTCGTAAGTGACGGGCGCTATCCCGTCACCGATGTCCGAATTTTCAAAAGACATTGAGATTGGCCGTCGCTTTTGCACGGCACGTGCTCACAACAAAAGCTTCATTGGTCTCCCGATCGTCCGATGGGGGGTGCGCGGTTTCGCGGGCTGACATGCTATAAGCTTCTCGTAGCCATTGGTGAGGGGTGCTAGGTTGGGCTGCTGTAACAGTAGCTGTCTCTTCTCGTGTGTAAGTTGGCTACCGTGCGGTGAGGCGGTGCTTGTCGGAATCTCGTAAACACGCCAATTCATCGGTAGATTTTCTAGCGAATTTCCTACTCCATTCTGGCCTTCTCACTGCAAAGGGTTGGTTACGATATCCGTTCTTAGCGCATGTCGTCCTATAGGATGTTTCCGCGATACCTCGATATAGGTATACCCGTCTGCGCGATAGCAAAACTGCCAGTTCTCACAGCAGGATGGTGACCTGCCTGATGCCTGCATCCGGCATTCGACCGTTGGACGGGTTGGCGATGGTAAAATACCGGGACACACCCGTGCGCGACGGGGTAAGACGAGGCGGCAGAGAGGGAGAGGAGAGGTATGCCCTGCCCAGCTTTGCCCCGGCCATGGCCAAGAGAAAATAAAAAGCTTGAATTTTCTTGGGAGACGGGAGTGGGCCAAGGCTCCTGAAGATGACCCTCGGCCCTAAGCTCTTCTGGGGCGCCGCTACGCCAGTTGCAGCAAGGTGGCCAGGGAGGGTTGTCGATCGGCCGGGATCTGCTTGGCAGGTGGACCTGCAAGTGGACCTGAAAGTCGTCATCAGCGTGCCGATGCTACATGTACCTCGTGTAGGAGGCGTACAGGCTCGGTGCTGTGTGCTGGATGTAGCCCCGACCGCTGCTATGCTGCTTTCACGTACCTCGCTTGTAGCCTCGCCTCTCCCTCTCTTCGGGTCCGCAGTGTTGGGGATACCTGTCGGGTACGTTTCACGCCGCCGGGCAACCGCACAGAATACGTTGAGATATGTACTTGCCTCTAGCTCGGAACATAGTTGTCTCCTAGCAAACATCCATCTGAAGCAGCCACGCTTCGTAGACAATATGCCTATACCTATAGGAGGTAGGTACCTATCTCCTATCTACCTGTAGGTGCCCGCCCAAGAGGTACTCCGGGGGAGGCAGATAGGCAAGCGTGTACCTGCCTCCTACCCGACCCGATGTACCTACATCAATCATTTGCGCGCCTCGCCTTCCTGTGTCTTACCGACCCGGCCAGCCCTTCCTGCTCTTTGCTCCCTTCTCCCATGTTTCGCGTCCCGAGAATGGAGTTTGTATCCTTTCTCCTTTCCCCAACCTTTTCTCCCGCCTCCCTCCCTTTCTCCTCCTTCGAAAGCGGGACGTCTCCTCTGCCTTTCGCTTGATACTCCTCCCTCTTCGCCGTCGCCCCCCCAACCCGTCTCTGGGAATAGGCATCCTACACGCAGACAAGACATATATCGCTAGGGCCAGCGTCACTTCCTCTCTGTCGGCGCAACCGAGTGGTGCGGCGGGCTGCTCCATCTCTATTTTCGTCAATTGTTTCTGTCCGCCCGTCGCTCGTTTCCCTCCTCCCACCTTCCCAGTGGCCGACCTTTCCACCCCGCCTAAGGAACGATGTTACCTCGACTGTCAGGCCTGATTTCAGTCGCGCTGCTCCTTGCGGGCGACCTGGCATCTGCTCAATCATACCAGATCGACTCAGACGGTGCGTCGCAAGTGTAACCCCTATACAACGCTCGCTACCCCGTTGTCCGCCTGCCGGCGCACAATGCTAACCTGTTCGTTTCTCCCGTCTCCTCGCAGTCAATGTCAGGTCCGCGGCAAAATCACTTGCTGCTAATGTCATGAGTTACTATCATGGAACCGATCCTGGAGGAATACCTGGTATCCTGCCCGGTCCTCCGCCTGCCGGCGACTACTACTGGTGGGAGGGGGGCGCTCTCTGGGGCACGATGATCGATTATTGGCATTACACCGGCGATACCACCTACAATGACCTGGTCACCCAGGCCATGCTTTTTCAGACCGGCCCTAACAGAGACTACATGCCTCCTAATGTTACTGCTTCGCTAGGCAATGACGACCAAGGGTTCTGGGGCATGTCTGCTATGCTAGCCGCCGAGGTCGGGTTTCCGGACCCTCCCTCGGACCAGCCCCAATGGCTGGCTCTAGCCCAGGCTGTCTTCAACACCCAGGCAGATCCTGGCCGGCATGACGATACCTGCGGTGGCGGATTGCGATGGCAGATTCCTTTCGCCAACAATGGCTACAACTACAAGAACAGTGAGGAGTCGTGCTTCCCTTCTCGATGCGGCGCCGCGAACTAACCAAGCGAAGGCATTGCCAATGGCTGCTTCTTCAACCTGGGCGCCCGATTAGCGCGCTACCTCCACAATTCGACGTACGCCGACTGGGCCGAGAAGTCTTGGGACTGGGTCCAGAGCGTCGGGTTGATGAACAGCGAGTACAAGATTTTCGACGGGGCACATGTCGAGTCGAACTGCACGGATATCAACCAAGCCCAATTCTCATACAACAATGCTGTCTATCTCTTGGGGGCGGCGTATATGTACAACTACGTAAGGACTGCCCTGTTACCTTTCTACCTTCGTACGCTTAGCTTACCTGCACATATTAGACGGATGGCGACTCGAAGTGGGAACAACGGGTCAGCGGCCTCGTCGATGCTACCATCCGCGACTTCTTCCGCAATGATGTCGCCTACGAAATCGCATGCGAAGATCAGATGACCTGCACGACGGACATGCTGAGTTTCAAGGGCTATTTGCATCGATGGATGACCACCATGACCCAGGTCGCTCCCTTCACAGCGGACAAGGTGTTGCCTGTCTTGCGGAGATCAGCCCAGGCCGCGGTAAATCAATGCACCGGCCCGCCAGACGGAAAGACTTGCGGATTCGGATGGGCAAGCGGCACTTTCGACCAGAGCGTTGGCGCCGGCCAGGCTATGAACGTATTGGGCGCGGTGTCGTCTCTCCTTGTCTCAGGGTCTAGGGCACCCGTTACCAGCGATAGCGGAGGCACCAGCGTCGGTGACCCGAATGCCGGCGCAGGCAGCGACTCGTTTATCCGAACGCCGACGCCTATTACCACGGGAGACCGAGCCGGGGCCGGTATCTTGACTGCCTTGGTCCTCGCATCGGCAATCGGGACCTTCACGTGGATGAGTATCGGAGGGTAAAGCGATAGTTGCGATGTCACCGATACGAACTACTACCAACGACGGTAGACTCCGATTTCGGTATGTGGTTGTCTATGGCAGGCCTCTCGTGAACTATGAGAGTTTTCGGTTTTGCACCAAATAGAAGGACACGTGAGGCGGCCTTGACGTCAGGCCGGTTGATAGATACAACACACGGATGGATATATGGCGTTTAGCATTACTCTCATCGAGCATTGTACCATGTTGTGAGAGGCAAATGTGGTTTGGTTTTCTCTTCAGCTCTGGAATTGGCCCATCTTCAATATACATGGCAACCCTGGGGCAAAGTGGCCAGGGGTAGTCGCGGATTTGTCACGAGCGTCACGGCACGAGTATTCGGGGATAATTCGGTCGGGGCAGTTGGTTGTAGATTACCGAGTGCAGGTACATCATGTAGGACTTAATACCCTGGATGGGGCTTCCGTCGAATCGCAACTAACGTGTGACTTTCTTAGGGCCTCACAGCATCAATGTCGTCGGCGACGGGCAGCCTGCCCCCCGTCCGCATCATAGCGCCGGCTTTATGTTCCTAGCGTAGGAAGGACGTAGCCAAAGCAACCTGGCAATTATGGAGGTATTGAAACGGGGGGAGACTGCCTTCAGGTAATATATCAGGTTCGTAGGTGAACGATGTTCATATTGGATCGTTAGCCAAGGGCATGCCTGTGTAGAAGGTGTGTATAGGGCTACAGTGAGGCTCGTGAGGCTCGAAGACGAAGCCCCAGGAGGATGTAGGCCTCTCATGCTTACGGATCCCGAAACGGGAACGCTTGTGGCCCCGCACGACAATGTCCGTTTTGGATCTGTCTCCACCAGATGAACCCCAACTTCGTGTCTCGTTCATCCACGAACCCTAGGTATATCGAGATATATCACGGGACACTCCGAGGGGACCGATCCATACTCGGGGTAGCATCGAACACATCCGGGACGCTTTCATCCATCCCGCCCTTTTTCTTGCGTTGCAAAGAGAAAAAAAAAGGGAACAGACTGTTTGAGCATGCACCCCATAACCAGTCATACCTAGCACACACACACACCTCTATGCCTATGCCTATGTAACGCGCGCGCCGCACTCTCCAGGAAGCACCCTAGGCCCATCCATCATGGCGCCCAACTTCGGCGACCCCACGCTCTTCCCCACCTTCCAGGAGCTCTCCTCTTCCACACCCGCCTCCCCGCCTTTCCTCCTCGCTCAGATCCGTGAGGACATGACGATCACGAAGCCGACGCTGATCGTACGAGACCGGACGGGGGCCGAGTTCGCGGTGACGTTCGACGACGGGGATCACCGGGGCCTGGACGCGCCGCCCTCGTCGTCGTCGGCGGCGCCGCACGATCTGCTGACAGCGGGCGGCGGCGCCAGCGCGGGCAAGCGCTTCCGCCGCGGCCACACGCTTGTGGTGCCGGCGGCGGCGCGCGAGGCCCGCGGCGGGGGCGGCAAGAAGGACGTCGTGCGCGTCCCGCGCGGCGGCGGCGCCGCCGTCCGCGTGCTTCCCGCCCCGCTCGAGCGCGTGCTCGAGGTCGGCGCCGTGATGGCGGCCGTGGCGCACGAGGAGAGGAGCGGCAGCGACGGCGAGGGGGGAGGGGCGAGACGGAAGACGCGGTGTGGGGCGTGCGGAAAGGACGAGGACGAGGGAGAGGGAGAAGAGAAAGTGTCGCTGATGCGGTGTACCGGGTGCGGCACGGTCGCGTATTGCAGCAAGGTAGGTGGGCGGTTACGTCTATATCTGTCATCTATACCTATGGTTTGGGCATCGCGCTGACTGCAGGCGCCGCGGCGCGCGGGGGAAACAGGCCTGCCAGGTCCGCGGCTGGAGCGAGCTGGACCACAAGACGAACTGCAAGCTTATCCGCGCTATCAAGGAGATATGGCCCTGAGCGCGCGCCTCCTCCTACGGATAGGGAGCGGGCACTGGGGCTGGGGCTAGTTCGCCTACCTGGGCTCTGGGTTCTGGGGGCTCGACAGTTCGCCGTAGGTGCACGGCAGCTCTAGGGCGGAAAATAGGCCGGATGCTGAATCAGGGTGTCGGGATCGAAGGGGAGGTTTTGTATATGAAGGTGGTTTGGAGTGCCGGAGTTGGAAGAAGGAGATAGCCATGAAGAAAAGGGGGAGGGGGAGGCGTTAGCTGCGTACTGGGACGATGGGATGTGTGCATGGCCAGAACGAGGAGGGAGCCTCTCTATGCCCATCGCTGCTGTGGCATTGAGTAGAAAAGGGGCAGATTATTTCTAGCTGTTTTCCCTCGCGATAGTATGGTAGAAAGAAGTTTCTTTCTCGAGTTCAACACGTGTTTCAGCGATTATCTCCTTCACTCCTCTTCCATCCACTCTCATGGCCCTTACCAAAGACGCGAAAGCAAAGGGGAGCGCACGTTTAGAAGAGATAGAATCGCTCCCAACCTAGGCATGTCTGGGTCACACTCCTTATCTCAAACGGTGGGGCACCGTTCCAGCAACCGTTTATTAGGGGCCGCACGTTCCGTTTCAATGACGGATCCAATAGGTACCTAGGTAGGTACACCTATTCACCGATAAGATAACCGAAAAAGACGAATCTCAATTCCTTCTAGGTAATGAACTGAACGTTCAACAATCGATATCTACGACAGATATTGGTTTATATCGGACTGCCGACGACAACAGGCGCCATGGTTCGCAAGCTTAAGCACCACGAGGAGCGCTTGCTCCGGAAAACGGACTTCATCACCTGGAAACAGGATCACGACCACAGAGACGTGAGTCCCTTCGTCCCTAGATGCCGTCTGCGCGCGTGCTCCTGCTGAACTGGCTCCGCTCTAGCACTCTGTCATACGACGGTACATGATCCAGAAGCCAGAAGATTACCACCGATACAACCGGATATGCGGCGTGAGTCGACCCAGACATTTCCACCTCCCCAACCTCCCTCCACCGCCGAAGAACGTAAGCTCACCTCGAGCGACCCGGTCCAGTCTCTACGACAGCTCGCGCACCGGCTGAGCCTGCTACCGCCCGACAACGCGGTGCGGCGGAAGCACGAGCAGCTGCTGCTCGAGAAGCTGCACGACGCGGGGATCCTGCCGTCGGCGTCGAAGCTGTCGGCGGTGGAGAAGGGCGCGACGGTGTCGGCAATGGCGCGGCGGCGGCTGCCCGTGGTGATGACGCGGCTGCGCATGGCCGAGACGGTGCAGGCGGCGACGAAGCTCGTCGAGCAGGGCCACGTCCGCGTCGGCGTCGAGACCGTCACCGACCCCGCCTTCTTCGTCACCCGCTCCCTCGAGGACTTCGTCACCTGGACCGCCGGCAGCAAGATCAAGCGCAACATCATGAAGTACCGCGACAAGCTCGACGACTTCGAGCTTCTGTGATGGCCCAGCGGCTGCTGGCCTCGCCCGCCTGGGGGGCTGCGGGCAGGGGGACAGAGGACGGCGGTGAGAACGAGCGAGACAGGAGTTGGTGGGTGGGTTTGTTCGCTCCCCACTCTACCCTGTTCTCGCTCTTCTAGAGCCAAAGGTCGCGTATGGCTTCCGCACAGCATAGCATGGCGTTTGGGATACCTGTGGTAGAGAATTCACTTTGAAGGGATAATATCTTTAGCTTGCACGTCACAGCCCGTATGAGCAGCACTATAGGTATAGACTCTCTAGCGCGTCTAGGATGAGAGAAACACTCTCCGGATCCTAACTCTCCTGGCACTCTCGCCACGCTTATCTTGACTTATTTCCTTATACCTACGCAAATCACCATCGTCGATATCCGCCACATCGTCGGGTCTTTAAACAGGTGCTGGCCCGAAAATTTTTTTCTGGGATTGTGATATCCTTGGAGAATTATTTTTGGAACCCCTACACGCCTATGAGAAATGATTACTTCCTTTTCATCCTATTTAGGGCTCCCCATGCCGCATCTCGTAGACGGAGAATGTAGGTGTACAGTGAATGAACGTTGATCTAGAGGTACCTGGGTATATCCTGTGACTAGTCATGTGACTGTAAATAAGCGGTTGTAATTACACGTGACTCATACACACGTGCTTCCGCTCGCTTTTCGCGATGAAATGTGATAAATGCTAGCACCTTTTTCTTCTACGTTACTCCACCACGCGTCCGTAATAACACCGCCCGTGATCACCAGACTACGTCCCACCTACACACACCATGGGTGACATTAACGTGTTTTCGGCATGCCGCTCAGAAACATGGCCCGACCTGCGGATGTGGTTATCGTCTCAGATGATGATGCTACCGAATCCTCCGAGTCGACACCCGAGTCCGTCGCCGCAACCTCCGTTTCCACTGAAGTGAAGCCGTCGAGGAAGCGCAAGTCGCAAACAAAGGTTTCTACCAGGGTTACGTGGAGCGATGACTCAAGTGATGCCGATGGCGGGCCCAAGAAACGAAGAAAGAGAGATAGCAAGAAATTGTCCGCGTCCACAAGAGGCAGGGGGAAGAAGGGTCGGGGTCGACTTCCTAAGGGTGTTAAACTGAGAAGCACAGAGCCTCGCTATAATGATGATAGCGAATCCTACTCAGACTCCGATCTTCTTGAAGACGCGCTCCCTCAATACATCCGAGATCGCCGCTTGCAATTTGACCGGAATCGTGAAACCTTGCGTGAAAAAGGTCTGCGATTGCCTCCAGACTATTCGGGTGTTTACTTTTCGGACGACGAGCGACTCGCGGACCTGGAAGAGAAGCCACAATTTGACGAGAAGAGCGGCATCAAGCCGTGCCGCGCCTATAAGGACATCGTGCTAGAACATTCAGCTGGTATTATCCCGGCTTCCATCGCTCAGTATCTCCGCGATTACCAGGTTGACGGAGTCAGGTTCCTTCACGATCTATTCGTGCACCAGAAGGGCGGCATCCTCGGCGACGATATGGGGCTCGGCAAGACAGTTCAAGTAGTCGCTTTTCTCACAGCTGTGTTCGGTAAGACTGGCGACCGTCGCGATGCCAAGAGAATGAGGAAGTTCCGGCGGGCTAATGATGACTGGTACCCGCGTGCCTTGATCATCTGCCCGGGCTCGTTAATCCAAAACTGGAGGAACGAACTCGACAGATGGGGATGGTGGGAAGCCGATTTGTACCACGGCGCGGGCAAAGACGACGTCCTCGATACCGCCCGTGCCGGAAGGCTCGAGGTCATGATCACCACCTATGCCACGTACAAGAAGGGCCACGATCAGGTTAACAGGGTGCCTTGGGATGTTGTCGTGGCTGACGAATGCCACTCCATCAAAGCCATCACTGCCGAAGTCACGAAAGCAATGAACCAGGTCAACGCGCTCTGCAGGATCGGCTTGACCGGGACGGCGATCCAGAACAAGTACGAGGAACTCTGGGCCCTGCTGAACTGGACCAACCCCGGGAAGTTCGGCACCATCGCAGAGTGGAAGAATACGATTTGCAAGCCGTTGACCATCGGACAATCACACGACGCGACGATACATCAACTAAGCGAGGCTCGCAAGACGGCGAAGAAGCTGCGCTTCAATCTGCTCCCACGCTTCTTCCTGCGCCGGATGAAGAGCCTCATCGCGCACCAGCTCCCTAAGAAGACCGACAAGGTCGTCTTTTGCCCACTTTCCGACCTCCAGAGGGAGGCTTACGAAAACGTTCTCGGAAGCGACATCGTCAATTTCGTCCGGTCCGCCTTCGATTCCTGCTCGTGCGGCTCGGGGAAGACCCGAGGACGGTGTTGTTTCCAAGTTACTCCGGACGGGGAATCGTGGAAGTCAATGGTGTTCCCGATCGTCAATTCATTGCAAAAGCTATCGAACCATCTCAACCTCATCATCCCGCAGACTTCCGATGTCCTAGATAAACATAAACGCGAGCTCCGATTCCTGCAAGTGGCCATGCCACATAACTGGGCGACGCATTACAATAGTAGGGACTCGCTAATGAGCCTAGCTAACCCAGAGTATTGTGGGAAGTGGAAAGTTCTCAAGAAGCTTCTGAAATTCTGGCACACCAATGGCGACAAAGTCCTAGTCTTCTCGCATAGCGTTCGGCTGCTGCGAATCCTACAGCATCTATTCAGCAACACGAGCTACAGCGTAAGCTATCTCGATGGGTCTCTGTCCTACGAGGAGCGGCAGCAAGTGGTCGACGATTTCAACTCGGACCCTGGCCAATTTGTGTTTCTGATTTCCACCAAAGCCGGCGGCGTTGGGCTCAACATCACCTCGGCCAACAAGGTCGTTATCATGGACCCTCATTGGAATCCATCATATGATCTCCAGGCGCAGGACCGCGCTTATCGTATAGGCCAAGTCCGCGACGTCGACGTCTATCGTTTCGTCTCCACGGGCACCATCGAGGAGATCACCTACGCACGACAGATCTACAAGCAGCAGCAAGCGAACATCGGATACAATGCCTCCAACGAACGCCGCTATTTCAAAGGAGTGCAGCAGGACGCCGACCGAAAAGGAGAGATATTCGGTATCAGAAACCTGCTAACGTACCACGGCGACCAAGTCATCCTCCGGGACATCGTCAACAAGACGAACATCGCCGAGGCCAAGGCGGGCGTCAAATTGATAGACATCGATATGGATAAGGCGGCGAAGGACGCCGAAGAGGAGCAGCAGTTCGTCAAGAAGGAGGGCAAAGCCGACGACGACGAGACGGGCGGCCTGAAGCAGCTGGCAGCGTTGATCACTAAGGACGACGACAAGGACGTCGTGCTGAGTAGGCCGACCGCGGCTGAGCAGAAGCCGAAGCATTTCGACCCGATCCAGGCGATCCTGGCCTCGGAGGGCGTCGAATACACGCACGAGAACTCGGAGGTAGTCGGCACATCGAAGGTGGAGGACGAGCTGTCGCGGCAAGCGCAGATGGCGACGAGCCAGGACGCGGACCCGTCGGCGCTCGCGCTCTTCTTCGACAGTCAGGGCAGTGGCGCTGCGGCGGGCCGGGTGGCGTTCGAGTACGAGTACAACCCGCCGGCGGAGGTGCGGCAGCGGCAGTTCTGCACGATGGCCGCGACCTTCGGGTTCCCGAGCGCGACCGAGTTCGCGCTGGCAGTCGAGAGCATGACCCAGGAGGAGCGGCGGAACTACCTTGACCTGTTCTACAGACGGCGCGCCGAGGTGCTTAAGAGCGGCAGCGGCGACGGCGGATGTCAGAGCGAGCCGGCGGAGGACCCCGAGAGGACCGATGACAGCACCGAGGGAGAGACCCCAGCTCCTGATGACGTGGGAACAGGGGAGGGGGAGGAGGAGGACGACGACGACGACGAGGAAGAGGAAGAGGAGGGGGTGAAGGTTGAGGAAGAGGAAGTTACGGAGGACGAAGAGGTTCAGACGGGAGACACCAAACCCGACCCGCGAGCTATCCAGCGAAAGGTCGAAGGCGTCTCTCCTAACGATGCGACAGCCAGCCAGAGGGGGGCAGGTGTGCCCACGAAGCCGCAGAAGGCGTCCTTGTCTATCTGGGTCTCGGACGACGAGGAAACGGACGAGCTTTGACGTGTCCCTTTTTCTTCTTGTTTCGCACCCCCTCTGTAATGATACCCCTCGATAACATACGTTTCCCATTAGATTTGCGCTCACGCGTTGTTAGTTATTGTTGGCGTCTTAGATCCTGGGCTTTGATCCAGGGATACGCCATATTGACGACGGATATCAGTCTCAATCATGCCTAGCCAAGCCATTGCCAACTCACCGGTTCGCTCCTTAGGGCAATGCCCACCCACGGGAGGATTTTTTTTCCCCCTCCTTTTACTAAGTGTGTGGCTGGTTCGGGAGGTGCCCTGCGAAGGAGAACGAAACGAGAGAGGGGGAAAAGAGAAGTGTAAATACCGTCACCTGCTGACCGCAAAGCTGTGTCATGTGCCTACGCTAGCTGCCACGTCAATGGGTCGGCGACTACGATGACGGTGACGACAACGATGGCGACGTGGGCGGCGACGCTGGATGTCCTAGTGGAATAGCAGTGAGGCTGCGCGCCATGTGCCCGACTTCTCTCTCCCTCCCCTCCCCTGAACCTCGCCCCTAAACTCTAACCGGATCAGGTAGAAGCTCTCTACACCAGCCTCCCTCTCCGCCAGGGGGCTGGAACCTTTGGGGCTGCTACTAATGTCGAAGCATTGGTGCCCGCATCGTGTCCGCATTGGTACGTGTGTAACGTAAATAGGCAACTGAGTTAAGCAGGTAGGGAAATAGACAAGTCGTCCTGCTCACGCCCGGCCCCCCTTTCGACCCAGGGCCTCTATCCATAATCTCGAAGCCTGCCCGGGTCGCTGGGTCTCGGGGACGGTGGCGGCGGCGGGGGGTTGGGGAGGGGAGGCAAATTTGCTCTTCGGTGCCAAGTCGTGTCGCTACCCACTACGTAGCACGCACATACATACATGCGCGCGTGGGAGGCCCCGTTTTGTGATTTGTATGTACGTATAGTAGCTAGGGGGTTCAGGGGGGTGGGGAGAAGAAGAAGAAGAAGGGGGGGGGGCTAGGCAGGGACGGGGCTACGGGAGCTGAGCAATAGTGCGGGATTGCTGCGGCTCACGCTTATCTAGTACTACCTACTAGTAGGTAGACGCGGAGCCAGAGCCAGGGTAAAGCTAGGGTAAAGTGAAGTGAAGTAACGAAAGTGAAGTGAAGTGACGAAGGTGAAGTGAAGTGACGAAAGTGAAGTGAAGTAAAGAAAGTGAAGTGACGAAAGTAAAGTGAAGTGACGAAAGTAAAGTGAAGTGACGAAAGTGAAGTGAAGTGAAGAAAGTGAAGTGACGAAAGTGAAGTGAAGTGAAGAAAGTGAAGTGACGAAAGTGAAGTGAAGTAACGAAAGTGAAGTGAAGTAACGAAAGTGAAGTGAAGTAACGAAAGTGAAGTGAAGTAAAGAAAGTGAAGTGAAGCGACGAAAGTGAAGCCAGGGTGGAGTAAAGTAAAGTAAAAATGCTACCCAAGATGAGGTTAGGGTTATCCGTAGCAGGTGAAGGTGACTACGTAGGCGTCTCTTCTCTCAAAGCTACCGCCTCGTCGCTCAAGATACTAACTAGTTCGCGGTAGGGTAGGTCAGGTGCGAATTCGGAGCCCAAGGCGGACAGGTATAAGAGGTGTAGCTGAGGTATATAGGCTATATAGGCTAAGATGCAGAGACGAGGCGTGTCGCAAAGCGGGTAAGCCACCTGTCTAAATTTAGGTATGCGATACCTACCTATAAGGTTGATTATCTCAGCATCGACGATGCCGCGAGCGCGTCTGGTAATCAGGCCCTTCCGACCCCACCTCACGTTATGCTGGTGTCTGTCGTAAGCGCTCGTCTTCCTTTTTTTCCTCCTCTCGTCGGGGCTGTGCTTCGGGCGTGGTATGATAGGCGAGTAACCTCAGATCGCTGTTCTCCGTATACGATCACGCACATCGTCAGGGCACCTTTGGTAGGTATAACGCGGCTAGGGTTCGCGGCGAGGATTTCGGGGAAGCTGAGACTAGTGCTGATGGCATGGCAGCATTGCAGCCATGCGGTTAACGAATGGGGGAGGTGTCGGGACCGGCCAGGGTCGTAGCCGTCGCCGTTTCAGAGGGTTGGAGGCGCATGTCTTTAGGCACCTAGGGTAGGTAGGTAGGTAGGTATACCGCCGTAGGGTGGTATCGACTTCTCGTTGCCTCTGGTAGGGGGTGTGTCCAAGGTAGGTGAATAATGAATATCGACCTACTAGTATACGAGAAACCGTAGGCACCTCGGGAGACGGCAAGGATGGGTATAACCTCAGCCGCCGAGGGTTGCAACGGGATGTTTTAGGTAGGTACCGGGGCTGCACGCCTACCTGCACTGCGGGCTACCTGCATACCCAACTCCTGCTACCTCTTCCTCTTCTTCCACTTCTTCGGTACTAGCAGACGACGCGTAACCACGAACGGTGATCTTCCTCGCGATGTGATGCTGTACAGCCAGCCTCTCGTGCTCGGTTCCGAAGAGAAGAGGCGAAAAATGGATGCGGTGGACTCTTCTCCAAACTCCATCGTCCGGGGGGGGGGGGTTGCTTCAGGCCACCGACAGGAGACCGGCCCCCCGATCCTCCAGGGCGCCTCACGGGCTAATTGCCACAACCATTCCTGATCTGGCCCTGCAAGTCCGCTGCGTCTCGTCTTGGCCAGCTTCTAGTCCACGGGCAGTGTATTCTCTCGTCTCTCCTCCCTACGTCTCCACGTCGCTGCTTGGGGGCCAAAAAAGCAGCAGTTGACAGCCTCGGAATGAATATCTTCAGGTCCCCCCCCCAGTGAGAGGGGAGTGCTATTCCGTCGCTTCTCCGCCGCTTCGCTGTGACATCTCTCTTTTACACATATATATACTAGGGCAGCCAGCCAAACTGGCGAGTCGGCTAACCTCCTCTTTTTCTTCGGTTGTGCCGCGAATAGTGGCATCGATCTTTCTGGATCGCATCTCTCCAATTGCCGCTAGACGTCGCGTGCCACCTTCGATTGGCTAGAAGCTAGAGGACCTTTCTCCGTCTTCCCCAGACCGTCGGTACCCGAAGACAGCAGCCCCCAATTGTTGGTCGCATAGCAGCCTGCACAACATGCGTCTCCTCAACTCCCGTACCGGCGAGATGAGACACTTCATCTCGTACGCCGAGATACCGGCCTACGCCATCCTCTCGCACACCTGGGGCGAGGATGAGGTAACATTTCAGGACTGGCTTACCCTCCCCCGCTCCGAGGTCCGGAAGATGAAGGGCTTCCAGAAGATAGACTACTGCTGCCAGCAGGCAGTAAAGGACGGCCTCGAGTGGACATGGGTCGACACGTGAGCAAGCCCGTCCGCAAGACCTCTCTGCATGCAACGCGTGCGAGGACGGGAACGCGATCAGCAAGCTAACCAGGACGCCCAGGTGCTGCATAGACAAGACGAGCAGCGCCGAGCTGACCGAGTCCATCAACTCCATGTTCCGATGGTACAAGAGCGCCGCCGTCTGCTACGCCTATCTACCCGACGTACCTAAGGACCTCGATAAAGAAGAGATCGAGGAGGAGCTGGCTAATAGCCGCTGGTTTACTCGTGGGTGGACGCTGCAAGAGCTAATCGCCCCCTCCACCGTCGTCTTCTACTCCGCCGGGTGGCAGCAGATAGGCACCAAGGCCGAGCTCTCGTCCTGTATCGCCGCCATCACCGGCATTGAGGAAACCTACCTCGATGCCGCCAACATAGACCGCGCTAGCGTCGCCCAGCGCATGTCCTGGGCCTCGCGCCGTCAGACCTCACGCGATGAGGATATCGCCTACTGCCTCCTTGGTATCTTCGACGTCAATATGCCCCTCATCTACGGAGAGGGCCCCAAGGCATTCCAGCGTCTGCAGGAGGAGATCATGAAGGCCTACCCCGAGGATCACACCCTGTTCGCGTGGGGTAAGGTCGTCACGCAGTTTTCCAAACATGCCCAGGGCGAGAACCAGCTCAACGGCCTCGAGCCGCTCAGCTTGAGGGAGAAGAGTAGGCAAGATGACGACGAAGACGACGAAGACGAAGACGAGGATGACGAATCCCTCCTTGGATTTCTTGCCCAGAGCCCCCATGACTTCAAGCAATCCGGCAAATTCATCTGCTACCGCGAGGCTAAGAAGTTCTTTCGGCGCTGGGACTTCCCGCTGACGGCCCCGACCATCGTCGGCCGCACAACGCGCCTGGACCTGCCCTTAGTAGGGGCCACCCCGCCGTTTGCCGTGTGCCGTCTCGACGAGAGCCTGCCCATCTTCCGGCTGCGGCGCGTATCGATAGTAGTGCTCGTGTGCGGCCGTCAGGACGAGGTCTTCAAGTACGTCACGATCCCGCTGCTCATTTGCACTGGAGGCTTCTACGGTCGCACGCGCGAGGTCGTCGTCAACGAGCTCATCTCGACGCCGTCCGTTCACTACGACCTCCTAGGACGCTGGCGCTCGCAGATCGTTGTCGAGCGCCAGCCCCGGTACCGCCCTAGCGCCGGGGACATCATCCTGCGCCGATTCGTCACCCACGTACCATGCGCGACATCCATCGCTATCGACGAAGTCGACGTCTCTATCGACGATGGTGTCATCAAGGCGCGAAGCCCCCCCCAGCCTGGCCACATCGTCTGCCTTACCTTCGAGTACAGCAAGATGGCCGGCTTCGGCCTCGCTATCGCCCGCATGGACAGGGTCGATGAAGGCGGTGGCGACTTAGGCAGTCTGCACTTCTCGCTGATGACGGTGGATGTGGAGCGCGATGAAAAGCGGGCGAAAGAGTGGTCGGAAGCGGAGCAGGCCCGTTACGATAGGCAACTCGAGAAGGATAAGGAGCCGGAGCACAGAGAGGTGGTAGAGGTTAAGGGAGACGAGAGTGACGGAGACGACGTTGGCCACGAATATACCAACTACGGTAGTGGAGGTCAGTATATAGAGAAAGGCGGGAGAAGAACTGATAGCCCAGAAAGAAAAGGGGGGATATTTGGCAACCGCCACCACCACCACGGTGGAAAACGAGACCGACTGCGGTCCTGGGCCAGCTCGGCTATAACCGCAGCCACCACCACCACCACCGCCGTCCTCCCGCTCCGCCCTACCCCCCCTCGCCCCTCCTCCTCCTCCTCCTCCTTCACCCGCGCCCGTTCCCGCTCCCCGCGGCCGCAGCCGCCCTGGGCTCGCCCGCGCTTCCGGGACGGGCGGCAGGCGTACTACTACCTGTGGGACAACTGGAAGACGGCGCCGCACCGGCACGCCATGGCGTACCCGTCCGACACGTGGGAGATGACGTCGGAGACGGCGGCGGCGGAGGCGGCCGAGGCCTCGCGCGCCGTCGTGCCGGCGAGCGAGGCGGCCAACAGCCCCTACTACGAGCCGGACCCGACGGTGCCCACGGTGCGCATCGTCGCCGAGCGCATGTACATCGACAACGACCGCAGCCAGCCCGTCGACATCATCGACATCGTCATCCGCGCCCCCGGCGAGCCGCTCCCCGGACGCCCCGCGCCCCCCCCGTCCTCCTCGGCCCTGCTCAACGGCGTGCCCACGGTGAACGTCCAGGCGCCCGCCGAATAGCCGAGGCCGCGCGCGACACGACAACGGCGGCGAGAGAGCGAGAGAGAGAGCGGGGAGGCGCAACCCGGATGCCGCGCAGCATATATATATGCCTACGTTCCTACTGTGCCCAGGCCGTGGGCGCGCACACATGGATAGGTGGGCTGGCGGGCGGATGCATAGCGGCGGCATATGAATGGATCGGGTAGGCGCGCAGATAGAGTAGACGGGTTAAGATACCCCCCCCCCCCTCTTAGTCCCTTTTCCTCTCTCGCGGGATGCTACACCACCGCTCATGTGTATTATTCCCAGTGGCGCAGTTGGTGATCAGCGACTCGCAGTGTTTTTACATGCAGAGATGTATATTGAGAAGAGGCATATAGACTTGTTTACGTACATCTAATATATATACGTATATATACGCCAGGCCATATCCGTATTCATGTCCGCACCCGTCTCTATCAACTGAGCGTCGTGCCTAGGCAGGTACCTACCTGCTTACGGGCAAGCAGACAATTCAAGTAACGAGTGTATACTCGGTCTGGGTTACAAGTAGATACAGCAGTATTAGTGAGTAATGCACAGCGCCATTTCGTGAGACACTTTGGCTTTTCCAGGTTTTGATTAACTTCACTACAACCGCGGGTGGGTTTCAAAATCTACTCGTTCTCAGTCTCAATACAATGGCCTTCTACCCTCCCTCGACGCATCCTCTACATACATATACTGCCTGATGGCATTGATGATCCCAACCCCCCAACCCAGCGCGGAGAACGGAAACCCACAAAATCGAGCCAATCGTGCGAGGAGCCAACGGGAGGGGAGACTCGCTCAGCTCGGACGGAGAAACCCAGCTTAGCCTTGGAGCTTCTTTCTCTTGCCGACCTGGGCAGAGAAACCCGTCTTGATGGCGGTGACGGACCGCCGGGATCCGCACGAGTTGCACGTGATGAAGTAGAGACGGTTCTCTCCCTTGTTGAGTTCTGTGTCAGGCGATCTGCAGGTCTTGCAAGTTACGTATTCGACTGTCCCCGAGTCAGTTCCGCTGTCCAGAGACGCCACATATAAAATCAAGGGGGGCAGGGGTTGGCTTTGATGACTCACTAATATACTTTCTTAGGACGTTTTCGATCTGCTTCTGTTGGAATCGTCCCTTGATGACCAGCCGTCTGCTTCCGTCGACTGAGCCGTTCGTACCTAATTCGGCGAAGAGGTATGCCGTGACGTGCTCTTCGCTCCGCTTCATTCGCTTGGTGATTTCCTGGATATTTGCGAAGATAGTCTTCTTGTTGCCTTCACGTAAGCACTGCGGAGGCGGGATTTTGTAGCTTCGCGAGCCGCTGGAGGCATGGTCTGGGTTCTTCTGGGCCAGGAGGCTGAAGAAGCGACCCAGAAGTAAGTCGTAGCTGATGAGCTTGGTCTCGTCGTGGCCCCAGATGCCGGTGCCCTCGTCCATATCACCGGCTTGGTCATCGACCTTGGCCTCAGCACCATCTGCGTCGCCGTCCTTCTCCAGATCGAGAGCTGCCAACTTGGCGGCGAAGTCGTCACCTTCGCCAGCCTTGGGAGCCTTCTTCTTCTTTTTCTTCTTCAGGGTTAGATCCAGACCGCCACCGTCTGCAGCACCATCGGCGGCGCCATCCGCCTCCCCTCCTTCGCCGTCTTCCGCCTTCTTGACCTTCTTCTTCTTTTTCTTTAGCAAATCGAGGCCGCCATCTTCCACTAGGGGGGCGTCCTCTTCGGCAGGTGCTTCTCTGGCATCAGCAAAGGCGCCAAGAGCGGCAGAGAGCGGCGGCGTACGGGGAGTATGGGATAGGGCGGTGTCCTTGGTGTCTTCGGATGCCATGGTGGTAACTTTGCCGTCGGCTTCGACTACGAGGGCCTCGGAATTGAAGACGACGGATTTGCGTTGTCTGCGCTCGGGCAACGGTTGATGTTGCTGGTCCTGCTGGTCCTGCTGGGATGTGAGAATCGCGCCAAGAAATAACACATCGACTTGGTGATGTTGAGTGGGCTCTGCCTGAGCAGCGGAAAGGTGAAAAGTATGAAACTAACAGGAAGGTCGTCGGTACCGATGGTGCCGTCGGCTTCTCAAGAGTGTATTATGCTGTGTTCAGGGTGGAATACGTAGTCTTGTGGGGGAGAGAGGGAGAAAAGCAGGTGCAATATGCCAAGCGAAGGATATACTAAATCCGATGATGACTCTGACTCTTCCTCCTTGTGTCTCGGAATTTTCAATGTGGCCATCGGGAGTCGGGGCCTCATTTGGTGGGGGCAAACAGGAACGTCCACAGACGGATCGGAGGGGCCAACGCCACTAGCCCAGGACGGACTAGCGCTATCCGCGGAGGGGCGACAACTTGGCGGGGTGATAGCGAGAGGTGCCTTACGTAATCTAGGGCATGGCCCAGGTACAACCAGCACACTACTCGGTTGTGCTGTCGCCCAGGTACCGCGGACAGCCCGGGGATAAGGTGACGTGGATGGGGCGTGGTATAAGTAGGATGACAGGAGATGGAGAATTGGCGGAAGGGGAGGCTGGAAGCGGGAACGTCACCGGTGAAATTGGCAGACCCCAAACAAAATGCGTTCAGCATGCGATCCCGGATCCCGGATTCCGAAAAGCTGAGGGGACAGGAACATAGCAACAAGAAAAACAAATAGGGCGCCGTGTATGTCGAAAGAAAAGAAAAGAAAAAGCTCTTCTGGAACTTACAATATTGTCTGCCTCGGCTGCATCCATCTTGCCTGTCCCTGACCGGATATATCTTACTTAGGTGTTGGGTACTAAACGCAACCTTCTCGATCTTGTTTCTCCTTTCCGTCCCCAAGTTCCTTAGAAAGCGGCCAGGCCTGAACCGTGACTTCTAGATCCGGTGACCGATGCCCGAAAACTGGGGTCTGCGTGTGCGGCTGCAGCTGGACGATAGCCTCGACAATAAGAGAGTAGTAGTAGTAGTAGGTGGTAGTGGTGGTGGTGGTGGTGGTGGTGTTGGGGTGACTTGCTGCTAACTCGTCGACAACCCAGAGACGAGACGTTTACACGGGAACTGACAACGACGATGCCGACTCGGATGTGTCGCGGGGCGGTGGGAAGGTCGTCTCGGCTGGGAATGGATGGAATGGGAAGAAACGATACGGAGGCGAGATCACGGTGAGAGAGGGAAGAATAAAAATCGAAGAAAAAAAGAGAAAGGGCGCGGTTTACTGAAACCCAATGCGATGACGTTTGGGCCACTATAATACGATGGGAGGAGGGGTGAATAAGTCCTTGTTCGCCAGTCTCGCCCCGTCCCACAGGTAGTTATGTAGAGGTTCAGCTTCCTCCTGCCTGCGGTGCCCGCCTGATGGGTACGTACCTACGTCTATATTCGGTACGATACCCTCTATAGGCAAGTAAAGGTAGGAGGCTTATCTATCACGTCTACGACTCACTCAGCTCGGCTAGCCAGCTGGCCAAACGAGGTACCGACCTTGTTCCCACCACCAACTTTACCTACGCAACCTGGCCGCCATACGGTGTAACGGAGGTAGCTGCTTACTGCGTGCTGCCGTGTCCGGTGTCTGCTTATGAAGATGTAACCACCAATGTCAGCCGCCTCAATGGTGCCTGATATAGGGACATACCTACCTAGAGAGTGTACTGCATATAGGTAGGTACCTTAGGTACCTACCTCCTAGAGTTGCATTCACCGAGAGGTACATACACTAGGTGGGAGCCAATAGGAGCCCAAGCTGCAGAAACCTAAGGTACCTCTTACACCTACTCCCCTCACTAAGACGTACCTACGCACCTACCTCCTAGGTAGCTATAGGTACCTTAGTACCTCAGCACCCGTAGGTAAGAGCATGATATTGTCTGGCCTATCGATTGCGATAACCATCACAACCGCCAACGGTTGAACGAAGGACAGATCTAGTAACACATCAACCTCGACCAGACCGCACCTCGCGCCCGACCTCGCTACACCCGACACCATTCGCAGCTATCTTCCGATTGGGCTCCGTATCTGTTGCAAGCTCGTATTTCAACCCCCGGCGCCACGTTATCAGCAGACAGGCTCGCTGAGGTTCCAATGCATCGGATCCATTAGCAAGTAGAAGCCCGCGTCCGCCTAGTCCGCTACTCTCATACGACGTAAACCCCCCTCCGATCGCCCTCCCCTTCTTCCATTTCTCCTCAACGAGCCTCTCGGGGCCGCCGTAGTCGTCACACTTGAGGGAGCAGGGCGAGCCATGTCCCTCTCCGACTCCTTCACAATCCCCGACGTCCCGGGCGTCGATGACGACGACAACGACGATGTCGACTCCCTACCCTCCACGTCCACCGAGAGCTTCGTATCCGAGGACGGTTACGACGCCCAGCGCGAGTGGGAGCAGAGCCTTGAACAGGTTCAGCTACTCCTCACCATGATCCTCGTCCCCTTCGCCGGCAAGTATCTCGGCCGCAAGTTTGCCTACTGGAGTATGCCATTTTCCCCTGTCCTAGCATCTTCTTTTTGGGGTTCAAAAGTGGATATACGGTCTGACAGCACCCCCTCTATCAAATAGGCTGGGCGCGGTACATGGAATGGATGCACAACGTGGAGATAAGATGGACGAACAAGACAGCATTTAAGGCCGCCGGCGCCGCGGGGGCAGCGGCGACTCTGTGAAGAGACACACCAGCCACGGCTACCCAACAAGCCTGCACATATTGCCTACCTTGGCTTGCGTTCCCCTCCCGATTCCTTAGCAGGCTGAAAGGCGAGCCCAAGTGTTGATGTAAAGACGGGCATCTACGTGGATGCAGCGCCGGCCCCGCTGGAAATAGCAGAATTGGTTCGAACGCTGAAAATACAAGCACATTTGCGGCTCCGGCTATCAATCGAGAATGGAGCCGCGATAGTGAGTATACGGTGTCTCGTAGCCGGGCCGAGGACTCTGTAAGTGTATCTATAATATATGAGTACACACTTCGCGATAGTCTCCATCTGCCCCTTCTCGTTGAAAACGGATAATCAGGAGCCTACAGCTTACTTCGAAAACAACGTGCATTCCGCATCTGTCGCATTTAAGACGGTTACTATACCTATGTCACTACCAGTCTTATCGTAACGACCCTCGGCGTACCTAACCAGTCGCCAGGAAAGGCGCCACGATCGTAATGATATATAATTCATTGTCTCTGCTTCGTCGTGACCGAACAATAGTTAGGAACAAAGAGGTCGTTGTTTCAACCAGGCCCTTAGAAAAAGGAGAAGAGAAGCAACGGCCGAAGTCCATAGAACTCGACAAGGCACTAGTTCACGAACACGGTTATATCAAGAAACCGTCGCAGGGTCGGCAGGTAGGTATAAAAGGTGATCCCAGAGTATCCCAAGCTCGAGCTTATGATCACCATCAAGACTCAACACAGCAATTCTCGACATCATGCCTCGCCAAGCGTTTCCCGAGTACGATTTATACGCGACCCTCAAGGTCGACAGGAGGGCGACCAGTGCCGAGATTAAGAAGGCGTACCGAGAAGCAATTCTCAAGGAGCATCCAGACAAGGCAGGCAACACGCCAGAGAGTAACATGCGCGCCAGCCAGATCAACGAGGCCTTCACCATCCTGGGCGATCTATCTCAGCGCGCCGCGTACGACAGACACGTCGGCAACAAGGACTCGCGCGGCGATAACCGCCACACCAACGTCCCCGGCAAGGACTCGCACGGCGATAACCACCGCACCAACAAAAGTCACCACACGGAAATCAGTCGTCACCACACGCAAACCAGTAGCCACCACCGCAGCCGCGACCACAGTCACAGCCGCCCCCGCCACCACCGTACCGACAGCAGCAGCAGTAGCCATCACACGAGAAGAGGCAGTGGCACGCCACGGGAACACTCTAGCAGTTACGACGACCAGTACTACTACTGCAACCCCTGCTCCTGCAACCAGTGCTCCTGCGACCAATCCTACGACGGGTTCCGGCACGACAGACCCCCGGTAGGGGCCTCGACGGAGGATTACCTCGACGTCATGAAGGCGTCGCGGGGGCTGTACCTGCTGTACAAGTACCTGGGGAGGATCCAGTTGTCCTTCTCGACGGCCCGGCACCGGGGGATGTCGCGGACGGGCACGGTGCTGTGGCCGGCGGAGGTGCAGCGGCTGGGGCGGCAGCTGGCGGCGGCGTGGGACGACGCGACGCAGCTGGACGCGCTGCTCCGGGGGCTGGAGCAGGCGCTGCTGCACGGGACGTGGCGGGCCGGGCAGGAGAACTTCGCCGAGCGCATCGACGTGCTCAACGCACGCATCCCCCGCGCCTTCCGCGCCGCCCGCGCCGCCGCCCACAGCGCCGCCTACCTCTGCACCTGCGCCGTCCGCGACTCCCCCGCCTACATCGCCGACCTCAACCACCACCTCGCCGAGCTCCGGGTCTCGGCCGCCGGCTTCGAGCGGCCCTAGAGCGCCGGCGCGTGGTGAGACGCGGGATGAGTCGGGACCCCGGGGGGGCGCGAGTAACGAGTAAATGCTACATCTCTTACAGACAGGTATACGAGGTTTGTGGGAAGACATAGGCTCGTTATCGCTGCAGATCGGGGGGGAATTGTCGTTCTGGATATACCATTGATTATAGAATTTATATAGAAGTTAAGAAGTGAGCAATCTTGGAGCGTGTAAAAAGGGTTCTTGCTTATGCGTGCAGACGGAAAACAGGCGTTAAAACTGCTGACTATAATATCCGGCGACAACGATTCCATCCACGTTGCGTTGAAGTGTCACACGACAAAAAAAACTTGACGAGGTTCGCGGACTAGCCTTACTTACTACCACTTGGAAGTAGATATTTGTTTTACACAGGTTGAAGCCACCTATTGCTAACACCCCTGTGAGGCACATCTCACACAAACGACGTGTAATGCATTTTCAGCATAAGTAGACAGCAATACGTGATGAGGGATAATGTCCTTTGTACGAACTCGCACAAGGGATATATATATGGCCTTCGCGGACTCCTCGAACAAATAAAGTTACCACGACGCCTCTGAGGACAAAGGGGTCTTTATGATCCGATCTAGCTCCAAAGGGAGCCCCCCCCAGCCTCCCTCGACCTGGGAACTCCGCGAGAGGCACGGGTAATGAGGATCGTCGAGGCTTGTTTCAACCTCGAAAACTGGGCCGCGGCGACGGGGGGCCGGGCGGGCGGAAAGGACGACGGCGTAGGCGCACACCCCCGTCGACCGGATAGGTACCTGTTGGCTCTTGGCTGAGCCTAGACAGGGGTGGCGCGCGGCGGAAGTGCGGCGTCGTTTGTCGCATCGTTATGAAAGCCGGTCCCCGGGCTGCGCAGGCTTAGGTACGCATTCGTACTGGAGATCCCTCCCCCCCTTCTCCTTTTTTTGTCCTGGTTTCTTCTCGTCCTTTAGCGGCCGACCCCGGTGTCTTTCCACGTATTTTGCCACGACGAGACGGGATTCAAAAAAAAAAAAAACCTGCCCCGTGCTAGGATGTCGGCGTCTAGCGGGTTCCTCGCGTTGCCTGTGCCTTGGCGCTACTACGGTTCTTCACGCCGGCCCAGACGCAGTTCACCGGCTAAGTAAGCGTTAGGGTAAGCTAGGTTAGGTAACTAAGGTATGCAGGTAGGCTTGGTGTGCTCCGCGACTATCACATCGATGTAGCAACGTGCCTATCGCAGTTATGGTTCTCCGGGATCCTAGTGTTCTCTCCGGTTTAGAGATAGGTATGTAGGAAAGCCCCGGTAGCCACCGCTCCTTGCCAAACGCCTAGACCAGGCTAGACCCGCAAGGGAACAAGTTCGAGAAATGATAACTCGGGTCGCTTGGCGGGCTGATTCTCGGGTCGAGAAACAACGGGTTTTCGCTAGACCCGTTCTCTTAGTCCTCACGCTAGGAGCCGCCGTGACCCCGGGCCCTTCTGCGTGTGGTATTTTTCGACAGCCACTCCTGAAGAACAAACCGGGCGACTAAATGCGACGAAACGCGACGGCGAGAGTTTGAGCTGGGCAACGTTCGTCTGTTTAATAACCGCCTCCTGTCATGTTCAACAACGTCGCGCCATGGGTAGCTAAGCCACCTACCCTGGATCGGGTCTCTCGAGATAATTATTCGAGTCTCTGCGAGGATAGATCCCTCGGACGTGTCACGACGTAGATGTCACCGCGGAGAGGTGCCAGGCCTGTAGAAATTATGATGATCGGGTTTGTTTCTCGGCAGAGGTGTTAGGAGCTACCTGTTGTTAGTGGAGAGAGAGAAGTGATGCAGGCCAGCGGCCCTTTTCATAAATACAGCGCAGATAAACACTGGGTAGGCATCTGAGTTGAATCCGGCAGCAACCCCACGCCGCTTAGCCGGTGGTAGGACGGGAAGTTACCGAAGGTTACGATCATAACGGGACCCGGGGCCACGCATCCATGCGGTGACCCTTGCGCAACCCGGGTTGGCGAGCCTCGCTAGGTGTCGAATAGCGAAATCCTTTATAGGAGCCGGGCTAGTCACAATGAGATATTCTCGAAGACCGGGGGGGCTGCTTGTTTCCCTTCTTCATCTCCTGTTTATAGCGGGTAGGGGATGATGGCTTAGGGGGTGCCACCTCCGGGATTGATTACGCAGGTACCTACCTATCTAACGTAACACCTGTTTGTGAAAGGTGTCTGATAGGTACCTGTAGCTTAGGCTAGGTATCTACCTGGGCAGGTATTATAGGCAGGTATGCGCTTGTGTGTAAGACAGATTACGGTGGAACTTACACAGGTACCTGAGATACCTATACATTCCCTTGTGTACGCGAATTTTCTAATATCTAGGTAGTTACCTCTTCTCGGTACTTGTGGCATCCCTTTCTCTCGTCCCTTCCCGGCTCCCTCCTTGTCGGGGGAGTCGATTTAAGAAAGTGGAGCCCCAGTACCGCATGGCGGGCCTTCGACTCGCAGGATGACGTTCGCTAATCGTGCTAAGACGACTCCATCCTACTCCGGCCGATCGCTACGCCCACCCCACCCCCCGGTACCGGCTGTGTAGCTTCGTCGAATGTTGCCGTAAAACATTGGAACTCGTGTTGCTGGCGCCCTGTTTGATGCACATAACCCTCCGAGTGTGTAATATCTCTTCCTTGTTTTGTGGTTGTTCCACGGGCGCTACTACATACCTATAGGTAGGTATGGTATCTATCGTATTCCCGGAGCGAAGGCAGGACGTCCTATCACTACGTACCTGCATCTGTAGTACTGTCGGCATCTGCAGCGGGAAGCAGCACGGGAAGAAAGAAGCGGCAGAGGGGTGCCTGCCCCAGGCCGTGGGACGGAGCTACCGTAATGCTGGCCGTCGACGGCGTCGGCTGATTCGCAGAGGAGAGCACAAGAAGGTTGGGTCGTGCCGGTTGCGTGCCTGCCGTCGAATCTTTTCCACCCCCTACGCGCCACCAGCAGGCACATCCTTATTTCCGCCTTCCCAACCACCAGGACCTCGTGCTGGTACTGGTGCTCGTGTTACGATGCTGCGCGCGTACCGGGTACCGCACAATGGGCGGCAGCCTGTCACCAAGGCAGGTATGTGCTACTGCTACGCTAACACAACAGGTATTACCTCATGTAGATGTCATGGGCCTTGTACATACACACCCTCCTTCCCCCTTCTCTCCCCCCATTTCCCGCTCGTTGTCTCCCCCCTAGACTGCACAGCCGAGACGGCGTTTGCTGCCTCTCTCTCTCCTCTCTCCCTTTTCCCTTCATCCTCCCGTACTGTGTCCTGGGGATACCGGGTACTTTTTAAGTCCAGTCCGCTCGCTCTCCGTCGCTGCGTGTCCTCTACGCCTTTCTCTTCTTCGCTCATTCACGCTCCGCCCGACGACTTTCTTCTTCACTCTCCCGAGCAACGCACTCGTTTTGTTGCTCCCTCGGCTTACTTTTATTAATTCACCCAACCTTCGGTCCCGACGTCGTGCGGCTTTATAACCAGCGTCCCTTCACTCGCTCGGGATTGCCGTCAGCCCTGCAGCTCACGTTTCTGCTGGCTCGACTCGCAGATACCCTCCTCTCGCCGAATTCAAGTCGCCAGAACTGAGTAATCTGTGAACGCCACGCCGTAATCATGCGCCAGTTCGTTCTCGCGTCCGCTCTGGCGGCTGTGAGCACAGTCTACGCGGGCCCGACCGCCACCGAAAAAGAGCTCCCCAGGCGGGCGGACGCCCTGCCTACGGTGACAGCGTCCGGCAATGGTACGTATTCGATAGCCCCCTGCTTGGCAGGAGTGTTGGCTAACGATATATATAACAGCTTTCTGGGCTGGTGACACGCGATTCTATGTTCGCGGCATCGATTATCAGCCCGGTGGCTCCTCCGCCAACCTCGACCCCCTTGCCGACGCTGATTTGTGTAGACGAGATATCCAAAGATTCCAAGAGTTGGGTGTGAACACCGTACGCGTCTACTCGGTAGACAACTCGGTCAGCCACACCGACTGTATGCAGGCCCTGAACGATGCCGGCATCTACCTCGTTCTCGACGTCAACAATCCTGCCTACTCCATCAACCGGGACGACCCAGCCCGGTCGTACAACGACGTCTACCTCCAGAGCGTCTTTGCCACCATTGACGAGTTCGCCAAGTACGACAACACTCTCGCTTTCTTCTCCGGCAACGAAGTCATCAATGACAAACCCGAATCGGTGAAGTCCGCTCCCTATGTCAAGGCCACCACTCGCGACATGAGACAGTATATCAACTCCCGCGGTTACCGCAGAATCCCTGTGGGGTATTCTGCTGCCGATGTTAGCCAAAATCGCATGCAGACAGCCCAATATTTCAACTGCGGTTCCGACGAGGAGCGTAGCGACTTCTTTGCCTTTGTAGGAAGCACCTGATACCGCGGTATTTCCCATGGCTAACGAGTTCGCAGAATGACTATTCCTGGTGTGCGCCCTCATCGTTCGAAACATCGGGCTGGAACGAGAAGGTGAGAAACTTCACTGGATACGGCCTGCCCATCTTCTTGTCGGAATGGGGTTGCATCACCAACGGCCGCGACTTCGAGGAGTTGGGTGCGTTGATGAGCGACCAGATGTCGTCGGTATACTCTGGCGGCCTCATGTACGAGTACAGTAGAGAAGGCAACGGATACGGCATTGTCGAGCTCTCGGGTAACTCAGATTCTGTGAGAGAAGAGCCAGAGTTCGAGAGGTTTGCGTCAGCTCTATCTCAGTACCCTGCTCCCACCGGAGACGGCGGTTTCACTCGTACCACCTCCGCAGCTGAATGCCCAACCGTCGACGGCGTTTGGGACATTGAGGAGTGGGGCCCAAGTGCGCTCCCGGCCATGCCAGATGGCGCGCAGAAGGTAATCCTCTTCTAACCCCCTATTGGTGAGGGCGGGAAACTAATCAGTTGCTATTAGTACATGACTGACGGAGCCGGCACCGGCCCGGGCCTTAACGGAGACGGTTCCCAGCAGGCATCTGGAACCTCGACGGGCACCGCCACACCAGCTCCCGCGTCCGGTGAGAATGTTGGTGGCCGGCCAGCGCCACCAATGGACATGAGCGTGTTTGCTCTCACCGGCGTCGTGGCTCTCTTCACCTTCGCCGGTACGTTGTTGCTGTAGAGTAACTGTCAGTTCCTGCGTTAGTATTTTGTTAGACCTATGCATGGGTATAGATGGGTGAGCAAAGAGGCAAATATCGGGGTTTTTCCTTGCTGTTGTATCATGGACGGCCAATCTCGGCGCATGCTATCGTTATTCCGGGCCATAGTTTACGCGACCCTAACTAAAACTATGAGTAAGTAGACCTAATTCCTCATATATATATATACATATGGCTGTGGTCTACAAGCGGTATCTAAACAGGGAATGTGAACTAGGGGATCGACGGATAATTCACTCTAGTCATTACGAGTATACCTCCCGGCGACGAGGGTTTTGCATATAAATTTTGGGTGGTTGGTATAGAAACCTCCGGGACTGAGGGTTTGGTGATCTGAAAATGGAGTTTTAATATGGAATGGATTGCGCACTGTCGGCCCGGCAGGTGAGCGGGAATACTCAACCGGAAAAACTCTAGCAGCGATCACCCGCTCCCAAAAGGGACACAGTAGAAGCCGAACTTCCAGTCATCTCACTCGATTTCAACCGGCCAATTCTCTCTACCGTGTATTTATTACACCGTCGCTTCAGCATCACGGGTGATGCGGTAGATTCGCCTGTCAGGCGGAGAGCTAAAGCTATCCGGAAAATCTTGTTAGTATTACCAGACTCGTACCTACCGCACTGTAAGCTAGACGAGCTTTGAGCTTCAAACTACATACGAGCTAAGAACTGCTGGGGTCGTATAAATGCACACACTCTCTCTTTCTATTCTCGAATTGCTGAAACAAAGGTCTTCTCCCTGGCCTACGATGTAATCCCCTCAAAGACGTCCCTTTCCTAATGCTGTCTGCTGAGTTTTCTTTTCCCTTCCAGCTAGAACTACCGACCGCCATGCCACCAACCTTAGAACTTATTGGCCGCAGGCCTATCACAATCGGGTCAGCTATCGAGGAAGAGAAAAATATCATAAACTGGGCCTCTTACGGGCCTGCAACTGACAGGTTCTATCAAGAGCTTTGGGCACAAAGGGACTCGATCGAAGCTCTCGTTAAACATCATCTGGGGCTCGGCGGGGAAGACATGTGTAGCGTGCTGCCGTCGCACTACTGGATTCGAGGCAGCTTCAACGTTTGCGTCTTCGTCGAGGTCAAGTCAGGCAGCTCAGCCAGGAAGGTCGTATTTCGTTGTCCTATGCCACACAAGCTTGCCGAAGCCCGGTACCCCGGCAGCATACACGAGAAGTTAGGCAGCGAGGTGGGTGCGTATATATGGGTAGAAGAGAATTGCCCCGAGATTCGCCCACCTCATATGTTTGGCTTTGGTATGATGGATGGCCGTCATGTGAGTCTCCCCTTTAGTCTTTATACGCTCTTGCTAAGCAGTCAGTTCTCTTGCTAAGTAGTTAGTTCACTCATACGAAACACCTCCCATTCTTCCCTCGTATCGTGCGACTGTCTTGGCGCTTTATTTACCGATTCTTTCGGCTCCCCTTACTTTCTAATTATGTCTGGAATCTGCCGAGTCAACAAGTGTATCTGGCGTACATGATTTTGGAGTATCTGGGCCCTGAAACGGGGCGGATGCTTTCAGATACGCTTGATATGTACAGGGAAGACGAAGCCCGGAGGCAGAGATTGTTTAGAGGCATGTCCCGGATAATGATTTCTCTCGCGCGGGTTCCCCAGGCGCATATTGGATCCTTCCAGTTTCATGACGGTGGCACCGTTACACTGACTAACCGACCACTCTCTTGTTCGATGATGATTTCAGAGAACGATGGGGCGATCAGGACGATGCCGAGAAACGAGACTATCAGCTGCACGGACGCATTCGTATCGGACATGCTCACCTTTCACGATCACCGCTTCCTGAGCCAGCCAAACGCTGTGTACGACGAGGGCGACTGCCGTGCCCAGATGGCAGTCAAGGCACTGCTCCGAGTGGTTTCACACAATTATATCAAGCGAGAACTCCGCAACGGCCCGTTCCTACTTCAGCATACAGACTTCCATGCAAGCAACATTCTGGTTGACGAAGACTGGAATGTCACGGGCTTGATCGATCTGGAGTGGATATGCGCTCTACCTGCCGAAATGCTCGCGGTGCCATACTGGTTGACCGGCTGTGCTGTTGACGGGATCGAAGGCGAGAGGCTCGACCAGTTCGACCGGGTACGACGAGCCTTCATGCACATATTTGAGGAAGAAGAGCAAGCGGTAAAGGCGAAGGCAAGTAGTCATGACATCAATCTTTCCAAAATCATGCACGACATGTGGGACTCGAAAGGAGTGTGGTTCTGGTATTGTCTGTCATCCGTGAATGCCATGTACTTCCTTCTCGAGGCGCATCTGTTACCGCCGAAATCCCTTTCGCTGGAAGCCGAGAGGATTGTGTCGAGGTTTTGGAGTAGAGAGTCGGAGGACATTGTTCGGATGAAGCTCGCGGACAAGAAGGCCTATGACGACGAGCTTCGGGAATTGTTCAGTGGTTGAATGATGGTAGGGGCTATGGCAGAACCTTTCGAGGTCGGCGTTGATGAGGTGAACAGATCACGGTAGCAACATCCTTTCCTTTGCGATAGTTGCTGCATCCTCATCAACACCGCTGTATTCTCCGGATAAGTAACCCTCCTTGCTCTGATCAGGCATTTCGTCCTTTAGCAAGAGGATAGGACAAAGTAACTCTCAGTGAGGCAGGCTAGGTAATAGGACAGGCGTGCTTAAAAAGGAGCTGCTGCATAGCTATCTTACCTTGCGATGCACGCCCCTCGATGAGTCGTTCGGTAGTAGATGCAGCTTTTCGCGTGCGACTGGCACCGGCAACTATTATTTTTACTCTTATGGTTCGAGACTGTAAAGAAATCCTCTAGTCCTCTAGCAAATCTCTCCTTTTCTTCTCCTATAACCCCCCCCCCCTCCACCCCTTTTCTACAGGGAAGCAAAAACAGAAAGCATAAATTCTTCTCTTCACTCTGCTAGATCAGGCTTCTAGGGGAGCAAGTGTCAAGCGTCAAGGGAATAGGAGTAGACATACAGCCACTCACTCCGTCTAATATGTGTAACCTGGGTATGCATACACTGCCGCCGCATCTTTCCCCGTTTCTCTACTGGGTTCTCTATCGCCTGCTCGCAACTCCCCATACGAGCAATTTCGTGCAGTTGAATTACATTATCATTATCCGTGTCTCGGTGTCTCTCCCGTCTATATATCCGCAGCATCGCGCGATCGGTCCTCTGCCTCGAAGTACGCAGACGTATAGATGCCGGTCGTTGTCTAATGTCGCGGTATATTCCCCCGCGCTGGTCCCAACCCATGCTTGCCTCCCCCCTCCCCCATTCTCCATCCTCTACCGCCTCCACCTCCCCCTAAAAGAGGGTGGGGATGGGGGGGGGCCGCCGTAGACGGACGAACCGCGCGTAGACTGCCATCGCTCGCACGGCATGACCCACGCGCCGACGCCCGCCCGCAGAAACTTGAGGCTGAAGCCGTGGACGCTATCGGCGCGCCAGATCACGTCCTCGCGGGGTCCTGGGCGCGCCGACGGCGGGGCAGCGGCGGCGTCGGCGCAGGGCGAGCTGATATTGCGACGGAAGACGAAGACGGGGCCTCGGCATTGCTCGCGGCGGCGGCGGCGCAGGCGGGGGTCTCGTCGACGAGGGCGAGCGCGACGGCGAGGCAGCCGGCGGCGTCGGGCTTGTCGGCGGAGTAGATGTCGTAGGACGGGGGGGCGCTGGAGCGGACGGGGCAGGCGAGGAAGACGCCGGGGCGGCCGTCGTACGCGAGATGCGGGCGGCCGCCGGGGCCGGCGCGCGACACGGCGAAGGCGTTCGGGCCCACGGCGCCGGCGGCCCAGCACGCGAACTGGTAGGCCGGCGCGCGCATGAAGCAGCCGTGGCCGAGCCCGTCGCGCACCGTCCCCGCCGCCCCGTCCAGGCAGAACCCGCCCTGCTGGAACGGCCCGCCCAGCAGCAGCGAGCCCACGTGGCTCTCCACCACCGTCTCGTTGACCGTCCCCACCGACGCTAGCTGGAAGCAGCACTCGTCGCCGCCCTGTCGAGGCCGCAGGGTCGCCGCGGCAGAGGCGCCGGCGGCCGCGAGGAGGAGGAGGGCGTGGAAGAGGGAGGATGTGGTCATTGTGAGATGCTGCATCTGTTCTGTCGGACTAGGTGGAATGGTACGGGTTATTGGGGTATGATAGGCGTCGGTAGGTAACAGGATGTCGCTGCTGGGTGCCGGAGGGAGAAAACGGGTCCTGAGAATATTGTATGTCGATACAGTTGCGAGCGACTGAAGGTGAGGAGGGCGAGTTTTCTTATACCTAGTAAATAGGGGAGGGTGGCGTCTCTACGGCAACTGGAGCGGCTTCAGTGAATTCAACCTAGGTGTGATGTTTTCTGAGGAGGCGTCGAAGGTGACTCAAAGTGCCCCAGCCACTGAAGCAGAGACGACTTGATTTGGCGGCCTCAACTAAGACAGGATGAAGAAAAGACGCAGGGCTTTGCGTCGCAGTTCCCTGGAATGGCCACCTCGCACAGCAGCTGTCGGGGGAAGAAGGGTGCCCGCAGCTCTGCGCCCGCGTCCGCGATCTTGTTTTATTCGATGCTCGCTCGCAATGCCCAGACTCAGACTGTTGAGTGGAGCACAGAGATACACAAAAAGGAACGCACGACAGGCTGACCAGATACGCTCTTCCTTGCGCCTGTCTCGCTGCTGTGAGATGCGGGACGGGAAGACGGCTCAGCCCGCCACTCACTTCACCGACTTTCGCGCCCCTGGCAAGCCACTCCTCGCCCGTCCGGCGGGACATCGGGGACCGAGAGGGCCGAAGGAGAGTCTGGCGGGCCCGTCCGCACACCAGCAAAGGCGCCCGTCCCACACGCGCGCAGCAGAGTAGAAGACGGTGAGCCCCTGGGTACCCTGCGCGGAAACGGGAGGAGGGGCCCCAGCCACGGCTCGCGCCGCGCTGGGGCGGTCCGGGTACGTGTCCCTCCTCGCGAGTAGGCTAACAGGGCGTGCGAGGTGGGATACGAGGCCACCTGTGCACCGCGCCGGCAGCGATCCCCAGTCAGGGTCAGCAGCATGTACACACGGGCACGGCCTCGAGGGCGAGTAAGACGGCGCGTGCGCAGGTCGATCGTCGCCCTCGCCTCGCTGCCACGTTCCGCGCCGCGCTGTAGTTGGACGGCTGATGGGCGGCAGCTCGGGCCTCGGTCGATCCGACCGAACGAATCGATTGACGGACACGTAGGGAGACAGGTTTGCGAGGACGTGGGTGGCGGCCTGGATCGCGTCGCGGAGAATCAGCGGCAAGGAGGGCATATGCATAAATATATGCGCTGCTTAGATATTGCCATAGCAAGGCGTGAGAATGCTGGGTTAGTGCAACGAGCATGGCAGTAGCCGTTGCAATGCAATTACCGCATGTACGTCGCGAGTAGTTTGGGTTAAGTCGGTATCCTCCCGTCTTCGTACGCTTTACTGCCTACTCTTACCATCCTCGTTCGAGAAAGACGAGTTCATTACCTGGGGGATGAAGCGAGCACGAGACTGACATCCAAACATCCTGCCAGAAGATACCTACATATGGCTACAGGCAAATGTGTCTTCGATCTAAGCAATCATCCTGAGCCCCTTTATGTAAGGCTTTTACTCCTCCCCTTCTCCCCTTTTGTCCTTTTTCTCCCGCCTCACGCCCATTCACTCATTCCTCGCTCCCCCTTATCCCCCTCAGCCTCGCTCACCTCACCCCCTCACGCCCCCAAAGTCCATGAACAAGCTGCCCTTCTCGTCCGCCTGCAGGACGCCGTCGAGCCGGCGCGCGGCCGCGACGCGCTTGTCCGAGACCTCGTACTCGGGCGGGAGGTCGATCTCGATCTCGCCGTCGTCGCCGTCGCGTTCGCCGAGCAGCATTACCGCCGCCGCCTTCGCGCTCAGCGCCGCGTTCGGCATGCCGTGGCCCGTGTACCCCGCGCACACCCACAGCCCCGGCCCGCCGCCCAGCCCCTCGCCCACCGCGCCCACCCACGGGTGCCCGTCCCGCGTGTACCCCATGATCCCCGTCCATTCGTGCGTCGGCTCCAGGTCCTGCTTCTGGCCCGCTTCGCCTGCCCTCTTCGCGTCCTCCCTGCCCTCCTTCTCCTGGTGATGAGAGTGCGAGTGGGAGTGCGAATGCGAATGGGAGTGGTGGTGATGATGATGGTGGTGGTGATGGTGGATCGGCTCGACCACGGGCGGCGCCGCCCGCGGCGTCAGATCCACCGCGCTGCTCAGCTCCCCGCGCAGGTACCACGCGACGGGCTCGTCGACGCTGGCGTCGTCCCACACGCCGACGCCGCGCCCCCGCGCGTGCTGGCGCCCGCCGCCGAACACGAGCTCGGCCGCCGGCGGGGGCCGCTGCACCAGGTAGTCGTCGCGCGCGAACGGGTCCCGCGGCTCCCCCACGATGTAGTACGTGTGCCCGATGTCGAGCGGCGGCAGCGGCTGGCTGCCGCCCGCGGGGTCCGCGGGCGTCGCCGGCGGCTTCAGCGCCGACACCTGCCCCCGTGTCGGCACCAGTAGGTCGCTAAACTGCGGCAGCAGGTGTGACGTGTACCCGTTCGTCGCCAGCAGGACCTGCGGCGCAGTCACCGTGCCGCGAGGCGTGTGCACCGTCCACACAGACCGGGGCGGAGGGGCCCCGGCACCGGTACTGCCGCGGCGGGGGGCGAATGCCTCGGCGCGCGAGAGCCCCGTCACCGGCGTGTTGGTCTGTAGGTTGAAAGAGCCGCGGCCGTCTTCCGCGCCGGCGGCGGCGTTGGCCGCTAGCAGACGCTCGAGCACGAATGCGACGAGCTTGTAGGGCCACAGGCTCGCGGCGTTCCACTGGACGATGGCGCCGTCGGCGCGGGGCACGCGCAGGCCGTCGAGGGTGAGCTCGCGGCGCTCGCCCTCGAGGAGGTACGCGGGGGTGCCGGCGAGGCCGCCCTCGTCGTCCGCGTCGTCGTCGTCACCGCCGCGGCCGCTGCGGCCCTTGGTCACGACGGCGACGTTGGCCGCCAGATCCGGGTACCGCTCCGCGAGGTTGTCGACGATGCGGCGCGCGATGGCGAACAACTCGGCCGAGTAGAAGGCGTGCACGCCGCTCGTCGACCGCCAGTCGCACGGGATCGAGTGCTCCTCGACGAGCCCCTTGAGGAACAGGAAGTTGCGCAGCTCGAACGAGGCGATGTGCGGTGCCGCAGCCGCGTAGATCGCCGGCTGGCAGTGGCCGCCGTTCTGGGCGCGGGGGCATATGTACGGTTAGCAACTGTGTCTATTCGTGAAGATCCGAGGAGAGGGAGATGAGATGAGATGAGAGAGTAGTACAGCACGTGTTAGGTGAGAGGGGAATGGGTGAAAGGGTAGAAGGGGGTTGCATCGAGGCCGGCACATAATCCTATCCCCCAGCCGGGCGTGTAGCTGAAAACAACATGTCTCATCTATTCGTAGTGACCACGAGCAAGCACAACACGTCGCGAGTAAACGTCCTACTTACCCGGCCCGTAGCGCCCCAGCACGCCTCTCTAGCCTCGAGAATGACGACATTCAGGTCTGGCCGCTTCTCGTTGAGGAAGTGGGCAGCGAAGCTGCCGGTGAGGCCGCTGCCCACGATCACCACGTCGGCGGAGCGGGGCAGCTCGGCCGTCGTCCGGTGGCCCAGGAGCGTCTTGGACGGCTCCTTGAGCCAGTACGACTGGGTCGGGTTATCGACCGGCAGGCCGGACTGGCCCTCGACGAGCCCGGCAGGCTGCGCCATCTCTGCCTTGTGATCCGATAGCTCACAGCCACGTTCGGGCGGCCAGGGGGCGCGCGTGTGTGTGTCCGGGTCGGGCGCCGAAGCAGGCAGGGTTATCAGTCCTCTTCCTCTTCAAGTCTGCACAAGTAGTTCAGGTGCGGCACGGGAGAATCTCACGATATCCTCTGAGAACCTTCGAAAACAACTCGAAAAAGAATCCAGGTATATTCCACTTATCAATGTTGAAGCTTTGGACAAATTGGTGTGGGTACAAATTACCTAGGTAGTTCGTCGAGCCATTCTTTGGCGTGCCATTTGCGAGACAGCTGTCGCCAGCTGGAGACGGATAATGAGGGAAAGGGAGGGGGCAATGAGACAAAGACATGCGATCCATTTCTCTTCTTCGCGTTGATGAGACGCCAATAAACGAAGAGAAGTGACAGGTAAAAAAACACGCTTGAAAATGGCTGCGTGGTGAGAGAATGAGAGAGGGAAAAAAAAGTGCAAAAAGCTCGGCCGGCCCGACCCCGTTACCCACGTTCGCAGGGGCACTATGCATCGTAATGCCTCAGAGCCCCAGGTGGCGCCGTACTGGCTTACCTGCCCCCCGAGTCCCTTTATTCGGGAGTAACCACCAAAGTATTGGATCACTATAGCCCCGGAGACGTCAGTATATATCATGTTGCTGTATATATATTGGTGTATCTATGAGTATACTTTACCACAGGGTAACATTGGTGTTGTCGTTGGGGTAACAGAACGGCACCTGCGTTGCTTGGCAGGCCGAGGACATCAAGATGTGCGTACTACGTACATACTTTACACATTTCACCGACTTCTACAAATTGGCAGCTGGTGTATTGTAGGTACACTGGAGGAGAGAGAGCTTAATAGCAACATCCTGTCTGAAGTTGCAATGTAGATCTAATCCCTGCTCCTATTCACAATATTTACCCATCTGCTCGATGCCCGATACCTGACTGAGCCTATTGCACTATAGTGCTGAACCCTCGACCCTCTCAATGCCACAGGGACCTGCCCTCTCAGAGTCCCCTACAGATACCAGCCACTCCATATTTCACCATACAGAACGCGAAGCGCTCCTCTAATTCGAGCCGCAGCAAGAATGGAAAATCCGATAGATGTGCCTCCCTTTCCGCCTCCATTTAAAACACCTTCCACCTCTCCTCCGGGGTATAACAAACTCCACCATTGCTCAGAACGATTCAAATAACTCCAACAACGGATGCTTCCCCTGATCCCATACATATTTTTTTTTCTTCGTTACCGACTCAAAATGCTTGTTCTTCGGCGCCCCCCTGCCGATAATGCCATGTCCGGCACGAAGTCCAGCTTTGCGCCTTTCCGATATCTCGAAGATATCGCGCCGGCGCTCTCGGCTGCTAGCTAGGGGAATGCGAGGATTTGCGGGGTCGCGTGATATGGAATCGCGTGCCACGATGGATGCGTGGGCGAGGACCTCGCATCGGACTCAACCACGGGTCATCCTAGCCAAGTCGCCGGATCAATAAACGGCTCACACGTGCTAGAAAGTACCGCACCCACGGGGGCGTATCGAGGGCTCGACGAGAAGGGTCGGAGCATGCGTTGGGGAAGAGGTCACTAATCCGCCTCGGCTAATTGCATGATCAACTTAGCAGCCATGTCGAGGAAAGGGAAGGGGCTCATAACGGCCTTCTCCTCGAGCAGGGTTCCGTCGGCCCGTTCGTAGCCGCTACATTTAAAGTCGACGAGGTAGACTTTGTCCTTCGGGTCCATCTCGTATATCTGTATCTCCATCCGCATCCAAACGAAGTCCTGCTTGCGTCTGTCCATGACCGAGTACACGAACATGCTGTCGTCGGAAACCGAGTCGGCGGTGGCGTGGCCAGATGCCACCGACGTCTTACGGATATCTGCAGATGGGCGGGATTAGAAAGGAGGAAGACCGCTAGGTTGGCGTCTGCCTGGCTCACCATCTTTTTTCCAGCGGCACACGATATGCCAGGGGTCGGCCGGCAGCTTGTAATACTTGATGGGATCGAATGTCTCTGGGTCGATCTCGTCAGGCGACAGACTCTCGTACGGATTCCCCTCCTCTCGTGCGCGAGAGATCTTGTCGGTGAACGGGTCACTAGCCTGGTGAGTAATCTTGGGCGCGGGGCGGCTATCGACGTCTGAGGTACTTACGGGTGGTCTGCGCCGCTACCATGCACCTTTTCGTAGTCCTCGTCTAGAACCCAGGTAGCACCGAGCTTAGACAAGGACTTGTAGATGCACAGCAGAGCCTCGAACGGGGCATTTCGAGATCTTATTCCGAATTGCCAGCGAACCTGCTTGCTCCTCCTGGGCGTGACGGGCGTCATAGTCTGCGGGTGGAATTGACTATCGTCCAGTCTCAGAGCGCTCTTGGAGTGGGGCTTGAGACGGCGGGCCGCTTCCTGCTGCTCAGCTGGCGTCCTAGGCTGCAGAACGTCGGGCATCGGCTGAACGTCTAGCGGTTCTTCACCGGCGTTGTGGCGCTCGAGGTACTTCTTGTGTAGCGGGGGTAAGCTGGTTGGTAGAATTCCAACGTGGCTCACGTATCCGCGGGGCGACGAGCTAGTGATCGTAGAGGTGGTGGAACGAGTGGAATCCGCGAGAGGGCTGGCTCGGGATTCCGCGCGGTCTGCTTCGCTGTCGCGCCTGCTATCTAGTGACGTGCCAGCCATAGCTTCAGAGACGCTCCGCATCTGCTCTTCGACGTCGGCAGTGGGAGGAGAAGTTGCGAAGTACGGGTTGTCGGCGCCGGTCCCGTAGGCGGCTATAAAAGCGTTAGTAACTTGGACGACGGTGCTTCGAGGATGCCTAGCTTAGAAATCCGCGCGCCAGCACGGCCGTTCTGCCTGCCTCGGCTTCAAACGTGCGCGGAGATTGGGTGAAGGAGTTTCCTATAAGGGAGGTGACTGGGCAACTTACGGTTCACCTGCATGAGCTTGTTCTCGCGGACGATCATGTACGCGTCTTTGATCGCGGATGGTTCGTCGGCCTCGAGAGCTTCCTGGACATCTCGCTTCCCGTACCCCATCGTCTTACTGATCTTCTCGGTGACTTCGTTATGAAGCCTCTCTTGGATCTTGGGAGGCGCGTTAGGCGCGATGTCGCTCGGCCTGATAGCTCTGTTCGGGTCTACGCCCGTGTTTAAGAATTCCTCGACCGGCGGGGCTAGATAGGCAGGCAGGTCTTTCAGGAACCAGGGGTCGTCCCGGATGTCTTCGATGACGATACGCTGCACGGGGTTAACTTGCAGCATCTTTCGAATGAGACTCGCGGCGTCCGAGGGGACCCAGTGCGGGACGGTGAAGACGCCCCGTTGGATCTTGGAGAAGAGACTGGGGATATGGTCGTCGTCGAAGGGGAGCCTTCCCACCAGCAGCACGTACAGAATGACACCGCAACTCCACACGTCGACCTCGGGCCCGGCGTACAGCTTCCCGCTAATAACTTCGGGAGCGGCGTAGTTGGGGCTACCGCAGCTGGTCTTGAGGAAGTTGCCGTCGGTCATGATGTTGCTGAGGCCGAAATCGGCGATCTTGACGTTGAGGTTGTCGTCGAGCAGGAGGTTCTCGGGCTTGAGGTCTCGGTGGACGACCTTGTGCCGGTGGCAGTACTCGACGGCGCATATCATCTGCTGGAAGAACTGGCGGGCCTGGCTCTCGGGCAGCCTGCCGTGCTTGACGATGTAGTCAAACAGCTCGCCGCCGGCGTATTCCAGTACCATGATAATCTCGGCTGGAGTCTTAATCACAGTGTAGAGCTTGATGATGTGGGGGTGCCGGAGCAGTTGGAGGTACTCTATCTCGCGTTCGACGCGGCCGACCATGTCTCTGCTGATCAGCTTCTTGCGGGCGATGATCTTGAGGGCGACCTTCTGGCCGGTGGACCGGTGAACGGCCAGCTTGACCTTGCCGAACGAGCCCTCGCCCAAGGTCCTGATTATGTTGTAGGCGCCGACTCGCTGGTCAGTCTTGGACTTTTCTCGGCTCTGGTCGGAGATCAGACTGGAGGCGCGAGCCCTGCTGCTGCTGTTGGCGCCGTCGGCAGCAGGCTGGGTGACGTTGATCTCGGGCACTCGAGCGCCATTGTTTCGACGGATCAGGGAGGGGGAGAGGGACATGGAGAGTTCCTCTTCGTCGAAGGGTCGGGAGGCCATCTTGGTGAAGCAATGTGTAGTGGTGTAGAAAGTGACGGCGACGTTGGCAAGATCGTCATGGGTAGGTAATCAGCAAATAGGTGGGTGACTTAGCATCCGACAACTGGAACGAGGGGCTCTGGGCTGTGGGCTGGGCCGGGGTCGGGGAACAGGGGGGGGGGTAAAAGGGAGAGGGACCTCAATGAGTGGGACGCAGGTAGATATATGTACTGCGTATAGGAGGCAGGTCTCGGTAGGTGTAGGTACTTGGGTATAGGTCTCGGCAGGCAGGCAAGTACCTAACCTTGAACGCAACCACACACAGGTAGAGGTACACCTCAGTCTGCACTGAGGTACGTGTTTCCCAGACGAGGGCTACAGCGGCTCACCAGGTACCCAAATATACCTCTACATGAGAAGACAGATACCTACGTAGAGGTACCGGCAAAACACAAGGTTCAAGCCGTTGGTGGGCAAAGACAGCACAAGCACCTCCCAAGGCAGGCGCCTCAGCAATCAACCCTGTGTGCTTGCCTGCCCCAACCAGCATGCAAGCGTGGCCCGGGCTTGGCAGGAAGGGCAAGATACCGAAGGTACATAACCAGGTACATCCACGTGCATGTCTACTACTCATAGGTACCTATACACTCCCGCTCCCATCATCGCATCATCAGCATCACCTTCGGATGGACCAGGTAGAGAGGGCACATAGCCGCGCCTATCGACGGGCCAGTGTCAAGATGTATCCGACACCAGCTAGAATTGCATGCCCAACAAGCAAGAGTTGCCCTCACCGTAGGGAGTCAGGTACCTATTACGTAGTAAGAGGCTCCCGTCGTCGAGTTGAATGGAAAGACCTCGGCTACCAAGAGGGGGGCGAACGACCCCAAGGGATCCGCAGTGAGGTCAGTCAACAGTTTCGCTGGCGAATTATAGGGGGTTATCCAGGCCAGACAAGCGCATGTACCTCTGCTGTACTACCTACGTAAGGGGGCGAGACGTACGCTGTAGGTGCTCTCTAGGTACAATACTAGGTAGGGTAAGGCATATCACACGCTATATACGCTGCCCGTAGGTACCTACCTGCTACCCATCCGTGTCCCTCCAAGGTAGGTATATAAGGCAAGTTGGCTTGGCGTCAAAGGGGCTGATAGGTTAAGGTGGTTGGGTGCGCTTCGTCCTTTGTCTCTTTCCCATGCGGCAGAGGCTAGAGGGGTTGATAGCGGCTTGTATGGGACGGTAAGTAGGAGGGATGTATTTTTCGATTGGGAAATCTGGTACCCCTTTACCAACATCCTGGCCACCCTGCCGCCCTGCCCAGCCCTGCCCAGCCTTACCCCCTCTGCCTGTCTCGGTTCTCGCGGGAATCTGGTAAGGCAGGTCGGTGGTCGCGTTGCGCCGGGAGGATGGGACGAGGAGGATATGGAAAGGGGGCAAGTCCTGCGGATGTTGAGCGAACACGCCATCCATCTGGCGGGGTTGAGGTCATCTCTAATTATAGCCATCGCCAAACCACTGCCTCCCTGCACGTACACACCGTAACTACGTCTCTGCATGGCAGAGGCGATTATGACGAGGGCGTACGGCAAGAGGTAGGTAGGTAGGCACTGTGCAAACGGGACGGTGACGGGGGCAAAGGCGAGCACATAAGTCCCTCATCCTCCCACCGACTCGACATCGTGTTTTCCGAGATGATCTCTAGTTCATAGAGGAACCCGGAACAGTGCAGTGTCGTGTGTTGAGCTCCGAGTCAGGCACGTACGTGCTTACGGTCCGGCGACAAGCGATGGCAGGGCGAGAGCCTGCAACCCTAGGTTGGGGCCGTCACGGACCAAGGACTTGGGTATTTACTTGGCTAGGCGGAAGGACAGGCGTGTCTCGGTACCCAGCAACCACCACCCGTTTTCTAGGCCGGCTTATCCCCAGACCAATCTACAGGGCGTAAGCGCCTGTGGCCAGCCTGCGCAAATCAGGCTATCATCGCCGAACCAAGCAGGCTGGTCGAGCGACGAGGCGTCACTGCGCGTCTACGTATGCGGACGCGCGTGCAATCGGCAGGTGTCTCCCAACCTAGAATGTCTCGCTGACGGGAGCTGGGTCCGAGCCCATGGCGCTGCGGCCGAGATAAGAATCATGCGGGTCTCGGGACGGCCGGATTTCAGAGTTGTCTCGGGAACAGAGCCGCCGAGGCACTCGTCCTTCTACGGCGTGTTATTCGTCTGTTGGCGTGCCGCGATATGTCGACATGAACTGTTATATGCATCTCAGGTCAGAGTATCCCGATAACAGACCAGACATTGTCATGCCATATGCATACTTTGCCTTCCCCCCTCCTCCCTGTATCTACCGAATTCACGCCGTCCCGAGTCCCCCCGTTCGTCTCCTGAAGCGCCCAGGTTCGCCGAGCATGTTTATCCGCACCCTCTACTCGGCCCTGCTCTCGATTTCTAGTTCTTGCGCCCACCAGCACTGGTTCGTTTCGGCTGTCGACGCCACGTAATTCTACCCGTCGCTCTAGACGAGTTAGTCGTCGCCCTGCAGATTCTAGGCTGCTTACAAGGCGCGCTTAACCTAGAGTGGATTCGCTTTGACTGCTATACTCTCTCACATAACGCTATCCTCTCCTCTCCTCTTCCTTCAGTCTCTCGACTAGTTTTGTCCTGAGGAAATCGCTGAGACCTAGACTAGATCGGGCCGGAAAATCAGCTGATGACCGCAGCATTATCACATGTAGCCTGTTGACTAGACTTACATCCCCTCGTTAGTCAGGATCCGGTACGTGCCGCTGGGCTCGAAACGTCCCACAATCGCGCCGGACCCGTCGACCTCGATGCTGCCGAGGATATCCTCGGGCCACGCGATCCTGCCGTAGTCGGGCGGGTTCCTCCGGTCGCTGAGATGTATGTGCCCCCCAATTCCGGCGCCCCCAGCGCCCCCTTGAGCACTTGCCCCTCCGCCGCCCAGCCCAGCCGCCGTTCCTCGTTGCCTCTGCTGGCGAGCAAAGAATGCGCCACCTGAGCCGAGGGTTGCTCCACCCGGCCCGGCAAAGGCTCGCGCTTGAGCGATCAGGTCAGGGTCTTCCGCAGCATGATGACGGAGCACGTCTGTCAAGATGGCCAGGAATTCGCCGTTCTCGGAGAAGGACCGCGGCGTTGGTGGCAGTGTGGTGGTAGAGCCGATGGCCAATCTGTGTATCGGCGGGTTCGTGTCGAGATAGGTGAGCAGGTGGCCGTGGTCCAGGGCGGCGTTTGGGAAGACTTTCTGGAAGCGTGATAGCCATGAGCACAGGTCCGACCGACTTATATACGGGTAGCGAGAAGGCGGATTGGCAGGGAACTACGTGGCATAGGCGAGCGAGGATACTGACTATGAAGGGGTTGGTGCTGAGTGTAGATACGCCTCGGCGCTGCAATAGCGCCCTTCCATATGTTGGCGCTATTCGAGCCGGTAACAAGAGCATTTTTATGATCTCGCGATTCCAAGTCGGGGAGACGATAGAGAGGCCGGAGAGATTTTACGCGACGGAGCTGGGATAATTTTCTCTGGGCAATTTTGGAAATGACGTAGGTACGGACTCGTACAGGTAGGTACCTACCTACGCTCGTACCTACCTACCTACCTAGGTACCTACCTAAGCCTAGGTACCCCCTAAGATAGAGGGAGCTGTCAGTTCGAGGCACAGTGTGGATTATCGCTATTAGTCTACTAGATATGGGGGGTGAACTCAGGTCGGATAACCGCTGTAACCGCTATAACCGCTGTCCCTAGCACCTATTGCAACGCTGTGTAGGGCCCAGATAATGGGTACCGTGCGCGTCAAACCCACCCCTGTCGAGTACCTACCTCTTATCGATTGGGCGGGTCGCCGTCAACTCATTAACGCGCTCGACGCGCTCGGCGCGTCTCCGGGCCTGTTCATATCCAACTCTCGATTTTCGACGTAGGTAGAGTCGAGCAAAATTACGACAATCCCAGACCTTCACACCCAAGACGGGGAGAATTCAAGATGCGGACCCATAAAAAACCAGCGGCTTCGCTATTCCCTCCCCAAATACCCGCCTTAACAAACCTCATACCGTCTTCGTCGCCCGCCTTCGGAACGCCAGCCCACACGCCGAAGCCTTTCGCGATAACACCAGCGACCAAAGCGACCATATTGCCGATTCTCCTCCCGCCCGCCACCCTGAGACCGCTTGCGTTCCGCACCTTCACCAAGAAACACAGCCTAACGCTCACCTCGTCCGCCCTGCAAGAGTTGGCAACCTTCATCGGCCGGCATTGCGGGTCGGGATGGCGCGAGGAGGGGCTGGCAGAAAAGGTCCTGGAGGAGGTCGCCAAGAGCTGGAAGAACCGAAATGGAGGCGTGATCGTCGACGGCGCCAGCACCGAGCTGAAAGACATACTGAAGACATTAGAGGGCAACATGAGTGGCGGGAGGATAGTGACGGCACGGGAACTGAGCCGGCAGAATAGCTTCGCCCTGGACTCTCAGGACACCGATATGGCCAACACGAGGTTAGGGTTGAAGCCGACCACATCTCTCTCCCGAGAGGATGCCGCGACGAGCTTTGGCGTATCGAGACTTGGTGTCGAGGAAGAGGAGATGGACGACGAGGAATTAAACCATCCGCGAAAGTGGTTGAAGGTAATAAGCGCTTACGACCAACCCCGCCTGCTATATAACGTTACGAAGAAGCACTTTGAGAAGTAGGTATATTCTCTCTCTCTCTAGCCCCCCTCTCTGCGTCTCGCTCAATCTGTCTACCTGGAAACATATCTCAAGAGGAACACGTATAGGGACCCTTCAAAACCGTCTCTCATGCCGCCGGCATCGCACAAGACGGTCCTTTTCCGGAACCGATATAACGTGATACACCAGCGACTCCTCCGAAACGAAGCCTTCCAAAGCTCGGCGGTCGCGAGCACGAAGGCTCCGCCGTCCCTGAAGCGCTCGTCCTCCTCCAACGCAGCCTTTCAGCAGACCTACAAGATCACGCCGATCGCGAACCTGCTCGGCCGGCACGGCAGCCACCACATGCTGCTGGGGCTGCTCGCGGTCCTGCCGACGGGGACGCTCGCGATCAGCGACCTCACGGGGACCATCTCGCTCGACCTGTCGCACGCGGTCGCCATCCCGGAGGACTCGTCCTGGTTCGCGCCGGGGATGATCGTGCTCGTCGACGGCGTCTACGAGGAGGAGGAGGAGTCGGCCGGCACGGGGCTCGGCGGCAGCAACGGCGTCGGCGGCATCATCGGCGGCCGCTTCCAGGGCTTCTTCGTTGGCCAGCCCCCGTGCGAGAAGCGCCGCGCCACCCTCGGCGTCGGCGGCCCCGACGGCGGCCCCGACCACACCATCGCCGGCGGCTTCGGCTGGATCGACTTCCTCGGCGTCGGCAGCGAGCGCGCCGTCGGCAGCCGCATGCGCCGCCTCGAGCAGCGCATCCTCCGCCGCCAGCTGGCGCCGCGGCGCCCCCGCGCCGCGCCCCCCTCCCAGCTGCCGTCTTCCGCCCCCGGCGACCCGGTCTCGACCGCCGACGCCGACGAGGACGAGGACGAGGACGCGGCGGGGCCCGGTCCCGCACGCGTCGTCGTGCTGGGCGAGCTCAACCTGGACCAGCCGCGCGCGCTGCACGCGCTGCACAAGGTGCTCGCGACGTACGCGACGGAGCGGGAGGGGCGGACGCCGATGACGTTCGTGCTGGCGGGCAACTTCGCGCGGCACGCGGTGATGGCGGGGGGGGGCGGCAGCGGGGGCAGCGTGGAGTACAAGGAGTGCTTCGACGCGCTGGCGGCGGTGCTGGGGGACTTCCCGGCGCTGCTGCAGGCGGCGACGTTCGTGTTCGTGCCCGGCGACAACGACGGCTGGGCGTCGGCGTTCGGCGCCGGCGCCGCCGTGCCGCTGCCGCGCCGCGCCGTCCCGGACCTGTTCACGTCGCGCGTGCGCCGCGCCTTCGCCGCCGCCAACGCCGAGCTCGCCCCCGCCGCCGACAAGAAGCGCGACAAGGACCACGACCGTCGCCGCGGCGGCGACGCCGTCTGGACCACGAACCCCGCCCGCCTCTCCGTCTTCGGCCCCGTCCACGAGATCGTCGTCTTCCGCGACGACCTGTCCGCGCGCCTGCGCCGCACCGCCGTCCGCCTCAAGCCGTCCGCGCCCGCCGACGGCGACAAGAGCAGCAGCAAAGGCGACGACGGCGACGTGGCGATGGCGGACGCGGCAGCGGACACGATGGAGGTGGACGGGTCGGCGGCGGCGGCGGAGGCGGAGGCGGTGCCGCACGACGTGCGCACGGCGCGCAAGCTGGTGAAGACGGTGCTGGACCAGGGGTACCTGGCGCCGTTCCGGCCGGCGATCCGGCCGGTGCTGTGGGACCACGGCGCGGCGCTGCACCTGTACCCGCTGCCGACGGCGCTGGTGCTGGTCGACCCGACCGCGCCGCCCTTCTGCATCACGTACGAGGGCTGCCACGTCATGAACCCCGGCGCGCTGCTCGTCGCCGGCCGCCGCGGCGTCGCGCGCTGGGTCGAGTACGAGTTCGGCGGCGTCGGCACCGTGCGCGAGTGCCTGTTCTGAGCGCGCGCGAGAGGCGCGGAGCCAGGGGTCGAGAGGGCGGAGGTGGCAAGAGAGAGGGCGCGCGCGTGTCGTGCGCGCTAGGGGAAAGATAGGATATGAATCTACGTGTGGACGGACGGACGGAGATGGGAGGCGTAGCACATAAGAGACGAGCTAGTACATAGCAACTGATAATGGCCCACGACATAGATGAACAGGAGAGACATTACCGGCGCATACATAGGAAAAGTCTACGCACATTGGCTGATCCGGTATCATATTCGTTACGAAAAACGCCGAAGACCGCAACATAGAGTCTGATCCGGCTATGAGCTCAAATAGTGTCAAATCATCGATTAATCTTTCTCTACAGGTAGAGGCCTTCGTGGAAAGGCAGCAACATTAGGACCTACCCTCTTTATCATTTCATCCATCTCCCCCTTATCTCGCCGATCCCCTTCATTTCCTACATTATCATCCTCGCATTAACCCATGCCCTTACACCCCTAACCTCCTCTCCCACCCGACCTATATTATATCCCAGGTTCGTTTTGGGCCCCTCTGAATAGTCGACCTCCTTTCGGTCGACGGCGTCCGTCTATTCTACCACCGTATTATAACAAGAACGTACGGCAAGTAATGTCATAAGACTGGACAGGAATGTGCCAGAATGTATGTATATATGTACATAGAAGAGTCATCGACGGCACCCAACCCGGGATCGGGGAAGCTTCCGTCGTGTGAATTGGTTGGTAGGCGAGAACTAGGATGCGAAATGGGGATAACTGCGGGATAGTAGTGCGAAAAGGTGGGCCTATCGCGAACTCTTCGTAAACATTCAAATTACGTACTGTAGGTAAATTAGCATATTTACTGTACGAGTAGATGTGCTGGCCAAGGAAAAAAAAAACTTACTGGGATGAAAAGATATGGCACCTGTCTCTCGTATTCCTTCCAGGCCTCGCCGTACTTGTTGCGGCAGCGCTCGATGTCACGCAGAGCGCGGTGGGTAATCATACAGCAGAAGAAGACGGGGTAGAACCAAGGGAAAGGGCTCTGGAAGCCCGTGATTAGCCCCCAGCTGATGGCGAAGAAGGCGTCGCAGGTATAGTGTAGCTTGCGCGCGTACCCGTACCAGCCGTCGGCGAGGAGCCTGTCGCCCGTCTGCGTCTCGATGGTGTTTGGGTTCTCGAGGTAGATCCACGGGAGGACCGGGAAGGTGTACCGCTTCTTGAGGTTGCCGCGCTCCCTAGAACGAAACGCGTTTTTCTGCGCGTTGGCCTGGTCCCAGACGGTATATACGCCAAGATAGAGGACAGCAAAGGCGGCCAGAGCGTACTTATTCCAGGCGTATTCCGACGGGTGGTGATTGGCGAGATACAGGGTGCAGTGGCAGTACGAGAGGGGGACTCCAGCCATGTTCCAGAAGATGAGCATAAATCCCCACTTCTCGTAGTACATATCCCAAGTAGTGACGATGAAATGCTCGCCCTTGGAGCAAGCGTTGGCGTAGAGGAAGTGCGCCATGATCAGGAACATGACCTCGCCCGAGACGTAGCCGTAATTTTCGTACTGGCGAGCCGCAGCGCCGCAGCTGAGCCCAAACAGGATGTACCACGGGATGCGAACCTCGTAGAACATCTTGAAATCGAGGATACCGAACATGCGGGGATTCAGCTCGGCACCCATGAAGAAGTCATAGATCGGGTAGCCCGTCATGCGATGTTGAGCGCCGCGAATCAAGGCCGAAAAGTAGGCAACAAAGGCACACAAGTAACCGGAGATGATGGCGACGGAGAGTATGGGGCCGAACTCATCGAGGAAGGTGTTGATCTTGAACAGGCCAGAGAAGTGCAGCGCACCCATGACGAGGATGGTGAAGTAGAAGCTGGTGTAAGCGGAGCAGTAGTAGCGAAGCTTCTGGCCTCCTTTGTGAGGAAGCGGCTTCCCCTCATACCAGACGCCGGGCATCAGACAGTAGCATGCGGCCTCGAAAACGAAGTAAACCCAGTAGATCTTCCATGCTCGCAGGTGGGGAAAGGCGCCGGTGTAGATGAGATGGCCGAGGTGCTGGCCGAACTCGGCGAGGGACTGGCCGCGTTCGGGCAGAGGCAGCTTGCCGCCGTAGTAGGTGGCACCGATCCACATGTAGTACATCAACGTGGGAAATCCGAGCATGAGGGCGAGAGTACCCAAGCTGCCTCCGAATTCGAAGACGCCCGAGTGGTCGACCTTGGGATCCATGCCGGGCTTCCAGCCATCGACGACGTGCTCTTTCGCGTTCCCGTTGGTGTGGTCATTGGCGTGCCCATTCGTGTGTCCATTCAAGTGTCCCTTTTCGTGACCATTGGTGTGGCCGTTCTGCCGATGCCCATTCAGCTCGGCGCGCAGGACGGAGGAGAGCTTCTCGTCGTCCACCGGGCTAAACTCCTCTTCCTTGGGCGCGATATGGTCAGAGTCGTCGAGGTTCTCGATGAACTTTCCGACACCTCGGCGTCGGAGCGGTCGGGACTGGGTCGATGTGACGGTTTCGGCGGCTGAGCTCGAGTCCCCGTCGTCGGACGCGCCGTCGACGGGAAGGAACTGCGACGTGCGTCGCGTCGCGCGACGGGCGGGAGTCTCGACCATGCCGCTGAAGAGCTCTTTTTTTCTGTTTCGGGATTGCCGAGGTCAGCTCGATCCTTCGCGCACCGCGTCATCACGCGACGACGCGCACCCTCTCCGCTAGTGGACCATCTTCCCAGGTACGGCGGCGGGCAGACGGAACGGATCCTAAACCGGGCTACTTACCTAGGAGTGGCGCGTAACGAATATCTCGAAGACATGTTGAAGAATGCTAGATCGGAAAGGGATAAAGGAGTGGACAACGAGCAAGCAAATGCACGTTAAGAGAAGTAGAGGAGGTGAGTAGGAGGAGGAGGTGGCGAAGAGAAGAGAGGCGAAGAAGAGAGAGGGAGACAAGCCAGGTTTCGGCGACGCCAGCACCGATGGGGACCCGGCCGATTTTTTTTTATTTTTTTATTTTTGTTTTTTGTGATTGGCTGAGATCGGCCTGGGGCTGGCTGGGCTCGGGTTCATCTGAGCTGGCGGATCTAATTGGGCGAGATTGGCGCGGGTATTGATGTTGTCGGCGGGGTCCTTCCTTCCGGTCTCCAGGACAGCCCACAGGGCAACTACGGAGGGCGCGCCATCCGCGCAGGGGAAAGCATGCGTGTGTATAAAAACGTATAAACGGATGCTTCTCGTTCTTTTTTCTTTCTTTCTTTTTTTTTGGCTTGTCTATGCCGGTAGCTAGGATTAAGGGATAAGGGGCCTTTAACTCAACCCATAACCCAGCAGCATTCCTCGATGCTAAGAGGTTGTAGATATGTATTTCCTCCCGCCTGCACCGGATACATCGTGCATAGTAAAGGTAGGTATACGTACGTGTAATAGGTTAGGTACTTAGGTACCTGGTTGATCGGTAATTGCAAGAAACGAATCCAGCCAATCCGGTGCCGTCTGAACGCGAATCGTAGGCCGATAACTCCTGCCTCATGCCAATAGGCACGTGTATGTATGAGTACCTGTATGTATATCTCCCTGCATCATGTACCTCCTGCAATCTCTCGTATTCGTACTCGGGCCGCTACCGAATGCCTACTCCTAATTGGCCCCGAATGTGGCAAGGCGTCGCTACTCCCCACCGCTGAAGCAACCTTCCAGGGACTTAATGTACCTACTTATGTATGTCTCGGGTGAATGCATAACAATATGAAGGCATATAGGGACTAGGACCTCAAGTAAGGCACCTGAGAGGTAGGTACCTGCCTCCTAGGCATGTGTTTTTATGCAATCGTACCTGCACTGACGTCAACCTGCCTCTATACACCTACTATATGTTCCTGTCTAGATACGTACTGAAGAGCCATCACACCAAACGCCATGTTTCCTCCTCGACTGCTCTCCGCTTAAAACATCGAAATACTACATACGTGTAAACATACGGGCCTCAACCTTGTTATCCCCGTCGTCCAACCTTCTAATCTACTGTTGATTCCGGTCTTGGTCGCCGCGGTCGTCTTCTCGATCCCGGACCCCCAATCGATGCCGCCGGCGTATCCCCCATCGGACCGATCGAGCCGCGGTAACTACTTTGCCGACGTTCCTCCTCGGCCGCTTGCGAGTTCGTCGTGCCCGTCGATGCCTCCCAACTTTCCTTGCGCTCGACCAGCCTAGATATTTGTGAATCGCCGTGTGCTTTCCGGGGGGTCTCCGAATCGCCAGAGCGTCGATTGGCCCGGCTTCCTTCCCCTCGACCCTCAGCTTGTTCCTCGCCGACGATCATGTCGGCGAACTTGTCCGTGGTCGGCGGCGGTGGTCCGTCGATTTCGCTCGAGACCCCGATGTGAGAAGCACGTGAGCCGGGGTCACCTGCTATTCCGTCTGGAGCCTGGTGCGATTTGGGGCGCTGCTGGCTGCGACGAGTTTTTGCACGCTCATCCGCGCGAGCCACGGCTGTTGCCGATCCCGAAACCGATGTCGCCCAGGTTTTTCGTTCTGTCCGGCCGTGCCGCCGCCTCGGACGGGAATCTCTTCGCCTGCCGTCGAAAAGCGAGGCCTCTCGTGCTTCCTGCGATCGAATCGCGCTAACAACATATTTTTCCAAGTCGCGAGTGTCCGGCATCCCCTCTGTCACAGGCTTACGCCCTTGGTGTTCGACCACCTCACGTCTGAGTTTCCTAGCCGTTGCTATGCACGTTTCCAGCTGGTCTCGAAGCATCTCGCTACACACAGTCAGCATCATCCGAACCTGCCTGGCCTGTCTTCGACATACGCAATCTCGTCATCCTTCTCGCTCTCGCCCTTGGCCATCAACTTTTCGTATGCGAACAGATTACACAGCAGCATAACGTTAGCCGTCGCGCTGTGGAGGCTCAGTCGCAGCCCTGGGACGTCCGGCTTCCTCCAGGTCCACAGGATTCGGGCGCGGATAGAATGGAATGGCGAAGTATCAGCACCGTTAACCTCGACAAAGCAGTTGACCAGGTCGGTATAGTCCCTTTCGATGTATCTGCATTGCCTGACGATTTTTCGGACCAACGAGGCCCTACCGCGCTTGTGCTTCCCATCCGACTCCCCGGCAGACTCGCCTACTAGACTATAGAAATATCGTAACTGGTCGGTAAATATCGAGGTTTCGCGTATGAAGTATTCGATCTCCTTCGGCGCGGAGCGTACGGTTTTCATGCAAACACGCAGGTCTTTGGTCAGTCTTATCATGCAGCCGGTTAGCTGCACGATCGCCGTAAGGCCACTGACACGCGCAAGTGCTTCTGTCATGGTGCTGAATGATCGGACGCCGGGCCAGGTTTTAAGTCTGCCTATCCGTGGTCCTTGGAAGGGTTGGTTGCACGGATGAATCGCCTCAATAACGCCAGCTGAATTGCCGCCATAAGCATCGGTGTCGGGCCTCAAAAGGCCACAGCCCTTCTGTGCACGTATCCGCGAGTAAATCGGAAATGGACACGGAGCAGCCTGGGAATCGCTCTCATCATCCGATAGGCGATCGTGTGGGAAACCACCCCGCATACCCATACCCCTGGGCGTCTACCAAGACGATGCGTCCCATCTGTGATTTGCAGCCCGCCAATCTGCGCCATACACGCGCTCGTCCAATTACGGGCCTTAGATTTTCTTCCTTCAGCTGTTCACACCCAGGCTCCGCCGCGCTCCGGTTCGCGAGACGTGCCAACGACATCATGGTGAATTACCGACCAAGCAAGCATCCGGTCGACGGTGTCTATCATTTTCGCGGCATCGCCTCCTTTTGTAAGACACCGTGCGACGCAAAATCTCGGGCTGATCAGCCTCACCAGCTCTCCAGCCATCTATCATTACGCTAGTTTCTTATGGGCTTACCAGAGATAGGGGTGAGGGGCTCTGAGAGAACCCCCTCGCCTCAATCGTCGTGTTTCGACAATACCTACCTAGTTGGGACGTCGTCGACAGCTCCACTAGCCGAGCTATCAAGGTCTCAGATATCAGGGTATCATCAGCCATCGTGTTAGCCGCCAGAACATCATGCTCTATAACATGCTTCGATTTTGAGGATACCCGTCGACGGGGTCCCTTCTCCTCGAGTGACGGTAGTTGTCAGTCTTGTTAAGATCTTACTAATTGCATGATGTGAAAGATAAAAGGACAAGGTGCGAGTTATTCGGTGGAGTCCCCGTTTCGTTTTCGGCTGCGCCCTTATCTTGTTGACACTCAGTTATGTTGTTGGATTCCCAGCTGATATTCAAGACCATGCCTGCCTTGTTTCTTCCAACCCTCAAGGATAATTGCTTATCACGATGTCCCGAATCAAAGCTCATTGGACATCGCGAGCCGTCCGGTGCCCAGGACAGGGCATGGGCAGCCTATATCGGAGCATACCACCATCACAGCGAGAGGGGTCATACAAAAGGCGTATACCCTGATGACCCGACTATCGATCACAGCCCGAGGGATTTGCACGAAAGGCGCTTTGTGACCTGACTCATTCGGGATCATCGACTCGCCGTGCTTTTGCCTCGAAGGCTGTGCAACGTGAACGGGAAGCGGTCAAATGGTGGTGGCTTACGCCCAAGCTTAGAAGGAGCCCTGACTTGCTCGCTAGGTAGATGGCTGTCTAGGATATGGAGCCGTCGACTCTACGGCCGTCATCTTGGGCTGTCCGAATCACCCGCCGGTTCGGGGGAATATCTTGAAAACATAATACTATGATTAATACGAAGTCAGCATACCCCGTCGGTTGAGTTTTTGTTATGCCACCTCGTGTCTATCTATCTAGCCGTCATTAAACGCAACGGGGAGTGCCTTGTCTCCGGTCTGATGGATATGCATGTCTAATATAGGTGCTACGGATACGGGGTGTTACGGTTGGCATCGGCCCGCCTACGAGGACAATGTCTGGGTATATATATGTCCCTAGAGAGGGACGGGCCGGTCTTGGTTGCTATCGAATACTCAAGTTGTGGCTTTGTCAGTCTCTACTCTCCGGGACCGCAGCTATGTTTTGGATATCGCTCTTCGTTCTAGCGGGTCAGGTTGCCCCCGCTACCGCCTCACAGCTACCCGTCAAACTAGAGACTCGCTCGGAGCTCGACTCGCGCCTCGCAAACGTCCATGTGTCCTTTGAGGCGCCGCTTGGCGGCGTTGTAACATATACCTATGGCCGGTGCGATAGCACGCAGCTTCATGAGGCTCACCATACCATTTTCCGAGGCGCCGGTGGGAACGACTCGAGGCTGGTATGGATCTTGCCGGATGATGCGGGATCCGATGGATGCATTTCAGCATGGGATGAGAGAGGAAGCCTCGTCGGCCGCAGCGAGCCTCAACGGCTAAGTAAAAGGACTCTTAAGAGACACGACCCCCACCGCATCGAGATGACGAGTGCTAATGGTATCGATGCTTGGGGCCCGTGGTTCGACGGAGTCGAGCTGCTCAAGAACAAAAACCACGGCGGCGTTGACGTCGCGAAGGCCAAGTCAAAAGACGTCGTGATCGTGGGCGCTGGAATGTCTGGACTGATGACATACTTGGTCCTTCATCAAGCCGGTCTAACGAACATCAGCATCGTCGAGGCTACTCAGCGTTTGGGCGGTAGAGTTCATACCGAGTATCTATCAGGGGGCCCATTCGACTATTCGTATCAGGAAATGGGCCCCATGAGGTTCCCTGAGACGGCAATATACTCGAACCAGACATACAATATTACGGATCACCAGATGGTCAGACAGTCGCTTCTACTTGTTGTCGTTAGCATCTACTAACAATAACCAGGTGTTCCAACTGGCCAGAGAGATGAATAGAATTAACAATTACGATCGGAACCTCAGCGTCGATTTCATCCCCTGGATCCAGTCGAACCCCAACGGGCTGTACTATTACGATGGCATCAAACTCGACACAGGACTACCCCCGACTCGCGCTCAGATCGCTGCAGACCCCTCTCTCCAAATCATACGTCCTCTGGACCCGTCAACGCAGGCATTATCGGACAAGATCAGCACCATCACTTCTAACGAGACGTTCATGATCGAAGTGGCAACCAACATGTTCAGGGCTCACAGAGACTTTTTAGGTGAGCACCCGATGGTCACGCTGGTCTATACGTGTTTCTGACAAAATACCAGTCAATGGCCTTGGTGGTCTCGGCGGCGACACTTGGTAAGATATACACATTTGTTTCTCCGCCTCACGTCAGATTTAGGACTCGGGGACCTCCCTGCGTGCTCCCCATTCCTTGCGACTCTCGAGCGAGGCAGTCATTAACTCTAAGACGCGAACAGGTCCGAGTTTGCTTACATGGTTAACTACCTGAAGGCGACTCTCAACGACACCGATGTCCTCGGTGGCGGTGCCGCTACCTTCTGGGACGCCGTAAGCTCGCCCTCTGATCACATGAAACGGAGGCGGCTCCTCATGCTGACCTTTCTACCGCATAGATTTACGAGGGCGTGTACTTTGGTGCGACGACATGGAAGACCATAGACGGAGGTACGTATGTCTTTTATCAACACCCGTTGCTAACCGTCTTACCGTATAACCAACGTAGCTCACCACTACTAGGCTTAAACCGACTACCACTATCATTCCACCCGCTAGTGGACAATGTGACAGCCCTGAACCGCAAGATCGAGCGGGTCCAATGGTTTGACGACGCTCGGCGCGTCAACCTACAGTGGAGGAACAACTATACCGACACCGTCTTCCAGAACGCCTCGTACGACTATGCCGTATTTGCGCTACCGTTCTCCATCGTTAAGAAGTTTAGACTCCCGTGTAAGTCCCCAGCTCTGACAGTTGCATTTCCCTACCTCGTCTGAATGGAGACGAACGGCATCTATACGTATGGTACACATGTATTGATCAGGTTTCCTCGGCCGGTATAGACCTACCCCGGACTATCACCAACGCGATCAATAACCTGCCCTTTGCGTCTGCGTGCAAGGTGGCGCTCGAGTACTCGTCGCGCTTCTGGGAGCACTACGAGAACCCGATCGTGGGCGGTTGCTCGACAGCAACCGACATCCCAGGAATCGGGTCGATCTGCTACCCATCGTATGGCCTCTCGGGGAACCGCAGCCGCGATGGGCCCGCGAGCCTGCTCGCCTCGTACGCGACGGGCGACTGGGCCACGCGCTGGGCGTCGGTGCCCGAGGACGAGCACGTCCGCTACGTGCTCGACGCGATGGCCGAGATCCACGGCCCGGACGCCTATAAACTGTACACGGGTAACTACCGCCGCCGCTGTTGGGTGCTCGACCCATATGAGGGCGGCGGCTGGGCTAGCCCCACAGTCGGGCAGCACCAGCTCTACCTACCCGAGTACTTCAGGACGTACAACAATGTGGGTTGAATCCGATGCCAACCCTTTCCTCGTCCCCTTACCTTCATTTTATGGTACATACCTCTGCGAGGAAGAATGGAACGGGTTACCCCTATCCATCGCAACGGGTAAATTAATAAAGGTTTACCGTGACTAACGACCGCCTTCCTTCGGAGCAGATGATCTTCGTTGGCGAGCAGACGTCCTACACCCACGCGTGGATCTCCTCGGCGCTCGAGTCGGGCATCCGGGGTGGTGTTCAGCTGCTTCTCGGTGAGTCATAGATCCTGTTCCCCCCCCTTGCTCGCCCCCCTTCTTCGTGTATGTTCGTCTGCTGACGGCAAGGGGAAACCCCCCCTAAGAACTCGGCCTCGTCGACGAAGCGAAGGACACGGTCCGTAAGTGGATGGCCAGGTGGATCTCTGTCGTAAGTCCTACTCCTCATCTCACTGGAGGCATGTGACACTAACCGCCGGCCGCAGTAAGTAAACATGTCCTGTCCGGGGTTGGGTGGATAGGGGCTCGAATTTTTGCCGTCGCGGCGGCGCCGGCCTCGGCCTCGGTATACCTATAGGCGCATATAGCCCCTGAGCTACACTAGTTAGATGTATATGACTTATCTGTGGGGGAAGACGCGGATGCCCATATACATTAGATAGACCAACTCTCTCCAGCCTCCCGGTGGCAGGGCCATGCCATCTGCAACACAATTTATCGTCGGAATATTCATAGCCGCTCCTTCGCAATGCTAGTGCTTATCTTGTTCGACGCACCCCGTGCTCCACGCCCGCTTAGCTCCGCTGAAATACAGAGGGGATCGGCAACGGTGAGCAGCACTAGGTTGCCGTAGGTAGCGCTAGCTTCTCCTCGTGGCGGCGCCCTGTCTGCCTAAGCCTCGGGAGACGAAGCCTCGCTGGGCCTATTCACCGTCGATGGATCCTAGGTAAGCACCCGGAACTACGTACTTACGTCTGCGTCGTCGTCACTCTCTCCAACGAATCCTTGTATTTGAGGGCTACCTATATAATACCTAGGTCCTATGGAAAACACCGGCCTGCCCCAAATCCCTCTCCCTTTTTTCCGTGCCATGCTCGTACCTCGCGAATGTCATAAGTACCTACCTACCGTCATCCGTTCTCGCCTTCGAGCCAAACCGAATGCCAAATGTTTTCCCGTGGGAGATCCTCCCTGCTCTAAGCCCAGCCATGGCCACGCGGGTGAAATGCAGGCGTCTAAATTACCTAGTTTTTAACATGGCAGCGTACCAATCGTAGCGAAACGGACTTGTAAATGCTCCAGAACCAAGCAAAAAGCAAGCAAAGCAAAAAGAAAAGGAAAAAAATGCTGTGCAAATTGCCAGATGGTAGGCAGGTAGGTACGTAGGGTAGGTAGTGACTGGGGGTTTCGAGGGCTGAGCGCCCCCCGCCTACACCAGAGTCAGTTCCCCGAACTCCTGGCCCTCGCGGCCTTCCAGCGCCTCGCCCTGCATGAAGCCGTGGAGGTACGTGCCCCCGACGAGAGTATACGCGCCCCAGGGGGCCGGCCGCAGGATGAGAGGCACCCTCGAGCCCTGGACGATCCAGACGGAGTCGCCCTGCCGGCAGGACAGCGAGCCGCAGCCGAGGTGGCCGCGGGCGGTCCGGAACAGGCGCAGGTGCGGGGAGTGGGCGAACGAGGTCTCGAACTCGGCGGCGCGGCGCCTCTGGGCGTCGGTGGGCGGGCGCGGGCGCGGCAGGCCCATCCACACCTCGAACGCGCCCTCCCAGGGCTGGCGGATCGGCACCTGGCCGCTGGGGTCGGTGTCGATGAGGAGGGTGCGCCAGAAGGCGTCCCGGTGGTCTCGCGTCGGGTCGTCGCGCTCCAGCTCGCGGACGAGGTCCAGCCAGTCGGCGCAGTCCCTGGCGCTGCTGACCTCGGCCTTGGTCGCCCCGACGCGACTGACGGTGTCGAGCTCGAACCCGCGCACGATCAGGGCGCGGCTCCCCCGGACGATTTTGAAGCACGGCCGCTCGCCCGCGGCGCGATACCTTTCGTACCCGGTGATCCGAAGGCCGAGGTCCTTCCTCACGCTCCAGTCTGGTACCCACGAGGGCAGTTCAGGGTCGTTCCTAAATGCGTCTCCCTCGGCGTGGGCGAGAAGGTGCAGGTGGTCCGTAGTTTTGAGAATATATATTGCGACTCCGATGTACAGCATCGTAAGGCTACTGTCATAATTGGGGTATAGGGAGCTGGGGTAGTTATTCCCCTGGGGAATCGTCAAGCCGACTAGCGAATACACCTTGTCGTGGTTCTTCGATGCCTCGTAGGTCCGGCATCGGATGAGGCTGTGCAGCAGAACATCCCCTTTCGCTGCTAGGACGTCTCTCTTTATCGCCGCTAGCTTCGCGGGGTTCTTGTAGGAGAGCAAATCAACCCCGAAGTTGTCGGGAAGGCTTCCCTGAAACGTGTTTATGTGTACCTTCTTGGACATGAGGTGCGAGGCGGCGACGATGTTGTCCCATCTGAAAGGGTAATCGCCGCACAACATCCTAGTGCGACGACTTAGCACGAACTCCTGAACTACCCATGCACGCGTAAACCAGGCCCTCCCAAAGAGCAGAGCCAGCGCGGTCCAGTATTCACGAGAGTTGAGATCCCCCAGCAAGTCGGGGTGGCGCTGCTCGTGGGTGATTGAAGGTGTGATGGAGTCCATGTCTTCCTTGGAGAGCCCGCTCAGTTTGTCTACCAGCTTCCATGCATACGGCGTGAATTCATCGGCAGCACCAAGCCATATTATGACACGATCGGCCGAACGGTAGATATCCGCCATGATGCTGACTTGTCCGCAGAGCTCTTCACGGTCATCCTGGTTCACGCATATCGCGTCCGCCCACAGGTCTTGGCCATAGTAGCGGTTCTTCTCCAGCTGACTGAGGCAATTGAAGAGGTTCTTCGTCACCAGCAGCGGCCTACCATTGCAGGTTATGGGGCAGTTTCTTTCGTCATTCATCCCCTTCCTGGCCTCTTCTCGTGTGGTGGGGCCCCATGTGTAGGAGAGAGCGTGATAAGATGACCTCTGAGCGCTGTCGAACTCGATAGTTCGTATCTGGCAGGAGGGCAGGCCATGGACTTTTGTCGGGAGGAGTCGGAGTACTCGGATGGTTCGAGATTGAGGGTTTCCTTGTTTGGGATTAAGTGGCACGCTGGAATAAGAGAATCGACCGTTCCTTTCTCGACATCCCGGTTCCGTCTGCGTGTTCTTTGATCGCAGCCCGTCCTTGACCTGTCGGGTTCGACTCCCCATCGGTAGACAATGGCCCAGACACAGCATTCCAACAAAGCGAAGAAGCACACAATCGATTGTCTGGGGCGGACAACAAAGAGAAGACGCTTCGAGTCGAGCGCCTCAAGACGATTTTATCTCCGGTGTCCTCGACCCCAAGAGCGGTTTTAGATGAGTGGCGCACGCCATTAAGCACCCGGCCTGCCTCTGCCAACCACACTCCGACCTAAGCGCTCGGCCCTACCACAGAACCCACGAATGATGTGTAAGACGCTTACTTTTTCCGCAGCAGTTACGTGGTTCGGGTTCGGGGCGACCCCTTGCAGAGCTGCCCCAGAGCTAGGTTAGACCCAGCTGTGAGGCACATCCGGAGAGAGAGAGAGAGAGAGGGCAAGGTAAGGGGGAGAGAGTGCGGAGAGAGAGAACCATTCCTCGTATGCAGCTGTCGACTATCCGCGAACAACTGGGAGAGGGGTGGTTACGTAGGTATACCTAGGCCGTAGGGGAATGTGCCGGGTATTAGCCCACGAGGGAGGTTGCAGGTAGGGAGGTTACCTATGTAGGTAGGCGGTAAAACATAGACCCGGCGTCGTTCTACCTTGCCGCGTAGGAAATCCTCTATATAAGCCTATACCTACCTATCTACAAGTCGTACAAAGCAGGCGCTTACGTTTTATGCAACAATTACCCAGGTACCTACCTATATGCCCGATGCGCTTCGAAGGCGCTTTTCAGCTTCATAGTTCGACTCCGCAGCCATCTCGCAACAGCCCCGGAACTCAGGGGGAGGGGGGAGAGGGTTCAATACCCTCTATAGCATGAAGGAGATGTTTAGCAACGACTGAAAGCCGTAGCTAACGAATTCGCAAAGAGCCAGCACCTACCTAAGAACTGGTTTTTTTTTTTCGACATGCCATCTGTCTTTAAGTCTACTCTCTCCCAACCCTGCTGGCTCGGCTTTTATGAAAATTGCTCGCTGCTTACGATAACCCTTTACGTGCTCCCGAGGTAGGCATACGCCCAGATTAGTGTGTATAACAACAGGCAGCTGGCCTAGCTTTGTAGCATTTCTCGTCCGACCCGAAGAAGTAGGTACCTATTTGCATTCCTCTTGACTTCTTCCTTCTTCCCCTTTCCTTCTTCTCTTTTCTACCACGTTTACAGAGACAAAAAGCGAGGAGAGAGGCACGGGAGATACTAACTAGAGAGCATGTCTTGACTCTTTACCGCTTCCGTCCATGGCGGAGGTTGTCCGAGTTAAGTATTCAGTAGGTAGGTACTATGTCGATTACGTAAAGCAATTATAGGTAGGTACATATCTCTCAAGTTGTAGGTAGCATGTCGGCGATTACGTTTCAAGCAAACATACCTTTGCTCCTCTACATCGCAATTTTTATCCTACTTTTTATCGTCCTGGGGATGCTTATGATGCCGTCGACCAAGTCGTTCACGTACCAGGCCGTGCCTGGATTCTTCCGCCACGATAACGAACCGACCGGACCTCAATTCCGAGCGGTACGTCTTAAGCTACTACTGATTCACCCAATCTAGATAGGCACTTACTGGGGATTAGACTACGCAGCCGAGCTTGGGCCTGATCGACCGTTCTTATGAAACGGACAGCGCCTTTGACCCTGAGGGAAAGAAGACCCAATGGGAGCGGTTCGTTCATTTTCTGGAACAGCAAAACCGGGCAGGACGGGGTGGTGTCCTGTACAAGCTAGTCTTCGTCATCAGACACGGCGAGGGACACCACAACGTGAAGGAAGCTGAGGTGGGGCGTCACGCGTGGGATGTAAGTTTATAGGATCGGCATCGCTCCTAGATACGAGTTGCTAAACCGGACTGGCAAGGCTCACTGGTCGCTGCTCGATGGCGACGGCCGCGTCACCTGGTCCGACGCGAAGTTGACGGAAAAGGGGAAGCAACAAGCCCAGGTACTGAATGCCTTCTTGCGGGAGTCGGTAGCGAGCGTGAAGATGCCGACCCCGCAGACGTACTACACCAGCCCGCTCGCTCGCTGCCTCGAGACGACGCGGATTGCCTACTCGGGGCTTGACTTGCCGGCCGATCGGCCCTTCGTGCCCATCGTTAAGGAGGGCTTGCGGGAGCGCTACGGGGAGCACACGTGCGACCGCCGCAGCACGCGAAGTTGGATCGCCTCCAGCTACCCGCAATACGTAATCGAGCCGTCTCTGACGGAAGACGACGAGCTGTGGAAGCCGGACCGGCGAGAGACCGCGGCCGAGGTGGTGGATCGGGTCAAGCATCTCCTCGACGACATCTTCACCCACGACGACAAGCACATCATCTCCTTCACGGCCCATTCGGGGCTTATCCGAGGCCTGTACGAGGCTGTACAGCACAACGATGTCTGGGTGTCGGCGGGTGCGTTGGTGCCGGTGCTGGTCAGGGCGGAGCGGGTCGGGGCGTGAGCGGGAGGGAGGCCAGGGAGAGGGGGGAAATCTGACGGACTGGAGATTTGACGGTGGAGACCTGACAGCGACGATATCTAGCGGTTGGTACCTTAGGAGGTAGGTATCCGGGTGGTTAGAACACAATCGAGTCACCACGTGCAAACCCGAACGCTCTCCTGCCCTGTCCTCGTTGCCTCCCCCCTTCGAGTGCATGCGCCTACCCGGTTTGGTCCCGGCCTAGACCTGTAAGAAGTCTGGCAGGTGCGACGGCTGGCTCCGGGGTTGTTGTGTGGCCAAGGAAACTGCTCTCTGCCGTACTTCGGCTGCTCCTTCCTAGCTCTGCCTCTTCGGAGCAGCTTGTCGTGCCTTCTTGCACTACGGCGAATGAGCCTTCCCTGCCATGTCCAAGGTACGTCAAGAAGGACGTCATCTAATCCAGACGGGCATTTGGTAGGTATCTAGGCATGTACCCCTTTTCATGCCGTCCGCCAACCTCACCACCACTACACGTCTCCTCCCTACCCGCCTTCTCTTCTCCGCACCTATTACTATTATGCGCAAGTATCCAGCCTAGTCCTTGGCCAAGAGCACCGGCCGACGCAAGAAACACACCTATATATTCCCGTCGGCTCCATCCCCCGCCATAGGTACCGCTAGCGACAGTTTCTTAACCAACCCGCGACATCGCAGCCCCGTCGCCTACCGCGATGTCCGCCCGCCTGCGCCCCGAGCAGGTCCCCACCCCCGTGAGGAGCGACTCGCCGCCGCGGGGCGTTACGCTCAAGCACCGGCTCTTCTGCGACGAGGGCGCCGACGAAGAAGCCGACCACGTCCGCCCGCCCGCCCCGAAGAAGCGCGCCCGGCACACGTGCTCGGTCGCGCCCCTCTTCGACCGGCACAAGGCGGCCCGGCCCGATGAGCACGACCGTCGCGCTCCCGGCTTCCTGGGCCCCGGCCGCCGCCAGCGCCGCAGCCCTTCCCCGGATCGCGAGTCGCCCCTGGCCGCCGAGCTCGACGGTAAGCATCCCAGCGTGGCCGCACGCGCCCGCAAGTGCTGATATTCGCCTTCGCGCGCCAACAGCGCGCTACGCTCACCTCCGCGCGACGCTCCGCAGCGCCGCCCATGCGGGCCTCGCCGAGGCCGAGGCCGAGCTGTCCGCGGGCGTCGACGCCAGCGTGCGTGCGAGCCGCGAGCGCGCCGCCGCGCTCGAGTCCCAGGTCGCGCGGCTGCTGACGCCCCTGCGCGACCTGTCGGTCGACTACACGGCGACGGGGGCCGACGGACGCCAGCGCACCGCCGCCGTCGCGATCCGGTCGGCCGTCGCCGCCTTCGAGGCCGAGCTCTCCTCTGCCCGGGACGACCTCGACCGCCTCTGGGCCGAGCGCGACGCCGCGCAAGCCGAGATCGAGGCCCTCGGCCGCGAGGTGCTACAGGGGCACCCGCCCCAGCTGGCGTCGCTTCGAAAGGGTGATAGGCAAGGTGAGGGCACCGGTGATGGCGAGAAGGGGAAAGAGAAGGAGGAGTCAGGAGAGAGGGCTATTGTTCAGGCCGAGCTCGGCGCCGAGCTAGACCGGGCCGGCGACGAGGCCATCGAGGAGATGGCGCTGTACGAAGACGTAGGTTCTACACCTCCCCCCCTCGGGCCTTTCATCCGCCGTGGAGCCCCGCTGATGGTCATTTACGGAATCCGAAGTGAAGCGCTAATCGGGCTCTAGAAATTCCTCAAAGAGATAGAAAACGAAGGGGGGAACATCCTGCGCTTCGTCCTGGGCCACTGAGGGCGCGCTGGCGGAAATCACCTCTGGTGTTGTGTGTGTAACAGTCTAGAAGGGGCGGGGTTCCGCGGCCGAGAGGGAAAAGGGGCTTCGCTAAGCTAGGTAGGTAATCGAGGAATGCCCCCTCTAAAGGGGGCATATATAAGCGCTGTAGCAAAGCAAATACTTGAGACATCTGTACAGGTATTATAGCTACCGAGGGATATCAGAGGTGATAATAACGCCGTCAACCCATCGTCCCTCTTCGTCGTTACATATTGTACGCGTCGAAGCCCTCCCCACACGAGCCATTCTCGTAATATTATGTTTTGAGATGGTAGAGGTAATAGCGCCCGGCTCTCACCGGCATGTGTATTCGGGTATCTGGCCGCTCCCCGGCTGATGGACGAATCGTCGATGCACTGGGGTCATTTTCACGATCCCGCCTTTTTCAGCAGGTACATTGATTGCCTATTATCCATTCTTCTCCTCTATTTTTCTGCCCCGTCTGGGCGCATGATATGCATCTATCTACCTCATCATAGGTATCTAATAATGCCGCGCCTGTGGATGCTTCCTCATAACATCCCACTTCACGCAATGAGAAAGAATGCCGAAACCTGCATATATCGACTAACCGGTTTTGTCCGGCTTCTTCGCTCTCTTCCCGCTCGTATGTAAAACGCATAGGTATGTATACCACCGGAAGTGGAACCAGGGAAGGGGAGCAGGGAGGAAGCAAAATCACAAATTCCACTTGGACACGTGGAAATGCAGAGTGTTATACCGATCGATCAGTCCCGTAACCCGTCGAGGTGGCTGCAGAGAACTGTATAGGTACCTAGGGAGTACTAAGAGAGATATCGCGCCACAATGCGCATAGTCACCATTTTCATCACAACTCCCTACGTAGTGGAAACTCAATGGTAACAGGATAGGTGTATATATAAAAAAAGGGGGTGAGACGAGGAAGAAAATAGCACCTGCATTTTTTTCCTCAACCGCCCACATCTAAGAGCAGAGGCCTGGTGAGCTCCTGGTATATATCGCAGCGCAGCGTAACCGAACATAGTAAACGGCTAAGCCTATCCGTCAGGTTGTTACCGTGCAGGTTCGAACGAGAGGATGCCGTCTCACCCTTGGCGCTTTCTCGCGCAGCTAATACTAAGCAAAACGCCGCGCAGGAGTCCGACGACATCTCAGAGGATCGGTGGACGAATCACTCGCGCCAAGAACGATGCACGCATCCCCCATAAAGCAAAAGCCGCCACCTCATCCCCTTCTCCCTCTGAGTAACGAATCATTCCTCGTCCAGTGACACGCGATAGTACAGGATATCCGCACGCGGGGCGATCGGATGGGAAGTTCGTACGACCGGCGGGGATGGCTTGGAAGGTGATTCGGTATCCCACTAGAGAAGCTGTCTACGGACATGCAACCACAGCGGCGCGTCGTCGTCGTCGTCGTCGTCGTCGTCGCCGGGGTCCCCGGCTTACCGCCTCTCTTGCACGACGACGCCCCACGGGTGTTCAACGTTTCCGTACATGACATCTGCGAGCCATTTCTTTAGCTTGAGGCTGTATAGACCGCCTTCACCCGCCTTGCCCATAGGAATCTGGATGTCTTGCCCGCGATGGTGGATGAGCGATACGGGACAAACGAAATACTGTAGATGAAGCTGTCAAAAACGCGTATCTGCACTGTGGACATATAAAATGGATTGTCGACCCTAAGATACACATAGATATAACGGGGGTAAAGGCTTACCGCTGTACCAGCTGCGAAGGTTTCCAGGAGCCTGCCCTCCGAGTCGGCGTCTATCACATCCTGAATTGTGTATGGCCTCTCTACCACCTCAACCTCACCAGCGAGGTGCTCACGAGCAAATTGCAACACGCTACGTCTAGTGACGCCGGGAAGGATCAGCCTATCGTCTAATGGTGCCGTGACCAACTCGGTCCTTCCCTCCTTGTTCTTCCAGACGACGAAGAAGTTGCTCGCACCGGCCTCGGTGCAATAGGCCTCGCTACCATAAAGCCACAAGATCTGGCCGAATCCCCTGGCACGGGCTTCTGCGGTTGCTAGGAGAGAGGGGCCGTAGTTGGCGCCAACCTTCGCGTATCCGAAGCCGCCAACCCAAGCGCGTACCATGTCGTCCGGCGATGTGTGAAGTTTCAAACCCCCCGGCGGACGGTCCAGGATGGGCATGTAGCTGGCGATGATGTAGAGAAGGGCCTCGGACGGCGCCTGCACGCCAAGCTGAGCCTGCGTTCCGATAAAGGTGGGACGCAGGTAGATAAAGCTGCCGGGACGGTCGCGGGGGAGCCATTTGGGTCCATCGACAGCCATCAGTGCTATGATCAATTTCTCGACCTCAGCAGGAGAGAAGGCTGGTAAACTTATGCGCAAAGATGACGTGAGGAGACGGGCAGCGTTGCAATCGGGCCGGAAGAGACGCAACTTTCCATCAAACCCGCGATAGGCCTTGAGACCTTCGAAGCACTCGGTCGCATAGTGAAGCACGGAAGCGGTGGGCATAAGAGCTAGGGGGCCGTAGGGTCTCAACTCGGGTGTCTCCCAGCCGGATTTGGATGTCCATTTAACGGTGATCATGTGGTCGGTGCAGACCGTAGCGCCATCGATCGAGTGGACATCGGGGGGCGGGACGCCACGGGATAGCGTGGTGAAAGTATAGGTCAACTTAGAGGCATCTATGTCCTGGAGGTTCGGACGAGACACGCCACTCCCGTGCCCACTTGGTGTGTGGATGTGTTGGTGGCCGTTTGTGCTCCCGGTAGATAGACCGTTCTCGGCCATGATGTGCTCAACGGCAGCAGAGGTCAGGTCGGCATCGCCTCTGCCATTGGGCACAGTTGGTGGAGCAGCAGAGGGAGGCATGGCTTGTGAGTTAGTGTTGTGTATCCTTGGGCGAGTGGTAAGAAGAATCTATCTAGAGGAAGAGAAGGAACACAGGGGGAAGCATTCAGCGTTGGAGTGGGACTAGATGAAGGGAAGGTATAAATAAGAACGACGGACAAGCTCTTCGGACGCACCGAGTAGTCATATAGTAGGAGCATAAACGGACCGTTAGGAGTCAATGGCCAATCGGCGACCCGGCTGCTAGCTCTAACTCGGTTCCCCGTCTAGAGCGAAAATATCGTGATTGGGAGGTTCCGCACCCCGTCGTATTAAGGAAATCATTGACATGCCTAGTGCGTAGGGCGTGACCCCTACCACGGCCTGTCTAGGGTTCTCCAGCACCGGCACGCTGGAGACCCATTTAGAGCCTACCCAACCCAATGGGGACAAGAGGAAGTGCAGATTCTGCAATATTCTCCATCGCACTAATTGGCTGGATTCCGGCTGACGAGGCTAGTAAGCAGTTTGGCCATCTCGGTTACCTGCGAGGCCGCGTTTACACAGGCCCGGAACCAGTAGGAGGGTACTGGGGCGTGGAGAGCAGTGGGCGAGTTCCGGGCGAGACTACGTTGGCGTGTCGACATGGGAACTCTATAAGACGCCTCCGGGACAGGCCCCGGGCGGGATCCCATCGCTGCTGAACGGGATCGTGGCAACCTCATTGCCAACGCCCCGGCTGCATAGACCAAAACCCGTGTGGGAGGTAGAGTTGCGTCTGACGCCGTCCAATTCGTCCTCGGCAAGCGAATGGAGAGCTTCTGTACAGTCGGGCCAGCGTAGCATCATCGATGCCAAGTGTTCAAGTGACGGTGAACAAGCTTCCTAGCAAGATGGGCCAGATCGGCTTCCGCTTCTCGGACCGGCGCACCCACTCGAGACGAGGCAAAGAACCGAGCCCAAGATCGCAAGTCTCGATATACCTGAGTCATAGTAAATGATCGGCACAGCAAATGGCTGATATATTAAGATGATATCTCGCCCCTTCTTGTCCTTCTTGCCGCTCAAGGCTGAAGATGCACCGATTAGGCACTGCAGGCGACGGGGGCTGTTTATGAGGGGGGCGGTGATGAGCAGACGTGAGAGGTAGCCAAGACGACAAGGCGTTGTGGGATGTGTCCGCTGTCGGCCTCCAGGAGAGAGGATCGAGAAAGAGAAACTACCGCGCTTCGCAACAGTTCCGGGATGGAAAGGCCGCGGATTGCCGCCCATTGCCTCCTCTGGCCGCGCCTGCCTCGAGTCGGTGGGGACTTGGCGCGGCAGAGGGCTGCACGCAGGCTGGGAAGGGACTGCTTGACGTCAAACCTTGGCTTAGATTAGGTACCTACGTGCTGATGTACCTACCTACCTAAGCAGGTACTGTAGATACCTAAGGCTAGGTGCCCGGGTAGGTACCTAGGTACCTCTCTCTAGGCTGTGGCCTCCATAGTGACCTGCCTACCTAGGTAGGTATCCAGGTACTTAAGTAGACACTCAAGGTACCTACCTCCTGGGCAGGTATGAGTACCTAGGTATGGAGGTGCCTGAGTTAGGTGCTACGTGTTAAATATGACGTAAGCGGTGATAGGAGGTATAGCAGGCAGGTACACACCCAGCATCGCAGATCTCGAAGCGAGCCTCGTCGGACCATTTATACTACCCACGTAAGCAGATGGAATACCTGTGCCTGCCTATGAGTACCTTAGGTGCCTAGTTTATGGCCAATGACGTCAGTAGCAGTGGGAAGCACCGAAAGGAGTTGGAAGGTGGCACACCCGTAAGTAGGTACCCAGGTACCCAATTAAGCTATGCACATCGAGAGGAGTGAATCCCTTCCAGTTCCACCCACCCCTTTTCACCCACTACACATCTTACACATCTTCGTCCTGACACGTCTTCATCCCTACCCGCGGGCTTCTTCCTATGCGCAGGTGCCGTGGAGATCTCACATAATTCCATAAGCCACCACCAAACACCTACGTGCGCAGATAGCTATCGAACGCGGCGTCACGCCAACCAGCAGCCTCCCGTTATCCATGCGACCCGTCGAGCTGATAACTATAGGTTGGTGAGGAGTAGTCAGCTTCGATTCCGCCCGCCAACGTGTGGCCCCGATCACCTTGCCGCCGCATGTTCCGCTGGCTCGTAGTCCCTCCAGATCAGACCTTCCGGCACGTTTTCCCACTGCATCTCCCTATCAAGCAGCGCCGTCGCCTTCCTCCACTCCTCTCGTATCTGGTCGGCCTTCCGCGCGCTCCTCGGCTTGATGTTAGCCTCGAACGGCTCCGGCGTGACGAGCATGCCTCGTGATAAGGCATTCGTGTCGGGGGTGATCTCCTTCCCGCTTGTCTTATCGACGGCCTTCCCGAAGTCGAAGGCCCAGAGCAGCCGTGATATGGCTAGGAAGAGAGACCGGTCCGCGATATGCATACCCTGGCACAGACGACGCCCGGCGCCGAACGTGAAATGGTCACGCTTAGACACATCTGGGTTGGTGGCCGCTTCTTGCGAGGTTTGGCTGTCGTTGGCCCAGCGGGTCGGATCGAACCGTCGCGGATCCGGGTGCCGCTTCGGGTCGTTGTGAATCGCCCTACTCACCCGGGCGTATTATAAGTAGGTCATGCGATTTTGGGAATGTGTGGCTCTTTTACTTACCAGACATTATACATGACCTCAGCACCTTTCGGGATCTTGTACCCCATGTATTCGTCGTCGCGAGTAACCGCATGCGGTATGCCCATGATAGCCGTCGGCATCCAGCGTAGACTCTCCTTTACGCATCCCCGGATATACGGGAGATCGGGGACGTCGTTCAGATCTGGGAGGCGGTCTCCGCATACCCGATCAATTTCGGCCTGCGCAGCTTTGGACACCTCTGGGAAAATGACCATGGCCTGAACGAAGCCTATTAAAGTAGCTGCCGTCGTATCTGACCCGGCCTCCAGGAGCGTCCCGCTGACGTAGCAAGCAATATCGTCGGAGAAGTGCTGTTCTTCTTGCGCCCGAACGAGGTCGACGCAAAAGCACGGCTTGGTGACGAGGTCAGATTGCGTCCACCAACGGGGCCTCGTCTCTTACCTTGGCTATGCCCTGCCGAATCTTCCTTCGCGTCTCTAAGTAGTGTCCCTTGTATAGGTCTAGCTCCTGCCGGTGAAACTCCCTCGCACGCCTCTTCATAGGCACGAGAGCATCTGGAAGATGCCTCAGTATGGGGAAAATATCAAGCATGGCTGCGGGTTGCGACGCAGCGGCCTCGCTAAATTTATCGAACCCCTGAGTTCGGAGTTAGTGATGCCCAAAGCCGCCACCGAGTGACTAAACGCACATGGTAGAGTTGCAAGAGTTTCGGATCGTCATTCCTAGTGGTGCGGAATCCAAACAGCATCTGCGTGGACAGAGAGTTCGTGTATCTCCGAATGTGGCCGAAGAACTGAGAAGGGTCCTTGAGGAACCCCAAAAGCATCGCCTTGTTCTCAAGGTCTTGGTACGGGACGTAGGCTCGAGATGATACGATATTGAGACTATTATGTACGAGCTTGCGGACCATGCGCCACGTCTCGCCGTATTCCTATCCCCACCAGGTTAGACAGTCCACCGATGCTAGGCCACGGTTTGGCAACCTACCATGAGCACCATCCTATACCCGCCGCTAAGGACCCTTGCCAGGTAAAAGCCCTCTCTCGAGGAGTAAATGTTGCTGCGCTTATCCAACAGATCCTTGACCGCCGCATCGGATGAGAGGACTACGACGACCCGTGTGCCCAGAATGAGCGAGTATATCGGGCCATACTCCTGTGCCCATTTCTGAAACTGCAAATGGGGCCTTTCACTAGGGATCTGATGGATGTTTCCTATCAGAGGCAGTGTCGGGGGCCCGGGAGGGAATCCTTTCGGTCGCCGCCCAACTCGTCGGAGCCCGTAGGAGAGAAACACCATAATCGTCACCACCGCCGCCGCTACTGCTCCTGTGATAGGAGGCATCGAGACTGCCATGGTATGGGGGGTCTATCGAGTGCGATGCTTAGGATCGTGGGTCGAGAGGTATTGAGTTGACCAACGCCCGGTTGAACAGGGCGGAGTTGAGAAATCTTAAGTTGAGCGAGTGCGGACGGCCTTGGGTAGAGGTCTCATCCTCAAGCCCGTTTACTCACGACAGCCAGCCACGATTTAATATCGCTCAAGACTTGTCATAGTTACACAGGGGCATGATCAGCTAGATCAAGGCTAACCCGATGTTACGGACGACCCAATCCCCCCTCGATAAGCGGAGAAAGCACAACGAGTGGAGGCTGACCGGCAACTTGATGCGAATAAACCGTGGGATGGCTCAGTGCGTTGTATATGTTACGTCGTGATGACCGGCGCCTCGGTTGACCTATCAGACGGCTATGAACTGCGGCATGCGAGTTTGGGGACTGCAGGACTGAGTCCGCGTGTGGTTGGCAGATTCAACCTCGTCAACCGAATGCAGAAATCCAGACGTAGCAGCCAGATGAATGAATTGCCAAAACAAGGTAGGTAGGGATTTCCCCTCCCTGGGCCACATCCGAGAACGATCACAGTCGCCCCCAATGACGGCTGCCGCTCGTGTGTCCCATCCGACGAGAGGAACAACCTTTTTTTTGCTACGTGTAAGCTGGCATTGTGTGTCCCCAAAGTTACCTATGTTTAGTTATGAACACCCGGGACAAGCGGGTAGAGCCCCAGTCGAGGGGGAGAGTAGGTGTGGCGAGGAAGATACCTGGAGGTGGACATATCGTCGGATGGAATTCCCCTGCCAACACGGTTGTTCCGTGGCACACTGGGCAAAGAGCTTACTGGTGAGTCTTCCCGCCTTGGTAGATAATACGAGTCAAGAAGAGGCTTCGCCATACGACGGGCCGACGACGGCTAACACAAGATAGGCTAGAGGCGCTTACGGTTCAACTGATCGACGAGTAGACGTGATGCTCTCTTCTCCTTTCTCCAACGCCGGGCTTTCGTAGCTTGGAATAACCCCGCAACGCACCGCTTGTCGCGTCAACAGTCCTCATCCTCATCCTCCTGCTCCAGACGTGCGGGTCGTTTCGGTAGTTGGCCGTCGGGACCGTGAAAGGCACCAGATACGGCTGTGGAGAGGAGATGTGCTGAGGATGGGGCCCTACTGGCAGGGCATATACGTACGGGTTAATATGCGAGGGCTGACGTGTCATTCGCAGCCTCTCTTGCTGATATCCTACATCTCGCGGATGCGTACAGGGGTGCAGGTTGTGGGTTGCGATATGTGATGCTATACCTATCAGTTGAGGTTTGATTGGTGTAGCCCTAAGACATTTGGTTATGAATGCGCCGCTTATGTTGCTTATTATGCATAAGCCCTATTTTTTGGAGGGATAGTCTTCTGTTTCATGAATTTAGATACTTGACAGAACGCCTCTTCGAGGTACCTACATCTCTGGACCAGGAGGGGATTATATCATATGGAGAGCCAGAGAGCATGGAAACCCGAGGCTAGAGTTGATTCTGTTGTTTTATACGGCCGGCCCCCTCCTGTCTTACACTCTGCCCCAACTATAGTAGTTAAGGCCGTTACCTACGTATAGATGTGCTTTGTACGCATATGATCCCTTGCCTAACTTCGACAGCTCTGGCTGGCTGGCGGGCTGGGGTTAACCCAGACCTGTCTATACTCTCAATATGGACGTCCAGGCGAGCTAATAGTCTAGCAACAAAGAATCAAGTTTCACAGACTAGTCTCGCCGTTCGGTGCAGCGTTGTCGCAACGGGTGGTCCGCGCTACAGCCTGGTTGGCTACCCGCTACCTGGCATATCCATGCCATGCATCGGCACAGGTCGTATCACACGGGTGTCTCTGCTTTCCTAACGGAGCGGCCCTCACGCCCAGCAAGCGCCGAGCTGTGTTCGTGGTCAGCGATCAAGTAATACCAAGTCCGCCCCCCCCCCCCAGAGCACTGCACGCGCCGAGAGCGTACACGCCCCGGGACCGCCCGACGTCCCAGCTGCAGCACCGATGAGCGCGGCCCGCTGCCGGAAATCTTGTACACATACACACACATATATACACCGGTATGTGCGCCCGCCGTGCCCGCCGCCCTCGCGCGCCTCGCACCAGCTACAACCCACAGAGCCTGTTCGCCGGAGATCGTGCTCCCTCTCGGCCCCGCAACGGCGGCGCCCCCAGCTCTCGGGCAGTCTCGCGGCCGCCCAGCGAAGCCATGTCTTACCAAATCTCCCGTAAGCATGTGTCAGACGCGCATCGGGTACTGCACCGGCGGAACCGTCGCAGCAGGGGGGATGGCGATGCGGGGGTTGGGAGAGAGAGGGGAGGAGGGGGGGGGGGACCGCGCTGATCCAACCCGATCACCATTGCCGAGATTTTGGGGAGAAGGGGGGGGGGAGCAGGGCGAAGGGAGAGGAGAGGCGCGGCGACCTCCCCACAAAGCCTGTGCCGAGGTGCAGACAGGTCAGGCGCACGCAGCGCTGCTCGTCGGCCAGCTCGACGCAATGCGCCCCGACGCGCATCGGAAGTCGACCTGGCCGGCGGACGCGCGGGCGGGCGGACGGGCGCGATGCAACAAGTGGTCTAGCGTGCGTGGCTGACCGGGGCGAACCCTCCGGCTGGAGCCGCAATGGGAAGGGGGAGGGAGAGGTGTAGGCGTCTGCACGGTTCCGCGACGGCTACTGGCGGATACGACTATCTCTGTCTGTCTATTATCCTCTTCCTCCTACCCCCCGAATCCCGCATTTATATACACATATACACTTACCGCTAGAGTCTGCGGCGCGGAAGACAACCGTGATCTTCATATATATATGGCAACCCCCTTCTCTTCGCCCCCCCCCCCACCCTCCAGCGTCGTCGTGCCAAACTCGCTCGCAAAGATCGCCGCGACCAGGTTAGCGTACGGTGGCGCGAGGCACGACGCCGCGGCAGGGAGAGGGCGCGCCGCGCCGTGCCGCGCAGTGCCGCTCCCTTCAGTCGAGATTGTCAGGCTGGACGCACCGCATGCCGAGCGGCCGAGATGTTTGGTCGCGCGCCGAGGGCACCGTGGGGTCGGCGTCCAGGGCCCTTTGAATACGGCGCCTCGCCATAACGGTAGAACTCGGTTGACCACGCGGCCTGTGCGAGCTCTCTCTGGCCGCGTCGTGGCAGACGGCCGCAGCTGCTCGCCGTGACGATACGACGGGTTGGGGTGACGTCCCGTCCCGTCCCGCGCAAGACGCGTGACATAACACTAGTTGATCGGGAAGCAACCCGAGTCCGAGCACATACACGCATGCGTATGCGGTCTACGGGTTGCCGTTTCGCTCGAGAGACGCGGGCCCGCCGTAATCTGTTGATTCGAGGCGCTCTCGCGCATTTTTAAAAGTACATGTGGCCAACTGGTTGTCCCAACCCCCCAAGTCTCGCAGCGCATCACCTCGAGGGATAATAATACTGCGCTAGCCACAAGGTCCGCATGATCTCCAAATGTCCGTGCCAACCCAAGGCGACGCGGGGGTTCGAATCAGCAAGCACTGTCAATCCCTGGACAGATCTTCTCGGTAGACGTAGAATATAAAACGTGCTTGCTGCCACGGGCGGGGTCATCTCCGTGCCAATCCCGCTGATATTGTGGTTCTCTATCGCTTTAAATACTATACAGCTTCCGATGTGAGCACCCGTCGGTGCCGTGGCGAGGGTGGGTATATAGCACCGCGCAAGGCGCGACGTCCGATCTTACTTAGAGCTGCAGATTAGTCGCCGGTGCCCGGCTAGGACCGCCCCTTAGGTGGGCGGACGAGTCTTTGAATAGACTTTGCCAGAGGTAGGCTTCGCTGAGAAGGAGTTCTATATCCTTCTCGGTCCAATCGCGGGTGGGGAGCGCTTGTAAGAACATCATGATTTCTTGGAAATCCATCTTTACCAGCTTGACCGACCACTTGACGAGGAAGGCCGCGCATACGTACAAATGAAACTCCGAGAAACCTTGCTCTTCCGCCTGGGCGTAATCGGTTAGCGTTGCCGTCCGACTGGGGGCTGAGGGACAGACAGAGAAAGAGAGCGATCGTACTAGATAAGTATCCCACATCCGAATCGTGTTTCGGACGCTGATCTCCCTCATGAGCAGGCAGTTCATCCAGCGGAAACTGAACTGGATAAATTCGACGTGTTGACTTTCGAGATGCTTGGCCAGCCCTTCGTCGATCCGGGCGGTCAGATCCCGCAGCGCAGCAACCTGCCGTTGAATGCCGGGTTGGGCAACGATGTAATGGTCCTGGATCCCGTCGAGCAACTTGGTCAAGCACCAGAACGAGTCGGCCTCCACCGCATCAAGCACTGCTCTCGGCAGCTGTCCCGGGTCCATGCCGCTCTCAATGTTGCAATCGGTGATATAGGTGCCTAGAAATACTTGCCAGAAAGGAGTGACCAAATCATTGATTCCCTGCACGTAGCCGCTCGCTGGATGTCGGATGGCCCAGAGATACAGTATCCGCTCCAGCGAGCGCTGGGTTGCCTCGTAGCCGTAGAGCTCGATATGGGGGTTGGTTCTGGGGACGTCGATGCTGATCTGATGCCATATGGCTTCGTCGAGGCCTCTCGAGCGGCCGCTCGCCGAAGTGCTTGCGCCTCCTCGTTCGAATGCTTGACGAACTCCGTCGAGGTACTCCCTACGCTTCCGTTCCAGCGTTGCGACGCGCCTCTCACTGCTGGTTGGTAGGTAACTTAACAAGAGCTGCCAGGTCATGGCCCGGACTTCTTCGGGGACACCACTCCACGCCAAAGCCCTGAGGTCGGTGAGTGGAATCGTAGTGGTCTGGAGGATTTTCTTGAATTTGTTGATTTTTGACACGCGAGAATTGATCGCGTCTATCTCCTTCGGAGTGGCGTTGGCGGGCGGGTGGGGGTGATCTATGAGATGCAAGGCATTGGCGGGGTCTGCGAGATATAAGTCACCGGATCGGCTTCTGTAGAGTCAATGGATACTACCTTTGAGGATGTCCTTGTATTGGGGCCTAAGTATCTTCCCTTCGCTCTTCTTCGGCATCGGGTAGGTTGGGGTGGGTCGTTCAATAGCTATGTCGGCGCTGTCCGAATTGCGTCGGTGCCGGAAGCCGAGCGCCGTCTCGATGGGCGCCGGCCGGGGATGGGACGCAGCACTTCCTTGTGCGGCCGCCACGCGACGAGACCTTCGCTTCATATTGGACAGGCTCGGAAGACCAAAGTCGTCACCATCATCATCATCATCGTACCCAAACATGTCGCCCCCCTCCTGCCCATCGGGGTCTTCCACGTTCCAATCCTGGTTGGTATTCGACAGGAAGTTGAAATAGGACTTCAACGGGGGGGACGATAAGCCAGACGAGGGCCTGTGCGATGGCGAGGGGACGTCGCCAGTTCGGATTCTATGAGCAGAAGAGGAAGGAGGAGTTCTTGGTCGCGACGAGGAGCCGGAGAGATTCCTGGCGATTTTCCCTAGGTCAACAACAGCAAAGAGGAGTGGGCGTAGTGCGCCGCGGCGGCCCGGGAGGACTCACAGGTTATCGAACTTGAGCATGTCTGCGTGGGAGTATGCGGCCCCCACCACGAGGCTCGGATCACGGCCAGCCGTTCTCTTCGGAGTGCCGTCCTTCTGGGCGCGCCAGAAAGGCGAAGCCGACCTGAGTTGGCCTTAGCGATGAATAGGCCTCCCCGGCGAATCTCGCCCGACACCAAGAATGCAACTTACTCAGATCTGTCTACGGAGAGGAGCGATCCAGATTAGCGAGCCCGTCTCTCTGGTGTCAACACAGGCGCCGGACGAGCGCATGGAGAGGTTGCGCCGTGCTGGAGGGCAGAGCAACCGGGCTGACTGACGTACCAACTTGGACCATTTCCTACGTCATGGCTGGCAGTTAGAAGCCAGGCGTGGGTGCGTAGTAGCAGAGGGCGCTGGGGAGCTCACCTGTTGAGGCGGCGGCTTCTTGCCGCTGCCCGAGGAGGAAAACATGGCGGAATCAGGCTGTTGGCGATCGATCACGACAGCATTGTTGTGGTGAAAAGCATTTCGCCCCAACCCAGCAAGCAGGAAATCATGCAATGTCGAAAGGGCCACAGGTAGGGCCAGGGTGAGTGTGCCAAACTGCTACGAGAGGTTGTAGGAGTTGGGGGGGGATCCAGTTACGACACTACATTTGCTGGGCCTAGGACGCTGTCGTATCAGCAACGGGGGACCTGAGCTACAGGGGACGATAGCGGGAAGCAGATACCTGTTGCCTGTGTGCTCAATACCCACGGTAATACATCAGTACAGCCCGTTAGAACCCCTCGTTAACGGCTGGTGGCTGGAAAAGAGAGAGGTACAGGGGTATGCGGAGAAGCCACAAGAGGGCTCAGCCACAGGAAATAAGATGCCCGTTTTTTCCTGAGGAAGAGTGTGCCCGTGCAGATACATTAGGCAACATACCCAATTCAATCAAGTACCTACCTACTTACATACCTTAGAGGTAGGTACTTGGCGCAGCAGCAGCAGCAGCACCAGCATCGAAGATCTTGTAGACATGTCAAAATCCCCTCCGCCAGGCGCCGGCTGCTGTGTAAGTGTGGTCCACGTGCCTTATCTCCTCTGTCAAGTAAAAGAGAGATGCCAGGCACCCTCGCTAGCTCCATCAGGCAGTACGTTCACAGCCAGAATGGGTAAGCCCGGGGGTGTGGCTTTGCCTGGGAATGGCAAATGTGTACGTACATGGCGCATCGCCCTTTGGGGCTTGCTGCCTGCCACTGGGCTGTCGAAGCAGTGCAGCAAATTTGGTGTGCCTGTGGCAGGTACTTGTATGTGGATGTGTTTATGCTGTAGGGGATACCTGCCCACTCACCCGTGCACAGCAGGACTGCCAAGTACCTGGGGTCCGACACCGAGAACACTGCCATGTACACAGTCTATGGCCGAGCTGGGCGGGCCCCGTCTAGGGCTGGCAAGGAGTGCCGGGGTCTCACCCTTGCAGGTGCTGTCTGCTGCCGACTTCGCGTCTGCCATTGGGTCCTTTCTTTCGTGTCGGCGTGTTGCCGGCCTGCTACCGCTGTCCTTAGCTAACCGCCCTACTAGCTTCTTGCTGCCGGCATGGCCACTACTTCTAACTATTCCCTCTACCTGCTGCCACTACCCTCGACCTGCCTCCCCCTACTTTTCTCTACTTCCCAGCTGAGAGGCTGTTAAATATTTTTTTTCTTTCTTTTCCCTTTCCATCACCGACTCCTCCATCACCTGTCAATTCCCGGCCCGGTATAATTCCAACCTCAAAGGTCTTTTTCATCCTAACACTGCCTGCCTTTTGCAACCCGTCTCGTCCGCACGACTTGGTCCATCCTCTTCGTCTCACCCGCACATTCTACGGTCGCTTGATCGCCGTTAGCTTCATTTTCCCTTGATTCCACGTCACGTTGGCTGCCGTGTGGTCTTGATTTTCCACAGGTTACTCCGGTTGAGCAGGCCCCAGATTACCATGGCGGAACCTGAGAACTTTGAGGACGATCTCTTTGCTGACCTGTGAGTAAAGTTGCAACCGTCAATGCTAGAGAAGCACACGCAAAACACTGTCCACCTCTCACTCCTGTCCCCAAGTCACCCCCTAGTACACAACCTGTAGGCTGACCTTACCGCCTGTTTCTAGGTACGATGATAACGAGGCTGGTGGCACAGCGGCACCACCAGTAGCGGCTGTAGCAGCAGCCGCTCCTGCTGTCTCGGCTCCTCTGTCGCAGATAAATCCCCCCCAGCCGATGTCGATAGAAGCACCAGCTCCGGCCGAGTTCAACCAAGTGCCTGCTGATGTAGCCCCTGCTGCCGATGAAAATGGATATGACGATGAGTATCAAGATGAAAACTACGACGATGATGACGATGTGGACTTCAACCTGGGCAATGGCCCGGCAGCTAGTGCTGTTGCCGCACCGCCCCAACAGGACGCGTCGGCACCCGCCTTCCATACCACGCGAGGACCCAGTGCCAAAGAGGACGGGTAAGTAATTTTGCGCTCGTTTATTTTCACATCCAAGATTTCTTGCTAGTCAACTCGCTCTAGAGGAGCCCCATTGCATCTCGCCTGTCCCTGGAACCCAGATCGAAGCTGCGTTCAAGGCGTGCCTTGATGTTAAAGCATGTGGTTTGGGGGGGGAGGTCGCGAGTAGCCCGGTAGGCCGTGGGACAATCTCAGAACAGATCGCATGCTTTGGTTCGTTAGGGCACTGGTCGGAAGGACTGGGGGCAAGATGGGTATTTCTATCTCTTGCTAGCTATATCCGAGGGAAAGATATGGCGACGGGCTCTTGCCGAGCCTGTCCGCGTTCAGATGCATAGCCAGAGGGAACACACGCGCCCAGCCGTCCGGATCTCAAAAAGGTCCATCGATGGAGAGGAAAAAGGAGAGGAAGATCGCAGAAGGAATCGCTCTTCAGCCTGAGGAGGAACCAACGATAAAAATTCGACTATAGTCAGTACAGAACACTACTGCCCTCCGTAGCCAGTCGTCGAAGATATGGGGCTCATAAAGCTCGACGAAGGACTATCCCTCTGCAGGCTGTAAGAAGAGAAGTTGGCAGCGAATAGCGCTCGAGGTCATGTCCTAGCTTGACGATAGCAAAGAGACAAGAACAGAAATCGACGACATTTCAGACATCAGCTGCCTTGCCTTCTTTCCTTGAGCAGTGCTGTCCGTGGCTTGCTTCTCGGACCGAGAAAAAGAAAGAGAGAAAGACTCCCTCGCCTACATTCCGCGTCGTCGCTACCAGCACCAGCACCACCACAACCACAACCACCGTTATCGCCAAAGTTACCACCTTCAGACCGTGCTGCGCCACCTAAGCTATATACCAAATCGTCCGCACGCCAAAAGAACCCATCGCCGCGGAGGAGCAAGGACCCGAGGACACGCCCGCCCCATCCGATAGCGACCATTCTAAGATTGTTGGTGTCGCTCCTAGGCATGACGGCTCTGATGTCCCAGGCTAGGATCGGAGAAACGCCGCGCACCTATGGTGAAGTTGTAGGGTGAGAGAGGGTTGACTAGCAAGGCTCATGATGACATTCATCTTGTTTCCAAACCACCCAAGCCGGTAGCATATTTGTCGAGTGACAAATCGCCAGTATTCAAAACTGCCACACACACACACTTGCTTGGGCCAACATACGCATCTATGCTGTATCGCTACTGCTGGCGCCGCTTGGGCTGACCGATCTGGGTGTAGGAAGATGTTTATTGGCGGTCTGAACTGGGAGACGACAGATCGTAGGTAGCCTCCGCACATATTTCCACCCCGTCGATAGCTTACTCGGCTAATGCTGGGTTAGAATCGCTTCGCGATTACTTCTCCCAATTTGGGGAGGTAACAGAGTGTACCGTCATGCGGGACGGTGCCACCGGTCGATCTCGCGGGTTTGGGTTTCTCACTTTCAAGGATCCGAAGACAGTTAATATTGTCATGGTCAAGGAGCATTTCCTAGACGGCAAGATCGTAAGTTGCGTCGCAGCTTCGCGTCGCCACCACGCGTTAAGATGGAGTACTAAGCCCATGTGTATCTATCTAGATCGACCCGAAGCGAGCTATCCCTCGCGACGAGCAAGAAAAGACAAGCAAGATCTTTGTGGGTGGTGTCAGCCAGGATACAACTGAGCCTGAATTTAAGGACTACTTCGCCCAGTTTGGTCGAGTTGTTGACGCCACCCTCATGATGGACAAGGACACCGGTCGCCCCAGGGGCTTCGGGTTCGTTACGTTCGAGAGCGAGGCTGGCGTCGAAGCTTGCCTCAACACGCACCTGGAAATCCACGGCAAGCCTATTGAGGTTAAGAAAGCTCAGCCTCGAGGCAACATGCGAGAAGAGGAGGAGGCGTCTAGACGTGGTAAATTCCGCAAAGGCGGCATAGAGGATCAGAGCGCCAACCAGAACCCGATGGCCAACCAGATGGGACAGGGAAGTATGACCCCGCAGCTCATGGCGCAGTATATGCAGAGGATGCAGCAGTACTTGGCGATGATGCAACAGCAGATGGTGATGAATCGGGGCATGGGCATGGGTGCCATGAATCCGGCAATGATGCAGATGTTGCAGATGCAGCAGCTTCAGCATCACATGGCCCAGCAAGCCCAAGGGGGGGCGGCCCAGAATTCGCAGAATCCGATGGCGGCCATGGCCAACATTAACCCGGCTCTCTTGCAACAGATGCAACAGATGCAGAGCCAGATGATGGCGAACGGAGGCGCCGTCCAGGGCCAGGGCCAGGGCCAGGGTGATGGAGGCCAACAGGGGTTCAACGATTTCAACAACCAGCAACAGATGTTCAATGCTCGCGGGAGCGGAGGCCGACGCGGTGGTCGAGGCGGATATCAAAACTACGGCAACATGAGCGGCGGAGATCCAACTTCCTGGGAGGGCATGTACGACGATGTGCCGCAGCCCAACTTCAACCAGGGAGGCGGCCGCGGTGGATTCCACCGGAATCGAGGCGGAAACCAGCCGAGTCCGGGGCCGGTCGATCCCACCCACGCCCCGCCGGCCAACGCACCCACCGGTCCTAAGAACGCTGGCAAGCCGGGCGCGAATTATCGCGGCGGTGGACGCGGAGGCAGCAACAGGGGTTTCCATCCTTACGGTCGCTAAGACGGCCGCGAAGGCCACGGGTCCATCGCCGACCCCCTTTCCACTTTTCGGCACGGCAGTGCCCCCCGTATTGGCAGAGAGAATCGCCAAGTTTTGCTTCATCACTACTGAGGCCCCTCGTTGTCGGAGTTCTCTCCTACCTGGAATGGAATGCCGCCGAAAGTTTGCATGGGAAACCTGGCAGGAAAAACTGACCTAGACCGGCTCTCTCTCGCATGGTCCATCACCAGACGCAGACGACATTACACTCGTCGTCTGCCTGTATTCTTTATTACGTTACTCGTTCGCGCATGCTGCCCCTCAGTTTCCCGTCCGAGATTACCGGTCACGGACACAGTCGGTCACTCTCCCCTCCGGTCTTCGCGAGTTAGAGTCGGGGAGAGGATGAGAGGAGGGGCGAGAGAGGGAGAGAGAGAAGAACGGGGAGAGAAAACGGGTCTTTTGATGTCGCGCAAGTGGGGGAGAACGCTTTATTCCACAGCTCGGGCTATTTGCGCCTCTTTTTTTTTTCACCTCGCCTCGCATCATCGTATATGGACGAATGAGGAACGTGTAGACGGATCGGACGGACCCGTACATAGCACCGACGGTCCTTCGAGTTGTTTAATAGTTAGTCCATAGGGAAATATGAGGTTGATTGCAGATGCAATTTCTATAGCTATCGTTTTTCTCGCTCCGTTAACGCGAGATGGGAGCGTTCATAAGTTATATTACAGCGAGATTTTCATACGAACCCGCCGCAGTTCATAGGAGCTGGGTTTGCCACATTCCAACTTGGCTACCGCTCTACTAAATAAGCCCTCCTAGATGCCTAATCATGCTACCCCCTATACTTCTCATCGTGCCTGGGATGCTCTACCGCGGCTTCGAAACAGGGCCCGTCGCCCGGGATCGCGTGGAAGAATAGACGAGTTGGGTTCGCAACTGATAACGCTGCCCTACACAGTTGGAGACCCCGCGTTTTCTCTTCTATCAGTCCGTATCCATCCGTCCTAACTACCATCTCCGCACTCGCCGTCGAGGGACGCTGTTATACATGCTCTCTCTCTCGCGGCCCCTTAATCCCTCGGCCCTCCTTCCCTCCTCTCCCGCTCAGTCCCGGAACAGCCGCGTCAGGCCCCCGGCCGGCGGGCGCAGCCAGTTCCGCTCGTCGTACGTGGGGCCGTCGCCCTCGATGATGTGGAAGGTGTATATGATGCGGCCTTTCTGACTGAGGTTGCGCTCGCTCTTGTGGAGCAGGTTGCCGTGGATGAGGACGAGGGAGCCGGCGGAGACCTCGCCGAGGACGTAGGCGGGCTCGGGGGCGGCGGGGGCGGCGACGCGCTCGCCGTACTCGTCGCCGGGCGGGAAGCGCGCGCCGTCGTTGTCGACGAACTCGGTGCCGCCGCCGCCGGCAGCGCGCACGAAGCGCTGGCGCACGGGCGCCCAGCGGTGGCTGCCGGGCAGGAAGCTGAGGCAGCCGTTGGCCGCCGTGGCGTCCTCGAGCGCGTACCAGAAGCCGACGGCGCTCGGCGGGTCCGTGTAGAGGAAGGTGCTGTCCTGGTGCGGCGGCACGGCGCCGCCGATCTCGGGCTGCTTGCAGATGACCATGCTCTGGAGGCAGCGGGGGTCGCGGAAGCCGAGGGCGCGGGCGACGGCGGCGGGGTGGCTGTCGCGAGCACCAGGGGCGGCGCCGCCGGGGGGGTTCTGCGCGGGGTCGAGCAGCGCGGCGAACGGGGCCGACAGCGCGTGCAGCGCGTGCCCGATCTTGTTGACGGCGCGCTCCTTGGGCTTGGCCAGCGCGCCCGTCGCGCCGTCGAACGCGTCCTCCTCGAAGAAGAACCGCACCTGGTCCCCCGACCCCAGGAAGTACTCGTCCCCCACGTGCGCCGCCCCCGACTCCCCCGTGCTGAACCGCGTCAGCGGGTGCGACGCCAGCGAGAACCCCGCCAGCAGCGCCCGCGTCTCCGCCAGCAGCCCCGCCACCGTCGCCGCCGACAGCGCGTCCGGGATCACCAGGTACCCGTCCCGCCAGAACGACGCGACCTGCTCCGCCGTCAGGCCCCCGGCGACGGGCGCCGCCGCCGCCGAGGAGGTGCTGGTTGTGGTTGCTGCTGGGGACATGTTCGCGTGCGTGTTGCGTGAACTGGCCCCCCCTATATGTGTGTGGGTGTGGGTGTGGGTGTGATGGTAGCTAACGCCCGGGGGACCTGAGGTCGGATTGCCTGCCCGTAGTAAGCTGGTCCGGGAAATAAGCAAGTGGTATGTGTATGCATGCAAGTGCTGCGTGGACGGCGTGAAATGCGACGGTGGTAGCGGGAACGGTGCGGACAGGCAAAGGATGCTGTTCACATCCGCCAAACAGGTATAAATATAGGGGCGCGGAGAGGGGATGGATGGGACGATAAGGGCCCCCCGGAGGATTGCAGCGCCTAGCGGGGTAGTAGGACGAGAGGTGGGGTCCCGGAGCTCGGCGGTCGGGGACGTATCGATAAGAGAAGCCCGAAGATGAGGGGTCGACTTTGCCCACCTGGGGAGGTCAACTGGCCTGTCCCAAGTCCGACTTGGACGGCTTGGGAGTGCTCGTTAGACGTTAGTGTCGCTACGGCTTAGCATTCTTTTCTCGCCTTCTCCTCTCCGAGCCACTCAGATCCTGGGTCGCTTAAGTTTACATAGTACGTGCACGAGAGGCACCTACAGCGCTGAGGTCATCGCCCTCGTATGATACGTGCAGTCCTAGTGTCTTGCCTCTTCGCATACACCCCTGCTCCTTTGCGACTGATCCTCTAAGCGGGTCTGTCTCTCTTTTTTCTTCTTCTCCGGAACACCTCGCTTCGCCGTACGACTAGCTACGCTCGCTCTCCGATATCATGAGTTCCGAGGAAGAGGTCCTGTCCGGACCGCCTGCCCCCGAGCTGCTCGACGACCGGATCTGGGTCGATGGGTGTTGGGATTTCTTCCACCACGGCCACGCCGGGGCCATGCTCCAGGCGCGCCAGCTCGGCACCGAGCTGTACGTGGGCGTGCACTCGGACGAGGCCATCCTCGAGAACAAGGGCCCGACGGTGATGAATCTGCGGGAACGGTACGGTTGTAGAGAAAGAGCCCTTCCCAGACCATCACCCTGAAGAAAGCGAGGAGCGCTCTGCTGACCTCCCGGGTTGGGGCGAGAGATAAAGGCTTGCCGCCGTGGACGCTTGCCGCTGGGTCACCCGATCGGTCGCCTACGCGCCGTACGTCACGCAGCTGAGCTTCATAAGCCACTTCGGCTGCAAGTACGTGGTGCACGGCGACGACATCACCTCCGACAGCAGCGGCGAGGACTGCTACCGCTTCGTCAAGGCCGCCGGCCGCTTCAAGGTCGTCAAGCGGACGCCGAGCATATCCACCACCGACCTCGTCGGCCGCATGCTCCTGTGCACCCGAACCCACTTCATAAAGTCACTGGAGAAGACCTTGGCCGGCCAGGAGGGCAGCGGCACCGAGGCCGAGAGGGCGGAGGAAGGAGCCGCCATGACCGCCCGCATCAGGCAGTACGCGACCGACGAGACCGGCAAGCGACCCGGCGCCGACGTCTACTTCTGGCACGCCTCTACCGCGGCCAAGAGCTCCGATGCTGCGGGCGCTACAACGACAGAAGAGAGGGGATCGTTCCGCCCTTTACTCAAGGGCTCCGGCCCGAAGCCCGGCCAGCGAGTGGTCTACGTCGACGGGGGCTTCGACTTGTTTTCCAGCGGTCATATCGAGTTCCTCCGCCAGGTCGTGCTGGCGGAGGAGGATCTGGCGAGGACAGAGGGCTGGTACGACCAGCAGGCCGTCGACGAGCGCCGTGGCAAGGGAGACGATTACGGCCCCGTCTTCGTCGTTGCTGGGGTTCACGATGACGAGGTGATCAACCACTGGAAAGGGGTCAACTATCCCATTATGAACATCTACGAGCGTGGCCTCTGCGTGCTTCAATGCCGGGTACGTAGTTCTACCTCCTTGAGTGCCTCGGCATTGCTCGCTAATCACGTTTTATAGCATGTCAACGCTGTCATCTTCGGCGCGCCATTCTCGCCGACCAAGTCCTACCTGACGAGCTCTCCCTGGGGCACCCCCGACGCCGTATACCACGGCCCGACAGCATTTATGCCTCTCTCGTACGACCCGTACACGGCGCCGAAGGAGATGGGCATCTTCCGGGAGGTGCCGAGCCACGAGTTCCAAGACGTCAACGCCGGCACGATCGTGCATCGCATCATGAAGAGCCGGGATCTGTACGAGGAGCGGCAGAGGAAGAAGGGTGTGAAGGCCGTCGGCGAGGCCGCGCACCGCCAGAGGGAGATACTGGAGGAGGAACAACGCCTCAAGGAAGAGGAGAGGGCCTCTGTCTAAAAATTGCAGCACAGCCGGTCTGCTGCGGCAAGAGTTGGCCAACTCCAATATCAGGTATTGTGAACGAGGGAGGATGTGGCGACAATGATGGGCCTGGCCCGCCTCAAGGAGCTAATTAACGACTGGGGCGCCCCTGAACCGAGTACGGTCTCCTGACGGCTCGAGTCATGGCGGGAAAAAAAAGGAACAAAAAAAAAAACACCTAGGCCTGTGTCTCTCTCAGTAGGCCTGATAGTCTCCTGATGCTAAGAACAAGAATACATTTGCCCCCTTACGATTTTAATCTCTGAAAAATTCTCTTGCACCCCCTTTTCCGCGCGGGGTCCAGGCGACGGGGGGAGATACCGGTGTGTACCTGGGTATGGAGTAGATAGGTAGTAATCGAGTCAGACAGATATATATATGCTTGGCTTATTGGGTTTATCGTGCCGGCCGTCTGGCGTCATACGGGTCTATGACTCAGAAATCATCTCCGACGCTTCTATTGGTGTGACGGTGACGGAGGAGGTGAAGGAGAGAGAGAGGAGAGCGAGTATATGGCCAATGCCAAGGATGGTTTGCATGTCGACGCCGGGGTATAACGGGAAATGGGGCCAGACGGATACACGGGATAGATTAGGTACTCCCGTGCGTATGTACACAGCTCGTATGCAGTGCACAGGTATAGTAGAATTAGCCTACCTACCTACCTACATATGATGTATCGTAGGCGTGTACTCTGGGTAGGATGTGGTTTCGACGATGTAATCAGGGTAGAGGCGTATGCGCGCATGCATACCCGTAGAGCCAGTCGGAGGTCATCTGAGTAAGCCGCACGTTCTAGACGGAGGCCAGAAAAAGGGAGGCATAACGCGTAGGCGCGCCCACCCCCCGACCAACGCTGCGGACGAGGGTCTACTACGGCATAGCGCCGAGAAACACGCAGGATCGCGGAGAGAATGCGGGTAAGAAACCCACGTACGCAGCAGCGCGTCGCACCCTCGAAATAGCCGTGCTTGCTATCGACAGGGACCGGCCATTGGCGGGACGGCGACGGTCTTGCCGGACAGCGGGCTGGAGACTGCTTTCGCTAGCTGACAACCCGCGTCCACCTGGCCCCCCCCTCCTCGACGCGGCTTACGAGCGAGAAGCCAGCTGTAGGTAAGTAGAGCCTCGCACGACATATGCTCTTTCTTTCCCTCAGTCACGAGCCGGGGCGAGAGGCGAGGCGGCCATGGCGAGCCCGGGTTTGGTCGATGCTATATCCAGGTAACGACGATAGTACGTATAGACATCATCATCGGGGTAATAAAACAGAAGTCTGACTGACAGCTTGGCTGACAGGCGTGTGAGTCGAAAAAACGGGGCCACGCCAATCGGCGGACCCGACTGGTACACGGGATATAGATACCTCTCTACTCCCCATGATCTCATGTCTTAGGTACCTTCATAGGCACCTAACTAGTGTATGGACGTACGGGTGGTGAGATACCTCTTACACTACGCGTCGAATGCTGGCTAGGCGTCGGCTGGGGGAGAAGGGGAGGGATACGGACGGAAGAGACGACGGCGACGGCGAGGAGACCTGGGTCAGGGTTAGGGTGGGGAGGGGGGAATAAGGCCCTAGGTCTCCGTCGAACCCCCTTTCGCTTCCCCGTTTGCCGGTAGGGGGGCAGGCAGGCCAAGCCCATGATTCGTTTGTTCCAGAAGGAGAAACGAACAGGGGAGAGATCCCGATCTTGGGCGAGGTGGGAAACACGACGGGTTACACGGGCGACGCCTGCACATGTACACGTACGTGTGGGACGGTGGCCTCGTTGCGTCTGCGCTACGGGGCTAGGTAAATGGAGGGAGAGGTCGTGTCTCGAGCTCGGGACGGATGAGAGAATGTTCTCGCGGCTTGGCTGGCCTACTGATACGTTAGGAGCTTTGGCAAATGGCTGGCTGGCCGGCCGGCCTGGCTGGCTGGTAGGCAGACCACGACTACGCGCGCCTCCATCGATGTCAGTTAGCTGGCCGTCCATCAAGAAACGCGAGGAACGGGATGTATGTGGCCGGTTGCTGCTAATCTGCCCGGGAGCGGTGCCGAAAGTAGGGAGGAGATTACGAAATTGGGGAATACCGTATGTAGGAGAGAGTAAATTACCGAGAACCTCCAGGGCTCGGATCTTTTCTTCTTCTTCTCTTTTTCGCATCGCTGGTCCTCACCACGGCTGCAACACGTGGGAAACCATGTACTTTTGCCTCCTACTAGTAGTATGTATCTTGGGCACCTTAGGTACTGTTACTAGCCGGAGGTATATATGCATACGCGGACCGAGCATCAGATACATGCCTCCGTGCATAAATCCGTAAAACCCATACGTGTGCCAATGTGCCAATGTACCTAACGCAGGCAGGTCCGTGTACGTGTACGTACCAGCCGTCCCTAGCCTGGTCCATGTCGGCAGCCCTAGCGGGTATCGTCTTGTTTTTCTTCTTCTTCTTCTCTCAATATCCCCTCTCTACGCAAAGATAGCGCCTATTCGGGGTGGCTACCGCTGCTGACTCCTGTCCCGGCGGAGGTCAAATGGCAGAGGCATCATCCCTACCTTATAGGCACCTCCAAGTGGCATACATTAGGTATCTGTATAAGTACCTACCTCGGTACCTAAAGTAGGCGCGTTTGGGCGTGGCACATACAGCCTACAGGTATGGAAGGTATTCCTATAGGCGCTAACGTAAGACGGTCCCGTCTGTTATATCTACTACCTGTATTAGGCAGATATACGTAGTACCTGTGCGATGGACGGATGCATGTACTGCCATGTACCGTGTCGTGCCTCGGGACACGGATAGCCAAGTGGCCCGTGCATACACGCAGGTTCCCCCTTCTCGACGTGCGTTCTGGAAGGCGCGAAGAAGGCAAAGAAGCTTCAAATAGAAAGAAAGGCGGGGACCATGACGAGCTCCAATGTCGGCGGATTGGTGCTGGATCAGCTCCACCCATTCCATCTCTTCCAGAAACCCATCCTCTTCCCTCTCCTCTCCCCCCCCTCCGTGCTCCCCTCAATGCTCCCCTCAATCGTCACTCTTTTGCCACAAGGGGCCGGCCTGAGAAGAACTGCGACAGTCGAGACATCCGCCTCCTACATCATCATCAGCAGAGCCAGACGAGAGAGAGGGTGACCAGATCTGTCGACAAAGAGGCACAGCGTTGTAGCCTGGCCTGCCTGATATACCTGTCCACACCCCCCCCTGCCCTTCACCTATCCCCCCCCCTCTCGGTTGATGCTGGCAGACTTGCGTGTACCTATCTACATCTACATACCTCCTTTCCTCTCCTCCTCTCTGCCTACCTACTACCTCCTCCTCTTACCTATCCTCTCCTATCCACTCCCCAATCTTCACACATCGCCCCCTCCTCCCATCCCTCAGGGGCACGGCAGCAATTGAGTCAATCGAACTCCGTCCTTCCTCCTCTCGTCTACGCCTGTAGATACCTCCTCCTCTCCTCCTATCTGCCCGTCTCTATATCCACCTCTCTGTACATACCGATATCCACCATCGGTTTCCCGGTCCTCGTCTTGCCCGGATCGGCCAGCCCACCAGCTACCTGCTCAGGCAGCCTCTTCCACCCTTGCCGCTCGCCGTGCCACATGGTGGTCAAAGCAGACTGCGCGCAATATCCTCGAGCGTCTTGGATCGGAAATAACCTTGGACTCGGTCTGCGACGGGAGCCGTGTCCGTTGAGTGACTAGACGAGCTGGTAAGTGGCTGCAGCAGTATCCGTCATCTACCTACACTTTGATTTATCACCTGTCTGTGTGTTCCATTCGGTCTGCGATAGCTACCCTACCCTATCTCCCCTCGTCGCCCTGGCTTTCTTTTCCAATTACCCATGTTTTATTTGAGCAGCGACCCTCCACTTCCACCTAAATTACCTACCCTTTTGAGTCTTTCCTCCCTCATACCCTGCCATCAACGGCTTTTCAAACTGCTACCCGCTTACGCGACACATGCGATCTTCCCACTTCGAGTCCCCGCTGCGGTCCGGTGGGCATAGCCTCGCTCTGCGTAGCACCTACCACCTACACCCCCCCCCCCCCTTCTTCCCTAGGCGCCCTCCTATTTCCCACTGCCCCCCCGGTCGTCGGAAACGGACCAGCAAGCTGCTGGCTAACCCTAGGTGGGCGTGCCTGTCCCATAATTCCTGGACTCAGGATCGCGGTCCCCGGGTGGGTGGCCTAGCTCGCATGTCAATGTCGACCTTGAGACTCTTGTACTAGGTATTACACTTAAGCTCCTGTTTCCAGCCTAGAATTTCTTTCACGATATGCTTCTGTCTGTCCATTCCTTCGCCACCGCATAGTATCGAGACACCAAAGCATCAACCGTTTCCTACACCCGTCGTGCCGATCTAGTCGCGTGCATCATGTCCCTGCCTGTCGCTTACCAGAGGGAGATAGAATCCCTCGAAAATCGGATTCGGCGCGAGAATCCGCTCGATATCCTACAGTTCTGCTCCGACCATTTCCTACGCCGTCTCGCCGACGAACGCGCCGCCTACCTGTCGCAAGGCTCCCCCTTAATCCTGAACACGAGCGCGATGTCGGGAACGACGTTTACGAGTCCCTTCGCGGCTAACTCGAATCCTTTCGGCACCAACGAGCCCAAGCCTGAGGCACCCAACGGGCAGTCTGGGGACTTGCTGAATGTGATCGAGGAGGATGAGGATGACACGATAACTTCCCCAACTACCCCGTCCTTCGGTCTGTCCAGCGCTCCCTTCCGCGGTGCGTACGGCACCGAGGGCCCGCTGGATGGACCGCCTTCTTCGCTGAGGGCGGTGCAGAACCCGGACAACTATCCGGCCCAGTACAACTTTGGCCGTCGCACCTCGGTCTCTGCCGAGTCCCTCAAGCCAGTAGCTGACGCCAACGACAACTGGACACCCCCGTCTTACCCAAAGTCTCTGGAGCAGCTGGACCGATTGAAGAAGGCCATCGAGGGGAACTTCCTGTTTAGCCACATGGATGACGAGCAGAATGCCCAGATCCTCGGGGCCCTCCAGGAGAAGCCGATTCCGGCAAGAGATATCAAGGTACGCATAGCACTCTTCAAGTCGCATAAGCACATGTCGTCACAGCTCTAACCGCTGATTTAGGTCATAACCCAAGGGGACGCAGGCGACTACTTTTACATCGTCGAGAAGGGCTCGTTTGACGTGTACGTCAATCCCATAGGCTCGCTGCAGCCTGGCCCGGACGGGATGGGCAGCAGAGTGAGCACCATCAGAGCCGGAGGCTCTTTCGGAGAGCTCGCTCTGATGTACAACGCGCCGAGAGCCGCCACGGTGGTTTCCGCCGAACCGGGTTGCACATTATGGGCTCTGGACCGCGTCACTTTCCGCCGGATCTTGATGGAGTCTACATTTGCGCGCAGGCGCCTATACGAGAGTTTCTTGGAAGAGGTACCTCTCCTATCTACTCTCACCCCATACGAGAGATCGAAAATCGCCGATGCCTTAGAAACCAAGAAATTTCCCAAGGGGTATAAGATCATCAGGCAGGGCGACATCGGAGAGTCCTTTTTCCTGTTAGAAGATGGAGAAGCCGACGCGTACAAAGACGGCAGGCCGCAATCCGTCAAGCATTACAAGAAGGGTGATTTCTTCGGCGAGCTCGCCTTGCTCGATGATAAGCCCCGGGCAGCAGATGTCATTAGCACCACGGAAGTCAAGGTGGCTACGCTAGGGAAAAGCGCCTTCCAAAGATTACTGGGGCCCGTCGAAGGTATCATGAGGAGGACTAAGTACGTGGGTATCAAGTCGGGAGTAGAAGATGTAGACCCGCTCCGACGCCATTGATTAAATATGCTTCTAGGTTGTACAGTTTTTGTGGATTAGAAAAACGATATTCCAGGGTCGGAGGCAGTTTAGAGGACGGATAAGGAGGGAAGGGGGGTTTATTCATCGTCATGGAGGCGTTGCGGAATTACCCTCGTTTCCCGTACATCGACTAGGGGGGTTTTTTTTATTACTTGATTGACTGTTACTGAAGCAGAAGCATTGTTATTACCAAGTCTAGAGCTGCTTTATAAATTATTTGTTTTCCTGTTCAAATCCCTTAGGATTGTCGTGAGTGGCCCCTCCCCGTTTCGCGAGGTCTCCGGGGGCTAGACGAAATCTATCGGCTACTCGCCGGCCAAGCCAGAAGCGTTTCGAATCGTCTTGTATGCGCGCGACAGAGGGCGTAACTACCGATCAGTTAACCGGCTAGCCCGCTTGCTCTATCTAAGTCTCATTACCGGCTTTCCCAATTCTCTTACTCTTCGACTCTCGGGCTCCCCCCGCCAGGGCAAACTAGGAAGCGGTGACCGCGCGGCCGTCGTCGTCGTCGTCGGCGGCGGCGGCGGCGGCGGCGGCGGCGCGCTGGCGGTCACGGACCTGGCGGCGGAGGTCTTCGGCGGCGACCTCGGCCTCGAGGGCGCGGGCGACGCCGCGGCGCCAGGCGTAGTCGAGGCCGCAGAGCTCGGCGGCGGCGGCGTCCTGGGCGGCGCGGCGGGCGAGGGCGAGGCGGTCGACGTCGCGGCGGGCGGCGGCGAGGTCGCGCTCGAGGGCGCGGAGGTCGGCCTCGGCGCGCCAGTTGGCGAGGAGCCAGGCGTTGCGGCCGTGGGCGTCGAGGAGGCGGAGGTGAGCGCGGCGCGACGCGAGGTAGGTGCCGGCGGCGTAGGCGAGGCGGAGGGAGGTCTGCAGCTCAGAAGAAGAAGAGGAGGAGTCGGAGTCGGGCAGGGCTTCGTAGCGCGACAGGTCGACGCCGCCCGCGAAGGGCGCGCCCGCGGCTATCCGCTCGAGCTCGAGCGTCACGAGGGGGCTGAAGTTGGGCGCGCGGAGGGGCGGTAGCAGCGAGGCGGGCGGAGAGGAGGAGGAGGAAGAGGAGAGCTCGGCGGCGATGAGAGATTCTGCGGCTGCGCGCTCGGCGGCCGTGGGCTCGGGGTCGATGTCTGGGGAGAAGGAAAGGAGGGGAGAGGGGTTAGTATAGGTTGCTTAGGTAGCTGCTTACGAAGGGAGGGGGCGTATAGGAGGGGGAGGTAGGCCCGGGGGGAACTCACAGGGGAGGGACTCGTGGACGGCGGTGCGGATCGAGGACGCCATGGCGGCGGCGTGTAGGTGTGTGCGTGTGGGGGCCGGGTATCGCAAGGGATGGCTGTCGTTGCCGCTGCTGTCTTAAGGAGGTAGCTAGCTAGCTGATCGAAAGAGGGCTATATCGGTCTGCGTCCGGCGTTGGGGGACGCGGTGGCGAGCCGACGGGACGCAGATGCAGGGAGGGTGCAGACGCGAGCGAATTGAGATTCCTTATCGTTATCGTGCCCTTTCGTTCCCGGCGTTGCAGGGTGGCAGCTGGCGAGAGCTGGCAGAACCGGCAACCTGGCTTGTCGGCAGCGAGTGCCGGGGCCACAAGCGGGGACTGGTTGCTGCTGTTGCCGGCGGCGCCTGCCAGGCACCGTCGCGAATGACGTATCGCACGGTAATGCCCTCCGACGAAAGCATTGCGTAGGAAGTATGTACACTCTCCGTGGACACTACAGATAGGTATCTCGTCACACGTACTTATTGTAGGTTAGGTACATGAGTATGCGGGGGACCTTGGGCACGACACCGGCACAAAGGGTGTAGATAGAGGCAGTTCGGGAGGTACCCTGCGTACTTCATTAGGTACCCGAGACGGAGGGGATACCTGCGGGTTGTGTGCACCATGTTGGAGGCGTTAATAAGCACAACCCACCCCCCTAACCTCCTAACCCCCTTCGCTTCCTGTATTGTACCAAGCTTCTCACCAATCCTCTGCCGCCTCGGTTTCGCCAAGTCTCTCTCCTCCAATTAGACCTGGAAAGCCGACGCAGTCAACCCCGTCTCTGGGTTGCCCAGCCGAGACAAGGGAACGGCATCGATGAGAGGGACGAGTGAATTCCCACCAAGATATTCCGTTGACAACACCTCCCACACCACCCGCGAGCGCACCCTGAACTGTGTATATAACCTACGTCCACCCGCCAAGTTATGCAAACCGGCCTTTGCGTCCGACACACCAGAGAGACGAGAAGCGAGAAGACCTGCCCGTTTCAAGCTGGGAAATATCGATTCTTAAACGAGCCGTCTCGCAACCTTGCTTTGCCTCGCCAACTCCCCCCTTCTCTCCCCCAGACCACAATGTCCGGATCACCCAAGAACAGGAATAGTCGCTCTTCCCGTAGGCAGGCCTCATCGCATCTAGCCGTCGTCTACGCCTGCCGCCAACTGCCTCATAACACGTGAAACCTGGGTCGAGTGCATCCTGCTGAACTATCCGCCTGCTGCCACTGTTCGAGCAGGCTTCATACCTCCCACCGACCTCTCTCGCCATCTGCTTAGCTAAAGTACCTCTAGACACGTCTGGAAATATAGAGTACCACTACACCCCATAAGTGCTTTCTATTTACCGGTACGCATTGTATACCTGCGTGTCTGCGTAGACAGATACCCCCCGCCAACGAATCGTGGTCGTGGGCTGTGAGATAAGCCGGGAGAACAGAGCAACGCCGCTAGAACCCAAGATGTTTCAGGCTTACCCGGGCAAGCAAGCCGGTGATTCTCCGGCCCTCCCGGGTTCTCGGCGGTCTCGCGACGGCTCTCCTCCCCGCAGAGTCACCGTTGCGTTTGCCGCTACTTTATTACTGGTGCCGATATTGCTTCTTGCCGTCACGTTCCTCCCAACCGGCCCAGTACAGAAGCTCAAACTATGGTCGGGTGCTCACGCTGGGGAGGGCGAAAAGGCGCTGCCGCTTGGGGATGACGAATATGTCATCGGGGTAGGCAAGGCTGATATAACTGGGTGAGTAGCCGGGCCGCCCAGCGTATTGTAGAGCAGCAGTGTCGTTAACGTCACGGAAACAGCCCTTGCGTTGAGATCAATTTGATGGGCTACGCCGACCCGAACCAGATCGGAACCGGCCTGCGGCAGCGTCTCTATTCTCGGGCATTTATTGTGGCCGACCCGGCCAATCCGGCAGACACGTTCCTATATCTCGTCCTCGATACGCAGTCCGGCGATACGGCTATCCGCTACGGCATCCTGTCTGGGCTGCGGGAGTTGGGGTCCGGATACGAGAACTACGGCGACCACAACCTCGCCGTCACCGGCACGCACTCGCATTCGGGTCCCGGTGCCTGGCTCAACTATCTCTTGCCTCAGATCACGAGCAAGGGTTTTGACCAGCAGAGTTACCGGGCCATTGTCGACGGCGCCCTCCTGTCCATCCGTCGAGCACACGAAAGCCTTGCGCCGGGCCGGCTCAGCGTCGGATCTACCAAGGTCTTCGGAGCCAACATTAACCGCAGCCTCTTTGCGTACCTCGCGAATCCGGAGGAGGAGCGTGCGAGATACAACATCAGCTCGGAGGATGACGGGTCCGTAGAAAAAGACCTAACCCTGCTGAAATTCCAACGTGCCTCCGATGGCAAAAACATCGGCGTCCTAACATGGTTCCCTACGCACGGAACTTCGGTGCTCGGCAACAACACGTTGATATCGGGGGACAACAAGGGGGTTGCGGCCTACCTGTTCGAGAGAAGCGCCGTCGACGACGAGACGGCTGCCGAGGGGTTCGTAGCCGGCTTCTCGCAGGCGAGCGTCGGCGACACGAGCCCCAACGTCCTCGGCGCCTGGTGCGAGGATGGTTCGGGGGAACAGTGCAGTTTCGACAAGAGCACGTGTTCGGATGGCCGATCTCAGAAATGCCACGCCCGAGGTCCTTTCTTCATGGTGAATGACGAAGGAACGTCTTCGTGCTTCGAGATCGGCAGGCGACAGTTTGAACCCGCGAGGAAGTTATACGACCGCCTCAACCAGGCACCGAACCCGATCCGCGGGGGATGGGTAAAATCCTTCCATACCTTCCACAACATGTCTAACCACCGATTTCAACTCCCTAACGGGACAGAAGTCAGAACGTGTCCGGCTGCGCTGGGCTACTCCTTCGCCGCCGGCACGTCCGACGGTCCCGGCGCCTTCGACTTTACCCAGCACGGAAGCAATTCTTCCAACACCTCGCCGGTGTGGCGCGTCGTCGGCGGGATGCTGAAGCAGCCGAGCGAAGACCAGGTTGCGTGCCATTCCCCCAAGCCGATCCTCCTCGACGTCGGCGAGGTGTCGAAGCCGTACTCGTGGACGCCGAACGTGGTCGACGTGCAGGTGTTCCGCGCGGGCCAGCTGGTCATCATCGTGAGCCCCGGCGAAGCGACGACGATGGCCGGGCGTCGCTGGAAGAACGCGGTCAGCGACGAGATAACGGCACTGTTCGCGGACGAGCTGGCGCAGTCGGCGGCGCCTATCGTCGTGCTGGGCGGGCCGGCGAATACCTACACGCACTACATCACTACCGAGGAGGAGTATGGGTGAGTCTGATGTTTTTTTTTTCGATCTCTATATTTGAACGATTCCTTTTGTGTTACGGACGGGAACCCTCTGTCGCGAAATCGCGTGGATGTTAATGGTACATCTTGATGGCGCGTACCTATTTACGGGCATTAAGCTTTTGGCGATGTTCCTTAGAGAAACAGAAGGAAGAGGAGGAGGAACCATTTCCAATCAACACCTACAGATGGAATCGTGATATGACGAGGTTAATAACAGTCACTTGGCACAGGATTCAACGCTACGAGGGGGCGAGTACGCTGTACGGGCCGCACACCTTGGCAGCTTACATCAACGTGACGCTGTCTTGGTTACCGTACCTCAGATCGTCGACGAGTAGCCGCCCGCCCCGGGGGCCGGAGCCGCCGAACAACAGCAACCGGAGCCTCAGCTTCATCCCGTCGGTCCTCCACGACTCGCCGCCACTCTTCAAGAAGTTCGGCAAGGTCGAGCGGGACGTCGAGCCGAGGTATCAAAGGGGCGCGCGGGTCACGGCGACGTTTGTCGGGGCGAACCCGCGCAACGACCTCCGGCTCGAGCGCAGCTACGTCGTCGTCGAGAAGCTCGTCCCTGACTCGTCTGGGACCGGGTCATCGGGCGAGCTGCGTAAGGAGCGAGGAAGAGGATGGGCGGCAGCAGCAGCAGGAGAGCAGGGAGGAGAAGAAGAAGGAAAAGGAAAAGGCGGTTCACTCTGGCGGGTGGTCCGCGACGATAGTGACTGGCACCTCGTGTTCCGGTGGCGGCGGACGAGCGAGCTGCTGGGCACGAGCGAGGTGGAGGTGACGTGGGAGACGGAGGACCCGTGGGCAGAGCCGGGGCAGTACCGGTTCCGGTACCACGGAGACGCGAAGGATCTTGCGGGGCGGGTCGCCGGGTTCGAGGGCGTGAGCGGGGAGTTCGAACTTGTCTGAGAGGTGGATGGATTAACTGTTAGGCTGTTACGGAAAACAGGAAGGAAAAGGGAGGTACCTATGCGGAGGTCGATTACCATCTAGCGCCCTTCAGCAGGTAACTGCTAAGAGAGTAAGGGGAGAAATACATTGTACTGGCAGCAGTTGAGATCAAGAAAATATGCTATTCTCTACTTTCGTGCATCCTTTACGCAATCGGTCAGCGACAGAATCTAAGCGCGAGCGCGGCCTTGGGAGGTGCAGAGATAGGTGCGACGTCGCGTCGAGTGAAGAGCAATACGATAAGAAAATAGGACCAGTCGGCTAGTCAGTGCGCGAAATTCGCGCGACGCACCACGGGCAAAGGGGCGCGCGCAGCAGCATTAATTATCGTGCTTATGCGGAGAGAGGTAATACGGCCGCGTCGAGGCGCGTTTCTTCGAGACATACAGTACCTACTCATAAGTCAGTCCGTCTCCCTTCCTCCCTTCCCCCCCCTTTTTATTAGGAGGGCGTTGCGAGACAAGGCTTCCCTAATAGGGGGTTCGTGTCCAGGAGGAGCTAGCTAGCTAGCTAGGGTGATAGATTGGCGGATTGATAGACCGATCGACAGGGGGAAAGGGGAGGGGAGGGGAGGGGGGAAGGGGTGTTACGCGCGTTGTTGTCTCTGCCGGAAAAGGGGGGGGGGGGAGTGTTGTTCTGCACTGCACTGCATGTTTCTCGTTCCTGGGACTCCCCCTTGTTCTACGGGGGAAAGGGGGGAGGGGGGGCTTAGACAGGGTGTGAGAGTCTGCTCGCGGGTCGGCGGGGGGGAGGGGGGGGCGATCGAGGACGCCGACGCGCAACGAGGGTGGGACGGAGGAGGCAGCTAGAGAAAGAAAAGAAAGAAAGAAAGAAAGAGAAGAAAGGGACAACAGAACAGAACGAAGCGCTGGCCTGGCGCCGGCGCGGGGACGCTCGCGCTGCGTCCTACCTACCTACCTACCTACACAACATCTACCTACCTACCTACCTCCTTTCTTGTTCGCCAGGACCAGAAGCGAGGGGGGGGGGGGGGCGTCCCCGTGTCGAGCGACACCCGATATACCTACCCTACCTGCCTACCTACCGCACACCCAGCAGCCCGCGCGCCCGCCAGCGAGACGCGCCGCGACCCTCGTCTGGGTCCTACCCTGCGCGCTCGCGCTCGCACACCCGCGGCCGCGCTGCCTGCCTGCCTGCCTGCCGACGCGCGGGCGCAGATAGGTATATGCGGGCGGCGGGCGGCGGGCGGCGCCTGCGGTGGGACGCGCGGGAATACGAGCGGAGGCGCATGCGTGTGTGTGTGTGTGTGGGCGTGTGCGCGGGTCGGCGCGGTGCGGCCCCGGCGTAGTATACTGTCAGGGCTCGCGTCTCGCGGCGAGGAGAGGGAGAGAGACGGACGGATGGGCGGATAGCTTGCGTGCGTAGCTGGACCACGAGCGAAGCAGAAGCGTGCCCGGGATCCGGCGACGGTGCGAGAAGGCCTAGGGAGCGGGGGGGAGATCAGTAGGTTACTGAACGAAGGATAGGTTCGATTCCTAACAGCGCTACTTGGTAGTCTTCGCTATCTAGCTCATCGGGGGGGAAGGGGAGGGGAGGGGGGCATCGGGATGCGATGATGATAGTATTGTGGTGATTGCCGAGACATCGTATACGCCCCCTCATCGTTCTAGACGCAGGGAAGGCCTGGGTTCTTTCTCACGAGAAATATATATGTGCACTATTTACATCCTACGCCTCGTCCTACATCGGCGTCGCACAGCCGGATCCGAGCCCTCCTACAGCTCATGCACGTCTCGGTCGGGGGCGTCCACGTCTCCGAGCGATCCGTCGCGTCTCCCCCCATTTCGCGAACGACAAGAGAAGAAGCCGGGTTATCTGGCGCGCGTCGATACAGAAAAACAAACCCCTCTTGTTCCTCCATGCGCCATGCAGCGCTTAGCTTGATCATATGCATTCCGATACTATGAACACGACGCGACTATAATGATTCATACCAACAAATGCTTGCATGATGCATCGCAGTTCCATATATTTGATGTCCGCGCGGAAGTGGACGACAGGGTATCCAAGGTGACAGGACGTCATGAGAGACGAGAGAATTGTTGGCCCCTTACATCAGAGTATAGGGGGTGGGGACAGGGGAAATCCCCCGAGGAATGGGGTATGGGGGGCGCCACGGGCATAGCGAGGGTCGAGAAACTGAAAAGGGGGAGGGGAGGAAGGGAGATGATATGTGAGTGTGGGAGTGTGTGATGCGAGGGGATGGGAGAGAGTTGGCGACGTGATGGCATCACCGGACGGCGTGCGTACCTCTCCTGGCCGCCCTCGATACACCCGCGTCATGCTCTCCGAGAGCTCTACCAGCTAAGGCAGCGCCAGCAGCGAAAAGTGGCCGCCGACGACGGGTCGCGCCGTGAACCGCAGGCCGCCGGGGTAGTCGCCGTTGATGGTGTCGTAGAGGTCCGTGAGCGCCAGGTTCGTGGGCGTGACGTCGATCCAGCGCGCGATGAGCCGGATGAAGGTGTCGCGTGTCTCGGGGCCCGCGATGGCGGCAGCCCAGAGCATCCAGTCCGTCTTGGTATAGGTGTGGCGCGTGTCTAGCGGGATGCCGTACTCGTTGGCCGCCGTCGGGTAGAAGGCCGACTGCATGTCGTACACCGAGCGCGGCACGAAGCTGTCGCCGAACCCGAGCAGTGAGTTCGCGTACAGGTTATACAGCAGGCCGTGCGAGGCCCCGTCGCCGTAGCTCAGCGTCGTGTGCGGCGGCTCCGCCTCGTAGTTGATCCCGAACCCCTGCCACTGCGCGATGTACGACGTCGCCGTGTCGCCGTAGCTCTTCGCGTCGGTGTCGTTGCGCACGCGCTCCGAGATCTCCGCCATCGCGCGCAGCCCGATGATCCCCTTGAGCCCAAGGTTGGTCTGGTTCGCCAGCGGGCCAGCGAAGTCGTCCGTCGAGATCTGCTCCGCGGGGATGAGCGCCTCGTCCACCAGGAACCCCGCCCACTGCCGCAGGATCTCGTAGTGCTCCCGGAGGTAGTCGTTGTCTCCCGTCCGCTGCGCGTATGCGAGGACCATGATAATCATATTACCGCACTCCTCGAGCGGCATCGGCTCGTCTGAGCCGTCCGGGTAGCCCCTGGCCAGCGGGAACGTGCCGAGGTCGTGTATCGCGTTCCGATTAGGGTAGTGCCCGTTCTCCTGGTTGAGGAAGAGCGGCTTGAGCATGTACTTGATCAGCGTCGGGTTCGTGTATAGGATTAGCGGTATGGCGGGGAAGATGACATCCACCGTCTGGATATCGCTGTTGGAGCTGATCTCCTTGAGGAACACCAACGGGTCCGAGTCTGTGCCCGTAAACTGCAGAGCGCCGAACGTCTGCCGGACGCTGAGGCTAGTCAAGGTCAAGTAGTCCTGGCCTGCGGCGGCGAGGGAATCCCTAGCGACCCTATTGTCCAAGTCCGTGGCCAGCTTCGACGCCTCGCCGTAGTCGTTATAGAAGAACGTCATCTGTGGTGGCAGTGAGAAAAGGGTTCACGGCTTGAAGCAGGGTCGACCACGGCACTCACAGCTTCAACGTCGGAGTTAAAATAGCTCTTCCACAGCGACGGGTAGGTCGTGAGGCTGCCGCCTTCGCCTTCGCCCAAGAGTTGAATGGCATCGCCTTGCGTCACGCCGATTGTATACAGGGTAGAGACGTGCGACGCTCCGACGGACCCGAGGTCGTTGGAGAACCCGAAAACGGGCCTAGATTGAGGGTGAGCGCCTAATCGGGAAAATCCTTGTGGCCATCTAGGACGGGGTGAACACGTACCATGAATCTCGTACAGCTCGGAATCGGGTGTCTTTTGAGTTCGGGAGCACACCTTGGTTGATGAAAGTCCCTCTCACGTCCACATCCGCACCGCTTTGCCACGAGAGCTGCGAAATTCTACTGTTAGTTTTGCCGAGGGCGAAATCAAGGCAGACATTGACTCTACGTACATTGTCGACGTCTTTGGTAGACCAGAACCAGGTGCCCCAGTTCGCTTGCTCATTGTGTTCAGATATCGGCTGTTGATTCTGTCGCGTAAATTCATGATAAGCAACACCATCGGCCGTCTTGTAGTCCCATTCGACGATGGCGCTCTGGTCGCCGGATGCCCATTCTGTGATACGTGTAAGTATGGCGTTGTCAGCTGCGAGCGCGCCGCAGGCCCGCGTAACCTACCAGCCGAGCAGTCCGTGTAAAGCTGAACGTCGTGGTCGGCGCCATCTAGCGAATGGACGCCGACCTCCAGGTAGGAGAAAACCAGAGATTGTCGCTTTAGGTCAGTGGGCGTCACGGGCGACAGGAACGTAATGTTCATCTCGACCTTGCCTCCCACGTTCATCAGAAACGTGCTCCGCGTCGAGGTGTAAGAGAAGTCGGTCTGGTCAACTAGATCCACGCCCGGAGGTGCCCCTAACCAGTTGTATGCCTTCCCATCCACGCGAATAAAGCCCACCCACCCCGTGATTTGTTCCCTATTCGACATATTTAGTTTCCGAGTGATTAGAACCTACCAGGGGAATGGGGGGGGGGGTGGGGGGACAGGGAGGGCAGGAGACGCCTACGTCCAAAATGTCGGCCACGAACCGGCAAGGTAGCCCCCGCTCCCGCCGTCGCTTCCGACCCTCAGCCACGAGTTCAGATACGGCGCCTTTACCGCAAGGGGGATCGCCGGTGGCCTCGCGGGGCTGAAGGTAGAAACCGCATGGGCTAAGCTCCCAAAGAGTGCCCACCAGGCTAGCACACTGCCGAGTCCCATCACGGATAGTGAAGTCTAGAGACCAAATTGGGGTTACAGAGGCTTGACTAAGTTTAGGCGGGGGTCTGAGACGGATGGCAGGTGAGCTCCGACGTGCAGGAAGCCGACGAGAGAGAGGAGGGCGAGGAGCTTATGAAAGGAGACTGGGCTCAGAAGAGACGGAACGAGGGTGGGACGGATGTTGATATTTGAGCAAGATCTGAGAGAGCCACCTTGCATGCCAAGCTAACCCGAGAACCCTCGATGTTTACGCCGCTAGGATCCCATGGATCGACAAATGGGGAAGGTTTCGCGGCAGGTGTAAGTACACTGCAGGTAGGGAGCTAAGGAATCTTGAGTAGAGGCCGGCGAGGGATAGAAAGAAAAGACAGTCATGGGACCTAAGTAGATGATGAGGTGCATGATCGGGGCACCTATCTGGCATCGGCGGACCCTGGCTCTCCTTTCTTTCTTGACATATTTCACCGAGGGCGATAGAGCTGTTGCTTTGACGCGAAACTCAGTCACGGCTTCCGACGGGATATCTGGGGACAGAATATCGGCGAAGCCACACGCGATAGATCAGCCCTTAGTGACGACATATTGGCTGGACAAAAGCACTGTGGTACGAAGAGGACGCTCGACGGGTGACCGGCCGAAAACGCAAGGCACAGGGAGGACAGAGGGCGCCTCGCGGAACCTAGAATAAGGGACCAGGAAGTTAGAACAAGCAGGTCGTATATGCCAGTAAGAAACATGGGTTGCCGGTGCGAGTGTAGTAGGGGTCGAAAGCGAGGACGGCTGGTGTCCGTATTGGGAACTCAACTGAACACAGATGGAGCCCTCCACAGGCCGACAGGACGCTCGACTTGTTGTTTAGGTCGGACCGGAATGTACCGGTAGGGCGGTCGGTCTCACCTGGATGAGGAAGGAGATCAGCGAGTCACGAGAGACATCTATCTCAAGGGGCAACTTGGGGATATGATCCAGTGACTCTTAATTTTTGAATGAATCGGGCATAGCTGGTCCGCCCCTTCGGTATCGTTACGGTGGCGTCAATAGATTCCGCTAAGCCGGAGACGGCTTTGTAGCGATCGTAGTTTCGGCGCATCATTGCCTGCGAGCTGAGACGGGCGCCGGGCGATTCTCGCGGGTCTCTGTTCGCTTGTTTGCGTCTCGAGGGTGCGAGCGTGAAGGCTGCGATTCTGGGCTGCGCGTAATCGTGCTATCCGGCATAGGCTAGAAGCACGAAAACGAGCATGTGTCACGCCGCCACGTCAAATTACGGGGTGGCCACCATGCAGGTCCGGATGGCCTTGTGGGCGCTCGAGGGGTTGAGAATGCAGCAGGAGTTGCCGCGGAGCTCTTCCATCGAGCCGTTGCATACATATTCTCCGCTCTACTGCCGTGTCGTGCCCTGCTCAGAAAACCTGCTTAAGACGCAGCTATTCGTAAACACACTCCGTTTCGGCCTTTCTTCTGACTTGTTCCATTTCTCGGCCACCGCCAAGAAGGAGAGGGCACACTTGCTCCCCTAATGGCCGTGGTCACATCGTCACATAGTAGACTCGTCATGTAGATTTTGCATTTCCAGCCTGGTCAGCGGGTGTGGTGCCGAACAAGCTGGGGGCGTTAGGATCGGGCTATTAGGCCGTGCCGACAGTGCTTAGGCGAGGGTCGGCTCCCGCCACTGCCGGCTTTCAAGCTTCTCTAAGACGGGAACGTTGCCCAAAGTCTGGGGTAACCAACTTGGCATGGGATGGGACTGTGTTAGCTCGTATGAGGGCGTACTGTGCCGAGTCCACCTCATTGGTTGTGGGGGGATGTCGTGTCTTGCCTCTGCTGCGTTTACGATCTTTGTTGCTTGAGCTAGGCGACGGGAAATCCGGGCCCGTGACGCTGATCCGAGCTGCCCTGTTCAACGTGCTTTCGTCCAGTCGAAAAGAAGCAGTAAATAGTCGATGAGGTTCTTAGGCACTGGGTGGCTAATTCGGCCCTTCGTTTCCTGCGCTGGCGGGCGAAAATATGTCGCAGGGCTCGAGTGTTTTTGCCCTGGACTCTCTTTACCTGGTCCAAATTCCCTCCGGGCACTTCCCTTTCTCTTGCCCCACCCCTTTCCCCCCTTGCTCCCAACGATGGCTTCGTGCTTCTCAGAAAACATTATTGATGAATTTCTAATAAAACATCCTCAGAGCCTCACACTCAGGGAGTAGACAGCCTTACCTTAAGATCGATACCACTACCAGTGTCGCCACTAGAGCACATTACAGGAGCGCGGCCCCGAGCAAAATCACATACAACAGCACAGTCGGTCGCATTTGCGCATCTGGGGCCGATGGCTAGAGCGGACCAGGGGTAAGACGCGGGGCACAACAATGTGACCCTTCCCCAAAGGATCTCACGTGTCGAAGCCTTAAGCAAGCTATTTTCGGCCTCCGCAAGCTCTTCTGACGCTCGCTGTGACAAAAGAATTCAGGCCGTGAAAATCCGGGGATGGCGTTGATAGCTTCCAGAATAGGCAGGCTGACCACCGCACATGGTTGAAAGAAAAACCGAGGACGGCATCATGGGATCTGAGCGTTACATCGTTCCTGCGGATCTGAGCCGCTTCATGATCTCGCCGACTCGTTCCGTGACTGGACAGCTCGAGTGTGAATTCCGCCGACGAGATGCTGCTGAAATGGCAACCTATCCCACACCCGGGTAGCGTCAGGAATGCAAACTGGCGGCAGGCGTCCTGTAAACGAATCGTCTCTCAGCCCGCACCTGTGGAGGAACCATTGTATGCCGTGGCACCCCGCGATGTAATCCTGCCTGGGACGGACCTGGATGCTAAGGTTACCTGCAGCCATACCTGCATGTTCAAGCTGGCCTCGTGGTTTGTCCCCCGAGCCAAAGACCCGCGCGACCAGTAGAGCTCGACCGCTTGTCTCTGGGCGAAAACGACTGTTAGGGATGAGGTCATTGCCACATGCCCAGCCATGCAGGCCTCGTCTTGCGAGGGGGTAACCTTAGCAGTCAAAGAGGGTCGGCGGATTGACGCCGAGCCATACTACGTAGTAGATACCGTATGCAGAACTTGATAGATACCATTCACTCGTCCGAGTAGGAGGTCTCGACCGGTTACAGCTAAGATGCGCCTGACATTGTATGGCTCGACGTAGAGGCGGGACTTGATACGCTCTCCGACGACCTTCCATAATGGGTCATATCAAGCGCGACAGAAGAGATATCAGCGTGATATCTTTTCGAGGAGACCTCGCGGACTGCGGCAAGTTGATGTCTAGCACGACCGGCAGTTCGTTCATCCAGCATCAGATTGGGCTTATCTCAGCCGATGCCCTCCATAAAATCCGGTACAAACGAGCAGCTGACTTAAATCTGGGCGTTGAATCATGGGCGGAATCTAGGCGTTTACTTTTCTAGACGGTCTCGCCTCGGGTGTGTTCGATTCCCAAGGGTCGGGCTTCCGACGGAGGGTCGTGATAAGCATTGGGAAAAAGATATTTTGTTTAAAACGGATTGGAACGAGCTTTCTCGGCCGACGATGCTGTGTAATTAATGACTAGCGAATCAAACGGGAAACAACCCACTTGGTTATTGGGCTGACTGCAGCGTTGGGCATGATCAGCCTCTAGCCGGGTTAGCTTGTGTCCCGGGTCTGGGATTCGACGTCGTGGGAGTACTCGATGCTAGGCATATCCATTTCTCCGAGGTGGGTGCTGGGTGTAGGTATACGACCTTCCAGCAGCCACGTAGAGCTAGGATGTGTGGCGATCTTCATATCTAGCGTGGGTGTTTGATATGCAATAATTCGAGAACGGCAGGCCTCAAGGCACACCCTCGATGATCGAAACCTCGAGGGGTACGATTTCCCTCCGCCTACTTTGCCCATCGCGCGATAGCATAGGACACGAAGGAAACAGCTCGCGGCGGTGCCTTGTAGCCCTAAGGTAGACTGGTCGTGCTGTCGGACACCAACCAGGGTTGGATGTGGTGGCCCGCTTCCGAAGAGTCACGACTCTCGTGCCACGAGCCTTAACATATACGAACGCAACATACCACAATGGAGACTAGTAAGTCGAGCCGAGAGGTCCAAGTCCGAAGTTCGTCCATCCCCAGCGTATCGTCGGGATTTCGAAAACGGTCGCTACCGCCCAAGGACCTAGGGGGGGGGGGGGGGGGCGCTCCCGAGTGGACGGTTGATCATCAGCATACATACAGCAGATGAGATCGCACCTGATGAGTTCTCAGCGGAACGCCGTAGGTCGCCCAAGTGGCCAACTTAGGCTCGTCGTGATAAACACCGCACTTGGTTTGTCTTGCTCTACCACGCCCGCATCTGGGCACACGCCCACACTCCGGACGGGAATCCATAGGAAATCAACGCATAGCCACTTGCGTCATACGCTGTAACCACACTCGGAGACTATTGATAATGGATACAACTGTTGTTGAGGTAACCCTGGCCGGGCGTGAAGGGGCTTTTCTCTTGACCCCGTGGGGAGTGGGTTCAGGTGAGAACGAGCGGTAGCGCCGTAAAAGGCCGGCCGCTTACATATACTACGTGTGCATACACACCACTGGACGTGGGATGGGGTGACTGCGGACTCTAGAGCTCAGAGAAGAGCTTGGCCGGCCTAACGACGACGGTAAGAGGTTGGTTATCTCGACGAAGTCTTTGAGATCAAGGGCAAGGCGATGGGCCGAGTGGAGAGGTTCAAGCCTTGAACCTGAGGGCAAGACGCAGCGATGGGTGTTCAGAGTGCTGAGACAAACCACCTCGAGAGAGATTGGCGCCGAGTCCGTCGAGGCAGTCGTGCTGATCGCGAAGGTATGGGTGCACGTGTTCTCCCGTACGGGGCAGGAGATTCTAGAAGCGACTCCTGCATAAAAGACAAGACGCCGAGATAACGACGTTTGAGTATTCGCAAGCTGGCGACGAAATAGGGGCTAGAGGGTAAGGAACATGGAGGTTGTCGAGGTCCTTGAAGTTCAAAACTGGGGTCGGCGGGGCTGTCGCTATTCAAGCGGAGAAACGGAATAATGTGGCGCGACCTCCCATTGGCCAGAGGCAGCGGGGTCTGGTTACCTAAGCGGACCGAGGTTAGGGGTAGCTTAGGTGCCTTAGATACCTTACGGTAGGCGGGTTTAGGGGTTTAGACGGGGCGGGCCAGGCACCGAACTACCCCTAAGGTACCTAAGACAGGTCTGGCTAAGAGGTACCTAGCGGGATGGTTAGGAGGTACCTAGGTAGTTTAGCTTTGCCATCTGTCTTGAGACGATACAGTGCCCCGGTACGTACCTCCAACAGCTATCGTCAGCGGCAAGCCTAAAGACCCTCTATGAATGCCATCAATATACCTGGATTAGGCCCGTGGTCGACAACGGAAAGGCCATATTTATATACATAAGCCCCATGTGTTTATATTTATCCAGGTAAATAACATATGCACACCGGCCTCCGCCAGTGGTTTTAAGAAACCGTACGTCTTACTATACGATACCCCTAGGTATCCGTACCTGTCTGCCTAATCTATGGGCGTTGGTATTCTTGCCAATGTCCCCCCTTTTCGCCAGCCAAGCTTTGTCAGGGAGGTATCATGCCAATGCTTCTTGCTCCTTCGAAGGTCCCTAGTTCGCCATACATATACGTCTAGGCAATAAGTTGCGCCAGCATGTATGAGGATGCACGTGTGAATACTACGTAGATACCATACCTAACGTAGTAGATCTACGGGAATGCGAGGGTGTAGGCGGTGTTTTGCAAATCTCTAACCAGGGCGCCGATTCGCCAGTCGACCTCCCAAATTGCTGAAACTACCAACCTGCCTTGTTCGACGGCTCTGCTTGTCAATCTCAAACGCACTCATCCTTCGCCCTCGCGATCATGACAGGAGCGCTCCAACCACATCAAGACTAGGACCAACAAGAAATTCTTGACTTTAGGGATCCTAGGCGCTTGGCTTACACAGAACGGTGTCGCAGGTTAGTACGATCCTTCGCCCCTATGATAAATGAGGTCCCCATTATTGCCAACGCGATCCAGTGCGAGGCTTTGCGCCCAGCTTCTCTCCACCCCCCGGCTCGCTAATCGGACAATATTTATTTTCGGATCATGCGGCACATATACTCAGTATACAGACAGATAGACAGACGGCCACACCGCCACACAACTACGCAGTACGCACACATACATATACACACGCGCGCACACATGTCTCCCTTGTTAGTCAGTCAGTCGTGAGCCTCAACCCTTCCTGTCAGATTCCCTCCCCAGTGCCATGTGCTGGGTACCTCGCTGTGCGCATAACAGACAGATCGGGGCGCAGGTCTCACCTAGACGGCCTCGTCTAGAACGTATCACATACTTCACGTTGCGACCCTACAGCTTCTAGTAGCCCTCGATTCGATGTAGCTTTTAGTCCCTTGCGCCAGGAGTCCAGGCTGTGAGGAAGCGCCGCTGCCCCCCCGTTCGTAGACTATGAGGTCCCCTACTGCGTACTATGGGTCTTCGCGATCCCGCTCCCCTGCCTCAGGTGAGATGGCAGGTAGGCTCAAGAAGCGACGTGCCCCTGAGCATCGTCTCATCGTGCTATAATACCATGTAGGTAGTGTCCTACACAGTAAGGGACGGGAATCCTACGAGATATAAGAGATTTCCCATCCCCGTTCCTCTAACCAACATCTCCCTTCCTTGTACCCAATGTTCAGTCTTTCTCGTTTCCGTTCCTTTCTATTCGCTTGGGGTTTCCGCCGCTAGGGCTCGGCCGTCCATTCTTTTTTCCTGCTTGAATCGGTGTAGATCACGGTCTTTACAAGAACTCGTATATCGTCGCTTTCTCTCTCGTACTATCTCTCTCTCTCTCAACATGCTGTTCAACCGAAAAGATGCCCTGGTGGCTCTCTTCCTCCTCGCTGAGGGAGCCGCAGCCAGGGGACTCCACCGAGACTACGCGGTCCTGAACTCGACCCTCGCCGCCACGACCTCGACCGCGATCGCCTCCACGCCGGCCGAAGTCGGGGGTTACCCGACGCTGCCTGCCGAGGAGGCCTCGACATCCCTCTCCATCACCTCCCTGAACCGTAGGTAGTCTCTACGTGCCTTAGAAGAGCACATTGGCTGACGAGAAATCTAGAAACGGCCTCCGCCACAGCTTCTGCCTCTGCCTCGGCGTCTGTATCTGTCTCCGAGTCTGTCTCCGAGTCTACCGTATCGAACTCTGCCTTGAGTTCTGAGTCTGCTACTGCGTCCGCGTCTGCGTCCGCATCTGTCTCGGCATCTGTCTCGGCATCCGTTTCCGAGTCTGCGTCTGCGTCCGTCTCCGCGCCGATCTCCGAGTCTGCGTCCGTCTCTGCACCCGCCTCGGCGTCCAGCACAACATCCCCGATTGTCTTTAACAGCACTTCGACCGTCTTCATCACCGTCTCGAGCCCCACCCCCGTCGCTTCCTTCACGAACGCCACTTCTGCTATCGCGTCCACTACTACGCAGGCGCCGTTTTCCAACACGACCACTACCAGGGCTCCTGATGCCACCGCCGGCCTGACGACCCTGACGGTTAGCGTGACCTCTATCGAGACCGTCATATCCTGTGCGGCCAGTATCACAAGCTGCCCGGGCGCTAGCGAGACGAACGTGCTCACTTCGCTGCCGTCAGACGCCGTGTCGACGATCCTTATCACGAGCGTCATCGATCTCACCACCACTGTCTGTCCCGTCACCGAGGCCTCGTCCATCTCGTCGTCGATCTTGGATTCTTTCACCTCAGAGAATCCTGTCCCTACTGCCACTTCGACCGTGAACCCTAGCGGCACCAGCTCCACGGCGGCCGTCCCTACCGAGACCGGCAACAGCAGTGGCGACGCCACTAGTGCTACTAGCTCCACGGCCGGCTCTGAGACGACGTCGGCTTCCGAGAACGTCACTACCACTACCCGGGCTCAGCCTTCGGAGGTGATTATCACCGTGACTGTTTCTGACTCTGTCACGACTCGCACTGTAAGTTGCAAAAAGGCACCCCGCACAAGCAGCTTTGGAGTATTATGTCTAACCCTACTCCCTCTAGATCACGGCCCCCACCACCATCCCCACCGTCGTCATCACTATCGGCACGGACACGACGGCGCCCGTCACCACGATCCTCGTCACAGAGGAGCCGGGCGCCACAGAGGAGCCGAGCGCCACGGCGGAGTCTTCCGTTACTACCGCCACCCAGAGCGCGGGTAGCGGCAACGGCAACGAGAGCGAGACTGTCGTGTCCTCCGTCTCTACCATCTCCGCCGCGCCTACCGTCGTTACCAAGACCGTTGGTGGTGGCGAGGCTATCACGAAAACCGTCATTAGGACTATCGGGGGTGGCGAGTCGGCGACGACCGTGACCGTCGGTAACGGCGAGGCCGTCACGAAGACCATCATCAGGACTATCGGCGGCGGCGAGTCGGCGACGGCGACGGTCACCGTCCAGCCCGTCACCAGCACGGTCACCGTCGGCGGCAGCGAGCCTACGACCAAGACCGTGACTGTCGGCGGCGGCAACGGCGGCGAGGCCGTTACGAGCACGGTAACCGTCGGCGGTGGCGATGCCGTTACGAGCACAGTGACCGTCAGTGGTGGCGAGGCTGTTACGAGCACGGTAACCGTCGGCGGCGGCGACGCCGTTACCAGGACCGTGACCGTCAGCGGCGGCGAGGCCAGCACCACGACGGTGTTCCAGACGGCCAGCGGCAACGGCGGCGCCACCACGACGGTGTTCCAGACGGTCAGCGGCGGCGGCGCGACGGCGACCGTGACCAGCGTGGTGACGGTGACGTCGCTGCCCGAGGGCCTGTGCGCGTGCCCCGCGAGCAGTAGCGCCCTGTAAGCCACCCTTTTCTGTTGTTTCAAGCGCGAAGAGGGGGGGGCAGTTGATCCCCCCCTCCCCTCTTCGCGCGCGGCGCAAGGGCTAGAGAGAGCGAGGCGGAGAGACAGACGTAGACGTCTGGGGGCTGTGGCGCGGCTGTTGCCCGCACGATATATATACCTACCTACATACGATCCAGCAGGGTGAGAGGCGCGGATGCTTGTCTTCCCTCCCCCTTTCCCCCCTCATCTTTATTCCTCTCCCGCCTCTTGGGTTCTCCTTTTCCCCAGGAGTCGGGTTAGGATCGGGGGGCTTTGTACATGTGTCACACCATTTACAACTCCTCTTCTTCTTTTCGGTTGTCTATTCTCCTTCTACAGGAGATATTCGGCCTTTTTTTTTAAGGGCATCCTGAGGTGCTCTTGTTTTTCTCTTTTTTGGTTATCAGGTCATGGAGCGGGGAAGCATCCGTCAACGACATTGGAAACCCGCAAGCTGAGCTTGCAGCAAAAAATCTACCAATTTTTGAACTTTCTCCAGAAAAAAAAAGCCGGAACGTTTTTTTGTTCTTTTCCCACCGCCTGCTCGTGTATATATATACCCATGTATACCCTTTCTCATGGGACTCGGGCATGACTCAAACATATAACGAAGTAAAACCAAGTATAGCATGGTCAAGGAGCTTCGGACGTATAGAATATGATTTTCGGGCCATTTCGAGGCGTTGCTTCGGTCGGTCTACACCCATATATACACATGAGTATTCGGAACTGGGTGCCATCTTCAGAACGTGTCGCTGAGTGTGGTGTCAATCTGGGCGAGCATAAGAACTAGGTACTTGATGGGAGCCATCTTGGTCTTGCTTCGTGCCTTGTGCCCCGTGACATCATCGTATTACCATTAGGCTCCCTTGGGGAACATCTAGTAACAGAATCTACAAGCGTTGTTTCTTTACGCATCGATTGACCTCGCCAACCACTACTCGCCCACATCACCTCCCGCCGCCTCGCTTAGGCGCTACTAAATAGGCCGGGGTCCAGGAGGTTATTAAACCCGATTTAAACAAGGCGTTTTACGGCGGTAAAGTCCTAAGAATAGAAAAAATGTCAAATTTTCGCGAGGGGGCAGTTTCGGGCCACCCGGATCCCAGATATACTACCTCTTCCCCCAAGAACTCAATAGGTATTACCGATCTACTTAATCTAAGGGCATCTTTTATGTAAGCACAGTTCTTGTCCCATATTAGCCACTCCTTTCGTCTGTTAAATCTAGTTACTGTCATCCTCGAGATATTACTTTATAGCAAACTCTCTGTCAGATGCGCCGGGAGGAGCAGTTAAGACGGGCTCACGTGCGGCATATAAATTTAGATCACAGATAAGGAGTTATTATAGACCCAATTTGACAACCACATGACTTTAGTATATGCTGTCTACTGTTACTCCTTTTTTCAACTATAAATATCTACGATTCTACGTCCACAACAGAGACATGTCCAATGCCCGAGATGCCATCGCTACAGCTACACCAATTCTTAACAGTGTTTGTTAAGGCGCTACCGCCTAGAGATTCAGCCACCCGTTTGCAATCTTCATTTTCCTCCCGCAATAGGCCCAGTGCTAGATTTCCATCTCCTACAAATGTCCGCTCAAGGAGTGCGGGGCAAGATCCGAGGGGCTAATCTCGTCCGCGTCAGCTATCGATAGTAATTCGCTATGAGTTCTTCAGCCTCATCGTGAAGTTCAGGCGCGACTCTGAAGGGACCATCGCCGAAGGTCATTGCCCCTGGGCGCTTCGTCGAATTTCATCTCAAGCTCCTGTTCCAGAAATATACGGGTGGGTGCATGATGGCTGCCTAGTTTCTCTTTTCGTGGACTCTTGAACAGCAGTAATCATTTCTAAATTAGTCCGAGCGAAGAGGGATATTGATATGTAAATAGCTCCACTCAATGTTATTGGAATAGCGCAATTGCGTCGTGCATCAAATGACGAAATGTTTCTTGGTAAGATGTTTCTGTTCTGTAATATATCCATGATTAAGAAACTCTCGCGTAAAACGTGGACGTCTACATTCTACGACTCGCAGATATAGGCTTATGTATGGAGTAGGATCTCCTATGTGACAATGTTAGTGACCTCCCTGCGTGTCCTCTTAACGAAGAATCTGTGTCTGGGCGCGAGTCCGCCTCATGTATTCCTTCGGTATCGCAGTTTATTTACTAGGTATATATAAGAGAGGTATATTTAAGAATAAGTAGGCTCAGCCTAGTTCAGGGAAGCTCAAGTTAAACCAGCGGCAGCTTAGGAATTCTGTCAGTGATGGGAATTTCCGAAAGCAACCTGTGCGTAATGGAAATCATGTGGGCTTCGATATACATATAAGCCGGCTCCTTCGTCTCACGAGGTCGTACCCTGGATCTAGACCTCAACCCTGCGCAACGTTGTCTGGAAGCCTACCAGCTCGACACTCACGGCGGTAACGTCACCGTACGACTCGCTCCTTTCCAGGGCGAAAATGATCTCGTCGAGCGGGCCGAACTCGTAGACAACCCGGTCCATCAGCGCCCAGGCAAGGCAGGAGCCCTGCGCCCAGACCAGCCCCGCGTTGCCCCGCGCGATGTCCTCGGGCGTGCCGAGGTCGACGCCGACGCGCCACGCCGACCTCCCCCCGGCCCCCTCCAACCCCGCTGGGTACAGCCGCGCCGACACCTGGATGGGCGGTAGGGCCTGCGCCAGGGCGGACATGTAGTTGAGCCAGTGTGCAGGCACGTCGGTGCCGCGGACGGACCAGTGCGTGATAGCCAGGCCGGGGCCCTCGCCGTCGAGCGCGAGCGTCAGCGTCGAGTTTGTCGCCGCGTCGGCGTACGTGCCCACGTAGGTCGCCGCCGCGGCGTGCTGGCCGGCCGTGTCGATCGCCGGGACTAGCGCCGCGACCACCTGCGACGCGAGCGCCTGCACGAAACCCGAGCTAGACTCGGGCCCCGCCGTCAGGATCACCGCCACGAGGTCGTAGTCCGGTACCAGTACCAGCATCACATGGTACGCCCCGTCGTCGCCGCCCTTCGTATATAGCTCGACGAGCCTCTCGTCTGACGTGATGTTCTCCGCGCGGACGATCTCCCACGGCGCCCCGACGAATGTGCCCAACGACGACGTGAAGGTCACCGGCTTGAGCCACCGGCGCGTCTGCGCCGGAGAGAGGAACTTGTTCGTGAGGATCGACTCGGCGAAGGCTAGGAGGTCCTTAGTGTTCGAGTACAAACCCCCGGCGCTATTTTTCACTTCGGTTAGTACCACCGCCCTAACACGCGACAAGGGGACAATATCGGGTTCGTTTGGAGTACTACTTACGGATTTTCGATTCCCATGGGAGTGCTCCAGTCTAAATTTCCTACGCTGATAGCCCCGAGCTTGTCGTCGGGCTTCGCAAATGATGTGCTTGCCATGCCGGCTGGGTCGAAGATGAGGCTCTGGATAACATCGTCGAACGGCATGCCCGAGACCGATTCAACCACCAGGCTGAGCAAGAAGAAAGCCGTGTTCGAGTATAGGGGCCGGTTGTAGGGTGCATAAACCGGATTCCGCTTCCCAAAGTTATCCCAGAAATCTAAGGGGCACGAGTGAGTGCAGTTCGGGGCGAATAGCTTTGTGCGCCAACTTACCAGTCTCGTTGCATGCCTCAATGCCTTGAAATCCGACGCAGCCGAGCACGTCGCGGGCTGGCGGTAGCCCGAGTTTGGTGAAGTCTACGGGGAAGCTGGCAAGGTCGGTGACAACTAGTATTGACATGTTTTAGCATTGGTATATGAGTAACTTTCATCAGGCTTGTTGTAGGTATCCTGTACTTACGGTCGGACCCAATGCCGCCCATGTGCGAAGCCAGAGCGTGGAGGGTAACATCGTCCCAGTCGACGGCCGTGATATGGTCGGTCGGCCCGTTCTTCTGCTGCTTCAGCTCCCTCAGTCGCGGGAGGTATTTGGTGATAGGGTCCTCCATGCGGATCCCGGAGGTCTTGAGCGCTGTGAGGACCGTGAACACCTTGGTGACGCTGCCAATCCGGTAGAGCGTCGAGGCGTCGATCAGCGAGGCCCCGCGGGGATCGAGCTGGGGTGGTGTGTGGTGAAAATCGAAAAGGGGGGATGTCTCGTGGACCGACTTGACGCTGATCGACACTGCCGTAGCGTTGAAGGTGCCCGTTGTGGCATTGATTACTTGCCCCAAAGTCGCGGTAGCTACTTGAACGTCCGGGTGCGAGCTCGGGCTCGTTGGTGCCGGGAGAACAGGTCCCAAAGGCGGACAGTGGTTGTTCTTGGATGCGAACACATTACAGAACAGCGCGGCTAGTATGGATAACGCCCCTAGAGGGCCTTTCACCTGGGCCATGGTGCCTTTTCTCTGGATTTCGACGGGTGGCGTTGGTTACCCCTATTCTCGTAAGGACAGGAGAGACGATGCCACGTCGCGCCCGCGAACCTTTATAGGAAACCTACGGGACCATGTCTAAGAGATAAGGGGGGAGGTGTTATTGGGAGCTCAGCACCCGTGCACTTGCTTGGAGTGGGAGTGGCACGAGGTCCAACTTGGAGACTCCGGGAGCGCGGCACTGTCCAGGAACAAAGAACAGGGCGATACTGCGCAAAAGAGGAAGTGCGTCTTATCGCCAACACATGTTGGATCGCCAACCCTACCCGCCGGCGTCCAGATCCAGCGTAGCAAAGGCCGGTTGACAATGGTGCCCGCGCGACGCCATGCTTGCAGCTTACCTGCCTAGGTAGGCAGTAGACTCGATTTGCTGGAGTGTCCAGGGGTGTCTACGACCTGTCGATCCCGAGGCAGAGGACATCGCGATACCCTCGGTATTATCTAGCAATCATCGGTCCCTTACTGACGCTTGGTAAAGGCGACGACGTAGTTTCGCTCCGTAATTCAGCCGATACCCGGGGGGGGGGGGCATTACCGACGGAGCAAATTGCGCGCGTCCGATCCTCCCAGTTCCTAAGGAAGCTTCTAAGTAAGGGCGTTAGACTTTGAGCTAGGAATATCACACGACGTAGAGAAAATGTTGGTGTCGAGATGGCATGCAGACTCTACGCAAATGTGCGTTGTGCGGCGGAGGAAGCGTGTAGGTGATGGATGTTGGTGAGGTAGTGCCGACAATGGCCAATATAGACAGGGGAGCCTATAAATGGACACCTGTAGGTACCTAGGTAGTACATGTGCACATGAGTGCAGCTGGGAACAAGTGTTGACAGCCGGGTAGGTTTACAGGCATCTAGACATGGCAGCTGATAGCTGCCGTCGCCGGACTCACGTCATGAGATGACGCGCCATAGCGCAAAGCGAACACCGTTTATCGATAACATCTACTTCGTATACTGTCCATTACATCATGGGGTTGAACCTCTTCTAGGTGCCTCTATAGAAATGACTTTACCACCTCTTACCACGTAGCACATTATGCGTCTCCCCGCTATCGATCTGCTAGGTGTTGCTACGCAGATGGTATACTGTATAACTACATCCACCTCCGCGCACGCATATTACCTACCATGTATGCGGTTGTGGGCTCAGCGGGGAGATTCGAGATTCCGGTAAGTCGAGGTATCTGGCCGGACCCGAGAAATGGGGAGGCGGGGCGCGAATGCAGGTACCGGGGAGAACAACGATGACATATTCCTACCTAGGTATGTGAGACTGCGTAGATGTGCCTAATTGGGTATGCACAAGACGAGGTTCCGTAATGTAGGTGAAATAAGTACCTAACCCACATACATGCTTGGACGTAGATAAGCACGGGGTGGTTGGCGTATGTGACGCAATTTAATTCCCTTCTTCACCGTCTCCAACATCCACTGCTTCATACGTGTCTATCTGGTCCATCTGATCCTCTCGGCGTAGGTAATAATCACACCCACGTGCGGCTCACCGGAACCGTTACCCCCCTAACGCCCCTCGAACTGCCATATCCGCTTTCGTGCCGCTCTCGGCATCGTGATGGGTTGTCCTCTAACTACGCCGGGATGGCCGTCGGTCTCACGATGGAGTTGTACTGAACGTCTGCGATGTAGCCCATAGCGCGGTGCCACCCTCGTCCCCGCCCTTGTCTCTCTCGTCGACGGCGCCTGTCCGGGCTCGAACTAGGTACGAGAGGCCCGCCGTTAAATCTCAGCGCGCCTGATGAGCCGTACGGAGCCGCTTGGCCAGGATGTACGCCACCTGCTTCCCGAAGTAGATGGAGACTAGGTACGTCCGGACCTCGATATCTGACTTTGTCTCACCGTTTTCAGGGCCATGACGCCCTCGACGCCTGCACTACCCCGCGCCAAGCACACACGTCTTCCATCCTACATTAGATTCTCCTAAGGCCGGCCTTTGCGAAGCTCGATGGGACACCGGCTGAGCGACGCTGCAAATCCTTCCTGATCGTGAACAACCACCTGGTCCGGCACACCCTAGAGTCTACATGTCCCGCGGCCGGAATGATCCCTCTCGGCTATTATGCCGCCGACCCCTCTTCTACTTCATGAATAGCATATGATAGCACATCCCCATCGTGCTTCCCAGTTTCATGTTTACCACACCCTGATTAATTGCTTGGGGGAATCTAATCCTGAGCAGGCGCGCATTGATGATGTGCGGGCTCGAACGGGTGACGAACTCGACGTCGAACATCATCACGTAGTCCTCCGAGGCTGGGATGAAGTTGTAATAGGGGTTTTCTCTTCCCATTTACCGGCGACTTGTTAGGACTAACTATTGGCAACTTTGAGGCGATTTACGAATTGGGATTCCAAGGGATTTTGTCTCCCGTGACCCCTCCGATGACCAAGCTAGCCCGACCGCATGCACGGCGGAGGCCTTGGGCACCGGGTCGGTAAGAGGGTGTGTTGCATCATGTTCACGTCGGTATCGGTCGATAATATAGAGTCCGAGGCAGCTCTTGATACTGCATACGATGTTTGCAGGGTGCGTAGACCCGCGCATCATCATGCCTCACTAGATACCGGCATGTCGTACTCGTCAGCTTGGAAGTAACGCGAGGCGGAGACAGTACCGCACTTCCACCCCTCCGCCGAGTCCACTGCCTTCGAGGACACTAGTGCGAGAGGGAGGGGGACACGTTCGCGTCGATCAAGACGAGGAGCCGGCCTGAACTGATAAGGCAGTGAGGTCCCTTGGCCTTCATAAAGGTGTATTTTTCGCTCTTCTCGTCCACTATAACCCCAAGATACGCACCGGGCTACTGCACGTAGACGTAGGCGTCGGAACTGTTGAGATAAGCCTCTTGAAGAGGTCTGGTCCGGTTAACGCCGAGTTATATCCGTCTCTGCAGATGATTGGAGAATTGGTCACCCCCTATAGAAGGGGATTGGTGCCCCTTGCAAGATAACACTCTTTTCTCTAACAATTGTTAGTCGCCGGCTTGCTTGTGATATCGGCTCACGTCTTTCTACCTAGCTCCTCCCTTTCCCAGAGATAGCCGACACCGGGACACCTCGGGATCTCAACACCACAATCTCCAACGTGGACGCCCTGGGACGTCAGCACCACGATGCCCATAGATAGTCTGAGGCATGTGGGTAGAGGGGAAGGGGGCCTAGAGAACGAGGGGTGGAAGACACGGAGAGATTGGGCACGTAGGAGAGAGGCCAGGGGTCTCTTGGACCCTCGGTTTCTGGCGGCTTCTCTGTACCCCTGTGGTGACTGAGGCGTAGGGGACCCCAAGGGGCAGCGAGACTGAAGACGAGGACTTGATAAAGTCTATCTTGGCGTAAGCGTATGGAGAAGTCGATGAGGATATCGCCTCTCGGGATTTCATTGGGTTCCGTATTAGGTCGAGGTTTCACTTATCCTCCAATCAACACAACCGACGCGAGTCACTCTCGGGCCATATTCCCCAACACAGCTTAGGACATCAAGAAGGTCTCCGTGTCAGATTTTAACGGAAGCGGAGAGATGTCTATAGGCCTGGGGGCGGGCCAATCGTGACGGAGGCCTAGACTCGCCCTCACACAACAGCAGAATAGGGGCACAGTCGCGTTGGAACACAACGCATGCATGGGAAGCAGTCATACTGTTCTTCCACTACTGGCGATCACTTCTCGGCTGCACTTACACCTATCAGAATATCGAGTTGACGTGCTCATGATCGCTGCAGAGCCTCGCGATGCTGTTTTTACATTTCTGTGCTCTGGTGTTTGGCCCGGCCGCCCACGCGCCCACCGACGTCTGTCTTCAACCAACCAAGACTCGCCGCGCCCTCAAAGATTACTTGTCCTCTCAAGCCGCAAATATACCGCGTGGTTATATTTTCTTTCCTCCTCGCCGGGTGGGTAGCCGCACGAGGATGCACGATATCGCGGGAAGCCGTACGCCCAATACCAGTTGGTATCGGAGAAAGACACTGTGGGATGAAGACAATGCGCGGCTATTAATTGAAACGGCGAGTGGGTTCTTCTGCGGTACGCGGCCGGTGACGACTGTACTTCCTACTTGAATATGATGGCTTCTATTAGATTTATATAACAGCTTGGTACGTGACTGTCTGTTAGAAGCACCGCGATCAGGAGATCTCTGGTGACTGATCATGTGAGTATCCGGCAGTAGTTGTGTCGTCTATTGCAAGGTCAGTTCTTCCCTATATCCACCCTGTCAGCTACATGGTCTGTACTGTTGTGGGCATCTAAGACAACTTGTGTCGTCAAAGATTAAGTTGAAGATATTAGAGCGTGTGTACGGAACTTCTATTGGTGAAGGTGTTAATACTCTAATAGTATATTTATAGTATCACGGAAAATATCTGAATCCCTGCACGACCCCGTACTCATATACTAGGTACAGAGTGGCGGTCGGTAGGTAACCTACCCATTCTACCTAGCACACGACAAAGCGCCGGCGACCTGCTAAGCGGGGGCCAAGAGGTTACTTACCTCCACTATTTACATCGTACGACAACCCTTCAATCTCTAGTCGGAGCGCGCTGGCTAGGCTGGAACGACACAATGCGTTGTTGTATGTAGCCACCGAGCGATCGTAAGGATACGTATAGTTGTTATTCTAGACGTATAACATTCCCTTTTTCGGGGTATCACCACGAAACTCGGAAATATTTTGGAGATGCTCATATCATAACGGGACTACTGAAGAATCAGGTAACGCCAAGAACGGGTCCCTTCAGGATAATCCATCCCAAACTGTTACTGCCTGCCTGGTAGCAGGCAAATCTAATACGCTATGTATGAGTGTACACAACTGTAGCTAGGGTGTGATGGGCTCTCGGTACTAAGATGCCCCCTATCATTAAGTTAGGCGCTTGCAGGATAAGAGAGCGTGAAATGCCTACCTATTACTCCCACATACAAATACGCACATACATATATAGTAGAGTATGAATTACATTGATTAGGTTGTGACTCGCCAAGCCGTCTGCAATTTGGGCTGGCAAGATTATCCGAGATGGCCAAGAGCGTCTAAGTGGTTGGCACAGAAGAGTGGGTGCTGGCCCTGGGATGGGTTTGTTTCAAGGACGCATCCTAGGGTCCGTGTCAACCTGGTTCACGATGACTTCCAATGTCGCTTAGTGCGGAGGGAAAAGACAGGAACAAAGATAAAAAAGTGATCGAACGAGTGGGTAGGACAAAAAGATCGGTATCGACATGAGATAGGTAGGTGAGTGCCTACGTTCGCATGAAGCCCCTAGCTGGGAAACGAACGATCTGGAAAAGGGCAAGAGACCGAGAAACGCTTGGATTCGCCAGAGAGCAAGTGACGGCTAGCTTAGTATGTGCGCATGGCCGATGTGATGAGACGAACGATGGGAGTCTACAAGAAACGCGCCGCCTCCACGTTCCCGTCTTCCGTCTTCCGTCTTCGCTAGCTACTCCTTTTTGGGCCGACGTGAGCGGCGGAAACATAGGATGGGATGAAAAAACGACGAGAAAGAACAGAAAAGGTGCCTCGACGGCCTGAATTGCTAGCCCTGATTCGACATGCGATCCCTGGAGGGTCGACACGGGTATATCGCGGACCTAGCTGGGGACCTGCGACGAGGCCAAGGCTTCTTTATCATCCCAGCAGCAGATCATCCGACGGACGAGTACACCCTAGTCCAACCGCGCCCACGCATGTACATACGTATGAGGGCCATGTAGGTAGGTATGTGCATGCAGACGTACTTACGGACTCGATGCTCGATTTCTACGTACATCCCACCCTCCGCCCACCCTCCCCTGCCGTCTATCCGGTTCATACTTGGGAAGAGAGGGTCGTAGAGAATCCGGGGTTTGGGTCGGCCGACGGCGTTTCAGTGCAGAAACATAAAACCCATGTCACCGTGGTAGAATCAGGACCACGTACTCGCTAGAAGATGACGAGGCCTCACTTAGGCCGTTTGAAATCGCTGGCCTACCTATCGCCATAACCACGTATGCCTACGTAGAGCAGCACACACGCGGCTTCGAGATGAGGTGGAGAGCATACGTAAGTCTGCGCGAGCCCGGTAGTTCCTCGTCTGCCCTGGTCGGCTTTCAGGTCCGGCCGGCGCGGCGTCGAGAAGGGGGGGGGGGGTTATCCTGCCATTGTATCACCTCGTCTTGGCACCCTCGTTCACGCCACCGGGGGCTGCCAGTTTCAGATTCGCGCTATGGCTGATTAACGTGAGACCAGCTTGCCTCACGATTTCGCATTCGTACCAGGAATAGCTGAAGGGGGGGGGGCACGAGAGGCAGGGAGTGGGGGGGGATGATGTGTTTCCCTCTGGCCTGCCGGCGTCGTTCCGTTTGCGCTCATATAAAGAAGAAGCCGGGAGGATCGTCGCCGCTCCCCCTCGATCCTGAACACTCCCATCGCGTGTTGATCCCGCTGTGTGTACATGCCGATTCCTTTCGTTAACTGTCGTTTCTACCAGTTGCATTTTTATTCCAAACAATATACACGAACGCAAATATAGCACACCACGTTCCTTACAGCCCACCCCAGCTACCACATTCATTCCAGCACCCGCCCAGAGCGCAGAAAGCAAACCCCCCCGACCGCCGGCCGCCATGTTGTTCCCGGCTCTCCCGAATGTCGCCGTCCTTCTCGCCGTGTGCGCCTCCCTCGTCGCGTCACTGCCGCTCGGCGCCGCCGACGGCAGCGCAGCGGGCGCCGCCAGGACTACCGAAAGCGTCGCGTGCTCGCTGGCCGCGATCGCCGAATGCGTTGCCGACACGGGACTCGAGAGCACGATATGCTTCGCGCAGGTGTGCGCGGGCGCGGGCGCCGACGAGGCGCTGAAGCTGAGGGCGACGATCCCGACGGCGGTGGCGAAGCGCGAAGACCAGTGCAACGAGGAGAACCTGCTGCGATGCGCGGTCATGGAGTGGAGGGAGGCGGCGATCTGCTTCCAGGAGTTGTGTTTGTAACGCGGCCTCGGATGCGTCGGGAAGGGAAGGGAAGAAAAGGAAAGGGGAGAGGGAGGGGAGAGGGGGGGCAGCCCTTTGGATCCATTTCCTCGTTGGATCTCGGCGCGGCCATCGCGATGGGTGCCAAACACGCCGTGGCGGCGAGTACTGCCCTGGTTTCTATCAATTCTAAGCACTCGGAGCTCCGGGGGTGCACCGGGGGGAGCTGGGCGGAGGATCCGGAACGCGTCTGCTCGCCCGAGCGGAGGCGCGATACATAGAACATGGCGCAGTCATTGTGCAAGTTTTCGACGGCTGGGCCTCGCTCGCTAGCACGCCGCGGCTATGTATTCCCAGGCGGCTGCCCGTCCCGGTCCGTTCGGGACAGGCGACGCTGATCGAGTCCGCTTCCTACCCCCCCTTTCCCTCCCTCCCTTTTCAGTGAATGACTACAACTATATTACATTCCCCATACGCTCGCGCGTAGACCGCTGGGTCGAGAACTAGATTAGGTGATGGAAGCCTTAGAACGTCCCCCGTTTGCTGTTTGTAACCCTGTCTTGATAGAAACAGACGTCATGAAGGAATGATCATTGGTGTTCCCTGTAGCTAGGGGACCCGTGTGCGTTGGGGAGGCGCCGGATATTGCCCGTGGTTAATTCGGCTGTAGTTCAGTGTGTTAACGACGAGGTGCCAAAGGAGGTTTCGATCGCCGTGTGGGTAGATCAGAGATCGTTGGGGCACTGTTTACCCGGGTGGGTGGGTGTCCGCCCTTTCTCCATCCCCGGACGATATCCTCGGGTCTCTTTTTAATACGGCGGCCATTGGGATTCCGCGCAGACAGCTTTCCATCAGCGTCCACCTGGTGATACTATAATACGAATACACTGCCCCCCAATCGGGAATCATTTGTATCTGTGTACGTGCCCAGGGCTCATGGGCCGGTTTTGGTTTCTCGTAATTGTTAGCTCCTTTTAAAATTGGATGGCCCTTTTTCATTTTCTATGCTTTTTTAACCTTCTGTAGCGGATGGGGTGCGTGTGCTGACTTGGTGTTGCGTATAGAAAACCGTAAGCTCTAGGCCTCCAGTCAAGAGGCATGAGCGTTGGTGATTTTCCAGGTGAAGCGTCAATATAGAAAGGGAAATTAAATGGTTCTCCAGAGAGAAGAATAGCGAATCAATCGTGAGACTATGACTTCTACGAGTCCCAGGGTTAATATTAGGGAAGAGAGAGATATCGAGGATGGCTGGATAAGTGAGTTGGAACTTGTACCTATTATCCCTGCCAACCCGCGAGGGAAGTAACCTATCATATCAAGAAATACGGACAGCCTTGGGCCTCAAGGTGTTTTCCGTTTCCCAAAAGTGAAAGTTACAATATTGTTCTACAATAGTCTATCGAAGCCTGCGACCTCTTTTGAAAGTGTTGTTACCCTGCTTTCTCGACCTAGTATAGAATGCTGTCGAGAGCGCTCGAATTCACCAATCCTTGAGAGGGGGCCGTGGGGCTGTGCGCGGGTATCTCGAGAAAAGGGGCTCCCGCTCCCCGATAGGGTTCAGGGTAATTAATACCAAGGCTAGTAAGCATCAGTGATGGAGGTGAGACGGCTCCTTCGTGCTTGTGCATGGTAAGCCAGTATTTAGAGTGGTATTCACAATGCAGGTGCCGGCAGTACGGTGTGTTTATTCGTCGCCCCTGTGCGGTAACATCTTCCACGACGGTAGACCGGATCCCTATCGATCCCCACGCTTGCCACCTTGCTGGTATCATGCTGGAAACGGATCGTGGCAGTGCCGGTTGCATAGTTCGAGCGGGGTGTAGAAGCAATATCAGCCATATTAATAATACCTGGAACACGACTTATGATCGACCACCCAACTCTTTCCGCTCTATACTCTTCTTGCCACATCGAAAGCATATCAGCATTTCAAAAAGCCTGCATATCCGAGAGAGAAAATATATGTTTCTGAGTGGCATATCATGTCTAAAACGTACGAGGGTGCGTTGGTATCACAGTCGTTTGGCAGGGGCTTATCAGGTGTTATACAAGACTTCTCGCTGTTCCTCCTTTAATACCAAGCTTCCTCCCCGAGAAAATATATATCTATGATATGATCTTCGTATCCCACGTAGAAGCCAGCGTAGCTACCCCGATTTACGTTGGGTATTGTGCACACGAAGTCAAAGCCGGATTTTTCGTAGCTAGTTCACGAATTTCACCCATGAAGTAGCGTAGACTGCACAGATTAAAACTCAGAATATTATATAAGCCCGGTCTGGTCAACGATGGTTAGCTTCCCACATGAGGGAATAAGCTCGTCTTCCTTTCTTAGGGGTGCGGCGTCACCTGCCAAGGCGATGCTAATGGTTGTTATTCTGGTGCCTATGCTTGACCTCTACTGACTACTCCGTTCGTCACCATTAACAACCCGAGATGTCTTCCCGATCTTTCTGCTCTCTCCTCCGAGTTGTTCGGAGTCCGACCTTTCTAGTCATGTCATCAACTCGTCGTTACATGACACGGCTGCTGTCTGGTATCAACTGAATATCTGCGGTTATCCGACCAGTGGCTGGTAGTTACGGACCTTCCTACCTCCAGATAAAAGGGTGTCTTCAGAGTCATTTAAAAAGGGGGGGTTGCTGTTCTGGCGGCAATCAGCGGCCTCGGCTGGGCAGCCTGTGTCAATTGCAAGACGGACATTATCCCGAGAACGATCTCCGACGGCACCAGCAAGACTAGCTTCGCGAGCGCTGCCTGTGGCTTCGACGCTCCCAAGGTCCTCCCGATCAATGACTCGACCTTCGACTGGTGGTATTTCGAGGTTGTCTCCGAGAATCAAACGCATCTGACGGCCAAATCCTTCCTCGCGACCCCGGGAACGGCTTTTCTTCCCAGTGGCTTCCCCCCCGACGCGATCCTAGCTCGTGTACGTCGAACTTTCGACGCCGGAACTCCCTCGTTACGGCCAACTGCTGCCGGCATCGAGAGGCGTGGTGACGACCGACGGCCAGGGCGCGAGCGGGATTTGGGAGGGTACGGGCGTGCGATTCATCCACACGCCAGACCTGAGCTACTAACGCGTCGAGTTTGATGTTCCTGGCGCAGCGTTGTCTGGCTCTATTAACTTGAGATCTGTAAGAAGCCCGCTTCTCTTCCCCACTCCCTCCCCAGGTCTCAGGTCCCATCTATAGTAGGGTCCGGGACATTGACCCAGTAGGTATATGCTACAGATTGCACCCGTGCATTATCCTTCCGGGCCTGCCCGGGCAGGGGAAAACATGGAGCTCTTGCTGGGCGTCAGTTAGGCGAACGCGATCGTAGACTCAGATGCGGAGGCATTCCTCAACATCAACGGCACGGAAATTAACTTAAAAGGCAACGGATACTACGACAATAAGTAGTTACAACACAACACGGAAATGGCACACCTACCAATATTCGTCGAACACATGCTAAGAGGTACCATCTCTCCGCCAGGGAACTGGGGCAGTGCGCCGTTCGTCGACACGGTCGCGAGCTGGTATTGGGGTCACCGACGACTGGGGCCGTACTCGCTGGTTTGGTTCGACGCGACCGACACGTCGGGGACGGAGCACGTAGCTGCGTACGTGGCGAAGGGCGGGGCGATCGTAATATTATTTGCGGCGCAGCGGGGGGCTCATGGTGCGGCCGACGGGGACGCGCGCGGCCTATCCGCCTCGGAAGGGCGACATCCCTGATGGCTACCCACGCCGTCGTCGACATAGGTGACGCGGGTGTGCTCGAGTTCGACATCATCTACACCGTCGCCCCCATCCTCCAGGAGGAAACCCACGCCAACTGGCGCGGCGTTCTATCCGGCGGCTTCAGGAGTAGCGAGGTCCTCACCGGCTTCGCTTCTTACGAGCAGTTCGTTCTCCCCGACTCTCGGGAGTGACTAAGGGCTGCCGAGCTCTCGCTCTGGGAGACTAATACGTTGACATGAGGCGACGTTGAGGCTAATGGCAGTTTCCTAAGTGACCATTACGGGCATCCATTCTTTTTGCCTTTCGACTCTGCTGCTCTTAATTCATCGACGACGGCGGCTGATGTCGGGGAATGCCCCTGCTGGTGATTCTATGATGGCCGGACCGGCGTTCTTTACCACAGGAAAAATTCGAAATATATTACCTATGTAAGCTAGACCCCCCCTTCACGGACCACCCCTTCGCGGACCAGGCATTTTGTATGGGGTTTACATACAAAAAGCTTATTTTAATAAAAGCCATAAAAAATCGGAAAAAAATCGGAAAAATCGGAGATTTAATTACGTAATCTGATTACTTAATAAAAATAACATATGATTTTCTTGATTTTTTTGCTTATTAATATAAGGATTTTTATACGAATTTCGTTTTTGAAAATTTTCATTAATAGTTTTACATATAATTTGTTAGTAAATCTGTTAACTGTGCACTATATCGCCCTCTTTACGTATTTTATTTATAGTAATAAAGTGGGGCTATGACCTAATTATTTTTATGATAAATAAATAAAAGGTTAATATTAGCTAATCTTATTTTTTTTTATTTTTCCGATTTTTATTAAATTAAATATTAATAAAAAATACTGAATTTTGAGGTTATTTTTAAAGATTACTTTGTACCTATTTTCACAGTAAGAATTCGACTTTTTTAACGGAGCTGTTTTTCCATACAAAGTAATTTCAAAAAATAACCTTAAAATTCAGTATTTTTTATTAATATTTAATTTAATAAAAATCGGAAAAATAAAAAAAAATAAGATTAGCTAATATTAACCTTTTATTTATTTATCATAAAAATAATTAGGTCATAGCCCCACTTTATTACTATAAATAAAATACGTAAAGAGGGCGATATAGTGCACAGTTAATAGATTTACTAACAAATTATATGTAAAACTGTTAATGAAAATTTTCAAAAACGGAATTCGTATAAAAATCCTTATATTAATAAGCAAAAAAAATCAAGAAAATCATATGTTATTTTTATTAAGTAATAAGGAGGAGCAGAGCGTACGCGATACTAGAGACCCGGATATGTTTACTCGAAAGTATACTTTATCGAAGACTATAGTACGTACGATGGTCTAAGACGGGTAAAACTAGTATCGCTATATTAATCGAGAGATAAGGAATCTAATGTAGTTATCGTATCTTAGTTATGCCCTTTAGTCGTAGAGATATAATAGTCGCTAGCCCGAAGGTATAAGAGGTAAGAGGAGAAAAGGGATAAAACGTAAAAGTTATTTATTCGGTTATAGCGGTACGACGAAGTAACTTAAGTACCTATAACTAAGATAGATATATTAATTAAAGAACGACGAATCTAATGGTAAAAACGAATCTTTAATTAAGGTAAAAATAATAAAGATAGTAATTTAATTAAGTAATAAATTAAATAATAAGTATGGCATATCCCGTATTTACGGGAGCTATGGTTACTTTATATAGGTACAAGGTTTATCGTAACGTATTACGTAATATATTAAGAAGGTATGTCTTACCGTATTACTATAGCCTCTTTAATTTAATTATACCGTAAAGAATAATTAAATTAAAAAGGATAGTACGATATATTCTAATTAATATTTCCCCTTAAATTACCGCGAAACTTTATTCCTCTGGTTATTATTTAATTATTACGGCCGCGCCTTTAATTTTTCGTTTAATATTATAAGGGGGCCCTTTTATTACTTTATAGCTAACTTAGTCCGGTTTATCCTTACCGATCTAGCCCGATCGGCGTTTTCTTTCTTTATCTCGGCTATCTTCTTCTTAATCTCGTCCTAACCCTCTTAGTTAGGGGAATAATAAGGGAGCGGGTACGTTTTAAAGGTTAATTAAGTATTTCCTTTCTACCTATACGGTATAGAAGTTTCCCTGACCGGAAAGCCTTAATCCTTTTTAGTCCGGGGAAAGGAAGGAGGCGCGTTATAACCTTAACGAGGTTATTATAACGGAGGTTTACGTCCGTTAATACGAGGAAGTAAAAGGGATTAGGTACTAAAGCTATAAAGAAACGACGAACTTCGGCTTATGCGATAAACCGAACGGAGGATTTACGGCTAGGGGATTCGCCGATCGGCGTACTTTAAACGGATACTATAGCGTTAATAAGGTTAATTCGCTTTTAGTAATTTACGGCTTACCGAAAACGCTTAACGATACCTACCCTTTCCTTTAAAATTCGAACGCTATAAAATTATTTCATTACTTCGGCGTATTTTCTTATGATATTAAGGGGGTCGAGCCCTTTATTCTCTTAGGCTTAACGCGCGATTTCGATCGGTCGTTTAAAGATAAGATACGGTAAAATACCGCTTTAAAAACCGTAGCTATAGCTATTTTATTAATTTACTAACGCGATATAGTAAGTAAATTAAGGGATTATACCGGGCTCGAGGCTATCGTTTCCCTAGATTTACTATAACTAACTAAACGCGTACGCCGCCCGATCGAAGGCGCCGTTTTTAACTATATTAAAACTATATAGTCTCCGGAGCTTAGGGAGGTATAGCGTTACGGCGAAGTAGGCCTAGGAGAACTTCGTAGGATCGGTAATAATTCGTTCGGAATTTATTAAATCCGTATAAATCGTAAAGATTAAAGTAAAGGCGAGGTTATCGAGGAGGTATCGGCGGGTTAGGAAATCGAACGATCTTATCGATCGGTAGCTTATCGTTTAGTACGGGTTTACTTCGAAGGCCGCCTTCTTACCTTCGAGGTCGTAACTTATTATAATATAGAGGATACGGATATCCTCGTTAATAAGGTAATCGTAACGGGCGATATAAACGAAAGAATTAGCTAAGGTTATCTTCGTTTACTTTTATTATTATTAGTTTATAGTTCGGGGCCGATTAACGGATAGCCGGAAGGCTTAGGCTATATCGGATCTTAATTTAATTTAGCTCTTCCTCGAATCGTAATTATCTAGAATACTAAGCTAGTACTTCTTTATATTACTTTAGTTATCTTTATTATTATAAATCTCCCGTAGGAGTTTTATTAAGTCGGTTAGATCGGTACGACGTACGTCTTTATGAACGGAGGAAAGGGAAAAGAAAGGAGGGATTCCGGCGGAGCGGAGGAAAGATATAATAAAAATAAAAAAAAGAATTAAGGGAAGGGAGAGAAAAAATAATAAGTTAAAAGTAAAAATAAGAATTTAAATTAATAATAAGAAAGGTAGGCTAGAGATTAATAAGAATATAATAATTATAAGGGAGGGGTTTTCGAAATAGAATACCTAAAGAGGAAAAGGAAAGGAAGGAAGGAAGACGTATTAACGATATAATTAGATATACCTTTACGGCTAACGCTTTAGGAAAGCGCGTTTCCTTACGTACGTATAAAGCTATAATAAGAAACGCGTTAGCTTATAGCTTCTTATTATATACTCTTAGTAAAGTAATAAGTACGTACGTTCGTAGACTCGTAATTAAACGTAAGCTAAGGTAGGTATTATCGAAACTCTCTTAAGTACGGTACTTTCGACCTAGGTAACGTATTCGATTCTCTCGTTCTCGTCCGACCTCCTCTTTTATTTCTCGTTATTCTACGGTTCCGATTTACTTCCTTTCTTTTATTCCTTAAGTCCTTTATCTTCGTTTTAATTCGTTTTTCGATTATTCTTAATTCTAGAATTATAATTTCATCGTTCCTATCTTTCTTTTTCTTATATATATATATATAATAAACCCTACCATCTAGAAGTAACTCCTTAATCTAGACCGGACGACCGCCCTTAAGTTATTCGAATAACTAAAAGCTACGGGAATTACCGACGAAGAAATTACCGGGGCGTTTAAAAAGATTAAGGAGGATAAGAAAAAAGCCGTAACGTATTAACGGGCTAAGTCGATACCGCCGCCGGTAAATCTAATAAATAAGTAACCCGACGAATCTTTCCGCCGCTTATCCTCTACCGAGGAATTCCGGGACGTTAATCGGCTAATCCCTAAGCCTTGGTAAGTACCGTACGTCCCGTACTTTTATCCGTTAAACTAAAGCCCGAAAGTAATTATCGGCCGGTAGTTCCGAAGTATCGAGGAAATTCGGGTAATAAACTAATAGCGCTAAGTATATAGCTCTTAATATTAATAAGATTTATTAATCGAAGGTTATATTAACTAATAATAAGATAATTTATAACGTTCGGTTTTATTTTCTAAATAAGCCGGCGGCCGGCCGGTATATCGTATAGGAGATTATAAGTAAGGACTTTTAAGAGGTTACCTACTTCTAGAGCTATATTATATCCTTCGCTCGTTACGTTTAATTCTTTCGCCGCCGGACGTTATTTATAGAGATTAATAATAAGGAATTAGTTAATAAATATTTCCGTCGATTAGCGACGGATCTTCGTTACGTCGTTAATTTATTCGTTTAATAATATAAGATATTTAACGAGGTATCCTATTAATGCTACGAGCGCCGGCTCGCTTCCTCCGATACCGCTAAGTACGCGGATATATAGCCCTTTTTTTTCTACCGATCCCTAGCCCCCGACCGTATCTTTAGGTATTTTTACGGCGTTTATTTTTTTTTTATTAACGGGGTACGTTATAAATTCCGGGACGAGCGGTTTACTTATTTACGGGTAAGGATAAATCGTAACCTCCCTCTAGTAAAGGATCTAAGCTAGGCCTTATGCCCGTTTATAATACGGGTAACGGAGGAAGAGTTACTAGCTATAATAAACTCGAAAATCGTTACGTTCCGGGGGTCGGGAAGTAAGTAAGTTTTTAGTTTTTTTAGTAACTAATAAGTAAAGGATAAGGTAAAAGGGTAGAGAGGAAAAAAGAGGTACTAATCGGCGGGTATACGTTACTTCTAGCTTATTTTTAAGCGCGTATTCCTTTTCTTTCCTTTTTCTTTTGCTTTTATTAATATAAATTACTTTCCTTGCTTTT